TCTGATCAGAAAAGAGTCTGCACTGTTTTTGATACGCCCTGTTAATAAAGCAATTATATAACTTACTTTTACCATCAGTTGATTCGGATTTCCACAGGATGTTGCGATAACACACGTTCGTTCGTTGATGCTTCATCGCCGATGACAAGATTAGGTCAGAAGTGAGCATTTTCTTGCATAAACTGAGCCATGTGCAAAATGCTACACGTTATGCTGGATCACGTAGGATTTTTGTTGGATTACACCAGCGCTGACTCTTGGATTTTGTTGAAAGGATTGTTGCACTTTGTTGATATTTTTACGATGCTTGCTCTCATACAGAAAGTCCTGCATTCCGATTTAAGCTAATAGCTGGTGTCAAGAATTTAGCAAAAATGTTTTAAAACGGTTCTGGTAAACGACGGTCGGAAATCTGTTTCGTCAACGTTCGGCGACCCGCCGTTGACTTAATTCTTATCATATAGGATTCCAGCACCACGAGGCGACGTTTTTCAGCTGTGAACTGCCCAGCAACCATGATGAAGCATAAATTCAAATCCATTTCAGTTATATCGAATGAATGTTTGCCACGGAGAACTTACTTTACAGTCATTTCGTTTTAATGCACTTGATCAAGATTTGACCATTTCCAATTGTTAAAAGTTTATTACACCGTCATTCATATAAGTGGATAGCAGCTAAATTGGAACGAAATGCTATAGCCAGCATTGTTAACTTCTTATTTCATCTGTAATATCCGCTGTATTTCCATAAAAAGTTGTTTAATTCTCACTTTCCTCACGCGGTGACATTATTTGGGACGCTCTGTATATACGTCCAATGCAGCACGATATTAATTATGTACCAGATGAAATATCAGCATTTTATGAAGATGCTCTTCCTTTATCTCACGTGGCCTTTCAGCAATCTTGATTTAGAGCGAATGTTAGTGCAGTCTTCAGGTCAAATGCACTTTCTGTTCAATGTTTCTTTCGACTTCTCTCGACGATTTGCCACTCTGTACAGCTCTTCTTTGTGATGCCCTGATCCACGATCGCTCATCATAAGATTTCTTATTGTTTTCGTTATAATCTGTTAAAACACAAAAGTAATTAGCGAAAACGTACAACGGCACTTACACAAAAAATTATTGGTCTAATTGAAAAATGGACGCTACCAAAAAAACGAACGCTACCGAAAAAAAGAACGCTACCGAAAAAAACGAACGCTACCGAAAAAAAAGAACGCTGCCGCAATTTAGCGAAACGAAAAGCCATATCAACAAACAAGAAAGTACTAGTAGCATATTTCAGCATACCTTCCGCCGTTAACAGGGGACTTATACGTTTGGAGAAATGAACGCTACCGCAATTTAGCGAAACGAAAAGCCATATCAACAAACAAGAAAGTACTAGTGGCATATTTCAGCATACCTTCCGCCGTTAACAGGGGACTTATACGTTTGGAGAAATGAACGCTACCGCAATTTAGCGAAACGAAAAGCCATATCAACAAACAAGAAAGTACTAGTAGCATATTTCAGCATACCTTCCGCCGTTAACAGGGGACTTATACGTTTGGAGAAATGAACGCTGCCGCAATTTAGCGAAACGAAAAGCCATATCAACAAACAAGAAAGTACTAGTAGCATATTTCAGCATACCTTCCGCCGTTAACAGGGGACTTATACGTTTGGAGAAATGAACGCTGCCGCAATTTAGCGAAACGAAAAGCCATATCAACAAACAAGAAAGTACTAGTAGCATATTTCAGCATACCTTCCGCCGTTAACAGGGGACTTATACGTTTGGAGAAATGAACGCTGCCGCAATTTAGCGAAACGAAAAGCCATATCAACAAACAAGAAAGTACTAGTAGCATATTTCAGCATACCTTCCGCCGTTAACAGGGGACTTATACGTTTGGAGAAATGAACGCTGCCGCAATTTAGCGAAACGAAAAGCCATATCAACAAACAAGAAAGTACTAGTAGCATATTTCAGCATACCTTCCGCCGTTAACAGGGGACTTATACGTTTGGAAAAATGAACGCTGCCGCAATTTAGCGAAACGAAAAGCCATATCAACAAACAAGAAAGTACTAGTAGCATATTTCAGCATACCTTCCGCCGTTAATAGGGGACTTATACGTTTGGAGAAATGAACGCTGCCGCAATTTAGCGAAACGAAAAGCCATATCAACAAACAAGAAAGTACTAGTGGCATATTTCAGCATACCTTCCGCCGTTAACAGGGGACTTATACGTTTGGAGAAATGAACGCTGCCGAAAAAATGGACGAAACCGAAAAAATGAACGCTGCCGAAAAAATGAACGCAACCGAAAAAATGAACGCTACCGAAAAAATGAACGCAACCGAAAAATGAACGCTACCGAAAAAATGGACGCAACCGAAAAAATGGACGCTGCCGAAAAAATGGACGCTGCCGAAAAAAAAGAACGCTGCCGCAATTTAGCGAAACGAAAAGCCATATCAACAAACAAGAAAGTACTAGTAGCATATTTCAGCATACCTTCCGCCGTTAACAGGGGACTTATACGTTTGGAGAAATGAACGCTGCCGCAATTTAGCGAAACGAAAAGCCATATCAACAAACAAGAAAGTACTAGTAGCATATTCAGCATACCTTCCGCCGTTAACAGGGGACTTATACGTTTGGAAAATGAACGCTGCCGCAATTTAGCGAAACGAAAAGCCATATCAACAAACAAGAAAGTACTAGTAGCATATTTCAGCATACCTTCCGCCGTTAACAGGGGACTTATACGTTTGGAGAAATGAACGCTGCCGCAATTTAGCGAAACGAAAAGCCATATCAACAAACAAGAAAGTACTAGTAGCATATTTCAGCATACCTTCCGCCGTTAACAGGGGACTTATACGTTTGGAGAAATGAACGCTGCCGCAATTTAGCGAAACGAAAAGCCATATCAACAAACAAGAAAGTACTAGTAGCATATTTCAGCATACCTTCCGCCGTTAACAGGGGACTTATACGTTTGGAGAAATGAACGCTGCCGCAATTTAGCGAAACGAAAAGCCATATCAAAAACAAGAAAGTACTAGTAGCATATTTCAGCATACCTTCCGCCGTTAACAGGGGACTTATACGTTTGGAGAAATGAACGCTGCCGCAATTTAGCGAAACGAAAAGCCATATCAACAAACAAGAAAGTACTAGTAGCATATTTCAGCATACCTTCCGCCGTTAACAGGGGACTTATACGTTTGGAGAAATGAACGCTGCCGCAATTTAGCGAAACGAAAAGCCATATCAACAAACAAGAAAGTACTAGTAGCATATTTCAGCATACCTTCCGCCGTTAACAGGGGACTTATACGTTTGGAAAAATGAACGCTGCCGCAATTTAGCGAAACGAAAAGCCATATCAACAAACAAGAAAGTACTAGTAGCATATTTCAGCATACCTTCCGCCGTTAACAGGGGACTTATACGTTTGGGAAATGAACGCTGCCGCAATTTAGCGAAACGAAAAGCCATATCAACAAACAAGAAAGTACTAGTGGCATATTTCAGCATACCTTCCGCCGTTAACAGGGGACTTATACGTTTGGAGAAATGAACGCTGCCGAAAAAATGGACGAACCGAAAAAATGAACGCTGCCGAAAAAAGAACGCAACCGAAAAATGAACGCTACCGAAAAAATGAACGCAACGAAAAATGAACGCTACCGAAAAAATGGACGCAACCGAAAAAATGGACGCTGCCGAAAAAATGGACGCTGCCGAAAAAAAGAACGCTGCCGCAATTTAGCGAAACGAAAAGCCATATCAACAAACAAGAAAGTACTAGTAGCATATTTCAGCATACCTTCCGCCGTTAACAGGGGACTTATACGTTTGGAGAAATGAACGCTGCCGCAATTTAGCGAAACGAAAAGCCATATCAACAAACAAGAAAGTACTAGTAGCATATTTCAGCATACCTTCCGCCGTTAACAGGGGACTTATACGTTTGGAAAAATGAACGCTGCCGCAATTTAGCGAAACGAAAAGCCATATCAACAAACAAGAAAGTACTAGTAGCATATTTCAGCATACCTTCCGCCGTTAACAGGGGACTTATACGTTTGGAGAAATGAACGCTGCCGCAATTTAGCGAAACGAAAAGCCATATCAACAAACAAGAAAGTACTAGTAGCATATTTCAGCATACCTTCCGCCGTTAACAGGGGACTTATACGTTTGGAAAAATGAACGCTGCCGCAATTTAGCGAAACGAAAAGCCATATCAACAAACAAGAAAGTACTAGTAGCATATTTCAGCATACCTTCCGCCGTTAACAGGGGACTTATACGTTTGGAGAAATGAACGCTGCCGCAATTTAGCGAAACGAAAAGCCATATCAACAAACAAGAAAGTACTAGTAGCATATTTCAGCATACCTTCCGCCGTTAACAGGGGACTTATACGTTTGGAGAAATGAACGCTGCCGCAATTTAGCGAAACGAAAAGCCATATCAACAAACAAGAAAGTACTAGTGGCATATTTCAGCATACCTTCCGCCGTTAACAGGGGACTTATACGTTTGGAGAAATGAACGCTGCCGCAATTTAGCGAAACGAAAAGCCATATCAACAAACAAGAAAGTACTAGTAGCATATTTCAGCATACCTTCCGCCGTTAACAGGGGACTTATACGTTTGGAGAAATGAACGCTGCCGCAATTTAGCGAAACGAAAAGCCATATTAACAAACAAGAAAGTACTAGTGGCATATTTCAGCATACCTTCCGCCGTTAACAGGGGACTTATACGTTTGGAGAAATGAACGCTGCCGCAATTTAGCGAAACGAAAAGCCATATCAACAAACAAGAAAGTACTAGTGGCATATTTCAGCATACCTTCCGCCGTTAACAGGGGACCTTAAGTTTAGAGAAATAAATGCTGCCGAAAAATGAACGCTGCCGAAAAAATGAACGCCACCGAAAAAATGAACGCTACTGAAAAAATGAACGCTGCCGAAAAAATGAACGCTACCGAAAAAATGAACGCTACCGAAAAAATGAACGCTGCCGAAAAAATGAACGCTACCGAAAAAATGAACGCTACCGCGGTTAGCAAATCGAAAAGTGATATCAACAAGCAGAAACAGGGGACCTTTCCGACCTTAAGTTGACAATAAGAAAACCATATCATGAAATATGCTTAAATGCACTTATCTTTCCGTTTGCCAAGGGTGATTTGTGTTGATTTATCCACAGGTGCTCATCATGAGGATCTGCTTTAGTTTTTGGCCTTGTCACATTTGAACAGTAATCTGTTAGAACAGAATTATGAAAAACTTTGTCACTACACTACTTTCTATCAATTAGTTAATATGGAAAATATGGTAGCAAAAAATTGTTGCTTAGTTAATGTAATAATAAAATACTTTAAGAGATAAAATACAAGTCGAATATAAAGATAAAAAAATAAAAAATAAAATAATATTTTTGATAGTTGATAATGTTGAATATTCTGTAAGATCAAGTGTTTACTTTATGGATGCATGAAGATGACAATGATAATAAACTAAATTGTGGAAAAAATAAGACAAGTATATGCTTTGTGGCTTAAAAAATGTATGAAGTATTTACTATTTATGATATTAAAATATATATAGACTACACCAGATAGTATTTGGTTTCTATAAAGGCCGGAAACTGTCATATAAAAAGGATTATAGTTTGAGAGTCCAAAAGCAGTTGATCTTGAATAACATAAAATTTTTTTCATCATTTAAATCTATCCTAAATTGATCCAAAATTTGTACTAACTCCAGAAGCCAGGCTTTTCTACCTGAATTTGCACAGGCTAATAATTAGCCGCTAATTAATTAATGCACATTGCAGCTAGATTAACCAACACTTCCATACGTAGCTACATGGTAGGGGGGGGTTGATAAAAATCGGAAGAAAATTTTTTAAATAGTCCTCTCCATACGGCTGATTTACATCAAAGTACTAAGTAATGAACGTGTTTGTGTTCAATATCGAGGTAAGCAATTAGGCCTGTTTATTCGTATAAACGACTCAACTTGATGCTGAACACCACTGTTTAATTTAGGTTTTGGTCGCCGCGACTTAAATTAGCCCCGTTTTTTTTCGGCGGCGATGTATTTTCGCCCGTATAAATGACCCTAATGTTTAGATTGATCAAAAACAACTTTAAATATCTCACTGCGATTAAAATAATGTAATTAACAGCTCTTAATAGTGGTTTAATAGACCCAGGTGTTGATCTATTATCTTTCTCTTTGGACAATGATTGTGATATAGCGTGACAAAATAAAATTACTAACAATGAAAATGTTTAGTTGTAAAGAGACAGAGAAATAAAATTATGCGGCGACATTACATGTCTTTCACTATTTGTTTGAGGCATACCACATTTGGAAATTGGAATCCATTGCTTGTAATAATTACTATGTGGTTTCATCCTTTTGTATGTGCATATAGCACCAAATATAATTTTATTTAAATTTGATAAAATGTTGCAGAAGTGCTTAGCATGTGTTGTTTTGATTTTCAATCAATGGTAACAATTTAATATACTATAGGTACTTTTGTCTACTCTGTTACTTTGTTTAACTTCAGAAAGTTAGAGCCGGAGCCAGTGGTATAAAGAACAGTTATGTATAAGCATAGTTAGGAAAGAAATTAGCTAAAAAGAATTGTGAATTTTGGAGTTCACTTCAATTTAGAAGTTAAGAGTTTTACACAAATGACCACAGGATTGGTCAAATGAAGACAACCAAAGTGTGGACATAATAAAAAATAAACATGTATTTCAGTTTGTATTGAAAACAGCACAGCTATATTTCAACAACACAAATTATTTTATACCCCAAATAAAACAACCTGAACTAAAAGAAGAAAATCTGAATTCTATATAATTCAATAATACTTGAAGGCTGATGACAAACAGTTATTTACCAATGATTGTTTTTAAAATTAAAGTAAAAAACCTCTTAACAAATCCCACTTGAAACTTTTTCTATAGTACAAATTATTTTCTACCCCAGCTAAAACAACAAGAACTAAAGAACAAAATCTGAATTCTATATATAATCCAATTTAATTCCAAGCAGGATACAACTTGAAGCCTGATGACCGACAGTTATCTGCCAAAGGTTAAATTGTTGTTGAAGCAGCCTCTAAACAAATCCCACTTGAAACTAAATTGAATATATGTATATGCACATGCTGCTATTATGCTATTCTGGCAACCAGTAGAGTACATGATAAAATATTTAAGTTTTGAAACTGATCTAGTTAAAAACATTCCAAGTTTAAAACGGTAAAATTCTTTAAATACAACTTAAATTTCGGCTGTAAACTGCAAGCCTCCATCATGCAAATCAGCAATCATGTAAATAAAAACAATTCAACATGATTCATGTTGAATTGTTTTTATAATGCTTGGTGGTCTAGTTGAATTGATTAAGGCTGCTTTTGCACGATCAAATATTCTTTGACAAATTTGTCATCTTGAAGCATGTAATTGAGCGTATTCAAGCACAAAACAATATGGTTGCACATTGAAGCAAATTATAAAATACATTCATAACTCATCTACTTTACATACAACAGGAGAAAAAATTTGTCAAAGGTAATTTTGTTGTGTAAAAGTAACCAAAAGGCAAATAACAGGATGAAATTCAGCATGTTCATTAACAGTGTTTTTGTTAATCACCGATCCTTGTTTGTACAAAATGCTTTTTGCGCATGGCAGCACTCCCCTTGCGATAGTAACTTCCAGTTTTATACATTAACAAACACTTCCATATATAGCTACATAGTATCAATTTTCTTTTTTGTATACTTGCTTTGGAATTTGGATTTTGCATGCCAGCTAGCCCCTGTCCCCTAGATCCGTCCGTTTGACAGTGTTTAGTACTGTTTACACACTGACGAATTGGAAGACGCACTGTCTTGCTTGCCAAAGTTCGTCCAGACGGATGATCCGTCTCTACTATATAAAATCAGGGCATCAGACCACTCTCAATCATTTCTTTCTCGGCTTTACACAAAATATATACAACCACGAAATCAAAGATTATTCATGTTCATGATTTTGTACAATTCCACAAATTATTAGCGGCTTTTTTCGCCAGAAATTCTTTTGTAAGAACTAAGAAGAATTATTTAAAAAAACCAAGCACTATTGTCACTTTACTACTCACTACATGTGGTACATTTATCCATGACATTTACGAAAAATAACAGCGAAGAAAAATACCATTTCATATTTTACTAATAAAGTACGAGAAAAGGAAATGTAATATACATAATAAAGCACCTAACTTTTACCTTTAATGAGGCTAGGTAGAGGTAGTAATGATTTTTGGAACTTCGATGCACTTGGTTTTTCAGTCTTGAATATAGCCTTGACAAGCGATTTTAATATTAATTTTGCTCTCTATAAGCCTAAAACGACAGAAATGAACAGCTATTGTAAAACAATTTCAACCTAAAGCACAACCAGAATATCATATCAAAGCATTTCTTTGCGAATAGCAAAAAACATTTGTAAAAATTGAACGTTGCAAATTTCAATTATTGTAACAAGACGGGCGAAGCGAAAATATGGCCGAACCTGACGAGGTCGAATTCAACACAGAAATTTGGTTAATCACTTTCATGCCATGAATATGGAGTACCTTACAATAAAGCACAAGAACATACCTCTTTTCTTTGCCAGGCTACCCAGGGTTTATGGGGCTAGGTAGAGGAAGTGATGATTTTTGGAACTTCAATGCGCTTGACTTTTTCAGTCTTGAATATAGCTTTGACAAGCGATTTATTAATTTTGCTTGCTATAAGCCTAAAACGACAGAAATGAACAGCTATTGTAAAACAATTTGAACCTAAAGCACAATCAGAATATCATATCCAAGCATTTCTTTGCGAACAGCGAAAAATATTTGTAAAAATTGAACCAAAATTGAACGTTGCAAATTTCAATTATTATAACAAGACGGGCGAAGCGAAAATATGGCCGAACACGAGGTCGAGTTCAACACAGAAATTCAGTTGACCACTTTTATGCCATGAATATGGAGTACCTTACAATAAAGCACAAGAACATACCTCTTTTCCTTGCCAGGCTACCCAGTTTTAAAAACCGAATTTAATGAATTTATTGAACTTTTTACAGCAATTCTTGTTCGCAAACAATAATACCACAACGAAATTTTGAAAATGCCCCGCTCGCGCCGGCCCGCCCTCGTCTCACATCATCAGTCACATGTTAAAAAATATTGTCACATGACAACGAATCACTAATCCTATTGGACAAATTATTATTCTGCTGTGGCTGGTTGTACAAAAGCTGGGATAGCGCTATCCATCGGAAAAGGGTCGGGTTTTTAATCGCTCTGTATTACTAGTAATCTCCACTTCTCTATAATCGCTCTATAATTTTCTAATCAAAATTAAAAAACATAATAAAAGTCTCAAAGAACAAATAAACAAACCCCTGCACCTGGATTATTCTTTTTCGCCATGTCACCATTTTACCGCCTTTTTTGCGGCATGTTGTCGGCAATCGTCAAAGTACGAATCACATTCGGCCAAGCCCGCGATATCCGACCGCTGAACAACAACAAAGTTTTTCATTTGCTACAAAACGTATTTTAAAAATGTTTTCTTTATAAAATACATGAAAAATAGTTTGGTATCCTCCATTTCTTGATATCCCTTCTCTCGAAGACCCTACCAACAATGGTGTTGGCTCATCTTTTTAAAAGGTATGAATCAAGATCAATTCTCTCCTGGCTTGTAGGGTATCAGAGGTAAAATTTTTTCCTAGTTTTTTGAGGTTGAGTTTTTTAGTGGCTTCTGTATACCAAGGGATGAAACTTCTTTCTCTTCTAAGTTAAAATTGATTCCTTCCGAAAGACTAAGTTCCTTAATACCTGTAGCCATTCCTCTCTACGATGGCTTTAGATTAAACTCAATTTTTAAAATCATTTTCTCATGCATTTCAGTCAATGAAACACCAGATCGCTTATGTTGTAACTCCGATCGAGGCAGCTCGTATGTTAGTATATAACGCAGCCCGAAGACAAGAAGCTGGATTGCCTGTGGTAAAGGAGGGAGCAATGGCGAAATTTTACGCATCAGTGGTACGATGGTGGACTAAATTACTGTAGATTGAAATAACTTTCCTCTTTTAACATCGCTCTTGCTATATGTGGTGGCATATCCAGTAGAGAAATATTACAGAGATGTTAAAATAGGTTGGTTTATACCTGTTTCATCCTCGTAAATAATTTCATTCTTCAAGAACCATTATGGCCTTCTCTACTGAACAAAACTATCTTTCATATACATCTTGTCATTACTAGGTGCCATTTACGAGGGCACTTCGAATATTCAGTTGACGACCATCGCGAAATGTATGGTCGAGTATTGAGGCTGAAAGATTAAATTTCTAGAAATATTACACGATTGACTGTAGCCATGAAATCCTATCAAGTAATACTAGCAGAGTAAAGCTGTGGGTAGTTATAACTGTCAGTTATACAGAGCTTACAATGTAGTAAATACCTGCAATCAAGATATTTGTAACATTGATTGCACTGCTGAAGATTGTGTAGATAGACTTACTATGATGTATTTATGAATAAATTAATATACCAATGTACAAAACATAGTCTTGTCTTATGTTTATCTCGGCTCCACCAAATTCAATTTTCCTCTGTAAGCCTTGAAAGATCACCAAACTGTGAGATTCAGGATCCATTTAATTTCAAATTGATCTGAAATGCACACCATCCAAACACAAACCTGTGTGAAAGGTAATCCCACCCTCTCCCAATAAAAAATACAAAACACTTTAAACAGGATCACAACATTTCATTTCTACCGAAACACATATCTAAGCTAGACAAAGATGACAATGATTTAACATGTTCTTTTTTACAGTGTTTCCTGACTGATAAACATATAGCTTTACAATTTCCTCACATTACATTGAGAGACGTTAATTTTGACGCTCAACAGTTCAACCAGAGAATTTCCCTCCACTTTTTTTGACCACCAAACACAAGTTTTGGCATCATTTTTTTTGGTTCATGTTTCCCAAGGTTGGGAATCTCTTGCGTCAAACACCAGCCTGAAACCCGCAGGCTGTATTCAATATCCCATACCGCCTTCCTTGAGGGCCCGTATTGTGAACTCCATTCGGGCCTTGCTGACCATTTCTTGGACCACCTTGATTCTGCATGTGTGGACCTGGAGAAAACGAATGATCACACAATGTTAAACCACAATTCCAATTTGTTAATTAAGGAAGACGATATTACTTAAAGTAGAGTCTCACCTCCTTGTGCATATCCTGGCGCCATATGTCTAGATAACCAGTACAGAAACATAGTAAACATCTTCCAAATTTATTCTTGGGGTTACCCCTTCTTTCATACACGCATAAAAATTGATCTTCTGTTGATGAAAACAGCACTGAACAATGTTATGTGTCACCCTAACAAACATAGTTGTTACAGGCCGCAGCAACCAGTTAGGCTTCAACAAATTGCTGGAACATGATAACAATGTTTGTAGGGTGTTGAGCACAACATTTTCCTGTGCTGTTTTTATCAACCAACCAGGTAGAACCTGTGGGCTTCTTTGCTGTGTTAACTCACCCTGCGTACGGATTCTTCGGACCTGTTCTTTTCCCCAAGAACACTGAAAAGACAAGCGAATGGTTAGCCAAGGATAATCGGGTGAATCTTGACAAACAAAGGAGGTAAATCTAGCTAAATCATTGCTTTCTTTCATTTTGGTTTTTCAACATTGATAGAGTGAACTAGTCTTCAATTTCAAACAGATCGATTTCATTTCAAGGCAGTACAATACCAAGGCAGTAGAACCAAAGAAGCATCCTATGGTAAGATAAGGCTATTATTATACTCCATTTTGCCAACATTCTTGCATACCTTTAAAACGTTTCCATCAAGATTCTCTCCATGCATACTACAAATGGCTTCAGCTGCAGGATAGTGATCATCAAATCTACAAAAAAGGTAAATTAACTCTGTAGTTTCTTTCGACAATAGCTTCAAGATTTTCAGGTGTATTTTGCCAGAGTCATCCAAAGTAACCGACAGGGGCCACAGCCCACAACTCTGGCCACAACAAACACACACATACCGACTTATGTTATAAAAGCGTATCCCTTGTCAGCGAGTACTTGAATAATAATGATATTTCCATACGTTTCAAATACACTCATCAGTCTTTCCACTGAAAAAAACATTGCCAAAGATGGAAAGATTCTCAGTCTAAAATCATCTAAGCGACCACTCACCAGCAATCTGGTCAGGAAGGTTCCCAACTATTGCCTGACAATCTGCACATACCGCTTACCCTGTGGTGGCTGAGGCTTACGAGATGCCCAGTTAGTTCTAATCTGTTTACCATTGAGTGTTTTAATAACAACTATAAATCAGATTTTCTTTGGTCAAAATGGATTGGAGAGAATTGATCATTAAAATCATTGCAAGAAAGGCATACTGTTTCATTACGTACCATTCATTTCTTTAATTTGCATTTTCTGCATTCTATATGCAAGTAAAATGACATAGCTGAAACTTACGTTTTACCAGGATATTTTGGCAACTTAGTACTCAGGGCAATGATCAAGATAGTTGTGGCAGAAAAGGCAATAACCAATCTCTTTTTAAATATATAAACTAATACTACAACATAGGTTCATAATTTCCGTACAACTCTCAAACTCCAGCAAATTGCCCCCAATGAGCATTCCTGTACTTCACAATCATATAAAGTGTAAAATCCTCATGCATTGTGACATACTTACAATTTCATTATAGATGTATGTATGTACGTAGGTATGTATGTAACATTTTACTTCGCCTTCTGCAAAAAATGGTTGATACAAATTGTATAATGGCTATCATAAAGCTAGATTGTTATAAGCAAACAGAAAACCAAATTTTGGGGTTTTTTTAATATTCATTTTTTTATTTATTCCATGGGAGAATTATTTTGAAAACATTTTGTTTTTGAATTAAAGAACGTCTAGCTAAGTTTTGGAAATCATTGCACATTAAAGCAACTATATAAATATGACAATTAACCTTTTTTCTAAATAGAGAAACTAACCTGACCTTCCTTATAGGTTTTCCCACAGGTGGTGGTTTGGGTTGTTCTAGCTGTTAAGGAATAAAGAAATGTAATTTAGTTATTTAAACTGACATTGACATTAAAATTAAAATGAAGACTTGAAAAAACATTCTACTTACCATAATTTTTCTTTTTACCAGCCGCTAAGGAATAAAGAGATGTAATTTAGTTAAACTATCTGACATGCACAGCCAGGCATATTAATTAGCAACCTGTGTGCATCTGGATGGTGAGACCCAAGGCCAATAAATGTATTATGGAATATTCAAAATATCAAGTTTATATATATCCAAGGGGTGGTACAGGGAATTACCTCGGGTACTAAGGGTAGGGGAGCTGAGTTGAGCTTTCTCTTATAATTGAAGAATGTTGTTTAATTACAATATTAAATGTCCCTACCTTCAATTTGCGTTTAACACGGCTTTTCCACTGCCACCTCAGGCACCTCTTGCTCTCTTTATTTAAGAGGCGGCAGTGGAAAACCGCCCCGTCATAGGAGATCTCGTATTTTTCTAATAAGAATAACAGTAAAAATCATTGAATTATCATAGTATATTTCAAAAACATGGAGACAATTAAAACAAAATATTAAAGCACAACATTATTGCTAGAATGTAATAACCACTACAGCAGGTATATTGACTGTGTTTATTACCTTTGTCAAACATTTCTTTTAATGTATTAATGTCAGCCCCCTTTAAGGGGACTGACATTTCGTACTTGGGCATTCTGCAAAAAATGGTTGATACAAATTGTAATGGCCATCATTATAATTTATAAACTAGAATATTAAAAAGAATTTCTTAATATTCCACCAAGGCCAGGCTGGTCAGTATTTTTTCATTTCATGGCAGAATTTAGCAATTGTGGTAATTAACCTTTTTGCGATTTTTCCCGTTTTCCCGAATCTCTGATCTATTATAATTTTTTTAACTGTACAATTGTACAATTCATAAGCGGTTTTTTTTCACCAAAAATTCCTTAGTTAAAAGAATTATTTAGGTCCTTCCTTGCTTCATTTCACTACAAGTGATAAAGTACAGCGAAATACCATTTTAAATATATCTTACTTTTAGTACGAAAATGAGAAATTTGTAAAATAAATTCAACTAAACCACAAACAGAATATCATATCCAAGCATTTCTTCGCGGATAAAAAACGGACAACAAAGAATATTTGTAAAAATTTAACGTTGCAAATTTAGGAAGACGAGCGAAGCGAAAACATGGCCGAACACGAGGCCGAATTAAACACAAAATTTAATCACTTTTATGCCATGAATGTGAAGTACTTTACAATAAACTATAAAACACAAGAACATACCTCTTTTTTCTCTTTTTTGTAAGCGTCAGGATTTAAGTATTAAAATTGAAGTATTGAAAGTATTTTGAAAACGCCTCGCCCAAAACTCGTCAAGTGACTGATTGGCAGTGATTGCAGATTGAGAATGAACTGGTTAGTGGTACCACAGAATACCTTACAGAAGTGGAACTCCTGTACTTTTTTCGTAAGTGTGATTCGTCATGATTCGTCACTTAGCAAGTGCATTTTTTTGAGGTAGTCACCCCCCTGCCATTGTCTAAAATCAAGCCATTTTTAGTATTGGCAGGGGGGTGACTACCTCAAAAAAATGCACTTGCTAAGTGACGAATCACACTTACGAAAAAATAGTATAGAGTTCCACTTCTGGTAGGTATTCTGTGGTGGTACTGGCCTCGCCCAGTGAACTCAAATAAAACTGGAACGCTCACTCTATCACTTTCCCTCATTGATGAGTGAAGCCAAGATGGCGGATCATGAAGCCTTTCTTGTAGGTATGATCCAGGCCTCTGGCGCGGAAACTTCAAAGGAAAAATCAGAATTCCCGACAAAATTTCCGCGTGGAGGCCTGGATCATACCTACAAGAAAGGCTTCATGATCCGCCATCTTGGCTTCAAACTTCCGGCAGAGTGAGCGTTCCAGTTTTATTTCAGTTCACTGGCCTCGCCCGCCAGGCTCGTGTCACATGTTAAAAAGTACTGTCACATGACAACGAATCACTAATCCTATTGGACAAATGTTAAAAAATACTGTCACATGACTACGAATCACTAATCCTATTGGACAAATTATTATTCTGCTGTGGCTGGTTGTACAAACTACAAAAGCTGGAATAGCACCACAGAATACCTTATATTTAGGTATTCTGTGATAGCGCTATCCATCGGATAAGGATCGGTTTCTTAATCGCTCTCTACACAGCAAAAAACGCTCAAGTTGTTCCCGGTTGATGAGAACAGGCCTCAACAATGTTGTGAACAACGTTGAACATGAACAACGTTGTCAACAACATGTTGCAATATTGTTAAGCGTAACAAGATGGAACAACATTGTTGACAACATTGTTCATGGGGTGCAGCAAACATTGTCGAGGCTTGTTCTCATCAACCGGGCACAACTTGAGCGTTTTTTGCCGTGTAGTAATCTCCACTTCTCTATAATCGCTTTATAATTTTCTAATAAAAATTGAAAAACATAATAAAAGTCTCAAAGAACAAATGAACAAATCCCTGCACCTGGATTATTCTTTTTCGCCATGTCACCATTTATCGCTTTCTTTTGCGGCATGTTGTCGGCAATCGTCAAAGTACGAATCACATTCGGCCAAGCCCGCGATATCCGACCGCTGAACAACAACAAAATATTTTCATTTGCTACAAAACGTATTTTAAAAATGTTTTCTTTATAAAATACATACGTTTACAACGAAAAATAGTTGATTTGGTATTCTCCATCTCTTGATATCCCTTCTCTCGAAGACGCTACCAACCATGGTGTTGGCTCATCTTTTTAAAAAGGTAAGAATCAAGATCAGTTCTCTCCCGAATTCCGTGGCTAATATTCTTCCAGCTCCTGGAATATTTGAATACTTCTTGTTCCACCCTTGGAAATTGTTATTTCTATAAGAAGGTGCCTGGAATTCCAAGTGCTTCTAATATAATCCACTGTAATATAATTCATTCGAGATTTGTGTCTGAGAAGGTTTTTAGCATTTTATTCCCAGTTCTGTTTTATCCACCCATTGGATTTCCCACTATAAAATTACCTACACCCCCTTGGAAATTCCATCATAATTTCCGTTATTTACCCTACCCTCTGGATTTCCATCCTGAAAATTAATATACAACCCCTGGAATTTCCAAGGTCCTCAACAGGGGGTGCACGGATATTAAATGCAATATGCCATTCTATGTTAATTGTTCTTTATACTTTAACATATCAAGACCCTTTGCTCAAGGGTGGTACAGGCTGCTGCAAGGGGAGGTTTATGGACTATCCAAGCAAAAACACCCTTTTCAAGGCTAGCTTCAGATGCCTCACTTGATGGTGTAGACATGAGATCCGGACCATTGTCCACACTGTCTGAAGAAGAGGAGATGATGAAAGATACTGGTATTGACTATCAAACATTGATCAATTGTAAGTCTGCATACCATTGAAAACATTCAAACAACCATCAATCTTTTGTGTTTAAAGTTGCAAAGTTTGCTGCAGAACAGATTTCACCACTGGTCGCTGAAATGGATCAAAATGGTGAGATGGATAAAGATCTTATTCAAGCAATGTTTGATCAAGGGGTTAGTTGTTTCCTTGTTGCATTGAACTAAAGATATCCTGGCATTTTCAATACTCCATGCAATTGACAAACTCCCTCTTCTCTCCTTATGCAGCTCATGGGTGTTGAAATAGAAGCAGAATATGGTGGAACTGATTCAACTTTCTTCAGCTCCATTATTGTGATTGAAGAATTAGCAAAGGTTGATCCATCCATCGCTGTTCCATGCGACATTCACAATACTTTGAATAATCGTTTAATTAGACAACATGGGACAGAGGAACAAAAGAATTTGTATCTTCCAATGATGGCCACATCAACGGTGTGTAATTCTGGAATCAGGGGCCGGTTGTATCAAGCCCGTTTAGCTTAAACGGTGGATGGATAAGTCAAAATTAAATAACACTTGAATATTATGATTTAATATTATTAAGAGATAGTTATGATTGGTGAGATAGTTATAATCGACGTTCATTTATTTCAATAGCTTTCATCATTTTGCCTGTCAGAACCTGAGGCAGGTAGTGATGCATTCTCCATGAAAACTGTTGCCGAACAAAAAGGAGATTATTTTGTGATAAATGGTAGCAAATGTTGGATATCAAATTCAGCTGAGGCTGGTCTGTTTTTGCTTTTTGCTAATGCTGCACCAGATAAGGTATGAACTATGCAAGCTATAGATGAAGTCATGATCCTGACTTGATCCTATAGATCCTGGCTTGGCATTGTCTGATCCAGACATAATCTTACAAGATCCCATCTTGGTTTTACCTGACTTCACATATCTCTAAGAAACTCCTGTATATAACCAGCATATAATCAACATGTAGTGGATTTTGTTCAATATTCAACACAATGTTGATTTCTACCATCCATAGGGTTATAGAGGGATCAGCTGCTTCATTGTACCACGTGAAACAGAAGGGTTTGACATTGGTCCAAAAGAGGATAAGGTAGAAGAAAGATTGAAATGTTTTACTGCTTCATTGATGGAATCTCTTCTGAATTCTGCTTTGACACTTTGTTATAGCTTGGTATCAGAGCATCATCTACATGTACATTGAATTTTGACAATGCCAAGGTATAAAAAATACTGCATAATCCAACCAATCCTTATCCTCAAGAGCTCAAATATGTTTCATATTTCAGATTCCAGCTAAGAATTTACTTGGTCAGTTGGGCCAAGGCTACAAGTACAGCATTGAGGTACTAAATGAGGGACGTATTGGTATTGGAGCTCAGGTGTGTAAGCTACCACTCTTGACGAACATGTTGTAAAACCGGTACATCACCATCATATTGTGAATTTGACCAATTTTCTTGTAGATGGTTGGTTTAGCACAAGGCTGTCTTGATCATACATTGCAGTATGTTAGAGAAAGAAAACAGTTTGGGCAAAAAATATGGGATTTCCAGGTGGAGGATGAAGTTATTATTTGAATGCATGGAATTTTTGTTCACAGTTCACCTGATAATGTACTGTAAGAAGCCCTTCAAATTCCTCCTTTTCTTCATCATGGCTGCTTTTTTCCTAGCTTTTTAGTGACTTCTGTATACCAAGGAATGAAACTTCTTTCTCTAAGTTAAAATTGATTCTTTCAGAAAGACTAAGTTCCTTGATACCTGTAGCCATTCCTCTTTAGGATGGCTTTAGATTAAAATAATTTTCTATTGCATTTTAGTCAATGAAACATCAGATTGCTTATGTTGCGACTCAGATCGAGGCAGCTCGTATGTTAGTATATAACGCAGCCCGAAGACAAGAAGCTGGATTGCCTGTGGTAAAGGAGGGAGCAATGGCGAAATTTTACGCATCAGAGGTACAAGGTGGACTAAATTACCGTCGATTGAAATAATTATCCTCTTTTAACATCGCTCTTGCTATATGTGGTGTTAACACGTATACCCTTCTTAGGTTGCTAGTATAACAACGTCCAAATGTATGGAATGGATGGGAGGTGTTGGTTTCACCAAGGCGTATCCAGTAGAGAAATATTACAGAGATGTTAAAATAGGTTGGTTCATACCGGTGTTTCATCCTCGTAAACAATTCCATTCTTCAAGAGCCATTATGGTCTTCTCTACAGAACAAAACTATCTTTCATATATCTCTTGTCATTACTAGGTGCCATTTACGAGGGCACGTCGAATATTCAGTTGACGACCATCGCGAAATGTATGGACGAGGATTGAGGCTGAAAGATTAAATTTCCAGGAATATTATACGATTGACTGTAACCATGAAATGCTGTCGTAATAATAGCAGAGTAAAGCTGTGGGTAGTTATAACTGTCAGTTACAGAGATAACAATGTAGCAAATACCTGTAATTAAGATATTTGTTACATTGATTGCACTGCTGAAGAATGTGTAGATAGATTTACTGTGATGTATTTATGAATGAATGAATATACTGTACATGTACAAAACATAGTCTTGTCTTGTCTCGTGTTTATCTCGGCTCCACCAATTTCAATTTCCCTCCGTAAGCCTTGAAAGATCACCAAACTGTGAGATTCAGGATCCATTTAATTTGATCTGAAATGCGCACCATCCAAACACGAACCTGTGTGAAAGGCAATCCCACCCTCTCCCGATAAAAAATACAAAACACTTTAAACAGGGATCAAGACATTTCATTTCTACCAAACACATATCTAAGCTAGACAAAAAGACGACAATGATTTAACGTGTTCCTTTTTACAGTGTTTCCTGACTGACAAACATATATAGCTTTACAATTCCTCACATTACATTGAGAGACGTTCATGTCGACGCTCAATAGTTCAACCAGAGAATTTCCCTCGGCTTCTTTTTGACCACCAAACACAAGTTTTGGCATCATTTTTTTTTGTTCATGTTTCCCAACGTTGGGAATCCCTTGTGTCAAACACCAGCCTGAAACCCGCAGGCTGTATTTAATATCCCATACCGCCTCCTTGCGGGCCCGTATTGTGTACGCCATTCGGACCTTGCTGACCATTTCCTGGACCACCTTGATTCTGCATGTGTGGACCTGAGGAAAATGAATGATCACACAATGTTAAACCACGATTCCAATTTAAGGAAGACGATGTTTCTTAAAGTAGTAGAGTCTCACCTCCTTGTGGATATCCTGGTGCCATTGGCATCATATGTCTAGATAAACCAATACAGAAACATAGTAAATATCTTCCAAATTTATTCTTGGGGTTACCCCTTGTTTCATAAAAATTGATCTTCGGTTGATGAAAACAGCACTGAACAATGTTATGTGTCACCCTAACAAACATAGTTGTTACAGGTCGCAGCAACCGGTTAGGCTTCAACAAATTGCTGGAACATGATAAAAATGTTCGTAGGGTATAGAGCACGACATTTTTCGGTGCTGTTTTAACAACAAACCGGAAAGAACCTGTGGGCTTCTTTGCCGTGTACACTCACCCTGCGTACGGATTGGGGTAGTAGTAACCAGGCTGTGCTTGCATGTGCATGTACGCTCCTCCCATTTGTTGTTGTGAATGCTGTTGGTGTTGCTGTTGTTGTTGATAGTATCCTCCATAATAGAATGGCTGTTGTTGTTGCTGTTGATAATATTGCTGCATATTTCCTCCACCTTGACCATCCTGTTCTTTCCCCCAGGAACACTGAAAAGACAAGCGAATGGTTAGCCGACGATAATCGGGTGAATCTTGACGAACAAGGGAGGCAAATCTAGCTAAATCATTGCTTTCTTTCATTTTGCTTTTTCAACATCGATAGTGTGAACTAGTCTTCAATTTCAAACAGATTTCATCTCAAGGCAGTACAATACCAAGGCAGTAGAACCAAAGAAGCATCCTATGGTAAGATAAGGCTATTATTATACTCCATTTTACCAACATTCTCGCATACATACCTTTAAAACGTTTCCGTCCAGATTCTCTCCATGCATACCACAAATGGCTTCAGCTGCACGATAGTGATCATCAAATCTACAAAAAAAGGTAAATTAACGCTGTAGTTTTATTCGACAATAGCTTCAGGATTTTCGGGTGTACTTTGCCAAAATCATCGAAAGTAACCGACAGCGGCTACAGAGCAAACTCTGACCACAAACACATACAGACTTACGTTATAAAAGCGTATCCCTTGTCAGCGAGTACTCGGATATTTATGATATTTCCATAAGTTTTAAATACACTCGTCAGTCTTTCCGCTGAAAAACAGATGTTTATAACCATTTAAATTGAAAACTGGCATTACAGATTAATTTTTGATCCAGGCATGGAGGCAATACATCGCCACAGATGGAAAGAGTCTCAGTCTAAAATCATCAAAGCGACGACTCACCTGCGATCTGGTCAGGAAGGTTCCCAACATAAACAGTTTTATTATAAATACTCGTTTTGTTTATAACTTCATTCAGGTCTGGCTTTTTTACTAAAACAGAAGAAAACATCAAAAACAAATGTAATGATGAACTCTGCGGGAGAACACAAGAAGAAAGTGGATAATCGAAGATATCAAAGAAGTCGTGTGTTTAAAGAAAAATTGATGATAAGATAATCATGCCATGCCTGACAATCTGCACATACCGCTACCTTGGGGTGGCTGAGGCTTACGAGATGCCCAGTTGGTTCTAATCTGTTTACCATTGAGTGTTTTACCTGGAAAATAACAACGATAAATCAGGTTTTCTTTGGTCGAAATGGAGAGGATTGATCATTAAAATCATTGCAAGAAAGGGATACTGTTTCATTACGTACCATTCATTTCTTTGATTGCAGATTCTGCATTCTATATGCAAGTGAAATGATATAGCTGAAACCTACGTTTTACCAGGATATTTTGGAAACTTAGGACTCAGGGCAATGATGAAGATAGTTGTGGCAGAAAAGGCAGTAACCAGTCTCTTTTTATATATATGCTAATACTACAACATACGTTCATAATTTTTGTACAATTCTCAGTCTACAGCAAATTGCCCCCAATGAGCAGTCCTGCTCTTCACAATCATATAAAGGGTAAAATCCTCACACATTGTGATATACTTACAATTTTACTATAGAAGGAAACAAAGCCGTATCCTTTTGAAGCACCAGTTCCAACATCAACTACGACTCGTGCATCTCTGTACAGAAAAAAAGAGTCTTACTACGAGGGAAAATAAAACTTTTTGGCAATTCTAGAAGATGAAGGTGCTCAGAACAGAACATAGAGCTTTAAAAGTCAACCATATTTCAGGTCTTCGAACAGTGAAGAACCATGGTTAAACCCCGTGGCTCTTTTTTACATTTTGGCGCAAGTATTTTAAAATATCTCAAATATCTCTCATTTTGTATATCAAGTCATCCTGGTTCTCTTAGATTTGAACTTAAAACGACGCAAAGTGTTAGGCAGCATTGTTTTAATACTACAGCGACGGCTCCGCAAGAACGCAATTGTGCAGAGATTGACCACTTTGGATTGAAAACTCGGGATGTGTTGTTTGCATTTTGAAGTCTCTCATTCATTATAATTATTAATCATTATAACCTAACAACTCGTTCATATCTATTAGGAAAACGTGAAGGGGCGTTTGCAGGCAAAAGTGTGAAAATAAACAACGTAAAAAGCATACGTTGCCAGGAGCTTCATGAGCAGCTGAGGACACAACATCTGTATCAAGGAGGGTACATAGTGTTACATAGGTACAAAATGGTACAAAATAAGCCATAGAGAGATAGTTATAAGTTCTCTAGATAAACTTGATATTTTGATGGAACTAAAAAACTTTTATATTCACCACAGACAACTGATGCCAAAGCAGCGTTAATAAACAAGGATATTGATACTTACCTGGAAGACACATTAATTTATATAAAGCATTAAATATTAATTTCAATAGTTAATGCATATTATATAGGTTAATATTGTGCAAAATCAAACCGTTTAAAGCCAAATTTTTTTATGTGTTTTTAGAATGCAAAGTCATCTACTTTAACCCGTAGTAATTTTGAAGAATAAAAATTTGTATAAAGAAAGAAGAAATAAAAAACCTAAGGCCAAACCTTAGTCTTTATCTAAGAAATCCTTTTTGACTCATGTTGCTCCCTGGCAAGAAAAAGACAGCCGGGATTCTTACGGTGAACCAGGTTATATAAATTATAAAGAAGAAAGGTTTGATAGAAACGTCATTTTAATCAAGTGAAAACATAGAAATATAGAAAACAGCCTTTTCTCAGTACACATCTTGGTTTGGTTGAAGAATGAATGAGAACTGTGATGTGGACTGCCTGGCCTTTGGTTGAAGTGGTAAAAAATCTATAAACACAACTATATAACTATGCTAAGAGCGTTTATTATTAGTTCAAGTAATTGACTATGGAATACTTACGAGATTTTTCCAAATTTCTCAAAAGAGTTCTTGAGGAGATCCGTCGTCATTTCATCAGGTAAATCACCAACAAAGATGTGGAAGTGACCTTAAGATAGGTTTATAAATTGAGTGTGTCTATAAAACACTTAGGAAATTTTCATGTCTAGATATAAACTAGACTAAATGACAGGTGTTTATGGAGGAATGAATGAACTTACTGCTTGTGTCCTTCCTCATTCCGGTGTTGCTTGTTGCCCAATTCACTTTGATATCCTTTCAAGAAAACCAGAGAACATGAGGTAGGCAAGTGATGATTGTGGTTAGCAATCAAAATACATGCGAAGGTTTGCAAGAGACAGAGAGAGAATGAAACCACAAATACTGCGAGGTATCTTCCGGTGTTTACGACAACAAACAGGTGGTTGGAGACAAGTTTTGTAAACAGATGCATCTGCTAATCATGTTTTGACTTAAATCCTTGCTAATTTTTGCCAAGAAAAACAAAGAATAGTTCACTGCACAAAACTTTTTTTGGTTTACCTGTTTACACAGGTGTACACAGACTAACTTTAAGGAAAAGGCTGTCTATTTTAATGTTATCAACACCACACTTCATTTAATTTTGTGAGGTATTACCATTTTATTCAGTTAGCTAGGATATTTCAAAGAAAAATTTGTATTATTGGTGGGCAAACATCTTTTCTCTTAACTTAAAATATTATTAAATACGAACACAATTTTTTCAACACACAAATTTTTAAAGTGAAGTTTTTTACCATTCATTGAGTAATATGCCTAGCAGCCAAATGTTCATGAAAGTGTGTGTTTACACTAGTTAGACCAAAGGAAAACCTTCAAAATTTCAAAAAGCTGGAAAGACCACAACGCTAAAAGGCTCATGTAAATATTGGAGAATAACTTCTTTTATACCGTACTCAATACAAATCCTCACAAAACTTCTATATTTCTTTTGCCATGTTAAAAAAAGGTTGGGAGAGTTTCTTTCTACCTGATCAAAGACACGTCGTCCATTCATGGTTTCCAATGCGGTCTTTGCAGATTCGTGGTCTTCAAATTCCACAAAACAGTATGGGTCGTTTCCAGTGTGCTGCAAGAATAAAAGTTCAGAAGCAGATTGAAAACACTTGGCTTCTTTGGGAAACTGCTCTTGCAATACGAATAGGTCATGTCTGATAATTTCTAGAACATAGAACAGTTCTGCTGTTTGTTTTGTGATAGATTTGCTAACTTTAATATTTTACTCTATAATTAACAATTGTTATATCATTGTGCTCACATTTATTGGGAACTTTGAAAACATTCTTACAGTGGCATTTGTAAACTTGTTTACTGGAATTGAAATTGGGCAACTCCAGTATTTTTCACTATTCTGACTATTTTTTCAAAGTTACTGAATGAAATGAATTATTAATTTATTTTTTCACTGTTTTTTTTTGCTCATTGTGGAGGACTGGTTGTGAAAACAAAAAGAAAGAAACATGAATTAACCGAAGTAATCAAATAAACTTGTGAGACATTTTTCCATTCATTACAAGCTACATGAGAAGGTCAACACACCAGTTAATGCAAACATGCATATATCACATGAAACAAATCACAATCCATGGGGAAAAACCTTAAATCATCTTGAAAAAAATTGTACATACTGAACATAGGACTTTAACAGCAAATATGTAGATAAATAAACAAACACTAATTGATACTTCTCTTTGACATGAAACATCTCATCTCACAAACATCAGGTTAATAATTATTGAACAGTCAAGATCATGATATTTAAAAATTTTCAGAGGCAAAACCCTTACATTTTATACAAATATTTCACCTATTACAGTACAGAGTATGTACTTCCTATCTAGAATAGTTAAAGAGTACGTTTTAAAAGCATTTGACAAAGCAGGAAGGCAAAAATTATGGCTTTCTGCAAGCATGAAATGGCACCCCATGGTCTCAGCATCTTATGAAATTATCGTTTGTCGACTTCGCCATAAAAACTGTAGAAATATTTTCAAATAACTTTTAAACCTACCATTCACGTCAAGTATTGATCCTTGACAGCAAAACAAACGGGAAGTTGTGTGTTAACTTGATGTTTAAGCGAGCAAGCTCACACGAGAAATGTACCGGATCATTTGCACCCGGCCATTCTTATATAGAAAACTATTTGCATTTATGACTTCGCTAAAATAATAATATATTCTCAATGGCCAAAGAAATATACATTTCAATAATGGTATACAATAAAAATGTATTCCCAGTGGCGTTTACTGTTTATATTACTTGAGAAATTAATACAAATTGACTGATTGTATGATCCAAAAGTATAGCTGTCATTGACAGCCAGTCACGCCTGTCGAAATCTTGTATGAAAACATTGTTTTTTCACAGACCTTGACCTAATTTAATTATTTTAAACAGCAAAACTTTTACTTACATCATATATCATTTTACATCTCTCCACTGGGGCTATTTTACCAAACACTTGCTTTAAAAATTCCTCTGTACATCGTCTATCTAAGTTACCAACGTACCTGTGGGAAAGATATTCAATGTCAATACATGCGAACTTTAAGGTCGATTTTACGCAAATATAAAGCCTCCTCTCGACTTACAGAACTTTCGATGCACCTTGATATGACTAAAATTTAAAATAATAAGAAATTTAGAAAAAATTCGACGTAAAAATATGAAAAATATTGCAATAAACTAACCTGCATCATCGTTTCAAAATTCTCGTACTTGAACGCAGAAAAACGCCGGACACGAGTTCTTCCACCGCGCGCGCGTACATTCACGCGTATGCCTGCTGACAAGGATGGACGTGCGAACGCTGGCTCATTGAATGCCAAATGACGCGTAATTTATGCAAATTAGGAACGATAATCACGATGATTAATTATCGATAATTAGCGTAACAACAGCTAAAAACAGATGAGACAGAAATATCCACAAATGTTGGTGTTTGCAACAAAATAAATTTAAAATTTCCTTAAGTCTATCATATCATTTTGTAGAATTAACTATGTACAATATAATTAATTGAAAAATTAATTAAGATATTTGACAAAAAAGTTTTCACCACGAAAGTATTTAAAAAGTTTAGTGTGTGTACTAGTCTTCAATTTTTTCACATAAGACTTCAACGCCCGCTATTCAATGCCAAATCCTTCTGAATTTGAAATTGCAATCGTTAGTTTTGTCTTTAGTTGTTGTCTTGTTTTGTAGGGCGGCAGACAAAGCTGATTAAAACATGTGTGCGCCATTGGCAACCTAAATGTGAAATGAAATAAAACGATAGCATTAGTTTGTGTATTTGTTTCCGATTTATGCACTTCTGCTTACATTTCATCGCTGACATTCGCCATTCGTGTTATCTTGAACTCCATTTCGGCCATGCCCCCGACAGGTATGCGATCACTCCCCGTGCAGAAACGTAACAGTTTCCGCTTCAAGGAATTAGAAAACTTTCCTACGATTTCCCAGAAATATCTAAAATACACAGATGAACGAATTAAGCCGGGAAATGTCTGGACTTGAAAAATCAACACAACTACAAAACGTGCAACAAAAGGATCAATATGATACCTGATGGTTGCATCCCTTTTTGAGAAACCATCATAAATTGTGACTTTTGATAAAGCTCTCATATCAAAATCTGGATTGCCACAGACCAGCATCTCTATCTCTTCAGGACGCAACAACTGAAATAAAGTAGGAGAAGAGAATTAATGATGATCCAAGCCTAGCTTAGGTGTTCCAACAGCGAAGGTTTTTCGACGAAGGAGAGATCTCAAGAGTAACAGTGACGAGAACTTACAATCAGAGCATTTGACGCACAGACGCTGTGGAATCCGCGATAGAATGCATCAAACTGACGATAGATTGATTTATTGAGAATGTAATCAACATATAGATCAACATACTCTAAAACGAGGATTGAAGAAACAGAGGAGTTAGAGGACGATCGAATTCGCATTCAACACGGATCACAGTCACCATTTTTCGTTAGGTTTTCCTACCTTCTCTATTTTCATTTGTCACCGGAATCAAATGACCATTTTCTTTCAAATTTTCAGTGACAACAGAACCAAAGACAGTGCTGGACACCTGAAAAAGTTGTTTATACTGTATTAAATACATGCATGCATGCACCTAGCTTTGTGTTTAGTTGTATTTTAACTAGGACGCTGCATGTAGGACACTGCATTGTACCTGAAAGGTTTGACACATGTCATCTTCAACATCTCCCTCGTAGTTTAAAAGTCCTTGCAAGCCTTTAGCCAGATCCTGTGAGTGTTTGGGTAGCATGTTAGCAAATAAAATGCACATAAAGCCTAATAAATGCGATTAATTCACATTCTACGGTGGGACAATAAAGGAATTGCTTACTGGAACAACTTCTTTCAAGTCAGTGAGATCTAAGTTTGCCACACCGACTGTTGCATTTTTATCACCCGGAACCACTGCGGGACTCAACAGTTTCTTATAACAACAGAGAGGAAACCGTATATCCAATATCGTACTATTGTAAACAGCTAAACCCATTAGCTAACCCACAGTTAAGGACAATCACGGAAGCATTAAAATCGATTAAGGGATTTCATACTATATCACTCAGGAAGGAAGAGTGATAAATATTGCATTTTATGATCACTTTAAGCGCAAAAGATACAACTCCAACAAGATTGAATTCAGCGAGATTATCAACAGCCATATTTGTGAACCAATAACAGGATGATTTCTCGTCGTAACGAAACATCCCTTGAAAAAAAATAGAAAATAAATTATGAATCATGAATATAATATTTCATTTCAGCTGTCGAACAACGTCAGCTTCATCTAGACACGACGTCGTAAAAGAAACTTCGCAGGTTTAACAGGTATATTTTTATAGTTTAAGATTCGTCTGATTACGATATCATGCATGCATGAAAAATGATTTACGTGCAGACAACCAGAAACTTCCATCTTCCGCTTACAAACGGAAGTGGCATTTGATCTTCCTCGCAGGAGTTGATGAACTCACCGAATTCTGGACGAAAGACTTTTCGTATGAGCAACATAAACCACTCCTTCGTCAATCCACCCATGTCAACACCAGGTTCACCCACAAACGTCACTTTTAGTTTCTTTTTTAAATCATTCCTTTTGTGGGATATCTAAAAGAATAATAATCGCCACCTCAACGATCTATATTCCTTTTTTCTTCAAAGTTTTTATTGATGATTTAGCTACTTAATTAAATGTGAACCTCGTTCAAACCTCGCCATAAACGTTACCTCGTTCAATGAATCTGAAATTAAGTGATCCCGTCTGACGCGAAGATTAAAAAACAACATACTAACGGCAGGTGGCTCCCGTTTCTTGACACCAAGAAGTAGACTTTTCTGAAATAAAAAATAGATCTTCGCAACTGACTTCTCATCGATGCATGACTCTACACTAACATTGAATGTAGTTCGTCGCTTTTCCTGAGTTCTTCTTCGGCTATATCGCTACTATTTCATCTGCATGATGTGACCTATTCTTGCGTGTATCTGCATTTGAATATTATTATTTTCTGAATCATGCTGGCAGTGTAGGACTATGATACTCACTCGTGCAATTTCGATCATTTGCGCTTCCGAATCTTTCTGAAGAATATAACGCTTCGCGCTGAGGGTCAATAAAAACGGATATTGACAAAATGTAAAAGTCCTGCAATAAAAAATATGCACGCTGTTGAGTGGATGAAAACTTAACTCGAAAAGGAGCTACGATAATGTGCTCAGACATCGGCTCCAAGGACTTTTAAGTTGTTCTTCATTTTCAGTTGGATTGGAAAATCCAGTTTTACGAACTCACCCAGTTCTATACTGCCAATTATCGTACTCTTTTGTAAGGTTCATATTGTCCAAAATATCAATATACATGTATGCGTAAGATACGATTGGTTTGTTGTTTAACCAGTTCGATGCGTCTAAAAAAGCGCGAAAGAAATATCTTAATTTGGTATGTCGTCTAATATTTTTCTGTACAAATCTCCTCCCAATCGCAGATTAAGATCAACATAGGATCTATTTACTTAAAAGAGCCAACACTTTGACAGCAGATGGGACCCAGAAACGCATTTTCTCCGGAGAGGCCGGTAAATCATCCTCTAAATTCGGAAACAATGCGACGCTGACGAACTGCAAGGTGGAATAAAGGATATATTTTACTTATCCTATAATAATAGTAAAGATTATGATTTATAGAAAGACACGATTCAGTCAACGAGTTGTATTACCTTTTAAGTTTCATCAAAAAATTGACGAAGTTAACTGGTATACGTACCTCTCTCAGACGTCTTATCATTCCTTTGAAACATGAAATTGGTAGCCTATGGGAAAATGGATACTTCATGGTAAGAGGTGAGATTCTAGACTAACTAATTTCCAAAATATGAACTTCAACTATAATATGAGTTGGAAAACCCACCAGGTCATCCAGGACACCAACGTGTGATGTTGATTGTCGGAAAGTGAACTAACTTGGCGTAACAAGTGGGAAAATATCACATAGGAAGAGCAGCTATCAAACTGAGGATTCTAAAAAATTTAACGATCAACATCACGTGAAACTTTCAGGTTTTAAAAAAAAGAATTTTCAATCTGCATCAGTTATTTCTGGGGATTTTCACCATTGATACTCATGTGGCTTTAGATTGACTTAGATGAACTCAATGAATATCGCAAACCTGTAGCAGAATAAGATAGCCAGGAAGATCTTCATCGTTTTGCTTCCTAAACAAAATAAAGCAAGCAAGAATTAGGATGGGAACTCTTTATACGCTATATATTGTATTGAATCCGCGGAACATTACACTCTTTTTCTCACTGAAGTGAGTGAACCTTCTATACAACCGATCTAGCACGCGCAATTTCGGTTTTGTAGCTCATTTGAAAGACTCGCTGTTTATCATATCATCTTTGAACAAAGATCTGAAGATCTCATTTATACATTGCTTTACAACCTACTTGACGTACTTTTTAATATTACTCAGCAAGCAGTTGACGATTGACTTCAAAACTGTCTTCCTGTGATCGCTAGGCTGTTAAATATAACAGAAAGAAAGTTCAGCGTGATTGAAGGAAAAATACGGGGCCTTATTCATCGGCGCTTTCTGTATAATAAACGCAGGTATAAGAGTACTAACCAAAGCCATTAGGATATCAAAGGTGACGTTCACAAAGATGGAATTAATTCCACATTTTGGGTCAAATTCGCTGGCCTGAACAAAGCAAAATGTGAGTTATAAAAATGACGAGTAAGCACAACTAATTTAGTCCAGCGAAACAAATTAGGTTGTCTACATTTGCAGGCATTTCTTTTGTAAACATTTACCTTGTAAATTTCTGATAAATTTCGCAATGAGCTGAATGCTGCTTTGATGAAGTCAACGATTGTTGAATAATCTTTAGCTGCTTTTGCTTTTTTGAATTCTTTCCTGTTTTTAAAGACAAAATGCTGGACATTTACTATATACATCAGTGAAAATCATCAACCCATCTTGCATTCAAAACATCTTTCACATACACACAAGAAACGTCTTCTCGTATCCTTACTTTAAATCAAATGTATTCGTAAACATTTTAATGTTCTTCATTTCATTTTCAGTCGGGTTTTCTGATTCTCCACAAGCGAGTTGTGTCGATGTTTCTTTCGAGTCACTGCCCCCATTTTCATTTTCCTTGTCCTCAATCTTGTCAGTACTTTGACTGTTTGTGGCGGAAGAACTCGTATCATCTGTGGTCGTATCCAGTTTCTCAGGATTCCATACTTCAGAGCCACTGCTACTACTGCTACTGCTAACTGGAGTACCACTTCTCGAATCAATCGTAATACCGCGTAAGTTCGTTTCCACTGATATGAATTTTCGTTTAGCAGAGTCACGCAAGGCCCGAGCTCTCGTCCTCAAAGGTTCTGGGGGGGTATTCTGCGCGTCTCGGCGAGGCGGGGGTTGTGGTGACAGCGGGGGGAGGCTTGGTGTAGAGCTCGGAGAATTGTCGGGGGTTTGGCGTGTGGACCTCTCGCTTGAGAAGAACTTTCGGATGCTATTAAAAGATCGCTTTCCCCGACCATTATTTTTCGATCGAGATTCTTCTTTAGCCTAAATATCGTTTAATAAAACAAATGAGTTGTATTTGACGGTGGCTTCTTCATTGCAACCGCAGATGTTCGTCAACATTATATATCTTAGGTTGACAGCCGTGATAGAAACAAGAAAATTAAAACCAGGTCTTTATTTGCAGGTATCGGGTAATTTGTTCGGTTAAAAGAAAGGAATAAAATATCACAGCATATAGTTCTAAACAAGGTCGAACCTTTCGCAAATTTCAAAATGCTTGGTCTTGGGAAAAGAAACGAACCTGTGCCTGTAGAACAAACGTACGTGGCCGGCGAGGCAATTTCATAGCCAAATATAGAACGTTTTTTAGTGTAGGCGATAAAGCTAGTGCGGGGTTTTTCTCTGAAGTTGAACGTCACGTTCACGATATACGAACTTATTCTTGTTATAGATACCGCCGTCAACATCATAACGAACGTTTGATTATCCCAGGATAATCCTAAGCCGATAAAACCACAAATACTGTAATAAAACTTGTAACTGCTTCTTTATGTGCTCACTCAAAACACCCAGTCTCCCAAACTCCAAACTTCTAAAAATTCTAAAATCTATTTTCATATTTAAGCTATAAATTTTTTATTGCATTACAATTTATTCTATTTGTCTCAACAAACTTCTCCATACATATTTATTTCAAATTTCTTGGCAAGGAAACCCCTTGTAAAAGACATTATATTATATATACTTTTAATTCGTGTATAAGAGGATTGGGAGATGGATGCCTGGCCTGATGGGCAGTAAACTCTGCGTTTAAATAGCGGTGTATATAAATGACATTAATTAGAGTTTTCACCATATTATAATCTAACTGCTCAAATATATTCAATAAATTGGATAAAGTTCTCGCAAGGAATCGCATAATCAAGGAAAGGAAACGTACTATTCTTAAGTGAACCACACGGCTGTCTTGAGGGATTGTCATAAGAAATTATTTTTGAAGAGAAAATTTAGCAAGGTTAACTGCATTATATGTTATATGCAAATTACATGATAAAGTCAAAACCACTAACAAGAATCTTTGTTTTCAAAGCGACGAATAACGGATATATATGAAACAGGAACGCCGAAGAAAGCTTATTTCAAACAAGCTTGTCAATAATGCTTAACGATTTCACACAGGGAAAAAGACGGCGATTTACCAAATACTTAGAATAGGAAATTAAGATTCTGGTAAGCCGTATCAACTTACCGACACTGTAACCGTTATTTCTTCGTCATCGGAAGGATTGAAGACAGGGTTTCTAATGGAAGGTAAAAAGCGTCCTCTGCCTCTATCGTCGCTGTCACTCGCTTGCGATGCTTTTGCCATTGGTCAGCTCATCGGCAAAACGACGGACGAGAACTACGAACTCCATATAAGTTTTTGGAGGGTTTTGGGAGACATGAGTTCTCGCCGTCTTGAAATACGCAGCTGCGTGTATGTGTTACCAAGGGAGACTGCTTATTCTCATGTTAGCAGGTGTATTTCACTTTCGTAAACAATTTGAATGCAGACGAGTGACGTTGTTGTGTTGAAAGATTAATTTTCATGTAATTGTAAGCGCACGTCGCGGTCACATATTAAGCGAGTATTTTAAGGGTTTCAAATAGAATGAGTGGAAAAAATATAATTACAGGAACATCTTCAGCATACACTTTTTAAGTTTTCAAGCGCAAGAAATTAACACCTGCTGCTGCTGGTCGATCATTAAGACCGCGCGCGAATTTGCCTGGCTTGGAAATCTTTCCCAGAATTTTGTGTTTAGCTACTATATAATCGAATTAATGATCCTATATTTCTGGGGTTTTCACTAAACTAAAATGAAGTGGCTCTTTTAAAAACTTCAATAAATTTATTTGATCATGAAGTTTACAGCAATATGAAATACAGTCTTTAATATCAGACTTTAATGATCTCTATATATTATAGGCACTAGAGGACTGTCCCTAAATTGAACCCTGCTTCTAACTAGAAGTCCTGATCTAGTTGATTATTCTGACACAGTCATGTCAGCTAACAAATCTATATATATATATATATATATATATATATATATATATATATATATATATATATATATATATATATCAAAATTTAGAAAGGTTGTTATAGCAAATCAAGAGTGCACATATAAGAGTGCACATATAAGAGTGTATATATATATATATATATATATTAATATATATATATATATATATATGCTGAAATTAATGTTGTTTAAATTACTTCATGGTCATTTCTCTTCCTTTTTTTCTCGTTTTTCCCTGCCCATGACATAAAACTCATCATTTGGGCGGCAATTCATCAAGTGTGCCATTCTATTTGATAAGGCAAAGAGGGCAGCGACTGATCCAATATCCCATGCATCATCTCGACTCAATCCATTCTTCTCCAATTCTTCAAAATCACTTTCTTGAACAGGTTCAGCTCTGCCCATCTTCATTGCAAACTTCAAAATTGCTTTCTCCCTCTGAGATATGTCTGCACATTCCCAGTTTGTTGCAACTTGGTCGGCGATCAGGGGTTGCTTTGAGAAAATCCTATGCAAAGCCCCATGCGCGACAACACAGTATGTACAATTATTTGCACCACTGGTAGCAACTATGATGAGTTCTTTCTCGGCTTTTGTAAGACCGCTTTCATTTGTCATCACCACGTCATAGCAGTGAAGAAATGCTCGGAGTTCTTCTGGTCTGTGAGCCAGTGCTTTGAACACATTTGGGACAAAATTAGCCTAAAATGAGGTATTTAACTATATGGTCTGAACTGCTAATTTAAGTGATGATCATTGTGCACCCAACCAATATGGACCATAAAAGCTACAGATGCCTCAAATACATCACTCCATTGCTGGGTACATAGGGGAATTGCCTACCCCTTCATCACAGCAATTCACCCTAAACACTCCTCCCAAATATCATGGTCAATGCCCCCTCTATATGAATTTAATATAAAACCATAACAGTATCCCTTAATTATATACATATTAAGATAGTACGTAACCTCATTGATCTATGCCTTAACCATCAAGATTCCCCGATAAAATACCTTTTCTTCAACTTCATTCATGACTTGTTGCAAATCCTCTGGCAAGCTGGATCGCTCGGGCACAGGAAAACGACTAATCGTTGACATAGATTCACTCCTCAATACCAATTTAGATGCTGGAATTGAAGTACCAGTGCAAACATCTATCGCAGAACGCATACAGATTAAACTAGCCATTCTTTTTACATCAAACATTCTCCGTAATGACGACATTTTCACGATAAATTCACTTAAATCACAGAGGAAGAATATATGAAATATGATCTTTTATATACCATAGCAGCTATAGTGAGCTCAGGCAGCCCGGTCAATGCGGTGACGTCATACTATCTTATGTGTATAAAATTATCCAAAAATTATCCTAAGGCTGGCAACTCTCTGACAAAAAATATATAATGCATAAAACGACTTAAAAAAGGCATAAAAAGTGTATTTTTATCGAAATTTTGTTAGATAGACATTCTCTATTTATTGCAAAATCTGCCATTTCTATCAACTGGCGTAAAAAATCACGCGATTATTTTTGCTGGATATTTGCGTCGGACGGACGGACGCCATCTTGAATGCTGTAATCACCTTGGTAATCCAAAGTGCCAAAGCCAAAGCGTAGCTTTTCTTTTCTTTATATGCCGTCATTACGTGGTTAATAAAATGGTAAGAAACTACCCAAGATTATCATTTATTTGGCTTTTTTTCCTCGATACTTTTAACGCTAGATACTTTTTCTTAAAAGGGGCTGCTTGCTTTACTAAAGAAATTAAAAAGTGCCCCGTCGAAAGAGCTACGCTTATTACTTCTTGGCCTTGACAATGCTGGAAAAACAACGTTGCTCAAACACTTAGCGTCCGAAGATTATACAAATGTTACCCCTACACAGGTATTTAAATATAAGACGACATTTTCTAGAAGAACAGAGTTCTAGTTTTGGTTATAATTAGTTCACTGCGTAATTGCCAGGGTTTCAACATCAAAACAGTTCAAGCGAAAGGCCTACGTTTGAATATCTGGGACATAGGAGGTCGGTGTTTTAAATATCATTTGTTTTTTTAACTCCATGCTGCCTAAGATGGCATTCGGTTTATAAATTAGACGTTTTTCAAACGAGATTCTGGCTAAAATCGGTTAATTATTAACTTTAGGACAGAAAAGCATTCGTGCTTATTGGAACAACTACTATGAGAACACAGATGTCTTGGTATTGTTTTATTACTTGTTATTCACCATTATTTATTCCACCTTATTGTCTTGCTCTTGAACTACTACTATACATGGGTAGTTCCACAGTTGTTTTTTCCTCCAATCACCTGTAACCAATGTTACACTATTCTGGCTATTGTCAACTTTCTTTGATTTTGAAAGAAAATGAAATGGCTGTTATTGGGAAAAAACTTCTTGGGAATAAATAGGAATTGTGTTAAGATATGAAATATACTATAATTCATAAAATATGTGTACATTAAGTGATATATTTTATTTCTTCCTCAATATACCTCTCTATAAATTTAGATCTATGTGATTGACAGCACTGACAAAAAACGGATGGAGGAAACTGGTTTTGTGAGTAGAAATTTAGAATGAACCATCAAAAAATGTCAGAACTCTTACAAAACCATAGTTGTAGTATAATATTTCAAAAGCCTGTTCTTTTAGGAACTGACAGAATTATTAGAAGAAGAGAAGCTAGCTGGGGTTCCTGTATTGATATTTGCCAATAAACAAGATTTATTGAATGCTTTAACTCAAGCTGAGGTGAGGCTAACGTAAATTATGGTCAACTACCATTACTACTTGTAATCAACTTGACAATACCTATTCTTGCTTGTAAATAATTATTAAAAGCCAAAAGCCATAACAATTATTGATAACATTGTGTGATAACCTTTAAAGTTGTTTTTTTTACAGATTGCAGATAAGTTACAACTTGCCTCACTTGTTCGAGATAGGACATGGCATATTCAAGCATGTTCTGCCCTGACTGGTGAAGGGGTGGAGGTATGCATGTCTAAACGTGCAAACGTTTTTTTTAAAGAATGATGTTTCAGAAATATATAATCTTTGTATTACAGAGTGGCTTAGAGTTTGTATCAAAAACATTGAAAGATACAAAGAAATGATAGGAAATCTTTCCAAATTCACCTGAATCAGTATGGCAACCTCAAACACAAAAGTGCAAATTTTGGAAACTGGCCATGTGCAATTGCAAACCTAAACTAGCTGGAAGACAAACCTTTAATATATTACATTATTTTAACGTGGAAATCCTAGGCATCAGTGTTGTGTAAGAATAACCTAATATTGAATAAGAATTTAATTTAAAAATGCAGCTGCACAGATTACTAAACATGTTTTGTAATTCCTGTGCTTTTGGGCAGAACAATAATACGATTCACTTCAATCTGTCCATTGATATATGAACAAGCTAAAACCCTACATACCTCAATGCCAGGTTTATAAATTCTTTTCAGAATCACTTCTCATTCCCATTTTGTTGTGAGTCACTTGACAGTTATCACAAGACACATCTCTGTTATATTGTAAATCCAAATTTTGTATTGAGAATCTCCTGTACACATACAGTTTTGCTATTGTCTATTCACATTTCCCATACCAATTATATTATATTACTCTCACAACCTGGCTTTTTTGACTGTGTCCTGCACTTAATATCCTCAAGCCAATTGCAAACTTGCAAGAGTGAGCTGGTACCTTAACCCTTTCCCTTTGAATGATTGATTGTTCATTGGGGTCAAGATGGAACATAATTTTTCAGTAGATATTGTCAATCACAGCTTGAACAAAATCTGATGTGCTTGCGCTTCCTCCCATATCCATTGGTAAACACTAAAATGTTCCGTAATATATTTCTCTATGTAAAAATCATCATTACTTGAACCTCAAAATTGCTGCATAAGAAATTAAAAAGAATTCATATTACCTTTCCAGTGCTTATCGTTCTCTCAACCGCAGAGCGTACAGTTCTTGCATGAAGCTTTAGGCTGAGAAAAAATCACAAATGTGTAACAGCAAGCAATAATTAGTACTTGGATTTTACACAAATCAATATATTCAGACTTACTTGATGTGATCTAACATGTTTGCTCCTGAGAGCAACATAGCTGTAGGATTTGCCACATTCCTTCCAGCCATTTGAGCATATGTATGCCTTGCACCCTAGAAAAAGCAACATGTAGTTGACTAGTATAACAAAAACGACATTCAAACCATGCGCACAATCAAAAGTTCTTTAGATACTAACCGGTTCAAAAATGGCAAACTGACTACCAATACTCTTCCCAGGAACAACACCAGCACCACCAACAAGACCAGCAGCAACATTACCAATAATATTCCCATACAAATTAGGAACAACAAGAACATCAAACTGTTGAGGGTTGGAAACCATCTAAAAGTAAATACATGTAAATACAAATCTTTTTCCTCAAACTCATTTTGTAAGCTAGTTCAATATCAAACTGAAATAACATACCTGCATGCAGGCATTGTCAACGATCATTCCTTGAAATTGGATTTTTGGGTATAGTTTTGAGACCTCTTCACATGTATTCAAGAACAAGCCATCTGCCATTTTCCTGCAAAGAATCACAATTCATCAACTATTTAAAACTAATGATACCATCGCAGACAAACACTGATGCAGCATACATACATGATATTTGCTTTATGTATTGCTGTGACCTTTTTTCTTCCTTGCATTGTGGCATAGTCAAATGCAAACTTTGCAATTCTTTCCGATTTTTTTCTTGTGATTACTTTAATCATTTCCACAACACCTGGGACAGTCTGAAATCACCATGATTTTTTTATCATATTAAGGTCTTCTTCGATAAAATATGGATAATGTTTAACTCTACCACCTCATGTTCCAAACTTGTATATTCTCCTTCAGTCTGTTCTCTGACAATTATCACATCAATGTTGTTGTGCCTGAACCATAAACAACAAGACAAGTTGATAAATGTTATATTAAATTTTAAAAAATATTAGACAGTTCTAACCTTGTTTTAAAGCCAGGAAATGACTTGCAATGGACAACATTGGCAAATAAATCCAAGTCAATTCTAAAACAGAAATGAACAATCATATTCTTGTAATTTCTTACACAACCAAAATCGTTCAAGAGTGCTATTTTTTATCTTACTTCATTTTCTGATTGAGAGACAAGATATCCTGGCTGTTGATGCTTGTTGGAGTCGTCAGTGCACCTGTCATATCAAAGAGATTTAATATATTCTCCTCAGAAAAATAGTAGACCAAATTCGAAGGAAAATACATGTTGAATGGGGAGGGAAATGGAAGGTCTTTGAACGCAAGATTATTACTCAGACCTTTGATGGCAACTCCTGTTTTCTTCAGAGAGTTTGCTACATCTAACAAGGAATGTTTGCTTCCATAACTTCCAATATCGCTTGAACATTCAAAGAGAAAATAGAGTGCAAATGAACAAAGAATACGCAAATTCCGATGCATCATATGTTCAACGCATGACCAACCTGACAGCAATTTCATTCCACTCAACAGGAACACCAGCGGCAGTGAACACCATCTTCACCGACTCGCAAAGCTCTGGTCCAACACCATCGCCTGGGATCATAGTTAGGGTGTGTTTACCTCCAATGCGATTGGATGGCTAAATTATTATGAAATTAGGTGCTTAGGAAAATGACAAAGTTGCTGTTGTTTGCAGAATAATATTTGTTTCAAAGTTGTAACAAGAAAGGCAAAATAAATCATCTCTGTAAATCAAACCTGTTCTGTCTCATCTTTGGATGAAAAATGTCTTTGAATTGTGTGACTTGACAATATTTTCCCATGATTCTGTAAAGCAATTCACACGATTGAAAACAGCATAACTATCAACTGAATAATGATTTTCTACTACGGTTAATTTGCTACAAATAAACCCTAGAGGCTGTTTTGTTAAAAATATCACGCTAGGATTACACTTGGCGACTCTAAGGCTAGTAAGCGGTGGAGAATATGGTGTTTACCTTCACGGAAAATTGATTGAGAAAGCTGTTCTTCAGGCAATGAAATACACGTCCATTAAGGCACGGAGATAGCAGCAATCCTCTGGCACTGCAGGACGCCATCTTGTCTGAGAGAATGTTATATTGTGACGCATATGATTATCTGCGGTTTACCGCTGCAAGATAATGCGCTGGCACACGCTCTCCCTACTAAACAAGTTATGAAGTCATCGCAATTTTCCGCCGGTCGCGACCATGGTCGTATATTTGCCATTTTCCGGCGGTCTCGACCATGGTCGTAAATTTGCCATTTTCCGGCGAATATATGACCATGGTCGTATATTTGCCATTTTCCGGCGAATATATGACCATGGTCGTATATTTGCCATTTTCCGGCGAATATGACCATGGTCGTTCAATGAGTCGGAAGTGTTCCATAATCAATGATCAAACACCATACTGCCTTTCTTTGTCAATCGAAAATACACCAAAATTCCTTTCGGAAGTGCCCCATGAACCATGATAAATAATATCTGCATCGTTCCAAAGAAGTTCAAATTGCTTGCCCTGGAAAAATGTTTGCATCTTCCCTATAACTCACAATTAAAAATACTCCAAAATTCCAGTCGGAAGTGTTCCATAATCAATAATCAAACACCGTACTTTCTTTCTTTGTCAATCGAAAATACACCAAAATTCCTTTCGGAAGTGCCCCATGAACCATGACGAATAACATCTGCATCGTTCCAATAAATATGGCGAATATGACCATGGTCGTGTTTGCCATTTTCCGGCGAATATATGACCATGGTCGTATATATGCCTTTTTCCGGCGAATAAGACCATGGTCGTATTTGCCATTTTCCGGCGAATTCGATCATGGTCGTATTTGCCATTATCCGGCGAATTCGACCATGGTCGTATTTGCCATTTTTCAGCGAATATGACCATGGTCGTATTCGCCGGAAAACGACTAATTCGACCATGGTCGTATTCGACGGAAAACGACTAATTCGACCATGGTCGTATCGGCCGTAAAATGACGAATACGACTATGGTCGTATTGGCCGTAAAATGACGAATACGACCATGGTCGTATCATGGTCGTATTCGCCGGAAAACGACTAATTCGACCATTGTCGTATTCGACGGAAAACGACTAATTCGACCATGGTCGTATCGGCCGTAAAATGACGAATACGACCATGGTCGTATCATGGTCGTATTGGCCGTAAAATGACGAATACGACCATGGTCGTATTGGCCGTAAAATGACGAATACGATCATGGTCGTATCATGGTCGTATTGGCCGTAAAATGACGAATACGACCATGGTCGTATTGGCCGTAAAATGACGAATACGACCATGGTCGTATCATGGTCGTATTGGCCGTAAAGTGACGAATACGACCATGATCGTATCATGGTCGTATTTGCCATTTTCCGGCGAACTCGATGATGGTCGAATACGTCGTTTTACAGTTTTTTATTTCACTCAATCGTTTCTTTGCAGTCTTTGAAATGAAATAATAATCAGGCTATGAATGAAAAACTTTCCTTTATTAAGCAATAGCTTTCAGCAGAGAATATGTACAAATATTTTGTCTCTTTTAATTATGTATTATTTTGCATTATCAAATCGTCGCTTGCATGATTTAATACCAAATAGCTATGGTGACAGGACTGAACCAAGTTCTCCAGATTCATGTAGTTCCTATAATAAAACAAAACTCACATTAGATTGCATGAATACCCTTGATGATCCAGGGCTAAAAAATTACCTTTACTATATCCAGTCCACCAATAAGTTCGCCATTCACATAAATTTGAGGAAATGTTGGCCAGTTTGAGAATTTTTTTATACCCTGGCGTACCTGAAATACCAAGCATGCATGATATGTTGCATCTACCATAAAAAATAGGGAATATTATAAAAATTAAAGATACCTCTTCATCTTTCAAAATATCAAAAGTTGAGAACTTTACACTGGGAGGATAAAAAATTAACAAATTACGTGAACACTAAAGAAGAGAGGCCAAGATGCTAAACACAGGTTTTAAAAATTACGAAGATATATTTAGAATTTGTCAAGCATTTACATAACTGTAGAAGTTAGAATTAATTTTCAAACCTTGGATAACTGTCAAGGAGCTGACATAACTGTCTACTAAAGCCACACTTTGGTTCCTGCAAAAATATTATAAATTAGTGAAGATTAAAGATTAACAGATTTAAAATCAAATTAAAAGTCTGAAAGCATGTAATATTTTGTCACATAAACCTGTTGAGACCCCTTCATGACTACAAGTACTGGTGCAGAATTGACAAGTTTATGTAACCTTGATAATAAAAGATTGAAATATATTATGCATTTGTGAAAAGGAATAAAATTAATCTCATGGCAGAATTAACATTTACCTTGAGTTCAGATCCTCAACTTTTGCCTCTGCCAACATGGTCTCTAGTTCACTTGATTCGGACAACTCCTACAACAAAATTTTAGCATTTTAATTGATTAGCAGTCTAACTCTGTTAGATTAAGATCCATCATTAGAATGATTGAAATGACAAGGCATCTTGCCTTGTATTCCCAGGTAAAAGCAATGATTACAATAATTTTCTACCTTGAGGATATCAAGGCCCCCAACTAATTCTCCATTAACATAAAACTGAGGAAATGTTGGCCAGTTTGAGTATGTCTTTAGACCTGAATGAAAGAGGTTTCTTGATCAGGATTTTAGTAAGCTAATACATAGAATATATCAGATTAGCATTTGACTGGACAGATTTGGCCATTTACCTTGTCTAACTTCGTCATCTGTTAAAATATCAAATGTACCAAACTTATATCCAGACAGAATTTGCAAAACTTGTTTACTAAATCCTAATAAAATAACATTAAAACCTTAGGCCTATGTCCAACACAGAAAATGAAGCATAATAACTTTAAAGCACAACACAAAACTTACCACATCGAGGTTGTTCTGGTGTTCCTTTCATAAACAACATATTTGGTGAGCTATTTATCAACCTCTTCAGTTTCTGATCAAGACTCTATAAATAATTTAATTTAAAAATAAGTATCAGAAAAAGATTATGGTAAGATTGCCCCAGGCCTTACACTATGATCTGAGCTGTGTTTCTTGATTCATATCATATGCAGTTGATGGTCTACTCTACTTTACAGTCAGTCACTTACTTCTTGCTTGACTTCTGTGCTGGTTGTAGGTGGGACAAATGTACTAGCATGATGAGTTACTTTCTTTGTTAGTTCAGGAGCATTTGCTCCCTCCAATCTGTCAATCTCTTTTTCATTCTAGACAAAGTTAAACTCTTTAACTTTAGGTACTTTTTGTTAATTATAGAATACCAGTCCAATAGGGTGAGCTAGGTTGGAGGATGAATTGTGTGTAACCAACAACAACAAGTAACCATTAACCAACCTTGAAAAAGAGTATTGTTGGTACAGATGCTATCTTGAACTTCTCTGATAGACTGACAAGATCTTCTGCCTCAATCTATTAATTTATAATGTTAGCTAAGGGGCAATATAACGTGCGGCAAATGTGGTTAAATGCATATCATTAATATGTAATTCTAATTTCTAAGAACACACCAGGGTGCATTCTGAGAAAAGAAAACCAAAATATACATACTTGCAGAAATTTAACATGCACATTATCTTTAACGAGTTCACCGATAACGTCTGCCATTTGTTTGCAATGAGGAGCCCAGGTTGCGGCAAAATGTACCACGACAAGACCACTTTTAAAATAAAAAAACACAATACAAGGTATACAAGTTCCTGTTGCTACGAAACGATTTGAATACACCTTGTTATGTTACATATCATATGAATCACAATGTGAAAAGTATTATTCAAATGATCCTTACTTGCCAAAATCCTTCAAAATTTGTCCGAACTCGTCAACTGACTTCACTTCGACCGCCATCTTGCTTTCTTCCTCTAACAACACGGAAACGTCATGTAAAATCACTCATGTGTACCTTCGAACATCCACATTCTTCAGACACAGAATAATGCATGAGAGTCTAGAGGTGCCACTCAGCGCTGAGTAGACTGACCAGAAAGAAGGCGGGTAAGCCACCCATTACAGAGCGTTCATTGGCCAAAAAATATCACCAACCGACTGGGAAGATTGCAGAACAGATGCACAAACCGACATGCGCGACTACACCCACGTTAAAGGTTCCGGATTCGGAACTCCCTTCTAATCATCTCATTATCCTATGCCGTCTGTGGACACAGGGATTTACTACCGCTAAGAAAGAAGTTTAAAACAGTGTTCTTGTGGTATCAGTACTCACAGTACACACACTTCAATATGAAAGCTATTTTGATTATATTGGAATTATTCAACCTTCATATGGCTATCGTATACACTGCCAATGGTCTCACAAAATTGACAAGAAGAGCGACAGAAGACGGCAAACTCTTTGTCCTTGCAAAGCGGAATGGCGCCAGTTGTGTGTCCGTAGACAGCGTCGAGCCTTGTCCTTTGACTTGGAAACTCAGTTCATACGCATCGAAGATGTACCGCCACCGAGCTGAAAATGTTAACAACACGTTATATATGCTGACGACGATTCTATCAGCTAGCGATGATTGTAGAGATGCTATGAAAAAGACATTGTGCGCTGTAGCCACTCCCAAATGCTTGGCAGATGGCAGTCAGGAATACGAAGATACCGCCAGTGTCTGCCCGAAGATTTACTCAACATGTCCAGCAACCCTCGGCGAGATCTACAAGAAACAGAAGTTCTGTGATAAGGTACCCTCAGGACGCATAGCAAAGCCAACGTGCGTCGCTCCTCCAGAAATGAAAGGACACTGCCCACAACCAAAGTACAAGGTTAGTAACGGCTACTTTCTGTTTCATTGTGAACACACAGGAATGCGTTTTATTTCCGCCAGCTAATTGTAATTATTGTATCGTAAGCACCAGAAGCACCACTGCACCAGGGATGCATTCTACTCTGACAAGCGAAACTTTCCTTTGTTTCAAAGACATACAGCCGCCATTTTAACGTGTTAAAAATTACAAAAATCTAGCGTGAAAGAAATTGCTAGTAGATCTAAAAGGTCTGATTTCAACCGTTGCAATTTTCATCTATCTTTAATACATCTGAACGTGCACGTAAAAAAACTCTGGGGATGTTTTCGACAGTTTTTTCAAACGTATAATTAATCAGTCGGATGAGGTGTCCTTGTGTGCTGAATGTATTCGCATCGTTTAATAATTAATGTCTTTTGTTTTAAATGTGTTCGGCACGTGGTTTGCCGTCGTATTTTTGCATCGCTGTTTGCATTGCAAAGATAAGGCGCGTTCTACCAAATAAGTTTGGCCTTTGGTGTGCTGACGCATTGTGACAATTCCTACTTTTACAGATGCCAAGTGATGCCTTAATCGTTTACAAAATGACAACTGCAGATGACGGTTGGGTGGAAAGTCTTCCAAAAGACAACGTCCCTTCTGAATGTATATCTCGAATGACCAGGTTACAGTGTATGCCAGTTTACTGCTCTGAAGATGAAAAATATCTGCTTACGGAGTTCACAAAGGACGAGTGCAATGCTCTCGTAAATACATGGTAAGCGACGTGACCGGTCCACCACCATGATCGCTTTTATCACCTCATCTTTAACATCAATCCTTACTCTAATGTAAAATCTTTGATTACAGTTTTAAGCAATCTCCCGTAGAGCTGAAAATGAAAGCGGCATGCAACTTTTACCCAGGTGGTCCTAATGTAACCAAAGCAGCGGTACCACCCACAGTTAGATCGGCAGCCATTAATGGCCTTCAACGACTTGATTGTGTTGCGATGGTATTTACTGTTGGATTGACCATCGCTCTGAAATGGTTGCAGTAATGGCGACCACACCGAACACGATTGTCAAGGAACTTTACTGTAACGACTTTAGTTGGACTTGTACGCGAAGCTGCCAACAATAAGCTAAATACTAGATCTTAAATCACCAGTTATAATGTCTTTGTTTTTATTCGATTTACCATCCAATAAAAATAGATTCAAATAAATTACACTCTAGTTCTATTTACACACGTGTAATTTTCCTAAGGAGTCCTGAGGCTTTACGTTTTGAATGCTATAAATGATGCAATAATTTTGTCGCCTAAGGGGCTGTTTACATGAGCCCGGTTACCCGAGATTCAACGAAGCGTGAGAGGACTTTGAGGTATTGAAATAAGTCTTTATGACACCAAACAAGCACATGCTATTGTTGTGGTGATTATACGACTGCCAGCAGGCATTATAATACGCGTGTTTTTGACACACTTTGTGTCCTTGTAAAAGGCGAATGTGTCCTTGTAAATGGAAAAGTGTGTAGTTAAAAATCATGCCTCATGGACAAAAATGTCTAATATAATTTTAATTTGACTATTTAAAATAATTATTGTTTCTATTATAAAGAATATAAATACGCTTGGATAGTTGGGAATTTAAAATTATATGATCTAGAGGCCGAGACGCGTTTCCGCCCGACAGCCCCTGAACATATTCGACAGCCACTGAACACATTATTGAACCTAAAGACAATGTGTGTCCTTGTAAAAATTCCGTATTATAATGCCTGACTGCCAGGATCATGTTATCTGCTCAGTTCAATACCTTAAAATCATCTCACGCTTCGTTGAATCTCGGGTGACCGGGCTCATGTAAACAGCCCCTAAAGCATGGATAAATTTGATTGAGGAATTCACCCAATTCGGGCAAAGGCGTGAGGGTAGTGTAACTAGGCTCTGGTATAAATCAGTTAAATAACTCGATTCATAACCGCGAGTTTCTGCATATTTCACAGATAATCGATCTGTTTTGCTCGCGTTTATACACAGACAACAGAGTGAACAGACACAAACACACAGACAAAACTATACTGGCAATTGTCCAGTTGAAATAGTTCATGCCCGAATGTCCATACTGAACTATGTTGCAACCACAACCAGAGTTACATTGAAATTACACGTATGTAAATACACAAGCGCCTTCTCGCTGCTGCATGTGACAACAATATATGTCGCAGAGCAACGTAGGTAAACATCAACTAACAATACCGTAACAGAAAGCTACACGGTATAACAGTTCGTGGCCCTACACCATCCAGAGACTGTATGTAAGTCTGTAAAAGCTATATATCATGTTTCTGGCAAATACAGCATGGAAGTTATTGCAAGAACGTCTTCAACACCAAGAGGCAAGAGTTCGATTCAAAGTATCCATACGCGAGGTGTCTTTCCACAAATAACGCCAGGGCCCAAAGCAGGCGCCTCCCCAACCATAATATCTAAGCGGTTAAATCATCTGCTTCAAATTTCTCATCGTCGTAGATCTCCGCTCTGATCGTTTTCCCGCCAAACCAGCGTCCGTTCAGATTCGACACGGCCACCTCCACTTCTGTGAAATATCGGGTTAAGTATAAATTAAGCTAAGAATACTGCTGAAACCTTTGTTTAGTTCAAAGACAGACAACAATACTGGTATTATAGTGTTTCTGAAGAACAACGGATGATAAGGATTGTCCAAGTTCTAATTCTAAATATGATCATGATTAAGTTCAAACCTGGAACGGTTGAGAATTTGACAAAGATCTTTACAATCACAGGCGCGTCATCCTCCTCTCCTTGTTTCTCTTGATAGATAACGACACGAGTGACGTTGCCAAATTTGCTACATTCATCTGTGACCTCGTTCTCAAGTTCTTCATCTACGTCATCAATCTCAACCATGTTACGTAAAACCATGATCGTAGACTAAACACGGAGAGACGTCACGTTAGTGAAGCAGGCAGACAGTTTGGGGGGGAAGAATACTAGGAAATAGGGGGGGGAGAATACTAGGAAATAGGGGGGGAGGAATCCTAGGAAATAGGGGGGGAAGAATACTAGGAAATAGGGGGGGGAGAATACTAGGAAATAGGGGGGGGAGGAATCCTAGGAAATAGGGGGGGAAGAATACTAGGAAATAGGGGGGGAGGATCCTAGGAAATAGGGGGAGAAGCTCATAGGATGTTGCTGGTGGGATGGCTAGATACACTACGCAACGCAGAAATACAACCTGACGGGATAATTACCTCGGATTTTCTGGATAGTTTTTGCATCACCATATATCTCGCATTGCTCCCAGATATTGACATATGTTCCTCATGACTAAGATTGCTGTACTCTGACAATTTCTTCTGCGCCTCCTCATCATTCTTCGCGTTCTTCACCTCTATCATGGACTGTACAGGAGCCGTTGCGACCACAGCCGGGGTGGCGACCGGCACCGCGATCGTCGGCAACGCCTGCGCCTGAACGGTTAACTGTGGTTGAACAACCGCTGCCACAGGTGCGACGGCTTGCTCGTGGACTGCTTGCGTTGTCGTGTGCACCATCGGAGCGGTGCCGTACACGGTCGCCATGCCGGAGATAGGCGTAACACCTACGAAGATATCGTGTATTTAGATTCGTTGGAAGGAGTAAAGCTGGAAAGCTACCGTCTCCGTCAGACAACCTAAAGTTCTTGGGATGAGATGGTTAGGATGGATAAAACGTTTTACAAAATCTTCAACCTACAGTTCAAAGCATAGTAAATTTTCACTTACTTGTGAGCAAACCTTGAGCAGGAGCTCCCATGACTGCTGTCGACGCGGTCGGAATTACCCCTGCGAGACTGGAAACGACTGTTGGCAACGCGACCAGGCCTGCACCTGACACAACAGTCGTCATCACGGAGCTGGCGTTGATCGACATCGACGCAACCGAGACACCAGGTATGCCAGTGTCTTGAGCCTGGATCTTGGCGGACACAGCAGCTGCAGCCATAGCCGCGGCGGCCGGAAGTGTGTTAGGGGCGACAGACGAATGCGAGGGTGGGGTGATCGCACGGCCAACCCTTAGAAACTGTCCACCGAGATCAAAAAGATTCATCGACGCAATTGCATCGTTTGCAGACTGTTGAACTTCATACTCGATAAAACCAAAACCCTTGTGTTTTCCCGTTATCGTGTCAGGAGATAGAGTACACGTTTTCACCTTCCCAAACGCTTCAAACACGCTACAAAATCAATACAAATCATGCTATTAGAAACTTTACCTTTACCTGAGGAATCTCTAGTGTATTTGACGTTTAATTCCGCTTAGGAAAGTGCGTCAAGGAATGCATTTTCGGCGTGACTTTTGTACTAAAACATTCAGATACCTTTTGATATCATCTTCTCCCAAGTCCGGATGGATGGAAGCGACGTAAATCCTTGCGTATTGCTGAGCTTCTCTTTCAAACTGTTCTATCAAAGGCTGAGCCTGAGGTACATTGCTTGGTCTTCCAACCTGATATCATAAAATACGGTCTCAACACTCAACACCACGACAATAAGAGGACCGCCACAGTTTGTTGCCAGTTAGAACAACGTGAAAGAAGTACTTAACTAACCTTGATATTTCTGCCACCCAGTAAGACACCATTCATTTGTTCCAATGCTAACTGCGCTGCTTCAGGCAACTCAAACTCAACAAAGGCAAATCCCTGAAAGCAACCAAAACAATGTTGACTAGAGACCACTCTTAATTAGAAACAATTATTCCTAATTAGAACATCACTAATTACCATAGATTTAGAACATAGCTAATTTGAAAATTGGAACATTGTTAAATAGAATACTGTTAATCAAAGCAATAAGAACACATTTATTCTCCACTAATACCAACCTTGTGTTTCATTGTGAGCGGATCCCAAGATAAATCAATCTTCTTGATAGGTCCAAAAGGAATGAATGCTTGCTTGATGTGCTCTTCTCGAAGTTCAAAATTGATGCTACCAACATAAACTCTGAAGGGGTAAAATTTAGAATCCTTTTGTTATCTAGCTTTTGAGAGCTTTGCCATGCATGTCAGAAAGATTCCAATTTTCCTGAATAACTAAATTCTAACATTTATAAAATGACAAAAGGGATAGTTTACTTGGTTCTTAACCTGCACATTAAGGCCAAAGCTCGTTGTCTCTGGGTTATAGAGCTTATGGAACCCATTTGTTGTTGTTGAAGCAACTGCTGTTTTAAGAGAACCTGCAATACAAATTAATATCTATCAGAGAGATGAAAGACCATACAAAATCTCACATATACTGGGAGGGAAGTTGTAGGATATCCCAGTCGTCACAGCCCCACGCCCAACATCACTGGTTTGGCAAACTCAACTAAGAACTGACCTGCTGCACAGACTGTTCCATGGCAAATCTCTTTGCCTTCTTTAATCGCTCCTCTTGATCCAGTGTCAAGCCAGGCAACGCTCTCTTGCACTCCGACCATCTTGGTTGAATGCCACCAACACCTGGTCCTACTGTTAACTCACCCCTAGATCCATCATCCTCTGGGGGCTCTCCTTCGCCTGCAACTGTGCCATTTGCTACACAAGTTGTACACAAACAGCTTCAGAAATTTGCACCAAGTCGATTACCAGTGGCAATGTTTAAATCACATGACATTCAGATACAGTAAAATGCACATCAAATTTTTGAGACACGAAATAAAGCTCTCCTAAATTGGTATCGCACTGTATAGCAACAAGTCATAGCTTAAACACTACCAAAAGTAATTTCCACATATATGAACAACATATACCATATTTCAACAAATGAAAATCTATTTTTCAATTTTACCATTTCCCATTTGCAGCACACCAGTGCTGTGACAAATTATTAGGAGTAAACTAGAAAGTGTTAGGTAGTAAGATTACCAAAATGTTGCTCTTCTGGATTAAATTTTGCCTGTCAGGTGCAAGACCTGGTTTAGACAAGACAAAAAAAAGACAGAAAAAAGAAACACTGGGTTAAATATCGCTTGAGAAATCACAGTTTGAAAGGCTATCATTCATGGTACGGTCATCAATACACATGATTACAGACAGAGGACATTTAGTTTTAAGAGGAAATTAGGGGGGGAAATGCATGCGAAAATTCTAAAATCTGCACTTCAGAATCATAACCTCAATTCGACCTCTTGACTGAAAAATATAAAGAAGAAAAATGAATGCATTTTAACGAAATTATCCATTATTTGAGTTGATAAGACAATTAAGACTTCGTCTGGATAAAATTTACCGGTAATCATTGGCAAGATGTCACAAATTAAGATGTTTATGTCACAAATTAAGATTGTAAATACCTAAATCACCAGGTCCTATATCAAAACCTCGTTTTCTCCTTCTTTCCCTCTTCCTTTCTTGACTGATTTCACCATTCTCTGTTGGTTCCTGGAAATTCATATTTCCCATAATCAGTTCTCTGCATTTGAAACTGGCAGTACTTTAAACGAAGTGTTTAATAGCTGAATTTGCCCAGTGTTGATCAAAGGGAGTCTTTCCCATGTTAATCTCAAGTCAAGAGTTAACTTTTAAACAGACTCTTGCAATGAAAGTAAGTATTGTCTATGTAGTGGGAAAATTGAAATATAGGTACAATTTAGTGGGAAATTGCGAAGTGGAGGCATTTTGATACATTGTCAATAGATGAATTGAATCAAATACAAAGAATCTATTCAAAATCCTGACAATACAAAGAAATAACACAGAAAATATTCTTTTAATTTCTCTCACTACTGAAAAATGAAAAATGTATATTATTTCAAAATCAAAATGAAGACGGTGCACTATATATCAGCGAACAAGATGCATTAAAAGTACATAATTCATACTCACAATTCTAGAAATACGATTAGGTCAAGAATTACGTTGAAAAACGTGCCCAATATTGTTTAGACCACGCCAGATTATACAATCTTATACAAGTATAAAGTGGTATTGTAAACACAAAATATTTTTGATTTTTTAGCCCAAAAATATTAACATAAAACCAAGGGTTTCTGTGTTGTGTTTGCCCGCAAAATACGACTATACTTTCACTAGAACTCCCAACTACAAGAAAATATGGAAATTACACTTTTTAACACAAATACCTTAATTTCTGTGACCATTGGTTGCACTTCAATATTTTCAAGAACCTCAGTCGCCATTTTGAACTGAAGTAACAACGATCACGTTCTAGATCACGTGTTTGAATCATGTGCTCACACGCGTGGGAACCTCGCACATGCAACAGATAGCACACAATACTGGCAAAACTTTCAACATTTTTTATTGTTTTAAAGTCTCTTTCTTATATTTTCTTTCTTTTGAAAAAAGTATCGTATATAACAATTGCGAGTGTTATTTTAGTTTCCTGAAAAGAGTAAGGCGTGCACCAATTCGTAAATAAGTAAATAATATGTAAATAAATACTAAATATTATAATAATCATTGACGTCATACTCACGCACGACTAAACAAACACGTCGCTCATTCGTCGTCAATAACAAGCCTTCTGATTGGCCGAGAACGCGACACGCCACAACAATGTGAGTATATATGGGAAATTAGGGGAAAGAAATGTAGACGTAAGAAGTTCCCTTTTTTCTTCATAAAAATCATCTTAAATTTGAAGTTCAAAGCAGCGATATGCCTGCTAAAGACTTAGAAGTTGGATCGAGGCTTCCGTTTGTGATATCATTGGAATTATTTCTTACCTTAGAAACGGGGATTTTTGATCACTGGTTTTATTATGGCCGATTTATTCAGCTTGTCGGTAAGAATGTCTCTTGTTTCCGATGTATAATCTTGAGTGTTTTCCGCAATTTTTAACATCCTTTCATCATCAATGTGTTGTTAAAATTGTTTGATTTCAGCAAGGGTATATCGTGTGCTTGTATTATATTTAAAAAGATATGTAAAATTTAAATAATTATGTAACACTTTGTTTGCTAAAATTTAGATCATTTAAATGATACATTTTATTTTTATTCTGCAGGAATCATCGTTAGCTTGTGGTGTTTTTTGCTCCATCAAGAACAACTGACAGCAGTTTATCATTATACTTTATTTGCAATTGATATGACTTTTATCTTGTACCTGAATCTCTACAACACGATTGACTTTGGGGGTTCGTTGCTAACTCGTAAAACAGGATTGTCTTTTTGGGATGTTTTCATAGTGTTTCCCATCGTGGTCGGTGCTTGGGTATTTTATATCGCTTCAGTTATCCTGTACTCAAGAGGACTTCACACAAAGAAGCCAATTGCGTTCGCATTCTCAACAGCTCCGATTTTTGTCCACCGAATCTGTTTTCAGAAGGAAGTCAATCATCCGCCAATGTGGATTTGTATATTTGTGTTTATATCAGCATATTTGACATTACAAGCCTTGTATATCTCTGCAAAGAACATTACAAAATACATGTGGGGTTCATTTAATGTTGCAAAATGGCTGTGCCGTATGTATGGTTGGTCTGTGCTGTTCATCTTTCATTGGCGGCGCCTGTACATCGCTGATACACTCACAGTGTTCTGGACAATTGTGTTCAGCATCAATCTTCTTATACAGCACGTCTGGGCAATGCAACCAATGTCACTGTCAGCACTGATATTCAGTTCAGTTGCATACAGTTGCACATCATTATTGACAATGCTAAGCATGTGTTTTATCATTCACAAGATTTGTAACTTTATTTTGATGCACGTCAAGAACTACTATCACGAAGACCATATACTGTTGGAGGAATCAAACTCATCACCTTCTGGTGTTCGGGAAGCTTGTGGATTTTTCTTCCTTGCCTTGTACACTGGAGTTGCATCGTGTGAACCAAGCCGCAAAATGTACCTTTTGGAGTTGATATTTTATCTTCTCCTTGCAGCATTAATAAGATCAATGTTTGAAGTTGTAGAACCTGTTCTACTTGCCCTAAGCTCACTGCAGTCCGCTGGGATCCGAAGGCATTTACGTGTGTTAGGATTAATATTTTTCCTTCTTATATCAGCGTTTTACCTTGCTTTTAGCGTGTACGAGATGAAAGATAGGATACCATTTATGACGCCAAATATTATAACCATTGCTCAGATTGTTGCTGCATTGGTTCTCTACAGTCTATACTGCTATGACGCTCAACATGAAGGAGTTTGGGAGGAACTTGATGATTATGTGTACTATGTTAATGGCGGATGCCGGGTCTTCGAGTTCAGCGTAATTGCAGCAGTTCTCTGCTATCGCTTGTGTGACTTTACTTTGGAGTGGACCCTGTTCCAAATTGCTATGGCGCTCCTCCATGTGTATGTCAACATTTGGCAGCCAGCCAGGGAAGGATGGCAGAGTCTTCGTAAACGACATCAAGTTTATCAGAAGTTGAATGCTTTGCCGGAAGCAAGCCAAAAAGAGATTGATTCCCTTGAGGATGTTTGTCCAATTTGTCTGGAGGAACTCAAGACTGCAAGAGTTACGCCTTGCAACCACTTTTTCCACAATCTTTGTCTTCGGAAGTGGCTCAAAGTGCAGAACAAATGCCCAATGTGTCATGCAAATATTTTGACTCTTTAGGAACTCTAATCTCCAAGAACATGCACGATGCACCAATGTAAAAATAATTCTATTTTCTTTTTTCTTCAGGAAACGCATGCTATTTTGATGCAATTTTCTCAGCTTTTATGCTTTCAAAGAAGCTATGAAAATTTTCAAAGACGACTTAGAATATTTGAAAAATGAATTGTTACGCACTGAAAGTTGCAACAATATAGTAATGTTCGCTTCCGAAATACCAACACTAGAAATCCTTATCGTTTATTGTTCTCATATACTCACTTCGCTATAGACTAAAGATTCAAGAATTTTGTGAAATTGAACTCTATTGAATCTGTACAATGTGATGTGACTTATGTGAGCCTAATTGATTTTCTGTAATAAAGTTCATATTATCGTTACTCGTTTTAGCACAGTGTCGCTGGGGCTATCTTAAAATAGGAATGGGAACAACAAAAATTTGACTGAACACCATTGAAAATGTTTTTTAGGAACCATAAAATTTCTGCACGATAGAAATAAATAAACTACTTTAAAAATAATGACAGGGATATGTAGGGTTATCACTGATCCTCAATGCCACTGGTAAAATGATAGATCCTTACATTCAGAAGGAAAACTTACGTTAGTCAAGTAAACGCTTTTCAAAAGCAGATAAATTCAATTCTAGGAGGAAATTTTGAGAGCAATGACAACCCACTGAACTGTCAGTTTATAGAACTATAACGCTGTCAGTTTATGAAGAACGCAACCAGCTCTGTAGCGAAACATCAATCTTCAATAATCAGGAACTCCATCATCGCAATTTTTTTAATCTCATTGTTTTTTTGCGTTCAAATTAGCTTTAACATCTCAGATTTCTCCTTTTTCTCAAGCTCGAGATTCCTGTTGACACCAAACCATGGTTACTGCACGGGACAATCTCAAAAGGCTCAGTGGCACTGTCATATTTAAAGGGGTGACGAAAAACATGCTTTTGTACACTAGCTTTGAACACGATAAACGTCTCGTTTCTGGGAGGACAAACGTTATACTACACAGGATTTGAACTAAGTTAAAATCGTGCTTTTACATCAGGATTAAGACCATCCTAACATCTTAAACGTCACTGGTACTGGTGCCAATATTTATGCATGAAATTTGGCATACGACAAGCGGACAAGGTTATCATTTCTGGCGGTGCAGCGCAGCTGAATCTGGGTTTTAAATGACTACGAAAGTACACTGCCTACTTCTATTCTCGTTTACGTTCTGATCTAACAAAAGAATCACGACTTAGTGGGAAAAACACCAGCTTATTCATCCTCTTTACATTCCCAGAATTCCAAGAGTGTCTGAACGAGCTTGAAGACATAATAATTACAGGGTTGTACAGGTCAAAGGCTATAGATATAAATACAAATATTCTTATGAAAATTTGATGACAAGCTAAGAAGAAACATAGTAATATTCATGCGAAGCAACAATGGATTGAATGAACAATACAAGCTTGATTGCTGATTGTGTTCAGGTTGAGACATTGACCCGTTGACCCCGCAATAGAAGTGGGCTGTATTGACCATTAGGACGCACAGTCAGGATCACACATTACCTAATATTAAATTACTTGCAGTTGCTACGAGTTACCTGCAGCAAACTTCTGCTACCATTGACGCGATCCGGTACATCGATTCACGCAACTGGAGCTGAACTAAAGGATAACAAGCGAGATTTACAGTTAATTATGCCCAATATTCGTAGCAATACAACAGTTTCTTAAAGATTTAGGCCAAGAATTTACTCGTCTTTTAGGGCGAGCTACATACGACCTGAAGATATTTGATTGAACACAAACAAATCAAGATGGTGAGCCTTGAAGATGACATGAAGCAAAAGGACAAAGAGGCAGCCGTGTTAAAGGCAAATCACAAATACGAAATGTTGTTAAATATTGAATTGGAACGTGTGGATAAGTGCAAACGCGCGTACGAGAGCTCCCATAATTTTGAAGTCGCTGTCATGAAAAACAGGCAAAACCGAATCTTGGAAAAACAACACGAGCTTAACTCGTTAAGAGCACAAAAAAGCGGCACGAAATTTGAAATCGTGGACCTGCATCATGGTCTAAGTAAATCTCCGCCAAACGCGCATGCTAATTGGCATGATTTATCGAGCAATAATGAGATGAATAACCCATGTTGGTTTGATGACTTTGATCATCAGTTGAAGATTTCTGATAGAACAAATATTTCATCCAAATTGCAACCAAAGTGTGGCTCGCACCACAGACTGCGACCAAATGACCAATCTGATTTACAAAGCGTGCAATATGCTAATCATGGCGTTCAATGTGCTACTCATGCCGCGCCGTATGCTAATGTACAAACACGTACTGGAACAAACAATGTAGTAATTTCCAAAGGGAGTAATCTACCTGAAAGTGCACACATTGGTAGGAATCGCACGTCCTCTGTCGAAGATGCAATTAAACTGCCTGTTTTACCAACCGTTGTTTCTTCAAGTAAAACTCCTTCAACTACGGATTGTTCTTCGCCGTCAGTCGCGGTGCAACGTCACACGCACTTTCCGGAAAACCTTACCGAGACACAAGTGGTATATTCACGTGATGTCCACGCGCCTTCGAGAATTTCTTCCGAAGTAAATGATACAAATTTTAAGAAGAAGTCTCATCGCAAGTCCACAGGTAAAGATCAGTTATCACCATTTGATGAATACCGTCTTCGGTTGCAAGAGAGCGAGCAACGCATACGAAAGACGAAACATCATTTAGCTCGGGCTATCAGTGCAGTGGAGTCAACTGGACGACGCGACAAGATTGATACGAACACTGCAGGGATCAGACGGATACGTTCAGCTGACATAAAATAAGAATACCACAATGAATTATGCCTTGTCACTTCTCATTTGCCAGGCCGAACAAAATAGCATTTGAAAAGTCCTGTGGTCCAATTTCTCTATGCAGTTATCATAAGCTATCTGCAGGATGATACTACCTAATGATCGCTTGAGGTTCAAATGTACATATTATTATTCAGTATTTACAAAACTATTTACATTTTTAAAACACAAGCATAGGCTCTGACACGTAAATAAATACATCCCGTGTCTTGACTAACTGCGCCGGTGAAACGCGAAACATAAAGATGAACTTGTTCTGCCTTTTAAAAGCTAGCAAAAGTAGTTTAATTAAGTCTTTATGGTGATGGGAATAAAAATCTCTGGATGTGCGCATCCAATGCATAATATTCAACAGAAATGCCCCATATTTTGTCAAACGCCATACGTCAAAGCTCTGGAAATGAAACAATCATATTCGCACGAAACTTAGTGATAAAAGCGCACAACGAATCGCACTGTAGAATTTTCTGCATGAGACAACACAGGTATCGAAGCTCGTTACTCGGAAAAATTCGCGTGTTCTAACGTCAGTATACGAGCAACAAGTAGTACGTCGTAATTTAGTCGACACTAAACGTAACCTGTCGTCATCTGACGTGAGTCTTGCTCGTGCGCAAATTGGACTCGGCGAGGCAACGAGGCCAAACCGTTCGTCGAGTTGACTGACTGCAATAAATAAATATATATACCGATATAAGTTTAACCAACGTTGTTCAGATTTCATGGTAGATTGTTAGATGGTGAATGGCCAGTATTTACCTTAGCTGATTTTCGTTTGCATGGTTTAAGAAAAGTTGCTGGAACCAGACCTCGTTCGCCGTTAATATCGGCGTCGTAAAAACCATCTGACCTCTGAGAAAATATAAATTGTGTGTTTTAAAATTCAACTGCGATTTATGGAAGCATCAGTGCACGAAAATTCGAGATGTCGGTGTCTCTTACCATAGAGTTATGTACTCGAACAATCTGTCCCTTTCTGAAGCTAAGTTCACGATCTGGGTGCTTGTTGGGGGATTGGGTACTTGGGTTGTAATCATATATGGCGACCATCGCCTGTGAGTGAGAAATGAATCATTAAGATGCGACAAAGTACCAACATACAACAAGAAGCATAATTTCAACGGGTTTTTTTGCATAATACCTTTGCCTTTTGGGGACTCGCAGAACCATTCAGTTCTTTATCACGCTATAGAATAAAAGATCAGGAAGATATTTTATATTATTTCATGAACGTGAATGATGTGAGACTACCCTTATTAACCTTTCTATCTTGTGGCCTTGTTGCAATGGCAATTTCTTCAAGAAAGTTTGAGGGAACAAGTCCTTCGTTACCGTTCACCTGAAAGAGTTGATGCAGATGTATTAGTAACGTGTTTTGTGATAAACCAGAGCATGTGTGTCTCATCACAACTCAAGACAGAACATAAAAACCGACCTGTCCTGTGTAGTAACCGTCAGGTCGGGAGGTATCCAGCACACGAATTATATCCCCTTCTTGGAATTCCAACTCGTACGTCGGGTTTGGATTCGGAGAACTTTTCAACGGATCATAACTAAACAACGCGACAAACTAGAAGAAAAAAAAATTGAATTTATCCTTTAGTCTTTCGTCATTGTTGAATATGCTAAAAACGTATTCAGGCTGAGTAAAGAGAGATCAAACTCTGGTGTACTTCCACTCACTCGGTGGATTCTTGGTTTTTCACTGATAGATCAGTGGAAACACTATTGTTGAATCATATTCGGACAGTATCAGCACAGCAAGAGCTAGTCTTTAAACTAAATAACATCATAGACACTTACAGTTCGGTATGGGAGAGTATCCTCTGGATTTGAGACAGCCTATAAACAAAAAAACAAAATACCATTCAATGAATTGACCAATCAGCACCAAAATAATTAACCTGACAAACATATTGGCCCATCCAATATTACCACTGAAACCTCGCTCCAGTACTTACCTCCGTTGTAACTGACGTGGTATTCTGAAAAAAAAAAGAAAAAGGAAGCATCGAGTTTAAATCCTTCTTTCTGGTGACTAACAATTTCCTATCGCTTTATTCAAACACTGTTTTAAAATGTCGTGAACAAAACCTACCACCATATCAGATTCGTTAAAATGAGCGAGAGATTTTTCAGAAGAGAATCCGTTTTCGGCGACCGTTTGAATGGCGAGAACAAGAGGACGTGATAGATCAAGATTTTCAATCAAAGCCTTGTCGAAAAAAGGTAAAATTTACAACATTACTCAGGGATATCATGCTACACAGGAAGGTATGCAAGACCATGCTTGTCAACTCTTGTCAACTGTTAACCATGCTTGTCAACTCTTGTCCACATTTAATCTGATATGATATGATAAGAGAGATTTTACCTTGGCCATGTAAGGACTGCCAACGTCCAGCTTGTGTTGACCATTTACGAGTATCTTGAAAGAGAAGCGACTGTTAGACGTGAAGTTGGACGACTAAAGGACGTTTTTAGCCCTCACTTTTGTGGACGTCATTCGTTGTATGGGAAGATGAAAAACAGTTTTACAAGAGTGTACCTTGTAGCCTTTGATAAGATGGCCGTTGTTTCTCCCAAGTTGATCAAGCTCTGGCGTGAGCCAGCCAAGAAGCAAAGCATCTTTATTAACACGCCGTAAAACACGAAGATTTCTCGGCGCTGATGGCAAAGCTGGAGGGAAATGAATCAGTTTTGAACAAATTACAACCAAACTAATTACCAGAAATAAACTCCAACAACGAACCTGACGAGAAGTTCATAATCCTTCCCTCTGCGCTTTCTCTACTAACACCAGCATTCTCCGTTCTCATCGTATTCTCCAGATTACTTTGTCTAACAAACTGTTCTGTGATTTCTTTTGATGCATATGGTGTGGAACCTGGAGGACCTGCGTGGATAGCAGTTGACTGACTCGGGACGATAGGGGAATAAGATGGATAATGAAGAGTGGAAACACCTCGGGTGTTCTCTGGCGACCGAACTAAAAGATTGAAAGTACAACGTTGAGATGAGATCTAATATGAACAGTAGTAGAGTCCTCAATGACGTAGCTGTGTTTTAAAGAATGATTCATGATTTTACCTTGCTCTCTGGTCTGTACAGGAGAAGGTGTTATGTTCAACTAAAATTGAATTAAGTATTTTTTTACTTCTAGAATAATGCTTCATTATTAGCTGAATATTAGCGGAATTCTGATTCCAATTTTTACCTTGGTCGGCCTCGCGGGAGACGGAGAACTTGGTTTCAATAAGTTGGAGGGAGTGATGGCAAGTCTACCTAATAAAGAAAAAAATATAAGTGCTGTCAACGATAATTCAAAAAGAAGGTTAATAGATCCTAGCGTGGTGGTGAATTTCAACCAAGAGTTGGCTTGAGCAGAATCTTATCATGCGGTATTCCTACATAGTTTCCCGCATCACCCACGTATCCCTATTTACCTCCTTTTTCAACAGTATAATATCCATTGGCATCCACGTCACCGATGACCGTCAACACTTCCCCTGCAGTCAGCGGCAGCTCAAGGTCAGGTCTGGTTGAAGTACTTGATGTAAAAGGATTGTAATCTTTTACAGCAACAAAAGAACGTCTCACAGAACCAAGCAGGGAAGTGGATGGTTTGGGAGGTTTGTAATCCAAGTCTTTCCTCTTGAAAGAACTTTCGGAGGCGTTCAACTCACGCTGCTAAAAAATTGACAAAAGAAGAAGTTATTATACCTTGCCTTTTTAAATAAAACTATTCCTAACGTGTCAACTCCTATGCTCGCAATTTGTTGTAAAAACAAACGTGACCCTACAAACCTTTTTCAGTTTTCTCATATTATATTCATCCATCTCCTCAATATACAAACTCGACACCAATCCTCTCTTCCCATCCAGTTCGCCCATGTAATATCCATTCAGGTCAAGGTCACTGTTGATCACGATGACGTCACCTTCGTTCAGTTTCAGTTCCCTTTCTGGGTGACCTGTTGTACTCAGACGCTCAGGATTATAATCAAAGATTGCAACAAAGCGTTTGCCTTTCACAGAATCATCTGATCTGACCTGAAAATGTTAAAATGGTGCTTAATGTTTTATTTGCCTAGGATCCAAACCAGACCTTGTTGTAGTAATTTCACTTCAGCTTGGATTGAGTTTTACTTACATGATTATTATTGAAGTCAGGCGGTTCTCGAAACTTAACAGATTTCGCAGGGCTACTAAAACCAAGAGTTTGAATACCGCCTGATAAATCTTCCAAAGCAGAACTGGCGATTGAATGTTTTAGTTCACGAATCTCTGACTTGAGTTTGTTTAACTGATCGTCTTTCTCTTTGCAAGCTTTCTTCAATAATGCAACTTTAGCCTGAGGAAAATGCATGAAAGACATTCAGAATTCATCGAGAATTATCTGGACATTTTGGAGTGGAAAGTCTGCATGCATTATGCAATTGAATTCAGACTCGGAATTGAAAAAAAAAGCAAGAATTCATTATCAAATAAATATATGATTCCACTGATGGAATTCTTGATAAAATTTGTGTATGTATAGATGATCACCTTTAAAGTGGGGAGCTGCACTTCAGCGTCGTCCCGCTGACCTGTTAGTTCCGCGATCTGAAAAATCAGAAATACAAAAAATGCCTGATACGAAAAACTACTTTAGTTGAACAAAAACAACTCCAGATCCTACCTTCAACTTCAATGTATGGAATTTCTCCTCCAGTTTCTCGTTATCTCTGAAAAATTACAATATCTTGGCGTGAACTAACAACCATCAGCGAATGAAAACTTTTCATACATCGTCAAACTTTTAATGACATTGCAATGTCCTCGTCTTCATTTTTCATACCTCGTGAGTTTCTCAAGCTCAGCAGTTCGCCCTACAAGTCTATTCCTTTCCTTCAAGCAGTTTCCCAGTTCTGTTGACAACTCGGTTCGTTCACTTTCAATCTTCTTGGATTGATTACGAAGATAGTTGAGCTCTCGTTCAAGATCTTGTGATTTAGTTTGGAATTGTTTCACTTCTGACTTGAATTGAATCAACTAAGAAATTGCATAGTTTTATAGTCATCGAATCATAATTGTTATGAAAAAAATTGGTCGTAAATGACTTGTAAAATAACGAACCTCGTTCACGCGTTTTCTCAATTCGTTTCTCTCAGCATCGAGTTTTCGCAGCTGAGAGCTTCCTTCATCTCGTTCGCGTTGAATATCCAATAATTTCCTTTGCGAATCACGACATTCTTTCTCGAGACTCGATATCTAAAAGATTAGACTCGATACTTGTAGTAAAATACACAAAATGTTCACAAAAACTGCTTATAAATCTTACCTTAGTTTTGAAAGTATCATTCGTCCTTTGCAAGGCAGTATTTCTGGCTTCTAAGTTCTCTTTTTGTTGCTGTATAAGTTTGTTATTCATGAGGAAGTCATTCCTCTCTGTTTCAACTTTCCTTCCTTTCTGAGCCAAATCATCTTTCTGGGTTTTCAAAGCCTTCAACTGTTCATTCACCTCGTCTCGTTCACGCTTCACATCTTCGAGTTCTTTCAACTTTCCCTGAAGAAGCAGAAAAAAGACATCGGTTACAAACGATCCTGTATGTAGAAAGTTCAATCACACAAACAGTTTAATAAAATAAGTCTATTTACTTGTAACTTTGAAATAGTTTTTTCCAGTTCCACGAATTCTTCATCCGCTCTGTGAAGTCGGTTGACCTAAAATTATGATTGTCATTTTTATACAAGGTTAAGGTAACCTGCTAACCCAAGGTATAAAAGAAAGAAAGAAATGTGTTTCAAAATCAATATTTGTTTACCTGCTCATGAAGATGAGTATTCTCTTTTCTCAAACCCTCATATTTACATTTTAATTCTTGATTCTGGGCCTGGACGGTTTGAAGTAGAGAGACACGATCCTTGTGTAAGGAGAATATGCTTTAGATTACTGGAGTAAACTGCGGTCAGAGTGCAAGGGTGAGAACAGGGGGGGGATACAGTAGTTTGAAGAATCACCTGTAGTGAGGCCACGTTCTCTTCCAGAATTTCTCGTTGTCTTTCTGCATTTGCACGCTCTGATCTCAACTGTTCCAACTGGAATTGAACATAGAATAGTAATCAAATTAAAATAATTCGGAATGGATTGATGAAATGAATGAAACAGACTCATGATTCCATAGAGATGAAAGAAATAAAATAAGAGATAAGTTAAACTCACTTCAAAAGTATATTTATTGATTTCTCCGATCTATATAATTTTGACAATATAATTAAAATCATATAAACTCAATCAAAGGAATATAATACATTAAGTTAAGTTTAACTTACCTTTGTAAGAAGTTCCTTTTCTTTCTTTTGATTCTAAAAGTGAAAGGTGGAGGAATGTGGAAACATCGCAATTAAAGCCCAAAGAAATGAAGCAACGTGATAAGCAATATAGCGTGATATACAATACCTCCACTTTTAAAAACCTAACACTTTCGTCCATCATTTTTATATCTTCTTCTTTCTTTTGAATCTAGAAACCAAAATGTCGAGAATCAGCAATTCCCTTAAAAGACATAATTATACCTACAAGCAAATCTCCATTTTACCTAAAAGCACGCGTAAAAACGTTTGAGGTTTGCTATAAACAGCTGAGGATATGTTAGTCGATCTGTCGTGTGGTTACTGCTATCAACCTTATGTTGATACTTTTATTAAATGTACTCAATTTGCCTTAGTGCTGTTATCACTTACATATGCGTTAGTTTCAATCTCTGCCGCTTCAGCCTTAGAAGAAAAAAATATAAAATATTTGAATCTATTTATAACTTGAAATATCTATAACAAAACATTACAATCCATTGCTGCTATTTGTATCTTGACTTTCTGACTGTTCTATAGTAAGCAAGAGAAGTTTCTTTTAGGAAAACAGAATGTAAAAACATACCCTCATCGCCTGTAGTAAATTTTCTTTATTCTGAAAATTATATTAAAAAAGTTGAGTATTCATGCAAGCGTGTGAAATGTTTATGCTATGCCGTCAGTTGTGTATACATATGTACAAAACATTACTAAGTAGAACACGAAGGATGAACACCTCCATCACAAACGTTTTTATATCATTTGCGAGCAGATTTATAGACAGAGCAAAACCATTTAACTCTCAGATACTTTCAACACAAGATCCTCACTAGTCAAAACAAGACTCACTCTCTTTTGATAAGAGCTGTGCTTTGCACATTGTTCACAGATCTCACATTTAGGATAATGGCGACAGACAGGCCACGACGATAAACCGACATCCATGTTTGTTGCAGAACTCAAGCCATTCACATTTTTACGACGAGAAGAAGAACTATTTCCACTTCTGTGTGAAAGACTCGAGACACCAAAACGGGAAGGAAGCTGCAGTCTGTTCGTATCCTCAGCCATTGGAAAAACAATTCAGAGGCAGCGAAGTATTCTTACACTTCACAAATCGAGTACAAGGCGATGAAGCGAGAAATTTCTACAAAGTTCTTGAGCAAAACCGATATATTTTAAAAGATTAAATACAACTTCCCATTTGCGAAGAGACAACTGTCCTCCATTATCCTCTACGCACAAAATACGTAAGTATTTGACCCAAAAATACAAGCCAAAACCTTTATCATTCTTACGTACGGCGTTTAAGATATGACCTGATACATAAAATGCTCAAAGCAAGTATCTTTGAAGACAAACAACGTACGAATATTTGCAAGTAGTAAGTATGATAATGTTTATCGTCTAGCTGAACCAAGCTAACGTGTGCATTATTTATGAAACAACCTGTTGAATATCGTTAATAATTCATTTGTGGCGAGAATCAAATTGATTGAGAAAAGATTAGGAGTTTCTCTGTATTCTTTTGCAAAGCTATACTTTAGAGAACAATGTGATCGGAAAGTGGATTAGGTAACCTGCGTATCGAGTCATTCTGATAGTCATAACATTTCACAAGAACTTCTAAAGTGTTAAGGAAGATGGTGAAGAAGAAAGATGATAGAACACTTGCAAAATGATACGAACTTTATATTAAGCAGAAAGGAATGAAAATATCAAGATGAAAAAACGATGAGGATGTTGCATTGAGAAACATCAAGAGCGAGATTCGATCAACTGAACATGGATATATTTGGAAATGAGAGATAAAAGTGAAATAACCTTAAGACAGACGGTGCAATGCTCTTGCCACTGAGAAATAACCTTATGACAGATAAGATATAGCTGAAACACAAGACGAAATGACCTCTCCCACCCCTGACGTACGCTCAATACCTTGGATGAGAGAAGTACACTGTGAATCATTCCAGGAAAAGAATATACAAGTAGGACGCCATAAGTAAACGTTACGTCTTCTTCAAGGAAGTCCTCTCAAAGAGTTTTAACTGATCCAATAAGAAGCGACAGCAGAACATTATACACCAGACTCTTTATTTACGATGTGGTGTGAGTATTAGTGTGTAATAGTTTTTGAAAACTGTGAAAAATTAACTAACCTTCAACTGTCTTTCAAGATACAAAATCCTTTCTTTCAGCAGATCAAACTCTCCCAGGTTGAACTCGCTGGCTCGTTTTGTGACCAAGCCTACCGGAGGAAAATATCCATCCACAATATCTTTCTGTGCGGCCATAGAGTTTGTTCTCTCGCCTCGCGCAGGGACGGGGGGTAAGTCTGATATTGGAAGGTTCGTACTATGAGATCGGTATTTTGGTTTGGGTAAAACAGCTGGAGGTTGCCTGCGGAGGGGAGGTTCACTCACAGAACTAGATCCAGCCGTCGAAGCCTCACTGGCTTCGCTTTCAAAAGCAACGTGTTTAACTGGAGCACTATCCCAATCTACAATCCTTTGTGAGCTACCATAAAAATTCATTGACTTCCTAGTACTCTTTGAATGCGTATCTAAAGCAAAGTTCTCAACACTGGCAAACGTCAAATGATCGTCCGTTTTAAGTATGACATCATCATTATATACGACGTCATCACTCATAGAAGTTACATCGTCGGAAATGACATCATTATCGTGAAACGATGCGTCATTAAAAACAGCTGTATTTTCATGTTGATTGATCTTTTCCAAAGAGTCCATTCTAATATGTCGTGTATTGCTACCAATTCTGGAAGCTTGGTTTACACCAAGACTGTCCACACTCATTACTGTGTTGGACTCAGACCTGACAGACGAATCATCGCTTTCCAAAATTGTTTCAATTTCTTGTTCTAACGTGACTCGAATACCATGCGGGTTCTCAATATTATCCGGGGTCATTTCTCCGATATCTTGGTACAGTTCTCCGGCAAGAAGCTCGTCAATGTCATCGTCAAGGTCATTGTGCATGAGACTGGGTGGGGAAACAGAGGGAAGGTCTGGGGGTAGTGTGACAGGTAAAGGCGGTGGTAGATCTGTGGTAGGTGGGTGATTGGTTTGAGTAGGTGGGTGACTGTTTACGATAGGCGTGGAACTATCTTGTAAAGCTGGATTTCTGTTTTCAACGGTCGTTTGAGAAGAGTTCTCTGAACTAGAAGTTTCATCCAGCACGCTGCTTTGCTCACTCTCAGCAGAAGTTAATCTCCCTTGTCCTCCATCAGACAATTTGAAAGTGGATCCTTCTAGTTCTCTTTCAGTACCTTTAGCTGAAATGTCAACATGGCGAGAATGATAAACATTCTCAGTTTGTTTGATGTTTGATCCGGCAGAACTTTCGCCATTCATAAATTCTGCCTCCTTCGCTGCAAACGCCTCAAGTGTTTCATCGAGAGCATCTAACGTATCATCCTTCGATGTTCGGATTATTCTCGGTTCCTCGATGATAGAACGTGGCACACCGTCATGTCGTCGTGTCACAATCGGACTCTCTTCGCTGACATCCGAAGGTTCCTCTTGTGGTGTTAAAACAACATGATGTATTGGGTTAACTGGACGAGCTTCCATCTCATCAAACACATTATTAAGATCGATATTTAACGTGGGATTTGAAGACGTACTTTCTGCAATAACTCTGGACTCACCACCATCATCTGTGAGGACCGAAGTCTCCCGCAAACGAGACTCACCGTGGTCCGCCGTAATGTAGTCGTGTTCCTCCGGCAATGAGTCGTCTTTCCTCTAAAAAATGCAATAAAATGCTACTTTACACACAGAATACATCGATTAAAATGCAATTGAATACCCTTCACGATTTTCCAGAGTTTCACATTACTATATCACCCCACTGGCAATCGACATAATACTTCGTAATTTGTAAATATTTCGAGTGCAAGAACTTAATATAATTGGAACTTCGAGTTTTGAACAAAGAGTTTAAACGACCGTTATGACCTCCACGTTTGTCATACGGCTTGTCAGTGGAGAAAATCTTTTAAAACTTAATTCCTGAATTGAAATTATCGTATAAGACCTTGTGTTTAGGACTCGGTCCACCAGTTTCAAATATTCTCTACAGGTACGCCCAACTCATGTGTCTACTCGTAATAACAGCAGAGACATACGACGAATGTTGTTTCTTGATGGAAAACTCCAAAATTTAGCGAGCTCGAAAATTCATCAGATTTGAATCAAACTATTAAATTTCCACTTACACGCAGGCAAAGTATACACAAAGTGTACCCAGCAAAGAATGAAAAGTTTAAAGTTTATCCTGCCGTGTGACATCATCCAAATAAACAGGTATACCAGTTAACACATTTATACAGGCGTTAAGCAATATTTCACTTTCAAATGCAAATAACACAACAAAAACAAGAACAGTTCGCGTCTTTGTCTATCGAGAAATCTTTTCAACGAAATGTGAAGAAAACGCCGAGGTATTGCCTGATACAGGAAGGTTGTTATATTCCTTACACGCTACAAGTTCGTTCCAAGAGTTATCATTGCAGTATATGTTTACTATTACTAAACTAACTCCAATAGTATCTCCATAGTATCTCTACCTATATTAGTTCCTTTTAAATAATTTAAAGATAAATCTCATACAAACCTTGTAACCAGCGAAGACCTCACTGTCATCCAATATTGTACACTGAACAGCCTTATCTTCTCTCAGTTCCAAAGTACAGATTCCCTCGCATTGTGTTTCCACGTCTATGAGTTCTTTCCAAGAAAAATGTGGTATTCCTTCCTCTGATGGTACTTCATATTGGTCAGGAATTGTGTCGAAATTCTGAGCAATCTCCTCATCCTCTGAGAGGAATTGCGAGTTTGGAATCTGGAGGTGAAGATCTGGATTATGCTCGTCGCCGGATGGAATCTCTTCTTGATCATTATGTTTTCCGTCTTGAATCTGACAAAACAACCCCTGCCCTCGTACAACCTCGCTCAAATGCTGGTCAATTAATGCATCGTTCTGACTACATTCCTTAGCCAATGCCATAACCTCCTTAATCAATGATTCACCCTCATCTTCACGGAGTACCCCATCGGGGATGTCCAGCATTTCGTTTGAAGCAGATAACAAATCCGCAAATTCACACTGAGTATCTTTCTCACTACACGAGGGTATACAATGACCACAGGATCGACACGGGACATTTTTTAATGAACAAATAGTGTCATCAGAGGGTAGAATATCTGCAAGCTCATATTGTATTCCAATGTCCCTGCACGAAGACAAGTGAGGATGATCATGAATGTCATCATTATCAAGAACACACTGAACGCTAAAATCGCACATTTCTCGAAACCCGAAATCAACGTCAGCCAGGTGAAATTCATCCCCCAATTCCTCGTTCATTTCGGCAACATCCATTTCGTTTAAACGTGAATAAGGCATAGAACTATCCGCCGCACCATCCGGGAAAGAACGACTTTCTATTGTTTGGTTAGCAAGAAGCATCTTATTCCCGGGGGAGGCGGAAAGAAGCCTCAAACAGTGAGGACAAGTGTCAACTTTTACTCCATTTTCTGCAACACACTCGCCTTCCTGGTCGCCACATTGGATACCAATATCACACGTTTCAATATACTGACCCTCGACAGTTTTCATCTCAAGAGGAACCTGTTTAATTGCTGCAGAGATGTTTTTATTATCATCAACATCAAGATTTCGTCGACTGTTGACTTTATCTGCGAGCATATTATCATCGCTGGTGTTTTGTTTCAAAACATATTTCATCTGATCTTCCGGATGTGTTTCCACCTGATCACAAGCGGCATCATTATCGAAATCAAACGTATAATCATTGCTGGAAATTTCCTTGCAATATTTCCGATAAGATTCACAAATGACAATAAAAACATCCTCCTTTTCGTAAACAATGCAATCCAAATGCTTCGCATCATCTCCAAGTTCCGAGCCGTCCACGAAATCCTTCCATCCAAGGCCCAGTAAAGTTTTCTCGCTCGCTTCTCCATCGTGTTTCTCGCGAACTTCACTACACATGACGTCATCTCTGACGTCATCGCCCTTGACGTCATCAACCTTGATGTCATCACTCATGACCTCAACCATGGTATCATTAAAGATGACATCATTATCTGTAATGTCAATTTCAGTTTGAACAGCAACATCATTCAATATAGGAATCTCTCTAAAACGGCGTGTTTCAAATTCAGTGAAAATTTCTAAGATTTCTTCTTGATGTGTTAAAATTTCTATGATATTGCACTGCACGTCCTTGTCAATTCCAGAATCTTTGGTAGAGTGGAGAGAAGTTTGATCGTCTGGTAGGACTCTTTCAAGATCAATCGTAATGTTGACTTCACCAGGAACTAACTGAGTACCAATGTCCTTATACTTCTTAATTTTCTTAAACTTACAGACATCAACATTGCCAGCATCCAGCTTGATTATCATATCACCTTTTGGGGCTTCTATTTCTAAGATATTGCACTGAGCAGATCTTTCTACCACCGGAAGATTTGTCGAGCATTGGACTGCTGTATCGATCTTTTGAACCGATACATCTTCAGCGATAGATCTCTGGCCAAACTCCCCAGCGTGCTCGCCGCCGAAACCTGTCTGAACTTCCAAGTCACATAGCAGGTCCTCAAGAACACCATTGGGGGAATCAACGTCTCGATTGAACAACTCCTGTGTCCAAATATCACACTGGCAAGCTACCTCAATCTTCATACTAGTTATATCTTGTCTTTCTGGCTCAGATGCACTCGATTTTACAGTCAAATTGTCAAGACGATCATCAAAATCTGTCTGAAATCTATCTTCAAAGTCTTCTGAAGGTTTCTGCCTTTCAACGTCATCCTTCATCGTAGGTTCAAACGCTGATCTTTCTAACCATTCTTCCTCCAAGTCAGGCGTTATCGGGATAAATTCATCTTCTCCTTCCAATAAACTATCGCTGTGAAATGAGTCATCAAACATAGGAAGTTGAAGGAAGTCTTTTTGAGTCGCCTTGGAAGCACCAGGCGGTTTCTCCGTAAAACTAAATGCCTTAGAAACTTTCTCCTAAAAAAAAGATGCAACAATTTAGACTTTTATATGTCAATATCTTTCATTAATGACGGAGAAAATCAAACATTTCTTTGTGAAATATGAATGTGGTTTTTTTTTACTTACAGTACATATATTGACAGTGTTTGTGGTGATATTTCTCAGCAATATTTTCGCTTGTTCAAGAGCGAGCTGCTCGTCACGATTTAAAACTGGTTTCTGCAAAACAACAGTGTCATATATTATCCAATTTCAGAGACACTCGAGAGATAGTAAACATGTAGCAAGCGAGTGCTTAATTCCAAAGATATTTCATTTTATTTTCCTACTTTCTCATTTTGCAATTCCTCCAATCTCGCTTTCACCTCTTCAGCTGAGCACAAAAGTTCTTTATCTGAAAACTGCATTAATAAAGAAAAACTGTTTACGCGCCAATTTACTGTACTTTACCCTCGTTGATGATTGATGAATTACGACATCGTTCCTCTCAAACTCGTGGTAAAAAGCTTGATCAGAAATGAATACATATTTACTGACCTTGTAATCAATACACAGCGTTGGGATCTTAAATGCGGAAATATAATTTCCCTCGTCAAAATTTCGCTGCAAGGACTCCTGAAGTTGAAACTCCAGTAATTCATTGCGGTCATGAGACTCAACAAGATCCTGAATATAAGATTGTGACTTGTGAGCAAAGATTACATGTCTACATAGTTATAGCAAAACAATCGAATGAGAAAGCTTTTGCCATTTTCCAAACCTTTTTAAGCTCGTCAATTTGTCTCTGTGCCTCGATTAAGTCAGTCTGTAATTGCTCTCTCTCCTGTGAATAGTTTCAAAACAAAAAGGCATTATAGTTACATCAGGATGCAGTTGTATTATTAAAGACTAGTTACCTTAACTGTAGTTAAGGAAAGAATTGCTTAATCAGAGTTGTTTATTTCTGAGTTAACTAGAATGTAACTATGCAAAATGTAGCTTAAGAGTTTTATACAACCTGCCCAGAACTGATAAGTTACTGAAAATTATTTCATTATATGTAGACAAGCCACAAGGATTACCATAAGTGAAAAAACCTACCAACTGCGTTCGCTTCGCATCTACAGAGCTCCCAGTCTGAGCTTGTAGAAGAGAATGCGCTTTTTGTAGTTGAAGAATTTCTTTCTGTAACCTGCGAATTATTTCAGCATCTTGATTATCTTCCCATTGAAATGACTCGCCATTTAACGACTGAAAATAAACGTAAGATAAAGTTTGTGAAGAAAGATCAGATTACGATAATTACGATGAATAATCCACGGTCTTTCAAAGCTAAGCATTTTTAGCAACAATACTTTTTGCAATAATAATTATTTGCCAATAAAACCTACACTTGTGTCAGAGCTTTCCGTGCTGTTTCCAAAAACCGGTGAAATACAATCATCTCGTTCGGGTCCACTTTCGTACGACAAAATATCATCCATTGATCTCTGGAATAGAGGCAGGAAAAATATAAGAAAAATTGTTTATAAATGTCTCAAGTTAATGTTATGACTATGGTATACAGTCAAAAGTTTATAGTAGTTCTTTTATTGACAAAGAAAAGATGCAGGGAAGAATACGAGGTAATATGAAACCTATCGCGGACGCTTTAAGGAACAACCAGGTTTAATTTATATAATCACTTACATGCATCAAGCCACCGGGACCATATCTTCGGTTTTTAAACAGTTTTTGTTTGAGTAAGTCGATTCTTCTATTTTTGTCCTGAAAATGATAGGAAATAAATGAAACATCGTTCATCATTTACACACATCGGACTCGCGGATGTTATGAAAACTTATGCATACGTACTGTACCTGAATGCTTTGCTTGAGTTGGGCAATGGCGCATTTCTGTTGTTTTAACTGTATCCACAATGGATTGGAATCATCCCCCTTGAAATATATTAGCTAGCTGGTAAAATGCTTTATATATTCATGTTGATCTCGGTTGAAATGTCAGGGCTTGTGGTTTATCCATTGATTCAACAATTGATTACTTACAGATGGAAACGAAAACATTGACAGGTCACTGGATAAGTCCATTCTTGAAGATGACAATGGACTCTTTTTTCCTGAAGATTCACTTCCTTTGATGCGATCCAGTTTATCCCTCAAACTGTCTTTTTCCAGTTGTAAACGAATGTAGTGACCCGACTCAACACCAAGCTTCTTCTCCAGCTGATGGATGATGTTTGTCAGTTGTCGGATTTCCGCCATCTGTTGATGATACGTGGAGAGTCAGCTACATTTGGGCTTGTGAAATTTAGACCAGCTTAAAGGTCAAGCTATTAATCATTATATAGGTGACAATGAACAGACAAATTTGCACAAGTGTAATGGTGATGACAGAGGTTGCTAACTACATGTTGTGAACTGGCCCAAGTTCCTTGAGGTTGAGACAGAAGCTCACAAGTGACAGTTGTACTAAGGTTAGGACTGGAATGGATATCAATATTTACCTGCTTACGGCCTTCCTGCCAAGAACTTCTTTTCAGTTTTGTCAGTTCCTGTTCATGTTCTGAATGGATTCTTCTTATTTGACTAACTTTCTTTTTGTCTGCATCTTGAGCAAGCTTACAGGTTTCCTCTACCTTGCTCTTCTGTTCTTTCAGTTCTTCAATGTGAACCTCTAATTTCCTTATCTGTTTCTCATGACTCTTGTGTGCTTCTTCACGAACCTTAATTTCAAGACATTTGGAATGTATTCAGACAACAACAAGCCTTGCACGTTCACAGCCTGCTGGGATATACAGCTAGTAGCCAGGCATTGCACCTGGATATATCTCTAAGAGTGCTATCAGGAAATATAAGGCAGTATTTTGTAACCTCACAGATCAAAAGCACTTTATTTAACATTTACCTCATCTGTGAACTTAATACGAAGCTTTTGAACAAGATCTTCTTTCTCACGATGCCAGTTAAACTGAGCCTTTCTGAATTCGTCATCTTTCTGCTTGATAATGTATGTAATCTCTTTCTCCTTTTCCTTCAATAATCTTTCCCTCAACTCATGCACTTCTTGTTGTTTTTCCTTATACAATTTTCTCCTCACCTCGCTCATCATTGCCTGAGCACGCTTCCTCTCTTCCTGCCTTATCTGTCTTGCCTCAACTAGTTGTTCTCTTCTTAAATGATGCTCATGACTTTTCTCGTCCTGTAGTTCAGTTTGTAGTTCATACACTTTCTCTTTAAGTCCTTCATTTTCAGCTTCTAAACTTAGCCTGGACATGTCGAATTCCAAACCAGTCAATGGAGATTCTGGACGTTCTGGTTTGTCAGGACATGGCACTGGGATACGACTTTGTCTTGGATCAGTTGATTCCATTTCACTCTTAGAAAATATTAAAATACAAGGCCTGGTCTACTTGATGCTAGAAATGTAACACAGAAAATTGGAGAGCAGGGCTAAATATCCACCCAAGTGAACCAACTAAGCAATAACTTGGGTTTAAATGTACTGATACTTGAATAAGCGAGAAATGTACAGAAATAACAGAATATTTGTCGCACCTGACAACAGTCCAAACAATCGCGTGTAAATCTTGATATAACAGCGTTGCCCTGTTTTACTTAATTGTATATGGAGGTAAATTGTGTTTTATACTTACCAAAAGAGATAGTCCTTGACTTTTAAGGTTGTGTATGAAGAACGGCTTGTTTTATATAGATTGTTCATTTTGTTTATGGTGATCATTAATACTGACCCATTTTGGAATGTAATTAGCATATGATGCATATTAAATATTGCGTATGGGGGACTGGGCTGGGACGCCGGAACAGCGAGGGACGGGGGGCGCAGTGGCAGCTGCCCCCTTGATGAGGTATGCTAGCCCACGGTTAACCGTGGTTAGCCGTAGGTCGATTCATATTCTGTCAACTAGGGCCGGATTTTGAGAAAAAGCAGATCGTTTGTTTGCTAACACCCACCACGAAAATCTCATATTTGGTGTCGCTCAGGGCGGTGTAAGTTCGCCCTTGTGTTTCTAATGTATATGTTACAGCAATTAAGCAGGTACTTGAATTACTTCAAAAACAAACCACGGTATTAAGAACCAAGCTAACCACATCAAAAACATAAAATAAGTAGCGTTTTCGTATCAATAACAAGTCCTTCGCAACGGATATTGATTGTGGTCAAACACTGCATAGATATCTATAAACACAGCTCCCATTTGTGGGTTTTGGAACAATATCGCGTGCATTCATTTCATTATACGCACACCGTGACCGCGACGTTGACGAAAATAAAGCGTCAGTTAACGTGTAAATAAAAAGACTTACAATATCCTAAAATCATGTCAGTGAAATTCTGGATGGCTGTCACACTGACGCAGTTCATATTTCTACGGCGTTCGATACTTGCGGACGAATGTCATCGTGAAAAGAAGTTTGTTAAAGTGGATCCAGGTATGTCTTCTGGTTTGTTCTTTGTCGAGTACTCACGTTTACCCTGCAGGAACAGATTCAGAGAATTTCAAAAACATCAGCACTTTATCCTTTTCCCTTCCCAAAACCTGTGTTTTTATACACTCTACTACTATAGTAGTGAAAACACAATGTATCAATGAGAAAATTGATGCATAAAGGAATTGAAATTCGGAGGAAAAACAGAAGCAGCAACAAATTAAACAATCTTTGCAAATAAGGATCGTGTTGGGAAACGACCTGAATTTGAAGAAATACTTTGAAGAGAATTGTTACAATGAAAAGACAAATCATTGCTATGGGATAAACATTACAGATTTAAACTGATTCGGAATCTGATCAGTATTGTTTCAGACTTATATACGTCAAAGAATATGTATCGATACAGTTGTAGTTGGCGCCAGGTTTTATTAATGCGGTTAATAAGTTTTAGACCACGATGAATGATGCAGTGAATAAAATATCACCAATTGCAGGTGGATGATAAAAACAAAGCACATAAAAAGTGCCGACAGATCCCCCACAAGTTCTTAGTAAATAGGTTAGGTATATCACGTTTAAACTTCATTAGTCACGAGTCACGACTACCACAAAACTGTTTTCATTCCATGTATACATGTTATACTAATTGTGTAGATGTACGAGGGATTGTCTTATAGCAATCTCTAACGTTTTCTGCTTCTCTTTTATAGCTAGACTACCTGAGATTAGTGCAATCAAAGTTTCTACGGTGACTGACGAGGCCTTCTGCTCCATAAATTGCATTGATTTCGCAGGATGTAATTCATTTGCGTTTCTTAATGCTACATCCAATGACAATTGTCTGTTAAGCGGCAACGTGAATGGCGCATCAGTTAGTGGAAAAAGTGCAGAGCTTGAAGTATTTATAAAAAAAGTTCAATCTACCCCAAAAGTGAGTTATTACTTGTTTATTTCAAAGAGTAAGACAGACTCGCTTTAATTTATCTGAGGAGAATAGTGCGCAAAATGCCGGCTTGTCATCGGTCCCCAGGCTTAGTGTGAACCAGGCTTTTTTTTTGCCTGTACCACAACCTGCATCCACCATATTAAACCATCAGTGTCCGACTGTCCGCCTTGTAGAAAGCATGGCGTTTTTGCTGGCCTCATGACTGACGGTTGTGAAATAATTACTTCCTTTTCACTTCCCGTAGGGATGTGATCCAAACCCATGTCTGAACGGAGGGACCTGCGTCGACACGTGCGAAGAACCATTTTATCATTGCGTTTGCCCCGAAAAAACAACGGGAGAAGTATGCACTACCATCTTTGGTAAGCTCATTCGCATTATGATAGGAAAAACTCTACAATCTCACCACAACAACCTGAGTATTACCTCATAATTCGATGCATACTTTAAGAACCGTTCTTCGCTGAATTCACGAACCTCGGCGCGTCTGGACGTTTTGGACCAACATCAATTGGTAGCCACTACGACGGGAAACAACACAAAGACCTCACTACCGTACAGAATGGGATACAGCATTTCACAGTTCCTTACACAGGAACATACACCATTGTTGCTGTCGGTGCCGGGGGAGGATATGATAAAAGTGGTACTACTTACCAAGGACTCGGAGTGAAAATTGGTGGCGACTTCAATCTAGTGCAGGGGCATGTTTTGAAAATACTTGTTGGACAGACAGGTGTAACAAACAGCCTATATCCGTCCTCTGGGGGTGGAGGTGGGTCATTCGTGGCCACTTCGTCAGATACACCGTTGATTGTAGCTGGCGGGGGAGGAGGCATCGAAGTCCCCACCGTGCAGTATAACAATGCACATGCAGGCACAGGCAGTTCTGGGAAACCCAATGCTGGTCCTTCTGGTTACAGTTCCTGGCCTGGTGGCTCAAGTGGGAACGGAGCAAGCACGGCAGATACTAGTAATTCAGGTTGGTATTGTCATTGAACGGTATAAGTAAACAGCGAAAAATCAGAGTTATTACCTCCTGAATTATTCAATATTTTGCCCCAAGCATTCTACTGATACTGACCAAAATGAAGATAATCATAAACTTCGCCAGGTGTAGAAATTTCAAGACTATAGCTAAAGAGAAAACACGAAAATGATTACCGATAATTTGCTGGGGTTTTTTAAATAAATTGCAGTTACTTTTGTATTTTTACAAAATATATTTGTTTTTCCCTGAAGTCTTGAAATTTCCGCATAAAACTTGTCAGTATACAGATTAAATGGATTAAATCTATTATTTATTGGATCAAATGTCAATATACAGAATTAAAAACATGTTTCATTAAAGGTGGCGGAGGGGGAGGTTTTTACAGCAACGGTCGAAGTTCGACAAATTTTGGTGGATCATACGGAACAGGGGGGGAAGGAGGATACGGTTTTAAACAAGGTTCGTGTGAAATATTTTTACTTATGGTACTGACACGTGAGGTTGCTGAAAGAGGGCTTTGAATGGCCCCTGTTAACAATGAGAGGCCTACACCCCTGAAACACTGATATCACTTTTTTCATTTTAGGTGGTCAAGGAGGCCGAGCATTGAATCACGGCAGTGATGGAGGATTTGGTGGTGGTGGGGGTGCATACGGCAATGCAGGAGGGTCTGGGGGTGGGGGTGGATATTCCGGTGGGGCATCAGGGGATAATTATTATAATTCGTGTGGAGGAGGAGGTGGTTCATACAACAGTGGGTTTCAAAATAAACATGGTCAAGTTGCATACCGTCGTGGACATGGTTCTGTGACAATAACCAGACTTAACGTTTGAACGCAGCCGTGAGTGGCACAGTCAGAGGGCAACGCACAATCACGTGAAGGATATATAAACAATTTTTAGCTAGCAGTGTTGATCACCACCTATAACCTGAAGAAATGTACTTAACTCACATTCATGTAATATAAGGAAACCGCACAAATAGAATAATTATGAATCAAGGCTCGTTTTACCTTTTGACGACATGTATGCAGTCAAACTAACGTTTTATTAAGACAGCGTCACGGCGATTAACTCTTTTGGCACGTAAGTTTTCCGCGATGGAAGAAGAATTTTAGCAACACTGAAGGTAAAGAGGGGTAGATTTTCGTGAATTGCCATTTAAACTGAAAAGGATGTGGTCCTTTCTGGTAAAATTCAAGAGGGGGAGCTCCCCCCCCCAATTCCAGCTGCTCTCAAGGTAGCACGGGTGAACCCAAAAAACAACAAAAAAGCTTTCGTTATTATCCTTAACCAGATCAGTGTCCTTAACCAGCAATCACATTAGATTATGTCCTTTTGTGATAATTGAGGTAAACAGGTTAGGATTAAGTCTTAGATCGGGTTTATGATCGATTAGGTTTAACGCTAATCCTAAATGTAACCATAATTCTAACCTAATCTCAAGGATCAAGGATTATTCCATGTATTACCAACGACAGTCGGATCAGGATCATCAATAATCGGATTAGGTGGATGATTCGCCCCAGGTCAGCGCTTCATTAGACCAGGAGATCGTGACGTCATATCACAACAATAACAACGCTAAGATAATTTGTTGCATTTTGTTCGAAAGAGAAAAAATTGAGACAAAATCAACAATTTTGCTAACTTGACGCGTTAAAAAACTACAAAACACTCTGTGTAAGGCTACATCATGTCCGAACAAGATGCTGGCAGCCAAAATGGTCATTCTGACTCGAGCAACGATTCGCTAAACGGTGTGTTGAAATACGTTTTTAACTGCGTTTCACTGGGAATATTGCGTTTCATTTGTCAACAGATTATCTCTCAATGATTTCTCAGTAGATTAGCTTGAAATAACAACTATGCTATTAAATCTTTTATTAAAATACGTACATAATATCCTAGGATCTTGGGTGAAGCTTGATGAGTCTTTCAAGAACGGCAATGAGCGTCCATTCTCAATTCATAACGGTGAAATGGAGAACCTTTTAGCAGAAGCAGCCGACGACAAAACGCAAGGAACACAAGCACACAGACAGAGGTTGCTGGAGGATTTTTGAGTGTTAATAATGCAATTATTCATAGCAGCGAGATTGTGTTACAGTTTGGCTGCTACTATGTCTGTGATTTGTCAATAACAGTTCTTCGTATACAATTTGTTTAGTTTACTGTCGACATCAACAGATGAAAGAACGCCAACAGAGACCAGGCCGGAGTCAGACACCAGCCCTGAGACAGTCGTTAGAACGACAGATACAAGGGTAAGATTCAAGGCATTGCTTTAAACTGATTAGACAATTATTAAACTTTCACCCATACACATACTATACTTTCACCAAATATCCAGACTGAACAAATTACGCCTGATTTTCCAATGGAACAGACTCAACAGAGAGCTGATATTTCAACACATTAAACTCATGTGACCAACATTTTTTCACCAGGTGCCACCACCAAATAACTTAAACAATGAACAAAACTGGATTGAAAATTGGGCAAGTCGTGTTGAACCTCATCCTCCCAAGTAAATCAAATACTACTTCTTTAGTACTTCATATTTTTACTTGGACCAGTAACAAATGTTTTCAATCAAACTTTTTTTTCCACTTCAAAGAAAATGGCGTCTTACATATCCATCCCAAAAGCATGTGGAAAAAACCCAAAAGTCAGCCATGGTTGAAAGGTAGTCAAGTGTGTCTCTTGACTTTCAACATGAAGCAATGAATAGTTGATGTCTTTGTGTCTTTTACTTTTTCATTTAGAAAATCTGACTCATTTCAAGTAAATTTCTATATTGTTGTACCAACTCTCTTGGTTACTCACATCCTTGCATTTGGTATCGGGTAGGTGCCACCAGTAAAATTGTCCTCATGAAGTTCAGCACTAGAAGAAAACAACAATTAAAATCCACAGACGACTTGCAATGACTTGTGTTTGCTTTCTTTCATAGTTTCTACATAGGAAGACGATCCTCAACTAGTGCTGTTGCAGTTTAATCTGAAGAGACCTGAAGAAACAAACTTTTATTTAAACTGTTGATGATATTTTTTTCACCATGTGTTGTTGTAGTTTGTTGTTGTTTTCGACGTAGTTTTTTATGTTTTCAAACATTACAAGAATGACCAGCATTTTGCAATTTATATGGAGAGTGATTGCCTTGTTTCTCAATTCTTTGTGTTCATAGACATAGACCTTGCTTGCATTATCGGTGTCTTTCAAACCACCTCTTTTTCAGCAACTAATTTTGCTCAAGATGACAAATTCGTTTTTAACCATTCTTTATGCCTGGTGATGATAAAACCCCTCTTTTTCTACGACAGCTGAAAAATCCGGAAACATTGCCTCCTTGAGAATTATCCGCATTTTTCCCATACCAAACTATTTGGCTCAATTTCAAATGCAAAAATCTAATTAAATGAAATCTATGGGTTGGGAATTCATTCAAATTAAAGCATGGTTATTCGGTTGCGCTGCACATGTTAATGATGTGCGGAGGAAGCGGCCCATTTTTCTCAAATCGTTTTTCAAAAACATTAAGAATAATCTGCGCCGTTGTACACGCAACTGGCATAAGATCAAGCGATTTTGCATTTCATAATCATGCGGTCAAAAATTTGCGCAAAGAATTGTCGGGCGAAGCAAAAAGAACAGCGTTGAGCGTTCAGTCTGTTCAGTTAACAATTCAGTACCCAAAAGGGGCGAGTCGGCCGAGACAAGTCTCCGTATGCATGTAAATGTCCTAAATGACTCCTCGTAGCATCTTTAGACGCACCATTTAGCGTCATCTGGATTCGTCTCCTGCAAAGATCACCTGTCGACATATTTTGCAAAATAAAGTTCGGTTCTTTTGACTATCAGCGGGTGAGTTCATCTACAGGCTGAAAAATAAATGCGCGCAGTGTATTGTGTTATCATTCATCGCCGGCACCGTACTGTTCACAATTCACGTTTACTTCATATAATACGGGCCACTTAGAGAAGCGCATATCATTCTAATTTATGCCTGCTTCCGAAGTGAACTAGCTCGCGCTGTTATCAAAAGTAGCAAATCGTTGATACTTTTATACAAAGGCCCGTAGAACTCCGTTGAAAATGATTGGAAAAAGCGTTTGCTTTCGCATAGTGATATGCTTTCTGTACGTAATCGCAATATCTTCGACGCTCTCTCAGACGTCTGTACGACGAGGACGGAATCGAAGGTCGGATTTGGACACGCGTTTTATGGACATTGTGAGGTCAGCTTTCAACTCGCTCGCGACTGACAGAGGTCTCAAAGCAAACAACAAGTTCCATCGTGCGATTGACGAGATCGAACGAGCTCTTGCAAGCACACAGGCCGGAAGAGGATCCCGAACCTTCAATCCAAAGGAAGCCAAAGAATTCATGAAAATCTTAGCGCGCACTGCAGAGTCGGGGAACATCGAGAACTTTAGACAGATCTTAGGCCGTGCGATATTTCATAACATGACCGGGATCACATCAAAATATCTTCAGCAGCAAACGAATACAGTCATCAACGAAGATACGATAGCGTTGTTGGAAGGCGCAAAAGCATTTCTGAACGATATCGAACGACAGATCGGCAAAGAGCATTTTGAGGAACTCATTAGCTTCAGGGGAGAGGTAATTATATGCCAACTTTAAGTGTGTTGATGTTTTTCTAAATGTTCGTCATAAAGAACTTGTGTATTAATTGTTTAAAAACGTTTAAACGACATAAACAACCTAAATAATTGTAATAAAAGTTTCCGGAACGGATCGGAAGCTCATGCTTAGATAAAATAAAGTACTCTAACCTGAGCTCACAAAAAGCAATCATCAAAATCCGGTTTGTCACAACTCAGTTCATCACGCTAAAATTCTGTCCTATATGGGAAGAAAAGTAGAAAATTTGTTCAATTAGACTAAGTTTTACCATAGGTAGTGTCCAGGCTGTCCAGCCAAAGTTATAAACTCGATTAAGAAACAGGAAATCGCGAGATAAAGTTCCTTTTAAACAGTTTTGCTAGAATTTCACTTCAGCTCAACTAGCTCCAGGAAAAAGGCAAAAACGAACAATGAAATGCCTTTAAATAATTTCAAAGAACCACGAAATCAACTCCAAAAGAAGTCTTGTATATAACACACAAAGTTAAAATCTATTTATATACTTATGGTTGTTTTGTATATCAACAATCCTGCTAGTATATATAGATGTGCCCTAATTACTATATTTACGCTGTTTAATTGCTAAATTCAAGACAAACACAGGTAGGAGCATTTAGGACGGGAAACGAGCAACGATTTTCGAATTTTTTTCATTGATAAACTCCCAGGCTACAATGTCAGCACTCCTGGCGTTTGTTCAATTAAACATAACTTGCACAAAAACACAGCTCGTCTAAATGAACGTGGGAATTTTTCTCTTTTTGAACTCAATCGCATATTTACGAAGGTATCTCCAGCAGAGAAACAGACGAGACTATTGGGCATATATATAACTGAGAAAGTTTGTGAATCATATATAATTGTTGGCAGATGGTGAGAATATAGTCTTGCAAAAACACCAACAAACATACACATACATACCTTCATATATGCCTTCATTTTAATCACACTATGTCTATAGTCTCAGCATCCTCGGGGCTGACATTTCCATCGAAAGGTGCGGAAGTAAATTTTGCAGGAAACATATCTTAAATGCATTCTCATCTTCGTGCTGTTTCTCATTTGTTTAGGTCACTTTGGTGTTTGTGATTGACTCAACAGGAAGCATGAAAGAAGATATAGAGGCAGCCAAAGCCATTGCTAAGGAAATCGTCCTGCAGGATCGCGAATTTCCTGTCAACTTCATTCTATCAACTTTCAGTGATCCAGGTATACACTAAGCGATCAGTGTTACTATTGATACAACTTGGATGACGCGAAATGAAAGTTGAAGAGTACATTTCAATACGTTTTTCCCGTCTATTCAGTGTTTCCAATTCAGTCCCTCTTTCTTTAAAATATTTCTCTGTCTTTTTAAAGATGTCGCGCCTGTTGTCTACCATGATGAAAACAATGTAATTAAAGCAATAACTTCTATTGGGAACATCACTGTTGATGGTGGTGGAGATTGCCCTGAGATGGCGTTTGAGGGTCTCCTGCAGGCCCTGTACAACAGTCCAATGCCTGGTTCTGCCATGTACGTCTTCACGGATGCCTTTGCTAAGGATGATACACGAGAGAATATTGATACAGTGACCGCTCTAGCCATAGACTTGGGCGTCTCCGTTTATTTCTTCACGAGTGGGGACTGCGGTGGACATAAATCCAAGATGTCGAGTTTCAAAACAGTTGCTCAGGCAACTGGTGGACTTATGTTCCCGTTACACAGCTCTAAAGAAATCAGAAAGCTTTCAGGATTCGTCAAACAGAATTTACAAGGCGGGGCTACAGTGGACTCAAATACCGTCAACGAAGCATCGACGAAATCTTACACCATCGTTGTTGATGATACCATCAAGACATTAGTATTGACTGTTATCATGTCCAAAATGAACACAAATGTTCGCCTAATCTCCCCAGATGGAGTGGAACAGAACGCGACAAACAGACTGGATTTGAACGTAATCTTCAACTTGGAGAATCCCACCCCTGGAAACTGGACGCTACAAGTTCCTTCGTCAGCCGGAGATATTGAGTATCTTGTGAGAACCATCAGTAAACTAAATATTGATTTCAGCTATTATTACTTCAAATATAATCCAAAGATGGCGAGTCGAAGTCATGTCCCTGTTGTTCATCCATTGTTAGGTAGGTTCACCACGTACATGACCTGTTTGCCGTCCAATAACACCTTGATATCATCTTATCTGCAGTGCCTATCATCCCATATCACCTTTCCGTAGTGTTCATCTCATCTTCAACTTTCACCACCCCAATCTCATAACCACCCCAATCCATTACCATCATCATCTTCTCCTCACCTACATTCCCAAATATCCCATACCAACCGTTTCTCTTTCATCTCTTCCTAAATCCTGTCTCCGCACGATCGCAATCCTCCTCGCTCTCCTAGCTCAGGCAGTGTCTCTAAATCATCATATTTCTTCCGTTCCCATTCAGGTGAAGACGCACTGGTCATGATAACAATCTACGAGATGCAGCATGTTGATAACACCTCCCTGAATCTTAACGTTATCTACAAGAACGGCACAAATGGCGGGGCGTTTAAAATGCACCCAGTTGGTTCCAGCGGATTCCGTTTCTTTGCAACGATTAGACTTGACAAAGGTCCTTACAAACTGCAGTTGGTAGGGAGAACAAAAACTGGACACATGTTTATAAGACTCTCTCCAGTTTTCGACGAAGCTAAACCTTTCCGTTTAAGAGTGATTTATGCCAAAAAATACACGCTACCCGTCGGAAGAGAGTCGAAGTTAAACCTTGTGATCGAAAATCCTTCCGCTGAGGGATACGAATTCGATGTGAAGGATAGCTTTGGCTACGCAAGAGACGTGACGTCGCGTGTTTCATACCGCAGACACATGTCACAACAAAATTTCCACCTGAGATTTTCCGTTCCTGCCAATGCCACGGCAAATATCGACAAAACAAATCGTGTGGTGATAAATGCCATTGGGATCACAACGAGAGTTACGAGTACTGAAATTTGTCATCTTCTTATAATACCAAAGGAGGATTCAATTTAGCAGTGTTCGAAGTGAACTGTACTATTTTGCTAAGATATATTCATGAGTACATTATATGCCCTTATATAGTTATTATATAGATATAGAACTAACAGCATTCTATGTATTTGGTTAATGCATTATTCTTGGCAAAAAACATAAAAATCATAGCTTTATTAATAAGTAATAAAATACACAGTTTCTGATAGCCATTTGTTTTTAAGATTGAACAAAAATATATTACATGATTGCCCCGGGAATAGTAGCGAAGCAAGTATACTTCTTTCAACGGGGTAAAACCACGGTAGTCATGCATGCATGTCCTAGGATTCCGAAAGACCTTAGGATAATGATATTGTTTGATGTTGTACAGCCGTAAAAGACAATGTAATATAATGGCTGCAATCAAATGAAAATATATAGAAATCTTAAAGAAAGAAATATTGTGTAAGTATTTACTATTTAGTAGGACTGGATCAAGACGATTCTGTATTTCTGAAGTCTGTACAAAAAACTCTTTTTTCACTTGCTCTCTGCGAACAGTTAATGAAAGGGGCCCCCTTTCTACTAACTGTGCTTTGTGATAGTATAATGCTTAGCTGCAACTTGCAAATGCGATGCTATTAATTCATAATTCATACAATTATACGAAACCAATTTTAGGTTTTATATCTTGAGGATCATCATCACCTGGTCATTGTTTAAACGCTCTCGTTATAATCTATAAGAAAACTGATAATTTTACAGGGATCTTTTACATATTTCACGGTTTTATATTTAACACCTAATATTAATATTTCTGACATTCACCTAATTCAGATTACACAATGTGTCAAGGTATCAAATTTCGATCATCTTTGTTTGAAGATCAAACTTCAAACAATCGCTTGTTTGCGTTGGGCTGTCTGGTTGTGTATTTAGCCTCGCGCATAGCAACCGATGCAGTAACTTTAAGAAAAGAATAATACGATATTGGCCTGCTATCATTTTGAATTTGGTTCAAACCGTGTCAGCCACGGCAACAAGAAAGAAAAAACAATTGTATTTAACTGCCCCAAGTCCTGACAAACCGAATCTGGTCGCTATTGGAGACCAAAGATGGAGACAGGTAGACAGTCCAGGCAGAAGACAGACTCACAGCGTATAAGACTAGCCGAGGCGATCAGCAATGGCAGGCTTTATCAGACAAAAATGATCCTAAATGACTTTACAAATTTAGATTATTTGGATGACGAGGAACTGAGTCCTTTAATGCGTGCTTTTATGATCGAAGATGCGAAGCATCGTACAAGATCAGCCATGGTTAAACTTCTTATTCAACACAAGGCTGACGTGAATTTTCAAGACAAACATGGACAAAATGTGTTAAACTGGGCATGCAAAGCAAACAAGCTCGACTTGGTCAGACTACTTCTCGAGAAGTGTCTACAAGATATTGATCCAACCACTCAAGATTTGGAGGGGAATACTCCATTAATTTACGCAGTAATGAACAATAATGTAAATATGGTCAAGTTATTGGTGAGCGTCTTGAAAAAATATTCATTGAGCGTTGACCACAGAAACAAACTGGATCAGACTGCTTACCTGAAAGCGCTGGAATTGGGCTTTGACGAGTGTGCGAGCATCTTGTCTGAAGTTGGAAGAGCTTCACTCGACATCAAGGTCAATCCGTTTCTAGAATTTCTGGCTGTTCCCGACCAGGACGTTTCCAGGAAGATGCGAGTTCGTTCAGCGCCATTAACCCGAGGATACGGCATTGGTAGAGGAGAGAATAGGAATTCTGAACATTTTAAAGTTAATCGGCAAAATGACACGATCTTTCATCCGAACAAGGCTAATCTATCGAGGGAAAAAAAGCTGGGAAACAGACTGTTCAAATCCAGGAAAATTCATAGTGTGGTTTCTCGAAAAAGTCAAAATGAGAATTCGAAAAAGGTTTCTCAGAAATCCGCCAAACGAGACAAAAGCAAAGTCATAAAGAACACAGATCTGAATGGTAAAATATCCATTGGTGATGAAAATCTTGAAATAAGAGATTTAACCGTCGAGGGAAGTAGGGAACACACAGGAAATGAACAGATGGAAGATTTAAAGGCATCAAAAAAAGAGGAGAATTCTGGTTCAAAAAGGAAAGATCACCTCCTGCGTCTTTTACTTGACGAAACACAAAATCCTGACATTCAACGTTTACCCCGGGATACCCCATCGAATACTTCATGTAGTCAAGTGTCTAGTCTGAACGGCGGCGAAATTAAGCGCAACGTACCGACAGTGAATGGTTACTTTTCGTGCAAGCAGGTGAGGCACGTACGTGAGGTGATAAGGCGAAGAGTAACAAGCAAGAAGTCTGATATTATTTGCTCATCTTGCTGTTTTAAGTAGAGAAGGCGAATTAACAAATGCGAATTAACCAATTACTTAAATTGGATAAAATACTTTTCAATCTAAGGGTCCTTATCAGAAGAGCTAGTTTGACTCTTTTTCGATCAAAACGTCTAGACGTTTTTCTGTAAATTTCAGGCAGTTATTTTGTTACAACCCCTTAACCAGGGTAAAATACCCTAGGTTTGTGATCTTACATACTCTTTCAAGCCTGCTTCTCATATTTACGCATATATTTCCAGGCTTTTGACAATGACGAATCATCCAGAAATGGTTTCGCAAACTATCATTCATATCTCGAATGGAAGGCATCTCTCGACCATCCGCCTAACACTTTACGAAGCTTTCTCGCGTTACGAGCCGAACAGCACTCGGAGAAATCCTCGTATCGGAAAGGAATCGTTCTTCCAAAACACGATCCAACGTCGGAAGACTCCGACCGTGATCGTAGTTTCGGTGCGACGTCGCCCGTTTCCGAACGCAGCGGCAAATCAGAAGCGGGAAGAAAGATCTCGGCAGTCGCAAAAACTGTGGGACTGTCCATTTATTTAACAAACAAACGGAAAAATTCCACAAAAACGTAAATCACTCCCTAACAACAGACTCAAATATCTCTGAAACTGTTGTCTTACGAATGCATGTCTTGTGTACAAATGATGTCAGTTCTTGCGTCCGCTTTTTCATATCAATAAATAACTGCCTAGCTAACTTCATACATCAATATCTCTGTCCCAGAAACATGGACTGATTTGCCATTAATTTCCTGACCAGGAAAACCTAGCTACACGCGATGTCTTCTGCTAAAGTGTTTTGACAATTAATTCTTACTTCAGTTATCTTTTTTTCTTGTGTACGTGGTTCCGTCTGCTTTACCAAATATCACCTCGCTTGCCATATTAATAAAAAGACCAGTCTCTACAACACCTTTGGAAAGACACAAAAAACCGGTTGAATATTCATTTATAACAGTCATTACAATGATCATTATTTATTTCACCCATTCCTCACGCCAGGTAGCAATGAATATCCAGGCTGGAACGCATGCGTAAAGCATGGTAACTCTCACACGAGACCGTTTCCCAGGGGGCAGAGAAATGAGAAGTGCAGAGAATTGACAGACGAAGAAAACTTCATCTCTGTCTTTCAAGGATTTAACGTGTCCGTCAGTCTCACCTGGTATCATCATTAATATTTGGTTTAGTTCTTCCCAATTTTCCACCTAGGAAAACAGAAAATTGTGGATAGGATTTCAAACATGATAAAATCATTGTAGTACTAGAACCAATACAAATGTATCCTACCTTTTCAAACTGAAAATCAATTATAAAATTGCGGTTATCTGTCACAATTGGACCCTGATAAAAAACGTTATTCAAAATTTTATTATCCATTCCTCCAGTTTTTATTCCTCACATGACTTCCAAGATGATATTCTAATATTCATGGCATTAAACTTACGGCCTTTTCCTTTGCCATTCGCAGAACAGGAGTCAAACCCAGGCCCTTCATGGCTAGCATCACTGGACTGTAAGCCATAGGAATGACCTCAACAGGAACACCACGTTTCCACTAGAAAATATTCTTTAATTTATGAAATTTGCCTCAAATTATGTTAGGTTTGTGCTGCCTCAACACTAACCTGTTGGCCAAATTGCTTTGAATCTTTCCTAAATATTCAATTAGTAATATTCAATATTAGTTATTAATTATTAATTATTAGAGTGTATATTTTTTGGTAAAGTTGAACAAAACATCAAACCTTTCATCCGCAACAACAACAAAGGTTTCTGCACAAGATGCGACAATCTTTTCTTGTGTCAAACAGCCCCTGGAAATAGAAAATGTCTGATGCTTTTGTTTCTTATTTTTTTCTACAAAGCAGGTTTGATCTATTCCATTGCTATTACCCTCCACCTTTGATCAGGTTCATTGATTCATCCACTTCGTCAGCACCATCAAATGCAACATCAAGCTTCAAAATGAAATAAATCGGTTAATCCTGGCATTCCTCGGCAAGAAAACAGAACGCAAGTAAAGATCATGTAGACATACCTTGGGATTTCTACTCAAATCACTAAGGTACAGACCATTCTCCACTATAAGTTGATTTGCCTAAAGAAATTAAACTCCATTTTTCATATCAAGTTTTCCTTATATTCCCTTATTTTCTACCTTTCTATTTAATTATTTTCATCAACCAAGCAACTAAAGCAAGTGTAAACTTACCTGAAAAGAGGTTGGCACACATTTCACCTGCAAATTTTCTTGCTTCACTCTCTCTGCTGTTGAGAAAAAATCACCCACAGTCATGCAATTATCTACAAAACTCATTGCAAAACTGAAAAGGTAGGTACCTAAACGCTGCACAGCTGGGACGATGGTTGATCCACTGCCAATACCAATGACTTGATTGTCCTAAATGTATTGCAGTTTTATGGATTGAGGATACATGTACACATTACCCCTGAAAAGACTGCAGCACCTTTCAGGATTAATGAATTATATCTGCAGGAATACACGCATAGTTTGTGATGAATTGATGTGGCATTGTAAATACTTATTGTACTCTCTCCTGTAAGATTGGCGTTGTTTTTCTAGGATATCGGTGTTAATACAACCCACGAGATTGGCATTGGGTTAATTATTAAGTTGGCTTTAAGATTGCGGTCTTTCTTACAGTGCAAAAAGGTTACAGACCTTTTTACAAGGCTGAAGCAGCAACTATTTTCAAGAGCAATCAATGTTACATAACTACCAGCATGCGACAGCGAGTCTGGAGATTTTAGATCAAATATTCTTGCACAAAATATCACTTGAAGAATCACCATATTTCGCTGTATTTGCATACAAAAAGATTACCTTGACATGTCTATCAATAGCAGTATAACCAGCAGCCTTCTTTGCAGCCTCCATAGAGAAAAAACGAACTTTTTGGACAAGATCACAATGTCTCAAATAAATCCCTTTTAAAAACATGGAACTTCTGCAAATGTTCTGCATAATTTCCTCCTAAGGCTACTTCATGTTACTCATTGATATTGGTCCAAATGAGTAAAAAATAGAAGTAGTTCTTCCGCCCTAATCGGCTTATCCATATTACTAATCGCACTAATTAATTTTAATCCATTGATCCTAAAGCTTTTAAATCATTTTATTAAATCTATTTACATTAGCTTATTGTTAATCTGTTCTCAGAGCGCTTAGTCAGCTCAGAGTCTTTAGTCATGGAAATACCAAAATTTTCTTCCAGGTAATTCAAAACAGCTGGTATACTTCTAAGCGTATTGAACACTCTTCTTTCTTAAAAAGAAAGCACAATTAAATCTATGGGCCTTCCATAAATCTTGTGGATTGGAGACTATGGGGGAACATGGGTCTATATATAGGGATTTTGGGAATGTGCATCTGTTTATTTTCCTCATCTATCACCTTGATACGACCACACCATAAGGATTGTGTGGAAACTGGTCTCAATAACAACTATCACTTTGTCTTTAGATTGCAAATCTAGTTGACTTATACACAAAATTAATTAATGCAATACTTGCCTGGTTTACAAAGAACCTTTTCCAACATATAAATTAGATGATGATGAAAATGAGTAAACGAAATTCCTAAGGACAAGCTGAGATCAAGCTAGAGAATACGGATTAAAAAATAAGATTCAAAGCAGAATACCCTAACAGCTTAGGGCAACCGTAATTTTCATAACAACAAGCTGACTGCTAGGTACTATATCTAGCTATATCACAGAATTTCACAGTGGAAACCCAATGAACAGATAAACCCGAGATAATATTTACCCAATCTTGAAGACATTGAAGTGGAAGAGAGTCAAACCCAGCATACATTGCAGGGTTGCTTAAAATTCCTCTTGCTGCCATGACACCTGAAATATTTAATGAATAAGATGAATGAGATGTCCAGCTTAAATATATATTGCCTGCTGAAAACGAGAGTTGATTAAATTGCCAAATTTTACCAACCATTGACACCAGTTTTTGCACACACATCAGCAATATCAGCTTCAGATCTGATATCACCATTTGCAACAACTGGGATTGCAACACTGTCCTTGATCTAAATCATGTTCAAATGAGAATGTTTATATCAAAAGTAGGCAATTTCGGTGTTGTAAATTGGTATAATCCTTTACCAGTTTGATAGTTTCCAAGGAGCATGGTTCAGATCGTTGCTCTATTGTTCTACCATGAACAGTAATCCATGAAACACCAGCCTGTTCAGCTCTCTGACACATCTCCACAGTTCTTCTAGTGTCATTGTGAATTCTAATTTTGATTGACACTGGAAAATCAGTTTGAACCCGTGATTTAGTCTGTTTAACCATATCATGAATTAACTCTGGATTTTTTATCAAGCAAGCTCCATAACCAGCTTTCATCGCCCACCTAAAGATAAAGTTAATATTTCAGGATTTGATGATTTTTATCACTTTCAATTGGTACAGTAGCTGAAATATATTAGTACTTTCCTCTGAGGACAACCACAATTAATATCAACTCCATCGGCAAACCTTAAAAATAGAGAAGTAATATATATGAACAGCAACTTTTTAGGAAAACCCTGAATCACAAGAACCATTTCTAGCTGTTTTTAAGACATACGGAACAATAATTTCTGTTGCATCAGCTAAATCCTTTCCACATCTTGCCGCAAACTGAACAGTAAGTGGTCGATCCACTAAGATAGAAATATGTATATATACAAAGCATTTTTTTGCAATATTTAATCGATGATAGGCTTTAGAAAAAGATGGCAAATTATTCTTACAAAGGTTGGTGGTAAAATCACTGTCCCTTGCTTTTACGGATTGAACAAATGAATCGGAAATGATCATTGGAGTGCAAGCCAAGTCGCATCCATACCTTAAAGAACCATTAACATACGATTAATTTGTTTGGCTAACAAGATGCACCATTAGAAATTCTCTCTCACCTTCTCACCAAGCATCGAAATGGCAATCTACAGAAAGAACAAAAGAATTAGTAGTTCTAATGATTAATTAATGGCAACTAATGAGAAATGTTACTAATTATAAGTGAATTACATTACAGCTATGTTTCAAATTAGATACTGACTTGGAATATCGAACCATTGGAGCACATATCCTCACGACATCTTTCTCGTCAAAAAGTTCTAATGGTTTTTTCCATTTTGCTACGATGTCCTCCTCAAATGATCTCATATCAAAATTTGTCCATATTTGCTAATTGTACAGTTGGATATTAATACTTAAAATACATCAATCCACCTTTGAGGAATATTATTATATCTTTATTTTATTTTGTTTTAACAAGTTTTCCCCTGACTGAGATGTTTTCAATACTGGATGTATTAACGTTTCTGTCAACTGTCAAATTACTGTAAAATGAAGTAAAATATTCAAGTCGGAACTTGAATTGCTGTCTCTGTACTGCAGGCGCTAATAAAAGTTTATATGCGCGCTTCATGCTAATTGTGCGCCTACGGCCTGCGTTCAGGTTTCTGCGCCAAGTTTTTTGTTGTAAAAAGAGTTCTCGTTATACTTTTGAGGTATAGTTTCCATCAAATCACACCTTTTGCGCGCATCTCCAGTGTTATGGTCAATTTATACTATTAAAGTTAATTCTTCTTTAATTTTGAAGAGCTAAGTTCAACTGATTAAATATAATCCATATAAATATTGTACAGATATAAAGCCGTCTTTAAAAAGTGTCATCATCGATCCGTTTGACCTCATTACTCACGCTCCCAGCCAGGTTTGAGTCGTGGAAACTTTATTTTTAGAACAACGATGATCTGGATTAACACAGCCATCCTGATAGCGACCGAAGTTATCTTCACCATTGTTACCACTATTGTCCGCGGAACATTTATTACCAGTGTGGGAGTTGCTGCATTTTTTTTTACCGCTCCTATATGAATCGTGGTGAAATGGTCTATTGAATTTTTGAATCAAAAAAGCTTGGCAATTTCCGACGGCACATTCGTACCCGCGAACATTTATGAACTCAACATTCATACAATCACTGGCATTGTATGTCAGTATATCGACTTGAGATTTCAATCCTTCCATATAATCAGTTTTGTTCAGCCCATCCGTGTCAAATCGACACGTCATTCGCCATTTTGAAGAATCCTTTTGTATAGATTTCATTCTAGACAACGACAGACGGTACGATTCCCAATTTGGGTCTTCGGCATTTTTGGGATTGTCATTAAAAAAAGGCGCCTTAAATTCCGTCTTATTTTCAAATCGGTAGGACTGGATAAGTGTCCAGGATACTGTAGTATCACTAACTGACATCTTCACGAAATTGCAAAATACTTGGAAGGGTTTATTGTCGTGATCCATAATTGTGTAGTTTCCTGAGGCTGGTGGATCATGACCGCTGGCTTTAACGTAGCCACGGCACGACTTGATTGGCTGTTTACAGCGGTTCCCGCGGTACCCTGGGGGACAGTCACATGTGAAACGTGGTGAATGCAGGATATCATTAGGATAGCTGGGTTTACACACTCCATCATTGAAGCAAGTTTGGGAGGTCAGGCAACAGTTTGTGTCTTGAAAACAACCGCTCTTTCCACCGTTCTAAAATAATGAATTACAAAATTGAATATATCCCGTACGAAGATCTACTATAGTAGACCGAAAACTGATTTTCAAATTTCATGAAACATTGAGAACTATAGATGCGGTATATGGAATTGCTACATGAAGTGTTTTTTATCCCCCCTCTTCCCATCACAGTGAGTGCGAGATGGGAGTTTTCCTCACACTCGTGGCATGTAGAGATGCATCACGCTATTTATTCGCCCTTTTGACGTTCACGTCCTCGCTCTAAATCTCCCTAATATATAATTTAAAACAGACCTCATAACCATGTTGGTGATTTCTTTCAAAGGCAAAATAGCCACAGTCGCCCTGTTTTTCTTTTATCTTCAAGGATGTGCTTGTTGACAAACACAAGCTGCAAGTCTTATCTTCACCACACATCCGGAAGGCTCTGCATGTGCAATTTTGCAGACATTTCGCCAGGCAATTCCCAATCGTCGTTTCTGATGTGTTTTGAAAACTACAGCCATGCAGAGTTTTGTCTTGAATCATTGTCACCTTGTAAAAAGCCTCAGCGAAGTTAAACAGCAACACGAAGTTGATGAACGACCTAGAAAAAATATTTGTTTACGATTAAGATTGGATTCACGATACAATGATCTTTGCAAATTTGTTGTTTAAGACATTTAAATATGATTTAGATATATATTACTGCCAAGTAACATCCTCGGAGGCAGTGGGGATGGGGACGGCCCCAATCATAAAAGCTTTCTCGTTTATTCCCGGCCATTAAGACACCAAGTTTACCACATCTCCTAGTCGCTGTTAGTCACAAACTCTTGCATTTCTCAGTAATGTTCAATGTTTTCTCATGTAAATTTCCCGCTACTCCTAGTTTCAACAAGGCGTAAAGTAACTTTAAAATTTGCATGCATTTTCACTGCCGTGTTTTGTGCTTATGAGTAAGATATTTACAATAATTGCTGATTAGAAAGACTTGAACAGAAGCGGAAATTAGCCACAGTTTTGTGACAAGAGACGAGAGACAATTATTGAATATAATCGTTGTTTTTACCTCATTCTGCGATGCACTTCTGAGAATTTCTTCAAAATGATTTGGATATTACTGTCGGAGTTCTCTCTTGATTTTAATTTTCTTTTAAATTAACTTCAATTTAAGAAACTGCATTAACAAATGCGTGACATACGAAGCTGAACGTGATGTTTGACTGAACAATTAAAATTTTTAAATTTTAATATTTTAAAAAAGTATTTATGCTTATGCCGACAGAAGAACAGGTGACTTCCTAAACAGAAATTGGCTTCCTTTAATTCCTATGAAACTGAGAAATATTTACAGTTTTAAGTTTTAACTTCGCTCTACGGAGATAATGCGACTTAGAAAAGTGATAAATTGTAAAATAGTAGCTTTTTTCCGTGCATTAGAACGGATTAAAGAAGTTTTGCCATTGTTCCACCTGTTCGTAACGCACGTATAACAAAAGTCCTGTGCTACGTACGCATGTAATAATTTCAAAAGCACATAAACAGTTTAATAACTAATCCAAAATTTAAGTTGTTATGTATGGCTTGGTAATTTTGCCGAGTTTATGTAAATATATTTACAACGCTTTAAAATACAGCCGCAAATAAATATTTCTCAACGGAAGGTGCCTATCGCAGTATTGCTCGTACAATAATTTTTTTTTGGTCAAATTCATCTGACTGGCATTTTGATAATGTTCCGAGTCAATCAGTTGCAAATCTTCACTTTTTTCACTTCAAAACAAGAAAATGAGTTCGAATTTTAAGCATGACAGATCATATTGCTTTTTTCTGCCTGAAATCATCCAAAATCATTCATAATCTCGAAGGTTTCCTCTGCATGCATTATCCTTTTCACCGTGACAAGATGGGGATATGACAGGATCATACTTCACCCATGACTTATATTGCAGATGATAATGAAAGATTTCGCTGCAGTTACACGAAGCGACAAAGACCTGGGTACGGCAATACACTGGCGGATTACTAAACCAACCCAACACTTTACGAAGATTCTCACGTTTGCATTTTCTAAGATTAAGATAGTATGAACCTAAAAAGATAAACGCTCGTTATCAGTCGCCTTTTCCAACGGCTCAGGATTCAATTAAGAAGATAACAGAAAATTGGACACCTAATGTATCTTTTGTGTCTAAAATTGAATATCGTTTGCTAAAAATCTTTTCGTGACCACTATAAGGCAATATATGCATGGGTTTCTTTCCTAAAGCTTTTAATTAAAAACGAGAGCCATGCAGATAAATATAATAAAAAACAAGTCAAGAAAACGTTGGCACTTAATTGTAATGGCAGGTGCGAGTCAGAAAAAACAAGACTCGAATGAACGCAGAACAAATATGCATTCTATTTTAATTTTTGTATGTAAATTGAGGTTATTGCGGTTTAGCTGGGAATAGTGAAATATATTCGAATACATGCAGTTACCAAAATGATTTCAAATTTTACCAGTAAGGTTTTTCTTTAGCGCAAAATCCACACCAATTTTATGTCTAAGATCCGCTACATCAAATAGGATTCCCTCCATTCTCACAAATTTCTATAAAATAGAAGAAACCATTTTCATTCAAGCATCTGTCGCTGCTAACCTCTGGTAATGTGAGTTAAAAGTCAGGAATAGAATTTGGTTGGTTTTATACATGTTGACGTACAAACATGCAACTACAGTTATCAAAATAAGAAACTCTCTTAATAATTGTTCATTAATATATTTTATCTACAGTGGTACTTAGAGCTTTATTTCTCTTACAACAACACATGCATTTCTGAGTTTAACTGATCTACATTTTTTCTTTGCTGTCCAAAGGCTTACAAACTAAGAAAAATTTCGTTCCGCGCATGCAGAACGTTTCTCGTGTGAAACACAAGAGGGACATGTCGCAGTGCTCGGAAGCTTTCGTGCAATTGGATAATGCTTTTCTACGCTTTCTAAAGAACAAAGTTATGCTATTGGTTGAAACAGAAATGTATTGCAAAGTTCAGCCAATGAAAATCATTCTTGCGAGGAGCTGCGACACAAGCTGCCCCAACGTATGCAAACGACTTAACCCGTCTGCTTTAACTAACATTCATCGCTGCCATCATCGCTCCGTCACCCTACCTCGTCATTCCTGTTTTCAATCTTGAACTTAATGGTACCGGGTAAAGAACCCCGGTGACATTTCCACTCGATGTAAGGTGACGTCGGAGAAAGGAAGAAAAACGAAGATAAAATAGCGAGGATAAAAAAAACGATAATGACGGAGCAAACGCGACAATTCCGACGTGATATTTCTGAAAAATAAAAGGACAGAAGTCTAGCAGTTCCGGCTTAATGGTTAGCAACTGATAGATCAAATAACAGTTTATTTCATGACATAACAGTTCTATCATGTTTGTCCTCAGTATGCTTTTAATCTGTCACTGAATTCATGAAGTACTACAGAATGATTTCCCACGACAGAGAAACTGATTCTTCATAATTCCTCTCTTATAAAATCTTTTCTTACCTTTTCTTCTGGTGGCAACGTAATCCTGAGTTGAGCTCACAATCTGAGTCATTCCGTCCATTTTAATATCAACATCATCTCGAAACTCATCAATTCTTCTGACGAAGTTTTCGGACAACGTTTCTTCCATTCTCGCCAACAATCCTTCGACCTCATCGTTTTTAATCGACAGCAAGATTGATACAATACAGCTTACGAGTTTTACTGAATCTTTCTCACTAGTCTCAAGTGAGTAGCCCAAAAGACGTTTCCCACGCCCGCCGTCTGAGGTGGAAAGAAAACATGTTACTCGTTGAAGTGATCTTCATAATCGTCTGGGGCCAATTGTTTGAAAGACGTTTAGCTTAAACGGTGGATATGCTGTGGAACGGTGGAACTTATCCACCGTTTAAGCTAAACGCCTTTCAAACAACCGGCCCCTGATCTCAAAGCATTGCTTACTTGTATCAATACACAGTTGTTCTTCAGTGACTCCAACTCCAGGCAGTTTATTTGACGCGTAAATATGATCTCCATGCTTTACTGGACCAAGCACTTTTATCGGGATTTTACCGACCATACAGATTTTTTCACTCGGATTTTCATCTGAATTAAAGATTACGGTTTGGTTATAGTTGTAAACAGTACGGTGCCGTAACCGCTCAATAATCGATGGCAGAATAAATCACTGTTGTCAGTGATTTATTATATAAACTACCATGCAATCTTGAAAATTTATCAAACTTTCCCAAACCCCAAATAGGATCTAACCAAGGGGGGCTTATTCCTTCAGTCCTAACCACAAACTGAACGGTATATAAAAGATGAAGACTACCTTCCTTGGAGTTTGCAGCAATATAATAGGATCTTGTGATCACGCCAGCAAGAATGGCCTCTTTGTAATTTTCTGGTGTGAGAAGATCCAGGTACGTTTGATCGTTGGACCGGATCTTGCTTGGAAATATTCCAACAACATCGCCCTCCTCGTATCTTGCTGCACTATCGTCGTCTTGTAGTTGCCATGAATACGCAATGTCACCCCTGTTCGTTGTCAATTTCTGGATTCTTAGATCTTTAATTTGTGCTCGTGTGGCCTCAAGTTCCATTGCATGGATATACTTATGGCTGTTAGGTGTATATTCTAAATTTCCAAGAAAAATTATGTGATTTTTAATGTCAATGTTTATGCGCGCAATCTATTTCTTCACAAAAGCAAATATTCTCCATACCTTTGCTTTTCGTTTTAAACCGATAGACATCTTTTGCAAACGATCGTCTACCAACACAAATGTTTATCCCAAAGTTAAATATGTTGTTTGCCGGTGTAGTTTTGTCCGATGTATAAAGTTCTTTTCCTGGATTTTCATTGTAAAACTCATCTGGATCCAGGTTGGCTTCGATTTTGTAAATATAACTTGTGTCATGTGAATCTTGATTTGAAAACGGAAATATACAAGTTTTTATAGCGTCCGAAGAAAGTATAAGTGACTACGAATTAACGAGAAAACTATAGCTATCTTACTGTTGACATTTTGCGGAGAACTTTCAAATTTTAAAGGCACTTCTATTTCACCAGTCACAGCTTTTGTTTTTCCTAACATTGCTCTATCGTTGAGACGTTTTACATATCCACGCAAATACATTGCATTCAATTCTAAATTAGTTGTCACAGAGAACTGGAGTTCCTATTGGGAATAAGAAAAATGACTGGTTAAATAATCTTCGTACAGCTAAAACACAAAAATTTATTCATTCTTTTGACCTTTGTTTCAAGCCTTTGACAACGTCCTTTATGTGGTCCAGAGACCATCTGTTTCTTCATTCTAGTTCCAATTGTTTCACCATCTTTATATTCTTCTTCATCGACTTCAACAACAACTTTTAACTCTACAACAGAAAATCTATTTATGAATAATTTTGTTCGTCTCTCGATCAACCCTTATAAAAAGTTTGAAGCCGAAAGCTGGATCTTTCGGCCATATTCATCGGCATATTGCGACTACAGATAACGACGACATGGCTGTTTCTATTTTACCTTTTATTTCAACGTCACAGACTTCAAAACAGGGGTTTTCAAGCTGGTCAAACCTCAGAAATAACTTAATCATTGTACTTCCAGTCTGGTCTCTACACATATCAAGAATATCCTGAAGATAAACAGTGTAATCCTCGACCATCATTCCTTGAACATCTATACGATAGAAAAGATATACGTTTCAGTTTAATAAAGTGTTTCCGGCAAAACAGGCCTCTCGTTAGAGCTTGCTTGAAAGATCAAACCTTTTGCCTACCTTGAGTTTCCAGTGAACAACTTCCGTTCATAGGAACTTGAATCACTTCATTTTGTTCAGGAAACTGAACCCATGAAAAGGCTGTAGTAACCAGAAGCGATCGCACGACTCTCAAGTTCATCATCTGCAAACAAGATCAGGAATGAAAGGAAATGCATAGTAAAATAACTCTATATAAATTATACACCGTTACTGCACGTCTTATTCAAAATTTCTGATAAGCACAAAGTGGAACCGAACTGAAGAAAAACTGATAAAGCATTTCAATATACTACAGCCGGAATACAGATCATGAATCATTGTCTACCAACTTTCCTCAGGATCTGATAATCATAGCTTAGCCCACAGCGGCGTACCGAAGTTACTGTTGAATTGACAAGCAAGTCTAGCGAAGCACATTGAGTATTGCCTTAAATATATATCCTTAAAAGTCAAAGCAATATACCCATGGAGAGCTGTTGGTAATGCTGCCGCCATCTTGCGATTCACTACACACTGGAAATTTCAATTTGATAAATCTGTTTGTTGCTGGACATCTTGCCTCTGCTCCTGAATCCAAAATTTCGATATGGACGTTGTTGTCAACTAAAAAACACATAGAAAATTTCTTGTACTTTGTTGTTGTTGTTGTTGCTAGTTGTATGCGATTATAAAACAACTACTGTCATTTTGCATCAAGTTTTCTTCCAGTGTATACGTTCAATTTGATCATAGCCTCAAGTCAACGTAGAGATACCAAACAAAGTGCAACAATTGTGATTTACTGCTTTAGTAATATAACCAGAATTATATTCATTGCTGCTCTTGAGATACACAGTACATATATACAATAATGTAATAACAGTCTTTTGAAAAGATACCGTTATTTAAATTTGGAACTTCAATACTGCTGAACAAGTCTTCAACGTCATCAAGCCCATCCATTCGTTCCAAGAAGATCTTCCTTTTCAAATGAGGGTTTCTTCTTGACGTTTCTAACTTAAATTTGTAGCTAACGCTGTCAGAATGTGAAAGTGATAAGCAATCAAGAACGACGAACACGATGAATTCAAAATTAGTTGTGAAGCTTACATTAATACAGAAGTATCTTGCCAAATGAAAGTACTGTGTCTGTGAATAACGTAGCCAATATACAGATTGTCTTTTAGACTTACAGCTATCTTTATTGCCACTTGCGGATAACCATCAACTGCATGGAGATCCAGCAAAGCTGAAATTTTAATCCAGTTTAAAAGCGACGGACCAATATTTACACTACAACTCTTATCTACTCAACTGGAACAAGTCAACCCCCCACCAGTTTTCATACTTAGTATATTCTCATGTTTTATGTATTGAAAAACTACATCGATTGGTCACGCCGCAAAAGCCCAAAATAAAATTGCAAACTGAAAAAAAATTACTTTTTCCCACCGTTTTTTTCCCTACCATATATAAATTTTATTAAATTCCAGAAAAATGATTTTTCATGGAAACGCTGAATGCTCATATTTTCCAGGAAGTCTATAATATCATAGAACCGGCATCCCGGAAGTCGAGTCTTTTCTTGGAAGAACGCGTCTTAAGCTTCTTCGCGAAACATACCTGATAAATTTTTCAGCGCAAAAACCGCAAATCATGAATGAACGCAGTTATGAATGAACGCAGAAATATTCATTCATAAGATCAACAAAAAGGTATGAACATTAAACTCTTTTATTTGCAAAAATATTCCATTTTACATCTGCTTTTAAATTTGTGCAGTGTGTCCAAATCCCCCCCCCCCCCATTTGCCCTTAAAAAATGAAACACCAACGCTCAATTCCTTATGAAACACAGTCGTTGGACGGATCACTGACGAGAACTATCGCATAATATAGTTCTTTACTACAGCACAGGAATCAATGTCTTAGTTAAAAGGGTCTCTTCTAAAATGTTTCAGTTCTTTTGATCCGTACAAAGGCAATCATGGGATAACATTTTTGTGACTGCGGCCTCTGTTTAAATTGCCAACTAATTTATAGTATTATCTATTGTGAAATACACGAGAATTCCTTATTGTGCCATTATGCCCATTGCTTAGCTCTTTTTCTTACCAACTTTTCTTAAACAACCCTGGTAAAAACCATAAAAACCAACCGTTGCATAAAATTTTCCCTGCGCCTGTGCAACTTAAGTGCGCTTTATTGTGCAATGATGAAAAATCCTTTGACGAGTTCGACACACAGATAGGCAAATAAACGTCACACCAACACAACTCTAGATCAAATTTTGAAGCCAAATTTAACGGTTGCCGCCAATTGTTGCCACAATCGCACCGGGCGCTCCTTGAGAGCAAAAAGACTGATCAAGTGCAACGTGTCACTACCATTATGGGGATTGTAAAGGGGAAAAAAGCCAGAAAATTCTTATCAAATAACGGCTTCACAGAGCACTTCGAAGAGTGAGCTTTTCATTTGCATATCTGTGCATATCATATCCCGATCTCTCGAAAGTTACTTAAAAATGACTTGAGTTTATTCCATATATCTCGCACATTTTATCCTATTTTCTCCTAAATGACCTAATTTCGAATTATTTCTTTGCTGCCTTAAAAATTTAAAAATTTAAAATATATCTATATTGTGACCTGACCGTCTTTAGGCGATTGTCAATTGGCTCATGTCCATATCTTTTGGCCTGTATTTGCTGAAAATCATTTGGACTTGGGTTTGGATACTTCGCGGTTCTGGTTTCTTCATTCGGACCAAGTCTTCGACATCGAGTAACACGGCCACGCCGACTTTTCTGAAAGAGAGTTATGAATTGTTGAGGTTGGAGGTTGATGAGAGTTACCAAGCGAGCTTATATTAAAAAACATTTTATCAACTATCATGTCCTGATCAAACAAGAACAAGAATTTTGTGTTGCATGCAGAGAGTTCAATAAATACATTTCGAACAAGCTCTCGTGATCTCAGGCAGAACCCCGTCGAAAGAGAGCAGCTGGAATTGCGATTTCTAAATGACTTGATTCGTTGGGAATCAAGATTCCTTGCGTGCGGCTCCTCGTTTGACCAGATCCCGAGAGGATGTAAAATGCTAAAGCAACTTTCTTACTCTGCGGCTTGAAACGCTGTCGTGAAGTTTCGTTCCCTGTCGCCAGGCTTGAGAGAGTTATAGTCGAAGAGATCTGGATTGAATTTATGAATCAATGCTGCCATTGCTAAACCATCTGCAAAACTTGCACTAAAGTTCGTGATGTTGACACCCTGAAATAAAAACCCGGCGTAAACCATTCAGTAATGCACGATAATCCTAGCGACGGATGTGAAAAGCTAATGACATTTGCCGTATTTCATCCTGGCCCGTTTTTCGAGGCAAAAACACAAGCATCACCTCGTATTCCTCTGTCTGTTCTTTGCACCATTGTAAAACTAATTGAGAAACCGACATTTGTCGCTTAAGTTGTGGTTTCTTCTTTGGAGGACTAAAAATAAATAAAGTGTAAGTGTAGTTGAAAATACAAAACACTTCAGAACCTATAAATTCAACTCGTGGAGTTCACAAAGCTAAGTGATTTCTTTGACTTCAAGCTGTTTGAGCGGTTAAATTGGGTGAAACAGAACCAGAATTTTCTGGCTGCGCTTTCGTGGTTTATTTTGTAAAACAGGAAGAACAAGGAACAGAAACAATATTCATTTTGATAAAAATAACTCACTATAAAATCTTACCTATTCTTACTGATATACGAATGCTATCAAGAACACCGGTATTTTGAAATATATAATATAATGTCTGATGAAGAATCCAATGCAAACTATATTTTATCAATATTGTTTCATTCCGTCTCGAGGAAGCATTTTTTAAATACCTTATCAGTAATAAAAGCAAATAGCTTGGCCAATTATTCAATGAAATCGTATAAACGTCTACCATAATTGATTCCAGCTGAAGTATAACGTGTTTGCATGAAGCAGAAAAATTCTCATCCCTATTTTGCGCAGTTTTGTATCCGAAATTAGCCAACAAATTTCAAGATTGTTTGCTGCCCAGACAAACATGTGTTTCCCACATAGAGTGGGAGTGAAAATGATGTGAAATATTGATCTCAGGCAAGACATTATTCTGTTTTCGAAATTACACTCTTTCAGCGACTTTTTTTTCAATCATACTAAATCTTGATAGCTACTGGATGGACTCTTAGAGTTCTACGCCGGAAAACATTCAGCAATATCGCGCTGACGCAATGTTGCCAGGTAGTTATTTCAACGAAGACTTGTTTGACCAGTCACCTCGTAACCAGGCCACAGTTCATAGGCTGCTAAAACGCCGCGTGAAGCATGTGGTCATCCCGCATGATGTTCACGTGACGCAACGACATAGCGAACCAGAGAGACTGGATACGAGGCAACAAAAGCCCCAAGATTTATTTACCTTCTTCGCGGTATTTTCTCGATGGGTTTATTTTGATTGTCATTTTCTTTGTTCTGTTGTACCGGGGAAGCCGCTGGTGGCTTAGCTGCAGGCTTAGGTGCGGGTTGAGCAGGCTTCGCAGGTTTTGCGGGTTCTGCGGGTTTGTCTTGTTGAGCAGCTTGCTGGAAGTACGCCATCCTCTCAGCGGGTGAACCAAAAGCATTTGGCTTAACGGCCCCAGCCTTGCCCTTAACAAAAAACCCACCGTAAGCAAACTGCGATAGAGAGGTGTGGTTTACGAAATAGAAGACTAGGATCTAGCGACTTACCATTGGAGTAAAACGACCGGCATGTGTGTCCATCTTCGGCGTAATACGAGTCCGCGATAGTCGCCTTTGGAAACGAGCATCTTTAGCCGTAGGGGCGACTTCTGGTTCCGTTATAACCGGTCCATTCTGCATTGGTGCACTTGGTTTCTCGTGTTTGTTCACCGCAAGCTTAGCCACCGATCTACGGCGAGATCGCAAAGCATTACGGTTAGGATGATGAATTTCTGGTTCCTCCTTTTTCTCCACGTGTGTGACCGACTTCGTCTCGACGACAGTTTTTGATGTTTGTACCACGCTACGTGTTTGAGTGGTCTGCACCACTGCCGGTGATTTGTTCCCGGGTCTTGCGCCTGCTTGATTATTATTCGCGTCCTTGTTCTCAAACTTGTTCTTAAAAGCATTCACCCCCCTGGCTGGCGATGATGCGCGCGCAGCTTTCTCTCTCTGCATCACGTTACTCAGTTTGTTCACGAGGAAGCTGGTCGACGGAGGAGGCTTCGCCACACTTCGTCGCCGACTTCGCAGTTCGAGAATGTTCGTTCCGCTGTCGGTTCTCTCCATCGGCTTATCAGCGTTGGCGAACCGTACACCACCGCCATCTTTTGCATCACGTGCAGTCCCGGGGGGTGGTGCTGCTGCTGCGGCGTTGTTGTTGACACGATCATCGGCCACCTGCTGTTCGCGTTGTTCACGTTTTTCTTTCAAGGTCCGAAGCAAAGCTCGGATCTGACGACGCTCAGAGAGATCACGTGTTGTCTCCAACTGAAACAAAAAAAAATTACGCTCAATTCGTAATCACACCAGCAACTCGCGACGTGTTAACAGATTGAGACTGGAACGAACAAGTCAATAATACCAAGATGTGAGAAATTGGTCATCTCTCACGGACCTTGTTCTGTAGGAGGCAGAAGACAAATGATTTCGAAGATAAAAACTGCCCTACTCTTAAGACGTAAAAATTGCCTGATTTCATGAACACTTTAACCCATGACTTAGCTATGTTTCTGTTCCTGATAGATCGCTTTAAATTCCTCCCTTGATATCTATGAACCCCTAAAGGTTCATAAGCGTCATTATTGATTGGTTGGACGATTTCACAGGCTCAGAATGGAACCGCCAACCGGCTAGTGAAAGACACCAGTACTAATATCTATAATGGTCATGCAAGTCTCAGATAGTTAAAAAAAAAATATTTTAATTTGCCACTGAGAGACAGCTAAACTTTATGCACTTTGATAGAAAACTAACAAACGCACCAGTTGGAAAAACGAGCATGAATAGATGGATTTGGAAGAGTGCATATAGGTGCTGAAGCGGTGAACTGGGTTAAACAGTGGTGCGGTTCAAAAAGATTGAATTTATCCTACTTTCATGACTGAATTATACTGTAAACCAGGCAATACTGCTTGCACGTGTACGACAACATATTGCTGGACAATGCTAGATTGTCCTGATATTATCCACTTGGCGTCCTCCCAGCACTTTCCTAATTTGTCCCTAGAAACTCAACTTCATCACTCAAGACCTAATGAATAGAATATTCTCAGAGCTTAGAGACAAAAATTGCATTAAAATAATTGACATAATTCAACTTGGCAGATTAGCCAGCCACAAAGGACTTGGTTTGATATGTGTTGAGCCTTCCTGATCAAAAATGTTATTATTTTATATTTATAGAATGTTTTAGTACACTAAAGATTGGATAATGCATGTGGTTATATAAATTCAATGTCTTTTATGAGCATATAGGTGTGTTCAGTAAATTTTACAAACGTACGTATCTATGATATTGTTTTGATAATGATCGATGCGCCATTATAATGTTTTATGTCCAATGATAGCGATGAATTAAGATGCTATAACGACTGACGATGCGTGCGACTTCATTGGGAAATCAATTTTTTCAAGTTTTTTAAGTGTGTCATCTAAAGATTTCTTGCCTCTGGCATTTGGGCCTTGTCCAAGGATTTTTTGCTTAGTCGTTCTGCGGTAAATTGAATATAAACCCTTCGAGTTATTTGACCTTTGAATGCAGAAATAAGCTCGTTGAAAGACAATCTATAGATGCGAAATTCGTAATAAATCAAATAAAATTTAATGAACGCGTAGAATTACCAGGTCTCTAGCTGCTTCTAGTTTTGGCTAGGATTCAATATTATCAAGTTTTTGAAGTGATTTGAAGCTAAACTTTACAATAAATGACCAATCTTTCAAAAACATGTACTCTTAATTTGCTCAAATAAGCATAAATCAATTAATCTGTCAGTAATATTGGTTCATCAATTAATATTTTGGTTATTTGTATAGTCGAGAGGATATTTTAGTTTTTTATGGAATTTCCTTATCCTATTTAAAGCTTATTGATTGTAATTCAGGCCTGCGGCTAAACAGTGAAATAGCGTCGAGACTTCAGGTTACCCCCACCAAAATGAATAGTTGATATGAAGCCATATGGAAGTAAGCTGTGCTTTTTAAATCAAAAAGGGCCGTAACAAAGGGCTGACCACAAGGACCTTTCAAGTCCATGCAGGACCTCTTTCCTTGCAAAGAAATAAAATATGACGATACATGGTTAGCAATTTAGCGAACCTACATCCCACACACAAAACCGATACAACTTAGTCCTACTCACTCGCTTAAAAAGAGTGTCAACGCCTGTTTATTGCCACCCCCGTACCTCGCCTCGGTTAACCAATTCTTAAAAAGATGACAACATGGCTGTCTAACATGTTTGTGTCTGTATCGTGTCTGTTCACCCACTTCACTTGTTGATAAACAACATTCCTATGAAATTATTCCTAAAATCATCTTTCCTCGTTCATTTCAACGTGGTTAAGTAACTTAATTCTTCGAAAATCAAGAACACATTCTTTGGACACTTCGTGTAAAAGAGCCAGTGCATGCATGCTTAAGAAAGTGCAATCCAAGCTCACATAAAGAGCTTTGAATTCAGAAATTCAATTTCGTACCTTATTAATGACCTACGAGTGTTGACGTTACTGAGAGCGAAAGAATTTGGCAGATTGGCTCCTGCTAAATTGAAGTCCACCTGACTTTAAGTAAAACCTAGGGAATATATCATTTGAAATGCTGTCCTGTGCGCCTGGGTAACAGCTGAAGCCCACAGGAAACTAATCTTTGTAAAATACAACTTAGAAATAATGTTGATGCAAAAACGTCATAGAAATAAGACGTTATTATCATTTCAGCTGACACGATCACATCAGTGGTTTGGCACAAGAACAAGATTATCAAAATGTCGGCAAGAACACAGCGAGGGTAAAACCTTGAACAAATACGTAAATCTCGTAATAACTGATCATTATTTATACAAATATATGCTGTGATTACAGCGTAGAACAGGCGGGCATTGTGTCGCTTTCAATATAAGACTTTAAGTCGTCAAGTGGAGAACTACGCAAGATTCCTTTTGTAACCAATAATAACTTCTGCGTTGTTTTATGCTGAGGTATTTTCGCGCTTCAAAACCTTTCATCGCCCGATGCATTTGCGTCTCAAAGATTCGTTCCTAAATTTGGGATCCTAAGTTTTTAAGACTTTGATGATCTATCGTCAACTCTCTAGAATGACGAAAAGGAATTTTGATAGAATGCAAATCTGGGGAGGATTTTTTATCGGCTGTAAACATGCTTCAAATATTCGTGCCTATATCGCAAAAGCGAAAAACCACGGCAGACAGTCGGACATGCCATTTACAGCTGGAAATCACGGCCCTCTTAGTTACAGAGTAATTGGTATATAATTTAATCATGGTATAACATCTTGCCGCATTTAAATAAACAATCTTAAAGGTATGCAAGACTAAATTCTTTAGCCCCTTGCATTTTTTCACGCATAAACTCTCATATGAGCTTAAACATAATATATATGATCCCTTAATACCCCCTGACGTGAGCGACATACCGGAAATTATCAACAATGTTTAAAATGGCGTTGGATACGCCGGTGGTGTTGTGCTCCAAAACCTGCCAACGAAATTGAACGGTGCAATAGAAATATAGCGAAATAAAACGTCTTTAGCTCACAGAGACCGATTCGTACATTCGCCTGTTACCCTAAAGTTGCGCAAATGCTAAAAGTCAACTCACAAATCTTCAATTCACCGATCTAACAGTCTTGCGTCATTAGAGCTAGGCCATTTTGCTTATCTCTCTTGGTTAACCTCAAATGGCTCACCCTAAGCTTCAGTTATTTAACATTTTTGTGATATCGTATGTCGTTCATGCTGTTTGAAAGGACTCGACAGCATTTCTAACGCCTTTCTTCCTTTGCCTGGCACTCCAAAAGTATGCAGAGAATATGCATTTTTTACAAGGTTGTAATGAAAATCCCCCAATGAACGACCTACTGATAATCGATGTTGACAACCCTAAAGAAATGAAATCCGTTTGGCCAGACGATAGTGTATTCCTAATATTGTGCCGAACAATAAGTCATTTCATTCAAATTACTAGATTTCGAGCAGACGTTCTCGAACCATACTTATAAACTAACAGCCATACTTTAACTAACAGCTGACAGCACCCTGCAAGGTAGATTTCATCCAACAAACACACATGAATCAGCTAAGGTGTTTGACAGACTCAAAGAATTTAAATACCAAACACAGTCAACGATACTGGCTATGTTACTCTACTGTACAATATATGGTACAGTGCTCACTTCAATTATGCCCAAGGTGCGGACGAGAAGCGAATATATAAACATTGTAACCATAAACAATTGTATCTATCAGACAAGACAACTATACATGTCATCATTCATGCTCGTTTCTGCTTGCATAGGTCTTATAAAACAAACATCAATCGTTGTGGTTCTTCGTTGGTAATAAATCTATAAATGCTTAGCGCAAATTACTTCATAATGATGTTGTAAGCTCATTGTTCGCCCCCTTGCAAACAAACTAAAACATTCATAAACCAACAGACATACACGATGATTGAAAAACGCAGCAAGATATGTTATATCTCGTCTATACCTGTGACATCTTCGCATATGAAGTTACCCTAGCAGTCGAAGCCATTGAGAACGAACAAACAGCAATGGATGCCTAATACCACCGGAGTCTCTCCAAGGCAACCTAACCAAGTTCGGTCTTCACCCAAGCATGAAATGTTCTCCGCTAAATCCTGCCATACACGAGGTTTTAACCCGGGATCAACACGATTTATTTGTAATCTAAGATCGAGCCGAATGGCAACGGGTGTGCTTCCTTGATACTTATAAACACGGATACAGAAGACAGCTGAATTCTCTCATCAGGGTAATACACGATACGACTGAAATGCTGTCCAGCGCGAACTCGCTATCATCGTATCAACGTTTCACTGTGTTTATGCAGCCACTTGAAATAATAGTTCTTATCAATCAGCTTTGGGAAAAACGAGTCAATAAGGCAATAAAAAACCTCATACGTGTCGTAAAAACGGAAAATGCCACAGGTGTATAAAATTTCAAACGCCGCACGAAAATGGGCAGAGGTCTCTAGCTTTGGGCCTAAAGCATGCAGTCGCAGCTTTTAACACCAGAGGATTAGGATTTTACTCACCTTTCGCCTCAACGTAGCCTCCTCGACTTTCAAGTCTGCTAAATCATTTGAACCCATCTTGTCTGTTGCGTCGGCCGAGATACGAAGGTCGCTACTGTGTTTGAGAGTGAAGCGACTACGTTGCAAAGTTCTCTAACTGTTTGAACGAAAAACTTGCGAAAAACGTTATCCCAACGAGCGATCAGAGAGCCTCAACTCAACCGGCAAGTCCTATAGTGTAAGACAATCTGCTAAACAATACACAGCCAGCGAAATGTGCAGCGCAAACAATGTGGTAAAAAGCATTTAAATGGTGACTGGTTAATTATTATGCAAATTCATGTCATCAGGTGGACGCAAATTTACGGTCACTTCTGGGACATCATAATTAGCCCCCAATAGGGCAACCTCAGGAGATGCCTTCTGGGGTCTACCTGGGATGGTAAAGTGCTAAATCTTTCAATCGTCGTGATAATGATTCCCAGTTATTAGGTCGCTTGCAGGCTTAAACGTTTGATAAATAAGTCGGGCGATGTCAGAGGCATCTGTGATGGGAAAAGGGATACCACTCGATAAGACTACGAGAGGGTACGAGGGGTGGAGTCCGCCGAACCAGGACAATATGTTCTGGAAACAGGACATTTTTATCTTCCTTTTTTCTGATCGTAATATGATCGCATAGACCCTTAGGGATGTTGCAATGAAACCACACGTTCAACGAAGTGGCAGATTTTGATCGAGAGGTCGAACGTGAACGAGGACATGAGCATGACAGACACATCGAACGTCATCTTCGGCTCACAACACAAACATCAGCCGGAAAAATTTTTACGTTTCCATCAAGTTTCCCATCTTGAACGACGCTTGCGTCAGAATCTTCGTGCTAACTCGGTTTGTTTACCTATTAACTCTCATATTCTCACACAGTCAACCCATGAAATTACAATGGGATGACGCTAATAGACCCTTTAAAAGTTAACTACGCCATTTTACTAGTTGTGAAAAAATAATTGAAAATTTTATGGTGATATCGCTAACGTGCGCAAGGGAAGGGTATCATGGTAGAATCGTTATCGAGTCTTGTATATCGCCATTGATTAGCGTCTTCAATTTCACTCTATTTTGATATATAAGAAAAACTTAGGTTTAAACTATTTTATAGCAAAAATATCCCCCCATTCACGTAACGTGTCGGCGAGCATAATTAGTTCTTCTCTCCGTACGTCATGCATACGTCATTCTCATCTTAGGTTTATTGATTTAACAACCGCAGTATGAATCTCCTTAATTTATTTTCCCAAACGCAACGGCTTCATACTTGTAATCTTTTTCAATCTGTTGAAATGCGGAAAAGTTGATGAAATATGTGAGAAAAAGCGTATGTTCCAGACGTGATGGGTGTTCTAGAAACTACAAAACTTTGAGCGAAGAGGTCAGAGGTGGACGTGGAGTCTGTTGCGTGAGATTAGATCACTGATCTGGATAATATAACTGAAGTGATGATACAATCACAATCGAGACTATCTTATGTCAACTGACTGGTCAAACACAGACGCTTGCACTTTGAGGTGCTATGTGCACCAGCATTGGTACAGCCGTACAGATGCAAACAGGTGTCATGCAGTGGGAATTCAACTTACATAACATTACATGAGGTTTTCAAGGACACCTGTTTTGCCTAAAATATACTTTCATACCTTCTATTTATTTCCACTTAATTAGCTAAATGACTTGGCTGGAAAAGACGATTTATGTCTTTCAGTTTTCTTGCATAGAACTAGACACAGTTGGAGGAAAAAACGAGAACAATTTCTTGAAAGTTGAAAAGAAAGATGTCGGCTCCCCTTAAAAATTTGTTGGAGAGATTCCTTTGTTTTTACAGGCAGATAACTGTACCTGTTGTTGACGCCAGTGTAATAAAAATATCAGATGCATGGAAAGATAAATAATTATAGTTTGTATAAAGTTAACAGCAAGATTAGAAATATTTCATTAAAAAGGGACACAGCTTGAAATGTTTCTAAGTTTAGATTACATAATCTACATGTGGAGCATGCAAGAATAGCGAAGCATACAGCAACTCTAACCTCATGTATGACAATTTAAAATTTCATTTGTTTACGATTGCTGCCTTGATTAAGAAGAGCTTGGTGTGACCACCACATTTTTAACAAATGTTTGATGAGTCAATGTTTTGCTTGTGGAAGTGAAGATCTCCACAGCTATTCAAATAAAGGATATTTGCTCGTTGAAGGTCGCATCACGGCACCTCAAAGAACTCCAACACCACTGACAACCCCACGTACGTTTGATTAGGAATGCGCGTTGGTCTGAACTCTGAAATTGACAGTACTCGCTCGCATTGGGCAATATGATTTAGTCATGAAATATGAAATCATCACTATATAGGTCCGCCTGACGTGCTTCTCACCGATCGTAATCCAAGACCATTTAATTAAAATGCAGACGCAGGACTGTATCGTAACCTAAGCACGCCTGTATACACAGCTATTGCAAAAAACTGGCAAACCTAAAACCTTTGTCATAAATGTAAACCCCGAAGTCTGTAAAAGGATGACACGTTGATCCCGTCATTTAGGTGAAAAAAATATTGCCTTCGGAGCAAGTAGATCTACAATGCTACTGAAGCAAGTTTCGAGTAAAAGAAGCCGAAAAGCCTCCTCATCCACTTAACAGTGTAGTGTTTAATGTTTGAAGAGACAACTTTATTGATTTTGGGTATTCTTTGGTTACTTAACTAAAGTTCAAACGCATTTTTACTCACCCTCAGCTGAGAAAAGATTTCAAACTTGGAAATTACAAGTTTGTACAAGTACCAGTCGCTTGGCAAAATCGTGTTTATGTTGCATGGCTGGCCAGGCTGAACCTTACAAAACATCATGCAATGTTTTGTCTTTCACTTTATAATTTTACTATGTTTATAACGAAAGTAAATAAAGAAACCACAGTTGATTCCTTCTTGAAATATGTTTTTCATCATACAATTTTTGTAAGTGTATAACGAAAATGTAGAAAAAAAATGGAGTTTCACTTTGAGCTATAATAAACAGCCCCTATATTTATGATATGATTTATTGTATGTTTGGAATATATTTCCGAGAAAATGCCAGACTTCGCCTATGATTAGCATCCTTCCGTTTAAGACTTGCCGGCCTTCATTTTCTATTTCATTTTACATGCTTTTAACTGCTGCAGTAACTGAACTGAAACCGAAAGTATAATAATTAATAAATGCAATAATTGTTTCGCTATAGTATAGGAGCAGGTGGTTCAGTTGTATATGCATGTTGTTTAAAAGACATCAGCGTTCGTTTGTTCACTGTACACATCTCTATCATTCATTATATATAACTGAAAATACGCAAACTACCAGGAGCAGGAATGTTTCAGAATAGCATACGAAAAGGCTACCGTTTGATTAGAAATCCCAAGCGCCATAAGGATGCACTCGAAGCTGTTAAAGAAACGGTGCAGAATTTAAATCTCACTGCTGATGAAAGGCTGAGACGAAGAGAAGATCTTAGAAAAATTATTAACAGCCTTTTAGGAATTCCACGGTTTTTCACGAAAGATATATTCGACGATTTTCATCAAGGATTAAAAACCGGCTTGGGGATCGGAGAAGAGAAGTTTTTAATAGCAAAACCGTGCAAGTTTATGTCACCTCGGGATTTTGCTAAGATTCTCCATAGTGACGTAGCTTCTGCAACGGTTTACAAGCTGTTTAAGAACCAGTTCAAAACAGTATGGGATACAAGAAGTGGGATTCCCGAAATGTTCAGCTATTATGGCTTTTGCAATGACGTCGAGACCGGGAGACGAGTGCAAAGGACTTCTGGGAAACCCGTTATGACATATCAAACTAGAAAGGCCCACGTGATATCGAGGTTATATCATGCACAGGAGAAGTTGAGTGAAATTAAAGAGTTGGACTCTCATCAACTTTGCCCTCCAGTTTATACCTGGGTGAGAAATGTGGATAACAAGTTGACAAAGTGGACGAAATGGAAGTGGGATGCTTTTGAAAGAAAATTTATTATCGATGAAAACCAAGGAGACGAAGGAAGTAAGAAACAGCTGGAAGATGATATCGATCAAGTGGGGTGGATATCATATGAACCGTTGAGAAATTACATTAAAGAGAACTCAAAACGAATCATCGAAGGAGAGCGGGATATTCTAAATGAAACATCACATCTTTACTGGCTGGTACTTGAGGAAGATGACGAGACAATTGATGATCCTCTAGCAGGTAGTGTCTCGCAAGTCTATGTCGGGATGACAAAAAGTTTGCAAGACAGATGGATTAATAATGGTAGTTCCCATTGTAGGAGCATGAGACGTGCGCTCAATACTTTGTGCAATAATGATCGTCTGGAATCCTTATCGAATCAAATGTTAGTGGACTTGCGACTTCTGCTTCACAGAGCTTGTAATCCTGATGGAACGAATTGTGGCTTGTTTATAATGAAGCACGATGGTGACTTGAAAAAGACAGAGAGAAAAATCCTAAAAGATGGTGTCCAGTTAGAAACCGTTCAAAGGACGTATTTATTGCAACCAAGAAATATGCTTGATGGAATGAATGGTCGAAGGTAGAATAATTGCATGTAACCATGCAGATTATTGTCTCATGAACAATCTGCCACAAAAATGTGATATCATTCTTAAAGACTTTTAAAATTACAGTACCGTTTGCGCATTACGTTGAATTAGTTTTCATTGGCAATATTATTAGAGAAATTAGAAATATCTGTTTATTATCTCTATTGTAAAAGACATTTTTTATGTATGCCATTTCATCTTAATTAAAATATCCTCCAACGCGCAAGATTTAACAATTACTTAATGGTTTCCGTGTTTGGATGGCCTGGTCCAAACACGCGGGAATGTTGCGAGAGTTAAGAATGTTGTAAGAGCCGAAGTAATTGTTTTATAAAATAACAACAAGAAGACCTGAATTTAAATTTAAATTCTTTAAAACTTTAAACTTCCGTGTTTGGATGGCCTGATCCAAACACGGGCTTCAACCAATCAGAACACGCGTTATATACATGTTATTTTATAATCACAAACACCTATGTATTTTTGAGAGATGAAAACACACTCCGGATGCATAGAATATACGTGTATAGTATATTTCACAGGATGAAAATTGCTAGACCAAATTGCAACGACAACTGCACACAGTATATCTATCCTCTCCGCAATTACACACAAAATTACGCGCCCACATTACGAAATGAAGCTATGCATTTAAGACAATAAACTTAGACAACCACGAGTTATATACAAAACTATACACATATGAAATATTCATATAGTTAGATATACGAGAGATCTCATGCGACGGCTTTTGGTGGTTGAAGATTAAATCCACCGCCAGTAAATCTTGGACCATCTGTTCTTTGAGGTGCAAATGGTGGTATGTTCGCCTGCTGCATCGTCCTCTCTCGTTCACTAAAACAAAATAACATATTTTGAAGTGCAACGTATTGTACTATAGAAACACCAATTATTACGTTTATATAGAAATAATATTGAATTGATGTTAAGAGTTGGGCTGAAGTCTTATCTGCGTAGGAAGAGTTGTTGTAAGGTAAAGAACCGGGCCACCATGTTGTTATCTGCTTCAAGATAACAAGTGAAAGTTGGAGATGGGAAAAGGACATTTTGCAGAGTCCACAAAACAGCAATGCTCTGAACTATCACATACCGTGCTTGTTGTTCTTTCCTCTTCTGCATATAATATTTTTTCTTCGCCTCTTGGAGTTCTTTTGATAATCTTTCAAGTTCATATTGATATTCCTTAACTTGTGCCTCGTACATGTTTAGTTCCGAAGCCATGCTCTTCAACTGCTTAGTTTTATCCTTCAATGTTTGTTGGTATAACTGCACCTGCTCGGCGACCTCGGGGCCTGGTTGACGAGCCAAGATTTGCTTCAGTTCCATGTACAACTTTTCTTTCTCTTGAATGAGGAGCTCTTTCTCAACGACCTGGAAATGAACAGGGTTTGACCAGTGAGCTCTATATATAATATGGAGTATAGGAACTTGGTTGCTAAAAGTGAAGCCAAAGTTGGCGGAAATTGAAGGAGCTATTTCTCAAGAACCTGGAAGACAAAATTAACAGGGTCTAACTGAATCCCAGTTGTATATAACACGCTTCTGGTTTGCCAAATTGCATGGCGAGGTGCTGACCATTCTTAGAGCGATGGTAAAACAAAAAGCACAATGATAAAAATCGTTTACCTCTTCTGTCTTCTGGATGAGTCTTCTTTGTAAGGTTTGAATCTTCTGAATCATCTCATAGGTGCTTGGATCACTTCCCTGGAGGTGAAATATTTAAAAAGATTAAAAAAAATACACAAAAAGTGTGTGTGCAGTACTGAAGAGTCTCTGTTAGCAGCCATAGCAGCACCTCTTCTAAGATGAAGACAAATTTTCTAGGTATTGATCAAAACAAAGATCTCTGACCTCCAACTTCCGCCAGCGATGAATATTCATCGGGTTCTCCAACTCTTCTTCCAAAGCTTTGCAACGCGTCCTCTCGCGCAGTAACTCACGCTGTGTGTGGTAAACCTCGCGTCTGAAATGAAATCATGCTTCCACATTTCATAACGGTTTTTCGAAACTTCTCTGGTTTCACTGGGGGCTCCCCACAGGACTCCCCACGGGACTCCTTACAGGGATCCGAACAGGATTTCTCCTGGGGTTTTCATTCTTCTTACGCACCTGAGATCTTCAATATTGGCGACATTCTTCGTAAGAATTCCTTTCTCACGTCGTAATTTCTTAATCTCTAACTTCAATAATCTGATGTCTTCCAAGCGTTGTCTGTACTGAATCTCACCTAAAGATACACCATGAAACCTTCAGCTGAGTGACTGAGTCATGAGAAAAGATGCTATCTCACGTCTTTACATGAAATGAGTGTCCTGACAATCTTGACCCGGGATCTAGCATGGGATGTCTTTGCAATTTCATTACCTTTGTTCAGGGTGGATTGTTGTATCTTGATTTTCTCATAGAGAAGAGCCAGCTCATCGTTCCGTCTCACGAGTTGAGTGCCAAGAATATCTCTTTCACTGATCACCTGAGACAAAACCATAGTTAGTCATGATTGAAGACTGATAGGAGTATTAGCTTTAGATCCTCACTTCGTCCCTACCCTCTCCTATACCCCCCTCTCAAACCCCTGCCATCCTTTCCTACCCCGGCCACCCTCTCAATGCTATTTTGTCCTAGACAGATGACCACCCACCTGGTCGAGTTCCTTCTTTTGCCTCATCCGTTCTTGATCTGCTTCAGAGATGATCTTCAGCAATTTTCTTTCTTCAGATTCTTGCTGTTCAATATAAGCCTTACTCTCGGCGGCTTCTTGTTTCATTCTCTGAAGCTCAGCCTTCAAAGCGTCTTTCTCTTTCTCCACTCTCTGGTGCTCAAGATGTTCCTTCACAAGAGCGGATTCCTTTGCGGTAATCTCCTCCTTCAACTGATCAATCTGATGATTCATGATCTTCAGTTTTCGTTTCATCTCCGTGATCTCGTCTTGAGATTCAATCAAGTTCTTGCTGTACAAATTCCTGTCACTACGCACCGCCTCGTATAAATTCTGCAAACAAAAGCACAAATATAAACGCAAATACTTCCTACTACCAATCAAAAACTCCGTTTTCTTTTACAAAGAAACAGCTTCAGTGTTTACCTGCTGTTGTTTTAACTTCGTTTCAGCCTCTGCTATCTTCTTCTTGTAATCAAAGATCTGCATCTCTCTCACTTTAACATCCTCCATATGTTGTAAGACTTTTTGAGTGAGCTCCCCGGCTTCGTTGATGTACCTGTCTCGTTCCTTCTCCAGCTGGAAAATAATCTTCCTCTGCTTCTGCGCTTCATCTTTATAATTCTGAGAAAACCCGACGTGCGCGGTTAGTGAGAACCTTATCAAGAAGATCTTTCTCATAAACGTTCATTTATGAAGACTTACCTGAATTTCCTGCTCAAGATTCTTTCTGGTCTGTTCGTTCAAACGGACCAGACCAAGCTGTTTTTGAGTTGCACTGGCTGCTTTCAGGAGATTCTATGGCGGTGGAAGTACAGTTAATAAATACAATTTTTATATTAGGATTTTTTCATTCAACAGACGCCAGGGTGATAATGCCAAGAACGGGCTTCTGGCGCATCAAACTGAAGATGAAGAATTTCTCTCACCTTATTTAGTATATCTCGCTCCCGCACAAGATCATCAATTACTTTTTTATCAGCTTCCGTTTGTTTTTTGCTCGCTTCCAGCTCTAGGATGAGAAAGATCATGCATATCAGACTTCAAGTCCCGTTTCCTTGCGAATATGTTTGCGCAGCCACAGCTCAACTCTTCAATTCACTTCAGCTTCAGGTACAGTACTCGTTTTTTTAATATTCAAATGAAAGATACCTTTTTCTAAACCGCTGATTTGACTCTTCAAGATCTCTTTCTGCTGTTCCACTTCCATTTTCTGATCTTCAGTTGTTCGTAGTTTTCTCTGAATCGTCTCTCTCATCTTGGTCAATCTTACAGAATCTTGTTTCATGATACTAATCTCATCTTCCTTCGCCTTCAGTTCCATCATCTTCTGTCCATTCTCTGTCGCCAGCTGATCGCAGTTCAACAACTGACTTTCAAAATCCTGCTGAACCTTTGTCAGACGAGTGTTCAACAAGTCGTTGTCCTTCGTTGCTTTCTCATTTAGAATCTAAAGTGTCGAAAATCATATTGTCAGATTCTCGGAAATCCCGACATTCTGGGAAAGATTAACGTAATACACTCACTCTCTGCTCCTTGAGTTGTTGTTCTAATCTCGAGATGTCATCCAGAGCTTTCTGAAGTTGATTTTGTTTTGTTTTCAATTCTCCTCCTTTGCTCTCCAGTTCAGTCTTTGCCGTTTTCAATTCACGTTCCATCTTCTCTTTCTTTCGACTCTCCCGTTGTGCTTCGTTATTCTTCACTTGTATATCTTCCTTCAACTGCCAAAAACAACAAACAAATCCTTCATCCATGGTGCTTCAGGACTGTAAAAATGCTTCAAATGTCTAATCGTTTTTTCGTGCTGTGCAATCGTTTCTCTTGTACCGTGTTCAGCAATTGTTTGTGAAAGCACCCCCCCCCCAATCATTCTTGAATGCCTTCAAAAAGAAATGATGCAAACAAACCTCTGCAATTCTCATCTCTGCTTCACCTTTCTCTTGTTCAGCTTTCTGTTGTTTTGCCAGCAACAATGACAACTCTTCACGCAGCTGAACAACAAAAATTACATCAATCATTAAATGTTGAACTAACACGGACCAGTTACTACCACAATTTCTGACAACGTACAGTACATGATAACTGATTATCAAGTCTTACCTTCGTGATTTCTTGTAATTTTTCATCCCTTTCTTTTGTGAGATCATCTTTGATTTTTAACAATTCATTTATGCTAGAAACATGTAAAATGCCATAAGCCAAAGACTTATGAAAATAACATCATACAGTAGTTAATTAACCGAATGATGGCATTACTACCTGTGATCCTGACCCATGGAAAGACCAGCTCCTTGTTCAACCAGTTTACTCAAGTTTGAAATTTCTAATTTCAACGACTGAATAGTTTCCCTGGCTCTTTGTTCCTTGTCATGAGCTGCATCAACCATCTTCCACGCTTTCTCAATTTCCTGGTTTACCAAAGAAAATACTTATAACCATGATCACATTTCCTGATCAAAAAGTGCTATGAGGAAATAGCACTCACCTTTTTTAGAGAGGAAATTGTGTTTTGATCTTCTTGTGAAAGTTTCAATGCAGTCTGAACCTTGGCGGCATTTGCCACAATCTCGCCATTTAGTTCTCGACATTTCTGCATCAGTCGTTTTTCACTCTCGTGGGATTTCTTTAAAGCTCGATGTAACTTCTCATATTCCACTCGAAACTTCTCCAAACTTTTATCGCCCATAAGCTCACCCAGCACCTAAATATATGTAAGTGACTACAGGTGAATATCCCAGTATCGTTCAGTTTGTGACAATAAAGAATTGGCTAAAAGTTAAATGAATAATGTCACAGGGGTACACATTTGTTGCTGTTGACATGATCTGGCTTAACTGAGATTTAAAAAAAGCATGAAATGACTTTGAGGTATTTGAATAAGCAAATAACATGATCCTGAGTCAGGTAACCAGGCTTATGTAAGTAGATCCCAAGATCATGCACAAATTGCAATCGGGTATTCACTCAAAATTTAAGACATTTGCATTGTATATATACATAAATCAGTCTATTTAAACCCATTACCTCCTGAAAGTCTCGTTCCAAAACTTCAAAAGCATTTTCCTCAAAGGCAGGCTTCTCAGACGATTTCTACAAAGAAATTATCGGATAATTCAATTTTAAAGATGTCTATAGGCTATAGCGTATTGGTATTTTATATCTACCATTCCAGACCAACGCATCCCAGATGGGCTTTACTGGCATAAAATATATCCTGTATATTGCAGAAGGGAATTGCTTTTCCGATCTACGTATATTTAGTTGTTTATCTGGCTAGAATATAATTCAAAACAAAATAACAACACACAATAGTGCTCGAGTCGAAGCCGTAACTCCTTCCACAATTTTAATAGTTTCTATCATCACACAGCATCTAAATTCACCGTAATGTTAAGACGAATATATCTTTTATCATCTTACCTCCGTCATTTTTAAAAGGGATTATTCGTATTGATAAAATTATGCCTTTCTTTCTACATTCTTGTATAAGTATAAATGATGGCGGATTTCTTCTCTATCGTTTCTGTTACCTTGACAACGTAATCACGAAATACCAGATCCAGGCTCCTACCATGGTTCACCGTTCCGACGTCTCCTCTGGAACTCTCTTGATTACGACAGCGATGAATAACAATATTAAAATTGAAATATATATTAAATAGTTTTTACCACATGTACTTTTTCTTAGACTCTCTTAGAATAAAGCTGAACTAAATCGATTATGATTATTAACTCTAGCAATTTCGTCTTCAAAGCTGTTTTCTGGATTTCGTTTGTTGACACCGTCAAATTTTGTTGGGTGTAATTAACTTCTGATAGGTTTTTTATAGTAGGTTATACATAAGTTATTTAGAAATTTATTAAATATAATATTCAAGTGCAGATCAACACCCGTTAAGTATGGAGCAATCTCGAATCTGTTCTGTTAAAACTATTTCGTTGTGCATGTGTGACTTCAGATATCGAAATAGCAAAATATTTTTACTCGGTTTAATAGTTTTTGAGTGATGTGTTTCATTGAGGGTCACCAGCCAGCATAGCTTGGTGCGCTGTTATTACTGAGAAGTCCTTCTCGTTCTCTTCTTGTTCTTGCCGTTATGCTAAATAATCTAAATAAACAAAAAGGCTTTCAGATATTTTTCAATTGACATTTGTGGATAGCGATGTAAAAGCCAATACAAGAATGCCTGGAAGAGATGGGAGTTTAAAACATCGACTGACCTTCGTCGTCGTAAACGTTTTACGATAACCGCAATAAGAGCGACGCCAACAATGATAGAAGCAGTTATGAGGATGATTAGAGATACCCCAGGATAACACGTCTGCAAAACACAACATGTAAAATTCTGTCAATCGATTTCCTCTGTAAGACTCGCAATACTGTATACCCCGCTAGCAGAGCATTCTTTACCTTACGTTCAGCTTATACCTTTCTTATGGGGTATCGGGGCGACGAGCGGCGAAGGAAAGGTAAGGTAAACGATGCTCTGTCCATAAAAATCTAGCGTCAAGTTAAAAGCCACCTGGGAGAGGTTAAATATTTTTCTATAAGGACAACACCTCAGACACGATTTTGTCGTATTTCATTGCTCGGGTTAACACAAACCTCTCCACTTCTCTCATACAAATCTGGACAGGGATCACCAGGTTCGACACTACCAGGAGGACATGACTCATCATAGGAGCAAGCCACAGGTCCCTGACCTGCGTTCTACATAGAACCAGAAGTGAATGAAAACAGGCGTTAAAATATGACTCCAACCATTTCAAACTCAAAAATCACTTGTCCTGCATGAGAAAAGATTGGGAACAGGACTGGTTGGCACCTTAACCCTGCTAACTAATCTATCCATTAGAGGTTAGGGAGATGGTCACACCCAAGGGTGAATTCATTGAATCCTATCGTAGTTCCAAATGGATCTTACTCACCGGACAATAAAACCCGCGAGGGCACTCTACACAACTTCTGCTTCCAAAATGAACTTGATAATATCCACTAGGACACGGCTGACAGGAAACTGTTCCTTCGGGTTTGAAAAAACCTGTAAAAATATGCAACGATTCATTGAATCTGCGGAGTTACAGTTAGATCGTGAAGGAACTTTTTGTACACGCCATACCGTTTTGACATTCAGAACATTTCATTTGTCCAGGTTTAAAGTTTGTATCTTGACCACCTGGACATAACATACACTCACTACAGCCTGAATGACTGGAGAAAAAAGCGAGAAACGAAGCATATTAATTTGTGGAGGTGTATCGAAAACTTGCAGCCAAAACGCGTTAAAAACTGAGAGGAATATCGCAGTACACAGCATGAAGACGCCTTACCTACACACATAACCAACAGGACATACTTCACACGACGTTTTTCCCTCGCTGCTTTGGTATGTTCCATTACCACAGGCGAGACATTTGGTTGCATTTGATAAGGTATTGTAATAACCTTACAGATGAATATAGAAATAAGAAATTATAAATCACAGTAAAAACCTTTGTTATGCCAGAATCAGCTAAATTTTTAACAAGGTTTAATCCTGCTAGAGAAGGGGTCGTAAAGTACTGTAACAGGTTCGTAACAAGTTCCTACAGTACTGTAACAGGTTTGAAACAGGTTTGAAACAGGTTTGTACAGTGCTGAAACAGGTTTGTACATTGCTGTAACAGGTTTGTGACAGGTTTGTACAGCACTGTAACAGGTTTAATTCATAGCAATAGATATACCTTTTGGACAATTGTAGCACTTGGTTAATGCTGATACGTTAGCAAATGTTCCAGGAGAGCAAGGTTTGCATTTGATACTTTGAACAGAACTGAAAAAAATCCATCCCCAAATATAAAACAGCACAATATTGATATTTCATCAATGAAAAACTATGGCAGTACCTTGAAATATACCCAGGTTTACAAGCTAAACATGAACTTGATGCCTTATTGGGTTGATGATAACCTAGAAGAGAAATCAAAGTTGATGATCTTGCTAAATTGGACCAAACCATGGCTCAATTGTAACAGGTTTGTACAGTACTGTAACAGGTTCCTAACAAGTTTGTACAGCATTGTAACAGGTTTGAAACAGGTTTGTACAGTGCTGAAACAGGTTTGTACAGTACTGTAACAGGTTCCTAACAAGTTTGTACAGCATTGTAACAGGTTTGAAACAGGTTTGTACAGTGCTGAAACAGGTTTGTACAGTACTGTAACAGGTTTGTACAGTACTGTAACAGGTTTAATTCATAGCAATAGATATACCTTTTGGACAATTGTAGCACTTGGTTAATGCTGATACGTTAGCAAATGTTCCAGGAGAGCAAGGTTTGCATTTGATACTTTGAACAGCACTAAAAAAAATCCATTCCCAAATATAAAACAGCACAATATTGATATTTCATCAATGAAAAACTATGGCAGTACCTTGAAATATACCCAGGTTTACAAGCTAAACATGAACTTGATGCCTTTTTGGGTTGATAATAACCTAGAAGAGAAATCAAAGTTGATGATCTTGCTAAATTGGACCAAACCATTGCTAAATTGTAACAGGTTCGTAACAAGTCTGCACAGCATTGTAACAGGTTTGAAACAGGTTTGTACAGTGCTGAAACAGGTTTGTACAGCACTGTAACAGGTTTAATTCATAGCAATAGATATACCTTTTAGACAATTGTAGCACTTGGTTAATGCTGATACGTTAGCAAATGTTCCAGAAGAGCAAGGTTCGCATTTGATACTTTGAACAGCACTGAAAAAAAACACAACAAAAAATATAAAACTGCCCCAATAAATGTTGATATCTAATCAGTGAAAAACTATAAAATATTTATTACACAGTACCATTCTATGGCAGTACCTTGAAATATACCCAGGTTTACAAGCTAAACATGAACTTGATGCCTTATTGGGTTGATAATACCCTAAAAAAGAAATCAAAGCTGATGATCTTGCTAAATTGGACCAAACCATGTTGGTATACATGCAAAATCATGAGCTAGTACATGGGTCATGGAATACTGCTTATATATATTTATACCATCAACTTCCCTCTCGGCAATTTTTATTAGAAAAACATACCAGCTTCACACTTGAGGCATTTTGTCATTTTGCTGGAGTTTGTAAACGTGCCTGCTGAGCAATCTTCACATCCAGTACTTCTGCTTTTACTACAAAAAGTTGGAGAAGAAATATTGATGATAATTGAGCAGCAATTGAAAGTTTTGAACTCTCTTGGCTTCGTAGTTTACCTTGAAAAATGGCCTGGTTTGCATTCCAGACAGCCCTCGGCTCCTTTATTTGGTTGATAATATCCTAAAGATGAGTAAATACATCTTAAACTTGTTCCACGAAGCCTGTTTTCCTCCAACCAGCTTGTTAAGGTACAAATATATGTAAGATTAACATCCATTGAAAAGCCAATCTAAGATTTGTTACCTAATGCATACCTGCTTTGCAATCTGAACAGGCTGTCAACCCTTCTTTACTTGCAAAAGTTCCTGCAGAACATTCTTCACATTTAATGCTTTTTGCTGATCTGAAATTAAAAAAGTCTCTCTCTCAAGACCAGTTTTAGAAAAATATCAATGACCTGGCCATTTTGCAAATATTTTTAGATAGAAATTTAATTGTACCCTGAATAATGGCCAGCTGGACAAGGTGGACATGCCTTGTTACCAGGAGATGGTTGATATGAGCCTGGTAAGATGACAGTGTCAATATATATTACATAAAACATTGACTAACAAGCAAAAATTTAAACAGAGAAGCATAGCTGTTAACCTGCTTTGCATTCTGTACATAAAATTGATCCAGTGACACTTGAACATGTTCCTGCAGAGCAGTTTTGACATTTTGTGCTTTTTGTTACACTAGAAGAACACAATTATGTTTCTCAATAAATTGAAGACATTTTGTTTTAAATTCTTTTGTGCAAGACTAATGTATAAATACTATATTCCAGAACCTACAGGCATGATTAGTCAATCTTTATATATTTATCTATATATATTCAATGGTATTTGTTCAAAAAATAATAGTTTATAATTATGAAACATACTTTGAAAATTGTCCTGCAGGACAAGGTTGGCATGAGGTGCTACCTTCCTTTGATTGATAATGACCTGGAAACATTTTTTCAAAGCTTCGTGAATTAAAGTTAAATTGATTGGAAAATATCTATGATGAAACAAACAAATAATTATGTACCTTTGGAACATGGAGTACAAGCTTTTGAACCTGGTGACTTGCTGAAGGACCCAGCAGAACAGGTTTTACATTGCACACTATGCGATCCACTGTTAAAAAAGCCAGCATTCAATTAGTTGTTACTAACTACTAAGTAATTGACTAATTCTTATTATCTTGATCCAGTGAATAGTACACATTATATATAGTACACATTATAGAATTATATACCTTGAAAAATTTCCTGGTGCACATTTTAAACAGGCAATAGCACCTTTCTTAGGTTGATATTCTCCTTAAAGAAAAATAGGCTGGTTAATTTCTAACTACTTGTTCAAAGTGCCATAACAATTACTATGTACATAGTGATAAACTGTTCATTTTCATACACGATGAAACTCATTGGAAACAAATGTGATGGTTATGAAAATACGACCATACCTGGTATACATGCAGAACAAACTGAGCCACCTGCTTTACTATAAGATAAAATTTCAGGGCAAAATTTACCATTTATTCCGTTTATAATATCAATAATGTCTGCAACAGTCAAAACAAAATTATTGAAAGTTTGTAATATATTAAATGGTAGTGATTCCTGTTGTGTTTTGGGACTTAATTGTTAATGAGAGGCATGAAAATTTGACCAGTCAGGCATAATGAATAAGATAGTTGCGAACACATACCTGCTAATATACCCAGGAAGACATTGTTTACACAATGCTTGCCCAGTCGCATTTTGAAAACTTCCAGCTGGGCATTTTGTACAGTTTACAGCCCCATTGCAAAAACCAGTTTTATTACAATTTTTACAGGGAGGTAATGCTGAAAAATATAAGATTAAAAGGTCAATTAATTGACATGCGAAATCCCTGTATCAATGATAAACCTGCATGAATACATACTTTGATTTGCAAAGGCACCCTTCGGGCATGCTGCACAAGATAGCCTTACACCAGAGCTGATATCCAAATGACAAACAAAAGCAATAACTAAAATAAATTTAAATGAATCTTGCAATTGGTTTATATACATGAAATGGCTTTCTTAAAATATAAAATATCAATGGGAACGACAATTGTAACATAGCATCATAACAATAGACTTCTATATTAACTTAAAGCCACTACTGATGAGCAAAAAGTTGTGTTTCATAAAATGTGAAAATAAATTATATCTGGTCACAAGATGAGCTAATAATTTGGTTAATCAAATACGGAATTCAATTGTAAAAAAATTAACTTTCTAATAGAAAGTCACTACATTGATTAGTTTAATATATAATTTGACTGGCCTTCACTTAAATTTTTTGTAGTATTATTACACTGGAAATTTGCTAGTCAGTAGAGGTACTGGTGAAGGTGTTAACGAAATAAGCTGACTCATTTGACAGTCAAACCTGTAGTTATCTACGAGAATCACAAGACAGGTTTAAGTGCCATGACAAATTATCACTATTAAAACTGCCATGACGTTCAAACATTTCTGCGCAAATTCGAAATTTATAATCATCAAACACTAACTCATATTTAGCCCATAAAGCAAATTTCTTCCAAGGTAAATATAGTAACATAACTGACAAGGAAAATGGTAAAATTAAAAGACAACAAAGTGTAGTAATGTGTGTAGAACATACCAGTGAGAAATACTAGGAAATGGCGTATTGACATGAACATTAGCTAGCTATAGCAGCGTATAAATTTACATCAAGATTTCTTTATCAGAGCTTTTCCAAAGATATAGAAGGACCATCACACGATTAAACACATGACGCATTAAAAATAAACAAAAGTTGGAAGCTCCACATGCAAATCGTGAAGGAATCCTGACTTTTCTGGAACATTGAGCAATATTACGATGCAAAATTAAATCAATACTCGTAGTTCAAGGTCGCTCAGCCCGCAAACATTCTGCACAGTCAGCATTGACGTCACCGCCCTAAAAGAACCTCGTTTTCAAGTGTTACTATTATTAATTTGCAACATTAGAGTATTTCCTATTTCCTTGACGACTGCAAACAATATAAAGAGAATTCAATTGATGCTTTATTTCCTGTGAGAAATAACAAGTTAATACCTATCACAATAGCATACCTTCTCTCCAAAATCGCACCAAAAACGCCACTCATTTTATAGTACGGAATGACTCATGTTGCAATTAGTGCCGCGAAAGGACATTCTAATGGCGGGAATCGAAGAAGACGTAAACAAATGGAAGTTAAGAAACAAATTGACGACGATTCTCTTATGGCCAGTTCTTCGGGCGATGTTACATGGCTGGAACAAACGTTAAGAAGTAATTTTAAAAAGGCGCTCAGTCAGACTAAAAAACAAGGTTTTAGCACAATACATCTGGCTGCAATGAATGGACATTTGGAGTGCTTGAGAATTCTTATAGAAAAACAAGGAGTTCCAGTTGACTTGGAAAGCGAGACGGGATGGAGAGCTGTACACCTTGCTATCAATACAAAAAACAAAACAAATTCTCTGAAGTGTCTGATATACTTACTAGAACATGGTGGTGATCCATCAAAGTGAGTATGGTAGATTGATATCCACCAGTTGGACAGTTAATACTGTAGATAATCAACTAATGACAGCTTTTTTCATCCTCTAGACCAAATTACAATGGTTTCACCCCAGTACACCAAGCAGCGTCTACAGGCCATGTTAATTGTCTTAGAGCACTTATTGATGCTGGAGCGATGATCAATTCTCTCGACTCTGATAATCTGTTACCAGTTGACTATGCGCGTATATGGGGCCATAGAACATGTGTTAGGGTATTGAACGCTCACCAGTGGCATATTGATAAAGAAGATGAACTAAAACACAAAATAAAGATTGCAGAGGAAAATGAACATATGCAAGAGGAGATTCAGAGGTTGGATCTGGAGGAAAAATCGCATAAAGTTGAAAGGTGTAAGACAGCCTTTGCACAGTGGTTGGATAGCAAGGGATTATCAGACACACTTGAGTGCTATGAACCATTTTCTGTCAAGGTTGTTGACCCTAAATCTGGTCCAAAACCAAAGAAAAGCCCTTCTCCAGTTCTACCAAAGGTTCATGCAACTGGCATGATTGCAAATTCATCAATACCGGAACTTCCGCTTGAGTTGAAATCTCTTTATCATCAATATATGGACGAGTTTGAAGAGGAGAAACGTCTGGACTTAATACCACTTGCAAACAACTCTGCATCTAAGAGACGACAGAGAGCACAAGATACATTAAAGGCTATGAGAGATGCTGGTCGTTAGATTTGAAGCTAAATAATGAAATATATAGAGAATAATACATGAATAGACAGAAATATGTTGTAACATACAAAGACAGAATACTACAGTTAGCCCAATGGAATTTATTTACATTGATGTATATATTAAGATAATATTTATTATTGATGAGCAATCATCAGTGGGTCATATATGATTATGAAGTTTGAGTGGTTAAAAGCAAATGGATTGCCTTGACAAAAGTTAACCACAGAATATTTCTTCATTTTTCCAAATCATTTTCACACAATCAACTGCACACTGGCATGTAATTTGGTGAGACTCTCTTTCAACCTCCTTAAACCCCAATTTGCTGTAAAATTGTAGGGAATTTAACGATGCAGATACTTTTATAAATCTTGCATCTTGCTTCAATGCAATTGTTTTAACCTGGTTGAACAGTAGTCTACCTAGACCATGACCGCTGTGACTTGGGTCAACAAACAAGCCTTTTATTTCAAATTCATTATCCAAGTCTCCTGATTCATTAGCATCACCTTGCTCATCATGACCACCAGTATGGTGAATAAAGGCAACTACTACCCCATTGCTTTTTGCAACAAGTATAGCTCCGCTTTCCAGGAAAGGTATATATGTTTCTTCCTTTTGTTTTCCAGACCATATTAAAATTTCTTTCTCCCCATAATGACTCGAGCAAAGCTGTTTTATGGCCGAGGTATGAACCTCGTATATTCTCTTTGAATCTTCTACCTTTCCCTTTTCAAAAGTATAGGAGATATTCTCCATTTTTTTAAAAATATATATATAGTTCAGTTGTTCAGTTATGACGTCAGAACGCCACTGATCTATGTTGAAAATCAGGATTTCGTAGTGGAAACATTTTTGCCAACATGGCGTTTGACAGCCAAAAATATTTATTGTATTTTTGATTTTTTTTTCAGATATATGATAATATTTTAAAATGTTTTTGTATTTACTAAGCTGGTTTGCAACCTGTATTCAAATACTCTTTGTCACAGTAGCGCTGGGTATGTATATTCATACGATGAAGACTCGTAGGACTGTGTATTAATTATGGTTATGGTACAGTACTGAAATTATATATTGCTAACTGCCGTTGGTACTTAATAAATCTGTGTTATTCGTACCTTATTAAATATGGTTAATTTACTGCTTTAGCATCAGCCCTGTACTATTTGGCAGAGTTAGTAGAAGAGTACACTGTCATCGCAGGCAGAATGATCAAGATTATGATTGGTGTAAGTGGAAATAATACCAAAAAAATAAAATATCATATACCTTTGACAAAATTGAACAATGGCTTAACATATCTTGTGTTTTTCTACCAGGTTGTTACAGTTGCTTATGTTGGTCTGTTATTGTTTGAGAGTTTCCCTTGGTACATTGTAGCACTTGGTTTGGCTACAAATGTAGTCTACTTTTTATTGCTCAATGATTTTCCATACATCTCGTTCACGTCTCCTGTTTTTCTTCTCAGTGTAGGTGTGTAAATAAATATATTATAGATGCAATGAATTAATACCATGCATATTGCAGACACTCAGACAGATTTTGAGAGGGGTGCTAAGCCAGATGCTCCTTAAGGTTAACTGATTTTTGAATACCTGATATAAAAAAATTGATAATCCATTTTTCTTTCTTCCAGTATTAGTTTTTGTCAACCACTATTTGGCATTTCAGTTTTTCTCACAAGTGTACTATGCATTCTCTGAGGTACAGTATAAAGAAATATATACTCCCTGGACATCCTCACTCATAAAGGGACACGCACTCCAAGTGGGCAGTGGGGAAAGCTACCCCCACCTCCCTTGGGAGGAAGTGGGCCCAGCCCTTTGCCACCATAAAGCAATATCAAAATACATTCCTCTGCGGATCCAAAGATCTATGTTATAACTTGTTGTCTTCTTCAGATACTTGGATATTTCACTGTCTGCCTTTGGATTCTACCTTTTGCATTCTTCGTGTCCTTATCAGCAAATGATAATGTCCTACCAACAGCCTCCATGCAACAAGGCCCAAACACAGGTGTGTATTTCTTTCTGGAGCACGTCATCTGCCACACGCAAGACAAATACTTCAAATTTATGCCTTTTTTTCAGATTACACATATGTTGGTCAATCATCATCGAAACGACAAGGAATACTCGCGATATTTGATTTCATATACTCTCAATTGCAGAACATTTTTCCTACGCGATCTGTTAAGAGCTTTTAATATGAAAAAAGAGAACTATAGATGATATTCACTTGTAAAATCATTAAAATGCCCGTGTTTTATTATACTTATAAAGTGTTTAACCAACGCTGCTACCGCATGGATTCCTCTCAAATCTTAATAGCGCGTTTACTATTGGAGGTAGAGTGGAAAAAATAAAGACGAAAGACACCAGAGCTTTACGCGGTAAAGAAACAGTGTGATGATCATAAGTACGATAGTTTTCAGAGCTGTGACAGCTGTCTGTACAAATAGAAATTTCTTTCGGTTTACTCTGTAAATCTCGTATTTTTTTCATTAAAGAGTTTTAACAACAGTCATCTTTGTAATCTCTCCTAAGACTACCTTCCCGAATTCTCAATATAAAACCATTCTTGTTAATAAATAAATCATCACACAATGAATATGGGATACCACGCAGTTAGAGAATTCACCGCAACAATGACATCACTTCATACGTCACACATCACACACGTCACTTATGACGTCACTTATACAGTACCAGACACTGGTTCCAGACCATTCATGACCATACTCGAAGTCGCTCGATTTACCCACGCGTAGAAGGAAGAACCGGCAAAATTGTAATCCATTTCTGCGTGTGAAAACATATTAAACAAAATCAAGGTCCGTCCCAAACACGTCCGGTTCCGTTTCAACGTATCCTTATAAGGAAAGATCTACACACGACACACGTTCCTATGCATGGATGAACGTTTCTCTGGCCGAGTTTGTCTAGACAGGTGATCTGTACCCTTAGTAAATATGATGTATATCTCGATTCAATAGTGTTTTCCGATGTAAATACCCTTCGATAAACCATAACCATTGAATGACCTCTTAACGTTCTCATTGAAATCAAACTATCCTCAGTGGAGCCTCTACATCAAAAACAATAGGAATTTGCGCAAGTATTATGTCAAGTGGCCCGGATGTGAACCGACATAAATCATCATATTTACACAGGCGTTGTAAGACACCGGAAGATCTTTCGCCATATTCCTTCATTACCTGACAATTTGCTAATCTTAAACAAAGAACCTGCATGTTACTGATTTAACACAACACTTGACGGTTCTCAAGACAATATAGGTAAGTGACATTCATTGAATAAGGACAACTGCGCGCAACTGATTAGAGTCAAATAAAGACAGACGATTTATCCTATTCGCAATGTTATGTTTGTGGTCATTGATGCATCAATCGCTTTGTCTCTGTGATTATTTTCGAATTCGTTTATCCCCGACATCTTTGGGCATTACCAATTAATTATGAAAACAGCCTTCGGTCGTAATAACCTGGAGTGATGGTACATTACTCAAAGTGCAGTGGTAAAAGTATGCTTAGAGCTACAGTTGTTGCTGAATGAATGCGTTCTTATAATATATAAATCGTTTCTCACTTGTTAACAAGTCTATCAATCACTTTAGTAGATAAAATTGCTCAAAAATTTAAAAATTAATCTTATCTGAATACCATTTTAAAAGATCAGCCAACAGCATGTTACAAGGCTCGCCAATGAAAAAGCGTCTGCAACGGATAGATTTCTGTAGCCTGCATGGTTTTACACAGTCATAATGGTTCGTGTGATCATAGAGCGCGCGGATCTCCTGTACACGTGTGCAAAAGTCCTGCTCGTTTTATCATGGGGTTAATTAATGACGCAATTCAATTAATAGAAAAACGGAATTGAGTACAAAGACCTAAGACAATTTTTGAGGGATTTCTACCCCACGTTATATAAGTTATTCAACCTTTGTTGTTTAGGAAGTGTTTTTTCCCCAAAAAAGATCTCATAACTACCTCAATTAAAGCACGTAGAGTCCCTAAATTCCTATAATAATTGTTCATGCTTGTAAAATCCATTCTAGAATCATCCTCAGATCTAGAGGTATGAATTACATTGATATAAATTTAAACTTAATCAACCCGTGAATATAGAAAATGACTTGTACATGATGCAATTACAACAGCCACGTTGAACCCACGCGGTTGTGAAACACGACTCATTTATGCTAAGAGGGCATTTCATTCAAGTGCGCAATGACATTTACGCAACGTTGGCATGACAGCGCACGTAATTCCTGATGCAATATCAACTCGCCTTCACTCTTTTTCCTTCGTAAAACGTGTAAATAATAATACTTCGTACCAAACAATACACTGAAATGAACGCGTTCGACTCTTGCTTGTAGTAGAGATAAAGATTAGCGCGTTTTCGTGCGCGGATATCGTGGTGAATCCCTGTGTTTATTTGAGTTGGATGACGTGCGGGGGCGGCTGACCTCAATACCGGAAATGCGGTTAATGATTGTTTTGGGCGAGGTCTCGTTCTGCGCTGTGATTGGCTGTTGCGATGATTGATAGGCAAAGAACACGCACAAAAGCATTCGATTTCGCGAACTATATGCATTTTGAAAACAACATAATTTCGTAGTTTATCGAAGACAAGAGAACCCGTAAACGGCTTGAATATTTTATTTGCGGTTAAAAAAATGATGGATCGGGTTAAGAGAAACGATAAAGCTTTCGCTGAGTTTGAATGGATGGAGAAAATGGATGAATTCGACAAGCAGATCGAAGCTGAATTGTGGGAAGAAGAACTCATCCGTTGTTGTATTGAACAACTGCTGGAAGAGGAAGAAGAAAGAGAGTCGTTAACAGCTGCAGAGATTCTACAGCAAAAGATGGAAACGACGACGTTGGACGGAAGAAATGGAGCGAACCAGAGACCCGTCAATGGCAGTGTTTTACCGAACTACCAAAACGGTTACACGTCCAACTTCACGGTAAGTTATCGAGGCTTTGAAGCTTTTTAATCTACGGTCCGACGACTGTTTGACGGTTTTTAGCGTACTCTCATTTATTAAACATGCCCGCAATTGATCTCGCTTTGAAACACTTAAAAGTTTGCGCTTAAAAAACTTTGGGAATCCACAAAATACGTTCTCTAAAATTGTAAATATGTACTAGTCGAGTCCTTTACATTTATACTACAAACGCACGCTTTTGAACAACGAGATGAAAAAGGCTATAGATACACAATTTATACACAAACCTCTAGACCTCTCTTAAGTATCTTGAAAGCGACATTGTTTGCCCAATTGGTACAGATCATTTAAAGCTTTGAGTAGTTGCATAGCATCTTAAAAATATAAAAGTAGAGTATATGATGTAGAGTATATGGCCACTTGACAACTTCTATAATGGAATTATTCCGATAGCATTGTATTCAAATCGACAAGCCTTTGTCGGACGTTATATGCGGAATAACTTGTGCACTTTTAAGATATTGTCTGAGGTTAGGCGTAGAAATGCCTTGTTACTTTACAATTAAGTTTGGACTACCATTTGAAGCTCCATACTCAATGTTTGTTCTTCACTGACCTATGCCCTTGGTCGCTTAGTAAACATTAACATAATCTTTTTTGTCATCTGACAACAACAATCTTTCTGGATGGTCTCCAAAATTTTTTTGGATTATTTATTTTTATCCATGCCTAAAAATTGCTTAAGTAACTAACATCTGTTTCTTTTTTAATTAATTTGTTGTTTTCCAATTCCACCTGGCCAAGACAATAATGGTCTTATGTTTATCAAACATTTTTCAATTGTTTATAGAAATTCATTTGTGATTATTGTGAGACACCCATGTATCACATTAATTATTCCCCCTAATTGATGGCAGAAAGTGCTTGTGGCTGTGGTGTCCTAGTTTCTATTTCAGGCTGGCCCACTTATAAGCTGATAACAAGGAAATAATAAAGTTTAATTGTTCAACCTATCGATATTTGCACCTATCCACAAAAGCTTTCTTCAAATATATCAAACATAGCAGTACAATCAAATATATAATTGTATGTCTTTCTTTTACAGGGAAGAAGTACGTTAAATCCAAATGCAGCTGTGTTCGTCCCCCGCAATTGTCAGGCATCGTCATAACAACAATGCATGCCGCAAGACATTGATGGCATGAGTCTCCATTGTGTGTGAATAATTCCTAAATTATTGTACATAAAATTTTTACGTTAGACTTTTGCCAGCATTTGTAAAGATATATTTTAAATTAAATTGTTATATAAAATAAAAGTTGTGGTTAAAAACATGTTTTTGATTTGTCATCCCACTCACTTGACCAGATTTTATTAAGAAATGCATGTGTTTATTTTAAGGCTACTGTAGTTTAATCAGGAAGGTTACCTCTACAGTGGAGTAACTGAGCCTCTTTCTAGTGTATGGAACCACTTGAGCCTCTTTATAGTGTTTATTGTACTGCAGTCACCAATGGGTACCACAAACTTGAAAAGGGACTAGAGCCTTAGTGCTTGATATAAATGGCTAATTCCCTGCTAGGTTAATCATTCTGGTTAGTTGAATTACAATATTAACTGCATATTTTCTGATGGTAAAATGATTTCGAGAATTCAGAACGGTTGCTTTAGAGTCGTAAAATAAATGAGCCCAAATAAGTTACTTTATAAGATGTGTGCAAAGAGGCTTACTTTCTAATGTTGTTTCACAGGCATAATATCCTGTGCACAGACCTTGACGTACTACAGGTACATAGGCATACAAATCAGATAATCTCGTAAACCAATTTCAAGGGATTTAGTCATGATGCTTTTTTCCAAGGTGATAGACAAGGACGTGAGATTATGTTTGTTCATCTTGAAAGATTATCCACCGAAATCCCCCACCCAATGCCTCATCTGTTCTCTAAGTATTCAAATTTTAATAGGTTTAGAGACCCTGGCTCCCTGCTATGACCTCGTTGCGCAGTTGCACCTTATATATGTGCGTGTGGTGCGTCTTATTCCTATCACTTTTACAAGAGCTGTTCACAGCCAATCAAGATCCATACACTCAGCCAATCCCGAAGCAGATATATAGCTAGGACTGGACTAATACGCGTGGCTGGACTGTTGAGGTGTATGTACTTCACACTTCTCAAGTTTATCAAAACAACTCCTATCAACAGCACCATTTATAGATGACCACAACTCATGACACGGTTTGTTTGTAGGCACATCTCTGTGCATCAGACAAAACTGCAACTTCTGCGCAGATAATTTTTATTATCACTGAATCCAAACAGGAGTAAGGCTGTGAGTGGCGACCTTATTAAAACTTTGGCTATTTATACACAAGAGTGTATATACTTCCTTCCGTTAAAATTGTACAATTGGCCTCTTTTTTCACAATTCTGGATGCTCGCTCGATTTCAAAAACAACGTATAAATGGATTAACACTAAGAGATGATACTTCAAAGAGGATTTATTATCATCCATGGATCCTTACATCATCAAAATATTTCATCACGTCATTTCGCAACTAAGCTTAAAGGAACTAACGTCAAATACAGACAACTGTTATCAAATAACAGTCTAATATTTGTCTCATTTATGCACCTTGATGTAACACTGAGTCACTGCATGATGATGCAAAACTGTACGTGTTTGCTATTGTGTCTAGACTAAGGAATCCTGCAAACTTGAGGATAGAATTCATGACCACGCCTTGCTGGAAATAGATTTTTTACATAACACAAAACAGGTTTCGGTCTTCTGCTTTTTGTATAATTTTCAGCTGTCTGTTGCATCTTCATGAATACACAAACATCTCTCCTGCTAAGCCGAGCTTGTCTTTGCTTTCCCTCACAAACACAAATACACATAAGCTTGACATTTATTTCAACTCATGCATCAACCAGCACCACCTTTCGTTGAGAAAATAAGCGGAAAGATATTCTAAAGCGTAGGATTTTTCTCAGATTGAGACGCCGATTATTCCGGAATATCTTTCGAGAAGGGAGCAACCTGTGTAAATAAATCATGAGCTTTTTCCTCTGTTTACGTTCGAAAACCATTATCGACAATAACCTAAATTAAATGATCCGTTATGGGACAATGACAGTCCGGTTGCACAGTGTGGATATTAGAAAATACAAGTAGACAATTACTGGCTTTTCAAAAGGCTGCGCAAAAAGTGGATTCGGAGATAAACTGAGCCGGAATCCAAAACCACAGACTGAGCATTTGAATAAAAGCTGGTTCTTCCCGGTTGTCAACTCAAAATTCACAACGCATATATTACTTTGGCCAACTTCAGGCAAACTATTGTTAAAAAAGGTGAGAAATATTTTTGTAAAATTGTATCAAAAAACGTGCCCATATGTGTCACTGCTGTTTGGAATATGAAAATTTTATAGCGCGGTAATAAACTTGTGTTTCAGTAAAGCGACCTCATACGACAGAATGTAAATATGTTTATATTAATATATATAGCTGTATATACTATCATTACAATGCCGTTTCTTTATTGAATACAATGAAATGAGACTGACATGCATGGGGAAAAGCGAATTAGTTTTTGATATAGCTCTGAATTTCGAGAAAATGGGAATAGAGCTGATCTAGTGCAGATTGGCAACAGGATTAATGATGCCTCTTGAGCGCGTATATATATATAATCGTTTGTCACGATATATAGATTATAATGCTTTCCAACGGTTTGTTGTTTATTAACAAACTATCCTTTGATTTTAACCATCAGGTTTTTCGTAAGGAAAGGAAAGAGATCTTTCGGAATTGAATATATAGGTATAGTTTCGGTATCAGTGAATATCGAAATTCGTATTTGAAAATGAACAAGGTGTATATACGACTTATGTTTTATTCCAAGGGCTCTTGCAAACGTCGCATTTTGCAATTTGCATACAAAAAGATGGACAAAAGATAGTGAAGCGTTTATTTCAGCCGATTATCCATCGTTTCAGTTCATATACACACATAAGACGTGATAAACTGGCTTTGCCTCAAAACGGAAACTAAATAAAATGTAAGCAATATGATAAAATCTTATTATACTGAGTATGTAGGTACGTATTGCCAAGAACTGGTTCTTATTTAGTCGTAATTTCTGTGACCAAGGACACGTTAAGGTGATTTTGATCGTGAATGATCACAATGTGTAGAATATTACTACGTGACTTGTGAGTTCTGTCAACGATGGATACAAAGCCGGAAATAATGACCATGTATCTTCTATCCAAACTATTTCACAACGATAAAAACGCCTTGTCACGACCAATTTACGATTAAATAAAAATTAGGCTTAAAACAAAAGGTATATGGTTGTGTATATTGGCTTAATTATCTTCTAGAAAGCACGCAAATCATATTTGTAAGTACAGAATAATATATAGTGTATCTCATTTTACCATTAGTATTGTACATAAAAATATGAGGTCGACCACGAATAAATTAATGCCAACATAATGCCAATAATGGATAAAATGCAAATGATCTGAATAGGCGAAGCCGTCTTGATAACAAGTCACTTATTTACCAGTCTGTCAAATATAATTTTAAAAAATTCATGTCTTATATGATGCAGAATAAATTGAGCATAAATGCATAATGCCAACCTTTTTTTTATTGAAAATCTACTGAAAGTCTCGCTGTTTATATTGCAAAACTTAATTCAGCGTGAAATATTGAATACATATTCATCTTACTGAAGTACAACGACAATGATCCATAATGCATAAGTCAGGAATAACTGTGAATTTGTGGTAGTAGATATTAAACTTAGAGGAATCTGTCTGTCAACGTCTGGCTATAGGTTTCTAATCACTCAACAGCGACACCCATTTATGTTTCACAACACGAGCTGCGCAGCAAGTCATTTTACAGGGGGTTATAAAATAGAATTTGCACGGCATGTTTATATTATTACGTACCAGCCGTGACAGCAGGCTTAGTGAGATATCGGCTTTAATTACACTTTTGCAAAACGTTTTAATATCCTTGTTAATATAATCGTGGCAGGAACAGAATTATTACTAGCAAATTATGGAAGAATATAGCTAGAATAGACCTAAACAGAAATAAAGTAGTATGCCTTCACGTCCTTCATATATTGCTCGACAATCATCATGGTTATATTCGAGGAATTCCCGTCAAAATATATCGCATTAAAAGCGGTATAGCTTACCGAACTAAGCTTCACATCATATTTTAACCCAAGGAACCCTGGAAAAATTGTATTTTATTGCTCGTAAACATCAACTGTCATCAACTCTATTATAATACATAGAATCACTCACCCCCCTGAACTGACCGTCCCATTAACCTCTGTGGCTTTGGTTCCTCACACACGAAAACATAAGTAAAGTTCAGGTGGGATAAAGTATTGTCTTTTTTTCCTCTTTTACTAAATCGTTTTCATTTTCTTTAGACCTCAGGCATAATTTTAGATATAGTTTTAGGTCTTATCGACACGTTAAAACCTCTCGTTTTTCAGAGTAAAAATGTGAAATAGAGTTATGATAACCGGCAGTCATACTATATCAAAAAAGCAAGCATACTATAGGCATAGCAAATAAAGATGTGTGAAGTGTCTGCATCAGGTCAGCCTAAAGGACAGATGATTAGGTGATATTTCCACAGGTTTCCATAGGTTAGAACGCGATGTGACTCCCAGATTGATAAGCCATAGGCAACCGTTTCTTATACAATCATGTACTTCTCTTTTTTCCTCCATATAACTGAAATTGCACCTGCAGATGTCAACTGTATAATTTGAATTTTGAAATTTATTCTGTATTGCCATCGGAGGCATCGTTCAAGTGCTCCATCCATTATCTTATGTTTACCAATGGCCTGCTTTAACTAGACCTCGCTTTTTTCTCTCAAATTTAAATCGGATTTCTCAATTTTACTGCGGATGTTTTCGCCCCAAAATGGCGATGAAATCTAAAACCTTACTCACAAGAGATTGCGGTATGCATCCTGCGGATTAATACATGAGCTCGGTGTAAACGAAAAATACAAATAATAAATCATCCATCTTTGTTAGCATCATCGGATGTCGGTAAAATTCAAAAACATTTAGGGTACATAACAAAGACATATAATATAACATCTATAACAGAGCGTTTGTTTACACGAAGACTTGATATCACCTTTTATGAATCGTAGTTTAATCAATTGTGATTAGCGCAACGGATTGGGTCACTAACTACAGTTGTAAATTACTGGGAAAGGTCACCACGACATCTTTCTCTTTCAGAATGAATGCTGAATAATTTAATGGATGAATGGTTGAGAGCGTCCGCCGACAGACCAACATACACACAAGGTGCTGTAAGGGTATAAACCATTTAACATCAAGCAGAAGACAAGAAAAATGTGGACAATAAACAAAGATAATGGGATGATGGTGTAAACATTTAAGCACAACGTATACGACGTTTCGCCAGACAATGACAATGAAGCGAAAGAGTGTGACGTTGATCTGCCTGTCTGCTGTTATGTCTGTCATCGTTTGTCTACAACTTGTAAACCATTTTGTAATGCTGAAAGAGACGGCCACGGAATGCCAGTGTAGTTGTGACGTTAAACCTAGCCAAGCACCAGAGGGCGAAGAGATATTGAAGGCGCGCTTACCTTCGGAGAAACCAAAGGCGAAGGAGAGGAAATTTATTGATAATGTTGACGAAATGCTACAGATGCTGTCTGGCATGAATGAGATACAACAAACAATACTGGGTGATAAATATGACGAGTTATACGAACTTCTTACTACAGTACGAGAAATAACTGGGGGCGATAAAGACGAAAAATCGACCACAGCTCACAAAACTGAGCCTGAAGCCCTTCCACCTGAGGTGCAAGAGATTTGCCCTGAAAAGTTTATGGGGAAATCTCTCACATATGGCTACCCCTTCTTCCGCAAAGGTTTCGCGACCCTCAACTGCACACAGTTCGTACCAGTTCACGAATTGGTCACCCTCGTTTTCGATGATGTCTATACGTCGAGCATCAACCCCCCCGCTTATAAACGAGTGTTGAAAGGCTTGGCTAAATATCACCCAAAAATGAACGTTGTGTACATAACAAAAGATACGCAGGGGGGCGTAGACGAGATAAAATCTAACGTTAAGGTGGTGCGTGTGACAGAAAAGGTCAAGCAAGGAGAGGTGTGGTCGAAGGCGTTGCCCCACGTGACGACAAAATACGTTCTAATTGCGCCACATTTAGTGGAATTTGATGACGACATCAACTTAAAGAGGCTCGTGCGCATTCTAAGTCATAACCCGGATGCATTTATAGTTTCTGGTGCGTACAGGACGCGCGATGGACACTGGGATATTGGATGTCAACAGTCTAGATTTTTGAACTATACGCTGACGCTACAAGGCGGTTATTATTTATCATTCTGGGAGTGCGTCGTTTGTGATTTTATGCCAGGTCCTTGGCTTGCAAGAACGAAAGAATTGAAAGAAATGGAATTTGATAAAAAGTAGGTTCCATCTTTTATAATTTGAATAAGGAAACTTTGTCGTAGTTGTGTTATTCGATAAACAGTTTTTCTTGATGCAAAAAAAGAATTTCAATTCTGCATAAAGTTGCTGCAAAAAATCTTGTCAGCAAAATGCTTCATTCATCAGCGTCCAGCGATGACGAGTTGTGGAATAGCGCTGATGAATTATTATAGGTTGTATCAAAACCAGGCTCTGTAGTGTTTCCCATAGGTCATTCCATCTATTTCCCATATTTCTAATATTACACATAACCCATTTCGTAGCAGTGTTGTTCCGTGTTGCGGACAGGCATATCCTAGCGCGTCGAATGATTGCAACAAAAATCATTTTGACAATTAAACTGTTTCAATTTTACAGCCTACATTTTGGAGTTTTTCACGATATCTTTTGGAAGGTGAAGAAAATGAGGAAATATGCCCTGAGTTGTCCAGACGTGATGTTTAATATCGACAAGCCTGTAGTGCAAGATGAATGGTACTTGGAATTCTCAAAGAAATATGATATCAGAAAGATTGTTGAGCCTAATGGTAAAGTAAGATGGTAAGTTGGACTGTATAGAGATGCGATGCTCCTAGTATTCAAATGTCATCAGCGATAACGCCATAATCTCGATCAAGTGTCTAGGATTGCGGAAGAGTTGAAGCCACTAATGCAGTGTTCATTGGTTTTTTCATCGTCGTAGGTATGGATGTCGACGTGGTATAAAACATAGAGCGGGACGTTCATGTAACAAACCTAGGGGTGTGGGGGTGCCACCATGTGACCTCGAGAACCTCGCTGACGCTGTCAAGATGATCATGAGGGAATGTGAGAAAGCAGGGCTGTTCTGTGAGTTACAAGAAGGAACACTATTAGGTGGGTATTAGGAACACTATTAGGTGAGGTACGGCTGATAAGGATAAAACGTTTTCCAAATTCTTGGAGCTTCGTTTTCTTTCACCAGGGGCTGTTAAGTTCAACAAAATCTTGCCATGGGAACGAGACGCCGATCTGACATTTCTTACAGCCAACTACACCGCATTTAAGACGCTTGGTCCGGTGTTCAGGAGAGCAGGATACGGCTTTTCGGCGCATGATAGTTCAGTATGGTGCTGCGCTGATGGTCGGAAAGCTGGCGGCAAGTTTACGATGTCCGCCGATGGTTGGAATATTGAACTTTACGGTCAACATCTCATGGAGTCGGAAATACTCGTCGCCCGAGGAGAGAAGCCGACGAAGGTAAGTTGATATTCTGAGCACAGGCATTTGTATTCACACAAAGACGGGACAAAATGAAGGATAAACGGAGAATAAAATTAGTGGTATTCGTATGGAAAATAACAGCCTAAGAAATCAGTAGAATCTTAAATCAAACAACGGTATATATCTCATCTGTTCTTTGTCATGGCATACTGCAGAGAAACACAGTGTATATATTATGCCCGAAAGCATCCCCCATATTCTTAATAAGATGTCAAACTCAACTGAGACACTGATCTATATAGGTGGACTTTGCTGGAGAGATGGTGACGGTCGTGCGGAACCCAGGACTATTTGCACGTAATCGCTATGGCAAATCACTGTATCGTCACCAGGAACACTGGATGGACCGCGGGAAAACCTCAGGCTGGCATTTCTACAATCCAGGAGTGTTTGAAGGCTGTCCTACGGAGGGTCATTCCGGATGTCTAAATCAGTACTCGGTCGATGGTAACATGCAGTTTGATATGAATATATGTCCCTGCACTTATCGGAAGCCCATAAGGTGACAAAGTCGTCGGGGAGCGAATGAAAATATGAACTGGACAGACTGCGTTCAATACTGTAAATAAAGTAGAATGAATACTGACGTTGTCACGATCTAAGCAGCTTGAAAACACTCTCATGAAAGGTATTAAGCGACAGATCTAAGATCTTGAGCACTGGTATATCAATGATAAAATTTTTTGTTTTGCGCGGTGAGACGAAACACGTTTATTCGGTGAAACGTTTTACAAGTGAATATTAATTACACTGTGGTAAATTGAAGACACCACGAGGCATTGGTTTGTTTAGTTCATAACCATTGAGGTCGTGGGTTTATGGTCTATCTGCTTAAAGCAGAGCTTGTGATTTGTGTGAGTAAGCCTGTTATAACTACGTAGATCATTACTAAACTAGAAAAGTTTTAAATTATTGTCAAGGGCATGCAATATGTGATATTTGCTATTGCGGATATAGATAAATGGATGTATAGCTATTTTGTAAACAAATCTATTGGACGAACAGCTAAATGTAGGTCGATAATTTGGTTGTCAAAACTTGTTCGTTCACTGTTTAAGTCAGAACAATAGTCATCTTCAGGGTGATCCTATGTAGGGTGACGGGAGCTTGTTGTATGGGCAAATTACCCACCAAAAACCTTCCTTTTTCATCCACTATTTCACTAAGAAGGTTGCCGGCTGGAACCATCGTCTTCTTCCTAGTAAAACCAAAACTTTCCGTCACCTGAGTTTCGCGCTTCTATTGGTGTGAGGGAGTTCATTGCATTGTTAGTTTTCATAACATCGCTTCTTCTGCTCTGAGATGAAGTCTGGTTTAACGATGGTCGAATCCTCCTTTCCCGGGATTTCGACAAAAATAACGCGGAAAGTGCGCATCGAAAACGTCTCTGAAATAACCCATATATTAAAGGATCTAACGAACTTTTCAAAAAGTTCAGCAACTTTGCGCATACTGTAACGAACATGGGTACACCAAGTTTGTATCCCTGCATCAACTCCAGTAACCTCATGATGGTATACGGTGCGTTGCAACACAGGAACGCCGCAATAACGAGAATGATTTTTCGGGCGGCCCTCGCTTCACGTTGCCTTCCGATCTCTTTACGAATATCATCGAGGTTTTGAATGCCGAATGTTCCGAGCGTGACAACTGCTGGTGCAATGCGCTGAGAATGCCGTCTCGCCACTTGGAATATTTTGTAGTAAGCGCCAAGCATGATTGTAAGCGGAACTCCAAAGTTGAAGAAATATAGACAGTATGTGAAGGCGATCTCGCGTCTGTTAAGATACACAGACGAGAAGGTGCAGAAAAAGTAGTTCTCGTTGAAAATGTACCAGCCGTGAAGAGCGGGGACTAGGGAGAACAACGCCGCCTGCACCCAGACATAACAGACGGAATTAAAAGCCTTTTGCATTGTCATTTTTGCGCGATATTTGAGCGGCTTTATGACAGCATAAAAACGATCAATCGAGATTACAGCCAGCGTCAGGATGGCGGAAATTCCGAGGATTTGGTTGGAGAAACCGTTGAAATGGCAAAGTAGGGATGAGAACGGCCAACCACGGTATACCAAGGCGCCCAGCGAGAGAGGCATGGAAAATAACGCCGTCAAGAAGTCGCCCATTGCCAGGTTCACGATAAATACGCTAGAGAACTGCTGTCGGAGGGCCGTGTTGCGATAGACAACAAAAATAACGAGGAAGTTCGCAAGCAGAGCTGTGACGCACATTAAACCCACAATGATTCCAAGAAAAACCTTTTCCATTGTCCCAAAGTCAGACATTGCAAGCGGGATACTCTCGAAAGTAGGATAGTTCAAACCACAATGTACTCAACGACGGTTCTCTAAATAAAGAAAACACTTTTCATGACACCTTTATTTAAAGAATTCCAATTGGTTGGCACTTTTCGTGTAGCACCTGCAAGCATGGCCATTATTGATATTTCGACTGTTAAAAATGGGCATATGCCATTCAGCAGCGCAGATATACCACTGAGTCGAACCGCATAAAAACACTTCTCTCATTTAGAAATTGTTTAAATATCCAATAAAATTTAAAATGAAACATTTTTTAGTTAAGTGCTTTCGCACGTCGGCTTATAACACCAGCAGAATATTCACGCATGCACACATGGTAACAAGGATATATTATATCATTTTCTCGACATGTTTTTTAATTTCAAGCATCTAACTGCCTTAAACACAGTCCGGAATGATATCAGAGAACAGATAAAAGGCTCCTGTGACGAATATTAAAATTACTGAGGCATGTTGCTTATCTTTAGCACGAACGAGGAGCAATAAAATATTATTTATAAACATATATCCCAGTGTAAAACGTTATGAAACATTTGTGACAATAATTGTAATTACAGCCTGTATATCTTTACTTAAATCTACTCTTTGATATGTTTGTTTTAATAAAACATGATTATATCTGCGTTAAAGGTCTTATGAATTTTTCACACTTAAAGAAATAAATACAGTCTCATCTGAAGAATATGAATGTTATAACCCGTGCAAATGCAAAACTTTCAGGGCGTACGCAAACAGCGGTTAAAGTTCGCCGGTTTCTTTTCTACGCTAGTCTGCATTAGAAACGATAGACATGGCGTCTTTCTTGTTGATTACCTATTGTTTCCGATGAATTCAGCCCGTTAGACCAAATGAAACTTTCATCTCGTATCTTGTCTGGTAGAGCTTTCCCTTCCGTGGGAAAGCAGCTTACGTGTCTACATATGTGTACTGTTTTCTTTCCTTCCTTCCGAAAATATTTCCCAATATGAAACAGTAAATATGCCAATTTACGCGGTACAAGACAAGACAAGGCTCAACTTAAATAAAATCGTTTATATATGTTCACTATAGCGTTTCTTTTAATCCCACAACAGTTGAAAAGTTGCTTATACTTTATGATTTTATTCCAAACTATATTTAACTGTTTTGTTTCGAATTATTTTGTAATAGTCAGTCAGCACGCTGGAGTATATTGACTATTATAATAAGGTAGAAAAGAATGGATCACTCACGCTAGAAATCAGGGTCCATTACCAGCAGCAGTCGCCGGACGATCTCGTGCGTGGCAGGAGAAATCAATTGGTAAACAACAGGCAGAAATAATCAGAGAGCAATGTTAACAAAAACGCCAAATCTTTATTCTCTCTGTTGAACCATTAAACTTCACGAGTAAACTTGCTGAAAGTAGTACAAGCAACTCATCCGTGATATTTTTTGCCAGACTGAAAACGCGCACGTTCTATATGCAAAATCCACTTGAATACGTATGCAAAAGCGGTGGACACTTCATCAATCTTGCTGAATGCACTTATTGGCCTTAGAAACCTTATTAGTTCTGTCAAAATTTGCCCGAAATTTGGCTGTATTGTCATGCAAATGTGCAGCGCACTTAAGACAGAAATTGGACATTCAACAGTCTAGTCATCAGGATATACCTTTTCCTCACGTTTCAAATAAAATGAATACATCAGATCATTTTTAGGCTGACAAAACTTTTCCACTTTTTTACCTTCTCCGGCAAAACATTGAAGTCTAGTCTCAAGCTGATAAAGGGCTGGCCTGCGATATTGATTATTTTATGTTTTAGATATTGAGACAGCTGGACAAGACAATTATTATTCCCCAACAATTACATCGTAGCCATGACCTACTCAATTCTCGAGCAGGTAGCTGTTATTAGTTTGAAAAGGTCAAATGACTGAGACGATATTTCACCTGCCTTTCTATCATGGCTTCGATATTTATGTGTTTTTTTTCATTTAAGAAAAACATGAATCTTACAGGAACCCGGTTTATATATTTAGCCGCGTTTTCATGGCGACAGAATTCCTGTCTCCATTTAATCTTAACTCTTAAATCTAGCGGCTGGATGTTTAAACAAAAGTTTATACAAAAGGCAATGCACTGGCAAGCATTTGGTATACACGGTCTATGTATCGTAACTAGGGCTGCATTTTTAGACAAAACGAGAGTTTTCCATAAACTGCTTGTTAACCACAACACAAGAGATTGATGCAACCCGGCGTCAGCTGGAACTGCCTGCGTTCGCCATATTTTCCCGATTAACTTAAAAACCCCGACAGTTCCACTATTCTTTTATGAAATTGAAGGGATAAAGTCGTGTTCGCGAATTTGCGCATAATTATGTTTTATTAAACTGCCTTATTTAAAATAGAAAATACTGCATGCGTTCATCAGACATACATGCATTGAAAAGGAAATTTTTATCAAAGTTAAATTTATACATCTTTCTACAAATGACAACAGCCAACACAGCTAACATTAGACCGATACACCGCATATCCTATAGACCTTTTTATCACACGACTGTAATTATATCTCTTGTCTTAGTTCAATTTAAAGCCGCCGACATTAGGAAAATATTAAATTTACATACCCTGCAAAGTGGCACTCTAGTTTTATGGCAGTTATTTACTTTTCAGTTCGGCTGCGTTGCTCCAAGTAACTAACGTATACGCGATGCTTTATGCTTGCTTTATTGCTTTATTTCGATTAAATCAAGTTTAAAAACACGATCCACAACATGTTTGCAAATTAAAAAAGTCCATAGTTTATGGTTTTAAAATATTCATAGGAAAAGGAAATGATAAAAAATAGATGACATAAGTCATAACTTTAACCAAAGTGAATTTCATTACGGACATAAGGGATGGAAGTAATTAAATTCCGGAGTTGAATTGAGTTGTCAAGAATTGCAAATTGGAAACAAAGTATATTCAGGAAACCTGGGAGTGGCCAAAGTCAGACGCACAGTAAATACTTCATAATATGGGCTAAAGTCGTCGAGCACTTGACAAATGGACACAAATAAGAGATTTGTGGGCGTAGGATGTCAGGCGAGAATTAAAATAAAAAAAGAAAACTTCAACGATTCGGCTGGTGTTGAGGTGTTCAACAACATTGTTGAAGAACTGGGTTCTATTCCGGTTCTACGACGAAGGAATAAATTGCGTTTGAATAGAGGAAAAATATGACGCAAAAACGCACTGATTCATGCAGTTCATTTTCATGTCTGACGTATTTCCAGCATTTCACGCACGTGGCAATAATTAGGATGGTGCTCCATGATGTGACCAATATTATACAGAGTTTTTGTAATGATATATACTCTGATATATTCATAACGGTGATTTGATAATAGTTTCAAATCCTGTTTAGTTCAGCTGGTGCGCAAAAAGCAAAGCACTTTCCTTGCTTCTAAATCCAACTGCTTTTTGAAAGAATTCAACTACGGGATCCACGTTCATTTCAGAACGTTTTTTTCACTCTCATTTTTGAATTCCTTGCAATGTTACAACAATCTTTCTGGAGCTAGCATGGTCACGGTGTTCGCACAACCAAATTCCTTGCCAGGTACCAATATTCAGTTTTCCATTGGTTAATGGAATGGTCAAACTCGCACCCATTAGACTGGTCTTAACATGAGCTATTAAAATGAATAAAATTAAAACACCTTGCCCTTTGACTTTTGTATTCAGATTACTATGCTGTGACTGGTAGGTATTCACCATCTACTTACAAACCGAGGTTACACTGAATTTAAGGCTTTCGGCATGTTTTGCAAACCTCAGTTGATCTGTTGGCATTTTTTTGCAAACCTAGATCCAGTTAGCTAGATCTTGTGAATAAATAGCAATTTGAGAGTGTATTATCAACAGAATTGCTCCCAAAAATTGTTAGTGCATTGAAAACTAAATTATTCACTACATAATTGATAACATGAATGACCATTACCCCAGAAACGGTGCTGGGGCAAATCCTCTTTTCGACAGGTAACCACTTTACTTACTCAGACTTGAGAATAATTTTTCAATCTATTACTTTAATTATTCGACAATACCTGGCATATCATCAGGACCTTCCAATGTGTGTTTATATGGTGCATCTTCTGGGGCTAATCTATTTAACATCATTTCCATATCATCTCGGACTGATGGATCCCAGCATTCGTTCAAACTTAAACTTGCTGATGTATGCTGTAATAGCAAGTGTGCCAGACCAATCTTATATCCTTTGAGTTGAGGTAGTTTCTGAATTTCATCTGTAATGTTATGAATACCTCTGGTTTTTGCTTTGATCGTTACAGTGGTCTGGTTCCAGACAGTCTCGCTCATGTTCGTTGTCACCAGTCAGAGAATGACAGAACCTCTAGATAATTTAGGATCATACAATGTGCACCTTTCTAAGCATTGTTTTTACTCTTAAGCTAAGCCGGTCAAGGGATGCAAGTGAGATATGAAACGCTTTGATTAATGAAACGAAGAATTCATCGAAAGAATAAAAAAGAACTGTAAAATAAGCTGAAGAAGAGTGCTTACCGTGACAAGAATTTTAAAGATATCTCCAAGAAGACATTCAACAAGACTGAGCCGAATGTACACATGGTCTGCGTTAGTACAAATTCAAGTAACATTCACGAAGAGATCTTCAATCTCGTCAATAACGTGAATAATTGACACGAAATATCGTGGCTAAATATTCTCCCGACAATGTGCCAATATACTCTCCAAAGATAGCTACGTCTAGCGCATATCAATGCATTTATCAGTGATTATTCAAATACAGCGACAAACAATGTTGGTACGACAAAAAATTGCTCTTGCGAAAGAAATACTCTTCGCGAAAAACGCCATTTTTCTCAAATATCACGCTAAACGTTCTTTCAAAATTCGTCCCACGAAAAATGTTCTTTTCGCACGAAAAGTGTTCTTTTCTCACGACTCAAATGTTCTAATTGATTCTTCCCACGCTTGCTACATTTTTTGCAACATATAACTTTGATACATTCTGGAATGCTTGTTGCTACATTTTCGAACTTTTTTGCCACATTTTGGAACGTTTCCTTATACTTCGGAATGTTCTACGATGATTATCTACTATAATGCATCCTTTTCCCTAAAAAGACGCAAGTTTACGGCCGTAAACGCATCCAATACTGTACATACCTGGTAGATCTGATACCTGTCTCGTTCAAACTATCAGATTTATATATACACGTGTAAAAATATGGATTAAGAACAATTTTTACAAAAATATACAAAATGTACAAGTGAAGTAACTATTACAACATGTTATAGCAGACAACATGTTTTTGAAGTCGTCTTTGAAGACTTTTTCTTCTTTGAATCATTAACAACATTCTTGCTTCCTTTAGGATTCTCTGCAGTTATTTCAACACAGCTACTACGAGGCGAAAACGATTTCGTCTCCAAGGCGAGATTGGTGTTGTTATGATGTGGTGTTTCTTCGTCTAATAGTTCTGAGTTTCCTTGTCTTTGGCTGTTATTGTTTATTTCAGGTATTTCCTTCTGTTGGGAAGTCGTAAGACCATCCAAGCTATCTGTTGTTTCTATAATGAACAACGTAGTTAGGTTTTGATAAAACATTGTAGAAGAAGCATTCCATCGTCAACAGAAGGGAACCGAATTGCACCTACGTACACCTTAGTTTTTAATGTACGTCAACTGCGTTTCGAACCTAAATTCGATCCTGCTGTTATAGATATCACAACAACGGAAAGAACGTTGAGGTTCTTACATTTTACCTTCAACGTTGTGTGTGACATCATCAGCCAAGGCCTGCCAATTTTGACGATTGCTTGTGACGCCATCAAGCAATGGAGAAAGATTCGGCTCCATCATTGCCATAAGCTAAAATCAAAATATATATTAGCCATAAAACTACATCGGGATGTATCTACTAAGCGCTTTATAGGACATAAATAAGAGCGAGTCCACTGCAGTTTACAAGCTAAGTCACTTGAAGGAATTTAACTGAGTATTTCCTCACCTTGTATATTGGTAAACAAATGGCGTCTATGAAACCAACTTGCATTTTAGGAAGATCATCCTTCTTCTTACGGTCCATCATCGGCTAAAAAGTTGACAAAATAATAGAAAACAATGAATGACAGGATACCATGAAATACAAGAGGATTTGTATAAAATATTGTCTCCCATCACGTCCAAAAATATTTTGTTTCTAACCATAGGTTCACTTTTCAATTTGTCTCTCTCGATATCTCCTTGTTCAAAGAACTCGCTGGCGACCAGCTTGGCAACCTGAAACATTAGCTTCATCATAATTTCATCAAGGTAAAGCTTGTGAGAGATTTCGAACATGAAGCATGGCCTCATGCAGACGACTAGACACATCATCCCGAGGGCAGTTAAATACAAAATTACAGAGAAATAGTAATACTACTTACGGTCTGTTGAATAGGCCAAGGTTTGGTGATGGCGGAGACGTCGCAGGCTGTCATCATCATTGCCCTAGAGTAAAACAAGACTGATTTTCAATATATTTTAACTAATAGTCATATATCCATACACTTCTGTCATATAAAGTTGTTTATTATTACTAATATTCAACCTTCCACATTAATATTCATCGAGGTGATAAAGCAGAATGATAATACACACAAAAATAATCATCTTCATACATTGTTCTTCAGTGATAGATATTACAAGATGGTTGGCTACAAAACAAATTTTACCTCAAAATACTTCGGTTCTGATCGTTACGTCCCCATTCTGGTTGCTCATCTTCTTCAAGAATTTTGGTGAAATGATCTCGTTTTCTAGAATTCGAGTACAATGCATGAAATCAACGCAATATACTGAATTAATTAAAGTAATGTAAGCAACACTGGTCTCACTTGAAATAGATTTGCAAATCTGTGGATAAAATCGCATGTTCGAGATATTCAATTGCTTTTCGATAATCATCTGGTGGCAGCTCCGAGAAGATGTTGTTTCCCTGAAATTTAGACAAGTAAGCAGCTGGTGTTAACCGCTTCGGTTGTTCACGACAAGAAACGTGCACAATTAGTTTCACAACAGTGACGGGAAGGGGTAATTTACGGGCCAAAAGCTTAGAAAAAATCCAATAGAAAACCACAAGTGTCCTTCAATAAGTAGACACGTTTGTTTTCAATAATTAATGGTGCAAGTTTAAAACCAAATCCTTCAGACTTGAACCGCTGTTTACCTCACTATTTAAAATCATGATGCAATGATCAAAATGGTGATGTTCCATCGTCGACGTTCCATACAACTGTGCTAAAGGTGACTCAATTCTGAAACAAAGAAGTGATAAATAAAAATCGGTTAAAGCTCACATATAACAACTGAATATTACTGATTTTTCCTGATACAGTGGTTTGACTTTGAAAACCTTGAGCGAAAAACTCACTTCGACTGAAATGTGTTGTTTGTTCCTCTGTGGTCAAGATCGTGACAAAGACACGCCACAAGAAGGGCAAAAGCCTCTAAATCCGAGAAGTGTTTTCTCATCGTTCCCGTCTAAAAACCAAACAAATGATGAGAATGGCTGTTCAATCACAACATGAATCTTCATTTCTCTTTCCTCACATACCGTTAGCATAACAAACATGGTTTGCGTAACATTGAAAGCGTGTCGCCAGTTGTGATAAATAACAGGACGATAGTTCTTCTTGACGCTCAGCAACCAACTGATAAACGTCTGAAAATTAGCAAAAATACACGAAGGGAAACAAATTGAGCCGTAAATCACATGCAAGGTGAAGTCGAGAATGAAGCTGTTAGAAAATGTCGCACCTTTGATGAAATGTGAAAGCGATCCAAAATGTTTAAATCTAAGAACATCCTTAAGGAGGCTTGAATGGTTTCATCGTCGCTTAGCTGGAAATCACTGAAGGAGAAGTCGTGAAGTTTGAATTCATCTGAATGAAGAACAGGAGAGTTCTACAAAGAAGAAGGTGTAAAACAAGTTAAACGATCGTTGATAAGAATGATAGAGGAAAGTCGTAGTTTTTACCATCAATCGTTTGACATCTTCTGGAGCGGCACGAGCGTGGTAAGATAAAACCTGGAAACCAATAATAAAATTCAGTTTTGCATTTATAGTCCTGTATGCTGTGTTGAATAAATCAAACGTTATTACCTCCATTGCAACCATTTGTTTTGCCAATAATTTAGACGTCTTCTCATACATGTTTGTATTATGAATTCCAATCCCACAGAATATTGCAAATCCCTGTAAATGATACATACGAGCAAGCTTGAAACATGAACTCACGTCAGATTTGAGTACCATTTGGCCGTATATACCTCAAATAAACTTTCATCATTCTCGTCAAATGGTCGACCATCTGTTTTGTTTATTAACTGACAAACGCCTTGGGAAAATAGAACCGTGTGTCAAGGACAATAACTTCAAGAGGTTGAAGAAGATTCAACTGTCTGAGTTTCAGAAAACGGCAGAAACGTACCAATTGTTTGTTGGTTTCTCTTGATTGGTGTGCACAAGACCGACTTCGTATGAAACCCGGTCACAGCATCTGACTAAACAGAACAAAAAAATGATAAAATTAGTTGCGACGGAGCAGCAAAGATTCAAAATTCATCCCTACATATATGGTGGATTTCTAAAATGAGAAATGAGCTTTCTACTCTATACAAGAGAGGAAAGGAACCTCTTTAACTTTCTCACTGAATCTATCGTCTTGATAAGCATCACTGATGTTGATAGTCTAACAAAAAAAAAACGGAAAATGGTTTCAAATATTCTCATTTGAAAACATCGTACACTCTAGTTGAACTCACCTCGCCTGACGTGGCAGCAAACTTAGCGATTCCATTACTCAAGGACCAATGATTATCAGACGCTGAACTGAAAAATAAAATGAAAGATAGAGTTTTTTCATAGGAGGGAAAACTGGGATTTAAAACATTAGAAAAACCATACCATTCGTCCTTCGCGCCTTCTGGTAGCAAATTAAACGACTTTGAAAAGACGATCTCCTGAATAAAAACGTCAGTTTTTAAAAGAGTACATAAGGAAGAAGAATGCAAGGTAATTTCCAAAGAATTTCCTTACGTTTTCAACAGAACTATCAACTAACGAAACGGAACATCTTTCACAATGCAAAAGTTCTTGAGATTCCAACATTATATTATGAACAACTTTATCCAAACTCGTTTGTTCTTCAAAGATCCTCTTAGCCAATTGAAGCAACACCTAAAAAATCATCAGTTTACCACGATCACGGACTTACTTATACATGCACCTACATGTTTGTCGTTGTTAAATTGATCCTACCTGATTCCGTCTGTACTCCATGACTGACAGTTCAAATAGCTGAGCATTTGTTATTCCAATTCCGCAAAAAGTCAGATAATTCTTGACTACCTGCGTGAAGCGAATCAACTTGAACTAATTAATTAGATAGGATAACATCGGATAAGATTCCATCAACAACACAACACGGAAATGAAAATAATTAGCTGTAATTCTGACCTCTACATCTTTCTCTGAAAATTCATGATCTTCACATTTCTTGTTGATGACTTGAGCGACGCCAATGACCTAAAAAGAACCAGGTTTACTTATCCAATAGCAGATATAGCTATAATCAATCTATTCCGAACAGGGAAGCTCATGAATTCTTGTTAAAGCGTTTGTATACCGCCCCGAACCTCAAGCAAAAAGAGTCATGCAAGTTTATTTATAGTATTAAAGAGTTTTGCCCTCCCTGAAATAGGTTTTTTGGATCTTAAACAAGCAATGTTACAGCATTCCGCTCAGTCTGAAAAACCTAGTTGCATGCCACAATGAAAACACTCCAAGAAAAACAGAATCTGAAAATTTGATTATGGTTAAGTACGACAGAAATTCGGTCAGAAAACTGCAAAACGGAAAGAAAGCGAAGAATGAAGGGTTCTTGAGAAGTAAAACTTCCCCTCAACTTAACTGCAAGATCCTTTTAAACGCGGCAGATTAATTAAAGTACAGCAGAATCATCGATTATTCAAATTGTATTTCGAGTGACACATTTTCAACTACATCGAGGACTTTCAACTGAATTAACATAAGAATTCATAAAGCAGTTATAGATGGCTGCGAACAAGATTAATCATTCATTGTGACGGCTTGCCATAGCAACCCTGCAAATCTTAGCAAAAATAACACGATTTAACTAACTTCGGTTGATTTTTTCAAAAGTGAATGTCTGTAAGCACATAATTTAAGATATGTAGCGAGAAACATCATATAAGTCCATCGAAGAATGTTCAATTAAAACTTCTATATTTATTGCGTCTTAATAATAAGAAATCTATCGTACTTTTGACATTTGTTTATCTACCACTGCCCATATTATTAGACAGTGTTTACTATAAACAAGCTCAGAATTAAAGATCAGTTGAAATTGGAAAGCCATCTGTTATTCCTGTCGGTTTTACTAACTGTTCGTCCCGTTGCCTGTCGAGGCAGATCCAATTTGGACTTACCTGAGCAATATTTTATATCTCTACATCAATGTACATCAATCTAGTTTCTCAGAAAAATATCTTCGAAGTTTTACGGGCGTTCTGCACGCGCTCAGGATAAACTAAGCCTGTTGTTTGTGAATCTTAACGTTACAACAACACCGATATTCCAGCAACAATACAAGCACTTGTGTTACCACAATTGTATCGCAAACGATTTTTTGTACAGCACAGCCATCAATTTTAATATTCGAACAATAAAAGGCTCTTAAGAAGTCAATTAAAGTGCTTAATGACGATGCATTTGAATCAGAGCAATACGAAATAACAATGCCGATCGATATTGCACGTCGCTGTTGAGATATCATCAATTCGGAAACAGAATAGAAGATGCAGATTGTCTTTGCCTCCCCGTGAATGAATGCATGGTTAAGGAAGATATCTCAAGCTAGAGTGCTAGACTAGTATCAATTGGAAATAACTGTAAAAAGGGATGGACAAAATGGAAGATGAAAAAAATGAAGAGGAGGAGAGGACAGATTATGCGTAGTCCAAAGAGAGAGTGAAGAGGAGAAATAAACGAATGTTAAGGAAAGGATGAATATGTTAGAAAGAGTACAATGAAATGATTAAGAAAATCAGTTCAAAATTCTAAAAAGGAGGTGAATGAAAGGAATGCACTAGAAAGACTCGCTTGGTTCCTCCACGCCTCTAGCAAAAGCGACGCATGGTCACCAGGTTCTGAATTGGTCTTCTGTGAAGAAAAGAGATTATGAAGTACAACATCTTACCTGGCCTTCTCTGTTTTTTATTGGGATACAAACAATGCTGTGCGTTTTGTAACCCGTTTCTTTATCGATGGACGAGTTGAATCTTGGATCCTGCAAAGATTACAGTTCAACAATGAAGGGTGTATCAATTACTTACATAAATGTAATGCTTCCTTGAACGCACGAGGGTTGACTATACCACATGAATAATAACTCGATTACAGTAAAACTCCGAAGATAAAGTTAAACTAACATCGGTCAAGTTTTAAATAAGGCCAATCAGTGCCAATTCGTTTTGTTCGTAACAGGTTAGTGAAGGATTTGCAACTAACGAGAAAGTCCACGCATTTAATAAAACCTCTGCTAGTAAACCCACCACAGTCTTTCAAATTAAACCATCAAAAGCGAGGTTTTGAGTTTGCTTGGCAACAAATTGATTGAAACTGTAATTACAAAAACATGCGCAGCTGTAAAGGATACAATTCATTTAAAATTTAGTAATTTACGCGCATTCAAGACATGAAAAAATCATTTTTGTAAGGGAAGTAATAAAATAGCAGTCTGAGATCCAGATTTGGATATTTCGCGGGCATTTTTTATGATCTAACCGGGCTTTTTAATTCACATGTACTCAAATTGTATGTCGTCAAATTATATCCACGTTCAATTAAAGGTCTTGCGACCTTTCAAATATTTACGCACAGATGTACTGCAAAATTACGAATGTATTCTGCTTAACATATGAAATAAAAATATGACAGAATTATTAAAGAGTTTCCAGGTGATTTGTAAAGACCCAGTGAAGAGCAGAGGAGATATGACAAACGACAGCATTCAACACCAGGAACAGAACGTGAATTGATTAAAAACCAATTACAAATTGCAGCTATTATTCACCGATGGAAAACTGTGGCACAAAGAATATCTACCAGGAATATGATTTGAGAATGGATTGAATGTTTTAAGAGTGGATGTTTTCCTATAGAAGTATCACCTCACTATAACAACGAAGACCAAAAGTCATTATGTTTTTTCGAATTTTGTCCCAAATTAACACTTTAAACGATAGAGGAACAATGGTGTTATATTTCTGAATTATATGAAAGCGTATGCAGAGAAGCCAGTCATCCTTATGGAGAATACCAATCTCTTTCTACCTAACGACTACCCCATACAAATATATGATATAGGAAATACCAATATGGGTTGTTCTTCAAAACGATGGCACCATGCATGTTGCCATTACATGAAGTCCGGGACAGCGCCTTAGTTTTGCAAACAAAGTAGTTTATGATAGAGTCTCACAACGTAGATCGCATTATAGGAATTAATGGTACCTAGGCTGATAAACACTTTCCCTAAGGCTGATTCAAGAGAGAGCTAAATACTCCAAACACGACACCAGCTATCCGCTATCACAAATTACCTTCCAAGCCTACTGGTGTTAATCACGCTAAAAAACCAGCCAAATTGAACAAATGCAGTATTATTATCTGCTCTATCACATCGCAGCCGTACACTAGCTTGTACCCTTGGTACAACGATTATAAGCCACGCCCAGAGGCCAGATCGAGTTAGTTAAAATCTTGACTGACCTCATATGCGTTCCTGATGTTAACAGTCTCTCCCGTTAACGCAGCATATCCCGCGATCCCGACCCCGAAGGGGACAGTGTAGACACGATCATCGTTCTCTCGCAACGTGCTTTCCAGCGTGGATTCCGAAGTGACATCGAATAACTTTGATACCAAGAAACGATTGTCCTTCGAGCCTTCAGCTAGGAACAACGAACAACGATCAGCGTTGGTCAGAATCCCAATATTTACGAGGATTTTATGACTTAATCGTTGAACATCGAGTTCGTTTGAGATTTCACGAATCAGTTCCATCAACAATTCCCTCTCGTCAAGGCTTCGGATATCCGCACGCGTTGGGGTTACGTTTCTCGAGTCAAACGAAAGCTTCCCTGGCTCTGGTGATGTTTCTGGATCAAAAATCTCACGCACTTTCTCAGGACTCATGATAGACACCGAGCCTCGCATGGGTTTTAACACCTGACCGTGTTTGCTTGGATTTTTGACAGCCGAGGTGGGAGAATTCATCACTCCAGTTGATTCAAGAACAACATGCGACACGGCGTGTGGATACTTTCCAGCAAAATACTGACGAGCGAAGGCCGTATTTTTATCTAAATACGTCTCAACGACGGCCTCGGAGAGACCTGAGGATGCGACGTTCATGTTATAATATTACCGGCTGTCTTCAATGTTAATTTCCGTCAATTAGTTTCCAGTCAACGCCATATTATACGTGGCCTATAAGACGCTTGAGTACTGATGAATTGCAACGAGAAGATTCTCAGTTGAATCGCAGCAAATAGTCGCGAAACAATCGCTTGTTTGCCGCATTCCGAACTCATTTTGCCGGTAGTAATGTATATTATATATATAGCGTTCATTCAAGCCACAGCGATAATCAATTAGCAAGATTAAAACAAGGTGACGTAGGAACGGCCAAATCTTCTATTTGCTGTAATTGAACTAGCTTCAAACTAATGCCTTATTGGTTGACATTTCCTATACTCACAACGCATGCAGAGAATTGTGGTTTATGCGATTCGCAATAAGTTTCGACTTTTCAATAATTAAACTACGGAGTCCGCTAAATAGATTGGCCTAAAATTTAGAAAGAATCACGAACGTTGAAATCGTTATTTTGAACCGATGTTAAACTGTAATACATGCAAGACTAGCGGTTTCATTCAAGGAAAATTGTTTGGTTAAATAATTTTTCAGAGTTTGTCATTGTTTGCTCTGCTGACTCTGTAATTCCACATCACTAATCCCCTCTTATTGTGGAAATAAATTAAATATCTGGTCTGGAAATAAAAAACTTTTAAATTCACTTTGGCAGGCTCGCGTCGCAAACTTGGGGAGTGATTTCGGAAGGCCATTTTCTTAACATTGTTAAACATTGTGATGTTTCAAAAAAACAAGGATAACTAACGGATTTTAGGTGTCAGAACGGACAGTCGGTGCGGTTTTGACAAAAAAATTAATAGGTAAATAAATATAATTTTGAGTGACAAACTCATACAAGCACAGGAATACAACATTCACCGCAGTCAAACGATTCATCCCGGTTACCTTAACCTGTCTATTGTTAAATCTGTTGCTTTCAACTTATTTTAAGTATGTCTTTTGGCCTGCAGAGATAAACTTTGATATTAATAAAAAGTTAAGGTCATTATTTCAAAAATTAGTTTGATAAAAAGCCCTACTCTCTCCCGGGGATTTTGATTATATACTGAGATTGATTAAAGTTATGCGGTTAGTTTTAGTTTATCACGTCTGAAATATCCAGGGTGACCGTCTCACTGAACTCAAAGACACAACTGTAATAATCGATATAAAACGAGGAACAAACTATGATACATTACTTTGTATTTCGCAAAAATTCGTAAACCATTTACAACAAGAAAACCATACGAGTTTTAACAATACACTATATACGTTTCAACAATCAGCATTTAGAGCAATATTTATACGCAAACAATATCAGAGTAGTAAGCACCATAGTAAAAATACTAACACAGACAGCTTTCTAGAGAATTGTAAATTACATTATTTTATTCAGGACGTGTAGTGAAATATATGAATTATTAATTTGGATCCAAATCAAATTGCAAAAATAATTATTGAAGCCGTAGGCAGACAGACTATCAAACCGCTTCAAAATTAATTTTACGATCTCGCATTGCGCAGGAGAATTTGACTCAAATTCGACTCGTGAAGGACACAAGTGGGACTGTAGGAACTGTGCAATCAATTGTACTCTATTGTGACCAATCGTACCTAGGTGTAGTCAATTGTATTTATTTGTACTCCAGTGTAATCAATAGTACTCAAGTGTCATCAAATCACACAAACCATTTTGAAAAGTGCCCAGCATTGGGAAAACTTTACCGGCCAAGCCCTTTCTGGCACATGCGCAGTAGTGAATCAAAATCATCGTCCCCAGACGCGTCATCGTCAACCTTTCCGCATGTCTCAGTCATTTCCTCGATATTGCTCATAGTCGAGTCTAAAATATCAACACAGAGAATAAGAAACGGGCCGATTTAAGCGGGGACTTTTATCACCTAACATGCAATGAAGTACATTAGAGCTTTCCTCCTAAAATTGACTCCCCTAAGAATGATAACACGACAAAACTCGACAAGTTTCTCCATGCACACTAGATGAAGTCGTGGTAAACTTACCAAAATCAACATAACTTCCACCACAAAACTGCCGTCTTCCACCAAAACACAAGTCAAAATGTGGTTTCGATGGATCTGAGTTTCCCCCTGAAAAAAAAACACAACCAAATTCATCAAGACTAAATCCTCTCATGCCCTGGGGGAGAAAACACACGGAAAACACACGAATTGATTTTTAAAGTTGTATATTCTCATGTTGGAGAGAATTTGGCCCAAATGACATGGCTCCGAGATCAGCGCAATGATATACTTACGTTCAACACACTCAAGGGCATCTTCTGGCTCAAAGAAGGTCACAAAACCATAATTATCGCGTCTAAAACAAAGTGAAATATTGAAGTGAAAACTTGACTACCTTGAATCTGCTTAAAACATTGGTTTGATAAAAAAACTTACTCTCCAACACGCAAGTGTACAGTGACTTTCTCGATTGGACCAAATTTCCTAAATCTATCTCGCAATTCATCGCGAGTTGTTCCATATGGTAGACCCCCAACATAGATCACTCTTCTTTCTCCCTATGAATGGTTAGAATAGTCGATGAAAGTCTATTTTATATCGATAAAACTCAGACATCTAACCATGGTTACAGCCGGCTATACCAGTAACCACAATGGTATGGTTATAAAAAAATAGTCCTTGCAATTACGCATTTGTGAGAGATTACCTTGGCATTGTCTCTGATATTCGATCTTCCCAATCTAAAGTTAATTTTTCTTTCTTGTTCAATATCTCTAAAATATTTCCTGTCCTTTCTCTCATACTTGCTGTGGTGACGATCGTCATGGTGATGATCACCATTCCTATGCCGTACTCTTTCATCGTCTGAATATCTCCCATCATCCCTTGAATGATATCTTCTGTGTTTTTCTCTTCTTCCACCATCAGAATGTCTTGATGTATTCTGGTATCGTTCAGACTTCCGAGGATTTGATCTTTCATCAGCGCTACTGTCATCATCATCATCATCAGATGATATGGATCTTGACCTGGGGCTGTGTTTCCTCTTTCTTCCTTCATCTTTGTATTGTACATAACAATCTTCGCTTTTTCCTCTTGTATCTTCGGTGTCTCTTCTATTTCTCCTGTTATCTTCATCTCTGCCATTCGTATCTCTATGATCCTTACGTTCACCTTTTTGTATTTTTTCTTCAGTTATTTCCTCATTATTATTATTCACAGTTCTTTCAATTTCAATTTTTTGGTAATTTCTATCATTATTCTGTGATTCATCATCATCGACATTGTTTATATCTTCAGGACACTTTTCATTCACCTCACTAACATTTGAACATTTTTTATCACCCAACATCTCTTGCACATCATTTGAATGTTCAATGTTCTTCTCACTTTTACTCAATTCAGATGCCTTCTCTTTGATCAAATTAACAGCATTCGGACAAGTTACTTTTTTCAATGTTTCATTATTAGCCTTTTCAACAGAATTTTCGACTGTCTTCGCTGAGCTTACATCTACTTTATCTTTTCTTTGAGTCAGTTCAATTTTTTTCTCTTGGCAAACTTTAGAAAGTATCTTATTTTCGTTTTCTGCAAGCACCTTAACTTTCTTCGCAGAGGAAACTGTGTCCTTACTGCCAGGGATTGAGTCATTACTCTTTCTTTTACCACAATTAATTTCTTTAGCTTTTTCCCCTGACAATGTAGCAACTTTTGAACTGCCATTTCCAGTAGTTTTTTGCTGCACTTTCATAGCCTTTTTAGTCAATGCTTCTTTTTTACCAGATGTGATTTTCTTGGCTAGTAATTCACTTGTTTTCTTCTGTGCTTTTGTTGACGGTTTGCAATCATTTGGCAGGAGTTTTTGATCTGCGTGTTCTTGTACTGGTGGCGTAGTTGGGGGAGTCAATGCTGGAAAGCAAGAGTGACAACTTAGGAAGACAGATATCATCATAAGATAGATTGATATTTCATTTCCATACCTGTTGTATTGACATGTGAGTTTATTTTCAAGCTAAGAGGTTCTTTATAATTCTCAGAATGTCTAAAACAAAACACAAGCAGAATAAAGTTTTCACTATTTTTCTTGCATTTCTGAATGGGATGTTATTGAAGTCACAGGAAAGAAAATTATCAGTCTTACCTTGGTGAAGTCGCTGGAGTTAGGATACTAGGTGAGTTGCCAAAAGCTGAATGATAGAAAAGGTGATTGATCAGGTGATACAGCAAAGAAATATCTTGCATACAGCCTAACGAACAGGCATCTTGCATAGCACTAACCTTCCTCAAACTTATCCAAAAGACTGCACAAATCACTTGCTTGAATACCTTCAAATGGATGAAATTTATTCATTACATAGAAATTACATTGTTGGTTAATTAACCAATATATTGTTGATCTCTACAAGATTAATGCAATGACAATAGCATGTACAAATTACAATTAAATATAAGAAATATAGCAAAAAATTACTATAATGCTGATATTTCGAATAAATCTCACCTTCATTTGGAAAATCTCCCACTCTTCCATCCTAAGATAAGTAGGATAAGACAAGGAAATAACAATTACAAAAGACTTTCTCTTTAAACAAGAAACAGATGGCCTATGTGGCATCAGGAAGACTAAAGCTAAAAGGACTACAGGATCAAAGAACAAAATGATTTCAACAACTGCGCCAAGATGACAATGCACCATCAACACAGCAGCGCTGCTTCGGTGTTTATCATCAACAGGATTACGGATTACAGTTAATGAACATAAACTAATTTTTTTTTTACTTCCGGACAAATTAGACATTTAATAGTAATCACCCACTGACCCACGTGTACTAATATTGAAATATTTGAACACCGATCAAAATATTTCCTCCCAATCACAAAACGACGTGTGAAAAAGGTCACATTTCTCTACAGACAAGCTAAACTAAAGGTTCTTACATAAAAAACACGGAGTACCTTAACATCGCGTGAACCACATGTTACAAAACTGCCTTGAATGTTGCTCTTTACCTCCCCGTCACAAGCATGTGTGGTCTCGTCTACTATCGCTGTTTTTTGGTTGTTTGTTTCACTAGGAGAACTATGTTTCAGGTAATCATGATCGATATGAATCCTTCTAACGTGATCTAGCGTAGTTTTGGTCGTATCGTCAACTTTCTTGACAGTAGAATGCAACTTCTTTGGCAAAGAAAATTCCAATCTCACCGTAGCCATAATGAATGATCAAAGGAACGATCTCCTCTGATCTCAATATCCGAAATGTTCGTGAAAATGACGTCATGCATATTGTGATCTGTGTCGTCGTTTTCATTTACGATGCACAGAAAGAGTTAAATAGAGTAATTTACATTGTGCTAGAAAAATTTCAAGATGTGCTTCAAAAGGTTTTAGATTTCCACAAATCATGGTTTACAATGGTATTTAGCTGCACAAGACTTGAATGCCTGATTAAATGTTAGGACTGGATCTAGAAGACCAGTTATGTATGGATAATTATTATTAATTATTCTCAGTTTTGTCCATATTTTGTACCAAGACGTCGACACACATAATTCCAATACTCCTTTCTAATGCTGTCAATATCTGTTGCTAGCATATTACATAACTGTAAGAGAACAGAACGCAATATTTCAAAACACGAACTATTATCATGGAAAGTTACCAGCTTTAAATATTTTTACCTCTTGGGCCTTAGTCAGTGTTCCTGCTGGTGCTGATCCTTTTTCAAGATCCTCTTCATAAATATCTATAATAAAACTGAGCAAGTATGGTGAATCCATTCCATCTTCCAGCCATCTGAATACAGTCTCACGTAGCTCAGTTTCGCTGCTAGCTTTTCCTTTATCAAGAATCCTAAACAGGAATACATAAACCATATATTAATAGCATGCATTTGGCAAACAAGTGTACTACATTCAATTTCAGACTTGACTGGAATCTAAATATCAATATTCACCAACCCTGTAAGATAATTCCAAGCACTTTCATTATTAGGAACATCTTTGATCACTTGAATAAGGTAACTAAAATAGTAGGACAAAACGTTTACTGAAATGGTTTTGTTTAGTCAATTAACGCAGGACTTCATTTAATTTTAATTCTGTGAATAACTCACCTAATTTCCCTTTTCATAACTTCTTCAGTGTAGCCAGTTGTATGCGTAATAACAAAATATCTTTGATTCCATGCAGAATTGTTTCGTATGTCATCTGTAAGCAGTTTGTTAACATAGTCTAGTTCATTTTCCCATAGTTTAAATTCTTTAATGACCCATTGTCTGTGTTGCCAGGTGTGATAATTCTTTGCATCAAGATCCAAGATTGATGCTGAGAAGGCCAGCTCAAGTGATGGATCTTTTAGCCAACCAACAACAACCTTTCTGTGGTACCTGCAAATTATATTGATGATAATAGTTAAACACTCATCACAATGTATTGAAAATTCAATTATACTGCGCCATTTTCTGGAGTAATTCTTATTTTATCTTACCAAACTTGGTAATTTTTTGGATGCTGATCAATGACTGTTGATATAAAACTCAGTTCCTCTTTCAGATCCTTGTTGAGGGTCTGTAACAGTAGTCTTCGATAATACCTGGAATATATGATAAGGTTAGATTATCTAGGACTTAGGAGGAGGTACGTGTTCAAACTTCTCCAGAAAGCATTCTTATCTCTTACCAAACGGTATAATTTGCAGGGTTTAAATCCACTGCATCAGCAGTTAAATCCAGGGCTCTTTGGCTCTTTTCCTCAGACTTTAATATTGCACGGAAATAGTCATAAACATCTTTAACTGTTTCAAAAGAGATGGAATAATCTCAGGTATAATTGGGTAAATGCTGTCCAGAATCTGGACATCGGCTTCGAAGCAATGCAAACGTTTAACGATTTCAAGGTAAAGACGTCTTACATTTGTCGGTATAAGCAATTGCAACAACTGGAAAAGGTCCGTCGTCTTGTTCAATAGGTGTCACATCCTTCCATTCCTCCCTATCACGGTAAAACACCCAGTTTTCGTTTTCTTCTTCAGAACTGTCAGACGCCATATTGTTAGTTCTTCTTCTTTGCCACTGACCGGCATATAACCTGTATGGGGGTCAGTTGACTCAGTTCCTCTCCTCTCAGACATAGATTAAATTTGACTAAGTATTTTTCTCATTTGAGGATTATCCCAGCAGCCAGTTATCAAGATGTGAAAAGAGAAATGAAATGTAGTTACTCGAGCTTGCTGCATTCGTAAAAAGTTGCTTCAAACGCAAAAAAGTTTCAAAAAAATTGCCAAGCAAAATCTGTAAAAATTTAGTGTAGAGGAATGTATTTTAATACATAAAAAAGAAACTAAGTCTTATTATTTCAGTATTCTGCAATTATGTTATTGCAATATGCTCAACCAAGTAATCCTTCATATTCTAAAAGTTTCTACGAGATAATTAGAACACCATAAATGAACTAATTAGTGTAACAAATTAGCACTAATATTGTCCGTTGTCCTTTAACTTTCGTTGGAGAATATTTTCTTAACGTCCATCGTCTCAGTATACATTTTATGACTGATCTTCTGCAATGCCGCATACTCGTTGTCCAAACACTCGAATTTAAAAATAAGATCTTCCAATTTCGTTTGGATATTCTTGTAAAAACTGGCAGGAATATTTGGAACAAACTTGGATGAGAAAGAGTACGTTGAAGTCGTCGACAAGGACTGTTGAGAAGAAAAATACGAAAACATGTTACCTATTAAAATCACGGTACTGAATCAAACAACGAAAAGCTCTCTTTTAAAGATCTTCTTTTAAGGTAAGCATTCTCTCAAGGACTAATTTAAAAATCTAAAATCAACCTCAAAAATCGTTTAACTAGTTACCTTTCCACCGGACAAACTGTCCCTTGAGTTACCATCAGCCCCAGACCTCCTATCAGACGCTGGTATATTGCGTGGTGTATCGACAACATCTTTACCTTCAGTTGCAGGTGGTGGGGCACTATCGTCCCTAATCATGCTTAGGAATCCTCCAAAGTCTGCACCGTTATCCGCACCACCTCGATCTTCAGTTGGAGTGGAAGATCGCTTGTTTTCCTCGGGAGGCTGTTGTGGTTGTTCGTCAGGTAAATCGTCCATGGCGGCTGAAATGAGATCATCCAAGTCGGAGCTCTCCACTTCGGTCGTTTTACTGGGATTCACGCCTTCCTCGATCTATATAATCGTTTGATAAATTGAAATGAAAGTCTAAAATGGCCTAAAATACAAAATACGTATTGTCACTTTGAACGCACTACAATTAAACTGAATGTGAATGCAATATTGCGATGATTAAGATTGGTGCTATTACCAAGCGGATGCGATCATCGACCGGATGCTGATCCGGTGATAAATCATGCCGAATTCTTGCTATTTTAAGTCCTAACAGTGCATTTATTGGCTGTCAATATATTAGCAGATAGCAATGTGAAATAGCAGTCAATCTACCATAAAATTATATCACAGACCGACAGACGCGAGACTCAAAAATGCCTCCACTGAGTGACCCCCTATCGGTCATCTCTTATGCTGTGGAAAAACCTTATCTAAGAAGAAAGAATTGATTCTAAACTCGTCCATTTAAACTTTAATCAAAAGAAAGCGAGGATACATACAACATCACCGCTGTACTCTGGTTTCGGAGGCACATCTTCCAAAGGTTCCTCATCAGACTCATCATCTCTCTTTACATGACGTTTGGGTACGTTTTGATCCTCGGGTTTTACCTCTTCCCCCGCCTCCCCGAACAGCTCCTCAAAAGCATCCCCCACACTACTCTCCTCCATTGGCGTCTCTTCTTTCTTCAAATCCGGTTCGTTCGCCGTCGCAGGCTTCTGACGATCAACATTGAAGCCTTGTAGATTGGCGACGCGAGTCTTTGAAGTTCGCACGACTTTGAAACTCATTGTGTTGCTGGGAGAATTACCAAAAAATGTGAACGCAGCTTGAATCTATCGTTTAAGAAGCAATATCACACAAAACATTCCATAGATTGGGTAGAGTAAAATACGAGATACCCCCAGTAAATATATAAATTGAAGTACAGATATTGGTGATGTGCAAGAAAACTGGGAGCTGCAGAAGAAGTTGAATTGCATTCCAGTGAAAGGGTAAAATTCTGGGTGTCTGTCATTCATTGGCTTGTGTGTAACGAGGCGTTTCGTTTACAGCGAACAATCTAGTCCAAGACGACAGTCTGAATGTCTCATTAAGCAAATTTGAACCGAACCATTTGTTGGTTTTTTAACCCAGAAAGGTCGATGATCGTTGTTACTTTAAATGTATCTGCTTTTAAACACGAAAATATCTGCTTTTAAACACGAAAGTTTTCATTAAATAATTACAGGATCACTAATCGCTGTATATTTCAAAGAGCAAACGAACTATTTATTTTCAAGCAGTGAATGTACTTTAGTAAATAGTGAACTGCGTTGTAGTAATTGAAATACTAGTCGAGATATCACTAGAGCTGCTTTTTTGTACAGAGAGTCATGTACACAATATCACTATATCTTTAACTTGAGTACAGGGTGTTTAAAACTTTAATGATGCTGAACGACAGTCGCTAATTATATAAATAGCTTTCACAACTATAGGAATACCGTGAGAAGGTGTAATGCTAGTTACAAACTGTGATATATCTGAACGAAGGCAATGGTTGTTTTCAGGAAACGTTGTGAAGAAGGTTAATAGTAAAGAGTTTGTTCTTACCTCGCATCAGTTTCTCTCCCCTGAAGTCTGTCCAGAAGAATTTGCCAGATTGACCAAAGCAAGTCAAGCGGATCAAAACAGTGTAATGCAAATGTGACGTTTAATCCTAGTTTATGAAAATTCATACATGTACATATCATATGCAAATCAGTTTCAGAACAGCTCAGGCACTCACTTTTATGCAAATCTTCCTATAGCATGAAAGCATGAAACTGCCTCAAATCTTTCCATCGAAACAAACCTCTGACAACATAATATATATTTCACATATTTTACAATTTAACTAGCTTCATGTAACGTTTAAAAAAATATCAAAATTTCTAGAATAGGTTTGTATTCTGCTATGATTTGTAAACTGAAATTCATTCAACAAGCTCTACATATTTTTCTTAGTTCGTATATTTGTCACCATCCAAACTTCGCAATTTTTTTATCGTCGTTTCCCACAATTTTTTCTTCTCCCGATCTCCCTTACGAAGACTGAGAGAAATGCCTTTTTTCTTGTCCGATTCTGCGTACAATCTGAAAGAGAAATACAAAAAAAATGAGAAAAAAGATATAAAACTTGTCTTGTATCTTGCAACGATGAAAGTTTTTGAATGTTTAAATGTAAGAACGAAGAAATAACACGAGCTTACTTTTCCAATAATTTCGCTGCAACAGATGGGTTCACCCTCGAATATTTGCTGTGAGCTTTACCATGGTCTGCCATGTAGGTAGACCAGTCACCTGACATGAGAAGATCTACCAACTAAAAAAAAGAAAAAATGTTTGTATCTACAATATTCCATACAACAACAACACAATAATGTACCACCAACCTGTCTAAGTTCTGTGAAAGTCATTTGCAACGTTCCGTCATTAAAACCTTCTACTGGATTGGAATTTGCAAATTCTAGAAACGCATTTGTCATAGAAATTCGTTGATTCAAAATGATAAAAAGTGGTTGCTTCCATGCATCTTCAACGAACCTTCACACTTCCTTAGATCCTGATTGAATACTTGAAGTCCGTTCATATTCATCTCAGTAACCTTGAAGTTCATGGGAGAAATACTTCAGAAATCCTGCAAACTTCAAGATAACCCATAAGGAATAATATTCGCAGTGTTAATGACTGCATACTTACCCTATCATCAAGTAAAAAATGTCTTAAACTGTTGGCTAAATGCTTGCACGATGACATACAAGCGGTTTGGGCGACATTACCCTGGAAAAAACAATAAATTGTAAATATTTTCAAGAGTGTTACGCGAGGCAATATCCAGATCAAACAAACAAGTCATTTAACTCACAGGAAGGTTAGTGAAGGTCAGGAAGGTAACATTGAGGTAGGTCAGGAGGTCGACAAGGTATTCACTCGCATGATTCTTGCTCCCTGAAGCGGTCCAGTTATACGAGGCTAAGTCCAGGAATTGGTCCATCTTCTGGTTCAATTTCTCGTAAACTCGCTGCTCGGCTTCCGCCCTTACATCCTGTGAGAAAGAGAGACAGTTGAACGGTATGAAGCTTTTTTTTCAGAAGAATCCAACGAGAAGTGTCACGAGCAGCATAAACCTACCTTGAAAGCACCCAGGCCATAGACTCTCGCGACGTTCTCATCATCATTTGAGGTTCTGGGGTAAAATATAATTTATAATAAATTAGCGGTTAAAACGAGTCCGCGACGCTAGTTCATACTCGTCACTAAAACTATTGTAATATGAGATGTTTCTCAATCATTTTGGAACTGTAAGAATTAATTCACCCTGTTTTTGAGGCAACAAATTCCTCGAGACTCGAACAGGCAGCTTCAAGATGCAAAGTGTTGATGGATGTTTGAACCGTCTGTAAATTGTAAGAACATAAAATCATTGCTATGAAAAAGCAGCGATAATAAAGCAAATAAATATACCATCTATACCTGAGCTAGTGTCAATCTTTTTCGTCTGATAACATTATTAAGACAGCCTAAAATACATATTTAGCGTGTCTGGATTATTAAATCAGTAGACTGGTAATCGGTGCCCCTCTATTCACGAAGTGTTATATTCGGAAGTTTCCGGTACCTGCAAGTGTTTTAGTGATTAAAAAATTCGTTGATCTTCTAACATTGTCACCAATGTCCATTTGACTAAAAACACAAAATAATTCAGGACATCAACCTCTGATTGCATATATCTACGACGTTATTTAATAAAAAAAACTTAGGAAAACAACATAGGCTACATGCAATCAATCTTACCTGAAATTGAGATTTTCATAGAATTTCAGTGACGACTTGATAAATTCTTTTATCTTAACATAATAATATAATTCTATGAATTCTAAAACGTTTTCATAGTGATTGCTATGTAGAAATATGACTTACCTGAGCGTAAACTTTTATGACACATTCAGAAAAATCTATTCTCTTCGGAAAACTCTCCTAATTAAATGAAGAAAGAGAACCTTGTTTGGGATCTGGAAGGCAGGAGTTTCCTCGTCTGGAGTAGGACGCTGGATTGAATGTTTCTGTGGAAGAGACGAACGAAGAACTATATACCTGCACTGGACCTTACCTCTTTCAGTTGATCATTGTAACGCGGAAAGTCTCCAAAAACATCTTGAAATTCTTGCTTGCTTTGACAGACTATTGGATTGTAGTTATCCTCATCAAAAACGCCACTGAAATAATAAATAACGTCTGCCTAGGTACGTTATATAAGGGGGTAAAGAAATGGCGAAAGTGGCTAATAGTATTTTGCCAGTAATCAATGTTGAACGAACTTGAAAATGTCGCCCCAATGTCCCATCAAAATGGTATGATATTGTTGCCTATTTAAAAACAAAATACAAAAAGAATAAAAAACATACATGTATGCATTGCAATAATAAAGATACAATGCTCCGCTATTACAGCAAAATACTTTACCCCATGCCGTGAAGAACATCGTTCAGCTGAGAAACTGTTAAACCGTAAGCCTGAAACAAATTTGAACAACTCAGAGTTACGGCGAAAACTTTAAAACGCTCATTTTACCATTCATGTTTCACTTACAGACAAAGTATTGCAGAACCAGCCAATCAATTCCTTCACTTTAATTAGCAAATCAGTTTCCTTGCAGTAACCCTGGAGGAAATAAAGTTTTAACACCAAGCGAGCACACAAACGCAGTTCTGGCCACGACAGCTTTGACAAACTTACAGATTGGTTTTTTAAAACAACAGCAATGATTGCAACAGCCATTTCCCACATTTCATCAATGGTGCTCCTATGTTACACAAAAATGGTCGATAGCAATGAAAAATGGTCAATAACAATTGAATAACTCCCATGAAAATAATTTCTTCATTAAATCATGGTTCCTACCTGGTTACCAAACCTTGGGTCGTGTGCATTATTGTATCTTCTACAACAAAAAACCTTCAAAATAAAAATACCATGGGTTTAGAAATCATTTTCAATGGTATATAAACCTTTCTATTCTGTCACACAACTATACAAACTCACCCCACAATCTCGTGGAAATACAAGCGATAAGATTCAAGTGATCTTCCCTTGATAAAATAAATTAGTCCCAAATTACTTATAAGAATCAGGATGCTGAATGTTGATGAGATTAGCTTTAATAAATAGATCAGTTGAAAATATAATTCCCTATGGAAATAGGATTGCTTATTTTAGTGACTTTATAGTGGTGTACAGGCAAATAATTCTGGTCAAACAACTTAACAACGACCACAGTTTTTTTTACTTACAGTTGTCGAGTTGCCACTGTTGGCTTCCAAAACAAGCCTTGCTTGTTTTCGTCTTTGTGTTCGATAATATTCAACAAAATCATCTCGTAAACCCTAAAATGCATCAATGAAACTCACCGAAATCTCACACAAAAACAGCATGTAAAAGAGACATAATGATAAGCAAAGGAAAAGCCTGGTGAAGGTTTTTAGAAGTCATCTCACTTACTAGGACAGTATAAATATGAAGACCTCTGTAAACAGGTGAAAAGTCCACCAGCTCATGGGCACTTGAACAAGAATCCTAAAGAGGAGAGTTATACCATGTCATCAGACCATTTCTGAAGCATGTTACAGCTTGTTCTAAATGCATTTTATAATTGCACACCTCTTCACTCTCAAATGGGTTCAATTCTGCTCCAACTCCATGTAAAATTGATAAATTATGACGTTTTTGTGCCTGGCAGAGATGGGAATAAAAATTGAAATATGGCTTTGCTACACATGCATGAAACCAGCCTGAATCTCTACCTGTTTCATCGCAATTGAACCAAGAATCTTTGAGTGTTCCCTGATACTGGCAAGGAAATCCTAAAAAAAGAACCATCACAACTTTCTAAAATATCTGTGTTCCGTGGATGATACTAATTGTTCACTGAAGTCAAAGGATCAGCTGGGTCTTTGAAGTAATTACATGAAGATGGCTGGATTTATACAGATGTTACAGATCTATAGGATCTAAACTTACCCTCAGATCAGACATGGCTGCTTTCTTTATGTTCTCACGGTAAACTGGAATGCGAGAACTCATGATCTCCGCAAATCTGAAGCTAATGGGGAAGTATAAAACTGAATTTCCTTGCAACTTGAGGGTTGTTTTCACAAAGCTAAAGGACAATATCCCTACAATGGCATATACCTCTTAATTCGTGGAAGATATGTATGCTCAAGTTGTTCTAAGCTTTTTAGTGCTGGATAATATCTAGTCAAAAAATTGCACACAAAATAGAAATGTATATAAAAAATAGAATTGGAAATTGTTCAAATGTCAAGCCAAAATGCACCTTTTTCCGTCCAGTTGTTCTTGCAACTTGGCATACATTTCGAGAACTTGAAGAAATTAAAGATGTATGAGGCCAGAAAATACAAAACATTGCAGAATATCATTGCTATCGCATTGAAGAAAACTAACCTGGCAAACATAATGTAATTGTCTCTATAGCAGATGCTATGTTTCTTTGCATCAATCGACACTGAATCAAGCTGCTGATTTGTTTTGCAAGCTAGAATTTATATAGAAAATAAAACTTATTGAATGCCTTGATCAAAGGAACATAAAAGAAGAAAAATATTTTTGTTACCTCACAACCTGAGTTGTTGAATGACACATTTAAATCCTGTACATAAAGCTAGATTGGAAAAAATATTGTTTTTACCTCTTGTTAATTGGAGAAAACTCATGTGTTCATAGGTGATCAACTGCAGGTGACAATAACAATAATAATGCGTACCTTCAACTTGTGGGTATCGCCTTTGACATTAAGTAGCTCATTGACAGATTCAATGAAGCCTTGATAATGAAAATTACACATCTTTTCTATTTCTTTATCATGATGTGTGATGCTTTCATCCAGTTTTTGCATGAACAATTTATGACCATCACTATCATATACAGTCCTGAAATATATGGTACACATCAAGTTTCAACCCTGCTACCATTACGGCTAGTTCTAGCCACCAGGGCCACACCTTGGTTCTCATTGGCTAGCAGGTGCACCACCCGTCAATAGCCCTCAAATGACACTGAGACTGACTGAGTTCCACAGCAACAGTATGCATTGTGGTCAGATTAACAAAGCAATTATATGGTCAAACGATCGTGTTGTCAAATTCACATTGCAATTTAATAAAAGCTCGCCTCAAATCCTCGATCACGTTGAAGACTTGAGGCTGTGTGATCTGTGTTGATCTGCAGTTATCTTGATCAACGCACACATCTCATGGCCTCGCTTACACTTATACAGTACAATTACTTCTAAAGTACTGCATCATCTTTAACATCATTATCATATTTTTAGGAAATGATGACAGAATGCCAGAAATAGTTTAAATCGAAACGCTCACTTGAGTGTGGGTCCAACTGGGCCATCGCTGCTTTCAATTTCACCCAGAAGAGTGTCATGCTGCGTCGGACCACTCTGTTGTTCCTCTTCCATTCTTTCAAGCAGTTTATTCCAAGATATCTCAAGTAATTCCAGCTCTTTTCCAACACATTTTCACTTCCACTGTTTATACCTTTCCTGGTCGAAGATGAAACGAGCCTGCTGTACGCCCGTACAAGCGAGGTTACTTCATGGTACCTGGCATTTTCTGTCACAAAAACATGCACTGATGATCGCAAAACCTCCCGGGCGCCTCACCGCCCCTCACCCTCCCAAAGGCTGGATTCAGCCGGGCTAACTCGAGCAATAAAATACGCTTCGATTCCAGTGTGTGGTATTCAATATATTAGGAAAGAACCTATTACAAAATATCCCCGTTTTATGACCATGTATGTTTTAAAGTTCACAATGGAAATTTAGTAAGTAAGCTCATGATATTAAAAGTGGTTCCATTACTTCAGTACTGAGAAGTACTGAGAAATCAGTAGCACGCTACTGTTTCTTTCACCTACAGACACCTCTAGTATAATCAACATCTCAGACTTTCCAATACAGCCATTGATTGATTGCAATCCAAACCATCAATGATCTCTAAATACACCCAAGACACATGCACTTCAATCACGCTCCTATCTTCGAGGTCTCCACAATTTGTGTTCAGGAAACTTCCTAACAACTCCTTGCAACAGAATCAGCGTTTACTTTTCCGTCGTTTCTAAATTAAAAACCAGTTTACCGAATTCTTAATCTCTTTCTAAAGATATAGAACTTGAGCGCCTGTCCTTACCTTATTTTCGTGAGATTTTTGAGTTGCCTTAAAGGTACGCAGTGGGTCTAGTTTTTGTTTCTGCAAACGAAAATAGAACAATATCATTGTAAATATACGCGATAGACATACGAATAAAATATTTAACAATAGTAACGTCACCTTGTTGCTATTTTTCTGGTGTTTATGGAAGGAAACGTAGCTTCTTTTTCGTCGTTGAGAATTGGTCATTGTTGGTTTCAGCGTATCAGGAACTAAACGAAAATTCGTCGTAAATGTGTGAGGATTTATAAACTATGACAAGTGTTAAGTTTAGTCTGTCTATCGCCTGGAACAGTGCAGACAAATATTAAATTACCCAGATAATCCGGGACGTGTTTTAGGTGCGGTTGAATCTTCGCAGGATGAAGATCTTTATCATGTTTCAGAAGCTGCAAATCTCGCGGATTGTCTTCAAAGAAAGCCTGTGAACAAAGTAAAAGTGGGGACATATATCATGTAGAAGTGATTTTCAAGGTTTTTCATATCAATGACAAGATTCTTTCAGAAAGAATATAATTTACCTTTAATTTTTCTGAATTTAATATTTCCGACTTAATTTCTTTCAATCTTGCCTCCCGCACTATAAAAAAGAACACAACGTGTCGCAGGTACTGGGTACAACTTTGCTACGCCTTATCAATGAAAACTGTTCTAATCTTACCTGAAGCTTTCGTTACAGCGCGCAGAGCATCCTGGGCACGATACCGAAAACCCTCAATCTCCTCCATTTTGAACTTAAACGGTTTGAAAATGCGTTCATTTGCCGACGCAAAGTTCGGAGATAATCGCTCTTCCACGGCAGTAATCATTTTGTCATCGGATGACGTCACTAGTGAGAGTGCGTTGCCGGTATTATGACCACGAGCCGTCCTGGAAATGAAATTATAAAGAATTCACATTACGTCATTCTTCTAAGAACGTTCCTCCCCAACTCTCTCTCTCACTCCCCTATTTCTCTCTCTCAACACTAAATTCACCCTACCTGCCAACTCTGTGAACGTAATTTTCAACCGTTTTTGGAAAGTCGAAATTCAGAACATTCTCAACATCTGAAATTAAAAAAAATTGTCAACGTCGTTTTCCTGTCCATTTGTATTATTAACAACGAAACCAATTAAGATGATCACCTTGAAAGTCAATACCACGAGATACGCCATATTCACTGGCTTTATTTACATTCTTGTGAGCTGAGGGCTTGCAGTCAAAGAAACAAAAACGATGAAAACACATCTCAAACCTATAAAAAACTTATCTCAAGCCATTCGGATCATCACATTCATAAGTCGGACATTTAAAAAGATACGTTTTGAAGATTTTGCAGAATCAATGTTTTCATCTGTTGCAATGATGTAGTCATATATTCCTTTGTTGAATTCCTCCACAATATGACATCTAAAAGAAAAGAGATATTAGCTAATTTAACGCTACGAGGAACTTCCTAATCAAACATATAAATCTCAAAAAACTCACCGTGAATTATGTGGTAATTCTGAGTTAAGAACGCATGTCTTGATTGAAAATTGTTCCAGAAATAACTTCAGCCTGAAAGGGATACAATATACAATAATCAATACAAATTAAAGTTCCACTGAGTTTATTTAAAATTTCAAACATTCACACACCTGTAACAACGATCAATACCATTGACAAATATCAACGTTTTTCCAAGAACAAGCCTAGAAAAGAACGAACAAATCTCAGAAGCTGTGTCCTATGCACTGGTACAAAAAACTCATGAGACTCACTTCAACTTCAACAGGGTGTAAACCAGAAGAAATTTGTCATCAGCTTCACATCTAAAAGAACCACAAAAGCTAAATAAACTTCACATTTATAATGACAAAATCTTAAACTCCACGCAATACTTACTTGATTAAATATTGTTTTAGACTGCTTTCTTCTGGCAAATCAGAGATATCTAATTTCAAAGTCACCTACAGTGGTAAACAAGTTCAAAGTTAACTTAAATATTAAAGAAATGCAGAAATATTTAAAATAGAGACATACAGGATTTTGCAATACAATTTTCTTGAGCTCTTTTACTTCCTAATATAAAATGAAGGAAAGTAGTTTAGAGACACAGCACTGATAGACACGGCACTGATTAACCAAAGGAAGGCTTCCAGTGACTCACAACTCACCTCTGATAACGTGGCGGACATTAGGAATGCTTGATAGATCTTTGGTAGATGACTAAAAGTGAAATTATTTTATAGGATATATTATATTTATAGGATATATAGATGGAATAAAAACAATTCCTTATGTACAATGCAAGACAACCTTAACAATGTTTTCAAGTCGTATTCATAACCATATGAGAACACCAAGTCAGCTTCGTCAACAACCAACATTTTTAACGTTTCCTTCAATTCAAGATCCTATGAAATAATATACAATGATATGTCACTGAAGTTAAAACAATTGATATTATTTATAAATGTTGTATCAGTTACATTTGGGTTCCATGTGAAAACCAACCTTTGCCTGGAGATGGGCCAAAACACGACTTGGTGTACCAATAACAATATCTGGTCTTTCCAACAGAATTGGCCTGTTTAAAACATTAATTATAAAACTTTATTCAGAAATCGTTAGGCACAACAGACGTGTGTCTTTACATGATTGAGTTATTTTAGATACAATATACATTATTTAATTGCTAAATCAACAGTTTAATTATCGAATGATAACTCCATGTACCTGACCACATCCAGGGTTGCTTGAGCAACGTCTACAACACGCACACTCCGAGAGCAGTATGACGTAAGATCCTATAAAAATATGTGAAATCTTTCATTTGCGTTTCTCATTGAGGTTCAGCACGACTGTTCTAAACTTCTATAGAATATACCTTTACGTTTTTGCATGCTTGTTGAGATAATTCCTTAGTTGGAACTAAAATCAGTGCTTTCACAGATCCTTCACTTTGGTTGGTCTTAAAATGAGAAATAACATTAACATTGGAAGCTCCACTTACTGAGTGAGCAGCACCAGATATTGTTTTCAAGCAATTTATTTAATACTATACAAACCTTTTTCTCCTGCAGGATTTTTTGAATAATTGGAATAGCATACCTAATATTTTAAGAGAAGACAGGTATTTTAGGCTACTTTCTGAGCCTCAGAATGCACTATACACAACAATATATTTCAAATAATATGTGCTGATGTACTTACGCTGCAGTTTTTCCTGAACCTGTTTTTGCTCTAGCGAGAATATCCTTTCCTTCAATTGCCAAAGGAATGGCACTTTCCTATGACAAGGATAATCAAAGATTTATCAAAAAGGATTATCGTATTATTACTGACCCAATTCATATAACTTATCCCTGAATATACCTGAATTGCTGTAGGTTTCGACCACTTTAACTTCGAAATTGCCTGATGAGAAACAGAATAGAAATACCCGTAAGATAGAAAGAGAGACTGCCAGTACATCACAGTGAACTGAGGTAGATTTCCCACCTTTAAAAGACGGTCATCAAGGCCAAACTCGTGAAAATGTTTAACTTCTTTTTGCACATTCTCGTCGGCCATCTTGAAATATTGCGGGCTCAATATGAGAAGCAAAAGTACTAAAAATAGGTACGCGTTGCGAACCATAGAGATTATAAATAACACGTGTATTTGTATAATAATAATATGTATTAAATAATATGTGTTATTTATAATCTCTATGTTGCGAACCTGTACCCCGCGACTGTCCAAGTTTTAAACTTCTTTTGCGACAGTGTTCTGAGAAACGAACCCAGAAGCCACACACGTGTTTTATCACTATCAACGAACACGTATTGGTTTGGCTCCAGACATGGACACTGTTTTTAAAGCCAAACGAAAAGGAGGGAAACCGGAGTGCCCGGAGAAAAACCCTCCAAAGGTCACCTGAATTTCAGGTTACCTGACCAGCGGTCCGAATTTGGTATTTTCATTAGAAATCGTTCGCAAGACAGTTCAGTTTTTATCAATAGTTCACCGTTTTAGTTCCGCTTCTCCAAACTGAGTCCCAGGAATTGCTATTCAATTCTCGAGTTTCGTCAATTCCATCGCTGGTGGTCTAACGTGCGCCGCGCGCATATCGTGCATCGCAAAACACCAGGCTCTTAGAAATTAAACTGCGCTTTGTCCGACAATGGCAACACAAATTATTCAGTCTGTCATCGTTTTTCAAAGAAATTCACGACTTGCATGCTTTTTCATCTCAAACCGATGTAGACAACAACACTCTTCTTGACATGCACCTCATGCACCGTTTTTATCTGGATAACGCTTGACCGAAAATGAAGAGGGAAATAAACGTAATCGGGCTCAACATGCAACTTTCTAAGTCTTACTTCATATCTGCTAGTGTGGTGCTTCATGCAACTTACTTCGTATCTGCTACAAGAATCAATAATGTTCTCACCTTTCGCACCTTATAATTACCTTTCGTGAACAATTCTCTTCCTTGTCTTCCATTGCTTCATTTCAGAGTTCTTCAACAACATCTCGACGGTGAGGCGTGTAAGGAATTAAAAAACATAGTAAGTGTGTCAAAATGCAAGGGGGTTTGTTGAAAAGGAAATCTCTTTGGGCAGGAGGGTACTGTACAATAATTAAACACATGCAGTATATACCCCATATACCCTCATGAATGCAAGTCCTGTTATTGTGCAATGTAATATATCTTGTAATATAGGAGCTATATTTTACTTATAAAAACTTCAAAGTCATTTAGTCAAAATCATTAGATTACGTTTATTTCCTTCATGCTCGAGATTAACCGGAGAGTTTCAACTTCAATCGGAAAAATTAATACCAATCAGGTAAACAGAAGAGTGCTGATGTCTTAACATCAAATCGAGCATCAAATTGTCATTTTTTTATTTTAAACTTCAATTAATCCGAAAGTATAATTTTTGATGCCATTGACGGACGGTCCTTCGCAACGGTCGCATTATAACAGCCTGAACAGAGAACTTATATAATCATATAAGTACTCGCGATTACCTTCGTATTAATCTAAAATTAGGTCAATACGAATTCGAAATTATTTTCTAGCTTGCGTGCGCGTCGCCATGCTACGGCTAAACGAGAGAACTTATATAAATAATATAATCATAAAAGTACACTGGATTACCTTCGAGTTAGGCCAATATGATTTCGATTTTTTTTTCGCTGCGCGCGCGTCGACCACGGCCACGCTAATTGTATTTTGTTACTTCGAAATGAAAGAAACTACGATCGTAAGTCGTTAAAATTCACACGCAAGTGACAAAACTGGGAATGTTTCATCAAAACGCCATGTTATCATGCATTGTCGAAAAAGGTGAAATGTCACTTGATGTGTGAATATACTAGGTTAGACCACCAGCAGGAATCAATACCGGAATAAACATGCACATACATCATGCACCATGCATCACTCTAAATAGTATAACTATAGTATGTACCTCAACCAGCTTCTACTTGTACACCCGTCTCGTCGTCCATCATCTGATCCTGCGACGATCCCTGATCATCTTATCTGCGACCATCCATCATCATCTCAACTGCGACGATCCTTCATCATCTGATCCTGCGACGATCCTTCATCATCTGATCCTGCGACGATCCTTCATCATCTGATCCTGCGACGACCCTCCATCATCTGATCCTGCGACGATCTCTCATCATCAGATTTCTTAACGTATAGATACAAAATTTGATATCATTCACTTTCAAGAGAGAATGTATATATATATATAAAAGAATTCAGGATAAAATTATCACTCAAAACCCGATTGTACACCTTCAACATCTCCTACGCCACTTGTCCAAAGCCTTCGCATTGCGCACGCGAATACAAAATGTCATGCACGTTTTTGTAAGAAATATTAATCGTTTTTTTAATGATCCTGAGAAAACTAAAGCTCTCAACTATTATCTCCTTCTAGAAATACAATTTCTCATGCAATTTTAGACGTTTTGTGAGCGATAGTTTTGTTCCGGACTATTGTCGTTCAAGATGGAGAAAATACAAGTGATGGGGCCCCAAATCACTTGCATTTGCCCCGCATGCGCTTGACACGACCAGACACATGCAAAAACCGCAAGCTGAAAAGTTAAAAATCAAGGAGGTAAACAGAAGAGTGTTTAGCACATCTCAAGTCAAAAAGCCAAATCTCATGCAATTTTTCCTCATGCATATTTTCATGCACCGAAATCAAATTGAGTTTTGTATTTGCGTGCATAAATGTCCCAAGGCGAAGCTCTCTCGACACGTCGACGATTCTTTCACTCTAAAAAAGAAAACTTCAATAAAATAAAAAAATTCACAGGCATATGAAGCCTAGTTAAAGTGATTTGCTTTTGCTACTTGCTTGATTTTTTGGAAGTAGAAATCAATACACAGACTGAAATAACTTAGCACGTGTGAAATCTAGCATAAAATACATACATATACCAATATACGGGTCTTTCTCTGTACAACACGAGGCACTTGCGGACGGGACTCGGGGTTTCATGCTATTGGACAACCGTGTCCGAAATACGCATTAAGGCGGTTTTCCACTAGGCGGAATTTTTCGATCGAACGAAATTTTTCGCTCAATTTTCTTTTCAATTGTGAGAAGTCGACCGAAGCGGATTCGCTTGACCGACCACAATTGAAAAGAAAATTGAACGAAAAATTTCGTTCGATCGAAAAATTCCGCCTAGAGGAAAACCGCCTTAACGCCAGCTGGGGAAGTTTCAGCCATTTCGTGGGAAAAATTTAGGATGAAGTCCCAAAAAGTTCGATAAACTATATTCTAGTGCCTAGTTTCGCCCACTGTGTACAAACAAACGTGTTATTACAAGTCACAAATGCAAAATACACATATAATAGAACAATACCTATTATTCGCTGCGAGCAAGCGTTTGTGTTTCGCCTTCCCAATCTTTCGGCGCCGTAGTTCGTTCTGAAATGAAATAGCGAGAAAAAATAAAATCAGGTTTGTTAGCTCACTTGTATTTCACATTTTCAATCGAAATATACAAGATAGAGCAGTGAAAATTAGCAAAAATATGCCTCCACTCGCTCTATTCAAATCAACGGTAATGATGCAAAACCAAAGACCAAGCCAACTGATTCTTTCAAACAACCATGATCATGTACCTACATACCTGAGCAAGACTCTTCCAACTTTTTCCTACTGAAACTTCTTCGAGTGATCCTTCCTCTTTCGATGCAACCAACTCTGACTTTCTGCTCGAATTTAAACACCTTTTATTACCATCTACCATGCAGTGAAATAAAATTCCAACGGACAATGCACTTTATGCATCGGATATACAGTAAGTCCTGTTTCAAACGTTGTGCTTCTAACTTGCCGCATAAAGAACAATAGATAATGATCCCCGTTCATCAACTGTTGTTTTTAATTCGCTTGGCAGATAATACAGGGTGAGTAAAAAAAAACTGACACCTTTGAAATTCAAATTAGCTGCGAACTTATGGCTGGAATATGACAATTCCCATGAACAATGAACAAAAACGATTTGATAAAACTGTTCTTTTGTATTTACAGAGCTTAGAATGCATTTTAACTCCCAAAATTAATTCACAAACCTGTGAAGTTTAATTTTTTTTTATTATAAAATATCTAACAAAACACTTTAATAGAGCGATTTTTTCTTTCATGTCAAATTGTTTCTGTACAAAAATAGTTCTATACTACAAATCTTTCAGAATACTACAAATCTTTCAGAATATCAACAGCGTCTCTTTCGCAAAACAATGTAAAGATGGCATTATCTAAAAAAAATGTCTTTTTGCCAAATAACGAAGTATTAGGATGCCTCAGCAGGAAGTTCAGTCCAGTCTATTGGGGTTTTCTTCGTCTTCTTGAGATATTCATTTGCCTGTGAGAAATGTTTACAACCCAGGAATCCCCGGTATGCAGACAGCGGTGATGGATGAACAGATTTCAGCACACAATGCCTTTTCTAAAATGAGGAAAAGATATACTGGGTGAATGAACGGAAAGATTTAGGAGTTGGGTGGAATAAGAACGTCCATTGTAGCTGATTCATTCCTTGATCTCAACACTAATACCAGCTCTATAACATTAGACTCACCCTCTATCTTCCATAAAGAACACCTGTGAGCCAGTCAAATATATGAAAATTAACTTACAATACCTTGTCAATGCAAGCACCTTTCTTTTGAGCATAGGAACCCCATAAGAGAAACACAACATCATCAAGGTGGGTATTGATCCACCTTATCACTGCATCTGTGAATTTCTCCCAACCCTAAATTATAAATTTATCGTCAAGTTATTAACAATTGTTGGGTTATTAACAATTTATATATATTCGATATAACATACTTTGTCCTTGTGTGAATTTGGTTGGCTTGCTCTAACTGTCAGACAAGCATTAAGCAACAAAACACCTAATGGACAAATACTTTAGTTTTATGATAATGTCCTGCCATCAGGATGATGATTTCAAAGGTAGATTGAAGTAAATTGCATTATTTCGTACCTTGTTTTGCCCATCCAGTAAGGTTGCCATGTTTAGGAATTGAAAATCCTTGAATATCATCTTGTAATTCTTTGTAAATATTCACCAAACTTTTGGTTGGAAAGAACAATTTAATATGAAGAAAATGGACTGAGAATCAAGACCAGGTCCTTGCACCAATTACCCGAGAAATTGTTACCGAGAAATCATACCATACCTTGGTGGTGGTGTAACACCAGCCGGAACACTGAAACATAGACCTAAGAGCAAAAAAATTGAACAAATATTATATCTCGATAGAGGAGATGTGCATGTCCAATTTAATTGTAACATAAGGTAAAATAGAAAGATATAGAACTAACCATGTGCTTGTTGTGGTTGGTGGTAAGGATCTTGACCAATAATCACCACTTTCACCTTGCAATTAATATGAAAACATCTGGTAAAGCACAGCTTTATTCCCTAATCCACCCGAGGCATGATCATTGGTCTGGGCAAGAAACCATAAATATGAGGTTTCAGACCTACCTCACCGATCAAGCAATGCTTGGTCCAGGAATAAACATCACTTTCTAAAAATGTCACCATTTTGTTGTTGTGAAAAATATAACTAGTTGATGGAGTTTTGATGAACATCATGGATTTTTTTTATGAAAGATTGTAAATTAGTCACTCTTCAGATCATACCTTTAGGATAAATTGTATGTGATCGTCTCTCAGTCTGAACAAACGCCATCAGCTGAAAAATGATAATTTATCTATTACTAGTACTCTGAAAATAAAATTGTAATATTAGATGGTAAAACCGGCAAACACTAGTTAATTGGGCTGAAGAGTATAGCCATGTTTAATTGGGTTTCAATAGTGCAGGGAAACCTGACCTGGCCTAGCTAGCCCATAATTGAGTGGGCACCCTCTGGAAGGGTGGAAGTTTCATGTCATACCTCGTAGATTGTACAAATATTACCAATACAAATATTACTAATATGTTAATATATATCAAATGAACCATTGGCAAATATTCTTATCCCTGCATTTCCTACAATTTCTCATTGAACTACCATCATTTATGAATCTCAAATCACAATTCATACCTTCTTGAAATAATCTTTAGTAAACTCTGCTTCTAAAGCTTTCCTCCAACTTTCTCCCATTCCACTTGGAGCAGATTTACTTGCGAACTTAGCCAACGCTTGCAATCTTTTCTCCTCTATTGAAGCTTTCTGCTCTGGACTTAAATCTCCTGTTTTCATTGCCTTTGATGATCGCGGAGGCGACTGTTGATCCTCTAACTTACGTTTCATCGGTTGCTTTACAAAAAATCTTGATATTCTCGACTGTCCGAGCATTGCCAAATGCCAATGTATTGCTATCTATTTACTTTCACTGTATTTACTGGTATATTTTGTAACGATTTTGTTACAATTTAAAGCGATGGTAATGTACCGTTCTGGTTATAAATATCGAATCGTGGTCACATGGTATGAATTTCCCGCCAAATGTCGCAAATTTCGCGGGGTCAAATGAAGTCAAACACGTAGAAATCAGGGAACTTCAGCATGCAAAGAAAAATGCTCTATTTTTAAATGCCCTTTTTCACAATACTATTCATGCATGAAAGAGATTTGTATGTTTACGAGAAGAGAGTCGGAACCCAATATTAACTTCAACTGGTTGCAATATATATATGCAAAAAAGCATTCCAACCAGTGATACGTCCAACCCCGGGCAACCAAAAGGGATTTTATCATCCCCACTTGAAACTGAAGTTGATTTGCAAACTGAAGTTTCAACTTACTGGCTAATTTGCATTATCCAATGAACAGACTTATTCCGTATGCAGCAGGTGTTAGAAACAAATTGTAAGTGAGAGGAGCGAATGCTTTGAACGGTTGTGAATGAGTCAAACGGCCGCAAACAATAATGGATGAAGTATTTCTTCAAAAATGCCTTGTTGGAGTGATTTATCTGTGCATATTCTATGAGGTCGTAGGAATTATTCGAGAAAATATTTTGGCCGAGCCAGAGCTAATCATAGGCACAGCTGTCCAAGAAGGCAATACCGCAAAAGCGATGAAAAAGATGCAAAATGATTCTGGCAAGCAAGCAGCGAACTTCAGGAGGTTTCCATCCAGAAATTTGTATCAAATGAGGAGCTTTAGAGATTAAAGGCTGTTCCAATTATCAAAATGAAGACACGCGTCTATATGCGAAAGACTTGCCAACGTGAATAAATAAAAAGCTTTAGTTTGTTATTAATGGGGTTTTAGGATGGCCGTACTAAAGTAGATTACCATTGCAGGAATAGATTGATTCGGGAGTAAAATCTTGAGATATAAAGGCCGTGAAACGTTACAAGTCATAGATATGAAGGAATGAAAACATTCAGCATTACTTTTAATCAGAAATGAAAACAAAAGTGTGGAGACATGTTGTAGTATATTGCGAATTAATTCATTTTCCTTGTAAGCTTCAGACTGTCGAGAAGAGCTGTGATAACTCACGTTCCTTTGAAAAAACAAGAGGGCAACATCTTTCAGACGAGGATGCTCTAGCTTTCATTAAAACGCCGCACTGTTGACGGTTACCTCATTTACATAAACTTATTTATCAACAGATGATCAAATGTTGATTTTATCACTTGTTTCCACGTGTAAAACGAGAATTTAAAATATTTTACAATGAAAACAAGGTTTCGTGAAGCATGCCAAAGAAGTCGTATTTTTCTGTCGACAGATCCTGCTAGGAATCGAAACAGAAATATATGACATGTCTGGGGTCATACAATGCAGAATAATATTGACAGACTTCGGTTTTGATTGCGTTCTTCTGTGTTCCTTAAAAGGCTTTTGAGTTGCAAAATGCCGAATATAGGGGATGGAGGAACTAGAACACACTTTGCAAAGTGTAGCTAAGTATTAGAGCCAAGTATTTATTGAAAAATATAGCATAATATATAAAGCTTGACTACCATAAAATGTCGTTCATTTCTGCTGTTCAACGCCAATGTTATACGCAGACGCAAATGACGTCAGAAAGCGCGCGGCTTGTTTTGCCTCTAAAAAGAGTCTCGCTTCTTCGATCCAGTCCTTCGCTATCCGGCGCGGTTCTCCGGTCAGCTGATTCATATACCTAACTGCTTGCTCGGTGTCGTCATTCTCCAAAGCATGCGTTGCCAAAGCTAATATCTTGTACGTGTCTAGCTCGTCAGGATCAATGGATGCCGGCGGCGTAACCGTGCGTGCTTCAAACACGAAAAGAGACTGGAGATAGGAGACCAAATAGCTCCACACCCCTCCCCCGTCTTCACCAATCATCGCCACTTCCCGGCAAACTTGCTTCACTTTCGTAAACCGTCGTCGGAGTGATTCTTCAGTGTATACACCTCTTTTGAGTGCATTCTCAGGTAGCGAATCAAGAACCTTGCCTACGACTTCGTTGCCATCGGTCACACGGCGGATACCCTCGACTTCGGAAAGTATCGGGTACGGTTGGTCACGGCTGTCTCCGAAGCCAATAATAGCAGTTGAAAGTGACTGACAAGCCAGCCACAGTCGCTGTGCTTCCACGTTATATTTCTCCGTATCAGCTTTGTTACGAATCGCGGTTATGACGCCATTCAGTCGTGCCAGGCTCCCGCGTAGTTTTAACTCTGATTCTTGTTGCGCAAGCAGTAATTTTTCTCGTAAGACGCCGTCATGTTTCGTATTCAACTCGGTTTCTTGAACTTTAAGGACTTCGTTAAGATGGTCACCAAACGCTGCTGCTTGTCGACGTAACTGCGTTCGTAAGTCGTTTTCATGACGTTCAATCTCCTCTTCTTCCTATGATAGAGAGTGTGTTTAACCCCTCTCTGTGTGTCCCACCTTTATTCTCTCTCAGGACCCCACTTCGTCTCTCTCTGTGACCCCTCCTTTCCCTATCTCTGTGGCTCCCACTTTCCCTCTCTCTGTTACCGGTTACCCCCACTTTCCCTATCTCTGTGCCCCCCCCGTTTGATGTCATCTGCCAGACACGTACCCTAGACCCCCAACTATCTTTGCCCACTCACCTTTTGTTTCATCAAACTATTCAGCTCTGTTCTCAACTTCTCCAGTTCATGCTGTAGTTTCATTGAGGTCAGTTTCTCATACTCATTCTCCTGTTTCTTCAGAGCTTCTTCCAGCAGTTTCCTCTCACGATGTTCACGTGCCTGAAGCGTGTCTTCTAACAGGCGCATTCTCTTTTGTGCATAAGCCAACAATGCTGCATCTGCCTTGTCTTCTAACTAAAAAAACCGAGACATATCAAGTGGTTTAAGTAGACTTTTCCCATGCATTATACATAAACTGCTTCAGCAATTCATCTCTTCAAAATATTAAAGTGTTCACTCACTGTATCAATTTCAAACTCTGGCCTAATGGCTGCCAATTCTTGAGCTTGATGCTCCTTTTCTTCTTTGATGAATTCCTGGAATTTTTTCAACACACTTCCCTCAGCCTGTGTCTCTGAAAGACGGTTCTTCGCTTGTTGCAAAGCATAAGTCAACTTTGCCAAGGTTTCTGAAGCAACTTCCGCAGTAGAGTCCAGTCCCTTTGCTTTTGCCGCAGTTATATTTCTTTGCACATTCTCAATAAGGTCAGTCAGTTTTGTGCTAATTTGTTTAGCTTCCTCAAGGGCCTGGGTCTTAGAATCTGATAATTTACTAAGAAGTTCCCAGGCATCTTTCGAAACTCCATCTTTCTCAAATCTCTCCAGAGCCTCCTTAACAGAGTCTCTATGATGTTGTACGGCCATGGCTGCTCGCTCATGCAGATCAATTGCTGTCTCCCCAAGCTGGGAAATAGTTGCAATGGCTGTATGTAAGGCTATTTCAATTGGGTCTACTTCTTTGATTGTTTCAAGTGATTCTGGTTTTGGATCATCTGTTTGTAAAATTATAAATCACTCAGATTACTTTGTGTAAATGATCTTAGAAACTTTATACACTGTTCATACCTTTTGAAATGTCACCGGGAACTTCCATCTTGGGTGATTCTTCTTTCAATGCCCTTTTTTCATTTTCACATTCGCTACACTTCTTTTCTGTGGAAATATCTTTGCCCACGTCACCGTTGGAGACATGTATGACATCTTGAGGAATTGGGGGATCTTCTTTCTTACTGTCAGAGATGCCTTTCTCTACTGCTTTGGAAATATCAAGATCGACAGAGGAGATACCAATCTGATCAACAGAAGAAACTGTCGCAGGAACATTAGTTATTGACACAGGAGGGGAGATCTTGATTTCAGATGGTTTTACATCAGGTTTTTCTAGTTCATCTTTGTTATTAGGTATAACTGGCATCTCTTTACCAGTTACTGGCAAAAGATTGTTCTCAGAGCTCTTCTTTGCACTTGGCTAGAAAAAAGTTTAAATATTAAATCATCATAATTTCAATATATTCATGTAGATCAATCCATCTTGTTAAAGTAAACCTCACCGACACTGGAGCTTTCTTTGGAGTGTTTTTTTGTTTCGGTTCTTTTTTCCCAAGGGTAGCATTGAAGAAGGCTGAAGAATATGGAACTTTATTTTCTATCGTCTGACGGAATTCTGGATTAGTGCTGGAGTAATACATTCCGCCACCAATAACTGCACCGACGACGAGAGTTGTGCCAAGGACAACTTTTCCAGCTCTGAGACAAAGTGAATGAAACTTGCTGGTAAAAATGCAACTGATGTGGTTTGCAGAATCATAATTATAGAATCATTCAGATCTCTTTTTGTGTCAAATTTTGTATCAACGTTACTTACCCAGATCCTACTTCTGCACTTCCATTAGAGAACTGCCTCGTTCGAGAAGTCTCGCCTGGCCTGTTATACTTTCTTACGCTACATAATCGATCCTTTATAAACAAGAAAGTTTATAAATGGAACATACTTTTATCACATGTCATACAAAACATAAACTTAGGATGCTTTATAATCGTTTATTTACCTTATTGCAGTGCAAAGCTCTTCTAATAGAAAGATTATGAAGACTTGTAATTCTTGCAGATGTTTTCCACATAATGTTTTAGGTGATATTTCGTCAGAGAAATTGCAAAATGTTCATCACCATTTTGGAAAGATGTAAAATATCTTCCAACCGCTCGTAGTGGAGGAATGGTGACGACTCAATGAAATTTGACATAAAGAAGAAAGTCTGACCAAAAACTCTTGATAATTTTTGAACAGTTCAAAATGAATTAATATGTTCCGTATGAAAAAGATGCAGACTTTCATGCTGAATTTAATGGTGGTTTCAAATTTCCCATCTATCACCCACAAACATCTATGCATACCAGCAGTTCAATCTCTGTCCATTACATCTGACTTCCAAACAAATTTCATTACAAGCATATTGCACAAAAAAGTTAATAATTACATAATTACATTGTCTTAATCCATATAAAAATCATTACATTATATTTGGTCCCCATTTCTTTTATATAAATCCTATGATTAAAAATGATAGAATATAGGCTTTATGTTTCATTAAAAATTGCCATTGGTATAAAATTATCTTTGTCAGTGATGGAAGTAAAATCCTAGTCAATTGTAGCTGAAGTACACATTGTGTTGAGACCACAGCATCCAGCACCACGGTAGATAAGATAGTAACCCTAGAAGAAAGGAGAAATGGATTCAAATAAGATTTCATCATTTAAGATAAGGGCTCATCTTTCAATGTACCTCAAGAAAAACCTTTTGAGTCAATCAATAAAAACAGAGTTTCTAAGATATATAAATACCTTTTCACCCCAGCTTGCACCCCAACTAAAAAATAAAATAAATTTTTGAATTATGTATAGTTGAACCAAGTGAAATTTAATATATATGTAGATTTCTACCTGTTTTTGATAATCCAGTAGGGTGTTTTACCAAGCAAGCCATCTTCTATAAATGAGAAATATCATCTTAGTATATTTACAACTATATCATTGTATTTAAAACATTGTTAGTTGAATTTCATTACAGTTATTTCACTTACTGACTCCAAAGCCAACAATCAATACACCATGATCAAGTGTTTTAGGATTGCAGAAAATTTCCCAGGGATGAGCCACTCCACCAAGATAGAACTGTGCATAAATAAAAAGGCATTATAGTTCAGAAATTTTATCTACCATGTTTCAGCCATGCACTTTCAGAATTCAGACTAAATTATATCTCACACACCTGCATCGCCAAAGCATCAATACCAATGGAGATTGGGCCATTCTGAACAAGCCAAGCGGCCATGTCTACAGAAGGATAAAATAATTTTAAGAAACAAGTAAGGCTAACATACATACATTTCAAAACCCTCTTTTAACTCACCATCCTCATTGCTGGAGATCTTCACTGAACCATTAATGTAAACTTCAATTTCAGATTTATCCATGCTACATTTCTGATCAACACCCTTGTATGGGTAGTTAGATTCTGAAACCAGTCCACCAAGTTTCATAATTTGTTTATAAGCATTTGAAGGAAGGCCTCCATTGCAACCTTGATCCACTGTATCACAATCAACAAGTTCTGGAGGAGATCATAGTTGCCAGAGTTAGTATCCAACACATCCCTTCCTTTCACAATTATCACTTCAAGAATTGTTGCCACAATTAGTCTTGGTAACTGAGTTACATTACATCCATACCTTGCTCACTGAGAGAAATTAGTTTCTTCTTTTTGATAGCCCACTGTCCTTCAACGTTTCCTGTAGTCGAGAAAGCCCAGCAAGAACCACAGGTCCCCTGTCACAAGATACAGTTAATAAAATTGACCTGAAGGGTTGCATATTTTTACTAAGTCAAACTTCATACCTGATTCTTTACTTCAGTCACAGCACCTTGTAAATAGATAGGCAAAAATATAAGCACATATAGAATTTTCCATCTTTCTTATAATTCAGACAAGCTACTCACCATGATCTCTCCAATCAAAGGAATCTGGAACAGTGATTTCAGGAATTTTAGCTTCCTTTAGATTATAGGTATCCTCATCCCAACCATTCATTGTGTACTTTTCCAGGAATTCTTCCTCTATGTAATAAACAAACCATCAGCATAGGAGTTTAGCCCATTGTCCACCAAATCATGAACCAAGGCAGAATTCTACTCAGCATGCGCATATTGTGCTAATTATGATACCATAAAAACAAAACTCTGGTACTAACTTGTCAGATCGCTGAACTGTGTGATGCCATAACGAGCTGTTCCCCTATCTTTATCCTGCATCAGTTGGGCTAAATCAAGATTCTCTTTGAAAACTCCATACCGATGCTCAAACTCTATTCACAATTGAATACACAACTGTCAGGTTTTACCACATAGTCACATACAGGAATGAAAAAGTCAGGAATGTTAATTGGTGATTTCATCATTACAAACCGGCTTCATCATTGTGATACGTCTTTCCATATTTTTCAACAAATTGGTTGAAAGCAAAACGAATCTCTTCCTCTGTTTTGGGGATTACCTCGATCTGGATAATAGTTTTAAGCTTAGTCGATAAGTCTATTTATTTTTTTGCTTACAAGAAATTACAGCATATGAAAGAATGTAATACTATGGTAGGGAACCTTTAGAAGTTCTTTAGAACTTCGAAGTAATCTGGCTAACTTTCAAATAATGGTTTATAAAGTGAAATATACTATTTACAAACTTGAAATAATGGTAAAAGTTAAGTAATAATGTGTAACTTATGATCTAGTTTAACGTGAATAATGTCATCCGTATAATAATCCGGTTAATGTTTATTTCTTCAACTTCAAAAGCTGGGGGGAAAGTTTTTTTGGTATCTTGGCTTAACTTACATCAATTTCATTGTCCAAAATACTATTAGGATCTGTGGTCACAACACCATCAGAACATGTGAAATGATGGTCTGGTGAACATTCATGTTCCAGCAGTCTCATCGGTTCTGGAAGCCACACTTGCTCCCAGACAAAAAAGCGACACTCCATCTAGAAGAACGCAATATGTAAGGCATGTGCAAATCACTGAGGAAATAATACATTGTGGTAAATACATCACATTACATTAGGATTTAGGAATGCTTAAATGGTGCATTTGACCAATTGATTGTATATTCATCAGTCAAAGGGGAAAGCTTTTTTGCTAAACCCTAACTAAAATTATGGTGGGCTGCACAGAAATATGGAGAAATAGACAAATAATTAATTTTGTATCAACCTAGAATGACCTTGGATGTATCAAATTACATTACTGCGTCATGGCATACCAATGACACCATGCGCCTTTAGATTGTAAATTGCAACATGTTTGCCTTGGCTTGAACCATTTCGAAACTGTAACAAAATGTCTTGACCAATAAAAATACCTCTTTCTCTTCCACTGGGCATTCTTCCAGAGTAGCATCAACATTATCAGGTCTTTTTGGGCACTTGCTAGACGAACCGACCGCAACAACTGTACAATATTTCATCCCTGATACAACCTTGAAAATATTTAAATACGTCGTTAAAACATAAAACGTTTCAAAATGCACGCAATCCACATTATATTTTGCAAATAAGCAACGATATATATCAGTTGAACATATAAATCAGTTAATAAATTATGTCCCTGACATGGATTCCTGTCAAAACAAGTCCATCTTTGTTTAAACACTCTTGAACATCAGATAAAAACATTCAGAATACTAAAGTGCACTTGTAAAAATACACACTAGTAGATTAGCTACTTCCAACAGAAAGAAATATATTGTAAAATGACCAATTTTACAAATGATTATGTATATAACTTGTAGAAAATGTGAAAAAAACAAATCAAAAATTTCCCTCAAACCTGTTTCGTTGCGTCGATCGTTTCAATGGACATGTACCGATAATAGTTGTTTGACATCATATTCAGTTTTTTCATCGCAAAGCTGATGGCGCCCTTGATTTCTTTATCATCTGAAGCTACCTTATGTACTCCTCCCAAGGAGAAGACGGCAGCAATGCAAAGAGAAAGTATAAGTGCGGCACGAACGTCCATTTTGACACAGTTGTCTTGCAGGGCGGAAGGTCTCATCTGACTGAGGATTGAGCAATGTCAATTGTCAACAAAACAGCTAAGGTGTCCTGTGGTTCTTGTTTAAAAAAGATGTTGACCTATCAGATTACAACCTCAAATAAAAAACACCATCTGACCAAACTGTCAGACACCCTTGCTATTTCTATGTTACAATCTTTATAAATCACTTTTAAACCATAACACCATCTGACCAAACTGTCAGGTACCCTTTGCTATTTCTATGTTACAATCTTTATAAATCACTCTGAAACCATAATATGCACAGGAGAAACGAAACTTACTAAAGGGATATGTTCACACAGGAATGGGCTCAAATTCATACATACATTTGTCTAGTTTCTGCATGTGAACACATAGAACTGGTTGAAATTTTATCCATTTTTACCTGAAGTCACTAGGGGTCTGTGGCTATGACCCATACCTGTTCACCCAGAATAGCCAATAAAGCATTGTGATGATGGGAGATTTTTTTATTTACATCATTGCTCATTTGTAGTTGACATCCAGTTGAAAATATAGTATAATATCTAATATATTGCAGCTAAAAGATGATTTTTGCAACCTAAATCTTCCTGATTATCCAGCATTTGTTTTATATCCTCATTGATGTATTTTCCTGGGCAATTCTGCAAGAAATGGCAAGGGGAGTTATGTGCTCCGAACTCTCCAAAATTTGTTCAAAAGTGTATCAAGTTACTTCAACAGCGTATTGTGATCACCAACACTTTTCCAGATTATCCATCCAAAACTCTTCAGATAAAGTTCACAATCATGAATATTCAGTTTCTTGGTTGCTAAAAAATGGACATAAACTCCTAAAATTAGCTCTAAAAGATGTTTTAAGTGCATGTGTTTTTGTGATCATACACATACTATGCTTAATTTTGTATGTATACATACCCACAACTTGGACAATTATAAAACACTGTTTGTCCTTCATCTGCAGAACGAGTTTGTCTTGTTGTGAAAGTCATTCCTTCATGTCCACATTTTGAACATTTCTGATCAACCTTAGTTGATTTAATAAAACACATGTACAACATTAGGAAGTGTTTTGCTTTCAATTTTTAATTAAAAAGGCAGATAATCTTCAATCTTACCATGGGCCCAACAAGCTCCTTTTCATCATCCGGTTTTTGAACATCGGTTTTCGGTTTATATGTATTGAATATTTTCTTTGAATAAATCTCAACTCCTTCAAATTCTGAACGAAATGAAACGATAACGATCAATGATACTACATATTAAAGCATGCTGCTCTCTGGACTCTTTCACTCTGGAAGAACGTTACCTATGTGCTATGTTAAAGCGCGATTCTTCGGTCACTCACATGCGTTATAATGCTGTTTCTTCAGGCTTCATATATTGCGTATAACAAAATAAAATAGCAGTGTAATAAAATAGAATAGCAGTGTCACGTTTGTGACCACAGAATACCTTATACCTTTCGTATCCTTTTGGAATTTGCAAATTTTGCAAGTCACAACATCCGCTAGACCTGGCAAAGGAAATATTGATCCACAATTGGGACAGAATAACGGGTCAGAAGAGAAGATTTCCTCCTGTTGTTTTGACTCCAAACCAGCGGCTAAAGACAGAAACTTGGCCGCCATATTGAATTCTAACCAGTTGGTACCGTAATATAGCCTGATGGTTAACCACTCACCACTACTCACTGTATATGAGATATTCTGCAATCTGATTGGTTAAGATACCCACCCTGTATCAGTTCATATCATTGAATGGTTGATTATCAACCTGCGGAACCCGCGGCGGCGGATACATACAGACAGGGCCTGGTAACTATACAAATTTCTGCAAATGTAGCAAATGTAACAAAAGCACAGAAACAAATCATTTGTATGAACATTTATTTCCACATTTATTGTTGTTATTGTTTACAATTAAAACATTTTTAGGGGATATTCAAAAGTCACATATTCAGTGAATATTTTTTATTAAAATGGAGCAAAATCTAGTGAAAGGTCTCGAGTCATCTATGCAGGTTTGTGATATCATGAATCATGAATTTATAGTAGAGTCTTCTTCAGTCAAATTTCATAATTTCCCGGTGAATCATCTGTCATTTGTAGTAATAATTTGCTGTATAGTTAAGATGTAATACAAATGAACAGAGATTTAAACATATTTAGTAAAGGTTTGTATTCATATAGATGACCAGAATCCAAACCTCTGCTAAAGCCATCGATCCACAAAATGATGGAATATTGCTCTGGAGGCAAGAACTACTGAACTACAATCTACCAGTTATGACTACCCATGAGTAAAATCAATACTAGCATATCTGTTTTAATATTTAGGATTGTATATCAACACTCTTAAGCCAAGGCCGAATTGAAGATGATATCCCAAATAAAACAGGTAGATACACTGTATCAGATTTAGCACTAGAACAACTTACAATTGTCATTGCACGACACTTGCCAAAGTAATAGCCTTTCATGATTTTTGAACATTCAAAGAAACATGATTGATTGTTCAACTAATATTCTCTGCTTGCATGCTTTTAAACATCTGCTGTAAATATTTCTGCCCTTGCACTGTATATGATAATCTCACAACAAAGTGTTGTCTTTTCCCACAGGTGTAGAGTGCTGCATAGAGAAGTTCTTACAATCGGCAAGACAACTTGAAGCATATTTTTCCAAGTATCAAATGTACAGTACTGTAAATCACCCTCAGGATGCAGTAAGAGAGGTAGGTACACAAGTATAACTCATCACAATATTGTCATAGTATAAAATATCTAACTCTTACCATTTCAGGACATCACAAAACTCCGAGAAGAACTGGACAGAAAAGAAGCCTTGTTGAATTCACTCCAAGCTAAAACAATTCACTGGAATAATGAACTTGATAACTTGATCAGTAAACAGAACAATATGTTTATCAGTGACCACGAACGACGGACTTGAAATTTCATACATGAAGTGTACATAAAGTTAGGCCAATGCTGTATAAAAATACAATTTTTTAATCTACATTGTCTTTGAGTCAATACTTCTAAGTTAGGGTCTGTTAACATAGAGCGAGTTATTCAGGCTAGGCTAGAAAAAGCGCTCCATGTAAACAGGCCCTAAATCGTACATACGATAATGCTATTGATGGTCCCGCCGATAATGGTGCACCATTTAGCTACTTACAATTAAGTTCTACAAGTTGCCGCAGAACGAGATGTAAATTAACGAAGTGAACGAGTTAACTTGCTGGTCGAACTATGTTTAGTGTTTACAGCGCAATTCAAGAATGCAAATTTGTTTAAATATATTTGTAAGTTATTTTAAAAGGAGATCACGTTTTGGTTTCAGAATATGTGGAATGCGTGTCCGATATTAAGAGCGGTGTTTCTTCGTCCACTGGTTTTTCCAAAGATTCATCGATCACATTTGCAGAGGTGGCTGCTAAACTGCCAGAGAGTCGACTATACAAAAAAGAAATACGAGTATTAGTTGTCTGGGTCCACGTCTTTCCCTCCCAGCTGCCGATATAGAACCCGTTTCACCTTTCTAATACAATCCCATCCATTCCAGCTACATCGGAAGAAATGCTTCGGTTATTGTCAGGGATATCAGAACGATGCAGAATACTTTTGTATTGAAGCAAACTAAGAGTGTAGAGACCTTAGCCCCATCTAGTGAAAGGGAAGGGGGAGGTACCTTCCCTTGTCCCCCCCCTAATGCCACTGTTCTAGCGCTCAGTCCTCCCTATCATAAGATAAGAAATAAAAGGCAAGTAAAACGTACGTCGTGAAATACAAGACAACCAGACCAAGCAAAGCAGCAACCAGGAACGAGGTGCCATTAAAGTCGAATTTCAATGAAAGTGGATACAGAAGATTAAATATCGCAGATGCGGTGACTGTCGCTAACACGTCGACAAATCCAATGGCTGCAAATAACGAACCTAGTTCACAAAAAGGAAATGTAGTTATTCTAATTGTTGTGTTTCTTTGAGATGCTAATGTGGTCCACATCAACCCTTTATTACTAACCTTGTTCCTCACGTGATGCTTGCTGTGACATCATACTTCTGAAGAACGCAATCACGGCTCCAATAAACATACCTACCACAGGAACTACAATAAAGTAACATAGCATGGTGAACTCTGGATGTATTACCACGACTTAAGCAAAGGAAGCTCCCTGACGGCCTCACAAGATCCTTAAAATTAACATAACATTCTCATGTGCGTCAGCCATCAGGCTTAAAACCCGATCGTCAATGGACAAGTATTTTAACCATAAAAAATCCTAAGTTTCATAAAACACAGAAGCCAAACTTTACCTGAACATACCAAAGCTGCAGTGTCTGCAAATGCGAACAAGATAAGCGAGGTGATGTACGTTAATAATCCAAAATAAATTATATTCATTGTTTTGAAACATTTTGAAAGAAACTTCACACCAATCACAGCCCCGATACCGAGACAAAAGAAGCGCTCTGCACTGTACAGACCTATGTCAAGGGGAGACCAACATAACGGTTTGTCGAGCAGGAACAAAATCGTAACTGTATATGAACCAAAATAACTAATATGCAGGAAATAATTCAGAGCGATAAGCCAACGTAAGTTCCCTTTTCTCTCAGGCTGATTTCGAACTACATCCATGACTGCATTAAAATGTTTCTTGTCAAAAAACTTGGCTGACTTGTCTCTGTTTGCTTTTGGTAATGTCTCAGGCATTAGGAATATAGCGTAAAGAGTGGCTCCAATCATGCAACTACATACGATCCAATATGGAACCTTATAACCTCCTTCAGATTCGATGATTTTCCCACTGACCGCCTGACCAATGGTACCCCCGATAAACACGAAAAACTCTAAAATTCCTAGGAAGAAAAATACGAATATTTGAATGTTTGCGTTTGGATGAACTGAAGGCGAGAACAGGCTCCATGCAAAGAAGTACGCCTGCATGGTTCCATCAACCTGGGTCAAGTTGGAGAACCTGTTGTTGGAAGAGACGCCTTTAGGATATTTACTGATTTAGGGAAAAGATCGAGTGGTTTTTATTGATTATCTCCCTGATTGTAGTCTCCATGCACCGAGTTCTTACCGAGCCTTGCGGCGCGCATGGACTCCGGAGTCGTATCCGCGATGAAGGCCATGGTCGCCAGGATTATCGCAGGAAAGTATCCCGTCATGCCGTTGAGAAACGAGCCTGCAAACAGTACATATAACGGGAGATCAAAGTATATTACAATCAACGTGAGAGACATGTCAATCGTGGCTCCAAAACACGGGAGAATAATCGCAGGCTTTCGACCAACTTTGTCCGACCAGGAACCAATCAACAGCCCTGTTATAAGAGACGGAACTCCCGAGGAAAAGATTAATCCAAACATGTAGAATGATGTCTTTGACTCCACCTAAAATTGCAAATTGATCAATTTTAATCTACACTGAATAATATTGCTTCTCAACATTTAACAATCGGGGTTAAGTGAGCGTATTCCGAGTCGAATTAAGAAGTGATTTGCGGGGAAATTATGGATATATAATGATGATGATATACTTGAAATTTATCATGAAACGCACTCGTGACCTTATTCCTACGCTAGAGTCTGAGTAGGGGTCGATGATTAGTCATATCCAGAGACCAGAGTAAATTAACCTGAGCTTTAATGTAAATGATGTATAATGGTTTGCACTTCATAATCGACTAATCGTGGATTGTACAGAACAAAACGTAGTCAATGCAACACGTCTGTTGCCGAGGAACCACTTTCAGCATGACACACATGTGATCAAATATTTAGTTACACAAGTAATAACACAGCTCCTTGGCCTTAGAAATTAGAAAGGCTAGTTAACGTCTTGATGTGTGTGGTTTAGGAATGTTTACAATCAGTTAAGTTATGAATCAGAGCGTTAAAAACTGAGCAACGTTTTCATGCCTATCGAAAGAGGTTGCACCTAATGTCGCAGCAAAGATTGCAAATGAAATTGTCACTGAGCTACAATAATTGATCAAAATCTTGCAACCGTTTCCCACCTACCTACCTCATCATGTACATCGGAATCGTTAGCACATTGCGTTCTTGAGTCTACGTTGTTTTCATAACCTTTATCCTCGCTAACTCTGTCATACACGTATTGCTGAATTAGCGGTGAATGAATGAGCATACCAAAGGCATAGAGAAACACGACAGGTTCTGCCGTCCGAAGTCGTGCAAGACACGATGTAAACGCCATTGAGATGCCTACATTAACTGTCGTGAATCCATGGTTGATATACTTCGAACTGGGAAGAATGTCCAATCTGGCATTATGTAATATTTACTGTGTTATGTTATTGAATATGAATAATTTGAAATGCTTCGTTGGTTTTAGTCTTTCAGGTGTTATTTAAACGCTGTCGGCCGTTGACAACCGGAATTGCAGTTTTCTACAGTATATAAGCATACATTATTAACGGCAACGTTACTTCTTCATACAAAAATAATCCTTTAAATAATTTAATATCCTTGAATGATGAGATGTTTTAATCCTATAATATAGAAATTGCTCAAAATAATTGCATCAAGAGGAATATGGTAAATGCACCGTATTCTCTTGAACCCCCCCACGCACAAGATGCCTCGACCAATCACTTTATGCCTTTTGATAGAGAAGCCCCGGGCCGAACATCCGTCCAGGTTGATAAAATCAGATTCATTTGCACGGGTTTCGATGACGATGAAATAAAACTACACAGTCTACAAGCGGTTTTAAACCCATTTAATAATCTCGCATATATCTTTGACTGATTTTAATGATTGAAAATCTGAGTCTTTCAGAAAGTTCAGCGAATCCTTCTGAAAACAGTGTTCAAAGCGGCGAGGCTGTGGCTTTCAAACTCTTTCTCCTTCGCAAGATAGAAATGACCATCCAGATACTATAGCGTTCGCTGTCTCACTGTCGACATATTCTCGAGGCAAACTCGACCAAAGTCCTTGTTGGCCGTCCTGAAAAAAAAGGGCGGGGGTGGACGGTTAGGAAAATACAATGTAGGGACGGGAAAAGGTTGCTATTGCTTGTCGACAGGGTTGACTAAATAATACATTTTCTCTCTCGTGGTCTCGCCAAATCCTAAGACGTATTTCGCGCTAGCTGAACTGAAATTTATGGCCTGAAGTGTGTCTTATAATCCTGCATTCCCTACCTGACATTCCCTTCCCAAGGTACGGAACTTCGTCAGAGTTTGCCATGACGCCAGCGATATCAAAATGCGCCCAGTTGTCGCTTGGCACAAACTCCTGTTAAAAGATCGCGTGGTAAGATCACTGAAATTGCTCATCGCTCAAAGAGAAAAAGCATGGAAGCGCTTTGCGAGAATCATGCTGACCTTCAGAAATGCAGCTGCCGTACACGACCCACCAGCACTTGAAAACAAAGAAGAGATAATGAGAAAGAGCACAGATAATTTATTTATATAAAAGACAATCCGTGAAATGCATTACTGAGGTTTCTTGCCCAAATTCACTAAATCAGCCCGATCAGACTGAACTTGCTTGCTGTAGAGTTGAAATGATGGCATTCTCCAAACTCTGTCACCGCTAACAAAAGCCGCCTGGAAAGAGAAGAGAAGTCCAGTGACGTCACATGCGTACTTCGTACCCAGCCTCCTACACTCATATACCATGCACCTAGAATAACTAGGATTTTTCAGTGTGATAACGCTATGCAAATGAAGACACGTGCTAAAAGAGGATCGCAGCGTTTCAGAAACTTTTGCATTTCCATTTTTCAAAGTAATTGAACTCGTGATTTTTTGTCGCGGTTGACTACGTACCTTTTCCAAGTGAAGCCAAAGTTCGCGTGAGTTTGAATAAACGCCAGCAGCACCGGCTCCTAACGCGACGCCAATAGCACCTGGAAGAACAATGAAACAGTTATCAGGCTGGAGAAATTGCAGGAAACCGCAATGGGAATTGAACTCGATATTGCTGACTGGAGGCGAATTTATCGTTGTTTATCAGGCTGGAGAAATTGCAGGAAACCGCAATGGGAATTGAACTCGATATTGCTGACTGGAGGCGAATTTATCGTTGTTTATCAGGCTGGAGAAATTGCAGGAAACCGCAATGGGAATTGAACTCGATATTGCTGACTGGAGGCGAATTTATCGTTGTTTGAAAAACTCCTGGACCTACCCGTCAAGGTGGCAACGCTGATCAACGTTCCTGGATTGAACGAATGAGAGTAGGTAAGAGCATCAGCCAAGATAAGTCTGCCTTCAGCATCTGTGTTTTCAATCTGGCGGAAGAATTACGTGTGAAACATTTGAGGAAATAAGAGAGATTTTGGTCCATCATCTGGCCAGGAAGATTGTGATTCTTCCCGTAGCCCACTCGTTCTTTGATTAAGTCATATAACTACGCGCCACGCCCTCCCTCCCCCCAAGATAGTGTGTTCATAAAACAATTCATATTTATACCTCAATGGTTTTGCCATTCATGGCGGTAACAACATCGCCTGGTTTGTTAGCGCTACCAGAAGGCATGTTTTCGCACAGCGGCATGACTGCAATCACATTCAGCGGTAGCTCTAATCTAGCTATTGTTTCCAGGACTCCAGTAACCGTAGCCGCGCCTCCCATGTCTCCTTTCATCAAAGACATTCCAGCAGCTGGCTTGATGGATATCCCACCGCTGCAAAAACGAGACAGCAAACGGTTTAAAATTTCAAAACCTTGGCGAAAAACTCTTTAGCGTTTACCAAATAACGTAATGCTGACATCTCACCTGTCAAATGTAATTCCTACGATAGAAAAAAAAAGAGAATGTTTTTTAATTAATAAACTTGCACTTGTCATAACTTGTAACGAATGTATATTTTTACCACACAACCAAAAGACAAAGATTCTAGATCCTAGATCTCACCTTTTCCTACTAAGACAAGCGGTGCGCTATCTCTGCTTGACGCTCCGAAATATTTCATTTCTAGAAGAAACGGCAGTTCACAAGAGCCTTTTGCTACACTAAGAAACGCACCCATCTTCATTTCTTCAATCCATTCTTTCTCCCTAAAAAAACAAAGTATTTTCCCTAGTATCGAACAGATTCAACAGAACTTCAACTTTTAACATCATTGATTAATATACCTGACAATGACTTCAACAGAAGGCAGTCGAGATATTCTCTCTGTGACCTTTTCAGTAAACAATTTTGGTGTTAATAGATTGGCGGGAGTTTCCATCAACTCTCTGGCGAAGTTTTGTCCCTCGCCTAGGATACATCCTTTCTTCCAACCCTGCTTCACGCTAGAACTCCCAGAGGCGTCATGAACGCTAATGCTCAATGGACCCTGCCTTTTATCTTCCTGTTTGAGACTGTCGAACACAAACTTGCTCAAGGAAGCAGCTTCTGCCATGGCTTAGAGACAAAATAAAAATATCAAATTGCCTGAATAGAGATTCAATTCACTGTGTTGAAACAGAGCGTCTGGAATATCCTATACCTTTGGCATCATTAGAAGGATCTACTTCAATATGTGTCACACCCAAATCTCGTAAGGACCAAACGCCAACTACAAAGCAAAATGTTTGGATTGGATTGATTAATTTGGCAATTCAGAAACGCATAATCACACCTGCTGCTGCATGTCTTAAATTCTCTTTTCTTTCATTCACACATTCCAGATCATTCTGTTTTAATTTTCTTTTTCCAATATTGACAGCTGCTATAACAGGAAATTCCTAAAGAAAAAGTGAATGCACAGGTGAAACAACAGCTAGAGAATATGAGAGACTTGAGGATAAGAATACCCTAATAGATAATTCTCCAAGATCTAACCTCATCTATATTGTAGAATAGTCTTGATTTGCCAACTTTGAATTTTTTCTGACCTCTGAAATTGGACATATCATACTATCAATATAATTGGCCACAGGCACAAAAAACAGTGAGGGAACTACTGTCACCTACATAGCAAGATTTTGTGACAGTTTTCCTTTAGTTCTTTCATCAACAGCTTTTCCAACTTGTGTCAAATCTACTTCACTGTTATCATTTTCATTCTCATATACACCAACAATTAACCCTACTCGGGTACCAGCAGCCTAAAATTTTTTAACATATGAGAAAAGTAAATCTTTTGTAATGTTTTGCATGCACTCAAAGAAAATTTAAAAAGGTACGAACAGATTTTACCTCATCAGCCGCAGACGAACCAAGAAATCTTCCCAAATGCTGAGGACATGAACTAATAAACCATCCCAGAGTTCTACCTGCCTGGACTGGCCTGACCGCCATTCTGTACCAGTACCTATACTGAATTCAGGTACTCCAAGCTAAGAACACCTTGCAATTGCAACAATGTTTCCAATTTTTGCGTATTACCGCTGGACTACATGCTAGCAACCGCTGAGCAACATGTTACGACACGTGGGTTCATTTTCCAGCCGCTTGCTCTAAATATCGCAGGCGTATTTGAGAAAATGTGAAAAAAACTTTCAAAATGGCGGACTTGCAGGAGGCGCGAGAACAGTTAATGGAAGTTCTCGGCGATTTAGCTTCGAAATATTGGACAACATTGTCGCTTTGGTACAAGAAGAAGCTTTCTAAGGAAGAGTTTGACATTCAGATCGGGCAACTTTTGGGTGAAGGCAATCTTAATGTCCATAATCGATTTTTGTACGCGCTGCTATCGAAGTGTCAGGAAATGTGTTTAACTTCTGGTACACCGAATAAGAACCTGTCGCGTCCTTCTGTAACTTCTGTAGCAAGCCAGAGAAATACTGAACATATTAGGAAACACGTTAGACCGGCAAAAGTTAACTTTGAACAAAGATTCCAACCGTACAGTGTTCTAGAGGGGGCAGATAATGTTGGAAAAGTTGTTCTGACTGATGATAGTGAAATAAGCTTGTGTTCGTACGAGTTTACTCTGCCTGATGTACAGGCAATGAATGGAAGGTTATTCCTCGGAGCCTGGGACGCTGGTTTAGAGTCGGTTGAAGACCTGGGCTCCAACGCAGCTAAGCTAGTGATATCCGCAGTCAAACATCACATCAAGGACATATTAACTGCCTGCTGTTCACGCAAAGGAGGTTTTAGATTAAGAGACGGACATTTTAAGTACGGTTTAGATACAAGTTACGTCAAGCCCCATATTTGGAATAGTTTAGACTCGTATTCTCCACATTCATTTCTTCTGCACCAAGGGCAGACGGAACTGACAGAAGCGGACGCCGCGATCACTGTGGCAAGCAGTCATCACCCCACATCACATACGTCGATATCTACATATGAACTAAGAGAGGTGTTACAAGTGCACTGCAGAGTTATACCCTCGCATACTGTGTATGCAGCGAATATGGAGAGAATACTAAGCCGCCTGTGGCATCCAAGTCATGATGAAATCGAACAGGAAAGACTACATCGATTGGAGGCCAAACGAAGACAGAGCAAACTCAGACAACAAAGAAGCTTAAGATTATAAACTTATTGGAACTATATAAATCACTCTAGCTTACTGAACATATGAAACAATAATGTAATTTTATTGTTGATTGTCATTTGTTACTTGATGTTACTTCTCATATGTTATACTTGTCAGTTTAAACTACTTCGCGAGAACCATATTATGGTAGACTTGGGCAATGTGTGTATAAATTTATTTTACTCTTCTTTGAGTATACACTCACTCACGGCTAAAAAACAAGTAAAACATGACATGTTGACATGTGAACAAAATCCCAAGAACCAGAACTTTTAATACGAAGTTTAAATATTTCGTATCAAAATTGAGCTTTATTTGTGGGTTCCACAAAACCCGATTATCATACAATGCGCAAGGCTTAATAAAAATAAAAATACAAGAATCGATATTTTCAGATTCAGACTCCCACGTGTATTTAAAATGAAGCCATAGGAAGTAAAAAAGTCTTGTTATGTACAATATCACAGTTGATAAATAGTCCAACTGGTTTCCTAGGACTCCCTGTTTGTGCTTGAAAAACATCATTTACTGTGATTATTACCAGCAAAAATTAAGGATTACTTTGTGTGGACGAAATCCCATAGTTGGTGACTTAAGTGTTTTTTTTCAATATTCAGTCTCAGCGTGATCGCTTTTGAATAGTCGTACAATTGCGGCTTGAACCGTGTCAGGTATTCGTCATTCCTTCAGCAGTAAATGATAACATATCTTTGGGAAGCCTGGCAGTTCAACCAAGAGTCAAACATCCCTGGTGCTTTACTGGAATAACAACACACGCTTTTACTCAGTTCAGATAGTCTTCAGTCCATAAAGACACGGTTTCTTCCATTTTAACTCTTCCTTCGTTCCTCATATTCGTAATGCTCACACGCTGGTTTCATTATGTAACGGTTCTCTGTGGATTTTCGACACGTGAGGGATGGGAACATATGCAATCCTATTTCGAGTAGATCCGTTCCATTGCTTGGGCTCAGGCTTCAGGCGGCCGTCTCTATAACGACTTGCAGGTCGTGAGTTACTAGAGCTAGCCCCAAGATTCTGAGCAGCATTTCGCGCGTTCGTTGAGTCACTCAGTCGGTTTGCAACTTGTCCTGGGGCAGGAACTTCGCTTATAGCAGCCGAGCTAGATGCCTGGACTTGATTTTGATGAAGCTTTCGTGCCCTGGGTCCAACCGATCCGGCTTCGTTTCGTGAACCTAAAGATTCGCTCGAACGCTTTCGTTTTGAGTTGGAACGCGAGGAGAGAGTATTCTCCCCGATCGACGAGCTTGATTGCGAGGCGACGTCAGTGGCTTTTTGATAACTAGGAGGCGCGGGCTCAATTAATGCAGGCTGCACGTGAAGTGCAGGTGGGATCTGATGACCAGGTGGAACCTGATGACCAGGTGGAACCTGATGTGCAGGTGTCACTTGAAGGGTAGGCGGTATCTGATGCATTGGATGACCTTGATTTGAAGGATGGCCTTGGTTTGCAGGCGCATAGTAGGATGCAGGCATACTCGGGTGGGTAAAGGGAGCCTGGAAAACGGGTCGGAATTGATGTCCCGGGTGAGGATGTAGGTTTGCGGATGGAAATGGTATTATTCCACTACCTGGTAACACAAAAGGTCGTACCATGCCTGCATGCCCGCTAAAACGCGCCGCCTCTGCCACTGGACTATCTGCCCGAACAGGATTCTGGGGTACTTCGATGGCAGTTGGCGCCGAAGATTCGGATTTCGACGTAAGACCATCGGTAACGTCCGCGTGATCCTCGTTTGTCTCTTCCAGCAAGTTTTGACTTTCTTCGTTGTCCTCGGGAATGCTCGGAGATATTTCAGTAGCAACCTCACCAACAGTTCTACTCTTCCTCTCTGATTGTATTGAGCTATGGCTGCGTCTGTTCTCATCGCCGTTTCCAGTCTCTGTAATATCGACCTGTTTAAAACAAGCGGTTGAACAGAAGAATCGTCAGAAATAGAATTAACTCATTGATTGATCAATTAGAAATATAATTAACATATTGATTGATCAATTAGAAATATAATTAACTCACTGATTGATCAATTAGAAACATAATTAACTAATTGATTGATTAATCAACCAGTGACATGGTATATCTATATAACAAATTACCTCGTTGTCAGCAGCTCCTGCACGGGGATTTTCATCTGGTGGAAAATCTGCCTCATCAAGCAACGAAAGTCGTGCAGTAGACATTGGCCGGCCATTAACAAAGACGTCATTGGTCAGAGCAGCTGAGGACGGAAGAGTTATGTTGGATTGACGATCAGACTCCAATCTTTGAGGCATAGCTTCACCGTTCATTAAAATGGGTTCATTTACCACAAAAGTATTCTCTTTCGTTTTGAAGCTTTCCCACAGAGACCTGCAGGCCCTGCACAGCCCGCAAGAGATTTTGATCTCACGTAAACATTTCCACATTGCGGCCCATGTCTCGCGCACGTTTGGCCGTGCGACGCAATGAAAACCCAATATCGCGGTGCCTAAGGCTATGTTCGCCAACGCGTAAACATAACTAAGAAAGATCCAACGAAGCTTGGAAGTTCTCGAGTTCACAAGAAAATACGCCAAGATGAAGTTGAGATAGACGAGAGACATCACGACCCACGTGGCGACAAGGTTTAGAGTCATGGAAGACTTTTCAGCGTTTTGTGCCTCGTTAGGGTCCGGGGCATCTTCGAGGACGCCCGGTTCGTCCGTTTGTAACCTCTCCTCCTCCGTGTTCTCTTCGCTTGGGCGACGGTCGATAGCACCGCGAGCCAGTATCAAATGCAGGCGCACAAGCAAAACAGCGTTGATTATGAACAGCAGGCAAGCTGGACCAATAAACGCTCCTAAGCCCGCACTCTCTGTCAACCAGCAGCTAGGTGAAGGAAATAGAAACTTCATTTAGGCTACTCAACCCTGAATTTCAGGTAACAGCTGTTCACAGGAATTGTTGCTGTACTGGAGTTACTCAAAATATATCACGTTCGTTCGCAACTTACTAGTCAGCTGTTTTGTAGTTCTTTAGATCACCAGCTAAAGTCATACCACAAACAATCGCTGGAACTCCTAGCCGGGAAAACAAAAGTTTTTCAGAAATGAAATATTTAGCAAGTCAAACTTTCGAATTGATTGAGAATTACATATACATGAAGTAACTGAGACGTTACTTACCCCAGCTGACCATATAGTACATCAGAACAGGATTAAAGACTTCGTCGCTGGTTTCTTTTGGAGGCATCAAGCGACGTGTTACGCACACGACATAACTCCCGAGCCAGAGCAGGGAAGCAAAGAAAAAGAAATGCAAAAAAATCCCGACCATCCGACATACAATCGCGTTCTCTGTACGGTCGATTCCGAAGGCGAACGACAATACGACGACCAACAACGATAGGCAAGCGTTCATCAGCATGATAATATCCTCACGGTTAAATCGAAGATTTCTGAGAAACAAAATGAAAACACAGTCGAAAAATGTTCATGAAAGTCTACATGTACACGAAACTAAAAATCAATTTCGAAGAACTCTGCATGTGAAACCGTTTCCACAATACCTTGCCAGAGCAAAAGTGATTAAAACAGCAATCAAAAGGAGTGACGTAACAACAGCGCCCAGATAGACGACAATTTCTACAGGGTAAAACACGTCTTGGGTAGCTCCCGATTTCTTAAAAAAAAAACGAAAACAGGTTGATATAAATTCTATCAACATTAAAAGTTTCAGTTTTTCTATCTCAATATACCCTGGCTACCTTTTAAATACCAGGGAACTACTTACCGACATGATAGCCAGGTTTTTGTTCATTAAACGTGAGCACTCAACAGTTGTCATGGAAGCCGTTGAAAGTTTCACGTGGCAGCCCGTCATTCGTGACCACTGTTTGCCAGCGACTGAAACAGAAATGGAAGTTCAACAAATTGTTATAGTCTCGCTGAGTTTGCAGTAAATTTTAATGTCCACTTATCCCTGTCGAGTCAAACACAAGCTCACAACAGTTGCAACAAATGGAATGCGTTCAGAGGACTAAAGGTATGCATTCACCATGCAACACAATACTACACTTTACCTTTTTCACCCAAATCAAAATAGCTGATTATTGGATCAGTACCGGGCTAGAAATGTAAAGATAGATTGCAATTCAGAATGTTTATCAATACAACATGAAAATGATATAAAATAGGGACGAATGGGTAATCTAGCAAACAGAACACGCAAAGCAAACCTTGGTAGCAAATTGAATGACGACTGGATCTGTGAGATTTATTTCCTTTTTGACTTCTAAAATAAAAATAAATGATCATTCTTGTTTTGTTTTCTACTGTTGCCGATTTCAACAAGTCCAAAAAAATACACATTTCCCTTACCCGTTTGAATAGACAAGACATTGGATGAAACATATCTTCCTTTCATAATGTCTTCTGTCTCGTTTGAAAGAACATTAGGGAACAGGAAGGCGTTACGATAGACGAGAAACTGAAGCTTAAAATTTTTCGAAGGGAAACCAGCAGCTTCTAAACTTTGAAATATTGTGGCAGGTATAACAATGGACAAAGAGAAGTCCTAAAAAAGATAATCGTAAATTCAGGATTCAATCATCGTGCAATAGTTAGATACATACTGGAACAGGTTGTATAAAAAGACAGTTAACTTTTAACTATAATTAGTGCCAGAAATGGCCAATCATAATCGTGTATTTAAACCGAGTCAACGACAATTTAACCACTCAAAATTGAATTAAAACGTTCTTATACGAAGAGAGATCTTACTTTGCGTTTGTTTGGGTGGCAGATAACACCAGGAGAATCTTTTCTCTTGTCAGCATCAAAGAAGACTTTACACGTCGTGTTGCCATTTGAAGCAACATTCTTGAGGTTCACAGAGCCAAGCACAACATCGCTTAACTTATACGATAAAGACTTGTTCCACGCTCTACGTGATATTAGTTCCAATTGAACGGCAATTCTGCACGAAAAATTATTGATAGAACCTTGTGATGGTTGGTTAAGGCAAAATATGAAGACTATGCACACTGTAAATACTTCATATCCAACCTACTAACCTTGAGGGAGATCTATCTTTCTCTTCTGCAGCATGGAGGATCTTCTCTTTGACACCCATTATGTTGTTAAAACACGCCATCAGGTCATCCAGTAGCTAAACATAATATATAGATAAGTGGTATTACTTTACACTAGTCCCTTGAACACGAAGCAGCAGTAGGCATCTGAAGGACGAATTACATTTTGCAAATAACGTAAATTCATTCAAAGAGGTGGTGAATGCTTGGGGAGTTACGTGATCTGAAGGATACACATACCCAGGGGCCGCGGAACCGGGGGGGCATTCCGCGGCCTCTGCACATACCTTGCCCTGGAACTTCATCCGTATTCCAGTGATGGCAGAAAAAGCCTTGTAAGCCAAAGAGACATTCGCAGCGTTATCGTAAAACGACGGCACCGTTAACAGTTTTAGTTTTTCGACGACATTCAAAACTTCGGCGAAGTCTTTTTTCTTCAGCAACTAAACAAAAAGACAAACATTCAGTAGGTTTTCCTACAAATTCTAGAGTCTATTTAACACAGATGGCAGAACACCACAGCAAGAAACTACATGGTAAGACACGCCTATACCTTGGGTAATAGAAAGAGTTTCTCGGAAAGCGGTGCCAATTGACAGTTACCAGTAGTTATCTCGCCCCAAACTCCTTTCTCGTTACACGTGCGTCGCACGTGAGTATCAACACCCGTAACCTCACCGTCATTTGGCCAGGGGCATGATGCTACCTCTGCTGTTCGCCCTAATGTCACTGGCCAGAGGTATTGATCATGGCCAACTATCAACACGTCACGTGAACACATGGGTCGTTTCCAGGTCACCACTCGGACAGCAATCTCCTTGGTAATCATATCGTCACCGGAACACAAGTACGTTCCACCATCTTTCCACTTGATTGACTTAAATTTCACCATAGTTGCAATCGTTTCTCCCTTAGTGAACTTCAAAACTTGCAAATAATTTGGAAGAGGTTTCTTGTTCTTTCCCCAGTAAAGGCTTCGTTTACGTTTGCTTGTTGTTCGACACGTGATTGTAAGACTATCACCAATTGCAACAATCTGATCTTCAGCCGGGGACAGAATAAGATCCGGTGGTTTATCTGGGGATCATTTAACATTAATATACAATCGATCAATGCTATTACAAGATGAACGCACTGTGACAATGCTTTAAACAGCATTTTCTATTTAAATACAGTAAGACAAAGTTTGAGAAATTACCACAAAGATCTATTCCTTTGAGATCACCCAAGGTTTCGTCACTTTGGCAAGTGCCATGGACTTTAATAGTGTGCTTCGCTACAAATTTCATGAAGGGATTAAGTTGGCAATTGCATATAAGCGGCACACCTTTCAGGGCGCTGAAAAGAAAAGTTAAAGCAATCAAAGAGGTGTTCTTGCAAATCTACGACTATGATCTTGCAACGATTACACTACATTATGAAGATCACAAAAATGTCTTTCGTTTGTCGCTGACATTTATTTTTCATTCGGTAACCAAAATCGAAATTGTGAAACGAAAAATGATTAAAATAATCTCGACTTAGGTTGAAGGAATTCGTTGAAATTAAATATGTAGGAGAGAGTGCAGCTGCCTTTCGTGGTTTTGCAAATTCTTTGTTAACAACGGATGCATCGGGAATGTTAAGATCTTCAAATTCATGTGCCTTTATTACAAAGATTCTACTACAATCGTTTGAGCATTGTTGAATTAAAAATGGACTTGAAAATGGATGAAAATGTTTCGCTTGTTGCACTAGACAGCCTTTCACAAATCATGTCAGAATTGGATGAACTTTCCTCCGAGATACAACGTCTTATTCAAAACATTCATCTTCTTTTAATGACGAAAGTGGACTTTGGAGACACGTTAGCTAAAATTCTCATTGCTATTGGGTATTTAGTCGAAAGAATCGAGATTAATCTAGCGAAAGTTCGACGATTTATGTTTGAATTTATACGAACTTTGTATCGGGTCATGACCGTCCTTCATCGTAATCTTAGAGCAGAACATATCAGTCTTACAAAAGTCATGGTTGATGTTTACGAAGATACAAAAGAATTAGAAAAAGCCAGAGGCATTAGAGATGAAAGATCTCAAACATGAAAACACAGATGGTCAAGGTTATCAGAAGCCTTGATCTTGCATTTGGAAAATTTCATGCAGAGATTCCCACATCTCTACTTGCTACTTACATTTTGTTCAGAGAAGTCAATTCATCAAATGTTCCATTTAAAATTGTAGTAAAACTGTTGTTTTTCAAAAATCTACAGCAAAAATACATTGGTAATTTAATGAAATAACTGTCCTTACAAAAGTGAATGACATCACAAAAACTCACTTCAGACAAATTATTACTTACAATTTTGTTAATTTCTTTAATCCATCAAATGCTTTTCTATCAATTTTTTTAATCCTGTTGTTGCCAATATCACTAAATGGAAAAGAGAATCATTGACCAGAGGTCAAAAAGCAGTAGTTTGGGGGGTGGAATTTTTCAATCCACAAACAATTCGTTTACACAACCAATACTCACAGCATCTTGAGCTTTGGGAGTCCTTCAAATGATTTATTTTTTAGTTCAACCAAGTTATTTTCTTTTAGTTGTCTGCAATATTTGAAGAATTATAAATTTTATACAATAGTTTCAAAGATAAATTATCTAGGTATTGTCAAGGGTGAACGTTGCGAAGATATGCTTTATACTTGGTCTTCAACCTGTCAGAGTATCTTAATTGAGAAAGCTAGGGCTGAAAGAACTGGGAGACTCATAAATATTTGGAATCAACTGATACACACATCACCTTGTCACAATCAAACAGGTTTTAAACAAGAAAATGTTGAACTTACAGTCGCTCTAAGTTATCAAGACCAACAAATGCTCTTGCTTCAAATGCACTGATAGAATTCTTGTGCAGATATCTAAATGAAAAACAGTTGTGAATATTTTTGTTGTAAAACACTACTTGAAAAGATATGCAAAAGCTAACTGAGGAATAGCTTTTCTGATATAGAAATTGGAACATACAAGGTGCTTTAGTTTGTAAATTTTCAGACTATAATATTGTTTGCCAAACAGACAATCATCTTGATGACTTAACTACATACTAGAAATTCTATCCCTCTTGTTAAAAGTTTCAATGACATTCCAATGCATGTCATCTTAAGAGATAATCAAATAGTCTCAACACTGATATGTATAGAAATATACACAAATATTTGAAACGAATACACAGTGCTTTTTATTGTGGAAATATTTCTAAAATAACTTATATTTTGTAGGTGCAAGCCACCAGCTCTTGTGATAAATGCCAGCAAGCTATTGAAGGTGACATTTTGCAGACAAATAGACACTGTCAAACTGTGTACCACATACTGTACAGACCATAGCTAAAGCACACAATTACGGCATAAAAATACCCTTGCTAGACAAACTATATTGACAACCTATAGCTTATAAATAAAGGAAACAATGCCAAACATTTACACTGCCCACAACTATTTAGAATATAATGCAAAGATGACAGACAGTTGCATTCAAATGCTAAACAGAATCTTGCATGAAGTGAGGCATAAAGCAGGCATTCTTTAGAGAAACGATAATCTTATCATTGTCAGACTCAAAATCCAAAGGTTAATCTAAATTATCACTTAAACCAACTACAATTGAAAAAAGGAAGGAAACGCTATAAAGACATGCGACAATGAAAGATTTCATTTCCTCTACGAATCACATGAAAATATGAGAATCACTTTATCAATTAAAAACGTATCTTTCCTCTTTTTGAAACTTTATCGACAACGCAGATGAAATTCGTAGAGAGATAATTAGTTTTTAGAACAAAATCTGCCGAGGAAAGCAAATTAAAGTGCACAGATTGCTGTTGGGAAAACCAATTTTGCGGTTTTAATCACAGGAGCACAAACAAAAGGAAGGAATATCCGAATATGAACTCGACTATTAAATTTCACGATGTTTAATGTAACTATATCCTTCGCTTCGTAGTTACAAATGAAGAAAAAATCGATAGCAAAGCGTAGAGAATTCGCTTCATACTTAATATACTCTATCTACCTAAAACCACTTCAGAATATAATATCGTTCAATAGTAGAAAGACAGCAATCACAGCATCAAAGCGATCGCCGATCGCTAAATTGGCGATATTGTGTCAAGTTTGTCTGTGTTGTTTGAAACAATTTTACGTAAAAAAACTCGTTCAGCAGCCCCCAAAAGCAAGTATTTTAAAATAGAGAATCAAATCAATAAACCCCATGAAATTTACCGGCAAATCTGGGTCAAACAGGCACGATGTAAATGTAATCATGTTTTACCCAAATATTGTGATGTATAAATTACTCACAAGTTCCTCAGTTTATAATGGTTATCTAAAAAGTGCCTTCTTAAGATCGTAATGTTATTCCTTGAAAGATCCCTAGAAAATAGAAAATATCGTCAGTTATTTTGTGTCAACGTGTAAATAATGCAACCTTATATAAGGTATAAGCACGTTTTCCCACATACAACTAACTAAACATAAAACGTAAACAAACTCATGCTGGAGAATTATTGACATTGAACTAACAGCAAAGAACAAGCGATTTCCGCAGAAATTATGTTAGTAAATTTCGCTTAAAGACCACCTAAATTTCTCTTTTTAATCTACAAAAACTGCTGTACAACATAACGTTCAAAATGATGACAAAAGCGCTTACAATACATCCATATTCTTTGGGAAAGTATACAGACTTATATCCTTTATTCCTTTGTTCTGACAAATCACTTTATACATTTTCTTTCGAAGGGAACATTTACATTTTCGTTGACAAACATCGCCATAACACACTACCACGTACAGCAGCAGCAACAGACGAACTATTGGGTCTATATTAGCCATAAATATCCAACTACAACTTCAACTACTTGAGTACTGTTTATGCAAAGCACTGGCGTTCCTCTCAGCGATCTGTCAAAATGTAACGATATAGAGTAGCAACTTCATCTCTCTTCAACAGTATAGGTTCTGGGAGTCATAAAAGGCATCAAAAAACACAAATATGTTTGAAATATTATCCAATGATGCTGGTAATCAGATTGGAAGACAATATATTCTTCAGCAAAAATGATCATGCCGCATAATTCACCTTTGATCTTCTTACCGGGGGTATGATAGTCAGTCATTTCATACTAATGGGGGTAGGGTAGTTCCCTGATTAATATACTAATCACCCGTTCAAATTTTACGAGAGATCAAGTATTTCCTTTAATTACATGTTTACATCAGATTGCGCTAGTGAAAATTGCCCTGACATGGAGCAGGCATATTGTGCAAACATGTAATTTGTTGAGAAAACAAAAAATAGCAAGCAAAACAAACTTTTGTTTATGTAAAATCCTAGCAAAATATCCTTAGACGCATTTTATGACTTATGACTTGATGGAATTGATGCGCTGTGATTTTACGCGGCTTACACAAATCTCAATCATCTTATATTTCTGATAATACAATTTTTCAAATTTGACAAAAAAACCGTAGATAGGTCGAGATTTCCACACAAAGCAGAGCTGGAAGTACAGCTATGAGCTATTAGTACAAAAATCCACAAAAACAAAGCAATTAATGTTGGAACAAATCTCAGTCAAACATTGCTGAATTATTCGTACAGTATGCTGACCGATGGCCTTCGCTACCACAGATGAAACACCCAACAGGCGCCGACATTGAGCCGAAGGGAACTCGAGTTGTACCAAAGCTAGCGTTGTATGACGAAGATGACGCGGCTTGAATTTCTTGAGAATCTGCTGAATACCCCCATGGTTTATCATACGCAAATCCTCTCATATCCCTTCCGGTACTCTGAGGTCTACCACCAGCATTCCTGAAAATCTCCGGAGAACTGTTAGCATTCCATTGAGGATACCCTGTATATTCAATATTGCTCCCCATTACCCATATTGGTATCCCTTCATGTCTCTCGAATTCCACCTTGATCCACGTTTATCACCTGAATATCCGTGGTATTCTCTGTCATCGTTTGTGTTCTCCAACAATCCAGTATTATTCCTCCGCCCACGACCTCTTCCTCCTTTATATTTTTGAAATGAGCGTTCATTTCCGCCATACCTCTTTCCTTCACTTTGCTGTGTCCAATTCACAACAGGATTACCAGCTTGTGTGTTTTCATCCTTGAATTCCGCTATGTTACTTCTCCTTTCTCCCACAAGCGAGACCTCCCTTGTTGAAATCTCATTTGAGAGATGATTAACCTGCAATATCTCATTCGCACTTGTTTGAATATCTCTTGAAGAATCTACTATACGGTCTTCATTCTCCGGACACGAACCCCCGGCATCCTGGTCTAAACTATTCTGATAATCCAACAGTTTCTTTTGCAGTTCTTTAAAGTCCATTGATTCAACATTTTCAGTATTTGACTCGTCTATTGCCGCTTCAACTTCTTGTTTTTCTTCGCTATCTCTTGCTTCTTCATCGTCCTTCTGTTTCTCTGATTCAATACTCAACAAAATCTCTCTTAAATTACTTTCAACGTTCTGCAGCCGTGTGCGAGGGTCGACGACAATGTCGCGACTTGGCTTGACTTCCGGCGATTTTTCGGGAACATTACCATTAATACTGTCACCTAAATCAATATATATAAACACGCATGATTGAGAAAAACTAACACAAGATCTTTTTCCGCTGTTTGAGGTGAATGCACCCTCGCTGTGTTCTCAAAACGTGATATAAAGAAACGAGACTCTAAAAATGACAACATGAAAAAAAGTTGAACGGAAACAACCATGTTGGACATACCATTTTTCTCAAGATATAACTGTATCTCTAAAATCGCACCAGGAGCGAACGATGCTTCCTAAATAATAAAGAAACAGCCGGCTTATTCAGTCATTGCGAGATCTCGCCGCGTATCTGATAAATAAAACACTGATCTCAACATATCATCTCAACCTGAAGCGTATTCTTCAACTCGTTTTTCTCAACACAAAGCAGAGTATCCTGCGAGAAAGGAAACCAAAATCACTTTCAATAAACCAGGGTGATTTACTAAATTCTCCAAATATACTGTTGCTTTGCTTACGCGGATTAAATTATCCTGAAACTTCTCAAACAGATGGCTCAATTCTAGATCCGTCAGCATTTTCTTAACAATTCTATACGGGTCATCTACGAAAAAAAATATTTATCCCTTGAAAGAAACGATTATCTTTAAACAAAAAAAGAAACCGTTGGAAAACGTCTGTCTATGGCTATATGCCTGTGCGAATTTCTGTTGGAGGATTTAAGTTTCAGTTTGACATTCGTCCTAGGCTGATCTTGAAAACAATAATAATACTTCTGTGCTTCTGTTTTCCTAATTTAAACCATTATTTTCTCTTGCTGAACGAACCTGGCAACGGGGAGTCAGGCAATGTTTTAGCTGACGGAGGAGTCTCAACAGCTGCTTTGGAAGTTTCATTTTCTTTTGATGGTGATAATAAACACTTGAATATTTGATCCACAAGAGTCTCTTTGATCACCCTGGTCACAGAGAACATTGCAGTCAATTAGAAGAGTCTTCATTCAGTTTCATGAATGATTAGTTAATTGGAATTTGGAAGCAATAAAATAACTTCTAATCAACAAAAAATATCCATCTACCTTGGCATTTTATCACTCAAAATACAGTTTTTAATTTTACCAAAACATGATTTAATCCACAATCTAAACAAACCAGGGAGGAAACAAACTATTATGCAGCCATATTATCAAACACAAACATCCACTAAATAGATGCAAAAATTCTTTAAACACACAATCATCCCACTTGCCTTTTTTCTGCTGTTAGAACATTCTTTGTGACTTCCAGCACTCGACACAAATAAAATACTTTCACTTCAGATTCTTGCGAGTATTCCTCTGCTGTCTAAAAAATTTCAAGATAAGCTTCTCAGTCATACATCATTGCTTGTCAGTGGATGGAACTAAACTTTCCTCTCCTACTCAACTAAAACTAAGCAGCTATTTATTGGCAAATCAAAATGCATTTCATCACACTTACCTGAAATGGTGAAACCCAGTCATGAAGACATCCTCTAACTGTGTGTCTTAGACAATCTTGAAAACTTTAAGAAATCAGTTCTCATGGTTAACTTGATTGCCATCATTCATATTGTATCAGTATTTAAATAACACATTTTAAAGACTACCTTTTTGTTTCATCTTTTGCCACATCACACAATTTACCAAGAAATGTACAAAAGCTGTCGCATCTAGAATTCTTGCTTGTAGCACCCTAGACATGGTCGACAACAACTTAATATGGTTCCTCATGAGAACTTTATTTGACTGGAAACAACAGGCCAAAAACTTACACTGAATGTTTCTTGTCTATGCTGTTTTAAAACATCTTTTAAATTGGCAGAAAATTCATCTTTGTACATTACTATATTAAGACAAAGATACAAAAGGTTCAAACTGAGGTTTTGAAAAAATTTATAATCCTTGATAAGAAGAGTGTTGAAGGTGTTGTAATTCAAACTACTGATGACAATCTGACTACCCACCATTAAGTAACAAACACAACTGTACTGCAACTTGAAATGAATCTTTCTCATCAATTACACGTGCAACAATTAGATCAACGAGGACATTGACTTCGGATACACCAGGAAACTTTGTGGATAACTGACTAGCCTCGCAAAGTTTTCTCACATCTTCACTTAACCCCACAACATTTTCAACTGACAAACTAGTGATTAATTTCTTAAAACTTCGTTGCAGTTTCCATTTTTTCCAGTTCAGTTCTGATTCAACCATCTTTTGAGGAGAACGAGATTCAGTTAACCATTCAGTTGTTGTGTAAGTTGGTGCATCAAATTTCTTGTATTTTGTAACCACAGGATCTGAATAGATATCTGGCTTTCCAGAAAATCCTTTGCGTAAATGTGGAGGAATGTATCGGGAATTGGGACTAGTGCTTTGTCCAGGAGTTTCATCCTTCACACTGCTGTTTGTGTGCGAGGAAAGAAGTTCTTGTGGAGAAACGAGGTGAACTTCTTTCTTCGGATCTAACTGTAACTTTGGTTTTTGATCAGGAACTGCTTCCAAACCAAGGTGAGTAGATTGATTCTCTCTTGCAAGATTATTTTCTCCATCTCTATAAAAAAGAAAACCTATCAATTGGATGCTGTTTTGAAATTTGATATATTAATCAATGGTCATTATAACTTCTACTTCTTCAGCAAGCTTGTGTGATCATCTTCAATGACTTGGATACTTTCTTCACTTGGTTTTGGTGAAGAAGCACCTCCACATCGATCCCGTTTTCCCCTGTTTCCAAGAAGATCGAGCGATGTCCATGTTGGCTGTGGGCTCTTTTTCTCAACATCTACAAACACACATTGAACGTTGTTTTTACCAAATATATTTAAAATACCGGCGACAATAGTATGAAAAATTAATTATCATCATTAAGACATCGATAGTCATGTAATGCTAATTATAAACGGGTTCTCTGCACACTTTTCAGAAAAACATATGTAAAAATACAGTATGATCTTATGAATACCTTGTGAATGAGAGGAAATAGTAGAGGATGCACTTTCATTCGACTTCAACAAAGCTATCTCAGTAACATCATTCTGCACATTGTTTGAACTTTCAACAGAAGCTACCGCGGTCTTTCCGATTTGGGTTTCCAACAACAGGCCGAGGTAACTGCCTCTTCCTCTACCGTACATCTTCAAGATATTCTTGTCCGTTGTTGTAATGTTGTTTCACAACGTGTTTGTAATTTGAGAAGAGTGTTCAATCAAAAGAACGCAAAAAATTTCCATAATGGTCCCGAACGTGATTGACGGTTTAAAAGGCACCACAACAAACCGCCCGATTCGTACACGTTTGACGAAAACTTTATATTACCCGCTAAAAACATCGATTAGTAGTCCATTACACATACAGTTCAGTGGCAAAATAGAGATATCACATTATCACTGACATTGTCACAATCACTGGTCACAATTTGTTAAAATTGCTGATCAGTCATTTTGAGTTAAAAATTCATGTTTCAGACTCAAAGGTGGCCATAAATAGTCCCTATTGAGAATTAGATATTTTATATGCCACAGTGTGTTGGTTTTTTCAAGGTATATATTTTTATCCAATTGCTATGCCTAACTTCTTTTCTACTAATCCCGATGGCAGGGATTTGTCCTAGAAATGCCTTCGAATAAACAAGAATAACAATCAAACATGTACAAGCCCCAGATACTTATATTTTATACAAACACACCTTTATACAAACACACTTCATTTTACACAAAAACATATTTACAGAAATTCTCAGAAATTCTCATTTTATATCATCATCAGAGTTATTCTTTCTCTGTGCCAAGTGGCAAAAACCTAAAGCCCGATTCTTTACAAACAATTTTACAAAAATATTGGATGGAGTGATCTTTTTGTGAGTCTTTTCCGACATGTTGGACACTTGGATTGTGATCGTATTGAGCTAGTTATACAAGGATCGCAGAAAACATGGCCGCATGTTGTAGATGTTAGCTGACGTTTTGCTTTCTTTATCTAAACAGAAATATCTAATTGTAATGCAGTTGTTTTGAAATATTATTTTCAAAGACGTTTTGCATACAGCTTTTTAATTGTTTGCTCAAAAACAAGACCTTACCTGATTAAAATCATCCATACAGATGGCACAAGTGATGTCGGAAAGCACATTATCAACCCTGTCAGGAAACCAAATAACAGGGGCCAGTTATATAAAAGACTAGTTAACTTTTAACTGAAGTTAAGGACAGAATTGGCCAATCAGAGTCATGTATGAGTTAACTAGGAATTAACTATGCAAAATGAAGTTCAAAAGTTTTATACAACCAGCCCCAGTATATTTAAAAATACATATTTACTAAAAAATTTGTTCTGTATAATTATTACCCTTCAGTTTCTTTAGGAACGATAACCACATCATCTGTACTTTTATTTTGCTCTGGGGCTTTTGCTCTACCTACTAATGACTGATAACGAATGACGGACTGCCGATGATGTGACTGCTGCAATAGAAGGAAAATGAGATTAAAATATACCCTTATTTTTGGCCTAATTGTATTATTAAATTTCACATCATAAATACTTACATCAGGGGAACATGTAAGGTCAACATAAACCTCATTTCTTGACTCATGTGTGAGATCAACAACTGGTTTATCTAAAACATTTTAAATTATTCCTCAAAATATATATTTTCTGTTGGGAAACTGTAAGATGTCTAAATCTTAAATGTTGGTACCTTTAACAAGCTCAACATCAATTATTTCAATTCCATTATTACTTGAAGTTGGCTCAGATGTTTCTGCACTTTCGGCACTATTTGGCTCTTCATCGTTCCTTGTATCAACTAACTGTCCCTCTCTGCTACGTTTTCTATTAATATGACCTCGCTGCAATGCAAAACAAGCTTAATTACCTCACTAATGAATGGCAATTCCCCCAATATAACAACTTAGTTCACATAAACCTTTTCCACCCAACTGTTTTCTCTTGTCAGCTTATAATTTATAATATACACACTTCACCTTTCTTAAAAATTCCACCAGTAGAGTTACCTCTTACCTCAACTGTTAACCAACATCCATCTTTCCAAACAATTTTAACCGACATATTTTTTTCCCTACTCTCTCAAAAGTTTATTATTCTATCTAGTACATGATTTCTCGACAATTAGTACAAACTGAATACATATGTATGTATAACCATTTAAATATTAAATTCACATGAATTCCTTTTCGAAATTGTAACCTTTATTTTGCGCTCAAAAGCCATGGTAAATACTTACTTTTCCCCTTGAATGTGTTTTTGTCGATCTATTTTTTCTACATCTATTGGCAACAGCATTTTGGGTTGCTTGACTATGATTTATCAAATCCACAAGCTCAGTGTTCTCGCTTTGTCTATTCATGGCGAGATACGATTGAAATGAGACGGCGAGCAAACCTGCTTTAGGTTACTCAAAAAGCGCCAATTTATCCGAAGAACGCTGCTTGGTAATAGATAACGATGAAGAGCATAAAGGAAGATGTTTTTACTTCGAAATAAACACAACTAACAATATGTTTTTGACGAAAATACTTGTAGTTTTCAGTTATCCAACTTGAATTTACCAAAGTAACCAAACCTCGTAACTCCCCGTCGAAGCACGTACAACAGTCGGAAACAAGTATGACGTCAACTGGCGTCACAATGACGTTACTGTCACGCCATGTTACTATCGCCGCACGCTGATCTCCATTAGGCTTAGAACATTCCAGTGGCTAATGTAACGTCTAGGACAATATGTGTAATGTATGTACATAATATATTTATTCATGTTGGGTGGGTGTATGGGTGGAGGTTTGGGGGAGGGGGCGTACACCGCTGGATGTAAATAGGAAACAAGAAACAAATAAGCCCTGTGAATATACAAACACTGAAACACTTCATACCAATTGAGGTCAAAATATAATTAAAAAACTATCAATCTAGACATTGATACAATTTCAATAATTTACTTGTTATAAAATCACAGTATTATAATATGATTATAAGTTTTCTTATTGTACAGTTTTAATATAACAGTATTGTAATGTCAGCTGCGCTACAATTGTTTTTTCATCCCTGTATGAGTACTGGCTTTACACGTACCCAAATGAACAAAACAGAACTATCTAAACACAACTGCTCGCTCATTGGATGAGAGCATTTCTGGTTTACTTAGAATAATATTTAACCCAGAATATCCAATCTCTAGTCTTGAATGTACATTTGTATATTATATGTGTATCAACATTGATTACTTTCCTGATTCAATTATGCTTACATGTAGACATTTGGTTAATAACATATCAAATTGTATACAAAACTACAAGAATTAGCTAAACAACTGCATTAATTTAACACCTACTAGGTGCATTTAGAAAATGTTACACAGAGTATACTGGTGGTGGTTCCCCTCTGATCGAGGATGGTGGTGCTGCTTCCATGGAGTTCATTAATTCCGCTGTGAGTTCTTCTTCGCTTGAGAAATTGCTTCCATGTCTTCGGCAGCTGCATTTTATCATGTTAAAGGTGCATGCAAGTAAGGCACAAACCCCTCCGGCAACAACAAGGTAGAAACTGTACGAGAATGTTACATGAATATGTTGCACTTTTGGATTGTTATGCTCCAGGTGTTTTTTAATAGACAATGTCACCCAATACGAAAATCCACAGGAGGCAACAGTCATCACAACTGCAAAATAAAAAACATAAATTTGATCCCAAACCCAAACAGACTATTTGATACCCCAGAACTAGGAAACATATTCTTACAATTAGACGAACCTATGTCAACATCATTTTAGCAGGATACTCACCAGAAACAACATTTCCTATAGAATTTGACCGAAAGATTTGAAAGATCCTTTTTCTTGGTCCCCAAATATCCAATAAACAAGCAGCAAAACTGGTAAATGTAGCACAACATAGAAAAGCCATTATTATCTTCAACTTGAGAACTGTGTCTTCACTATAACATTGTTTTCCTACCAAAATAATAAACTTTGTAAGAGACAAAACTACTAGAAGATTTTGTAGAACAATTTCACCATTATTCGAGTGCTCTTGTGATAGAGATGTTTGAAAGGTTTTCTATTAATATACTGTAGTAAATCTTTCTCATTATGACGTCAAAACACAGAAAGCCTGATGTCACACAAAGTTCACACAAAGTTTGATTCTACAGCTTAAAATAAAACTAACATAAAGCTTTTGCATTTGACATTATTATCAGAAAGATCTATTCTTACTGCCTGTTTAAGGGCCGGTTGTTCGAAAGGAATTTAGCTTAAACGGCAGATAAATTCAAAATGAAAAAGAAATTATTCATTTATTGAACAACCAAGCCAAACTATTTCAGTGTAAATAGTTTAAAAGTCAAATGTCAATGAAAGTACATATTTAATGCATAAGATGTAGACTCACAATCATTTACAAGATGTATGAGAGTATTTTTAAACTTTGGCTTATCCACCGTTTAAGCTAAACGCCTTTCGAACAACCGGCCCCAGAAGAGTTATACATACTCACCAAATTATCTCTTGCATTAAAGGTTTAAAGCTTGCACATGGCAAAAATTAATTGTTTGAGTTAATAACCTTGTGTATAATTAAGCTTAAAAATTGCCATTTCACACCTGCCATGTACAATGGGCTTTTAAAATATTGCAGAAAAGGTATTCAGTAGAAAATTTAAGTTCATTTTTTATATTATTCAATAGCATTTTAGTTGATAGAAATACATAAAAGTGTAAATGGAACCAGTGGTGAAATTTTTGTGTTAAAATTTTATGAATACCATCTTCTGCAGGAAATAGACAAAATGGAATTGACAACACTCTTTACACATAAGATATGGCGAGATAATACATGTATACATTAGGCAAGATAAGAGTTGTCAAGTACAGGCTAGCCAGAAAGTGATCATCTCTCTAATGACAGATATAACTGTTGTTAGTTTTATGGTAAAACATTTGAAGTGGACTTTGTTTACTGCCAAAGAAAATGAAATGGAAAATAAAAATAGACAAGTGTTCAGGTTTCTGGGTTGCTAAGGCCACCAAGAACAGGTTAATACAGACTATTCTCCATAAAAAAATGTCCACAGTATAAATTATACCATCGCCGTTTGATTTCACAGTTTTTTCCCCCAGGTTTTTTCCCAGAGAGAAAGAACCTTTGAGAATTAAATAATTTTAACAATTGAATATACTTAACAGCAATCCATTGCAAATATAGCCGTTTCAGTACAAAGATGATCACTTGTTTATATTTGGAAAACGCTAAATGGTTTATTATTTACGCTATATTACAAAGATGAAACTTGATCCAATAAATTCGTATTTTATAACAATCAACGAAAATATTACCAGCAAACTTTGAAATCAAAATCTCTCACGGAACAGCATACTTACTCATCGTACTCTCGGATTTCAAAGACAACATTTTGTAAATGCCAATATGACGTGCTTTACATTTCGTTCCTTGAACAACAGTGAACCATCGTGGCTCGACCAGAGCAGTCGCTATGAAAATTACGGTAGTCAATCCAAAGAAAGCTGATACGAGGTTCCGTTGAGAAAGAGGCTTCGGTCTGTATCTTGCATGAGTTCGATGGTGTGTGCTCGGGTTGTTAAAGAATCCAGCAGGTGAAAACATCATGGAGAAGCATTAAAATATAGTAAAATATACCCAAATCCCCAAATATTATACGAAAAGACCGATAGAAACGCAAATGTTTTCTTTTACTCAGAAGAGAGCTATCATTTTACTTCCGCCTCCTTCAGCAAACGTCATTAGGCACTCGGCTTCTACTCGTAATAACTTCGTAATAACTCGTAATAACTCCGTTCACGAATTCTCGGTTAAGGCGATGTTATTTAATTCGTATAAACACTTATATTTATGCACTGTGCGATAAATTTTATCATGAATTTTCTTAAAAATTACAAAAGATAAGGAAATTTTATCTTGATATTTGAGAAATTAGTCAGAAACTTCATTGAAATTTGAAAAATTAGAGAATGTTCCATATTCGGTGGTATCGTACATATCCGTCAAACGCTTCCTACTTCTGAACGATAGGATTTTCCAATTTAAAGCACAACAAAAATGAAGGGAAGTCGCAAATATGAGAAATATGAGGAAGGTCAAGCGAAGAGTGTTGTGAGAATTATAAACTATGTACATACGGGAAAATGCTAAATATATATGAATTTAAATGCCAAGCCTTGGATGGAAAACACTTAAAAGGAATCTCCCTCTTTTAAATCTAATTTGCTTCGTCTCGCTAGAGTAGAGGTAAAGTGACATATTCCATCATTATTGGCAATAAACATTGAACATAAACACTGGCTTATCAACGTAATTCCCACAATTTAGAGTGCTAAACTTATCTGTACTAACTGCAAGAGGCAAAGCTCTTTGTGCATGCATTTTATGATTGTGTTGCAAGAAAGTTTCCGCGTTTCCAAAGCGAATATTGTGTCCTTAATAAACGGAAATTTTGAATTGCCACTCGGAGATATTCAAATCACGCTTGTGTGAATAAGTGGGATAAGTTTTAAACACGGATCACTATCTGTACCAATTAGAATTAGGTTTTAAAAGCATCTTTGGGCAATGAATTTGCGGTTAGGGTGTCTTTTCGTTAGGTTAGATGCTTTCTTTTTGGTATTTTAGATGTTGATAAAGCGGCTAGCTTATATGACAAAGACACTTTAGTCACCATTAGCAACGCTACCAGTATTTTCATATCCTTTCTTGTTAAACATGACATTTTCCAATATCCTGTAGAAATGTTGTTTGTTTAACAATAAAGCACCAGATATTCGTTGGCTTTTACAGTAGTTCTACTGCTTTCATTTATCATAATTATGCAGTAAATACTAAATACTATCATCAGGTAAAGGTACTTATTTTTTTCCAAATCCTTCATATGTCCTTTTTTATTAAAATTTTGTGCGGAAAGAGGATAGATAAGGGAGATAATGGATGGAAAGGGAGGATTGAAATTGGAATCTGTCTCATATATGTCCCATTTCAATGCAATATCCTCCATATCAAAATATATCAAAGATTTCAACAACACTCTTGCCAGGCATGCCTAAATTTCCATACAGCATTTGTTACAGTTTATATTAACACCTACCTCATAGCTGGCTATCTGTAGATGTGAATTAATATGTGTACAACTGTATTTTATTTTTGAAAATACACAGAAATTCCCATGTATATTGATGTTGGCAAGAATTTTGTTGACAATCAACTCAAGTGTTCTTATCATACAATCCTTCATTTCAGTCCTGTATTAAAATATTGAGTCTTTACTTTCCATCATGACAGAGAACTTTATTATATTTTAAGTGGTGTAGCTAGAGAAACACTGATTATGTGCGAAAGCGTCTTCTGAAATAAGTGTAGTACAGAAAGATTATGAAAGAGATTTTTATATTGCTATCAAACCTGCTAAAGTAATTGTTTCAGATTTCTTTTATGATATCAAAGCCTAGGATTATTAAACACTTTCTTTGAACATATCATTAAATTGTTAAGAATTTAGCATCCCACTCAAATTGCAATTGTTGATGTTTTGTTGTGGGCTACAAGGTATTTAACCTGAGAGACATTAAAAAATTTACATTTATCTGCACGAACTAACTTTCGGCTTTTTTTGAACTCTTAATTGCCTTCAAGTTCTAAGAAAACTAGAATAAGTTTGGCACGAAGACTTGCTCCGAGAAGTTGAAGATTTTTTTTGAGAAAAAAGTTATTTATGATGCTTAGTTTCCTTGGTAATATATTCATCTTTGAATCGGCCTCTCTCATTTCAAAGCAAGTGTTACATACTTACAACACCGGGTGGCAAATTGAAATTTCGGTCGTTCAATTATTTCGAACAAATTATGGCATAAAAACCTCGCAATTCATTTTGGACGCATCGAGGAATTCACCGCAGGGATATACGTGAAAATATTTACAGAAAAACACCGTGTCAAGAGAGTCAAGAGACGTAGGTAGAGGTTATTATTGCATTTATAGTCACGAGGATGTGAGCTTGCACTTGAAAGCGCATAATAATTCACAACGGTCGACAAAACACATTTATCATTGACATTGTCATTGTCATGAAGACAAAATACGTACGCTAAGCAGGACATTTGGCAGTTTTAACATAGGAACTATGGATGGCTGAAGCGTAAGTAAGGTATTAGGTATACAATCCGTTCCTTGGAGAGTGTTGTGATTCTGTTTTTCAACCGTGTTTTTCAAGGTCGAGACCTACGCGGAAAATGAGCTTTAATGTTAACAGTCAAGGTTACATTACATCGTTGAATGAGTGAGACGCTATTGCACAAGGGTACTAACAGTGGGATATGACTGGAGTATCACATGAGTAGACAACGAGACTAGCTTTTGAAAACTTGGCTTTCCGCATAGTCAAATAGCAGATTAATTGCCGCGAGACTATTTTTTCTAAGTTGCTGTACATTTGTTAGCATGCATATAAATGACAGTAATCAGTATGCTAAATACTGCGCTTTGTAGCGCTGATGAAGGCTTATGTTTTTTTAAAGATCTGTGATCTTCTAACATCTGAACACATCATTAGTGCAAAAAATTCATCATTAACATTCGGTAAAACCTTTTAATCGGCGTCGCAGACTTCGGACCATTGCAGAGGCTTAATAGTCTTATCATGTAATGATTCGACTAACCCCCGCGTTTGATTGTCGTAAAAGGAGGAAGTTTTTTACGCCTTGCACGATTGTCAGTTTGGGCTTAACCGCGGCTTCATCTTTCCCATCGTATTACACCATCGTATTATACTAAGATGAGAATATATCTCAACTAGCACATAGAATACAGGCTTTATCAATATTTCGATCGCTACGTGTGGTTTCAGCATGTTTTTCGGCAGATAAACGGTAGGTAAAAGAGATTCGGTTTAATTGCATCATTTGCATGGCAAACTTGAGAAGGAGTATGCTTTAAGCTTGGTCTAGACAAGAGAAATAGCTTTGCATTATAAACGCTCACTTAAACTTGGCATGTTTGCTGTGATATATTGACGCGATATTGCTCACCGATATTAGATGAACAAGCAGTAGCTAACTAGTAGTGTCTGATCTATATAACTTTATATGCCCATGGCATCATAATAGTACAATAACTGTAGTGTATAATTGGGCTTTTATATTTAAAAAATCTATTTATAAAATTTTGTGGTTGCGATCAACGATCGCATCCTGAGATAATCTGATGATATAACATGCAATAACGACGCATGCAATTCTAATAATTGCAATAACGTTTATGTATAAATACAGGAAGAGATTTTCAACATGTTCTTCCGGACCTTAAAATAGCTAGCTTTTTAATCACGAGAATGTCTGTTTGTCTTAAGGTGACGACCTGAAGCAGCAATGGAGGAAGAAGATTCCGAATACGTGGACTTGCGTTGCGGCTGGCGCTCTTGGAAGCCAAAATTCATGCAACAATTTAACAGTCCAAAATGGTTTCTTTTCTTCTTTACCGTTTTCTCCTGTGTACAAGGTAGGTGTTGAGATGAGCGTTTTTGTAGCCTGGGCCGTTTCAATTGAAAAGGAACTTGTTCATCTGCTGAGTTCAATCATTCTCAAATCAGCCGTTTACCTGGCATTATGTTCAATCCAGTTGCATGTTTAGATCAGGATATATTTCTCTTCTCTCTCTCCCGCAGGCATGATCATCAGCGGTTTCACGGCAGCGGGCCTCACGTCGATGGAACGGCGTTTTCAACTGAGCAGTAAACAAGCGGGTATGATCGTTGCGGCGCACGACGTATCTTCGCTGGTCTTCGTCGTGTTCGTTAGCTATTACGGCGAGACACGACACAAAGCGAAGTGGATCGGTATCGGAGCACTGGTGACGAGCATCGGTTGTCTCCTCTTTGCTTTGCCGCACGTCTTGGCGGGAAAATATTCGCCAAACGAGAGAGTTGGATCCTCCCTGGAAGACGCTTTGTGTTCACCAACATCGCGAAACCAAACGACAACGTGTGAAAATCTCTCCGCGTCGGAATGGAAATATATGTTCGTCTTCATTGGCGCCAAGTTAGTTCTAGGAGTAGGCATGACCCCGGCTTTTACCCTCGGACCAGCATACATCGACGAGAACGTGTCCCCGGAGGTTGCACCCATGTATATTGGGGTGTGGTTCATCGCGACTTTCTTTGGACCTGGTGTTGGATACCTAGCTGGAGGAACGTTGATGAATATCTATGTTGATCTCATTCAGGTACAGGTGGTTTCCTCAAGCAATCAGCTCAACACACACTCTTTTACATCGATTTACTCATCAAGAAGTTCAGTGGAATCCTCTAACCAAAACTTCTCGTCTACACTGAGCTCTAGAGACCCTCCTTTCCTCTCCTACAAGCACCTTCCATAACTCGCTTGAGTAATCACACCGACTGCTGGCTTTATCCCCCAGACTATTGAACTGTCGTATGCCTCGCACATCTGATAAACAAACTTGCCTCAGTTTTATAAAGTTATATTTTGATTACAGCCTCCAGATATGGATCTCACACCTTCAGACCCGCGCTGGGTGGGTGCATGGTGGTTGGGATATGTATGCGGTGGCACCATACTGCTTCTCACATCTCTACTTATCCTTGCATATCCTCGTGAAATGCCTGGCACGAAGCAGATCCGAGCGAAAGCTGTACGCGACGGTACGTTCTCACGCAGTCTTGAAAAACGTTCTCACGTAGTCTTGAAAACGTGTTTACACAAAACAAAATTATACATCCATTATCATGTGTCCCGATTACACGCATGCACATGCAGTAAGTTCAAGGTCTCAAATTCAACGTGAGATTTTGAAGTATTGAAATAAAAGTTAAAATTTACCTGTTTCTCCAGGAAAAGTAAAGGAGAAGAACCAGAATCTTCATGGTCGTATGTCAGAGATCATTCCAGCGACGAAATATTTGATATGCAACGCGGTGTACATGTGCAATACCCTAGCGCTGACAGGTACAGGGCTCGTGGTCCAGGGCTTGGCACCGTTCATATCCAAGTTCCTGCAGTCGCAGTTTGGCGCGAACACGGCAGATGCGGGCATCTTCGCCGGTGTGGTCATAATCCCCGGTACTGCGGGCGGTATCATCCTGGGTAGTTACTTGATCAAACGGCTCGACCAGAGGATCGTGTGTAAACACGCTGCGAAGTATTGCGTCATATTCTCGTTCGTCGGGATATTCGGAACGTTGACGTTCTTGATCCCCGGATGTCAAACGACCGTCATTGCTGGCGTGAACACACCATACCCAGATTCGTAAGTCGCACAGCTTAAATACATCTTCTTGAATACCTGTGCATTGTAAAAATTCTGTGGATTTCTTGACTCTGTTTTCTGTGAATCACTTGACTTTCTAAAGTCCGCCAAAACTCACTTCCCCTGATGTATCTTTTTATCAAGCATGATCCTGATTTGTTCCTCTTTTTCTACAGTTCAAGTCTCCAGAATATGTCGTCATGTTACAGTCCATGTCACTGTGAGAAAAAGCAGTACATTCCAACCTGCGGTAGAAACAATATCACATATTATGATCCCTGTCACGCTGGCTGCTCGCTTTTGTTCCCAAACAAGGTACTGCTAACGAGCTAGACTACACTCGTAATTCTTCAGACGTTATGATGCTGTTTGAGACGCTCAGTGCATGTTCTTATATTGCGATGCTTTGCTGTTGTTGTTTTAGACGTATTCAAACTGTCGTTGTGTTGCACAAGCTATGAATGCCTCAGTGTTCGAGAGCACGGCCAAGCCAGGGATTTGTGATAAGAAATGTAAAAACCTGGTACCGTTTCTTTTCGGAGCATTTGTATTGTTGTTTACCAATTTTATTGTTGCCACACCGAACAAGACTGTTGTGTTACGGTAAGTATGGTGGTTGCCTTGGTAGTGATGATGGTTGTAATGGTGCTGGTGATATGTTGATGGTACTGATAATATGGTGGTCTGTTGGTGATAGTGTTGGTGATAGATGTTGGTGCACATGGTATATTGGGTGGTTTGTTACTGATGATGGTGCTGATGATAATGGTGGTGTTGTTGATCTGTTGATGGTGCTGATGATATGGTAATTTTTCTGTAATGGTGGTGCTGTTTTAGTGATCTGTTGGTGATTATTTTCCCAGCATTTACACTCATTCATACTTCATACCATTCGTAGATCAGTGCCGTACAATTTGCGATCATATGCTCTGGGATTCCAATGGTTGATCATGTCATCGCTGGGTTCGATGCCAGGACCAGTGTTGTTCGGTGCGTTCATAGACAAAACCTGTAACCTTTGGGAAAAACGATGCGACGAGACAGGAGCATGTCTGGAGTACAATAATTCTCAGCTTAGTTACCTCATTCTCGCTGCTGGTTTGTTATTTCAAGGTAAGAACATCTTGCCACTATATTTTATACAATTATACTCTTCCTTAAAGTATTTCCTCGTCATTTAGTCCTAGCAACAATTCTGTACTTCCTCTCGTGGTATTTCTGTAAGTCGAACAAGCCACTAGAATGTGGAGAAAAGAGCGTGGTGACCGCGGACGAAGGTGTAGCAGACTGGGAGCTACAGCGAATCCAAGAGGCTCGTAATACGGGTTCTCCGCTTATCCAGGTCCGAGGCCTGGCCACCAATGACGATAAAGACATTCGTGCCAGTCAGTTGTCGTTGGTTTCACTCACAGCGCAAGGTATGGGCAATGTTGCTCGATATCCGTCAATGACCCTAGATGACAAGTTGTGATTCTTCACCGACGCTCGACGATCACCCCAGTTGTACATGCGTACCTTGCGGTTAGCTTGGCCTTTCAGCCAGACATGATGGCGTTTTCCACGACGAGATTTCGAATCTGATAATATCCTCTGTATCACTTCATGGTATTTAGAACTTTTAGAAATTCACATACAAATTCAAGCATTAATTGCTGACTTCTTCATTACATCTTACTACGATAAGACAACAGCTTATTTATACTTCGCTCGCAAAGCTATCGTAGATACCAATTGATTGCATGCGCCACACGTGATGACCCCGTGACTACGGGATATTTGTATACAAGATAAAATACTGTCAAAACAGTAATATCTCAGTGTAGCCTTAAGCGTATATTGCGGGTTTTTCTAATTCTATTTTTCTTCTTATTTTACTTAATTTATATGCATTTTTTACGCTTATTTATTCACCGCGTATTTTTGACAAGTCATCATCTAATGGTATATCCAAATTATCCACGGTAATCATTGGAAAAACAATCGAAACTTAAACTTTTTTTCAAAATCATTTCATATTCTTGTTATTGACATTACAGTATCCTATTGTATAGCTTAGTAGATTCAAATTAGAAATAACTGTATCAAATTTTATTGAAAACAAGACCTCTCAATACCAGAATATATCCTGGTTTAAGGATACTAACGGACTAAAGAGATACGTTAGTTTCTGTGTTTTCTTCAAAAAACTTGATACAGTTAATCTGTGATAAAATGTAGCATAAAAATAACAATATTATACAATGTAATATGACAATTACCTTATCGTAGAATACGTATTTTTACAGAACATTCCTACCGCGCTCGGAACAAATAAATATGTATCAAATTATATTCAATTTGTGATGAATTCAATTATATTTAAGTTCTGAAGTTCATGAGATCTCATCCCATTCTCCTGGATCTACCAGGGTTAATTTAAATAGTGCAATTATTACCTAAAAACATGCTCAACAATATGTATTACAACGGCTAGACTTTCATATACAAAATCTTAAACTTTTATCTCTATTTATCCCTAACCCGTGTGTTTACCCATGTGTTTTTAAGGACCGACCGTATATAAAAATTCAGCCAATATAAACGACTGCACACGCAACAGTATTCCTTACAAACCTGCCTGCAGGTTTAAATTCCACCCTAATGAAAGTCACAGCGCTGCTTTGCTCCAGAATTTTGCCATGACGTCATGTTTAGGTCTTGAAACAGGAAGCCATTTATAAGTCAGGTCCTGATCATTATCCAACTCCCAGCCATATTCAGCTAATAATCTCTTCATTATTATCTGCACATGATTAAAATTATTTTATTGAACTGAAAAAGTCCGTAAAATTGGATCAAGTGGTCTGGCTCCCAGTTACCCAGAATATGACATCCTGTGACAGTCAATTGCCTGACAAATAGTCCACAGTCCGCCATTATTCTGACTGGGAAATTGCAAAAATTACATCGATTCACTGACATGGTAATACATGTGATACTCACGTGTAAAATGCGCCCGATACAATGCTCTCCAATACAATTTCGCGGTCCGAATCCAAACGTGAAGACACGCGACCTTTTCTGCTGAGCGTCACTATGGAACAGACAAGTTATTATTTATCAAATCGGATTGCGCATTTACAAAATTATTACTGTTTTGAGTCTACTTACATTTCTTCCCATCGTTCGGGAAGAAATTTTTCTGGATTTTTAAACACACTTGGATCAATATTTGCACTTCGCGTTAGGTAAGCCACTGAGTATCCTTTGGGAATATGAAATCCATCTAAGACCACGCTCTAAATCAAAAGCAATAAAAATAAGATAAACGCTATCACTGTTGGAGATAAATACTTCTTGTAGTAATCTCTGCAACAAATTCTAATCACCTTTTTGGCAATTCTTCTTCCGCCAAGGAACGGCGGCCAAAGTCGCTTTACTTCAAGCAATACTTTGTCTAAATATTCGTCATCTGTGGTTGCCCGCAAACGGCGAGCAGCCTGGCAAAATAGAGTGGAAAAATTACATAAAAAAATAGATTTTTATAATGAATATCAAGCATTCGTTTAACACCTTTATACAAGCGAATTTTCAGGAATTGCAACGATTCTCGGCCAAAATGCAACATAATTTAATATGGAACTCATTTTTGTTAAACGATCCATTATAAACCCGCATCAACTTCTGCCTGACATATCATATTCCATCCTTTTTGTGTCCGCCCGCAATAGCTGACCGTGTAGCACGCGGAGGAATGGTTACAAAAATGGAACTATTTTGTTTGAAAATGGCTTAACTTTTCCGTTTTAAAAATTTAAATTGAACAATATCAGTGCGTAATAGTAACGCGATGAAAGAAAGTAAAGTTTAACATATTTTTAAAAAATTTTTAAAATAAATACGGCAGAATGAAAAGAGTTGCATTGGCCGGGAATCGAACCCGGGCCTCCCGCGTGGCAGGCGAGAATTCTACCACTGAACCACCAATGCCTTGGTGATAAAAAGCACCAAATAACAAGATATAAAGAGATCCCTTTAAACAAATCTGCACCAAAAATTTGGATACTCACGTTATGTGGCTTGGCAAGCTCCAGACAACACGAGGTCAGCAGAGAAGACAACGCTTTAGGTACCAATGCGGACACAAACAACAACATATGTCTACTAAGTTCCTCAATGTCACGAAAACCAACATCATTCATTGTACTCAATAAACTAGAAGGAAAATATGGCTTCATATCACAATGTGTTCCAAATTCTACATTTTCTGAGAATAAATTTCTGAGAATCTCATCCAATCACAAGTTACAACTCACCAATCTTTACTTTGTGGTAAGCGTTGCTTTATGACTTCAAGCAAATGTTTCTATAGAGAAAAGCATATTTTATGCATGAAAAATTAAACCAACAGTGCCAATGTGATTATTTTAATACCTGAGCTTCCATAGCTAGTCCATAGCTTGAGGCGAAGTTGCCAATTTTCAAACTTATTGGAACGGATATTAGACCTACAAAAGAGCGTGTTTGCTTAATGAGAAGTGTCTGGAATAAAGAGAGGTGCTTGAACTAAAGAGAGTGCTGCTTTAATGAAAGAGAAGTGCCCACTTTGAGTGAGGTGTCAGAATTAGAGAGGTATCAGAATTTAATAGAGAGAGATGTCAGAATTAGAGAGAGGTGCCTTAATTAGAGAGGTGTTTGAATTAGAGAGAGGTTCCTTAATTAGAGAAAGATTCCAGATTTAGAGAGAGGTGTCTGAATTCGAGAGAGGTACCTAAATTAGAAAGAGGTGTAATCCTATAGCATTAAAGTTTTTAGGTACTACAATTTCCATGTAATTGAGTGTAAATTACCATGCCAATGCGTAACGGTTAATGCAGCAATCTTTTGTGTTTCCTCCATAGACGTTTTACAATCCAAGCCAAGAAACATACTCAGGCACATCTGAGTGGTGAGCTGTTTGAAGTGATCATACACAGCAATGGACGTAGCTTGTTGGAAACCCGGAAAGTGATTGTTACATGATCTATTAACAACATCTGTGATAGTTTCTACAGTTTGAGGAATGAACAAGGAATGGATAAGGCCACGAAGTCTGCTAACACTGTCGTCTTCATTGAAGAAGAGAACAAGATCACCAAATAAAGAATGCATATAACCAAGGTCTTTGTAACCCATTTCAAAACACTGGTAGTTGTCTACAAGAGAATCCACAACTGTATTCAGACTTATTGTGTTAGCTTGACTAGGGATTAGCATGTGTGGTTGTCTAAAGTAAAAAAACACTTCCCTCTGGGCATGACAATATTGGACTTCAATATATAATATTGAACTGGCAGTAGTCTTCTATAGATCAAAACACTTATGTACATTAGCACTGAACCAAACATTACCTTCCAATAATTCTTTGACTGCATTACTAGATGTCAGGAATATAGTTGGTTTATTGAGAACCCTCACTTTAAAAACAGGTGAACAATGTTCTTTTGTTTTGTTTCTTATAAAATCTATAGGACTGTAAGCAAACTCAAATGTCTTGTCACTTAATCCAATCCATCCCACAGAACCTGGCACCTCACATGCAGTTTGCATTCTTCAGGCCTTAATATGAAAAGAAAAAACACATATATTAGAAAATGTTTTGCAATGAAGAAAACCCAGATATTGTGGCGACTCTGACTATTTTTATAACCCTTGTGATGCGCTTATAGTGCATGTAGACTCACAAATAAAGATGGTGAAGTGCCTTGGTGTTCGTTTAAGTTGTATAAAAATTTTAGCCTGATTTTTGTGTTGTCATGTTGTTATCACATGCCTTATAAAAATTATATAATCTATTTCCCTTCGACACAGGAAGTAGGATTCGATGTCTTTTTCTTAATTTGTCTAAAACACACAATATTCTGCAGTCTTTTTAAGTAAAGTCTATAAGGAAATATATTGGAATAAATATTTACGATGTTGAAAATGATTTTATTCCCCTTGAATAATACGACTTCCGTGTTAAAGATCAGGCCAAATAAACGTAAAGTAAATGATCAAAATTACGAGACGAAATCATATTTAATACTTTGAAGTGTGAACGTTTGTCTTGAACAAAAACCGTTCATGTTTTGACATACAAACTAAACGATGAAATATAATCTAATGAGATAACATGTCTTTCGATCAGAAAATTGCTTGTCGTTTCATATTATTATTAACTACAGCTGTGTGACTGTCTTCTACTGGATACCAATATTAATCGCTAATATGAAGAAATATTTTGTAAATATTTTTGTGAAAATTAAGGATTATTATGAAGATTTTTTGAATAACTGCATAAAAATTTATTTCATTTACAAGGCAATACTGCACGCGATGTCGCGATCTGTCAAAAATAAGACTTTAAAATAACCAAGAACTGTACCTTGTCAAATTAAATACGACTAGTGTGTCCTTCGGTTTCAGATTTCAGCCATCAACAGGGAAGTGAATGAAACTTTAAATTAAAACACTAAAACTGTAGTATATCCTCCAGCACTTCAATATCGTATTGTACAAGTGGCTTTATAGACTCATTGATTCGGATGCTATTTTGTGGCAATAAATTATGGAAATCATAAGAAATGCGCATAAATCTATTTTCCGGAAATCGTTACTTTGAAGGTCATTCATTGGCAGAAATTTGTTCCCGTTAAAACATTTGTTACAGTGTGGGGAATTCGGAGAAGCCGGAACAGGGAGGGGTAGCGGGGGTAGTTAGTTAGTAACCCACCTTGGTCTTTAGAAGATTACCTTGAAAAATGATGAGTTGATGACAGGAGTTATTGACTTGGTTGTCGTCCTCTTTTAAAGAGAAAAATGTATTTTATCTGGCCTCTAGGCTAAGATTGGGTGAGGTAGATTTGATACAATTTGATACAATAGATGAGAAGTGGTCTAGGTTGTGTTCTTATAAAGTTTCCTTAAAATTGCCAACGCACACGGTCCTCAAATTCCTCTGACAGACCTAAACCCCGACATCTGATCACATATGCATGAAAAAAATGAAGATGATTACAAAGTTACGATTCCTTCTTGCCTTCCTTTTTTGCGTTCGACGTTCCTCGAAAACGTGGCGACGTATATTTCTCTGAATCCCGGTATATGTTCCTAGAATGACATTTAAGTTCAGTAAATGGAAATAATGCAGCCAGCACTCAGAATGTCTTCTCGAATCGTGAAGTGGGTGAAGAGGAAATGCAAAACACAATGACAACGTTTTTTATCAAAACAAGTCAAGGAGGCTTGAGACTGAAATAAAATTAAAAATGACAACATTTAAGCAATAATAATTCCTCAGTATTGCGCAGCCTAGCACTTTCAAACCCCCCATATTTTATAACTGAAACGAGGAGTTTTTCGTTACTGTAAATCCCCTTAAACCTCAGTCAATGGTCCTGAAATTTCTCATGCAATGTCACCACATATGAGTTTCGGAAACTACATCAATATTATTAAAGGTGCTGTTTTGCTTTGAATAATTAATAGATTTTTGCGCGAGGACCTGCTGTTCAGCATATGTTATGGAAACGCAACCGGTGCTCTGAATTATTTTGAAATACACAAACTGATGTTATCTCTAACTTGATAACAGCTATGTATTCTGAATGTTTCTCTACACAATCATTCATATTTTTTGACAACGAAATACGAAGCTTTATCCTTCTATAGACAGGTGTATAGAGTCTATAGACACTTAAGTGTATTCCGTGTATTTGTAAAAGCTGAGAAACTTCGCAAATATAACGGAAAGTTCAGCCCCGATGAAATCGAACAAAGTTGATCCGTTTACTGTCGGCTTTCGTGAAGACGTACCGTTAACAGAATGTGGATTCATCAACGAAGGAATTTCAGTCCCGGAAGAGAAGATCTCCATTGCTGGACAGCGTTTCAAAAACAAGGCACGAAAAATCGCGTCTGTTAAGGCCATCACTCACGCGAAGATATCTTCAACTCACTGGCGGGAGAAAGCAACGAGACTCGTGATGCGGCGTTCAAGAAGTAAACGTTCGAGACAGCAGAAACCATTCAACGTTATTGATACGATGAGTGGAAGGAAACACACGCAAGCAACTCTTAGCGATATTGAAGACGACGAGGAGCCTTATCAGGATACCTATAAAGATGGAACACAAAGACCACAAACATCCTCATCCAAAGCTCCGAATGTTGATACCCACAGCAAAGCTCTTCTCCACTACTTTGCAAAGGTAATCCCTCGCAACTGATAAGACGCTGCATCAAGGACATTGCTTTGACCAATTCTCGTCCCTTGCATGTAACACAATTTTCCTATATGTTGGGTATTTGGAGGTTGGATGTACTACTTCCTCAGCTCATCCTCTCACTTTTAAAACATGTTTGAGACTAGTCTGAAGTATTACAGTTGTGAGATCCAAAGAATCAGTTAGCGACGTTTCAAGTCAGCAATGTACTTCTGTTTCTCAGAGATTCAAAAAGTAGCCAACTCTCACTGATTTAAAAGTTTTCCTCACATAAAACTACAATAAATTCGGACAGACATTATAATGTATACCGATTAGACCTATGTGCAAAGCAGGTTTATTACTAGCAATAAGTAAATTGGTGTCAACTTTACACAGGTGATAATATTTATTCCCTTAGGTAAATATTTAGAAACTTAAACTAAATTTAATGATATAAGTTGAAACACAAATGAATGGTTTTTAACCCATTTGCGCATGATTGTCCTCAAATTGAACTTAGTAAAAAATATTCACCGGATCAGACGTAGAGTTTTACAATCTTAAATTTCCCTTAAAGGTTGCAGCGTCAGGAAACGAAGACGAAGTGATTGATCTTGAGTTCGTTCACTCTTTAATCACCAACGGTGCGTCGGTACAAACCACAGATCGTCACGGCCAGAGCGTTTTACACGAAGCTGCTAGAGATTGGGACCTAGGAATCGCCGAGTTCCTTGTAGACAATGGTAGGGTGCATAGTTTTAGCTAAGTCAGTACAGAGCACCTTTCTTTCCCACTCTTATATTGCATCAATTTCATGCCCTTTACGGCTGTCTGTTTTTCCCAAAGCCGGATTCCACTTTACTCTATCTACTGAACTGCTTCCCGCCTTATCGGAATACGCGAATGCAATATATCAAACATACTATTGTTTGTTTCTTCTTGAAATAAGGCATTGATATAAACGTAGCAGATAAATACGGAAGAACACCTCTGCATGTTGCCGCTGCAGTCGATTACCCAGAAATGGTTCAATTTCTGCTCCTACGCGACGCGTCTATCGGATCAAGAACGTATGGGGAAGAACAAACGCCTCTACATTATGCAGCGAAAAACGATGCCACAAACTCGCTCAAAATGCTGTTGAAATATGGCGCTGATATCGATGCAAGAGACTATAAGAATAGAACTCCTTTACAAGTAAGTCTACTAAGACTACGAACCCCTGCATGTGTCTATTTATTTACAGCGAGTAGCTCCTTATAAAAAGTTAAAAACGCTACCGTTAATCCTGTGCAGTCCGGTCTTTTACAGAAGAAAACTGAAGATCAAACATAAGTTAGTTAATGGAGTGCAAAACTAAATTTTAAAATGATTTAAATATTACTATTCTGGAGGCTGCCTCCATCAGTTCAGTGAATGACGCTGGATATAGCACTCTGTTTTAAACGGTGTTATCAATGTTCTATTTGTAGATCGCTGCGGAGCTGGATCGATCAGAGACTGCCAGATTGTTGGTAGAAGAGGGATCACATGCTGGTGTTAGGGATGTGAATGGATTATCAGCGCTTGTTCTGATGATAACAAAAATGCCATCAGTGGTAAGAAATCAATTCATTAGTCATCTTCCAGGAGATTTGCGTGTGTGTGCCTGTCAGGATTGCGACAAGGTTTCCAGTTCTCCTTGTAACTTCCCTCTTCCATTCCAGGCTCAAGAAGCTCTTAATCAGTTCCATTCCCTTGATCGCGCAAACAGAAAGGAATACTACTTCTTGAATTTCCTGGAACCCTTAGTTCCAAGATGTCTTTCTGAGGGAGACGCGAAGACCCCGCTGGAGGTTGTAGTTGAACATAAACAGTTTGATCTCATAATGCATCCCGTGTTTCAAAGACTTATCAAAGTGAAATGGGAGTACTTTGGACGGAGCGGAACCTGGATCCAGATGATCATGAATGTTGGCTTTGTTCTTGTTTGGACTGTACTCGCCATCACGTTGCCAGGCAACACCGCTCAACATTATCTTCCAATATCCAGGAACTGGTGGAGACTCGGGCTTGAAGGTGTCGCCGTGGTATTAACTCTTGTGGAGATCTACGTTGAACTGAAAGAGTTCTCGAAGTCAAAGAAAGAACACCAAAAATGGCTGAATTGGCGTGAGCAACAGCTGGTTAGTGATCTGGACTACTGTCATCCACGATGGCCTGGTGAGAAGAAATATATCGATCAAGAAAAATCATCGCTACACTCTCAAAATGTTTCCTATTTTCACGATAATTGGAACTACTTTGACTGGGTCACCTATGCAATGATCGGCGCCAGTATCTTTACGCACATCGTGAAACTTTCGGAAGGTAGCGAGACCACGGCGAAGATTCACCGACGGGTCCTAGCGGCAACGATAATCTTCATTTGGCTTCGTTTGATGAAGACCGCCCGAGCGTTCACGACCCTGGGGCCATTCGTGGTCATGTTGAGTCACTTCGTTGGAGATACTTTGAAATTTGCGTTTTTATATCTTTTGTTTTACATTCCGTTCAGCGTGGCGTTCTGGATGATCTTCGGAGCGGAGCAAAGTACAGCGGTTGATGGTTATGGAACGGTCGAGGAGCTGCTTTTCAGCATGCTACGGTTGACTGTCGTTGATGATTACAATTTCGAAGGCCTGAGCGAAGCAGATCCACTAATGGCCAGATTATTGTGCGGTTTATATCTCACTCTCTCTGCAATCATCTGCTTGAATCTCTTTATTGCTCTCATGTCGGATACTTTTCAACGCGTCTACGACAACGCTAAGGCCAACGCTGTGATGGAACAAGCTGCGATGATTTTGAATTTGGAGTCAAAACTCTCTGTCACAAAACGAAAAGCTTGCTCGGACTTCATTCAACAAAGCTGTAATCCGGAGGAACTTTACTACGATGACGACGCCGTCAATGACATCGAAGGTGAACTGAAGAAAGTCACATTTCAAGTCAAGGAACAATTAAACGACGTCCACGAGATACTAAACGAGCTGCACAGCGGACAATCGTCGAGATCCAGGGTCGAGTCCGATCTGAACTTCCTCCGAAGGACAGTCAGCGACCTTCAACGTGAGCAAATCAACACGGTAGGTAGAGTCGAGCAAGACGTTGCCGAAATCAAGTCATTCCTCAGGCAATTGATGACCGCCGGGCAAGCTACGAAATCACGTCGGAAACGGTCGGCAAGTATCGGTAGCACTGACGCAACCATGCCGGTAATCGACGAGAACGAAACGAGTGAAACCGTGCAATCTCGAGAATAAGACTATATGTAACTTAACAGAGACGTTACTTTTTATTTTGTCATTCCGATAATGACGAGAATCCCACAAGTCATGAACGGTCATTTCATAAAAAGGTTTCGTGTGTCTCTTTGTGAGAATCTTTGGTAACACAGAAACCATACCACGGCTTCTTTCACTAATTACGCGCCGTCACTTTGACGTAGCTGTCCCACAATTTTGACATTTTTTATATTTGTTTGTTCTTAAACACAAATTTTGCATTTAAATAAACAATTGCATAATTCGTAAGGTAAACACGCCACAGTACTTGCATGCAACGAGGATTATGTTACGTTTAAAACCAGAGTCTTTTGTTTCGTGCAGTTTCATGAATCAAAAAGCAAAAACAGTTGAGGAACGCACGGGCAATTCTGATACACGATACATCTATATGAATACACAAAAAAATATGACGCAACTCTGAGTTTTGCCCCCAATACTTCCGATCTCTAACCTTTGGACAAACAGGAACTTATAGAGATAAGTCATGCATGTCTGAACATGTATGTGGTCAATAAAATATAATTTCAAATTCGTGGTTTTGATTTTCTTGGTAAATAGCTGGTTCGAAGCGCAGCATCGTATATAACAGGTACACTGGGCTTTTTATGCACAAATATTGGAAGACGCAGGACCATAACAAGGTAAACAATTTCATTGTATTTATATTGAATTGTGTAATTCAAGAATTAATCCGTGTCAGAAGGAATAGAGAATTGAAATAGTCAACCTTCACCTCGATGAAGCAAACTAATGCCAGGAAAGAGGTGAGATTATAGAGAAAAGGATAAGGGAAACACGAAGCAATAAAAGAACTTATATACCATTTAATTTTGATTAGGATCCAGTTCACAATAATCGGATACGTAATAGTTAATGAAGATGAAAATGTTTCCGATACAGACAAAACTTCGTCACATTTCATAACCTACTTCATGTCGATAGACCAAGGCTTCACCGTTGACTAATTCCTGTCGATGGTAAGTTGGAAATTAGTACGTAGACATTTATGGTTTAAATTTTCGTTAAGCACTCTCATTTCTCTATGCCGTTTATATTCTTTTCTATCCCAAAATGCTCGTAAATATTTGGTTAGAGGGCGTCCATCGATTAATAATGTAAAAACCTTGTCGCGTTATACGATTGTGTTTCTTAATAGGATTTTATTGTACACAATTGTAAGCCGACGTTTGTCAAAAAATATGGCAAGCATTGCTACGGCGGAAAGGCGTACGAGTGCCACTTTATCATTAAAAAACAGTGTACCACAATAGTTAAAGTCCCTTTCATATGTCGCATGTTAATGAGCCCCACCCATGCAGTCGATTCCAAAAAACTGGCATTGATTGACATTAATTAATTAAGTCGGTGCGTGATGCGATTAGACTCGCTTGCCCTGCTTGAAATAGACCCTCAAAGTTTACTGAACCGATGAGTTGAAGTGCATTATGATTGAAAACACGAATATAGCTACCCTGGCAACCTGACTAAAAATTTCAAGAAAATATAGCGCAAAACATAATAAAAAAGATTACCATCTTCAAACGAAAGATATTGAATGAAAACAAGACAAAAACGAATTTGTAATATATCATCTTTGACATGATATAACACGAACTCACCTTCGTCCTTTTTTTTTCAGTATCTCAGGTTTCAAGATGGTAATCTTTGGGTTGTGTTCTATAGCATGCTTTTCGAAACTTTCCTCCCGGGCGGTATTCGGCCACTTCAGTACAACCAACAGCATGATTTTACTGTTTTTAACGTGGTTTGCGAGCCTATCAACAATGAAATAGCAATGATGACGGTATGTAATACCGGCATAGCAATGTTAGCATTCATGCAAGAGAGGTTGGGGATAACCAGGTGTCAAGCCATTGTGGACTAAGCAATTTACGATAGATATTAACAGGTGTGTTTGTGAATTTTGTGGGTGAAACCCTCGTGAAACGTGATCATGAAACGTGATCACTAATCAATAACACTGAAATTTCTGTCGAAAAAGAAGCTGTTTGTTGTTTTGGGTGTTGCCCTCTCAACTACTCAAAAAATATCCCATGATAAAGCAAACATATAAGATAAATTCAGAGCAAAAATGCTTCAAGAGTCACATCATTCATGCAAGTATATGCAACGGAATTTTTGTGTGCCAAAAGCGTGTGGCGAAAGGGAAGATGAAAGCGAGTTTAATCTAGAATGGTAAGCGCTTTGTTCCTCAAGTGCAAGGCCTGTTTACTACCCTGGATCTCGACTGCGTTAAACGTAATTCAAACCTCACTCAACCCACTCAATCTTAGGTTGGTTTTCACGCGACCAAATAAAAAATTAATTCGACAAATTTAACTCTCTTGACGAAGGTCGAAACATCGAGAAATTATCAAAACATCGTGCGAGAAATTTCTTGTCCAATTTCTATTTTCAGGCATCTGTTATTATCACATTTGATTGTACAATGAGACTGTTATTTTTCATTCTTCATTTAAACTTTCTGACTTGATTTTATTTTAGGAGGACAGTGCTAATAACGAATCGATAATAAAAAGAGTTGTATAATATGCTAATCTGTTTGATGTTTTACAATATCAATATTGAAATGAAAAATGATTTGTAAAATCCTTTGTAGGTAAATGATGCCCTGAAATTGAAATACATTAATGATATTCATTCATCAACGTTTACTTAAGAGAGATTAGTTTGTCAAAATTTAGGCAGGTGGAAAAACGGATATCAATATATTAACATAGAGAGTTTTGTTAAGTTTAACGTTGTAACAACAATGATACTCAGTTTAATTTCACTGAAACACCAAAACTATATACGACTCTTTGACGCTGGGTATACGTAACTCTTCCTATGAAAAGAATTTGATGTTCCGGGACACTGAAAATATGACAATTGACAAACCGTATATATTGGTCTGTCAAACTATAGAAATAACTTAAATAAGCTAAATTTGTTTAAAATTTCGTTTTTGTATTTGTTTAAACAGTATCGTGTAATAAATACGCGATGGAAATAAACTTAGCCATCTTTTTAGGTATAATCCAAAAGGAATTTGTGAGGTATTTACATATACCAGCTGAATTTATTGTGGTAATATATCTATATGAGACTTGAAGTGATGCTGAGCTTTGGCAGTAAGCCAGCATGATGAATGATCGACTACAATATACATGACTAAAGAGAATGAAATATGATGTTAAGGAAACGTATGGAATGAACAATATATAGTGTGAGTGAGACACTGAGTCCAACTGCATAACGTAAGCCCGCACAGCGTTCATGGAACGAATGGTAATAATATGAGCCTGAATTGATAAAAATAAACGACGTATATTATTCATATATCTTTGTTAATTTTCCCAAATAAGTAACAATTTTCTCTTGTAGGAGTTTTTAATTAAAAGTAGCTTAGAATCGTCTAGTTATGAAACTATACAAATTGACCTTTTTGAAGAATAAATAAATAGGCTTTAAAATCGGTAGAGAAAATAAGACGCTGCACGTTAATTGACGCGGAAATACATTGCAGACTACAATGCACTAAATACTTGGCTTGCGTTTGCAATTAATTTTCTAAGATTCATTCTAATCCTGCCAAATATTTAGTTAACTTGCCGGATCCAAAGTCAGATGCGGCGTTTTAAGAGTTTTAATGGACTTTGTTGGGTCTTGTGACGCACGTGCGTGTGTGGGAGTGCTGAATGCATCATTTAAAGTACAATTTTTTTTTCAGAAAACACGAAACATCTGGTAACAATACAACGTCAAAGAAAAACTCTTTATAAACAGAGTAGTTCAGGAAGTCCTTGAGGAATCAAACGACTCCAAATCCCATCCGATATTCACTGAACTTTTTGGAAGGAGTAAACACATTTGTTTCTTTATTCCAATCACAAACTGAAATCGTCCGCCAGACGCCTGTCAGGAGAGGAAAACAACTGTTCCTGTTACCACGACGAAGCTCAGTGAACACACCAAGAACTTTACTTCGCTAATATTCAATGTTGACAGACGTCTGTGTATGAAAGCAGCCATTTCAGGTGGACACAAATCATATTTCTTCTAGATCTGTGATCCTGCAATTCACTATTGTCACCTAAAGCATCGTCCATCTTCCCGTATCTTTCGAGAACCAGGAAGGAAGTCTCACGATCAATCTTTTCCAAGAATCTTTCGGCTGTGTCAGAATTTAAAGTCTTTCAATTTCAAGTGAAATTATACAACAGCAGAAAGAGTTCTGCGTGAACATGACAGCCACGGGTTTAGACGCAAACAACACGATGCAAAATGATGACGCGGCATTTGGTGAATGCCTGAAGCTTCCGTACTATTGTGGACAAGTTGAACAATGGATGATCGCGATGAACATATTTTTCATCATAATAAACATCATTTCATGCCTCATAACTCTTGTTGCAAACGCTCTATTTCTCGTGATTTATTTTGGGACACGTTCCTTACAAAGTCCCCACTATTTTTTCATCATGTTACTGGCAGTCACCGACATTAGCGTCGGCCTCGTCTCCCAGCCACTGCTGATCGCTAGGAAATTCATGGAAATCTACAACGTTCACGACTGTGTTTTATGGACTGCAATGAGATCCACTGTATATTATTTCTCAGGCATATCGTTTCTAACGATAACCTTAGTCAGTGTAGAACGCTGGTTTGCTGTGTGCAAACCGATAAAGCATCGCAGAGACGTCACTTCGACGCGAATGGGCGTGGTCGCATCCGTGGTGTGGTCCGCGTGGTTTATATTTCCCGTCGTGCGTTTTGCTGTGCCGAAATTCTACCGAGCATTCGCGATGCTAATTGGCGGAATAATTATCATCGTTTTTATCATCAACGCCATGCTCTACGTGAAAATTCATCACAGCGTACGTGAAGGAAAACTAAAGTTCACAAGCGAGGCACACGAGAAAAGATCAAAAGACAATGTCAACTTTAGAAAAGAAGGGAGATTGGCGAAAACAGTTGCTTTACTTTTAGTCATAATGGTGTCAGCCTATTTACCAACAGCGATAGGGTTAACGTACAAAGCGCTTCGCGGAGTTAACACAATCTATCTGTTTGTATTTCTCCCCTTGGCTGATACATTAGTGCTCATGAATTCCTCTTTCAACCCTCTGTTTTATTGTTATAGAAACGCTAAAATACGCATGGAATTTCTGAAGCGTTTGAACATACAAACTGCCTCGAAAAGTTGTGACTCCTCTCTTAACAACAGGTCAACATCAAAAGTATGAGCGTTATGATTGCATATGCAATTTGCCGTGTCATTTAGAAAGAGGTATTGGGTGAACGCATTAGTTCACATACGTATAATCGATAGGATCAATAGACTTGTTCAATATTAGGACTCGCATGTCGCGATGCTGGTTTTCAAAAAAGCGAAAGGACGACTGTATTGCGAGTAGAACTAACGAAATGCTTCGTGCAATGAATGTAATATCTTTAAGACAGAATTTACTAGCACTAATAGATTATATAGACGATGCTGTAAAGAAGAAATTAACACATATTTACCCGACTCGCTGCCATGTTGTCGTCTTTGTCAAGCTTTCCATTTTGAATTTGCCGCTTCAAAGACACGCCTGTGACCTGCATTTTGCCATAAATTGATATCAAAAGCTTTCGGTTTGCAATGATTTGTCTGAGAAGCAGTTCATGTTATGAAAAAGCATTTCTTTCGAGCCATAAAAGTTAAGAAGATGCCCGCAAGCTCCCGTCCGTGATCGGCTGTAAACTCATACTGAAAACTGCATGGCAGGGCAGAGCAAGTCCATTGTCTGCCAGAAATAATTAAATTTTACGTTGAAGAACAATGGTTTTTCTTATTTGGAAGTCAACCGTGCATATTGCCTGGAAAAAATAATCCTTTAGAGACAATCCCATTCTTATTAAACGCTTGGTTTCATGTGCCTTGCAATTAAAATACAATCGTGTTCACGCACTCTTGTGTTTAGCCATTGAAAGACCCATGCAGCCATTGAAAGACATCATTTACGAATAACATGAAGCTTCCTTACAGAGCGTATAGTTTATACAATAAACTTTTACAAAATTTATTTACACTATAAATAGTTTTCAGGAACATTTTGCGTGGATGCACGCAACAGATTAGTACAGTATATCTAACCGATAGTTTGACATCATCTGAAGGGACAAAAATTATCACTGAGTTAGTGACTGTGAAGACTCAAAGACTAAGAGCTGATATCGCTGGTCCTTACTAGTTCAAGCATGCCGCTGGTATCCATGAGTTTAATAAGCATTGAACGATCCTTTATAAACTTTCAAACCATCTCCCAATGAATCATCAGGTCTGACAGCTTCATCCAAAAGCCCCGCGGCGTCTGAACCACCATTTACCATCAGATGCACCACAGTAATTGGCTGTCCATTGTCAATACCCAGAAATCCTCGTCTAAAGATCACAGAACATTAATCACCGTGTTAGCTTTGTACAACAGAAAGATATCGGCAGGGATGCAATTACAAATTTAACTGCAAACTAATGGAACTACAGCCTCAGTTCTGCAGTTCTTTTTTTGTTTATACCTGAAATAAACATTTGATATTTCTTTGTCCTGACCAACGACTTCCAACACCTAAAAATACTTGTTTATTTGTTTACCGACTCAAATGTAGTCGTGCAATGAAAAACGACAGAGAAACATCGTTCACAATAAAACTTGCAGCTTATTCCTTACCGCTTTTCTGACATTTCCCTCTAAAATTTTGAAGGCTGCCGCGTTTTCGTTTAGGAGATTTTCGTCCCATTTTGAATGTAACTTAAATGTTATCTCTCCTACAAACGAAACACTGGCTTCGTGAAATACAGAAATGGTTGTATGATAGTGATCCTTGCTTTATATTCTTGTTAAGTACTAAACTAGTATAGACAGAGAAATTGCATGCAGAGTTAAATGCAGTCCGAGATATATTATTTAATTGAAAAGGAAATGGTTATTTCTACCTGGATTCGGGTATTCAGGCATGGGCTCACGACGCTGGGCTTGTTCCATTGTGTAGCCATCTTGAAATCCACTTACTAGAAACAACAACAAGAATCCGTAATGTTAACGATATATTCAGCTAACGGCTCGGTAAGACGGCGTGATGCACACAACTTTTCTTTTATACAACGAAATCATCTTTACCTTGAGTGACCGCAAACAACACGAAAACCAAGCCCAATTGTGCAACCATTCTCTCTACAAAACAAACAAACTCTTTCCTTCACTGATTCGCAAATCCTCTGTATTACAGATTGCAATCACAGTTTACACTTAAAATACTATACAGACTACAGTGTATAAACACATTTTTTAAAGCTTTTGATCTTTGTAAATATCAACACCGCATACCACTGAGAATCACACCGTCGTTTAAATCAACAATATTTATATCAGCGCTCTTCTAAATCATCCGAAAACTTTTAAAGAGTATAAAATAGATAATAAAACGTACCTTGTTCTGTTAATGAACAAATAAAACGGTTCACTTAGTAAATAAACTAAAATTTTTGCTTCTGATCACCGCTAGTCTTCAAGGAGAAAATTCTGATTGCTGGACACCTGTTAAATGAAGCAGGTGGCATCTGTCTAACTTTGCACGACGTTCCTTAATCTTCTTACCAGACGAAGAAATCACATTCAAAGAGTTAGGGAAAAAATATTTCGTGCAGTCGGTAGAATAACCGAATGATAACGGGTTTTTGCTAGTTAATGGATACAAATAATTCAGTCGAAACATTTCATGTAATGTGCGAAGCAGTACATAGGCCCTTCCGCTAAGAATTTATCCTTTGGAATCTGGATTTATTCAATCATTTCTCATAACTATCGCTGATTACAGTTTAACATTCCTGACCCTGAAATAATCGTAGAAGTTAATCGAAGAATAATCGCAAAGTTCCGAACCGTAAACACCCGAACTTTGCGAAAGAACTTTGGTTACAAACAGACATATGGAGTATAGTGTTTGTTAATTAATCAGCTACATTTTGCTCTGTAAAGATGGCACAACCAATCATGCAAGCCAGTTTCTTGGCTTAATTTGAAGGATTTAAAACAGCGAAATTACTATGTAAGAATCGGTCCTTCAGTTTGATCAATCTATTTACAGTTTTTGCAGACCCTAGCCCGATCTTCAGGAACTGTTTCGAGCCATTACGTTTTCTACCCAGCCACGAAGTACCTGCATGTCAGCGTATACACCGTATTGGTTAACGCGGGCGCAACCTTTGCCCCAGGACACCACGCCGGCTAATTCATACGAGCCATCGGTATTCTTGCACACTAAGGGTCCTCCACTATCACCTTGACATGCGTCGACTCCGCCCTTAGCATGACCAGCGCAAAGCATATTGTCAGTAATTCGTAGGGAGGCCGAACTACCAACTGCCTGAGAAGAACAGACAGCAAGTTATTAGAATGAAACTTTCATCCAGTAAACACAAGAATATGCGCATAAATGCCACCTTGCACTGCACGAATATTTCTTACCTTTTTGCACTCGGCATGAGAGACTAGCGGAACTTTGGCCTGCTTTAGTCTCGGGCTTTTGTATCCACGTTCCGTTGTTCGGCCAAATCCAGTGACTGTGCAGTTCTTCCCAGCGGGCAGCTTTGGATTGAGATGAGGCAGGCATGCAGGTTGAATATAGTAGGTAAACTGGACGCTGCTGCTAAGACGCAGTAAGGCCACGTCATAATCATATCTTGAAGCAATCGCATAGTCGTTGTGGCTATAGATGGCCTGTATTTGTCGTTCGACTTCGTGCCCGCTCTTATGATAGATATTCGTCTCACCTAGCTTCACGAACATTTGCGAGGGATCTTTCCCAACGACGCAATGAGCAGCGGTGACCACCCACTCGTTGTTAATCAAAGTCCCCCCACAGAAAGGGAGCCTGGTGCAATTACTGCACGATGTAATGGCCGCATTCCAGGGCCATTCGCCCGGATGGGCAAATATCCCCCCAACAATACGACCACCGGTTGTGGATGAGTGGCCACAGCTTCTTGTACCAACTGAAATCGTTAAAAAAAAACCCCATTAAAATTAACAACTCCTTTAGTATCTCAAGGACAAAAACACTCGCTGCCTCGGCTAGAAGGTGTTAAAGTGATTTTAAGAATTTATTCTGCATATAATGATGTCAAAGCAAGTTGTGAATCAGCGACACGTGTTTCAACACACATCTTTTGGACAAGTTTTCATGGTTTCATTGACAATGTTTATTATTTGACAACAAAAATTGGTACCTGTGGACCGTGTGGTCGCAAGTGTAGTTGCCTGGGTCGTTGGTTTTGGGGTGGGTTGAGGGGTTGGTTTAGGGGTTCGTTTTGGAGTGGGTTTTGGAGTGGGTTTTGGGGCTGGTTTTGGAGTTGGTTTAGGTTTTGGTTTCGTGACTAGAGGAAAAAACAGCGGATGAGAATTCAATATTTGAAAACACAAATACCCGGAAATGCTTATTCTTATGATTGCGATTCGCTTTGCATTTTCCAATATCGCGTCAATCTTTCACAGACATCAAAGGGGAGAGCGAGATTACTTATATTATCTTGTTCCCATGAAGTCTGGTGATTTAGGGAATGCCGACATAAAGCTAATTGATACATTGATCCAGTCCTCAACTCTCATCCACTCATGTGCAAAGGAGATGTTCCCAGCCGTACCTGTTCTTGAGCGACAGACAACGCATGATTTCTGACAATTGATTAACATATAATTTGGATTTTTAACACATTCCCCTGTTTTACTCCACGATGCACATTGCTGGTTGTTATCCTTGCAAACACAATGTCCACACGAGAGTGCGCAGTTATCTCTCATCCATTTGGAATATCTTTTGTCCGTACAGTACTTTTGCTTCACCCAATTGTCACACTGAATTTTAGACCTTGTGTTCCTACAATCTAAAATAGCAGTAAACCCTCGCATATAAAAATCTAAATATTTCACTTTATATAGTTAAGTTGTTAGATAAATTACATACACGAGGCTGGAGGTGGCTTCGTAGTTACTGGCTTTACTAAAAAAGTAACAATATTATGTATAAGACTCAAAGGTTATATCGCAAAATTCTAAAAGCTTATTCACACTTGAACTGGTTGAACTAGTTAAGTGGGGCTTACAATCTCTTTGTAATCACTCCATGTCATCATTGGCACTTTTCTCGTATCTTAAAACTGAATGTTTCACCCTAAATCTTGCTCACTTGCGTTTAGTTTATATGTCTAGTGCAAGTCGTGTGATAAAGTTATCTTATATTGCACCAACCTTTGCACAATCCGCATGTCCTTCTGCAGTAATTTCCGTAATAATAGCAATAATTGTTGATTCTGTACGAGTAGCATGTGTTGTAATTATAATAATCCCGGCAGCTTGTTGCTCGTTTTACTTAAAACAGAAAAAGAAAAAGGTTAAAAGACTCCCAATAATGTCTTATAGTCTCTCATAAGCATTATTTGAATTTCATTTTGACGATTTTATTAAGAAAAATTGTGTAAGGGAAGCAAAATTAGCAAATGTAGGTTCATAGAGACCAAGCCAGCTATACATCGTGCTGCAATTTTTCATGCAACTTGTCTCGAAATGCATTCACTGACTTAAGTTTATTTGCTGCCCATATACAATTGCAAGTCAACATCCATCAGTAGTGAATTGGATCCAACAAAGTTGGATCGTGTGAACAGATCTCCGCATGCACGATGCAACGTGATGACTCGTTCAACGGCTTGCAATGGCTTTACATGCATCGTGTTACAGCAGGCCCTTTAGAATCTATACTGACAAAACTATACAATGTTTTCCTCATTCCGCAGTCGGTGAATCCTGAATATAAACCAGGATGGTTAAATCATATTGATCATTAAATAAAAGTACCAAGTCTAGGGCTACCTCTTCGGCATTGCCGCATAAACAATTCATGAATGGATTGAATGCTATTTTATGATTGAATTATTTATATGATCTATAAGAGGTAACCTCTTATAGATCATATTTAGAGGTATCTTCTATAAGCTATGGTATAAAAAAACATATTCGTTTACGATACAAGTGCGTCATATATGCATTGGACGACGTCACATTTGCCGTCTTCTTGTATCCGGTGATATGAATGTATAGACAATATAGTTGAACGTAAAGCGTCGGACAATAGCGTCGGATAAGGCCTTCATAAGAACCTTGAAAAGCATTTTGACATTACCAGAATTCTATCATAATTCACCGATCAATTTCGCCGCTTTTTAGGAGAATGTCTGATACCTGTGATCTGGTATAAACAAACGCATCAACGGCAATTGCTGGTCCTCAACTTGCTCTTAGTGTACGTGAGCAAGCATTACTAGCTTTTCTACTCTTGACTTCATATGAAGGAGAGAAACAGATATTTCTGGTATATCGACCTACCGCGAAATCCATCAATTTGAATGTAATTAGATCCTACTTGAGAACCAGAGACCAAGTTCAGCTCCCCCAGAAACAGGCTGAACATCAGAACCAGGACAGCAGCCTGTGGTTTCGCCATAGTTGAAGTAGGACTGTCTGAATACTGATCACAAATGAATTAATGAAAGGCGTCTTTTGTTTTGTGTGCGCTCTGATGCGTCTAGTTCCCTCCCAGATCGAGTGGCTGTATTTTAAATCTGATTTCCTTTCGACACTCAATTGTCAAGCGACGAAAAATTAATATGATAATTCAAGTATGTGTTAAATAAATAAACACACATACGAATAAAATACGTGAACCTTCAGAAACAAAAGAGACCGAGTGATTCTATCTGAAATTGATAAACTTGAACGATGTGTTTATTATAAATGAGAGCAGCGAACTGCTTCTTTTGAATGAAAATGTTCCCTTCGGAAACGTTGCAACATCGACCAACAAGGTGTAGCATGCGCCCACACCAGGCTCAAGTTGAAATACAGGAAGTATATTTGCATAATTAATGTCGTTAAGAAGGACACAGTTCAAATGTTCAATGAATGTCGCTACGTGAGAACTTAGAGAATTAGTTTTGGCAGATGAGATGCGTGAAATATTCCAATCTCGAAACTAAGAAACTGTGCTTCCTAAAAACCAGGTAAAACACCTCCACCAAATCTTTACAGTCTAAATTATTCACATTTGGTTTAATTAATAAACAGCAAGAGAATAATACATTATTAACAAGATTCAACCCTCAACTACAAAATATTACCATTTTTTCTTGCTAAGTTTAAAGTTTTACTATCATACAATCTTCCCAGTGATGTTTGTTATCCAAGCACTCAAATGCTCCATCTCAGTGTAAACACCATACGTATTAGGACGTCCACAACCAATACCCCAGGAGACGATTCCTCCAAGAACATATCGCTGTTTGCTTCGATCCCAACATGTCAGCGGTCCACCGCTGTCTCCGGCGCAGGCATCAATCCCACCTTTATCATAACCTGCGCAAATCATGTTTTTTGTTACAGGTCGAGGAGGAATCCGTCTCATGCATGCCTTGGAAATGAAAGATAGTAGTTAGAACCGCACAGTGGGAAACTTTATGGAAGGTTAGAGAACGTTGGTTGACTTTGGTTTGCGTAGCTGCTCCACGAAAAATGAAGATTGATTCTTACAGAAGTTCATATGTGTATGATGACGATTTTTGTAGTAAGAATTATCTATTCTTATATAGTAAGAACTATCACTATCTCCTTATATTGAGAACAGCAAATCAAGAAATAATATCAACCAGATAGATAGATAATCCGTTTATTAGAATCATCTAGCAGCCAGGGCTGAATTGCATGATCCATAGTTATATAAAGCAGTATTTCTTAATCTTACCTGCACGCAAACATTGTGGGCTACAATTGGTACATCTGCTTGCAATAGATGGACCGAGCTGGCTGCTCCTTCGGCAACTCTGCCATAACCGGTTACCGAGCATCTTTCCCCCGTTTTTAACTCATTCTCGTTCAAACACAACGGTCTAATGTGATCATTATAAAAGACGTCTTTATTCAGCTGTAAGATAGCAATGTCATCATCGTAGGGTGCCTTGATCGCGTACTTTTGATGAGCGTGAATCGCCGTGCAATTAAATGACTGTTTATGCTCTGTAGTATTTTTCTGATTGGTCACCCCTGCATCAATGTGTAGATCACTTGCCCGGTAGTTTACAAGGCAATGTGCAGCGGTAATCACCCATCGTTTTGCGACTATTGTGCCACCACAAAAGTACCTGCAGGTGGGACAAGATTTTATGCCGACTTGCCAAGGCCAGCCTTTTGTTGGGGCTTTTTTTCCGCCAACAATCCTACCTAATGTTGCCCGGGTGCCGCATTTGATGTTGTCGTCATCTGATGCGGTGGGCTTCTTCACCACCGCTTGGGTTGTGGGTTGACTGCCAGAACCAGCGATTGAACCAGCACCGGATCCTGCATACATAGGGGCAGCTAAAGAGAAAGATTATCGGTTATATTTTCGTGGTTTTATTCAGATGTCTACAAAGTTACTTAGCGCTGAAAATGGTAGGAATGGTAGCCATTTTACCTGCAAAACATGAGAACACGCACACAGAAAAAATTCTTTGTTAGTATCGGTTATACACTAAAACCGGACGAAAATATAGCACTAGGCCAAATGGAGAAAACGAAGTAATCTTCTATATTCTATACACAATGAATGCACAAATCTACTTACATTGCAACTGGCTGATATACAGCGCAAAATATGTCAATATGATGTACACAATACAGAACTTCATGTTAGCGTGATCTACTGAGTCTATGTATTTTATACAATATTCAGGATCAAGCCATGGGAAAGAAAAATAAATACTGTACTCAACTTCCCATCATACTATACATTTATAGAAGATGTTGATGTCGCATTTTACGTAAAAATAATTACGATTGTGGCGTGCGTTCGCGACGCATCAATACTAATTTGCGTGAATTGCGTCTACCAGATCCAGGAATACGTGCGTCATTGACTGAAAAATGTTCGAAGTCCAAAAAGACCACAAGACGTACATTAGCGTCATGAACTGGCTCTAGCTTCACAGAATCAAATAAAGACGGGGATTTTTTCATTATTTAGTGCAAATGGTTGACATACTTGTTGGTATAGATGGATTCGTAGTAACAGGTTGTACTAATAGAGACCTTAAGCATGTAGGACGAGAACACGACGACGGCAGCTATCAATACAATGCTTCATTGAAAAGAAATGAATTATTAAATACCTATGGGGTTTAGACGTGATCTACGGTCTATTTACAACAGCAAAACGTCATTTATTACGTCCTATGTAGCCGGAACGTCTACATTTCAGGACCCAGCGAGCGCTACCTCGAATTAGGCTATATAGAATTGTCCCTAAACGTAAAACAATCTTTTCAACGTCTTATATCTCATTAAATTGGTACAATTGATAATATAAAACAAAGCTTTACCATAAGATTAATTTAAAGGAATATTCCAACCACGTCGTGGTCATGTTGCCGTCCTACATGCTTAAGGTCCCTAATATTCCTAGCTATGTTTGCAATCCATGACTAATCGCTCCAGCAGACGCCTGCGAGGTGAAACGTATATTGCATACACGAAGTGCGTAAAGGAAAAAGATGCGCAACTTTTAGCTTGTCTTCAGAATTTATTGATGAACACTACGGCCTGCGAGTCTGTGTAAGATAGGCACCAACATTTTAAACGTGACCTAGTGCTACTTTATATCAGCAACAAAACAGTGTGAATGAAATCAATACATACCTGACGTTTTTATCACCAGTTTCGGTCGACAAACAGCGCATGACTTTTGACAATGAAGTAGCATATAATTTGGATTCTTAGTGCATTCGCCATTTCCTCCCCAGTATGCGCAATTATTACTGTTATCCTTGCAAAGACAATATCCACACGACTGTGCACAGTTCGTTTTCATCCACGTTGCATATTTATGTGTGCAAAATCTTAGTTTCACCCAATTGTCGCATTGAGTTTTTGGTTTTTTGTTTGCACAGTCTGAAACAGTTCAGTAATATGTTAGTCATTTGATATCGCACACTGTAATGAGAGTGAGAGAAAATACCTCAACTCATCCTCGGTACTACCGGCCGCTGAGATTTTGAAGTAAATAAAACAAGGTCTACAATTATTTACATTGTGTCAAACCATAGTATGGCGCGATAAAGATCACCAACGCAACCACAAAAGACTTCATGATTGTAAGAATTCTTGATAAAGCAATCCGCTGTCATTTGACATATGTACCGTTATATGATATTTTGCGATCACATGCACTAATGAATCAACACCATCACTTATCAATAATTACAACTTAGGCGTGAGTAAGACGCATAGAAGAATAATTTGCGCATGCAATTAACAGGAAACGCGTCATTTATTGAATTAGAAATTCTGACCAAAAAATCACTTCAAATTTTCGCTTATGATAAACGAATGTTATTCAAGGTCTTTCCGCTAGATTATCTATCGATATTTTTCCTTGGAGACTTTCATGAGAGCAATATAACCTTTTGCCCTAAATAATTAGGATAAATGGATGGAATCCAGATGAAAGGATTTGCTGTTTTTGTTCCCAACAGCGTGTGTTCTGGAACACGATGGGATAATTGAAATAGCACATTCCTCTGCGCAGTCAAAATCGATCTTTTTTGTGATTGAATTAGACTTTCATGTAGCGATCATGTTGTTTTAGGGAGTTTGCCGAGGTTTGCGCTGTTGAAAAAATTGTAACTCTTATGGTTCATGTCACGTCTTCGCATCAGGTCTAGCTGCTGATAGATAAATGAGCTTGGTGAGTGTATCATTTTCTTGAGACCCTCGAACTTGCCAGTTGTGTGGACTACAGTAAAGGCATTATCGCATTTTCTAAACGCAGAGATTATCATCGAGTGACGATACGATGCGGATAAGCAATATTGTGTTGTTTTTGTTTACCTCACTTTTTGCACTATTTGGAAATGAAAAAAATGGTGAGTACTGAATGAGATACTTGGGAATACACATGTTGAATGCCATTTACTATCAAATAAAACAACAGGAAACCATTGTAGAATATGAATAATATATTTGGAAAGTTCAAACTGTATTTGAATCTAACTCAAACCCTCAATCGAAATTGTAAAATCTAGAAATCTGGTGAAAACAACAACATACGGTGAACACTCAGGTTTTGGGCTAACCTCAGAGCTGCCAATTACTTGTACATATTTCTTGTACATTCCATGGTACAAGCACAAAATTGAGAACGAAATGAAACGGAATACGACATGTTTGCAGTATTTCTCAACCTTTGAGTTCGCCCGAAATATGATTTTACAACTTAACTCTACGAAACTTTACTGCAAGGTGTTTCAAATAAAACAGCAATGTTTTTAAGGAGTGAGTGACATTTTTTATTACTGGTAATCAAAGTTCAGAGGCCAGATACGCAAAAAGTAGGATAAAAAGTAGAAAACCGATTATTAAACCGAAAATTAATTACATCACACTGTCTCTCTCACATTCAGCTGTCGCTGTAAAAGCCACAAAGAGTTTCAGAATTGAAAGCGCAAGTTATGAGCAGTGTCTAGTGCATAGAAACCGTTTCACGCCATCGCAAAGCTACGAGCCTTCATTAACGCTCAGAAAATGTGACCAAAACTCGACTGGGTTCAGCCAACGCTGGGTATGGACAAGCAGAGGACAACTGAGGTTAAAAGGAAAAAAACGTTGCCTCACTGCTAGTCAACGTGGCGTCGTCTTTTTACAGCGCTGTCGCGTTGATGAAATTCGTGAAAAATACGAATTTCAGCAATGGGAATGCATGGGAAACCTCTTGAAGTTGAAATATATGAATGCATATTTGGTGCCGTTTCATTTCTCTTCGAAAGGCATCAACATATTTGGCATTTTGGCGCGGTCGGTGGCGAGGCGGAAGCGAATTGGTACGACAGTTTACGGAGCGGGTGAATGGTCGCGACAAGGAACAGGAGCATCCCTTTGCGGAGACCTTCCCTTTTAAGGAAGATTTCTTTTCGGATTTATTTCTCAACGCTGAAAGATCTGATTTAATTAGCTGGAAAACCATAATTAACATCTGATGAATTTATTTTTAGCAGCTTATTATCTTACTGATATAATCTTTGATATAATTTTTGTTATAATCCAAAACCGCAAAAATGTTGTGTCGGAATTTTATGGTAATTACAAAGTTTCATAGTGAATAAAATTAATTTGCCTGTAAACCATTTGTGGACGAAACTACGAAACTGAAGACGCTGTCGTTTCTGAAGGTGGGTTAGTCGTTGTTGGGTTATTTTTTGAAGGTGGTTTGGTCGTTGTTGAAGGCAAGTTAGTTGTTGTTGTAGGTGTAGTTACTTCTGGAGTACTAGGTGGTATTGTTGCTGTTGTTTTTCCTAAAAAATTCAACATATTTCTTGTGTCAATGGAGAATAAGGGGCAGAGTGTGACCAAGGTAACGATCCTAGTTGACATAATGTTGTTCGTAATACATACCATTGTCACAAACTGTCCGCCCTGTCTCTGCGCGGGACCAATCACATGTATTTCTGCCACACGAGGTCCACCTTATCGTTCTGACATTGTAATCAAACGGCAGACCACTGTACATGAATGCCAACAGATATAACTTTCTGTTCCCCCATCTCAGTTTGTTTTCGTCACACGACCATCCTTTGTTTAGACTCACCGAATTACATGGCTGAAAACGTGGCACATTATACACATTAGAAACAAGACACTTCCCATTGTAGCTCAACCTAAGACGACCATTGCCTGCCCACTGCCAAAGCTGTCGTGACGAATTTATATCGCAGGTTTCAAGCGTTAACAGAGGAGCCCATGACCGATACTCCTCGGCCAATTTTGATCGATCTCGCAATGCTACACACTTGTTAAAAGCTGCAGATCTTATTTGAAACCAAGGATTCTGAGAACCAATAGCTGCAAGAAAGAATATAGAACTGTGTTAACGCATTTGAAAAATCACGAGCATGCTCGATTTAAGAATCTCAAAAAGGTGAATTACCAGTGGTGGAGACAGACGGTGGGGGAAGGGTAGTTCTTGTAGGTGGGACAGTCGTTGTTGTATGCATTTCGGTCGTTGTGGAGGTAGTAATTTGGGTAGTGGTTGGGTTACTTGTCGTCGATGATTTCCCTAGAAATATGAGAAATATTTTGCAATCAATGACAAAGCGGGTAAAAATTCGACAAACGTAGATAGTGGCATTAAGATTTTAGAACTATGATAATTATTTTGCTGTTTGCATAATCTTAAACCACATACTATCATCACAGAGCGATTTCGTGGAACCATAACGTGACCAGCGACAGTTGTTGGTAATTCTGTTGGTAACTTTAACACTGAAACGTCCTCGTCTTCTTGAAGGGACTGGGAGCAAGTACAGATTACGGTTCTTCAACTTCAAATAACCAGTGGAGGTACAGGTCCACTGTTGAGACCACCTGCGGGAAGTACATGGTTGCAGCGAAATCCCGTATGATCTACCTCTGTAACTGGTGGTGAAGGTCACAGTAAGGCATTTCCGCTTGAAAGCCAACTGAAGTCTCCCGTCGGCTGTCCATCGCCAATTTTGCTCGAAGGAGTCTTGAGCGCAATCACGTAAAGACAATTCTCTCGAGTCCCTCCTCCCTGCGAGGCATTTCTTATAAGCTGAACTGTGAATCTGAAACCATTGTGGACCTAAACACAGAACCATATGTATTAAAAACAGCTTCAATATACACAAGTAAATTATTACAGTTCTTTTAGAGCTAATAGCTTTACCCAGTTGCATAATGTACAAGGGGAACACTTATAGAGTATTATTGTAAATAGAATCGAGTAGTTTCTTAACTGATATGTTGCAGCAAATCCTGCTTGTTTGTCATGTACTTAAATATAAAATTCTCTAACAGAATTGCTGTAACCGTCGAATTTCTGACTAACCGCAAAATCCACATGACCGGCCGCAGTTTTGCTTCATCCAACCTCTACTGCCCGTCATATAACAGTAACCATTTGAAGGATATCTGGAACAGACTCTTGCGTTGTCACGGCAACCTGAAAAGTTACCAATCGATAAAGTTAAGCATGTCAGTTTCATTTGCCATCAATTACACAAAAAACTGCTAATAATTTAATACAGATCAGCATGCGCAAATTCACTTCCCTATTTCTATCATTCAACACACGACTGGTGAAATATAATAGACTCACTTTTTGTGGGACGAACAGATGTGCAAATACCGCAGGTTTTAGCGCAGTTCTTCTTCATCCATCCTTTGTGTGATTCGCAGTATCCATATGACTTGTAGCTAGAACAGGATGAGGATTTATCGCGACAATCTAAAGTGATTTAATATAACCAAAGGTTAGACTGTACAACACACATATGACAACATACAATTTAAAAGAGCTGAGAGAGGGGCCCCTGACTGGGCTTACGTGTGTTGCTGGTACTTGCTACTTATCTTAACTCCCCAAGACTATATGATCCAGTGTTAGCGTTCTACAATTTTCCCAAATCGCATTGTTTGATCTAACACACTGGGAAGTATTTGTTTAACATTTTGAACCGCAGTTTACCCTCGTAGATATTGCAATCTCCAAAGTTTGACCTGGTTATTTTTGGTAAACTGAATACTGCCGATTCAGGTGTGCAATGTATAGTCATAGCCAAAACTTCCTACTTCGTCTGCCTCAGTTTGATCGAGAACAACAATTGCGCCTTACAGATATTATAAAACAAAGTATGCTGGATAACATACCTCTGGACACCGTAGGCGGCTTGCGATGTATACCCCAACGAATTCCGAATATCGTGGTGTAGAAAAACGAGAGTAACAACAAAATGACTAAAAAACGATTGCTCGCCATTATTTCGTTGTGGTCTCAATTCCTGAGGAGGTGATTGAAACAAAGCTGGCTTGCGTGGTGGTTTATAGCAACGCGCGCGCTGTGGGGATCAGCATATTTTGCGTCACAAGGCGCGGCAAACGTCATGAAGATGGAGATGAAGTTCTAAAATTAACCGCAAGTCTCTCGACACTCAGCGTGAGACATCACCACGCCTTCACACGGGCTGGGTCGAACCTGATCGATTCAATGTCATTCAATGGGAGACCAATCAAGAAACGACTGGAATTATCACACGAACGGTGGCGAAGAGGAAGCGAAGATGTACGAGAGTTTACGAGCTGGTGTACATACGGTCGCGACATTCGAAAACCATAAAAACATTTGATGCATTTAGTAACTTTATTATATTATTCAATTTATATACTACAATACCAACCATTAATCTTAAACCGTAAGAATGTTGCGTGAGTTTTCTGGACTACAAAACATAACTCCGAGACATCTGAGCTGGAGTAAAAATACACTATTTATACACGTGAGAAAACATGAATGTTTTTTCTTGTCTTGCTTGAGATATAGAGAACGAATCCTTGTTATAGAGTCTACGCTGCAGGCTATTCTACGCTTCAAACACTAGTCTCCATAAGCGTCCACTTTCTTCTGAATCCAGGGCGTAAACAATGCTGTTTTAGTATATACTCCATAGAGATTAGGCCTGGCACATCCTATGCCCCAGGACACCACTCCGCCTAGGATAAATCTGAATCTACTGCGATCAAGGCAGGTCAGCGGACCACCACTATCTCCTTGACATGCGTCAGTACCGCCCCGTTCATATCCGGCACATAGCATGTTTGATGTCACTTTCCTTGGTCTCAGCAAATTGGCGTACGTCTGCATAAAGACATCAATGAACGTTATAAATTCTGTCTAAACTAAATTTTACTTACTTGTATTTTCGTGCGAACGTCTCTTTTTAGAAATTTTTTTCCAGTGTTGATAATCCAGTATTGATAACCAGAAAAATATCAAGAGATGATCTTACCTTCACGCATGTCTGTAAAGCCGCAATCTTTACATTAGCTTGAAGCAGTTTCGCTGATTTTGCACCATGTTCCGTTATTCGACCAAATCCTGTAACTGTGCATAGATCTTTGTCCGTCAGCACCTTCCCTTGCTCCGGGAGGCACAGCGGGCGCACGTGATCGTTAAACTCAGCGTATTTATCCAACCGTATAAGAGCGATATCCTTGTCATATGGTGCGTCAGTGCCATAATCCTCATGTACAAGTATGAGCCGACCTTTAAAGTGTTGCTCGTGTTCAGATCTTCTGGATTGATCAACCTCCCCGACAACCAGATGTAGATCTTCCGGGAACTTGGCCGTTACACAGTGTGCAGCGGTAACTACCCACTCATCGCTAATCAGTGTACCACCGCATGAGATATTACAGCGGGCGCAATTTTTAATCCCGACCATCCACGGCCAGCTACCAGCGGCAGAGGCGGTGCCATTCACCACCCCCCCGGTCCTCCCCTTAGTTCCACACCTCACGTTTCTATTCCCGGGGGGCGGGGTTGGTTTAGGTGTTGTAAAAACGGGTGGTGGGACGGGTGGCGTGTTTCCCGGAAGGGGTGGGATTGGAGGAGTGTTTCCTGGAAATGGTTGGACGGGTGGCGTATTGTCAGGGATGAGTGAATCTGTTGGAGGTATAGGGGGAGTTGCTAAGCTGTCGGTGGGTGGAACTGGTGGCGCTGTCGTTGTTGTGAGCGGATTAGTCGTTGTTGTAGGTGGGCTAGTTGTTGTAGGTGGGTGAGTTGTTGTAGGTGGCTAGTGTGAGGTGGGTGAGTTGTTGTAGAGGTGGTCACTTGAGTTGTAGTAGGAGGACTTGTCGATGTTGTTTTTCCTGGAAAATTGAATATATTCTGTTATTAATGAATAGGGAAGAAAAGTGAAATCAACGTAGAAATCTTAATACCTACCACTGTTACAAACTGTCAGCCCTGTCTCTGCCTGAGACCAATCACACGCATTTGCACTGCAAGGGTTCCTCGTTGTTCTAACATTGTATCCAAACGGCCAACCTCTGTACATCGCTGCCCACAGATATAACTCATTGTCCCCCCATCTCAATTTGTTTTCCACACACGACCATCCTTTGTTTTGACTCACCGTATTACATGGTCGAAAACGTGGGGAGTTGTACACATTAGAAACAAGACAATTCCCATTATGGCTCAACCTAAGATGACCACTGTTTGTCCTTTGCCAAAGCTGTAGTGATGAAGTTTTATCGCAGGTTTCCAGCGTCAATAGTGGGGACCATGAACTCGATATTGATCGATACCGCAATGCTAAACACTTGTTAAAAGCAGCATTTTTTATTTGAAACCAAGTATTTTGAGAACCAATAGCTGCAAGGGAGAAAATAGAACTGTGTTAACGCAGCATGTTTTCCACAAGCATGCTCGGAGGTACATGGCCTTAGGAATCAGCGTAAGAATCTCAAAAGTTATAATCCTTTGTCAGTTTTTATTGGATTGAGTAATTTTTTAATGGTGAATATGTTGGAAATTTACTAGATGGAAATTCAAGGTTACTTACTAGTCAATTGGGTTGTTGGCACCGTTGTCGTTTGAACATCTGTATAATGATAAAAGTTAGTTTAGATTACAAATTTTTCAATATCAAAATAGTTAACGCCTGACGGCTGACGTACGTGAGAAACTCGCGTGAAAACATTCAAGTTGTTCCTGGCTGATGAAAGCAGGATTGAACAATGTTGTGCTGTATCCAGAAAGACGACGAATAACAATGTTAGAATTTTCAGGACTAACAATTGGTTATTCTTGTCTTGTCAAGAAACAAACAACTTGTCATATTCGTGCATGTAGAACCATAATCACCACTTTGAGTCAATGGAAGAGTACATACCATCAGTACAGAGTGAATTCGTGGTACCATAACGTGACCATAGACAACTGTTGGTAACTTTGTTTCGCACTTGCACACTTCCACGAGATATACCTTTGTAGAGGACAGGGATCAAGTACAGATTAATGTCATTCACCTTCAAATATCCTGCACCAGAACAGGTCCATCGCTGATAAATCATTCCAAAATCGCATTGTTTCAACGATGCACGGTATACCCCAAAGATTCTCATCACAGAAAGACATTGCTGGTTCAAAGCTGACTGGAGCTGGTTATTTCGTGTCCAACGCCATTTCTGCGACGCGGAATTTTCAACGCAATCTCGCAAAGACAGGGAAACTGTTTCGATCAATCCAAACACCCTCGCAATGCTTGCTGTAAGACATTTCTTATACGCTGAACTGTGAATCCGGAACCATTGCGATTGCGTGGCTAAATCGAGGGTAGTTCTTGTAGGTGGGACAGTCGTTGTTATGGGCGTTTCAGTCGTTGTGGGGGTAGTAATTTGGATAGTGGTGGGGCTACCTGTCGTCGATGTTTTTCCTAGAAATATGAGAAATATTTAGCAATGAATATCGAACGAGGGAAAAAGACCGACAAACGTAACTTTGCATTATTTCAGGCACCTACCATTATCACAGAGTGATTTCTTAGTATCATAACGTGACCAGCGATAGTTTCTTGTAACTCTGCTCCAAACTTTAACACTAAAACGTCCTCGTCTTCTTGAAGCGACTGGGACCAAGTACAGATTACCGTTCTTCAACTTCAAATAACCACTGGAGGTACAGGTCCACTGTTGAGACCACCTGCGGTAATTACATGGTTGCAGCGAAATCCAGTATGTTCTACCTCTGTAACTGGTGGTGAAGGTCACAGTGAGGCATTTCTGCTTGAAAGCCAACTGAAGTCTCCCGTCGGCTGTCCATCGCCAATTTTGCTCATAGTCTTGAGCGCAACCACGCAAAGACAATTCTCTCGAGTCCCTCCTCGCTGCAAGGCATTTCTTATAAGCTGAACTGTGAATTTGAAACAATTGTGGACCTAAACACAGAACCATATGTATTAAAAAACAGCTTCAATATACACAACTAAATTATTACAGTTCTTATAGAGCTAATAGCTTTACCCAGTTGCATTTAAACGGGATTAAAATACAATGTGCAATATTTACAAGGGTTTGTCGACGAGAATAAACACGTCCGGATGGTATAATATTTAAATATTTCCGGTGAGTAACACACCTTGAATTATTATGCAAACCTAAATGTATCGAGTTGTTTCGTGTATGATATGTTGTAGCAAAGTTTACTGAAGTAGTGTAAAAATCAGAATTGCTGTAACCATCGAATTTCTGACTAACCGCAAAATCCACATGACTGAGGGCAGTTTTGTTTCACCCAAAATTTCCTGCTCCACATATAACAATTGCCATTTGAACGATATCTGGAACAGATTCTACTCTTGTCACTGCAACCTGAAAGTTACCAACAGGAGTTAAAAAAGTTCACAAGTTTCACAAGTTCACAACTACATCGAATAACGTAATTTCATTTCCATCTATTACACAAAGCATTGCTAACAGTTTAATACAGATCAGTACGTGCAAATTACTTCCTTAATGCTATCAACACACAACGCGGTTGAAATATAATAGACTCACTTTTTGTGGGACGAACAGATGTGCAAATGCCGCAGGTTTTAGCGCAGTTCTTCTTCATCCATGCTTTGTGTGATTCGCAGAATCCATATGACTTGTAACTAGAACAGGATGAGGATTTATCGCGACAATCTAAAGTGATTTAATTTAACCAAAGGTTAGACTGTATAACACATTTGACAACATATAATTTATAAAGCTGAGAGAGGGATCCTTGACTGGGTGTTTACGTATCTTGGTTCTGACTCTAACTCCTGAAGACTGCATGATCCATTCTGAACTGCTCTTCACACAAAACACTGATGTAGTTATTTTATCATTACACACTCCACTTGGAGAATTTTAAAGCATCTTGTCAGAACACCTGAACCACAGCCAACCCTCTTAGATCTTGCAATCTACAGAGTTTGACCCGGTTATTTCTAGTAAACTGAACACAATACTGCCGTATCAAGGATACAGTCAGACTTTTTAGGCAAAACACCAATCTTCTTTAATCGAGAACAACAATTGCGCCTTGCTGCCTTGCAGACATAATAAAACAAAGTATGCTTGATAACATACCTCTGGACACTGTAGGCGGCTTGCGGCGTATTGTCCAACGATGTCCGAATATCGTGGTGTAGAAAAACGAGAGCAAAAACAAAGCGACCAAAAAACGATTGCTCGCCATTATATTGTTGTGGTCTCAATTCCTGAGGAGGCGATTGAGACAGAGCTGGCTTGCGTGGAGGTTTATAGCAACGCGCGCGCGCTGTGGGAATCAGCATATTTTGCGTCACAAGGCGCGGTAAACGTAAACAGAAAAAAAGGTGAAGAAATATAATGTATAATTAACCGCAGGTCTCTCGACACTCGGCGTGGGTCATGACCACAGAGACTCCTTGAAACAATGCATAATACATGACCTTCTAATGGGCCAGGTCATGGCGTCAAACCTGAACGTGATTTGATGTCATTTAATAAGAGACCATCAAAGAGAAACGACTAGCAAGCATTGTATTTGTAGCTTTCTCAAATATCTTGTAATTTAATTGCTGCACGAAAAGCGATTGTACGAGGTTGTGCCCTTTTAAAAGCATTAATGTGGCATTGTGGCTTATAAAAGCCACGATGTTTGAAGATATTGGACTCCAAAAACCTAATTAAATATCACTTCAACACACTTCAACACTTCCACCTGAATGTCAAGGGCGCATCTATGCGTCTTCATGATCAAATAAAAATCACGTACGCGCGCATTTTTTATAGTGCCGATCCACAGTTGCCGAACGCTGTAGGACCAATCGATGAAGAGAAATTCAAGATGGTTGTCGGGAGCCGTCGAACAGGTTCGTCAGATAAAAATGGGATATTTGAATTTGCAAAATTTGTGACTACAGTCAAAATGGAAACAACTCAAATCTAATGACCTCAACAAAGAGGAAACGGAAAAATCAGATCAACGAAATTGATCATGATTTTTATGGTTCGTATTTCCCAAAAAAAATGATAAGAGGGTTTAGTTGATATTAAAGATCGTGGTTCCTGAAAGGCCAATATCCCTCCGTGTGAATTGTGAAATGCTTCGGTTTTTATGGTCGTGAAATGCCATATTTGTAGTGCACTCGACAAACACGTTTGTCGATTTTGTGAAAAGAGAATAAAGAATGTCTGTGTTGTGAACCGTGCTTTGTCTCCCGATGATATAGGACTTGTTTCTTTAGCTTCCGCCACGCAAAGCTTCCGTAATGCATGCAACATACCGGTCATTCGATCTTCTTTCATTTATTCACTCTATTTATCAATACAAATCTCGGAACAAAAGTGCAAACTTAGAAACGGGTTCTTTTCAAAAAAGCCTCAAAACATATTGTAATGATCGTCATCTCCACTGGCGCTACCCCTATGCCGCGATCTAGACGGGGAGGGTGGTAGGGTAAGTTTTGTTTTGATCGAGGTCTCTGGAAACATTCTTCCAGGCATTAGACTCGGCTTATCGTAGTTGAAATTCAAACTAATGTCGCTCAGAGTCGAACTTGGTGATTGACCTGCGCTTGAATTAGAATCGGAACTGGCTACGCTGAGAGTTTCTAAAACAAATAGAAGATCTTGGCATGAAAACTGTGTTGGTCAGTGAGTTGAAATGCCGACCAGGCCTTAGATTTATGCGCAAAGTTTGGTCGGGAACGGGGGAGGGGGAAGGACCCACCTGTATCCTGTTGACCACGCACTTAGTTTCCTTATAAGTATATTAGCTTCATCGTCCGTCATTACCTGCAGCGGAAGACATTTCCAGCTGTTTCCCATAAAAACCATTGTGATCCAGCCGCGTGACAATATTCAACATTTGATGCTGGAAATCTGTTTTCGAGAAGCTGCTCAGTTTCTCCAACAAACCAAGAAGATATTTTGTAAAATTACTGTCGAAATTTGCTACGGTTCTTTCGAAATCAGAGCTGTTGATAACCTCATCCATATCTTTGGATAAAATCTAGAAATTTGAAAAAACATTTTCCCGTTTTAATGACGTCAAGCTAACAAAGATGGAGGCAATTTGAGCAAATAGCAAAATTGAGAAGTTTACACCATCAGTTTTGGTGCCATGGTAATACACTGAATTCAGTATGGGAGTTAAATAGGAGGCATTTATTCTTTGCTCGTAATTTTGAACTGGCGGAAGATATCACGGGAGTCTACCCGACCTTGGCCGCTGCTTTTTTCTTTTGCTTATCATACAACAAATCTTCCTTTTCCAGTTTTCCCGTTTTCTCAGCCGTCGGGTTTTCGCTGTTGATAACTGTCTGGGTGATTCTCTAGAGAAGAGTTGAGGAGTATCATTACTTGGAAGACAATCGTTAGTTAGGACAATGAGGGTGAATGCGTGAAATGGAGGAATGACGGGGGATGTTGGAAGGTGCATGAGATGAGATGCTTGTGGTGGAAAATTACCAGAGTTGGAGGATTTTTTTTTTACCTGAATGCAGTTAGTGAACGTAACACAAACCATCATTAGCTTACTAACAATCTGAAAGACAAATAAATTGCGAGTAAAATTACCCTGAAAGATTGAAGTCAAGAAATAACGTAATCTCTTCAAAGAAGCCCGGGGCGAGAGTTACTTAATTAAAACGTCACAATTAACACGTCGCATTTAATTAATTACGTCGACAATGAAGAAGCGCATGCGCTTGCTTCCAACCTTAGTGTTTTTGCTGTATTTGATGTCTGCGTGACAGATAAAAAAGTAAATGCTGATTCAAACTCAAGACAGAGGCGTTTTGTTTGCGAATGGAAACTCTATTCAGAATGCATGGTGAGTTTAGAAGACCTAAGGACATCGCATGCGCATGCTCACAAAGAGGTAAATGAATTGAAGAAAAAAATATCAACGATAGCAATGACCGTTTTATCTGCATTTTAAAGACGCTGTGATCAAAATATCACTGGAGAATATGAAGGTAAACTTTCTGGAATAAAGCGAGATATTGATCATTGAAAATATTACCTTTAGTAATTCAGGAGCAGTTAACATGCAGTCCTTCAGACATTTATCCAAGAAATCGTTGTGATATGTTAATACGTCATCAACATTATTCACCTATGAATGGTTTGGTTAAAATGATGCAGCATTGACAATGAAAGACCGTTAGGAACAGACTGGTATTTTGTTGCCAATAAAAAAGGCCTAACAGGTAAGATGACGGCAGCTGGATTGCTGAACGAATGATTCAGTAATCAACGACAATTGCTCGGCACCAGACGCTGAACACCCCATACTGAAATGCCCTGTTTCCGTACTTACATCTTTTAAATTATTTTCCAAGATATGCCAGTATGGTTCAATGACTTCAGACATCATGTAGTACTCGTAGTTTTGAACAAACTGCAGCATCTTCGTTCTCAAAGATGAGCACTCCACGTACCTGATATATGCATGTTAGAACCGTTAGAATAAAAGCAAACTTGTGCACGAAAAAAATTACTTTCGCCATTTCAAAACTTACCATCTTGACGCGCGAAATTTATGCTGTTTTGTTGTCTTGTCGTTTAACCAAATCCTTAAAGATGAATATATTTAAATAAAGTTATTTTGGAGTCATTGTGCAGAGGTTTTACAAAACATCGAACCCTTTTTGAATCGGATTATTTGAACTAATAGCTTCGTTTCAACAGGCTTTTTCAACACGAATGAGCCACGCTCGACCATCTTACCTGCAAAGTTGTCTTTCGACGTGTTTAGCGTAAAAAAGATGTCGGAAAAGAAGCTGATATTTTGTTAACGCCTGAAAAATAAGAAGTTTCTTGTTGTAAACCATCAACATTGCTATAATCTGCTGATAAAAAAATAATCGATATTTATGAATATTTATGAATATTTATAAATCTACCTTTCTGCTAAGAATGAGGGATACTGGCCATTTAACAACATAATCAAACGAAAATGCCTCCAATCCTAAACAAAAAAATGATGAAATTCCAAACATGAATAAAACAGGGTAAAAAAACTCAGTTACCATAACTAATTATCCTTCATTCAGACCTGATATTTGAATTTCTGTAGGGTCCTGACCGAGGGAAGACTGAACCGCTGGAAATAGAAATGAAAAATTGACGAGAGAGCTAAGGTATGTTTCTGTGAAATAGTTGATTGCTTTCTGGCGATATATAGCAAAATACCTCTGTCATTGGCAACTGACAAAATCCGGAACAACTGCGTGATGAGATCATACGGTAAGAGCTCCACTCTGGAAGGAAACACAAATTACTGAATACGTTTATCAAAAACCCAGCAGTAACCTCTCTGTCTCCCAACGACAAGAAGATTAGAAAAGGTCTAATATCTGGGCCTGCAGAGTGTGTTGGTCGAGGTTCACGTCAATGACTGGATGTATATTTTTACAAGCAACATTACCTCAAATCATCCTTGAATGGATCTGCGTTTGCGGCTGTTGTTCTAAGCGAGAGCTCAAGCAATGTTTCAAGACGACTTGGAAATATATCTGGACGGTAACAAAATGAAAATTCAGAATTCATATAGGTCAACGGTCAGAACTAAGGCGTGGAATATTGAAGTTGAAAAACATGAATACCGTCCATGTTCTTTTTCATCTCGTCTTCAGCAAGGTCCATAAACTGGACAAAAAAATCCCCCTGACCCATCAGGAAATACAGCTTGATAGACCTAAAGTTTGGAAAGCACCAATACAAATAACAAATATGCCGATCGGGGTACAAAAGTGCAAGCAGGTCACATGCAAGTCCAATGAGGTTATGGTAGTTTTCATCGTTGATCATAAATTGCTTTACCGGAGTCGACCCATCAAATCTTTTTCCTCCATCAGCAAGTCAAGCAAGGTCTTACTCGCGTAATCGTACGCCTTCTCTATTCTATCAACGTATCTGAAAATAAACGACACAAATGTCTTGAGAACAACATCGTTAAAGATTGATCTGAATTCATTCTGTCATCATGACAGCCTACACGATTGCTGATCAATCACGAACATACTCTCTCTCACGAAGTGTGTAAATGATCTCTTCCGCGTCCGGACATTGCACATCACGACCTGTGAATGAAAATTTTTAAGAAATCACTGAATCACTAAGGCAACAAACTAACATCACAGGCGATAAAATAGTGCGGGAAATAAACCACTTGTAATAAAAGTAAGTTTTCCATATTTCTTGGAGTGTTGTCACAAGACTTGCTGAGAACCTACCGCACTGACGAATCACGTTGAGGTATTTTCCTGTGCTAAGAATCTTCTGGGCCACCTGGATGAACAAAAATACTATAATTCCTAATAACTGCACAAGATTCCGATGTAAATGCTAGCATTATTAATTGACAAATATGTCGGGGCTTGCTTATACAAGAAAAAGAAGACCACAAGAATTATCATTACCGTTTCCAAGAAAACAGGAATCTTGTGTTGCACGATTGTATAACGTTGACGCCAATATGTAAGACAGGGTTAAGGAAAAAACGAATTACAAAAAACGACCTGAAAGACCTTTCACATTCAAATTGGAAAACATTGTTTGAAAGGGATATGCATCGTTATATTCTTCTGTTAATTTCTCCTTTTGAAATGCTTCCTGTTCCGCAACCAGGAACTGTCAATAGCAAAACACAAGTCATTGGATTTCACTTGAGATCGCAGAGGGAGAAAGCGAAGGGATTTAGTTGAAGGGTTTAGTACCTCAAGATAGGGATCATTAACCAGTCCTTTGTATATCCATTGTTCTAACATATCAAAATATGGAACACACGCCTGAAATATACACGATGGCTGTGTGAGATGGATTAAAATGATTTTTGTGGAATAATTTCTATAAGTTATGGTCGGATGACTTTGCTTTAGTCAGGTACACGCAGGCGAAATCTTCAGTGTTATATAATAGAATTCAAGTGAAAGTTATTTAGAGGAATACGAAACTTTCTTGTTAAAAAATACAAAACCCTCACAGCTTGCGTAAGCCAAAGGTAAAGATCTTGAGACGTCGCATCACTACAGGACAAAACCAGAATCATAACTTAGAGAGAAATACCAGAGCACGTACGTTTAAACATAATTAAAGGAAAATTTTACCCAGTGAGATTTGTAGTTCGTTCGTGCAACAATGTAAGAACTGCACCTCCTTTACACTGAGCCTAAAAAACACAAAAATATTTTCTTTTCTTTAAAGATCTTCGTGTCTTACAGTACAGTTCGACTCCTTTATTTCCAGATTGCTTTTTTTCTTTCTGCAAATCGTCTGCCATATGAAAGCATACTGAGTTAATTCGTTTCTATTCTAACCGTTTCAATTGCTTCAGCGATGGACGAGAGAACATCCATGCGGCCCAAACATGGCTGAATTAGAAACCAGAGTTTTTGTAAAGACAATTCGCCCTGCAGAAAGAAGAGAACGTCACATTCAGCTTGCATGCGCATGCAGTGTTGAAATGCCCACACAATTGAAGCTACTTTGTGGTACATCGCTATTCATCTGAAAGTGATGCTCTACACTTTACTTCGATGAAAATTACCTGATTAAACTGGTGTTCTAACTGTGCAACAAAAATGTAATATTCCTAAAAGAAAAAACGGATATTACGTTGTTTTCTAGAGCTCTCGTTACAGGTTTATTCAGGACTACATACCTGCATAATGGTTCTCATAGCAGCGCTGACAGCCTGGTTAACCAAACCGGACATGAAACCAGATTTATCTGAAGAGAAAAGTAGATTAAATGCAACCAAATATTACGATACAGCATGGGCGAATTCATCTTAAGCAGAAAATTAACAACAATCACCTTCGATGAAACGGCATAACAGAGAATAATGCGTGCATATCGGAAGAATGCGTTGAACAAGCTCTTGAAGTGAGATATCTAAAGAGAGTTTTAGTTGTAATTTCAATATTAACAGTGGAGTAGTTATCTCTTGATCTATTGCCGTGACCAAATTACCTAACGTTGAGTCAACAATGAACTCAGGTGGATCTAAACCTTGCAGAGAACTGCTGCTGAGACGAATGTATTTTCCTTCAACACCCTTGGAATAGAGAAGAGTTTTATCAAAGATTATAAAAGGAAATCCTGATGCAGACTAAGCGAGAATGATTCACAAAGTGAACGTACTGTCATCAAAAAGAGGAGATCTTCGATGACAGCAATCTCCTGCATTTTGAGAGGAAGCGTTTTCACAGGTACAGCCTGCAGTTGAAATAAGTTGGCAATCGATCAGTGCTTGTCCAAATGGAGTGAAAACACTCACACTCAATTTTAAGCTGAGAAATACTCATACTGGTTGTGGTTGGTCTATGGATTGTACAAAATCTCCAGTGAGATGAGGACGAGTTGTGAACCATTCTGGTAAGAGAGGTAGACCAGGAAGACCTGTTGAAAATAATCATTTGTAAGCAAGTTGAAGAAACAAAAAACAAGGCAATGATTTTTATAGACTTCACCTTTTCTGGCCTGTTTTTCTCGAAGATTTTTCAAAGTCGCTTCAGCTGCTGGTGAAGCAGATGGCCCTGTAATGGACGCTAGTTGTGTACGAAACTAAAGCAAAAAAATTAAAATAAATATAGTTTAGGTACTCCTGATATCATGCAATATACCAAGAGGCCATCCATCCACTTAACATCTAATAAATTGTTTAAATTCATAACAAAAACACTTAGTTTATACTTCTTCAAGCTCTTTTGCAGTCATTTGTCCTGAATATTGTTCAAGATTTTGCAATGTTTCCGCCATGCTGGATGATGCTGCAGGCTTGCTGATATCTGTCTGCCTCTTGTGACCACGTTCTCTAGCGATTCGCTCCAAAGATGCAACCATCTGCCAAAGAGAATTTAACAAGACATAAGCAAGATACAAAATAACATTCAAATGTATTGTACAGTTGTTTAAATACTAACGCTTGGATCATCTGAAATTCTTGAGAGAAGAAACACTAATGGGTCCAACTCTCGAATGCTAAAAAAATGTCAAAATTGATCAGGATGCTTGCTGGTTTACTCCATAATGTTGTCTAACAATTTTATGTTCTTACTTCTTTGATTTTAGTAAATCATATTTTTGGAGAAACTCTCTTGGATATGGTGTAGTTTCTGCTATCTTCTTTTTGGCTGTGTGGGCAGAGACCTAAACCAGACCAAGATATATTGTGATATTATTCTGTTCATGGGTGGATATGGCAGGATGTTTTACAATATCATGATAAATATGGATTGGAAATTCACCTGTGTTGTGACATATGGTGTCATGTTTTTTGTCAGGACCTCTGTGTACACCTCTGGTCCATCTCCCCCCGTCACCCTTCAAAAATGACATTGTGAGTAAGCAAGGTTGGCATCATGGTTGCATATGATGACAACCTGAAGTGGAGCCCAGGTCAGTGGAGTCAAGGTGGCTATATCCAGGGTAGTGGGGAGAAAGGTAGTGAGGATGAGGGCAGTAGGCAATAGTGGTTGGAGCCAACACATAAAGGCCAGGTTAGCTTGCCCATGGTAATGGGATCAAGTTGGCAAAGTCTAGGGTTATGGGGTCATAGTAGGTGGGTTGAAAGTATCAGAGCCCAAAACAGCAAGATCAAGGCCAGTAAAGTCAAATATACAACATCGACGGTCCGAAATGTACAAGTGAAGTTTCCTACAATAAGTTTGTACTTTCTTCTATAGTCATTCCTCAATATACATACCCAAGGAGCTTTAAAAGTTCCGCCACTCGATGATGAACCTGAAACTCGCTCATATTGATAAGTAAACCATCTAAATACAAAGAAAATAACACGAAAAGCTAAGAAACTTGCGAAGTTTTACATTTCAAAAATCGCTCGCTCCTCTTGTGTGGAATTGTAATTTGAATTTTAATGAGCACTCGTTCTGTTTCCACTTAACCCTATTCCTCTTCATCACTCCTTTGTCAAACAAAAATCAATCAGTAAATAAACTATTTGAATTTAATTTATTTTTTCCATTACAAAAAGCATACAAGCTATTTACAACTCGTCGAAGTAAACTTCAATATCCTTCATTCGTGTATATTTAATAGAAATGATCAAACCTCAACGGTTGATTCTATTTCTTTTTATAACCAACCTAAAAATTTTCCGTAAAAAATTTCCTTCGAGGACGCGTCAGTAACGTGGGCTCATAAACAATGATCAGGGGAAATCCATATGTCAACGGTTCGAGAACAAAGTTTTAATATAAAGAATTCTTTTATTTTTTATTTGCCTAATACAAACAGGAAAAAATGGTCGAAAAACTATGGAAAACTGCTGGAATAGTTTCTCTCATAGGGTTTTTATGCTATGTCAACTCGCTAGAAGGAGATTTTGTTTACGATGATAGGTAGGGGCAGTGTCACTCTCGCGTGTTCGATGCGAGAGTTGTTGCAATTTGCAAAAATAAAAGTAACAATTACAAGCAATTATTGTTGTTTGATGTAACGAACGTAGCTGAGAGTGAAATATCGGGGTAGTTTATCAGTTATATTGGCCATGTTTTTTTAGTAAACTTCAGTTAGTTATATATTGTTGTATTGTGCGTCTGTGAACGCCGATATTATATTGTTCATTGTTCTGCAAAACACAAGAAAGCGTCAATTATATTTTAGCGACACGTTTGTTAAATTTGGGAAACGTGAGATTTTAAAGTTGTTTGATTTATTGATGTCTGTTTTACCGCTCGAAAAATAGTGTTTTTATATAGTTTTGTTTTTATGCAACGCTGACGGTTTTTTAGCTCTGTTCTGCCAGGAACATCTGGCAATGAACATCTGTCCAGCTCATTGAGGTAATAGGAATATGCAACAGACAGCGTATTATGCGACCTCATTGAAAAGCAGAAGCCCCTGGAGGGGTTTTTTGTATGCATAGGCTTGCACTTGAAAAAAAATTATTCCAAAGTACCTTAACACTTCTGCAAAGAATCTCATCATCCTACCCAAACCATGTCTTATTCCAGTTTTTACAAGATATTGTTTTTTATAAGGAAAATCTACTATTCTGTACATTTTTCTAGCCGTGCAATTGTGCAAAATGCAGACATCTTACCAAGCACACCTTGGACAAATCTTTTGTTTAATGATTTCTGGGGCACACCATTAAAACACAGCGGCAGTCATAGGTCTTATCGTCCTTTGTGTGTTGCATCGTTTCGTCTCAATTACTATCTGGCTGGTCTTAACCCGTGGGGTTACCATCTGGTTAATGTTCTTCTCCACTGTGGTGTCACCATCATGGTGGTTGTTGCAGCCAACATAGTTTTTAAAGAAAATATTGCAGTTTTTGTTGCAGGAGTGTTGTTCTCTGTTCATCCAATTCATACTGGTAATACAATTATGCATGAACACATAAATGTAGCTTGAAGTACGCTGAACAGTCTGTGATACAATGCATAATAATTACACTATATGTGAGAAAATTTCATCAACCACCCCTCACTGAGTTAGAGTGGTTCACCCCCCTGGAAAAGTCAGCACTTCTTTCAGCCCTCTCTTTCAGATAAGCTCTAGGCCCCCCAACTTCTGTAAAAATGCAAAAAAGATATCTACGAAAAGGTTGAAAAGAGTTCATTACAATCTGGGTGTAGTATGAAAGCTAAGAATCTTCATCCCCCCGTTTTTATCCACCAGTTTTAACCTCCTCTTTCAGGATAGAACGCCAGAATTTGTGATATTTCTAACCTCTCAAATCTGCTAGTGAGATACGCTATCAATATTTTCAGAGGCAGTATCTGGGTTGGTTGGTCGTGCAGATGTTGGTGCAGGATCTTTCTACCTCGCTTCTTGGTTAAGCTATCATCGCGGCTGTCCCAGGAATGATGCAAGCACGAGATGGTCATGGATAATCCTGAGTATGGTGTTTGCAGCGCTCAGTATGCTCACCAAAGAACAAGGATTAACTGTGATCGGTGTATGCTTGCTGTACGACGTCGTTATCATAGCAAGAATACGGCTTCAGAATTTTGATCTCTCTGTGAAGAAGGTAAGCCACACATTTAACTTCACGATTTGAGAATCAAACTTCTCAATACCATAAATCACTCCTCACCAGATCCTCTCTTTGTTAATTCATTCTTTACTCCGTTTCAGGCGAGGAAGAATGGACTCATGAAAAGAATCACTGTACTCTTAACCACAGCCAGCATACTTCTTGCGGCTAGAATGCTATTAATGAACAACGCCCCGCCATCATTTTCAGCCTCGGACAATCCTGCGGCAAATTCCGACAGCTTTTTAACAAGAATACTGACTTTTTTATATCTTCCAGCCATGAACTTTTGGCTTTTAATATTTCCACATACACTATGCTTCGACTGGTCTATGACAAGCATACCCTTGGTGGAAAGTTTAAACGATGTAAGAAATCTTTTTTCCTTCGTGTTTTACGCATTTTTTTCACTTTTTATAACACTTTGTATCAAAGGAATTTTACAAGAAGAGGAGAAGACTGAACAGGCTGGGAAATCGGCCCCAAAAAACCTTAAAAACACCACGAAAATATCTGGTGTTAGAAACAGACGAATTTTGAGAAAAACAAATGGAAATGTTGGTAATTTATACTCGAGCAATAGTTCAGGAAATAATGTCCTGAAAACGGGGGAAAAAATGAAGGAAAGTGAAGATGTTAATCCTCCAGGCGACTGTATTGTGCTGAGCACAAATGAAAGAGCGATTTTATCGCTAGCATTTATGGTATTTCCTTTCATCCCGGCTACAAATCTCTTTTTTTATGTTGGATTCGTAATTGCGGAGCGTGTCTTGTACATGCCCAGCATAGGATTCTGTCTATTATTTGCGCATGGTTTTAACATGTCGTGGAAATCTAGTGGAAAGTTTTTGAGAATTCTGCTTGCAGCGATCACGTGTATCTATCTCGTGTTACTGTCGGCCCGAACTGTTCGGAGAAACATCGACTGGAGATCGGACGAGAATCTGTATCGCTCGGGAATTGCCGTAAATCCGAGCAAGGCTTGGAGCAACCTTGGTAATATCTTAAAGGGGCAGGGTAAGATCAACGAGGCAGAAAAAGCGTACAAGAAATCTATCGAGCACAAATGGAGCGCGGATACCTGGTATAACTTAGGTTTGTTGTATCAGGAGCAGAAAAGATTTAACGAAAGCATGAAATGTTATCAACAGGCTATAGATTTGAGACCGAGGTTTGTGCTACCGTATCTAAACATGGGAGTAGTTCTGGAAAGTTTGAATGAAAGAGAACAAGCGTTGGAGATTTTAATACAAGCAACGCACCTGGACGGAGTAGGTAATGCATTAGGCAACTGACGATGACCACGATTATCATTCAGGAATTTGTCAGCACATTGGAGAAACGCTTAGTGCAGAGCAGGAAGGTACAGTAGAGGAAAGCGCAGGACAGTGAAGTACAGTAGAGGACAGGACAGTAAAGGAAAGCGTAGGAAAGGACAGTACAGGGCAGGACAGTGCAGGAAAGTACAGTAGAGGACAGGACAGGAAAGTACAGTGCAGGAAAGGAAAAAAATGGATAATGCAGTACCGTAGTCCGATAGGACAGGACAGTGCAGGCCATTGCAAGACTTTGGAATACAAATAGAAATACAGAAAGTACAAGTGAAGTGATGTAAAGCGATAGTCAGGCTTTCGCTTCATCTGTATTTAGGCTTGAAGAATCCGAAACAACACAAATATGGCGTAGCAGCAGCGAAATATCACAGAGGACGAATACTGGCAGATATGAAACAAACCGATGAAGCTATTCAAGTTTACCGCGAAGCCGTCGAAACAAGACCAGAAGAATTCCCTCCACACAGTCTATACAACCTGTTAGGTATGATGAACTTCCACCTGTACGTTTATACCAGTCATTAGTTTAGTTTTTGAGCTGTGAACAAGGTAAAATCATTGACTATACTTCAGGTGAAGCTCTGTATACAAAAGGAAATTTTCAAGAAGCTGAGCTGTGGTACAGGAACTCGCTGAAATCAAAACCGAATCACATACCAGCATTTCTAGCCTTAGCTAAACTCGTATCCAGGTTTCCAGAACGTTCCACGGAAGCTGACGATCTCTATAAGAAAGCATTAGAACTGGAACGCAAGAACGCAGACATCTACATTCACTATTGTAAGTACTGGGGGGAGTTTCAGCGGCGCAACTATGATGGACGAGATATTTTGATCTTTTTCAAATGTTGTAATATTTTTCGACTTATTTTCGCTGATATTTTTTTCATTCAGCAAAGCACCTGGAAAATCATAATCAAGAGAAATCCGCTGCAAAGATGATGAGAGACGCAGTGAAAATGTTTCCCGAAAACTTCGACGTTGTTGCCATTTCAGCGGACCTACACCGTAAGATTGACGACTACCATCTAGCGCAACAGTACTACGAGAGAGCCGCTGAACTCAATCCTACGTTACCGTCGGCTCTGATGAACCTGGGCGCAATGTACCACCTGACCATGAAGTTTGATCTAGCGGAAAAGTATTACATGAAGACACTAGAATTGGCTCCGAATGACCAATCTACTATGGATAATCTGAAGAAGCTCCGTGACACCGTTAAGAAAAAGGAAAAGCGATGAAATAAGAGCCAAGATAGGATATTCATTCTTTCTCGGGGTTTTTACCCCATATCCTGAGGCCGATATTACTAGGCTAATAACCCCGGTGTATGGTGGACTAGTTTGGCAAACCTGTTTCACTTCAATTCGTGTCTACGTTTTAAACGTTTAGAACTATTTGAAGATAGTATAAAGTTATGAAATATTGAACAAATAGATGACAAAATATTTGATATTTATCATAGAATATAAACCTATTTATATCAATTTCTCTACAGACGTAATTATGTGATTTTATAAAAATATAGATGTTAAATAGTATTTAAATAAATATATTTATATAGACAAAATGTATAGCGAATGATAGCGTGTCAAAAACCTCAGCTCCTCATACAAACAATCAAGAGTACATACATTACTTTGCGATACTCACGAAACTTTGTCCAGTAATTTTTCCAGGTCGTTTGCGATTGTCTTGTAGCTTTCTTCCAAGTTATGACTTGTGGTTTTCACGTTTTCCGATAACTAAAGAGTTTTTCAAATCATTTATGAAACATGCTGATGAGAGACGAAGATTTCGAAAGCAAAACATTACCTCGTTAATAATATCATCCACAAGCATTCTTTCTTCTTCGTTCAATCCTTGGCCATTTTCTTTCACGTGACGCGACCAATGACGTAATCTTTCTAGCTTACGTCCTGAATCCCTAGAAAGCCGAAATATTCAAAATCTTTGTCAATGTGGCTGTTCTTCATCCTCTTCAAGGAGATGAGAATTACACTTTTAAACATAGTTACCTTACCTTAACTGGGTGGTTATTGTGTAGTACTTCAACATTCTATTACGAAGCTGCACTATCGATTGTTGACTGTTTTTATCTGTTAGGAAGCTGGGGATGACACCAGATTTAGAATTTCCATTGATTTGGGGGCGCGAAGACTCCAATTTCACCTTGCCCTTACATTTCCGTATTCCACACGTCTCTTTAAGTTCTAAAATTTCATGAATTTCGAGAATTCGAAGGCATTCCAGGAAACTATTTTACAGAAAATCACCACAAACCTTGAGAAGGAATCTTTTCTTCTCTCTTCTTACTCTTGGTTTGCTCAAAGGAAGATGGTGGTAACAGGACAGGTTTCTTAGATTTACTACCATCAGCTTTCTTAGAAATTTTCTGAGAATTCAAAGGTCTGCTCACTTCATCAGAACCAGTCTGACTGGTATTAGAACTGGTACGACTGGTTACTGAACTTGAATAAGCAGGTGGTTCAGGTAAACGTTCAGGTTGAATGAAAGGTTGAAGATTCTGAGGCAACTTTCTCGGAATATCTTCAGCGACCGTTGATGATGGAGGGTGTTCAGATAATTCCGAGAGATTGAAGCTTTCTCGTAAATATTCCGGTACCCTGGGTTGCGGTCTTTTGACAGGAGCGATATCTGGTACCGAGGTTCTCGCGTGCACTTCCTTGACTGTCGTGATATTTTTATCAAAACTGGTCGCTATTGGTCGATTCAAACTCGTAATCTGACGTCGTTTACCGCGATTTCGTACCGTCCTTCGTCTCCAATGAATCGCACATTTCTGAACGCATCTTTGCACGTTTTGGGAAAGCTAAAAGAATCATAACAAACACGAGTCAATAACAACTATGGATGTATAATTTCAAGATGAGGATAAAATGAGCATTAGGAAATCGCAAAATAAACTTGTGCCATGATGACGAACCTGAATATGCCTTGTTGCCGCAAATCTTTCTCGTTCAGCCATGAAATAGGTTGCGAACTATTTATTTAGAAAAAAAATGGAGTGTTGATCGTATTTTATTGCACAGATCAGTCAACGTTTTATCAAAATGCTTACCTTGATCCAATGAATGACAGTCACTTTATGCAGTCGCTGTCGTCTTCTTGTCAAGGCTTCGTTAATGGCTATCTTCTTTCTCTTTTTCTCTTCGACATAGTGAAACCATGCGACAAAGGCCTTGAACAAATATTACTCAGTTAAAACCTTTCGTTGAGAGTCGCATCGTGCCGTTAATGGAGAATATTTCGATACCTTTCGTTGCAGACAAAAACTCCACATCCAAAGAGCCATGTGAGATTTCTTCAAAAATTTCTTACGTTCAGCATACTAAAAGGGATGTGAGAGGATGTTGGTGTACATGTGGTGTTATCGATTGCTCAGTGGCACAATATGTTGTAGCATGCAACTGTTTCACAAACATCATCATGTCACTCACTTTTGATCGCCAGACTTTCCAATGCAACGCAATTATTCTTTCATTGTGATACAACATACACTGCTGACGTAATACCTGTGCACACCAGAGAAAAATTCAATCAAAATTCAATAATTAACTGGACACACAGCGCAAATATTGTAGCTATTTTTCGACCTGTTTTCGATACCCAAGGAATCTGTATTTCTTTAAAACATCAAAAGAGTGTTTCAGCACATTTCTCTTCCAATGCTCAGCAGCTATCATCCATTTTTCGTTGGAGGAAACTTTGAATCGATATTCTTTCTTCCATTGGCAAAATGCACGACAAAGTTTACCTATAAAAATTGCTGTTATTTAACAGGACATTATGAAAACAACTAACACTAGGTCTTTAGATCTCCTGCATGGTAAGCTCGTGCAGTGTTTTCTAACTTTCTATGCTCAATCAATACCTCGTTCAAGATGTCTTTTGGCTTCAACGATTCTACGAAACGCTTGCTGTCTCTTCCAGGAACGATCTTCAGCGTATGACTGCCATGCTGAAAAAATCTTAAGAGAATATCTGTTTCTTAGGCGAATATGGAACAACAAATACGCCAGCGTACACATTCAATTTTAGCTAAAAATATTTTGCTATACCCTGGTTATTATCTTGCTTTTCCAATGTCGAAATGATATTTGATAATGTTCCTTGCTTTTTCTCAAACACCCAGCATTTTCCCGCCAACACTCGAACCGAAGTCTGCGAGAAAACGTCACTTTTAGGATCAATAATCATATTTCCAAATTTGCAGTGTATATCTTCACCTTAAAGTCGTTTGGTCATGAAACACTTTCTTCTCTTCAACAAATGATTTCACCGCTCTCCATTCCTCGCAATATATCTAAACAGTTGAAGATCACAAATATTCAGCTTCATTTAAAGAATGCAGAATCATTTACAACATCGTTCAACATAAATGTGCGTAAACACTGTTGAAAAGAACCACGAGCCAGGTTGACCACTGCGTCGATTATACCTGACATTTCAAAGAATGTTTTGCAACAGTAAAGATCAATAATCTTTCTGAACACGAACCTTCCACGATCCAACTATTTTCCCCAGGATTTTTCGGTTAAAATGTAAATCTGCCTTGATAAGCATTCTCCATTTTTCTCTCTTCTTGATCACAAACTGAAAACAAGATTCATCCATTCAAGATTCCTTGCTGTCTATAACACCAAAATTTTCTCAATTGAAGTATCCAATACCTTCGTCCAATTTTCCCAGCACATCAACATTAATTTCCTATTTTGATGTCGCACAGCCATCTTCGACTGAAGGAAACTAAACACAGTAATTCAAGAGTATTAATACATCATCGCAATTAACCTCTCAATCATCAGGTTTAACAACGGCAGCGTTACCCGAAATTTAGATGTTTGATATATTCTCTCCACGACACAAAACATTTCTTCTTCAGTTGTCGTTGATAATGGTCCTGGCTTCGCCCCTGTAACGGATTAGTTCAGAATAAACATGGATACACCATATACGGTAGTCTAGCGGATATATCACAGTTGAAGGTATACGTCTAGACTTCTACACAAACCATAGCTCGGAATACAAACCATTAAACGGTTTTCTTTTATCCTCAATCTTGTTCTTGTCAACCAAACGTGGAAGAATTCCTTCCTGAGCTTTTCATCGTAGGAAATAATAGCCTGGATTCGAACAGTGTACTCAGTAGTCAGTATCTGCTTCTATCTTGCCCGACCAATTGATTTACGACATTTAAAAGGTAAAATTCTATGGGTCTAAGGAAAACTTACCATTCGATGCAGCATCTGCACATCCAACGTGAGATGGTGCTCCTGCAACCAGCGATAAAACGTCTTTGCCAGGAGACATTCCCTGTGACCAAATCATATTATTACTACAATATCTTGAGTATTCAGGAATACCTCATCTCAAATGAAACATTAGAACAAGGTTATATCAACGGTCAAATGGCATACTGTACCTCCGAAATTCTTCAGCTCTTCTCTGATTGATACGTTGGGACTTTACGAGATCAACGAATTCCTCCCAACGGGAAAAGTACCTGAACAAAACGATGTCAATTCTTAGCAATTCAAGGGAAAAAAACAAGCCTTGTCAAGGTATTGACAAGAAAACAAACTCCAAATTTACTTTGGTAGCATGTTCCGTCTCGCCGTTATATCCGCCTTAAATTTCTGTTCGTGTTCCAATCTTCTAAGCTCACAATATCGTCTCCAAAGGTTCAGCATTTTTCTCAATAAACACTTTCTAAATTCATTGATTGAGAAAAGAAGAATTTGAGAAATGAGTTGAGCGGACGACGATTATAAAATCATGTCGTGCTTCTTGCACCTGTAATGATTTTGAACGAAATTGATTGAACTCATCTGACGAAGATCTTCTCTCTGGTCGCAAGATCTCAGCCACGAAATCCAGAATTTTTTCATCAACTGTTCACGTAAAGATGTGTTATTTTAGAATTCAAATATTCTACTCGAAACAAAGACTCACGCTTGCAACTTACCGAGACTTTGTAAAATTTCTCTGCAGTGAGATTAAATAAAGCCGCTCTTCTTTTGATCTCAACTCTCGTCTGGAATGCTCTGATGCATTTCGTCTGCAAACAGCAGAGAGACAGAGTAATATATCATAGAACAACACAATATTGAATAACGGCTAGTTACCTTCAAAGTCATTTCAAAATGATTCATTGCAATGCATTCATTTTCCCTTCGACGATGACACAAGACGATATCTTGAGTGTGTGAAAGAAATAACTGACTGACAATAAGTAAAATCTACAATACTACGAGTTAAGTTTGCTTGTTTTCTTTCTTTCCTTTCCTTGTTGTATTTTTGAAAAGATACAGTGTTTCCAGTGAATGAATACTCGTTGTTTTCTGGCGTTGTTCCCTTTACATTTCACAGTATCCTCGAACTGAAACAACTCCACTTTGCGTTCCCAGATTATTCTCCATTTTAAAAACGCATCGCGCATTTTATGCAAACGATAAAACCGCATACCAGAGGCTGAAAAAGACAATAGTTTCCAATCATTAAGATGCCTGAAAACCTCCATAAAATAGTCTAATATCAACGATTATTAACAGCCAATCTCGTAAAGCCATGATACAAACGTGCACACTTACAGAGACGGAGTTTTTTCACATTTCTCTGCAAACGATATAATTTGAAAGAGCGCAGAACTTTGAACGCTAGTTTTCTGTTGTGAAGTTGGATTGCATACAGAGTTTGGCGTTTTTCATCAAGCGCTGTGGAGTAACTGTGAAGCCATCTTTGCCAAGCCTGGAAGATATTCATTAGAAAGAGTTTAGGAAGATAAAAGGTGAAGTTTAAACTGAAGAAATACACAAAAACCAGCAGTATACTCTTACTTTATAGAACAAGTTATGTGCCCAGAAATGCAAGGCTTGTTCTTCCATTGAATGCAATTCTTGTCTGACTTTGAGGGAGTTCTTCCACTTTGAAAACACCATTCTGTGTCACAATTGTAAAATGTTAGATGTGAATAAACCAATGTAAAATGAAAGTTCCATATTGTAGTATTCCAGCACCTTTTAACTATGATTTCTGCATCTTCCTCAGCTTGGCAGTAAAGCTGCTTTTTCTCTCTCCGTTTGCTGACATAACTCTTCCAATTCATAATCGATTTCTTCAAAAGCATTTGATTTGCTGTCAATAAAATTCATTTTTATTTATTGTGGTAAGACTTTTTTTCATGGAAAAATACTTTTTGTTTGATATTAATTTCGACTCACCTTTCTGGTTTGCAAGATTCATTTTCTCTGTTTTAATTCTCTCATATGTCAGATATGAACGCCATCCTTTCCAAACCTTCAACCACATACGAAACCTGCAGTGGGTGAGCAAGAGTTGGTAATAATTTACATAGTTCTCCACTACGGTCAGATTTTTTTAAAGTCAGAATTACGGCACACCTGTTATGATAGTCAGCTCTGATGTTTAGTTTCCATTCATTTCTACCATTCCACCAAACATCTTCCCATTGTTGAAACAACCTTTTCAGCAATTTTCGATTATAGTGGTGTCTAGAATAAGGTATAGATGGTTCTTTTTTTATACAACCACTGATAAATTACAGCCATGCATCACAAACCTTGCTTTTGATGGTGAAACCCTCCCAAATGTCTTCTGCTGCCATTTATAAACATATTTCAATGAGATAAGCCTGTCACATAGATAACAGTATAAATCATATATTATTTTGAATATATATAGACTTTGAATCTAATGAAAATTTTACAAATCAATTATAATTTACCTCACTCTAATATTGGCAAGTCTTTCTTTTTTAGTGATTTTTTTAATGATCGGAAACTGACGTTCATTTTGCTTCTTTTTTGGCATACTTTTGATGGGTGCTGATGTTTTTTTCTTTTTCATTGTCACCTCTTGTCCTAAAGTTTACCAATACTTGCGTGTCTATCACAAATGTTTGGAGTTCACTAAAGTATGTAATGGCTAGGAATTAAGCTAAACTTATGCAGTTTCATTGTTTTAGTGGTTGAAACCAGCTTGGACCAGTCTACAGAATCAAGACAACCATCACATAATTGGCTGTTGATCCTAGTTATATATGTATGTTATAAGTCCCAACCTCCCTCCCCTCTTGCCTCTCCCCCCTCCCTCCTCCCCAAAAGAGAGATCACCCCATATCCCTGTCTTCCCATCAATCAAATTCACCTTGAACACCTCCCAATGCAACATATCTTGACTTGGGATCAACACCATCCACACCAGGATATTTTCCATGCAGTGCAACCCCATGTACTTTGAAATATCGTTCATTCTTTCTTGACATACATACGCCCTGTGTGACAGTACAAATAAAGCGTTTTTTGAAAACAAAATATGTAATTTATTGTTTAATTAATTCACTGTTACTCTTGTATGATAGACTGTTACAAATCCCGAGGAGCTACAGTACAAACTCCCCCCTGAATTTTGTACATCGGAATATCTCCCGCTGTGCTGATATTTTACCCGTGAAATGAAAAAATAAGGTAACAAGTATTACACAGAAATTAGTGCAAATTAAGAGTTTAGATTTTAAATTGATTCAATTTCAGTTTGCGAGCAAATTGAAGTGCGATATATCCGCACAAAATAATATTTTCTTGGTAAAAACTCGGGAGAACAGTTTGGAACAGTGTGTTGAAAAATGGAAACATCAAACATGCGCTGCAGGAATGCAGGGGGGGAGATGAATAAACGCCGGTGAAAACTTCGTTGTTTATGTGTTTATAGTTTGTAAAGTTCTTAAAAAATCGAAATTATTAGAAAAAGCGTTGTAATGGCAAGTTGTTGTGACAGCGAGAAACATGATGAAGTAGATGGTAGGCGAATGCATCAATATTCGTAAAGCTATCTTTTCTATCGCTATTAAGCATTAAATGCTGAAAGATTGTTTAACTGTATATTTGAACTTAAAGGCGTGGGATGTCCTATTAATTAATTAGCTGTATATTTGTCAAATTGTCACAAAATATCTGAGGATTATTGCTGGGTTTGATGGAAGTTTATTAATACGTTAATCAATCGATATATTCATAAATCTTGTGTAGACACTCACAGTGTAGTATACAGAATTTATGATATTGTATCTTTTTAGTGGATACATAATTAATCACTTTGAATTACCTTTTCTGGAGCAGAGAGTTGCTTGAGAACCTTGTCTTTTTAGGTCATATAAAAATATACATATACATGCATTGTTAGTTATCTAATGCCCGAGGATTCATGCTTCTGAAAATATCATGTTATTTAAAATTTTTCATGTGGTTAATTATTTATGATTTTAAATTTACAGGCCACGTCCACTTTGCGGAGAATGTGGAGCCACATAACCTCATACAAGTTAAGCAAGATGGTGATAGCAAAGTTCAAGTTCATTTAGGATTCCTACAAACCAACCATAAATACGAAATGAAATTTGATATACCTAACCTTTCTGGTGGAGAGGATTTTACAGCATGTGAAAATGTCACAAAGGATGTCAAGTTGGATGTCACTAATGTTCAACCTACGGGTAAAATACTAATGTTATGAATTCATTTAAGTAAAAAAACCAAGTTATATATGATGTTTATAATTTTTTTAGATACTTCAAATACCATTCTAAACACCACAATCCATCTGTCAATCTTTAAAGAAGGTCTGATGAAGAATTGCTTTACTCTGCAAAACAAAGACAAAAAAGAATTCGACGTCATTATTCACGCCCGTGTTTTAGGAAAATATAGTGGGACTCCTCTGGTCAAGGATGGTATTCATTGTTTGGAGGTGATAAAGGAGGATGTTGATTCCGCAAATGAATTCACATAAATATACACAGAAATAATACAGAAATTCAATTGTAAATAAAGACAATTTAAATGACACTTTTTGACATCTTCCACCAATTCTACTCACAAGTTTAATGACATATAAAATCCACAAGTGTCAAATTTCATTGTAAGCACAAACCATTCCAAGTTGATGGGGCCATAATATACTTGAGTGGATTTGAGCATCCAATAAAAATATACGTAATTAATGTACACCAATCACTAATGATGAATTTGGTTCAATTTTTGCCATAAATTACCGACAATATCTAACGAACATTTCTATTATGCAAAGAATTTACCAACTTTATACATTTAGTCTTGAAATAAAATGAAATAGAATTTAATAGATCAGACTCCATTGTGGTCCTATTTCACTGTCAATTTAGTGCTACCAGTATTTATGGTCACCAAAAGCATATAATAAATGAAACCATTGCTCTTAAGTAGACATCTCAACAAATATATGAATAAGAAAAGTCTTCAATCTCCCCCCCCCAGTATAGCAGGTTGTTAACATGCATTGACCCACCCTTTACACCTGGAAATATAGGATTCTACCAGAGTACTGTTGCCGCGAGAAAGGTAAAGAATCTGGGTACAACACAATGTCCGTTCGTTGTCGGTCAGTGGTTTTTCCCATCGCAAATGAACCTTTTTCAAAAATTCTTATATTTCGTTCATTTTTTTCACATCTATTCCCCTTTCTCGTAAGATTATAATGCAGCACGACGAGGTATGTAAAGTATAAATTTTACACTTATCAAGTGCGAATCTTTTTTATCCAGCGAACTGAAAATGTTTGGCCTGAACTATTTAAATCCTGTTACTGTTCGAAACTATTGCAAATTACGCACCCCTAAACGACCAAAACAAAGCTGAAATATACGTACACAAATCTTATCTGTATAGGTAATATGGTCAGTCATCAACCATGGGTTTTGTTCATTTAAAGTCAAGTTAGTACCATGATAATGTGACCTTATCTTTCATACCTGAATATCACCCAGTATTGTTTATTGTGTAGTCCTGATATGAATTAACAATTTCACACTAGACTGTGATCTCTTCAATTGTTCTTTAGGACAGACACAAATAATTTCTGTAGAAATGAATACAATGTCACAGGATTGTGTAACAGACAATCATGCCCACTAGCAAACAGCAGATACGCAACTATCCGTGAAGAAAATGGTATATATCTTTCACTATTCAATAGTATATCATCACCAATGTTACAACCAAGTCTAAGACACATTTTTACACACGTCAGGGGTCTGTTATCTCTTCATGAAGACGATTGAAAGAGCACATTCACCAGCTAAAATGTGGGAGAAAATCAAACTAAATAAGAACTATGAAAAAGCACTTGAACAGATCGATACAAACCTTGTATACTGGCCAAATTTTATGATACACAAGTGCAAACAAAGGTTCACTAAAATTACACAGGTAAAAATTGAAATTGACTAGTTTAAACCCAGATATTAAATGGAAAAAAAGATAAAGAATCCCCAACAAATTACTGTCATGAATTTGCTTTCCTGTAGTATTTGATCAGGATGAGAAAACTTCAATTGAAAACAAAGTAAGTGATCTTTCCTATCAAAACTGGAGAAATAAAACAGATATTTTATTAATTTAATTATTTTTCAGACCTAAACTAGTCACAATAAATAAGAAGGTTGAAAGACGAGAGAAAAAAAGAGAGGTACATTTGTAATCTTAAAGATTTTCTTCTCAAAACACGCCTTCAAATTTCCATCCAACTATATGTGTATTTGTTTCTTTTTTAGTCCAAAGCATTGGTAGCAGCACAGTTGGATAAATCTATTGAGAAAGAGCTTTTGGAACGACTAAAGAAAGGAACGGTACTATTCTTGAAAGTTGCTTGTTTCTCCTTATACTTCTGAACCTTAATTCATTAAATTTTTCCAATTCAAATCCTGCATATCTTGCTTTGTCTAGTACGGTGATATCTATAACTTCCCAAGTACAGCATTTGAAAAAGTTATGGATGATCAGGAGTTGGAGGAAGTGGACGATGAAGACGAGGTAGTGAATAGCACATCTGTCTTGAAGTTCCTACAAAGAAAGATTACTTTACTTCTAAAACAAGATTGTGCTTGTGGTTTGAAAGATACTGTCTGACATGAGAGTTTTTTATTCATAGGAGGAAGAAACTGAGGAACAAGAGGTTGAATATGTGGCAGATGAAGATTTTGAAGAGAGTGATTTGAGTGATATTGAAGACTTTGGAGAAGAGGAAAGTGATGAAGAAGAGAAAGATGTTGAGACACTAAAATCCAGAACATTTGGCAAGAAAGCGAAAGTTGAAATTGAGTACGAGATAGAGGAGGAACCAAGGAAGAGATTAAAAACAACATGATGGCTTTATAGACAAATTGGTACTGAAATAAGTCCACGTTTTATTCCACACATAAGACTATCTGTACATTCCTTATAATAAATAGGATATCTATAGTAATAATAGAGATGTCTTAAACACAAACTCAATAGTTTGACGTTGTGCTTGATCCTAGGAGACTAGACCGACCAACAGTTCCATTAAATCTTGGCCTTTCCTTTAGTTTCTCAGCTGGAGATTGAAATTTCACAGCTCCTGGTGTTTTCTTGATCATATTGAGTGTCTCAGTAACTTGGATGGTCTTCTTGTGGTTCTTTCCAAGGACTAGAGAAAGCATTGATTGACATTTACCAAAATGTTTCAAAGCCTTGTCTGTCTTCCCTTGGCTCAATCTGATGGTACCAAGCAATTGGTATGATTCAGCCAAGCTAAGACTGGGATCACCATACACCATCATTTTACTGGTGATGACGTCACGGATAATACCAGCAGCTTTGTCGTGTTCACCCACACGAATGTATACAGAACTTAGTGCCTCCTGAGCCTGGATTGTTTTCTTATTGTCTGAACCATATGTATCCTGGTATATCTTCAAACATTGCTCTAAGCGATTCTGGCTGTGTATACTATCATATCCCTCAATACCCTGCATATCAATAGTTGTACAGTACATCACATCTGCCAGTTCAATGGTATCTGCATCAAAATTCTTCTCTGCGATTTGGAGACACTTTTCAATCATCTCGATAGCTTTTCTGGAGTTCTCGCCTTGCTTGTAAGCTCTTGCAGAACCTTGATAAAGGGGAATCATTTCTTTCCCACTTTTACCATAAATCTTTCCTCCTTGTTTCAGAGCTTTTTCATAATACTCAAATGCAGCCTCAAACTTTTTCAGTTTCACTGAAACCTGAAACATTGAAACTTGTGAAGATATTGATTGACAACAAATTAATAAGGTTGATTATATTAAGATGATATACAGATGAACATGATGGTGATTATATTGATAATGACAATGATCATATTGATGACACTATTGATGATCATGTTACAAAATTATTACTCAAAGTCATGATCATTACCTGGCCCAAACAATCCATAATCTTCACATACATTGATGACATTTTGCCATCTTCAAACTTCAATTTCTCCTTTGCTGATATTTCAGCCTTTTTAAAAGCTTGTTCAGCTTTCTTGAATTCCTTCATGAGAAAATTCGCTCTGCCCATAACGTAGTAGACAAGTTCCATGACAGCCAAGACCTCATTGCTATGAGACAACCTTGTGCTACGATATTCCTCTGCTTCACCTTGAAGTAGCTCATCTCTGCCTCTCGTTCCATGAAGTAAAGCTTGCTGAGCAAACCCCTTCCGTTTCAAGTAAGCTTCTCCAAGCTTACCATATGCTTTCGCCAATTGCCAATGACCATTCCCATGAACAAGTCTGCAATAAGCAAGACTTCTCACTCGCTCTTTCACGGCTAGTTCGTGCTCTCCTTTTTTATCAAATTCACGAGCTTGTCTTCTTGCTCGTTTCAACAGATGCAAAGGACGACCAGCAGAGCTGGAGCTGCCTAAAAAATCGTGAATTACTTCTTCATCACTAGCTTCAGAAGAGGAAATCTTTTGCCTAAAAGATGCTATATTTTCTTCATCTTCTGAGGTTTCCACAGTCGGGATTTTTATTGTTTTATCTAAGGAATGTGGTCTTTCATCTTCACTGTTTGATATTTCGCTGGTTTCACTCATTTTTATGGAATTATTAACGTTTTTCTTTCACAACTCTTTGTATATTTCGCCAAGCAACAACATTGTTTACAATTCCAGGTAAAACCCATACACCACACCGACTATATCGATCGTTTTCCTTTTAATGCTTTAAAAACAAACATCAAAAATGAATTTATTTATACAAGAAATAGTTCAAACGGGCTTTTAAATCAGTGAACAGTTTTTACATGTCAAAAAACTGCAAAACATTTGCATAAAAATGAAAATATTTTGTCTCAGAGAGCGCATTTTGAATGATGCAAATTAGTTTGACAAAGTATGACAAGGCAAGTTTATTCTGGTACAATAATATATTTTGAATATTCCCAGGCTAATATTCTTTGACTATATATTAAGTGTCGTGGTGATACTGGCCTGGATGAGTTAAAATTTCTTCAGTACAACTGACCGAATTAAAACATGACAGAGTCTGAACATTTGAGTCTAACCATTAAATGGAGTGGCACAGAGTATGTCATTGACGACATTAAGCCATCTTGGAGTGTGCTTCAATTGAAACAACAAATACATAAACAAACAGGTGTTCTGCCTGAAAGACAGAAGCTGTTAGGTTTAAAATATAAAGGTAATAAAAGTGATAAAATTAGCAGAATAAAATGCTATTCTGCACTTGCCTGCTAATATTTGCAATCTTACCATGTCTGCATGAAAAGGTAAAGTCCCAGGTGATGATGTCAAAGTTTCTATGTTGTCTCTTAAACCAAATGCAAAAGTTATGATGATGGGCACAAGAGAAGAGAATTTAGTAAGAACAAGAATATTTACTTATTTATCAGTTATTTACTGCTTACCTTGTGTTATTGATACATGGCACTTTATTGTTCAAATTCTTGTACCTTCTCCAAGGCTAGTGTCCTTCATTCCTCAACTGAGACAGATGGTGGTGATGTTATCAATGATTTTGATATTGAAGAAGAGGAAATTCTTGTAGAAAACAGGTTACAAAACAGAAGGATTCTCCATAATGTTACCATTCCCTGAATAAGTCAGTTTTCTCTTACAGAGATGAATATTTGGCTAAAATTGCAAGGAGAGTTAAGGAATATCAGATCAAAGTATTGAACGAGCCTAGAGCTGGGAAAAAGCTGTTGGTATTGGATGTTGATTACACGTTATTTGGTAGGAATCATCATCTTTGCTTTAAGTCAAGATCAAGACTATGATCTTGAGATCTCAATATTTTGTAATGTGATGTACAGAATCTGTAAGTCTGACTACCATAGTGTTCTAATATCATCGTAGATCACCGGTCATCTGCTGAGAAAGGAATCGAGCTGATGCGTCCATACTTGCATGAATTCTTAACTTCATGCTATGAAGATTATGACATAGTTATTTGGTGTGAGTATGTTTCAGCCCTTCTGTCTTCAAATCTTACATAAATTCCCACAGAAGACAATCAATTTGATTCGATATTTTCGTCATCGTTTAGCTGCAACCAACATGAAATGGGTGGAAGCGAAGATGAAGGTAATAATATACTTTGAAGAAATAAATATCAGTACTTTCTCTAACGGTACAGCTGTCAAAAAATATTCATAATCGCGATCTTTAATACACACTTTAGGAACTCTCCGTGTTGGACAATGCCAACTACAAAATAATGTTCATGCTAGACTCCCTCGCTATGATAACGGTTGACCATCCAGAATATGGAGTTATCGAGGTTACTAGCATTGATTATTGAGGTTATGGCCGTCTGACGTTACCCTTATAATCTTCACGTTTATTTTTCAATTAATTTTTCAATTATTCAGACAAAACCACTGGGTGTTATATGGGGAAAATACCCCGACAACTACAGCAAAGACAACAGTATAATCATCGATGATCTCAGACGAAATTTCATTATGAATCCTGCCAATGGACTAAAGGTGTTTCATAAATCAATCATGATAGCGTGTTGGTAAAACCTGTTCAAATTGAGATTTTTATTTTATTTTTTTCCCAATCATCAGATACGTCCGTTCCGAGAGGCTCACTTGAACAGAGAAACAGACAAGGAACTCAAAGGACTCACCAAATATCTTAAAGAAATCTCACGTTTGAAGAATTTCGAGGAACTTAATCACAACAGATGGGAGAAATATAAACCCGATGAAAAGCACAGCTGATGTTATGACAAATAAATAACTTTTCGTATTTCCACAAACTAACAACGTTCATAAAAATTTAAAGTGTTCGGAAAGGCATCAGGGACATGTAGTGTCATTCACGTACGACTGAAGATCACCCACGCAGAGTTTAGTGTTGGAGAGAGCAGAGTATGGTGCCTTTTCTTTCTAGATATTGTGTGACAACTGACACTTCGTCGACATTGGAACGACGGCAAAAATGTACATCATTCTTTTGTGTATAACTATCGACGCTTGTATACAAACTCATGTACAATTTCTGTCCCAGCACCTGATTCTCCCGGCGTCCATTGCTACGGCAGCGATAATATTTACCAAACTTAGTTCCTCTTTTTTCGTTTCTTTCTGTTAAATTCGTTTGCCTCGGCTTGCTGGTTCGACAACATCGCTTGGATTTGCTTCGTTTTTTGCGCTCGTTCCGCGTCCCTGGAAATAATGAATGACATTCAAAACCACCAACTCACATTTCCGAATCATTCCTGTTGACTGGGAGACAAAAGACAAACCACAAAAACACGAATACCTTTGTAGCTGTTCTTTCAATTGTTGCCGTGCCAAAAATTGACTGTCTTTTCGTATTTCCCTCAAAGCTCCCTGTGTAGAAGGAATTAAGTATGTATAGCGTATAACATAAGCGAAATATCCAGTGCAGTTATGGAGAAGTTAATTCATATTTAGTAAGCTTCATCAACAGTATATGTACACATTACATCCATCGTACTCATTGGCAATCCATCAACCCATACCTTAAACTCTTTTTTATGTTTGTAACGAAGTTTTTGACGTTCATTAATGTTTTTGTTGCCAGATGAGCGTTTGCGCTTTACTTCATATCTTCAAAATTAAAAAAAATATTTTCATCAAATCCAGTGATTCATGCGCCAAATGTTTTTGAACCCAGGAAACTTCCTATCCTTTTAAACCCTTCCTTTACCCTCCAGGGTCAACCCCTTGGGGCGATGTCAGTCAGACAGTTACCCATGCAACTTACTGTTCGTCAAACTTTGGTTCAAACATTTGAATTGGCGTTGGACGGCGAGTTTGCATTGCGAGTGGTTGACGATTTATCTCGTGGCTTGTGATGCTTTTCAATATCTCGCTTTGTAATTCCTAAGGATCGTTGGTTATTACAAAATTAGGGTACTTTATTACGACTTAAAATACATTTCATAGACAGCATGTATCTTACCTGGACTGCTAAAGAATATTTCGATATCGTAATGCTGCAAATAAGGGTTACATTTTGTTTACTACACAGCAAAGAATCGCAGTACAGAACATATAGAGGAGGATAGAACTCTATATCATTTGAGCAAAACTTACTTTTTCATATGTTGAGCGACCGGTTGAAATATTTCTGGGAAGGATACGAGGTCAGAATAGAGCGTGACAAATCTCTTCAACAAAACCAGGCATGTGTGCAGAGCGGTGTTTCTAGATGATAAAGAGATGTAGAACATTGTGAGAAATGTAGAAGTTGAAATTGTACAAACTTCGGAAAGGATGTGGCGTCATGCTTGCTAAGTATAAATCACTCCTATATAACTGACCATGTATCCATATTCCAGAACGATCGATATCTCAAGTTTAAAATAAGTTGGCACTTCATGCATGCAAAGATCACCAGACTTTACCTGGATATATCATCCTCTTCAACATCACAAGAGAAAATGCTATGAAGGCTGACTGGTTTTGAGACGTTACTAAACGAAGAAAACACAAACCACTTTTGGTTAGGAAAGTAATCATTAGCGACAATAATTCATCGTACGTTTGAATTCTATACCTTATTGTCGTATCAGACGAAATCTTCAGTATATCTCTGTGTTTTGAACGAGATTTGAACGGTGGAAATATTTTTCCTAAGATACAGTAAAGAGGAAGAATAATTTCATTGCTGTTCGGAACTTCAACATATTTATATCAGAAAAGAAACCGAGAAGCAATTACCTGCTGGTTGAGTCTTCTCGGATGAAAGATACAAAATTCCTATGAAGTAGTTTATCACTTCTGGAACGTATCGTTTGGACGAGTGCACAAACTAAAATATATTCCAACAACAACGTATTTATTTAGTGAAATATTCCCCAAAACTATGAATTACCATTTGAGTGGTAAATCGCTTTGAAATGTAGCTAGTATATCTCACCTCGTAAACCAGATTGCAAACAAATAACCCGATGAGAGCATCTCTTGTACTCTGAACTGTAATCTAAAAAAAAAATTTTTAACTTTGTTTATTTGTTATCCTAAAAATTTCTGACTTGATTAGGCACTTTATAAAAGAGAGAAAACATGCTCTGAAAAACAATATCCTGCATGTAAACACATGATTTGAGAGCTTTAAAACAGGGCAAAAGGTTTACGGTGATATGTATTCTCATGTCTTTTATCAAATGATCTGGGGGTGATGTTTTTTAAAAACCTTTACCTGAGATAATATTTGAGCCATAAAGATCAGCGCTGGCGTACAGACTCCGTGTCGAAAATCCGATGTTGGAAATAGGACAGACACGATTCTTAAAAATATAACCTAAAATGAAAGTTATCTTCGGTTATCAGTCGGAAAACAGCGACGGAAATCTTGCAAAGTATATAGTAAGAAAAATGAGACAATTCGTGTCAGAGACTAACCGTTTGCAAGTCCGGGACTTTATGTTTTCGACCTTAAAATAAAGAGAAAAGTCTGAATATTCAAGGTCTTTCAGCATCTCATAAAAGAAGACTAGAAACTACAACACAGCTTTAGGAATTTAACACAATCTTACTTAATTCACAAAAACGTTTCTGGATTTCTTTTAATTTATTTTGCATCGTTTTCGCCGTGTGTAAAGGTGAGTGTTGAGCCAGGTCGAAGAGATGACTGGAAACAATATAATCTTGGGTTAGTTTTGAGGAGCAATATATGCTCCAATTGAAGGTAATAAATTCACCAAAGCTTTGACAAGAATCAAATGAGATTAAGCTTACCAAACAAGAGAATCAACAACGTTTAATTTCGGCGTCGTCGCAAATACAAGATCATCAACATACTTCACGAGAATATCGAAAAACACCTGAAAAGAGGAAACTTGTTTTAGTCCTCCAAAGTTCACTTGAGTTTTCAAAGCCACACGCGAAGAGCTCGATGTTACACGAAGTTTGATTGGCTCGTTAGTTCTGCGGAGCCAATCAAACCTCGTGTAACAATTATGCTTTCTGCGTTTGACGTCATCATGAGAGATGTCTGTTAGGCGCAATTTTTCTTCACCTCCATTTTCTTTTTGTTGTGAGGATTCAGTTTTGGATGATTGCATTTTTGAATGCGTTCAACGATTTTCACCACATCTGAAGTTGACCTAAATGAAAACAATTTCATGATCAAAAACTTAAAAATTTGACATTTGCAAAAAGAAGACGTTTTCACGGGAGAAACAAGGTTAATCCGTGATCCATTACCTTTCCCTCACTAGTTTATAAAACTCTTCATATGATCCAGGAGCTTAAAAAGAAAACAGTAAAAAAACAAGTAATTACATTTTTCTAGGGACATTTTTCTAGGCTAAGGAAACATAAAGTAAAGATCCTTCTCATAATGATGTTAAACAGGAAAAGACTGATGTTACAGGTGGACTGAGTGGTGTATGTCTTACATCTTGCAAAACTCACCTTTGAAGGTGTAGGGTAGGGTATCTTCTGTTGTCTCAGATGTTTTTCTAGTTTTAGTGACATCGTTAGACATTGTCCTGAGGTGTGTTTTATCAGTTTGAGCTGACTTCACTTCTTTCGTCTCTTCTTCTGAATCTTCGCTGTCTGTACGTAAATGGAATTTTATAAGTTAGATGGTGTAGTCTTTGGTTGTTTTCACATCATTGTGTTAATCAATGTCATTACCACTTGATTCAATATCTGAATCAACTTCATCTGAATGATAACTATCTTCCTCTTCATCATCATTTTTATCATTATCGTCGGGATCTTCATCTTGTTCATCATTCTCTTGCATCTCCAAGTTCTCCTCTGAAGTAGAAAAGTTGGAAAGGTCAGAAATTACTTGAGTTTGGATTGTCCTTTCCTAAATCAAATCAGGATACTGCTCAGTCAGTCAAACTAATCACATCATAAGATTTTCTCTGAACGAAACTACCTCATAACAACTTCAACTCAAGCAAAAATAACAATAGGCAGGTGATGATACTGTAACTCACCATAACCATCTGGTAGAACCATTCTTCCTTCTTCATATGTCAACATTGACCTGTTATCCACATCCACGGTATAACTGCAATTATAAAAAGATTCGATAAACAAGATCACATTTCTCTATGAAAACCTAACAATCCAGTGTAAACTTACCAGTCAACAAGATCATCAGCGGATACATGGGTTGGTTTTTTTTCTTCACGAGGAAGACCTTTCATTCGGCGTATTCTATCAGACTAAAATAAAATAAAACATGAAAATAAAATTCCATTTTTGTTACAGTAAATTTCACAGGTTAAAACACTGGATAACAGACCATACCAGACCTCTAATTTTTTCAATCTTTCCTCTTCCATTTTTGCCAACTGTTCCTCAGTTTTCAGTTTATCACTCGCCTAAAAATGTTTGGAATCAAAACTTAGGAGAAAAATTCCAGGATATAGTAATGTAGCTTGCTAAAACATTAAAAAGGAAAAATATTACTAACTTGCGCTTTCACTTCAAATGCCATTTCTCGTACGGTTATGTCATAGTCATCCGCTTTCTGTTTCCGCTCTTGTTCATTTCCATCTGCCTGAAGCAAAAACACATGCCAAAATTTTACCTATCATTTTACCTACCTATTTACCTTGTCTTTTCTTCTTTTGGTTAACTGCTGATGATAGTTACAAGTTACAATATTTTACTTACTCGGAACTTCAACAGACTTCTGATATCATCAAGACCTTCATCGAGTTTTTGACGGACAGTATCCATTTCCTCCTTAGCCTGTTGTCTTTCATGCTATGGTCAAGAATCACGATAATGTAGAGTAGATTAAAGATAGAACACATGGTATTAGAAAAAGAAGTCAAGATCAAAAAGAAACCTTTTTAATTTTAGCGTTTGCAACCACTTCCTCCATTATTTCTTTCTTGCTTCTTGGTTCATTACCATCCTAAAAGAAGGTGTCATTTGGAGATTCAAAACATGCAGGAAGAGCAATAAATCAGTTTGTATATTGTTAAAAGCTCTAGTTTTAATTTGCCAACCTTTCCAATATCTTGAGATTTTTTCTTCAGAAAACCACCAAAATGATACTCATCTTTATAATCATTATCTATAAAAAAATGGTGATCCATTTAATGGTTACAATGATGTTGCATTAATTGGTTCCTTATCCTAACCATGTTCAACGGCTCTACCACCATGCAAAAACAGCTCTTTCTCATTTACCATCTTTCTCATCATCACTCAATACTGGACCATCAAAATGCTTGATATCACCAAGTGATTGCCCAAAATGTGTCAATTCTTCATCTTCAAGATTAAACAAGTGACTCTTTTCATGATGTTTCTACCAAAATGCAGATAACTTTGGTTAACAATGAGAATGAACTGGTATTAAGTATATTGTTTCAGCAATTTACCCAATTGAATAAGATTTTATCATATCTATTCCATATAACTCAGTAAATTATGTAAAAACCTGCTTCTCAGTTGCAAAACGTTTCAGCATTTTCTCTTCCAAAGAAAGTTGTTCATCATATTCTCCAAATCGTTTATCAATGAATGTATTAGCCTACAGTTTAGAAAATAATTTATACTGGAATTTTTTTATCTAATAATATTTAACATGCATACAATAAATGATGCTGTTAACAATCAAACCTTATGCCGTTGTTTGTACTCCACCAGCAAAGTCTTTTCACGCTAAAAAGGCAAAAATACTCCATACTAAATAACTCCACAGACAAAGTGTCAGAACATTCAAATGAAATGAGTGATGAAGCTCATATTGTCAATGTCTTACTTTCTTAAGACCACGCGAACGAGAAATACCAGGATTGCCTTTGTCGTGTTTCACTTTTTGTCCTAAAATATCGTAACGACGTTTGTTGATGCGGACTTCAAACGGATTTTCTTTCCCCTCTTTCGCCTCGTTTTTAGTGAAAGCATGTGCGGCACGTTTCGCTTTTCTCTTGTGTTTCGCCATTAACCTTGCTGCAGATTATACCAGATATAATCTTAGTACAGGGAGAATTTCACCCTCATTTCAATAAAAAGATAAACACTTTGGTTTTACAGGAAAAGAACTAGCAACTAGCTGTTAGAACTTGATAACAATAGAAGCTTAATTGCACATTTGCCGGACGCCATATTGAATCACGCGTCATAGCCTGGGGGTTGGGGATGAGTTATGTTATGACGTCATAGTGATGGTCACAGTTCACTGGATGGCCATTGACCACCCTGTTCTGCATATGGTTAACAATTACCAGCAAATTAAATGAAGATTGATAAACATTAAGGAACAAGAAGCTGAGGAGACAATTCGCTAGAATGTGGTAGAGTTCATAGACCATGGTCGAGTCTTTTGTATCAGAAATGTACAAGATTTAGGACAGTGTTCTGGGATTTGAACCCAGAAGCCAAACATTCATTTCTTCGATAACTGCATGTAGTATAAAGTTCGGCTCCAGACATGGACACTGTTTTTAAAGCCAAACGAAAAGGAGGGAAACCGGAGTGCCCGGAGAAAAACCCTCCTAACCGGCGGTCCGAATTTGGTATTTTTATTTTGAAAATGTCGTCATGTTTGCAAGCCCCCAACAGCGCAAATTTATCTGGCAACCCTTGTATAATGCAGTCTTTCTTCAGTTTTGTCAACATGATCCTGGTGGTCTAAAAAGCGTACGTCACCGCTTGTATTCAACAGTCGCATAAAATAAACTTTCAGCTTTCGAAACTGCGCTATGCGTTACATTGGCAACAAAAATTACACTGCATTTCGAAAAGATTTCGGCGAATATGACACGAAAGTAATTTGTATTCTTCGAAATAGAAAGCAAGGACACTCGACTATTGCCTCCTTAATTCTTCATGCTAAGTTTAGGTGCTCTGAGAGAGACACATCAAGTCACATTTTTTTCTACGCCGGACTAACGTCGTCCAAGCATCCAGAAATAAAAGTGATCGGGCCCAAATCACTTGTATTTACTCCTTACTTGAGACGACCAGTTTAAACCAGGGGTTGGGAGAACATGCAAAACTGACTGTAGTTCGAAAATTGAAAACGAAGGAGGTAAACAGCGAAGTGTCCAATGTTGAAGAAAATAACTCTTGAATTACGAAACTGCGAAATTTTCCACAAAACATTTTGGAAGACATGCATTTATGAAAATTTGGGAACATGCATTTATGAAAAACGAAGTGTAATATTTGATGCCAATGCAAATCATTCATTATAAAAGAGCAATTATATAATTATATAACTGCTTTGATTTATACATACATTCGCATTCGTCTTAAAAAAAGACTAATGTGAATTTCATTTCAAACTTTCGAGAATAGAAATATTCAGAAACAGTTCATGCACAACTATCGCCTTAAATAAACGTCTTGTTCGCGCTCATTCTCAGCATGCAGCGCTTCGCAATCGTTGCATTTACACGTAAGTAACAAACAGCGGAACATTTTTAACGAGAAGCTTCGCCGGATCATGCACTAAAATAGAAGAGCTGTATACATTACCTCTGCCGCTAAGCAGCCATGCGAAAATATGGTAATACTTGCCAAAAGGGAGACTGTCACTTGCGGGTAAATGCAACGAGGTTAGACCACCAGGAGAAACGCGCTTGCAGAACAACTACTTATGGTATAACTATGGTATATATATGGAATGGTACCTGGATGAGCTTACTCAACTGGGTCCTCCGACATCCGTCCTTTTGTCCTTGAGTCCATCAACAGCTATCCTCGGGTCATTTCAAAATCCGTCTTTCCGTCCTTGGATCCATCAACAGCTATCGTCGGGTCCTTCGACATCCGTCCTTCTGTCCTTGGGGCCATCCACATTTGTCTTCGGGTCTTTCCAGCCCTGTCAATCATTTTTAAACAGCAATTCAATAACATCATGATTGCTCCGATTTTTCATTCATTCTATGGAATGGATTATTATATGGAACAGTACCTGGATGAGTACTCGAATGGTTCCTTCAACTGTCAACATATATCTTCAGATCTATCAACATCTGTCTTCGCGGGTCCTTCAACATCTAATACGAGTTCTGGTCTTCTGGAAACGATACCAAGATTCAAGGTCTATTACAATTTACAACAGAACAACAACCATGCCTTAAGAACCATTAGTTTTGGAAACGATACTACACGAGTTATAACACATATATAGCATGCATCTCCTCTAAATGCATCTTCACAAACCTTCAACATCTCACTGTAGTTCTTTTTTCCTCGCCATCCCGGTGCACAGACAAATACAAAATTCCCGTTTTTGTAAGAAAGCAATTACTTCTCATGCACACAAATGTTTTAAATATTTTCGTTTCATCAAGTTTGAAAGCAAGATTTGACTTCATGCATGAATACTTTGTATTTTTTTCTCGAAAAAGGCATAGACAAAAGCACGCAACTGTTACCTCCTTGTATCCGTTAACTTTCAACTATGTTTAGGCGCTCTGAAAGCGACATATTTTGCCTATACGCCGGATTATCGTCGTTCAAGCATTCAGAAAATAGAAGTGATCGGGCCCAAATCACTTCTATTTACTCCTTACTTGAGACGAACAGTTTAAACCAGGGGTTGGGAGAACATGCAAAAAAAACTGTAGTTCGAAAATTGAAAATGAAGGAGGTAAACAGAAGAGGGCATCGTGTCTAAGCATCAAATACGACCTTTTAGTTTTAAAAGCGGAACGGAAATCAATCGCTTGAAACTCGATTGTAATTTTTAGGATTTTGTATTTGTTTGCGCTCCTCGATGGGTATCCAAGTGTCACATCTCTTGTGTTTACGACGATGGTGTGCTGGTCTGAAAGAAATAAAAGCGTAATTTTTTTAATGGTTCGTTCTAAGACAGGAAAAGAAAAGACAAACTCGTGTTATCTTTTACCTCCATCAGCACGTATTCAAGCAAGCCTAAAGCCAAAAGATGCAGTGAGAATTTTGATAGAATTCAGTCGGCCATCAGACCACTAATCTCAGCCACTAATCTCGCTATTCAAACTCGATAACCATTTGAACTAGAGTGATAAACAAACAAACGCGCTCTTTAAACTTTAAACGTTTTCGTTCGCGTTTGCTGAAGAAGATCTTTGACTTTCCTCTAGCTTTGAACAAGCTCTTCTCTGCTTTTTCTGACTAGACTTGAGATCCTTGTTTCTTGAAGACTTGAGCATATCTGAGCCTCTCTAGCTCGAATACACACCATCTTAATATACTTGCCGGATTAAACTAACCTCGCACGCAGCTGATTGTGATTGGACGATCCTCTGTTAAACCTCTTGTGATTGGACGATCCTCTATCGATCTATTGTTCCTAATAATCCATTGTCTTATTTCAGATTACCTGAATATATTAACCGAACACCTTTATCATTGTTATTATCAAGAGAACAATGACACAAGAGCTCATAAACAAAGCATTTTGGTCGAATGCAATTTAAACCATAGATAATGAGGCTGAAAGACGTTGATCGTCTCTTTGTATGTATGTATCTCTTAGTGTGTATGGCCCAGTGAACTGGTATGGCCTAGGTTATTCGTCGAATTTTAGTCGCGAGGAATGCAATTCGAATAGATAATACAAGTTTATCATCTCATTATTTATCGTTTGAATTGCATTCGACGCGACCAAAATGCGACGTATAACCCAGGCCAATATGAATAACGTCAAACAAATATCAGAAATGATGTGATTTACATCGAAATATCAAATATGTATTACACAATTCTCTTCACTTTCATTTATAATTTCAATAACATTTTATACATCCATATAGCAGGTTTTACAGAGGAACTGCCTCAAGTTAAATACTTATTTGTAGAGATTATTAGAACAGAAAATTTGTCAATTCTAATATTTCAATATATATAATATAGCAAGCACTGAATAATGCGTGTCTCTCTGAATTGTCTGTCTTTAGGTTTGTTCACAAGATCCCCTATTGATGAAGATTCACTTTCACTTGCAGTGTACATGCGGCTCATTTATTTAAAAACCCTAAATTCAAGATATTTCCGATGCTTTCGCAGGCATCATTAGGAAAATTGAAACCAGTCATTTAGTACTGGCAGCGAAATTAGTAGGAACCTGGTAGGAACTGTTCAAAATTTCCCACGACGTCATGTTGATTACCTTTGCTCCGAAGACCTCAAACAAGCTGGAATAACAAGTGGCACGCGAGATTTTCCTTTTCGTAATCTCAAATTCAGCCACTGATCTTTATTGGGTATGACTTGATTGTTTAGCAAGTCTGTTTCACCATCATAACTTGAAGTACTTGAGAGTAAAGAACTACCGCTGATGGTGCTCAGGTTTGACTCAATTTCGGGGTCCAGGCCATTCTCGCCCACGACGATCCGTTTCCGTTTATTCTTCGGTTGGATCATCAGAAGCCGAACAGCTTCGTTCAGGTGTCGGAAAACGTCGAGCACGGCAAGATCCGATTGCACCGAAGTGCTCAGAGTGGAGCCCTCTGAGGTCAACCAGAGTTTCACATAGTTAAAGTCAACTTGAAGTTGATATGCCCCAATTACACTGAAAACACGACAAGACATGGATTATTACGGTTAAGATATCGCGGACGCTGAGTAGGGGGAAAGAGTGACCCCTCTTACCTTTGGGGGAGAGGGTGGCCCAGGCGGTGGGTGACCATATAAAAAGGAAAAGAAGGAAGAAAACTGACCTGAATTTAATCTGTTCTTTCAAGATGTAACTGCTCCAAGTGTCCATCATTATTTCCACCGTTTGTATCAAGATGGAATTTTGAAGACCCTGGGGCAGTTGTGAGACACCTTCGATGACAGGCTGGAGAACTTGTATGATAGCGTGTTCGACATAGGAACTTGGTGTGCTTGGCAGATTACCTGTAAAAGAGCAGTTGATTTGCCGTTATTATTCCGAAAACAAAAAAAACACCAAGATAAATCGTGTGCAACCTGACGTAGGAATGGCCCATCATTAAGACAAAGAAATTTCCAAGAAAATCTTGACTTACCAGAGGTTCTACTACGTTTCCAAAGACGCCCTTTCGGCATCATCTCTTTCCAGAATTCACTTGCCAACCTGATAAACTTGTGTTTGAAGCTTTCCCACGAGTCAACTTCGATGATCTAAAAAAAGGAGTACAACACGATAGATTTCATTGGAGCAAACTGAAAATTTGGAAAGAAATCTCTTGAAATCTTCGAGACTAAATTCTACATGTGCTGTAGCAGGGGCGTACACCCCTGTGCAGATCCCCACAAACGCATACGATTAGAGAGGAGACTATACCTGAAGAAACCCAGCCTTTCTCTCCATCTCATTCCAATGGTACTTCAGTGCAATCGCGTGATCAGAAACGTTACCCAACTGACAGTGCATTTGCTCCATCAACTGGAGCGTCGCGTTGACTGCCTTCATTAAAATACTCATGTCGTACTGGGAGACGACGAAATATTGCTGCAGGCTCCAGCCGGCTAGAAAGTGCTTGAGTTTCGTCGTGAACCAAAAGATGCAGTAGTTCAGGAACAAGCCAAATCGATCAAACACATCCTTGATACGCACGGCAAGACACGAGGGTGAACGAAGAGTAGTTCTGTTCTCTGTGAATTCTTCCCAGTAGCTGGCTGTGGTGAAGAAATGTTGAAACACCGAACAAGCTTGCACCATGAGGCTGGTGGTCTTTGTCGATGAAATACCGTCAACAATCGATGCTGGTCTGCATTTATCTTGCTGTCCAATAGCAATCATCAGGCAGTGAACTACAAAAGCACCCAACACTTGTCAGTGGAAATAAAAGATGAGGAAAAACGCTTGACAGAACTTATTATAGGGTACTTTAGTATACAGAACAGAAGAGCGGACCAACTATTATTCAAAAAGTTTATAAGAACTCTTCATGCTTTGTATTAAACGCAGCCCAGCTAGTAAACAATGTTGGTTTACATGGTTAAGTCCATGTTTCATTATCTTACTAACTAGTGTCATTAGATGCTGATACAATGACATAACCATGAAAATCAACATTGTTTGTCAAGGCACCAATGCATGCTTGTGTGCTATATAATTCAAAGAAAACTTAGAGTTAGATGAACAGTGCTGGAGACCATTGAAAAATATAATGCTAAAATTAAGCTACATTGCATGTTTGGTTAGCCTACTCAACTACCCAAGAACATACAAAGAAGTCTGAATAAAGTATGCCCTACAGCATTTTTCATAAATTCAAGAACTAATAGCCATTTTTGTATAATTGACCCTTTGAAATACTTACAGCTATCCACACTGGAAAGCACTGATCTGAGATAAAGAGAATGACTGACATGTTGAACTGATTGCATTCCAACCTCAGTAAAGGGACCTACACAAAAACAAAAGGGTCATATATTGTAGACAAATACACAATGTTTTCTTTAAGTGAACTGTTTTAAAATATATAGGTGCTTTCCAAAATTATCTGGTGTATGTTTGATGGGAGGGGTATATTGTAGTTAGTAAGACATGACAGATATTACATGCATTGGCATGGATTTCTGACAGATTTAGATGAGACATGATGAATTATTTCTTGTCAGTTAACTGCAAAAACAACACTCATGCATGCAGGACAATACAGTAACAAGCACAAAAGCTCAGCAAGGGGTCATGATGGGGTCCATAGAAAAATACAAATCTGTCATGGAAGATAAATTGATGTAAAGTTTGTGGCATTGGCAAACACAGCTGGAGATAGGCTCTATTGAAACAGCACAATATTCTGTTTACCATGTTGCTAGGTGGTTACTATGGCTAGACATGAATATCAAGCTGTGTGTACAAGTCAAATAAACATAATTGGTATTATTAAGGGAATGATTCTTTAAACTTATTGACAATTATTTCATCTTTGACAGAGATATATGTTGCAATGATCTATCATTAAATTATCTGGCATTAGACAGAAAAGTATACTAATTAAAATAGGGGCATCTGGACATATTCCCAGGTAATCGATTAACAGGGAATACGCCTAAATGTGCGTAAATAAGCAACCTATTTTGTCTCACACTTGAAAATACACTTCATCACAAGAAACATTTGTGCATTAGTAAGTTCACTTAACCATCCTCCATAGAGTATTAAACGGAAATGGCCAACTATGCATCAAAGCACGTAACCATGCAACTAACCTGTCGCTGCCAAATTATCAAAATGTTGTGTGATCCCCATAACAACTGCCGTGGACCAACAGCACAAAGGTCCAATGGTAGTACTTGTAGAATATGGCCATTGTAACATTTCGAGAATGCTATAAAACTCGGAATCAAATCTATTCCATAAATCATCACTGTAAAAAGCAAATAACTGAAACTTTGCTTTTGACGGCTTTGACTCCATAAATAATGCACGGAGATCTTGATTTGAACCTTGGTTCTCCTGTGCTGGGCTGCACGGGGCAGTCTGTGTTGAGACTTCATGAACATCATAATACTCGGAAGGGTCTGAGCCATCCATTAGAGCCCTGATTGAGTTCTGTTTCATTTGACAGGCAAGACAATTGGCTTGCACTACACTGCACTCCTGACTACATGTCGTTTGATTGTGTTTCTCACAAAACTCATTCGGCTGTCTTCTGACTTCATTCTCGTGATGCAAAACAGCACAAACAGAGGCAGTTCCCATCAACTGCTTGATAAACTCCTCTTCTTTATAACCATATTTCTTGATAACCAGCTGCAATTTTCCGTAGCGAACATTTCCAGTGCACTCCAATAGATCCTGCGTTGACAAGTGTCCGTCAGGATTCCACGAAAATCTTGTGGTTGATAAGAAATCCTGCAATTCTACAGCTTTCGATTCTTGCACAAAATGCTCATGAGTCAATCTTGCCAGCAGTTTTGATCTTTCAACACATATGACTGAGAGAATCTCCACAAGATCTAAGGTTGGAAGCGTACTGCGAAGAACAGCACATATGTTCTTCGTATTGAAACCATAAACATTCATTGAGTCTGCACCATTCTTTATCTGGGCCGATATAATGTGGTTGAACTCCTCAATACCTTGTAGAAAATTCTGCAGATCAACAGTGCTTGAAAGCTGCTTAAAACTTGCATTTGCCAGAACTCGTACACCAGCTACAGCAATCATATGCAACCAGTGTAAAATCTTACGCCTTACACACAAGAAAGACTGTTTGAACTTCTGAATTCTTGTGCGAAGGAGGACAATGCAACGAACTGGCAAAGGCTGTTGGCTTAATTTGTACTCAATATGTTGCCAATGAAACAAATGAATCTTAGCTTCTTTGCAAACCTTATGGTAGTAATCTAAATTGAGACCTTTGTTTTTGGACAGGCCATGACAATATATAATATTTAAACGGGTCAGTTCATTTTCAACGTAATTTTCAAGCTTTTTCTTGAAATTTAACGCACATACAAACCGTTTAAGACATTCTTGAGTAAGTTTTAGCTCCGTAGTAGTCAATAGATGGGCTTGTAATGCCTTTAAACGGTAACAATACACTGAACCACTAGAAAAATGGCTAAAACATGTTTCATTTTTAGTTGCCAACAGGAAAGGTTTTTCAGCGTTCGAGAGCCCTTTAGTAATCTTGAACGATGAAGAAATACAACCATTTGTTCCACTTTTATGAAAAATCCCATCTTGACAGCTTGATTGTCCTTGAACTTGGTCCAAACCCTCAGCCATGATGATACAATTTACAGTTATACACGAGAAACTATGGGAGGAATATGGAGTAAATCTTCGGCCATACACCCGCTAAATTCCGTTGTTTTCGCCAAGTTTCAATCATCGTTTTGATGTTTTATATATAGAACAAGATGATATTGTACAAACGATGTTTTAAAGTAGCACATTCATGACAATATTTTCAATGAAATTGATTGCAGTAATTTCAAGAATGGGAAATGAAGCGGAAAATTTCAAAACAAAATCTACGTGAATCGCCGGAAATAATCGGATTCCTCCGGATATCGCCAAGGCAACGAATGACAGGGGGGGATAAGGAAGAAGCACTGAAGAAGTTTTGTAGGTAATTTCTGAAACATTTCCCACTAACTTATAACCGGATTTTACGACAGGATTTTATAATAAACGACTCGTTTTCTATAGTACAATACTCTATTCTTCATAATAGAACAATGTTTTATAATTTCTGCTATTGAAGATCAAGTCTGTTTCAATGTTTAGCATTGCATATGTTGCAACAGTAGACCAATCTATTATTGCACTCTGCCTTTCTTTCCACACTTATCCACTGTTCAAAATTTTCCCTTCTTTTGCCCTCAACATCGAATGCCTGTTCCAACTGACATGAACACACCAAAGGTCCCTCCTCCTTGCAACATGGACTTTCCAACCAGACTTGTAAGCTCTCTACCCCGTAATCCTGCCCTGAAATTATTGGACAATGAACATTGACACCCAGCACTCTATATATAGCTATGAACATTTCATCCCATTCCCAACAATGTCCCTTAATACTACCTCAGTGCAGCAAATGTCCCAAATAATCCAGCGGCGCTCATACCAACCGCAAATCCAATCGCAAAACCCATTTTAATGCGATCAAAACAACTCACTTGATGTCCTCTTTGTGCCATCGTTGTTTGATGAAAAAATATGGAATTATTGAAAATACAACACGGAGATTGGGGGAAATAGACAAAAAATGTGCCTTGCTAAAAATGTTGCTGGAGGATTGGGCCTAGTATTCCAATATCAGGTAATTTATTCCTGATTATTCAAAATGGCGGAGAATATGTTTTCTGCGCATTTTTGCGCATTTTGCGATAATCAACTCAGCCAGTAATTTAGACTTTCACAGTTCAACATTGGACAGTTGCACGAAAAGACAATTCTTTGAATGACTTACAATAAACGGACAATTAAAAGTTTACCTTCAATAAGCATGCAGTTACCTCAGTGTCACCCGGTGGACGAAATGAATTTTCAGACAGAGTTTTGTTCCATGATTTTTGCTCATGTGAAAAAGTCCGAATGAATTAATGCTATTTTTTACTGTATGTCTATATTTTTCTATTCAAGTCAGTCTTGGTTGAACAGACCCAGCACCGCCAAATCTTATCCATCACAGACAGTATGGCATCCGTTTACAAAGAGCTAAATAAAAAGTATTCTCTAGAAAATATCACCGGACATTTTGGGTCTGCTCCATTCACTGAGGCAGTAAATAATGATGCAGTCCATCAAAGCAATAATAAACCGAGAAATACCGTTGCATGATGGGAAGTAACAATCAACAGGAGATTGAACTAAAGCACTAGTCCATTTTGATTGGTTTATTCCGCCAGAAACAACGCCGAGAATTAATAAGTATGCAAATTTAGAAAAGGTTTTGTACACTACGGTTAGAAATAAGCATAAAACTAAGATTTCCTGATACATTTATTAGCAAGACAATACGATACGCGTCTGAAATATAAGAATCCGGTTGAAGATTAGCATTTAATTTTCAAAAAATGTTTGGGAAAATAAATAAAAGAAATTTCACGCCTCCACACACATCATTCCGCACATCTGCCATGGAAAAAACTGTTTTTCAAATTGCCAAAAAAAATCCGCCCACCTGTTACATTATTAATTCTATATATATCAGACGAGAATAATATTTCAAATGTTTCATGTCAACGTGCAGTAGGAAATATGGGTCCCTTGGCAACACGTTTAATTTCACGTTTGGCTTCGAAACTATAGCGCATGAAATGAAATGGTAACCATGCGCGCTTAGAATCCAAATTTTCGCTCACTTCAAACTTCCAATTGAACTTTAGGTTCCTAATTGGTTCAAAATCAATAACGGGAAAGCCGAATAAAAAAAGTTAGTTCGGAATAGTTGAAATACAAACAAAGTACTCTTTCATTTGTCTAGCTAGTTATAGAGACAATTTTTTAAAATCTCTGCCTAACGAGTGGGACAATTGAATTGATTTCTTTCGTAAGGATGTATCGCATTTCGTTAAAGTTTCGATGGCATAATTTCTTGTTCAATTTGTTCATATATTAGATGTAATTGCAACGGTTGTGTTATCTATCAAAGCAAGTGTGCGTTACATATATTTCTCCCTTCCCTATGTCGGAATTACCGACCACCAGCCCGTGTGATATAATTAATGTCTCATGCCATATAAGGCACATGTTCGTTTGCGCAGGTGATGTGATTCGTCAATATTTATGAAACTTTTTTGATGCCGGCTTACGTTCAATTTATTCAAAGCGACATGATAGTTTAATAATAAATTTCCTCGAGTAACGAGAAAAATAAATCGGCTCAGACTGTCTTGCGGTTATGCCTAGATGTAACTCTTTCGGTCGCGTTCAATACAAATTCACAACGTATTTCAAAAGTATCTTTTTTCGCGTTTGTTTCCAAGTTGGAAAATATTAAGAGGTTCGTTAGTACAAATACATGAAATACATTCTGCAAGTGTAAATAGATTCTCGCTAGTGTCATTTGGCTTAGGCTCTAATGAAACTATTGTCATTGAGATTTAATGAGCCTGTGACGTCACGAATTAGAGGTCATTCAAAAAGATTTTAAAGCATTCTGCATAATACACTAACGCTCATCAAAACAAAGCCTCCGTCTTGAACGAGACTCTCACATATATAAGCTCGTTGATCAGAGAGCTTGCAAATCCAATGCGACAGACATTGTTCTGCAGTTGAATAGAGAGATACAGCCCACTCGCTTTGAACAAGCGATGCAAGAATTGACATTTTAAAGTGGTGCGTTTTGAGACATAAGGAATGGGGGTGTTTTTCATCGAATTTCTTCGATCGCTTAAGAAGCCGACGAAATACATGCTAGGACGAACTTTATTATTTTTCGTCTATCTCGTCTTTGGCGCGCTGGTATTTCAGGCCATCGAGTCTGGGGCTGAGAGCGGCCGTAAAGAGCAACTGGAGTCGATAAAACAGAAAGTTGCTAGAAAATATGGCATAAGTGATACAGATTTAAAGTTACTCATAGATGAAATTGAAATGGCTGTTGACGGCGGTTACTTGAAGGCAGACTACGATCGATGGAACTTTGCTGGCTCCTTGCTCTTCACCAGTACAATTGTTACAACAATAGGTACGTTATGTAAGCTTTTGAGTTTTAAGCCAGTTCTCAATGTCGTCTACCCTCATCAATTGACAGAGAATATAAGATTCGTCTGTGCGCGCTAAACTACCTGGGAAATCCATCGTATACTACATATATATCGGTCAATTTGTGCGACAGTAATCGTCAAAGGCTAGTCGTGTAGTGCGGTCCTTTTTATTAGGTGGTCTCTAATTCTATTTGGCTTGAAATCTATATTCTTAAAAAAAGCCTGGGACTTCTATTAAGCGGTTACACAGTATATTATTTTACGATTGTACAATTTGAATATATAAGATTCAATTCAAATGACAGCTGATATTGAATTATCGAGGGAAAAAAAGCGTTAAAGCGTGTTTCCTGTTCTGCTCGCCAATATGTAGATATACAAACGACAAATAAGGATTTGCTGCCCGTAAAAAAGAGATTTTTTATGAATGTTCAATATCAAAACGTTTTTCCTAAACAACACGATTTGTTTTCTTTACCACCGGCTGTGAGAATATCCTGAACGGTGGAAGATGCCCTATTTCTCGTGAAAATTCTAATCTCGAGACGTCCTTTAGTTTGTTTTGCTCAGGGAGAAGACAGGGTGAAGAGCGTAAGGATACTCTGCGGTGCCGGTCAATATCTCAACAAAAATCTCGCGCGGTGATCAAAAATAAATTTAATATTAATTATATTTATAGAAAGTCTCCAAGCTCGCCTATCGCTTTATAATGTAGCAAAGATTTAGTACGAATATCCGTCATCACTACTTCAAAACTATCCGTTTAAACGGAACGGTATATATACTCTAAATGGTCTTGTTCGGTTTATTTATGATAATACAACGATACCACTTTACAAAGCCATGATCTGTTTGAACGCAATGAAGAACGTAATAGAGATTCAGAAGGGAATATACTTGAAAATAATAAAAAGCTAAGCATTTGGAGAGCATAAAAAAAGGTCGATGACGATGATATAAGCCTATTTCAATCCCACGCGCGGATGCTTCAGATAACGTCGAAAGTTATTTGCTTGCATATTATACATGCATCTTACATACTATCATCTGAAATGCTTCCCACGACAAAGCTGGACTGATTCATGCCGACCACAGCAGTCTACAATATATAACTGCCTGCCTGCTGACTTCACGACCAACGGAAAAATTTTTCAGAATTGTCGCTGCGAAATTATTATGATACTCAAAACTAGCAACTCAGAACAGCAAAATTTAGTACACACACGATGCGATTTGGCGTCGCGACGCGATTTTTTAGAACTTTAAAAAGTAAATAAAGATGTCTGTGATTGGGAATTCTGGCAGACGGTCATGTGAAATAAATCAGAGGAAAGTTACTGCTCTTCTTCTTCTTCAGGAAACCAAAGTTGTCAGCCAGCGATGATGCCGTTAATTCAGCACGCTGGCGAAACGAATTATTTTCTCGCATACACAAAGTATCGGTTTTAAGCTAACTGTACTAGGTTTTAATCTATCTTGCCGATCAAAAAATGTTGAATTCAAACATATTTTTGATGATTTGCTTATTGAAACTGATGAACTGGAATCAAAAGTTAGACATCTTAGATTGATGATATCGCCGGCGTCGCAATTAATATAATGGTTTATTTGTCGCACACAATGCCTGTCGTATCCATTACATATTAGCTTTTTGAAATATTTATTCACAAATATCTTTGCGTTGATATGTATAACATGCTGAATACACCACATCCTACTAGCTTAGGTATTTTCGCAATTTTTCAGGCGACCTCAAATCGGATTTTCTCCTTTGAGGGCTAAATAACTAGTCGACGCTCGTCTCTGTTGATATATACCTCTCTAAGAAATATGCTTCAAAAATTCTAGGAAGAACTGCTTGTAGTTTCTGACATAGTAAAAGCAAGCATATAACCACAAACCTATGAATATTTTGCCATGCAACGAAATTCATGAAAGATGTAGTTCGAAATACACTGATCAATTGACATAATAACTTTTGTAGTAAACATTTTAATGGATCTTTACAAATGCATAAAAATATGATTTTGGCCGGCATTATTCTTTCACGTTGTGGCAATGAATTTTAACCAATATTTAAAGCCAGGTTCTGTTATTCTGTTACGTCACCTACTCATAACTATAAGTTGATTGCAAAGACACAATTGATTCGTGGTGAACCACCGTCCGTAAAAATAGTATGTCATATTTCGATATTTCCGATGGAAAATGCGTTATGATAAGCGAGGTAAAATTTGAAATTAATCGAACATCCATTTAAAAAAAAAACGAATGAGAATGTAAATCAGTCAATGTAAGTAATGTCTATAAGTAATGCAGGTAAAAGTTTTATAAATGGTCTTGTTTCGATTCAAACAAATAACTCGGTATAAGAACGTTGGGCATTTACTCGAATTCAATCATGAAAAACATTTGGGCGTTCGTGAGTCTCAAAAATGATAGGCATTTTGTGATTTTTCCCTATGAACCTCTTCGGGAATTTTTAAACCTGCGATGACATATAATCATCGCAAAAGAACTGGTCAGATAAGATCTTGACAAGCTGACATAAATAAATGATCAGAAAAAGGCGAGGACAAGTTCGACGTGCGAGGCAGCGAGGGGTGAAATGAACTGCCTGATTTAATATAACTGCCGTCCATGTGCATGTGATAATCTATTTGAGATAACGAGAGAAAATATCAAACAAAGGAATGAAACGCAAATCATGCATGTGCTATGAAAACTCGATTCAGCCATTTGCTCCAAGATCTCTTCGAAAGTGAATCTCATCTCGGCATAGCGCACACAAATATATTCAAACATTTACTCGGGACCACGCCTTTACTTCCAAATACGGTGGCTAACGTTCTATTAAACTATTTTGACTAAAAATATAAACGAGGCCAGGCCGGCTTTGTTCATTAAAGTTTCCATTTTTTCCGGCAAAGATCTTATGATTATCGTTATTGTAATTAATGAAAAAACTCCCAGCGTTTAATGAACGACCAATATCGTGATGACACCGTGCATGTCTGATGGTAATGGTAAAACGTTTTCTCACATTAATAAGAATTTTTGCTTAGAAGGAAAATGTGTTTTTCTTAATGTGTTACTCGTTAGTTGATCCGTTAGTTGATGTAATGTGCCGTTGTGAACGTGCTTGAATGGTAATTATATAACAAACACCTCCTTCACTACACTTACGAGACAGAATCTATACAAAGACAAATGCTGCGCTTATTACCAACCACCAAAGACCAAAGGCTCTCTGCCATTTCTAAGTTTCCTTGCTCTTTGTTTTCCTTGCTCGTGAAACCGCTTTCTTCGGACCGTTAAACTTGATTATTCATTTAAAAGATTGCTCATCTAAAACATGTTTCGGCACGCGAAATAATCAGAATTCACAATCAGATTGTGGGCTCTCCAAGGTAATTAATTGTTGTTAATAAATTGTGTCAAGTGGGCGAAAGTGCAGAGGCATATTATTCCCACAAAGTAATCACCGATGTACGAACGTTCAAATATGAGATACCGACAAGTATTTAACACTTCTCTTTCAACAATAGGTGTTTATGACAGTGGTGTGAGTTAGGAAAGTTTTGAGAATGTGATAGTGTAACCATGATACCGTTAATACCGTGTCTAGAATCAATATCGTTGGTCATTTCATATCTATGATCTTTCCTGCGATTAATTTTGTAATTAATAAAGAATCATCCACGTAGGCTAGACGCAATCCGAATAAACGAAATGGGTGGGTTGGAGCAGTTGTGTACAAAATAATCGAAAGTTGCAAAAGGTGACCAGTTAAATCTACCTCCACTAACTAACCATAGTTGAACAGTGGTTTTATAGTCAGTTGGCAGACATCTCAAATTTGTTGTCAAATTGATTCATTTTCCTTTTTTCAGGCTACGGTCACATGACACCCATAACCACCTGGGGTCGTACATTCTGCATTGTCTATGCGTTGTTAGGAATTCCAATAGCTGGGCTCATGCTAAAATCCATCGGCGAGAAGGTGGCGGAGATATTACCCGAGGTGATCACGAGCGTGGAAAAACGACTTCTACGGAGAGAAGAGCCTGTGAACATTCAGTTCAAGACGACACTCATTGTATTCGCCATCATGGCCCTGTTACTGTTAACCTTGGCAGCGTTTGCGCATGCCTATGAAGGATGGACATTTTTCGAGGGTTTCTACTTTGCTTTTATCACTCTCTCCACGATCGGCTTCGGAGACTTCGTTCCACTTCATCCAGCGGATACAAGCAAGCATAACGGACTTCACACGGTGTTGTTCACAGTGTTGACATTCGTGTACATCACCGTTGGCCTGGCAATAGTCTCCAGTGCCCTACTGTCGATCAGCAGGTTGTTCGAATGCAAAGAGCCAGTGGAATTTATGAAGATACCATGTTCCGAATCGGATGAGAGTTTAATTTTGAGCAAAAGTGAACATGACAAGTCGGAAACACCTTGAAAAATCTTAAACAAACGTCGTAATGGAAGTTTAATAAACAACACGGTCAACACCCGTCGTATCTTCTTCGCGGATTAAGTGAACTTTCTTTCTAAATTATATCACTCAGACAACTCTGAAGGATACGAATGTTACGAATGTTTCTATGAACTTTAAAAATGCCTGAATTTAGGACGAGGCGTCGCAGGTTAACTGGTTTGCCGAATTCTACCAAGTTTCAAGCAAAACAAAATGCAAAACTCATGAAAATTATGACCTTAACTTTAAAATATCGTCTCCAAAAGTATTCACCTAATTTCGAACATTCGCTGTAAACGAACATTCGCTGTGAACAAATTTGATCAAAACTCATTCTAAAAAGTGACGTTGAAGTGCGAAACTGTACCAATTGATTCTTATCATTGGCGATGGTAGTTGTTAGTGTTCTTCTCTAATTTGTTATTTATTTAATTATCAAGATCTCCTAGTCGGTATCTCCCTGAAAAGGAACTACGGTCGGTGACGGAAACTTACTAGTTCTTCATTTCTTGTTTGTTAAACTTCCTAAGGACTAAGCCGAGTGTGTGTTGAATGAAATTAAGATAAATTTATTGCTGTGCAATTACTGTAAAGTGTTATTTGAATTTTCGTGAATGAAAATAATAAATTAACTGTACGATACGATGATGAGTTTGATTTGCCTGTAACAGAATGGATTTCAGTCAAAGATGACAGTAAACTAGAGGGTTGTGACCACTTTGTTTTCATATTGCCTAAATAAAACCTTGTTCGGTTGTTCCTATAGGTAGAACACACGTCTCCCTGGTAAAAAATGCTGCCATATTTTAATGCAGATCCTTTAATTCAAATTCTCCGTTTTTAGAGAAGCATAGTTTTGTACCAAGAGATCTATAACTCCAAGATTAAGGACAATTCCAACAACATTGAAATTACTTTAAACAAAATATCTTTTCATCAAGATTGTGCCAAGAATATTGTTTAAAAATAATTTCAATTCATTTGCTGGCACATTGGCACAGCTGCAGTGTCCTGCAAATTGAGGGGTATCAATGAACACTATTCACTCTCTATTGGTACGTGAATTCCGTGAAAGCGATTACGTAGTAGGTTCCAGGAACATCGCTGCCCATATGACGTCATCAGGTGAGAGAAACTTGATGGCGTCATATGGCGCGTACAAGAATCCTAATCGAATTCACTGTCCTGACAGGATTGGTCGGTATTGGCTACTTTGTGAAAGCCGAGCAACGATGGGTCTTCCATAGCAGCGCTGATTGATAACATCATGCTAGATACGATTGCCAGACCGATGGTAAAATATAGCAACGTCATTACCGTAAATACAGTCACGTGGGCAGCATATGCGGCCGTGTCTTGACCAGGACATGGATGGAGTGGGACCAAATCACCAAATCCTGGGAATCGAAAGAAGCGCAGTCAAATGATTGTACGAAAGTCAGACTTCGGTTTGGTAGTTGGCTTTTCCATGGGCGTTATCGTGGGGATGTTCCTAAACCTGGGGCAAACTTCCTCCTCTGCCTTTCCCCTTTTAGGAAGCTGAGTAAAATATGAGGTGATAAATCAGATACACAGATACTTACCTATAGTACTTAGTGTTACAAAACCAAAGTAGATACCATCGAGAAATGACCATTGTTCACTGTAATGTGCGACGCAGGCGATGAGAAGAATCATTGTAAAGGCCATTAAAAATGTCACAAGGGTGCATTTCAAACCCACATTTCTGGGATCACGTTTAAGAAATCTCTTCTCGAATTCTGATATGGCTCTTGACACCCCATATGATATCATGTATCCCAAACGAGCCAGCAACATCCATGTCAGAGGTATTCCAATTAGTGCGTAAAATATGCAAAATATACGACCGCTGTTCGTCGTCGGAGCGAGATGACCGTAACCTGCAAGAGATAGCAAGATTTTACGACACGTGCGTTATTGACTGGAGTTTGAAACTGGGCACATACTAGGCTATACCCATGATCGATGAATGTTAACTGGGGGCTTACCAGGGAAGTCAGGTAGGAGAGAGTTATCATAGTTGAGAATGAATCGAAGAGTTGTGATGAATGATGATGGCCTGGATCGTCATGCCAAACAATCAGATGAGTACATCCCCTTTAAATCTCATCAGAATTTAACACGCTCAAAACTGAGGAGTCAAATTAACGCTGGGCTAACTGGTTCAAAATTGAGCCTTCTTAGTCAGGTCCTTTTATAAAGAGGTCTGGTCAAACCTTACCATTTGAAATCATCCCTAATGAATCGCTCCCTTTTAGAAGCTCTATAAGCGCACCGCCATCACTTTACATAGAGTAAACTTGGCATAAAAAGAAACGAAATAATGTCCGGACGGTATCCACATTGCATGCTCGCAAAGAAAGAGATTCTTGTCTACCAGCTGCCTGTTGAAAGAAGTTCAGTTGCAAACAAAGGATCGACAGTAAACATATACGTAGAGTTTCCACAATAATACTATATTGTTTAACTGCGGGGAAGTAGAGTAATATTTGCCTTGCCATGAATATTTTATCGCTCAAAAAGATAGGCGATAGGCGAGACGTCGCTATTTTTACAATACGCAAGTCGCAAGAGTGTTTCCAAAGATAAGGTTGCTACTACGCAAGGCTTTAGTCTAGACTTTAAAAATTAAAAAAGTCAAGTTTTTTCAGTGTTATGTATATATATTTAGCTGTTTCTTTGCTATCGAGGGCGGTGAAAATTGTGAACCAGATGGTTCAAGTAAGGCCACGTTTACATAGTGCGATTTAGTCGGTAATATAAAGATGATAACTGACTGAAGAAGATACATCATTGATGTCATCTCAAGACTTGTCCGGCAACATTTGTCAGCAACGCCAACGTGCAGTCGGTGCAGAAGAACCTTAGTTCCCAGATGTTGAGATTGTTCAAATCAATGATATTATGACAGCGAATGCTTTCTGGCCCTGTGTGCTCAAGGAATTAGTGTCAACATTCCTGTTGTTTTGCCAAAACACACCTTTTCGTCTTTAAAAGCCGATATACTCGCTTCATCTCAGTTCGATAGGGTAAAAATCATTATAAGCCTATAAGTCTTTAATTACCATGCAATCGCCCAAAATAATTGCACAAAATAATTGCTGTTCTTCTTCCAATGCGCTAATACTAATATGCATTAGACAATGATTGCGAAAATAAGAAAAGCAAATGGCTTTTGATTTGTGATAAGATTTCGAATTCTATTGCATTCAGCATTCTTTTGTCGAGGCTACAGTTCACATCAACTTTTCTTTAATTTTATAAACTTGATTATATTTATCGATGTATTTCGTTATGCCGATGGCAAAGCATACATGGACACCTGAATCTCATGCATCTCTGATTAGAAAAACACTGCAAGCACAAGACTACCTGCAAGTCAATTAGTCAAAAAACAAAACCGCAATTACCATGGGTAATAACGATGTTCTCTATATATATCGTTTCACACTGTCTTCTGCAGACACTGGAATGTTATATTACCACATTGCTGACATCAGGTTAGCTCTTATGAATAATGAAACATATCAAACAATTTATTTCATTCTAACTTCAATAATGTGGAAAAAGTGTCTTCAATTGGCAGTTGGTTATTGATTTACTTCCGGAGCAAAGATACTACTCGGCGTCAAGTTACATACATACGAACAATCGATATTGTTAAAATCGGGATAATTACAGGTAATTGTGCCCCCTAAGGATAAATGTATTCTTTTCTTGGACGAATTTAATCGAAGCAGCAGTTGATAGACTTGATTTACACCAACCCAACCTCTTTTACCCATTATTGTCAATGCATAATATAACTATGATGATTAAACAATGGACGAAAGTTTCTCCAATCTATCTTCTATGCCAAACTAAATGATTAATTCTCAACATGATCCAATGTTTACTTACCGATAGTGGTAACGACTGTGCCTGAAAAGAACAACGCGCCAATGAAGTTCCATCGATCGACCCATTCATCTGAGAATCCCTGATCTGCGATGGCCTGTATCAGTTTGATGAAGCGTCTTAAATCCTCCTCTGTAACATTGTATTTTCTTTGTAAGTCCTTTCTTGAGTTGAGTAGAAGTCGTCTTTCACGTGCCTCGTTCTCCAGTTCGAGGGCTCGGAAAACGAATGCGCCGAAGATTAAGTAACAAAAAAACAGGAATAACTGGACAAGAAGGCTGGACGAACTTGTTGCCGGTGCTTTGTCCATACTCTTCATCCTGAAAAGCGATGTGCATCGAATTCGTCAGTGCAATGAGCAGCGAACTGGCACTAAATAGACGCGAGTAACAACATCTGTCTATTTATCAGCTCGAAAATCAAGAGTTGCCTGTGGGCGGACAAACTTGATCACACACACACACACACAAATCATGCCATTCCCTGCAGCTCTATTCCTTATACATAAACTGGTAAAAAGTAGACCGCGATGGGTATTCCAACAAAGCGTATCTCGCTTAAGTCTATAAAACTAACTTTATTTATTAAGAATCGCAATAATACGCACTAAACGCAGCTGCTTAGTAAAGCGCGTGTGTGTTCATTTCTTTGTTTGGCGCAACTGCGCGCCCGTCAGCAGGTGCTAGTCCCGCGTGGGAGGCATTGCACATGCGCGGAAAAACACATCCAACGGTTAATTAGTCATTTCTGAAAAAAAAATCATTTCGTTAGCCCCAAAAAAGGAGCATTTTCGCAGCGCGTAATTATCTCGCGACTCGAAGATTGGCTGGGAGGTGGAGTCATGCTAAAACAGCTCAGTTTTCACCCTTCAAATGTAATCATTTCGAATGCGCAATCATCTTGCTCAACCCCAAGAAATTAAGATGTTATAATTGGATATTTCGAAACATTAGGATGGAAAATTCTTTGTATTCAACTTCCCATTATTTTTTACTCATAAAAAGTTAAGTCGCCTTGCGCTTGTACAAATAAATTAACATTTAAAAAAAATTAAACTAAGAGAGAAGGTTAGCCTAATTTAAAGGCTCTTTGTGAAGGTATCGACAGGCTTCGGGTTTGTTTCTTATCGCATTACATTCGATCCTTACAATCCTTTCAATTCGATAGAAATTTTTGTCTGGCTGGCTGAGAGGCCCTTGAAAGAAAATCGATTCTGTTAATGCATAAATGTATATTCGTAGTTCTGACGCGGTTGTATGAAAATTATTATTCTAAACACATGCGTGCAATTATCATTTATTATAGTTGAAATGATAAAGATCACGTATGCTTATCTTATCAAGCAAGTTCTGTCTGTGTAATCTCACATAAATATCGCATGCATGGAATAAAACCAGAAATGAATAAATATAACCGCTTGTTTGGAAACGGCATGAACTGACCCGGCTGGTTGATTCAAGGGAAGTGTTTTACCTCCATGGAGTATAAATATATAAGATCGTGGTTTCAATTAAGAGTTCTCATCCTAGACACCCTATTTATATGCAAAATATGCCTGCTTTAAATGTAATTACTTTTTTTCCTTTTCTGACAAATTTTACTTCTTTTGTTTAATCAGAAAAAGAGGGTGTTATCTGCTGAATCTTGACAATTCAGCTTGACTTTGTTCTTGGAAAACACCTGCGACATTGCAAGTTTTGTATATGTCGATTCGAAAAGCGAAAATGATGATTCATTTTGTAAAGAAGGCTACGGCAACACATAATAGACAGCCCTGGGCCTGATTGAACCCGCTAACTACAGTTATAACATACATACCAAATCTCCGGAGAGTACCAAGATTAGTATATAGCAAATTAACCGTCATTACGCAAAGTGTAAACCCATGAATTCAGTTGATTCGTTCCAATAATAGGAAACATAGAATGATAGACAATATTGTAAGAAAACCACACAACATCGATAATATCCACCAAGAATTCTATAAAAACGGACGAATGAATCACAGATGGAACTGACGGACAGGTGTTGTAACAAGTGAAGTTCTAACTCAAGGGATGCTTCGAAATTTCGTTTATTTAGTAACCTACCCATGTTCCGAAGAGGTCGCGACAGAATAAGCAAACTGTTTGGTTATAAGCGTGTTTTACTGGACTACATTTGCCAACGTTACTTCTCACCTAAAATGTACGGTTTAGAATTTATACTGCATGTTTTCTTAGCACGATTGCATGTTCGTTTATTACTCTGTGCATATTTCACCAATCTCACCTTATTCACGCTGTCTTTTATGAATTTCTTGATCACTTCAACAGTGTGAACCGCTTGACGATCGACAATCTGATGTGAAGGTTGGAAACAGGACACAAAGCTCTCAAAGACAGTAAAAATTAAATGTATAAATTGCTTCAATTTTACCTCGTGCGCAGTTCGTTCCAAAGTGTCGCTGGCAATATTAGAATATAAATCACTCATGATGTTGAAGCTTTCCTACAATGGAAATAAAATAAGCGAAAATACATCTGACGCTTTCAGATTTTGGTCTAGGAAAAAGATAAATACCGGATAATGATGTTGAACGTGGCTTTTCGCTCGCGTCAAATGCAATTGACACATCATTAACCCTAACAATCATCTCATTATTATCATCCATTGTCTTATGCATGCATTCGGGGAAAATGCAACGTTTAATCTACACCTAATATTTACAAATAATGTTTAATTAGTAATAATTACACTCACAAAAGCTTTCTCTCTTGACTTGTTGAAGCTTTCTAAATGTCTATTCAACAATTTCTAAAAAGGGGAACTTTGAATGAGCTTGTCAAAGATCTGATATCTTAGGCCTTTTTCAGACGTCCAACGTTCCATCTGCCGAAACTAATGTTAATGAGCTAAAGTCGTTGTTAAGCTCATTTGCATTCGATTCGGCACATGAAACAGGCCATAAATCTTTAAAGGAATTTCTGAGACAATAAATTGAAAGATTAATTGCATTCCTCACCGACAGCACTGAATAAAGTTTGATATAATTTTCTTCAATGACATGCGCATTATTTGATAAGTTTCGGGACATCTTAAAAGGTGTGCGGGTCTGTACAATACAAAAGAAAACTAAAATTCAGCACTAAAATTACGATTTACTTGTCTCACATTCAGGACATGTTTTTCCAAAGAAAATTTCTCCGTTTAAAGCGAATAAAACACTTACCACATTTTCTTTCTTTTTGCCTGAGTGTGGTTGATAGGACGAGAGTAAACTCTTGCTCAGTTTTCGGAAAGATTTATCCAATATTGGATTATTCACCTACCGTTGGAAAAAATTGATGTTGAACCTCGACATGTGAGCGCTATCAAACTCTAAAAGCGCACCTGTTCAGCTAATGCATCAATGTTAACCTTCCCTAAACCGATGTTTCTCCATTCTCGTAAGATTCTATCAAAGTCTTGCAAATGCTTTTGTCTTCCCTTATCTAGTAGAACACCTCCGTCTCCAAACACGCGATCTGCAATGCGAGGAATTTCCTACATATGCCAAAAAACGAGAAATACTTACTTTCAACTATTAAAAAGGCTGAAGAAAGAAGTCTCAGTTAACGTACATTCAGTTTATTAACGCTATTGTTGATGTTAAATTTTTCATCCAGGTTCAACATCACCCACAAGGTACCATCTTCTGGACATTCGCTAAAGGAAGAAGGGAAAATGCTCAGGCTGGTGTCCTGGCTAACCCTGGGTTAAATTTTAATCCAGTGTTTCAGTTTATGTGCATGCTTCTGTGTTAACTTTGTAAACAAGCATGATGAATAATTGGTTGAACTCTAGAAAACGTCTGCAACGAACCTGATCTTTTTGAACAGTTTAAGTGATTTTTGTTCCTTGGTAAACAATTTAGATTCTTGAAGGAATTTAGATGTGTCTAATATCTGTAAGACAGTGGGAATATGATTTAGTGATTATCGCGGATTCAAGTGAAATAAGTTATATCAAACATGATTCACTCCACATACATTATCCAGTCTCTCGTAATGCGAGGACATCTCACAGACGAGCGCCAAGTTAGAGACAACCAGAAAGGCCACTCCAGCACACAAATTCACAACGATGGCCATGGATAGTTGAACAACAGTAGAACTTAACAGAAAATGAAAGATGCATACATTATTTTTTTACAAGTTTCTAGTTCCAAAGTTTCAATCTCAGGTTTCATGAGTGTGACTGCAATAAAACCATGCAACAATCACCATATAACATGTACCTTAAAAGAAGTCGTTTTGGCAACCAGAGAAGCCATTTTTTCGTTTCCATCATGTAATAAGTGTTGAACGGTAGACGTGAAACATACGGACCAACCAGGTTCAAAACGAGGCTGCCAAATATTGACAACGATGCCATAAGCATGACTTGGATGATTAAAAAAGAAATCCACCACCTTGTACAGAAGGATTATTCATAAACAGTGTTGTTTCCCATTAGATTCATTGTTTGTTTTTGTTGTGCAGTTGAAGAATTGCACAAAAACACATCATGAATGGTGGTATAACGCACCTCTTGTGTTCATATCGCCCAATATTGCCATCGTCTGCCAGAGTCATGTCAACTTCATTTTTCATTGGAATCAAAGATTTCTCAGCCAGCTGTAAATTCATATAAACTGAAAGTTTTCACTATATATGCTGAGATATTTAAGCATTATATTAAAACCGTGACCACGACGTTGTTCCAGACGTACATGTAACAAAGATATAAACTAACCTGGTTAGAGTATTTTTTGACAACGTCCAGAGTAAAACCTCTTGCCATCTGAATTCCATCGCAAAGTTTCTCCAATTCTGCAATAGGAATAATATCAAGTGATAGACGGCAGAAGGTGAAACAACTGCAGAATATAAAGTGAGGGATTAGGGTAATGTACTGAGAAATCTCTCTCTATATATAGGCGGTATATTGGCTTATGAGGAACCACTTAAATCAAATGAAATAAGTAATTTAATCAAACTAAATCAAATGGGAAGAAATCATCAATTAATGACAACGCTGTTTGTTGATGAATACACAGAGAACGGAATTCACGTTTTTGCCAATGTTTAGTTACACAAGAATAAGCATTAGAGGAATTGACCTTAGCCAAACATCAAAGGTGGCCGTTAAGGTGGCCATTAAGAGCAGAATTTTGATCGGAATCACAAACTTAGCAAGGCTGGGGGTTCCCAAAACATCTTTCATCTTTTTCCTTACATTGACCGACGTATACCTGCATCCTTTTAAAAACTTAAGAAGCACTTTAAACACTACAGGTGATAAATTTTAATTCCGAGAAAAATGTGGGAACAAGCTCGTGATTTGAATATTATTCATTTATATATTCTGAGAATTCTCTCCATGACAATGTGAAGGTCATAAATGCTAGCGACTACGAGGAATTGCTTTCATTACGCAGTAAGACACAATAAAGTTTACGAAGGAAATTTGATCTAGAAAGGTAGACTGGATTAGTCGCATCGTAATAAAGAGTATCGTGCAATGTATTCCCAAACATGTTCACTATAACTTCACGAGCATCACACACACACTAGTTCAGGTTGTTCACGTTGAATCGTCTAATGCACGTATAGGAAGATATATTAGAAACTTAGTGTGCTCGAGCGCACTCACTATTTAATTCCTGCACCCTCTAGCAAGACGGCTGGATACCCCATCAAGGTTACTGAGGTTAGAACAACGGACAAGTCTTGACACGAGACAATTTTCTGTAAACACCATTAAACTATGATTGATGGGCTCGTGCGATAACAAGAAAAGCCTTATGATTTCCTTGCACGCAGTCAACACCTTTACTGCATGACATTGCATAGTTGATGATTTCACTCATTTCAGTCCTTATGCAAAAGGAAATAGTCAAAAAGCCTATTACTAACTACTACGGTGTAGAGAGCTGGATTCCTGTAGTCAAATTCCCAGAGAGTTTTTCCTATAAGACGTTTTAAATATTCGTTCCGCTCTCCATCATTTGAAAGTTGAAACGGAAATGTTATAAGAATTAGAAATTGATATTTTAGAATTAAGTACAGCACAGAAATAGCCAAGCACCGCAGTGAGAGACGTTGGATTAGACAAATTAGTAGATGGTGCATCAGTAGACAAAGTTCTTCAGTTTTTCCCACTTAAAAGCAAAACATCCTATATTTAACCGAGAACCATTTCAATTTCCTCAAGTCAATCTCTTTTTCCACATTTGCCGACGTGACTACGTCTTTATTTTAGCCATTTTTTTTGTTGACAGCTAATATTAACAGCTGAACTCAGTCTCTATATTCAGACATAATCCAATTACATGTATGAGAATATTTTTTAGTGTCAGACTGCATGTGATTGTTCTTCAATTCATCCCCACGAAATCTCAGTGTCCTAAATTCGATCCACGCTTCCATAACTATTTAATGTATACCTCGCAACAATACTTTGTATAGAATTAGACAAAATTGATTATGTAATCTCACTTTCAGATTTGTACGTCATGTAGGGCCCTGTTTGAACGATTTAGGGAAGAAATCAATAAAGATATTTTCCAAACAGGAAATATTTTGACACGAACAGGATGTCACAAGTTAAATGTCTGCTACATCATCTTTGCAGCATCGCCAATCTTCCTCTAGTCAACAATTAAAAACGATAACCCCCTGATGGGCTAATTATTCGCCACGGTAAGCATAAATAGGCAAGTCGTGTCTATATACACGAGCGTTTGACTATTAATGGGGATGTGCGCGCGGTAAACATAACCTGGACAACAGAATTTACGGAAAACGCGCAACTAATGCAAATTACCACAGGACCGAAAAGGAGTTATTAGACGCAAGAGGATCATACATATTAGGATTTGCTGAGGAGTCCAGAACTCTAAACGGCGTGAATAATTGTAGAGATATCCTGGAATTTAAAATACTGCATTTATTGACAGACAGATTTAATGAGCAGGCAAAGCGGTGTAATCTATTTCGAAGACCGCATTGCCCCAAGGACTGCTTCGAATTGTAAATAGTCACGTTTAAAAGAAAGGGACATTGTCTCGTCTGTTCACACTATCATCGTGCAGAACTTCATGCAAAACAGAGTCTACTGCGTTGGGTTTTACAAAGATTTCAGTGAAACTTCTGCAACCGACAATGCTTCAGTCCAGCGACTGCAACGTGGTTGTATGTAGAGATTTGAATTGCAAACTTTGCTCAACGACCAACTCAGAAACTGTGCATGATCAAGAAGCTTACATCGTTTACACGTGTGAGAGCAAAAGATGCAAACTCTGTCGAGAAGAAACGGACGTACTTTTGGATTTGTTTTGCCCGTTTAATACGGTCGAAGACATTGCGGAAATGACGAGGAAACTAAACAACATCACGGAGTTACCGTGTGCTTCATTGTATGACAATAATGACGATTTCTGTGCATTTGAAGAGCTTCAAAACAACGCTTATGGTTTATGCAAGTCTGAAAAACATGTTGATGCCGTTAATTATCAGTCATTGAGACAGGGCAGCTTTCCAACGTCGCTACGTGATGTTTCGCCAAGCACTTCTGGACAAATGAAAGATATACCAGGAACTAATCTTGACGTCACTGAAAATTTACAGCCAGTCGATGAAGGTTTGTTGACTTATTTGGAGCGCGAACTTCAAGTGGACCAATTGGAAGACCTCCCAGAACTTATGGATATTTGCGATCTCATTTCAAGATAAGATTAAAATTGTTCACAACCAACTAAGACATGGTAGACGAACTGGGTGTTCAACAGAATAGCCATAATATTAACTTTATTACGTTATTTGTGTTGACAGACAGTCTGAGTGATCCGCTTTGAAAACCCGAGTCCTTGGCACAGGTAGAAGGGTCGAACGATGAATATAAATTGCCTGACGCACAAAAAATTCGGACCATATCAAATTATGGAGTAAATCTAATTAATTCAGGTCTAGCCAGATTTCCAGGAATTTGGTCATACGATATGTTGACGACAAAAAAATTCCAGTTTGGTGGAGCGCGCACTTGGGGATCAAATTCTTGTTTTGCAATGCAAGATTTTACAAAAGTGGTATTTATAATAGCCACTGAGCAAGGTGATGCAATATTTCACAAAACATGGCAATGAAATGTGCCTATACAAGAGTTAGTATTTTCCTAACGATTTTTTCTGAGATTAAGGTTTCAAACTTCCAAGGCACTGTAAATTTTACTATATGTAACATTAGAATATTATGACACAAGGACTGTAAACAACTAGACACATATTGGCGGTAATAAAAGTTACAAAAATGCAACCAATGTGTCATTATTTTCTTCTTTACCATGGTATGCATTCAGAGATCATTTGCTCGAACAAGACGGGAAAAGTCAGCCTATGTAGTTCTGACCAGCTCTTCCCAGCTTTTGAAATAGAATTGACTGAAATTTTGTGACAAATAGTGGGGACCTCCCACTTTGCTCTAGCCCAAGCTTGCGAACCGCCGTCTAAACCTTCCACAAACGGAAGCTTTTCGACATATGATGGCACTTTCAAGACGCATGAACAGCTATGTACTCATGTAATACAAACCTCTTAATTTGGCCGATCTTCCTTCGCATAACTGACGCTCAACATCCTCCTGGGTTTCAAGTACCTGCAAACGATTACGAGCAGACATATTAGTATAATACACGGAAAAATACTCCCACGAAGAACAGCATTTTGTGCTCTGACTAAAACAAGAAAACAAGTTTGCGGTGACACTTGTTCATGGTGTAAATTGAGGTATCCACTCGAGAGACTAGCGATGGTGTGAACGTCAATGGCGTTGTCTTTTAACGCCAGATAACGACGCATGTTCAGGTGGAAGTCATGCAGTATTGCAGTTCATGTGTATAATAATATCAAATGATGATAGGCACCTTTTTGACTGAGGAGTAGTTCAAATGCTTCAGAAACTTATCAAGCCTTGAAGTTGTTTCTGAGAGATTCCTTGACGCCTAGACAAAGAAATTCTTTCAATGAACTTCAATTTCCTTTTGTACTAATCAACAAGGCCTGATCTGAAGCGTGCGTATTTACTATGTTTTAAGTTATTATGATTGAAGTTATTTCAAGAAAGTTAGGAACCTATTATAACATTGTACACAAAGGGCGAAAATTGAGAACATAATGAAACAAAGTATTTGCCATTTACATACCTGAAGGGAGGAGCCAGGCAATAAATCATCTTTTTCACGGGCAAATTTCTTACAGACGTCACCGCTAATGATTTTCATAGAACTAGAACAGAGTCTTTTAGCTTCTTTGAAATAAAGATTCATTTTCCCAAGCTCAGATCTCAGGCCACTTGAGAGACGATACAACTCACCCAATGTCATATTGATGTGAGATAGAATGACTCTTGTCTGTTGCAAATCTAAAAAAAAACAAAGTTCATCCAGACATATTTAAAAGCTTGAGCTCATTAAATTTCATCAGTAGATTTTAATAAATACCAGAGGATGCGCGTTCAGAAACTTTAACAAAGTTGACTCTCTTCTTCTTTAGCAACGAATCCAATCCTCCAGGACTACAATCAGCAAGAACTGCAAGCGAGACATACGTTTATTTGAAAGACCGAGTTCGTTTGAAGCAAATTAAAGCTATGCATTATAGAATTGCGGAATATAAGAGCTACTACAAGGATGATGTACTGTTATTTCTTTCACTTATAAAGGAAATTTCTGTGGTGTATACATTTCAACCGCATAGGCCAAAAAACATACCTCGAAACCTATTCAGCGACCGGCTTATTGTGCTGTCAAAGTTATCTCGTAAGATATGATCTAGTTCCTACAATAGAAAAACGACATATGTAATGTACAAAATGAAATCTGCATATTTTAAGCCGACTAACTTGTATTGTGTTATTTTGAAAATCTTGCAGGCTATCAATGGAATTAATCAACGTCCTTCTGGCGTGGGGCAGGCCTTCTGAAAGATGGTTGTTTGATATGAGCAAACAAAGGTCTGTAATTCTAGGAAGATAAGAAAGGATAGCTTTGAAATGGTCGAAAAAAGCTCTAAAGGTGTAATACCGTGGCTGCACTATGCTGCAGTAATTGCATATCAAACTAGTAGGGATTAGAGGTGGCATGGTTTCTTTTTCTTTCTATATGCATCGTTATGAAATGACATACATTAAGAAACAGGACAAGAAAGCAAGTAGGAAGACGTAGCCACGATTGCCAGATGTGCAGCTAGCCACGATCGAGGTTTCGAGAGAATTCTTGTCTGGTTTAGCTTTAATAATTTTCTTGTAAAAAAGGATGACGAAGCCAGTGATGGATGTAGTGAGAACGGAGAGAAAGAGGAATCCAGAGAACGCAATGAACGGCCACTCATATAAGACAATCTAGAAAGAAGACGAAAGCAGTCAGAGAATGCAGTGGAGGCGAAGAATGTGTTCAGAGAGGCTCAGTATCGAGACTTACATAAAAAGTTTGGTGGTAGACCAATTATTACCTTGCTTTTAACATTAACTGTGTTGTTGTTCCAGTTTCCAATTACCTCTTTAAAAATTTCTATTTGATTAATGAAGACAATTAACGTACATCAATTGAAGGGAACGTATACTTTTAAATTCATATCTGCATGCAAGCATGCTTAGACAAGAATCACAGATCACACACACCATTGCAAAATAACAATCTACCTACCCATCATGCATGTAGATAGGATATTCACCAAAATTAGCACAAATATCACAGCTGGCCGAGAAACGTTATAAAGTTATCTACTGAAATCAACTCCACCATCAGGGAGTTTGACCATGTAATCCATGACTATATCACAACTATTCAACCAGTTATGATAACATTTACCTGGACCATAGACCCTTAAAGGTTGGACGGATTTCTAGTATATATATATATGTTTACAGTTACACCAGTCTTATTTTTTTATATAAAACACTCCCCCGTTAGTCCTACCGTCAGGCGGGTCCTTTTGTAGCCAATAAATAATTTGTTTTGTTGAACGGTCAAAAAACCGCATCTCATTTTGTCGGTTGAAATCTTGACGATTTCTTGTGGCACCAACAGAACAGTAGGCGCTCATGAGGGACAATAATGACAGCAATACACACCACTGCATAAAGCGATTGGATTTGCTGTGAATCATTGTTTGAAATCAAAATATAAAGCAGAAATTGTAAATACGCGTAGTGTTTCTGAAGTCTCCGCCATGTTACCTGCAAAACACCTGTTGGAAACACTAGGAAAGATGACAACAAACTAGGATTCATTTGTTGAAATTAAATGAATAAACCTGCAATATGTTTTACGGCTTCATTTTCATACAAAATGCAAAGAGAGAGATTTGCATGCAGGTATGATCAAAGACACGGACGATGCCCATGTCCAGGGATACCAAAATTTGTTGAAGAAGCAGCCCCTGCTTCTATCGCCCCGATGGTGGCCCCTTTTCTCTTTTGCCGGCAGGGGAGAGGATGGCAAAGGATGCCCTATAATCAATGAAATTAAAGAATTTTATGTTTAAAGGCAGTTTATTAATACATCAGCCGACAGAAATGTTGTTGTCTTGTCACAAACACTGTCTGAAATGAGTCAATGCAGAATAATCTTTCACGGAAATTGTGTTAGCCTAGGTATCAAAAATTCTAGTAAGCAGAATCTGTTCTTAACACTTTCAAAATTAGAAGGAAACATGCCCCTAAGCCTAGTGCTTCACCCTGCTTTCTACGCAAGGTTTACGTGAAGCGAATTTTCGCAAAAACCCCTTAGAAAAGTCAATCCTAGGAGCTTCGATTGTAGTGGGAAGTAGTAAAGATTCAACCCATTGATAACTGGACGATAATTAAACCGTTACCATCGAAAGTTTGACTAGTACATGTATCAATTATCAAATTCAATTGACCAAGCCTTTACTTCCTGTAGAACTTAGTCCTTCGTTGCCCGAGATCTAAACTCGACGTCTTGGTTCTGGAAATCCTGGGTCAAAAAGTAGTAACTGATTGTAACTGGTAACTTACTAACTCATAACCTATTTTCTTTGATATTTATTTCACTTTAATTCAATTCAATTTGAATGACCTTTGTGAAATGATCAAACGCAAAAGATATTGGTAAAATAATACGTTCAAGGACAAAGGGGATAGGCGAATGGCAATCTCTGCCGAATCCAAATTACACCGATTACACCATACAATTACAATTACAAGGCAAATCATGCGCTTGCTCATGTTGGCAAATCAGCCAAAACAAAAGCTATGGTCTTGGAGTGTATTGTTGATAAATATAGCCAACCTTTCCCGACAGAAGTGATAAATAATTAAACGGAATTTGACGCTGTTTGCGACACATTTAATTGCAAATGTCTTTGTTTTCGGGACAACATATTGTCTCCTTTTGCTAATGACCAAACCATAGACGCCTGATGGCATAAAAAACTGTTTTGTTTTTACGAGTAAGAATTCAATGAATCTGTAGTACTCTTGTAAACTCAAGCACCTCTTCTCGAGATCTCGCTTACCAGGAATTAATTATGGTTCTACAGTCAATAATTTGTCTTTGACTTTGTTAGTATATTTAATAATATTTCATTATATTCTTCGAAGAAAAACTTCTTAATCCTCGTCTGTTACTAATTCAAATCGCCCACACAAAGACACGATTGAAATGCTAAGTATTCTCTTATATTCTCTCGAAAAATATTTATAGAATTACAGGGATTAGAAAAAGACTGCGATTTCTCAGCAAGAGAACAGCGCGAAACACTAAACCTTTTGTTTTGTTCTATTCCAAGCATTTTCTTGCGAAATTTTCCCAACGTTCAGGCCGCTATTTGAACAAGACGGAAATTAAACCAGTGGCGTAGCCAGCACCTCGGTGATGGTCCTGCTCATCGAGCACCGAAGGTGCGAGCATCCCAGGGGGGTCTGGGGGCATGCTCCCCCAGAAAATTTTTGATATCTGGAAGCCTGGAAACAGCATTTGCGGCGTTCTGGGGGCAGTATCAACAAAAAATTTGCCCTAACCCTGCAACTCTGATAGACCATAAATGGCTCAGAGAATAAAGCTTTTGCACTGTAGAAGTCAAATAGACAACGCTCATCATAGCCAGAAAGTAAAAGAGTTGCATAATTGCATTTCTGTATTGCTGCAACTAAATATGCCATGGCCCATTACTCCTCGTTTTATTTTCAAATTGCAAGTACACACACTTAGCGCAAATTGGCTCACGATTGACAAAGACGATGTCACTTGTTTTCAATATCATTTAACGAGAATGAAGAAACGGAAAACAATGAAACGTACAATAGTGCGCAATGCACTAGTGACTGCTCATACATGATGAAAAGTAAGAATATAGATAATATCTAATACAGTATCAGTATGAACAGAATGGTAAATGCAAAAGAAGTAAGAAGTCACTAAGAACTATTAAACACATTACACATATGTATATTGCAGTGAAAAGGTGCAACTATGCAAGGGTGCACAAAAGACCACTCATACATGATGAATGAATATTTATTGGGGTCACCACACCTTAAGTGTGGGTATCTCCCCATTAAGAGAAAAAATATATAAGATTTTATATGTTTTTAATACTTTCTTAAACACATAGGTTACAAGAAAAGGTGCAAGAGTGCACAAAGGACTGCTCATACATGAATTTAAAGTAAATATTCAATTCAATATGAACAGGGATGGCCCATTATTTATATATTGGGGTCACCACACTTGTGGATATCTCCCCTAGAACCAATTTAGAGGACCTTCCTGAAAAGCACTATTGGTGATGGAAGCTTTCCTCTGTAAAGATTTTTTATTATTATTATAATTAGAAGAATATATTTTTATGATTTTAATATTTCTTTAACACATATATTACATGAAGTGAAAAGGTGCAAGAGTGCACAAAAAACTGCTCATAACTCATAAGCAATTAATGAATAGTAACTATTCAATACAGTGTGAACAGATGGCCCATGGGGTCACCACACCAGCAGTGAATATCTCCCCTTGGACCAATTAAATGATATACAAATAATTTTTTTAAGTTTTAATATTTTATATAACAGGCTATTACAATAAGGTGCAAGAGTGCACAAAGGACTGCTTATGATGAATGAATTATAAAAATTGAACCCATTTAACAGGGATGAACTAGTAATGAAATAGTTATACTTACATTCAACAGCTAATGTCTCTTATACTTAACCTGTCTACTATTTGTAAAGAAAGGCAAGTCTCCTTGGCTTCTCCACAAACTTCTCCACAACTTCACTATGTAGCACATTGGCATCTTCTTTTTCTTTTAGAATGTCTCTATGGATTGAAATCCTACAAAGAGAACTAAGGCGCCCTTGACTCATTCTATTTCTCAAATAGGTCTTTACCCTTTTCAAGCAGGAAAATGACCTTTCAACAGAAGCACTAGTTACTGACAAGACAACATTCATTTTCATTAATTTGACAGCTTCAGGAATACTAGATTGGAGATTAAACTTAAAAATATAGGTTAGTAATTCATTACATGTGTCTTTATGAAAATCCTGATCCCTGTAAATGAAAGAAAGTTGGCTCTCAAGCATGGAGATATCATAAAGGGGCCCATACATCTCTTTTAGTAAATTAATTTTCTCAGGTGGTACCACCCCACCCCAAGATGCAAATTTTTTTGGATTGACAAGATCTAAAAATGCATATTGTTTCATATCCTGAAACCTCTCATTCATCATACTAACAATGGAGTCGATAATCTCAAAATAAATTTGCTTATGGTTGTGTCTTTTCTCAAGTCTGCTTTCTGGTGGGCCCAATATATCTACTGCTTCTTGGTATAATTCAGAAAATTTATCATCACTACGAAGAGAAGAAACAAAGGTTACAAAACGCTGAATTCTTACCATACCATAGTTAAAGTCAGTTTGTTGGCCTTGCAGAATTTCATATAGGATTGATGATTGTTGGAAAATCTGTTGAAAAACACAGACCAAAAAGCAAAACAAAAACTACTAATATTATGTAGCAAACCATGTATCTTTCCCAATGATTCTCCATCCCAGCTCCCAGGCTCATCCACTTCTCCAAGAAAAATGTCATGAAGTTTCTGGTAATTTCTATGCAAGACACTTATCACACGAGATCGATAGTACCACCTAGTATCACCAGGGCTGGGGAACTCGATTTGATGAGAATTAAGAAAGGCTTTTCTTTGAGGGGCATTACTAGTAAAAGTACAAAATGCTCCTATATCAACAAAGAAAACTTTAACAGGGGCTATAGATGAGGCAGACTGACACAAAACTAGATTTAATCTGTGAGCTGCACAATGAACAAAGTATGCAAAAGGATATTCTTGACGCACTCGAACCTGGACACCACTAACATGACCAGACATAACAGCAGCACCATCATAGGTTTGCATCACTAATTTATCCTTGATGTTGGAATGGGGACTAAGCTTATCCTTCACAAACTGGGATATGGCAGCAGCATCTCTCTTTGTGCTGACATCTCCAAATCCCAATTGTCTTTCTACTATCTCACAACCTTTATCCATACGGACTATCATGCTTACCTGTTCCTTAGTTGAGACATCAGAAGTTTCATCAACCTGCACACTGATGAAGGTACACTCGTTAATCTCCTTAAAAATAGTATCTTCAATAATGGAATCAAGGCAACAGATTAAATCATTTTGTATTTCAGGAGAGACCCCAGTGAAACGTGAATCTCCACCCTGACCAGATTCAGCTAGTCTGCCATGCAATCGTCGTTCAAATACAGAATCTAACTTAGCATAGGACTCGAGTAACTCCCTGTAATTACCGCGGTTCAAGCTATCTTCAGATTCATCATGGCCTCTAAACGCCAACTCCTGTTTGGATAAATACAAAACAGCCTCGGTTATGGTTTTTAAAATTTCTCTGTTTTGCCTTACCTCCTCATTGTGGCGTTGTATCTCGTCTCTTCTTGCTTGGGAGATAAGAGAATCCACTCGAGCACCGGAACCGTACGTCTTCCAGGTCTTGAAAGCAGCCATGTGTGACTTCGCCTTTTCATGCTTTTTGCAATCAGAGAGGAAGCCATGCATGTCGCTATAACCATTCTTGCTCCAAGTCGGCGACTTTCCAGGGCAAAACAAAAGACACGGCCAGCAAAATAATCTCTTTAACTCTGTGCTGCCACAAAGCCAATCCTTCTTTTCATACCAAGCCATTTGAAAAGATCTCCCTCTCGCACTAATACTCAAATTCGGCATTGGCCTTTGCTTAACAATAACATTTTGTTCCGCGGTTGCTCGAACAGAAAATGATTTTCTTAACAAAGAATTTATGATATCAGCTTCAGTTGAAGCTAGATTCGTCACGCTTGCTGAAGCCATTACAAAAACACTCGCTCAAAGACAATAACTATGCAAACTACGCTCAAGTGTGTGTACTCACGCGGAAACCTCGCAAGAAAAGGCAATACAATATGCAGCTCCTGCCTTGTCGAGATAGCAGGAGTGCGGAGTTGTAACCAGCCAATTATGAGTGAGTAAGAGGCCATTTATCCAATCAGAATTGAGTATTTTCTTCTATAGAATATTATAGCAGCTCCTGCCTTGGCAAAATAGCAGGAGTGAGCCATTGATCTGTATATATATATATCATATATATGTCATATATGTTATTAGGCCTGAAGCATCAATGCGTGGGATCGATTATATTTGCGGGCGCGAGCTTCCGAGTGGTAACTGTTGCTAGAAACGAATCGAAAAATATAATTGCGGAATTTATAAGGCTTAGGCTTCAAAAATATTTCATAAATTTTTTTGGAGTGGTTTTTTCAAAATTTTGGGGAAATTTTTAGTCCTGCTGGGCAGGACGAGCAGGACCGGTAGCTACGCCACTGAATTAAACACGCTAATGTTAGCGATAGGATATTGTCTTTTCTTACTGACAATAGATTTCGGCGTCTCTTTCAAGCTTTTGTTCCCTGCATTAATTATTTCAGAGCTATTCAGGTTCAAATGCCATTATTTCCGCTGCTTTCAACTGCTTGCTGTCTATCTGAACTGGGCCTTCTTGCCATGAGGGGGAAGGTTATTTAGGGAAACGTTTATTGGGCTAAACGCGGTAACAACAGAAGAAAAGGAAGCACTTGATTAAAAATACAGATCGTATCGTTTGACAAAAGCCCTAAAGGGACACTTTTGCCACGTGACACGAAAACAATAGCTTTTACTTTGGAACAATAGTCATCGCTTTGTTTATTGCGAGCTAGAGACAGCATCATGGCCACTGAATGCGATGTAAAACCAACGATTTCTACACTGGGAATTGGACCGGACAACGTCGGGAAAGAAGGCAATCCTCTTTCAGCAACCGACGGCGAAAACAAAGTGTGGCAAGCGAACATAGACATGGATGCGATCGCGCGACCCGATGTTGCCAAACACAGCAATGGCGTCGGACAAGCAGCGAGCGTCGCACACGAAAGCGGTAAAGGAGAACACATTAACGATATCGGCAACGAAGCAAAACCTCTTTCAGAAGACGAAAGTAAGACAAAATGGCCGGCCACGTTCGATATGGAGGCAATCGCCCGAGCGGAGTTGGCGAAAGACAACCAGAGTCGCCACGAGGCTTTGGCCAAACAATTTTCGTTAGAAAGCGGCAAAGAAGGGCATATTAAAAGGCCGATGAATAGTTTTATGATCTGGGCCCAATCAATGAGAAGACAACTAGCTGAACAATACCCTCACGTTCATAACGCAGAGTTGAGTAAAATGCTAGGAAAATTATGGCGCATGTTACCCGCTGATAAGAAACAGCCCTATGTCGAAGAGGCAGCCAAACTGGACAAGCAACACAAGCGAGATAATCCCGGCTATAAATACAAACCAAAACGTCGCCAACGAGGAATGAAACGTCCTTATGGTCAATACACTAACATCTCGCAAGGTGGCCTACCTAGCCCTTGGCAAGAAACACAATATTCTAATGTCACCGTGCTGAAACATACAAATCAAGCTACCTCGACGATCATTACACAAGTCCCGGGCTCTGGAAAAAACAATTTAAATACTCCTTATGTGTTTGTACAAGGCGGGAGTGTAATTATTAGGCCCAACACGACAAACGGCCAGACTGCAGTGGTTCAACAGGCTCCTGTAACTGCAAACGGCTCCGAAGTGGTTCATGTTGTAACGCAACCCATCGCACAGACAGTGCCGATTGAAAACGGTGCAGAACACGGGGTGATCAATATTAAACGAGAGCCAGTCGAAATGCCTGCTTCCCCTCCTCATGCAAAACTCTCTCCGACTTATGGCAGCTCGCATGTTCAAACTTCGGTTATCAAAAGTAATGAATCGAACAATAACGAACGTGTTTCACCCATTGTTGAAACAAATATGATGAAAACTGTTGAGCAGAACGATACTAATATTAACATTGGGAAGGCGTACAGAATATAGTAGCCAAAACACGAAAGGTATGCAAGTGCTGGTAATACTGATTTGACGATTTTAAAAAATTTCCCTCTACGGTGCTTACACAGATTTATTGTAACGTGTACATGTTGCGTTGAACAGATTTTAGTATAGGTTTTTGTTTTATATTGTTTGAATAGGCAAGACGACCGATAGCAATATATCGGAAATATTTGCGAGCTTTTGACACCTTTGTTTGGCATAGTTCTGTTTCCGTTTTAATTTAAAAAAGATATTTTGTCTGTGCCGACACCTGCGGGCAAATACAATAATGAAATGTTGCTACGCGTTAGACAAAAACACAGTTTTGTTAATTCTTTCACAAATAGACGGCTATTTTAAGTTCCAAGATAGCTTATTTTGTCATAGTTTACATAACTTCCACTGTGGAGCCAGATTACTTCTTTGTTCATTTGTCTTAGGAGGAAATTCCTTGAATACTTCAGAAATAATTTAATCAACCTGGAGGTCAATAGTTGATTCTAGATTGTTTTATTGTCATTACATTTCAAAATGTTTATGACAGTATATTACAGTTCATTTTCCTTGCGGAACTTAAAACTATTATTCCGAAATTGAATTACCAAGTAAAATCACCATGAATCATGGTACCATAACGATTATGTCTGGTCTAACGATGGTAGTCATGAGATGGTGTAAAATGGTTTGTTTTTTAAAAGATTTGTTCAAACTTGTTTTTCCAAGTATGGTCAATGATAAGTTCAAACGTTAAACATTAAATCTAATTATTGATCTTTTGATGGCTATGAGTATTCAGGTTTTAATTTGACCATAGTAAATTGGCACTGATATACTCAAAAACTCTCAAAGTATAATTTATTAGGCGGTCTGAGGTAAATTGTTCATGTAAACTCTGTTGATTAATTCATTCATGTCTGGTCAAGCAAAGGCTCTTGATGAAAGGCATGGTCAGGCTACAAATAAATACTTCCACCATACAGTATCGGCTTACCGTTGATTTGATTTAATTATTGTCTGAATACTCTATTGTGCAAAATATATAGATGACCTGTTTTCATGTGGTAGTAATTAACATATAAATGCCCATATATATTCACTGCGAAAAATAAGTTAAAGAATGACGAGAAATAGCTGTTGTCTATTAAAACTATTCAGTATTTTAAATACTGAGGACTGTGGTTTAACGTGTGGCAGAATTTCATGTAAGAATTTTCACTGCTAATCAAAACACCAATTTAAGTATTTTATACAAATGCACCACAGATTTATAGCATTTGTATCTAAAAGTATCAATCATATTTTGAAAATGCTTTGAAGCAATTCACATTTTTGGCATACTCAAAACATTGAATTAAAATGTTCAAGTTTCATTATCTGTAGTGAAAAAGCACAAACAAACTGAGTGATAAAAAACATCTATTTATTACAACGACCAAAAAAATCTTTTCTACTTCTGAGGGCAAACCATATTTATATTTTATACAGATCATGGACTAGTGCTTCAACAATGTAAAATGTATTTCGACAAATTAGTAATATATAATTAGATGATTGTTGGTATATATGTCTAAATGAATATGGTTTGTAGCAGAACAGGATCTTGTAGATGATGACGAGAGCAGTTGATCATAAGTTTATGTTAACTGCTCAATTTATACATAAAACTACTGACATCAGAGTTTAGTTTACACATGCTTGTTACAAACTTTTTTGCACGTTATAAGATGGTTATTTCCTCTGTTGACCATCATGGTCCGTACATCAATGTTCAACCATGGCAGCTACTTAAATGCTGCCAAGTGAAAAACATGAAAACATGCATGTGTTAACACTCTGTGCCTAGCTTTAGATAAACATTAGTTAGTCGTTTTTACCTTGTATTTAGTTTTAGTATTCCCAATGTTTTTGTTTGCATGATTTCAACATTATTTATGATATACTGTGTGAAAGCTAATTTATATAACCAGTTGAAGAGTCATCTTAATGGAAAAAACTGATTTCATTCTAAAATATCCAAACCTGACAAAACTAGACTTTCTTCAAAAACATGATAAATGCCTATTTATTTACTTTAGTGTGGCCAAATTGCTTCAGTTTTTTCTAGGACTTGAGACTCTTCATAATTAGTATATTTTGACACAATTGACAATGTTGTACAATTGTATTAAAGGTTTTATCCCAGTTGGTCCGTAGTTTTTTATGCTTCTTAATAAATCTGGCTTATGTAGTAAATGTTTTAAAGTTCAATGGGTTGAATTAGTAATGGTGAACTTGTTGAAATAAAATACCTTTTTACCTGATCATTTTGCCCTATTTTCCATTTGGAAACAAATTCTCGTGTTCAATAGCGATAGCTCACATTGGCTTAATTTGCAATGTCAGCTTCTAAATTACAGTACTTACTTGGAATAATATGATTATATTTGGATGCATCAATACAGACATTGATCAGGTCTTGACAACATGTTTATTGGAGTTGAACCATCTGTGATTAAGACATTCTGGATACCAAGACTTTTTAACATCTGAGCCTAAAAAATACCATGTTTGTTGTAATTCATGGTATAACAGCAAACTGGAAAATTTCCAATTTTTTCTTTGTTTTAACGTCTATTTGGCCTAACTTTTGGCCTAACTTTTAGCCTAACCTACCTGACATTCAGGACCCTCAGAAGCAATCTCCGCCAGTGTCTTCTGGCCTATCGCCTGGATGATTGATGCAACCTTTGAGGACTGGAAACATTTAGAGACAACATGTGTTGAAGTGGAATATGGAACAGAGTAATTGACACTAACAGAAACATAATGAAAAGAATGCATCTTGATATAACTTACTTCAATAGCTGCCAATGATTCTTGCTTCCTAATTTCCATCTCATCTCTTTCTTTTTGAAATTCTATCTCTCTATCATGTTTCTACAATACAAATCAGAAATGACTGAAGATCTTGCCATAGAGGGCCAGTAAACCATGTGAACTGAATACAATTCAAACAAGGACATCCCAAAGTATAATACCTTCTGTTTCGTATCACACTCTGCTTTAAATTCAATCGCTGATGCTTCAGCTTTCAGTTTGGCAACTAAAACACAAGTTTGGTACGTTTATTTAAAAAAAAAGCTTGAAACTTTCGTAGATTTCAGGGACCGAATCCTGCTCCTGACATATGTGACCTGACAAAGTAGAGCTATATCTACATCTTTATCGGACTATGAACCAATAGCCACGCCTCGTTTAAACTTATACAGTAAGATCACATCCGTCAAAAAGACTAATCGGTTCAGGAACGATCGTGGTATATTTCGGTACAGTCAACTACCCTACCTTCAATGGCTGACTCTCCTTGTATCAGAAGTTTGTCTGCCTTTGCCTAAAAGTTTAAGACGGTCGTTTGTGTTATACAATAAATGCCACCTTTTAAAAATTGGACGCCTCAATTCAGGCTTCCTTCGTCTTTATTAAACACTCACCTGCGCTTCTGCTTTGCTCTGACCGGTAGACTCAACAGCGGCTGTAATGGCTCTCAACTCAGCCAAGGTTTTCCTTGACTCCTCCGCTTCTTTCTTATTCAAAAGCTTCTGTCTTTCCAACAAACCTCTCGCGATTTGTTCCTGGCGTTTGGCTTCGTGATCAGCTGCTTTTTCAGTCGACCTAGAATGAATGAACCACCTTATAACAGCATTGAAAACGGTAATAGAAATCTGGATTTTTAAATTTCTCTCGCTGGTGTAAAGACTAAAGTTTTTCTCCAACTGCATTCAATACAAAAGACGATACTTACATCGTAGATATTTCGATGGCCATCTGCACGGATTTCATTAAACTATTTTTCATATTTTCATCCACCGGTTCGATGCTTTGGACATCAATTTGTGTTATAACCTAGAACATAAAAGCACGAAGTGAGGGTGAAATTTGGTACGATACCATTTCAACTTGGATGTCAGTTCACGATTAGCTTGAAATACATGTGTAAAAAACATACGAGTTGATTTGCATCAAATTTTAACATCTTCTTCACTTCTCCATCGCTGTCAACACCGAAGGTAGCTTTTCGTATGATACTGTTTGAATATCTATGAAACTGGTCAAATGGAGTCTGGGCTACCATGCCTCTGATTCGACTGGCTGTATGGTTAAACCGTGAAAGTGAAAATTGTATCAGCATATCATAAAGCTGTGTGTCAAAGCCAAAGGTGCATGTTAAAAGAGACAGAAGGAGAACCTCAATAGATGTTCATGTTTACGAAAAAAAATTGTGAATAGTTTTAGCGATTTCCGTACCAACATTCCTGCAGGCATATCCAATAAAATCGGATATCGAGAAGATAGCCTTTCTGGACTCCGGGTCGTCCATATCTACATCAAAATGATTGTTCATACCAAGTTTTATCCGGAGTCTCGCATGATCAGACGTCTCTACCTATACAGAGATTTAAGAAAAGACCTTAGGCAGGAATACAGATCTATAATTTTCCAGAATATTGAACTCGATAGCATTAACCGTTTCTAAAACAGAAGTGGCCGTAATCGCTTGATGGCAGTCAGTATAATCCATATCTTCAAAAGATTCACTGGTCGTATACACAACACTTGAGAACTCGTTTGACGGTGAAATACACCCAACTGATCGCTGAGGAGTTTGTTGATGAACTAACCTCTATAATATCGGTTATAAAATCAGGACCAAGCATCAACAATATGCTTTTCAATGCTCCTTCTTTCTTTGGTTTTCCAGCTGAAAATACAAGAGAAGTTAGAAAACGATTCTGCCATTTTTAGTCATACTTTTTTCATTCTGAATGAATCACCCACCACTTAAACTGAGGACATTAAAATTCTCATGTGGTCCTAGAATAACCTGAAATTACGAGAAAAATATCACAGATAGCTATCAATATACGCATTTCTTAGAAGTGCTCAGTTAACATTTTTAGACAAGGGACCCGAGGTTTCTTTGAACTATTGAAGGGAATTAAAAACTAGCATAATCATATTTTAACCAAATACGTCTGGTATATTTGGTTTGTACGATACAAAGACTCACCATATCAGGTCCAAAGATCACCCGCGCGGTGTTTTCTTTATAGTTGTATACCTTTGAAGGAAACACCAGCTGTTTTTTAAATATTACATCTACTGATAAGCAAACCGGAGGAATTTTTCCAGCGCGAAACACAAGCCTGTGCATGATAATCATTATGAAATTATGAATGTTTGAACTGACCTGAACCGCGGTTCCTTTTGGACATTTATACGTAACAACTTTCATCTTATCTCGCTGCAGGAAACAGAATAAATACTTTAGTCTTTAGGCTAAAAATCGTAGCCGCCCAAAAAGATTCCTTTTCGTTAAAAAGAGCTGTCGATATTAACGGATGCTGCTTCAAAAAAGGTTCAACTATTCTTACTTTTCCATCGGTATAATCAGGATTGATCGCTGACTCAAAATACGCCAATTTTCTGATATCAGTACCATCACCATAGCCACCACCTAGACTAAAAAAACATTAATTTGTTACAAAAATTATTCGTTACCACAGTTTTCATAATGACCGCATAAGTACCTCAACAGTTTTTCAACCTCTGTGGAAAGATCTTTAGACCATAATTCTTCGTATTCCTTTAGTAAATACGACTGGGGTCCAAGGATCGCACGCACCTGGGAAATTCATTTATAAAGAGAGCTAATTTTTTCCACTATTTTCTGTAACCATTCACAGTATCACATAATGTCGGGCAACTAACCTCGCCAGTATGAACATTTTGCACATAAATGCCATTGTTTTCTGACAAAGCAATCGCTTTCCTAGAGAAAAAAAAGAATATAAATAACTTTGTAGGATTGTTGTGGTACGTATTATACGATGTCTAGGGGTTGACGAAATCAACGAAACCTTTTTGTTTCAACCTTGACTTCGATTGGTGGGATATAGTCACGTGGTCCATGAATCATCCATCGATCTCCGGGCGTTCTGCTAATTTTCTTGGTTTCTAAAAGATGTTAAAAAATCCACATTGACATCATTAGCCTGCATGGCAGGCGGTCAGGCAAGGCTATGACATCATTTGACGTCACTGTGTTAGAGGTTCTCACCGGTGAACAAGGCGATGACGGTCTACCAGTAGTTTTCAAAGTAAACAAGCCCAGATAATTCTTTTCATTACTCACGATAGTTTTGCATTTGATGGCAAATAAAAATGTGAGATTTTCTCTAGCTTTGTTCTCTAAACGACCACTGTTGACATTGTAAATTTTTGACTCAATTATAAAGATTTTTTCAGACATAATTATATATAATGACAACATGTTTTGTATCATTCATTCTGTGGCAAAAATTTTTTTAATAAAGTGAAAAATTCACAGTTCTACACTTCCAATGAATCATATGGGATATATTGTATCTTCAAGATGTCTTGACCGCAATCTATCGACAATTAATTATAAATATATATTACCTGAAGTATCATCTTCATAATAATCCAAAGCTGAGAGTACTAGAGCTTCATCATCACTTAGTACATAAGCTTCCTGAATACCAGCTTCAAGAACCTCACCAGGGTGTAAGAAAAAGCTCGAGACTCCGACACGAAGCTGGCGCAACCCGAGCTGATTCACGCCATTTTTATCGACAGGATCCAGAACAACACAGTACTGATTCTTACTTAAGACTGTCTTTCGGACACCACCTACTGCTTCCTAAGAAAACACAGCGAAAAAAAAAGCCTCCAGGATAGACGTATTTGCGTATTTATTTACAGATTTGCATCAACGCGAAAAAATCCTCTCAAATTGGATTACACTTGTGGAAGCGCAAATATAGGCAACAGCCTTTACGATTACGATAATCCTAAGCTTAGTAAATCCTGGTTAAGTGAGGGATTAGGGAGGGATTAGGGAGATTAGCTGCTGATATATATCATTACGTACTTCACCAACTTCGGGAATGTATGTCTCACTGTCGTCTACAGTAACCAACCACTCTTGACCAATACTCCTAAACAATATGACCCGATCAATGATAGATGCAGCCTTTTTACGCTTACCATAATAAGCGTAATATAGAAAAACTAGTTTCTGTGTATAAAAAACGCAGCAAAAAGAGCCGTTCACCTTTTCTTGCCTAATGCATCAACACAGTTTTTCGTTGCCTTGAGATGTAGCCCAGAATCATGCCTCAAAGTGTAAGCACTTTCGACTGTGACTACCTAAATTTTAGGACGTTTTTACTATAACATATGCTTCTAAATTCAGCAAAATACTTCCATCACTTCGCTCTTACTTCCTCATAAACACCTGGTAAATAGGCTCCAATCTTCCTGACCAACCACTCCTCTCCAGTAACTCTCTTCCTATTGCAGGTTTTCAAAGCAGTTTTAGTATTTCTCTCAACTAAATTATCTCAAAGAATCTCTTTTTTATACCTGTTACTTTTATCAACTAAATCCTGCTTTGCCTTTAAGCGAATTGCTTCTCCATATCCTATGACTATTGCATCACGAAAACCCATAGTTTTCTGCAACAGAAAGTACCATTTTAGGCATTCTGGACAGATTCATTCAGTTTTATCTGCATGTGAAGTCATTATCTACATATGGCAATCTTGTATTTACAGAAATGAAAAGGGAAGTGATATTACAATGAACACTAATCAAGGCCAGAGAGAGCAGAGCTGAACAGGAGGATGGGGGGCATCCGATGGCCTTGAGAGCTTAAAAAAGACCAGCAATCTCTTGCAATCTCAACTAATCCGGTTGTAAGGGACGGCCATGCCACACTCATTAGTTTGCCTCATAGTTGGCTCTCACTGATCTTGACATTAATTGTAGGTTACATACAACATCAGGTGAAGGTATGTAGGTCGTTGGTCCTTCAATTTGCCACATTTCACCAGCTTTTCTTTCAATACCATTCACATCACAATCCACATTTGCTTTAAGTTTGATGGCTTTGTGCTCGGGAACAAATGGCAACTTTTTGACAGCAGCCTTGAAATCTACCATTAGTTAACATTGAGAAATGAAACAAGTTGAAAAAGATTAAATAAGATTTTATTTAATAACATGATTTGGACGCATACCATCATTTCTTGCTCCAACCAAACACTCTCCTGGATAAAGTGGAAATGGTTCCTGTGAATGGAAAATGTCAGATAAATCATATGATAAACAAACAGGAATTTTTCATCATGTGCTTTACCCCGTAAAAACGAATCTCAACATAACCATGCTTTAAATCATGTTCCTGTCCTGGAGAACATGGTTTCCTAAAGGACGGAAATGCTATATCATTAAGATGAAAAGAAAATGAACGACATATACACCTAAATGTTTAGTTGCTGGTATGTGATATATCTCTCACTCTGCTTCACAAATTTTGTAGCATTATTATTAATGCATTTACTTGACAGGATCTTTGATTTCACAGTAATGACCAGGAGGAATGACAACAAATGGTAATGGTCCTTTAATAAGTCTATGATTATCTTGAAGAATTATTGTCCTTGGTCCAACTTCAAGGACTGTGATATTACTTGTCTACATAATATAAAAGGAATTGACAACAGATTTGCCTCAGCATTGCCTTAATGATTGCATCTATAGACTTTTTTAATATGAGCATTTCATGAGAACCAACTAATGCTAGGATTGGTAAACATCATAAAATATATATAAAAGATGGACTTCTAATGTACTGTGTGCTCAAACACCACAATTTTTCTCCAAAACTAATTAAAATTATATTCTGTTTATGCAGATATTCAATTCTTTCTTACCAAATCTTGAATATGAACATAACAATATGGACTAATTCGTACAACTTTCTCCATTTATCTACTGTACAAGTGTACTCAAGTACAAATTTAATCTAACAACCGAACTTGCAGAAACAATATGTCAGACTATCTTGCAAAATAATGCAAATATTTCCCTTTTTCGTTATCTGATGTTTTCATTTACGTCACACTACGTATAAAAGGAACTTTAACAACAAATAGGCCGTCGTTCGTCGTGAAAGGCGTCATGATTTTGCAAGACACGCAAAGCCGGAAGTAAATATATATTTAAAGGTATGATATTAATTATTAAAAACTATAAAATACGAAATTGCAAGGTAGAAATTTCCACAATTGGTGGTGCAATGGCATCGATCCATGGTTACCCATTTGGCCATTTTATTTCTTAGATAAATGTGCAAAAAATTCCGAGAAAATCAGCCATTTTGCAAACCTTCTCAAACGCTCCCCCCCCGACTGCTGCCATATATGGGCATAACCCGAAACTCGAAACTGCGGGAAGAAAAGGCGGGGATTTTAATTTTTGACTAAAGTATTTAAATATTGTTTTTCAAAGGGATTGCATTCTTTTATGGTCCCTGCAAACGTCGGACAAGCTTCACCTTGCCTATGAGGTGTTAAAGATGGCAAAAGAATGGTGGGAAGGCGAATTAGCAAACGATATTCTAGCCGTACTTCGCGTAAAGGAGCTCACCTTGGCGAAATTCAAAGCTTCATCTCCACAACTCGCTGTTCGGCGGTATCTCGTTGACTGGTTGGCGATAATCTTTGAGAAAGTCGGATCATCTTATGGCATTTTGCATCTGAGCGTCAGCCTCATGGATTATTTCATGGACAATCACGATATACCCGAACCACAGTTGCATCTGGTTGCACTCACTTGCTTTCTGTTAGCAGGTAATGCGAAAAATCGAACCATGTGCTCTGCTAGTTTTCGTTAATTCCTTCCCATTTCATTCTGTTTATTCATTTGCCTGTCTTTTGAGGATAATCATGTGTTAATTCTTCTATTTTAAAGCAAAATTTGATGAAACCGAGAATAGAATTCCTACCATCGAGCAGCTCAACTCTTTCGTACATAACTCATTTGAAAGATCAGAATTTCATGCGATGGAGTTGATTTTACTGGATCATTTCTCATGGAATGTCGATCTCCCGACTGCAGCAAGCTTCGTTGAAATGTTTCTTGTTCATTCTGTTTTACCAGATGACAATCACTCAGGCCGGCCTCTGAATAACTGCGCGAAAGCGAGAGTCTACGTTAGAAAATATGTTCACTATTTCCTAGAAATATCATTACAAGGTACCGCCCTTCCTTTCACCAGCTGCAAGGTTACGATCTCACTGTAGCACCATGTCACCTAACTATTAACCTAAAAACAACTAACAATCACATTCTTGGAGTTTTTAGATCATAAATTTCTATCATTCAAACCATCAGTTGTGACAGCAGCCGCAGTGGCTTCTGCAAGGTCCTGTCTTCATCTCACACCAACGTGGAAACCGGCGCTTGTGGAGTTAACACATTACGAATACTTCCAGATATGCGAGTGTGTTGATCTCATGCTTAAGTATGTGAAGTGAAATGGTCACTCAAGTTCAACAGCTCAAAATGCATTCAATCAGCTTAAGTTCAGATATTTCTTTCACCAGACTTGTCAATCACCAGATTACTTAACCCCTAGCTGGGTGGCACCAGTAGGTGGTTTGAACAATTAAGGGCTAAATTAAACAATTAAAATTAGTGTCAACCAACAATACATCTGTTTTTTTAGAGCTCATGATGCTGATGAAAAAGCGATGTCTAATTCTCATGCAGTTGTTCAATCCAACTCTAATGTTGTACTACAATCTCCAGCAAGTACAAACTAGCTGCATAGTATTTAATGGACTTCTCTTGGAAATTTAATTGTATACCGTATTATAAAAGAATGACAAATTATTTAAAGAGATATATATATATATATCTAATCATAGTACATTAAGAGTGAATTATTATTTCTGCCAGGAATGTGTAAGGTGTATCGACCAATGGTTGTATACTGTTGAAAGATATTTAGAGTGGACATCATTGTGTAGAACTGTATGCAGAAGTATGATTAAAATATATAGTTTGATAGCAAAATGTTAAATAAATTGAACTGGAATGGCTATATGAGAGATATAACTTATTTATAGAGTTATTGTTGTATTAGGTTTCAAATGTATTTGAGTATATTTCAAGAAAAAATAAAAAAATTGCATTTCTATAAAAAACTGTACATAAAGATTATACAAAATAATAATATATTTCACATTGTAAAATATATGATGTATGTGAAATGTATAAATGATATATTTCACATTCAACACATCTAAATAAAATACTTAATTTTTGAGCCAGGACTTGAAAAATGCTGTCATTTCTTCTCTTCTCTTGGCAGATCCATTATTCACGGTTGGAATTATCTTCTGAGGTTTGATGAACTGAACAAACTCTTTCAATTCACTGAAACTACTATGCTCACTGTATGGAACACCTGAGGGAGAAAGTGTGGACATAAAGTTAATCCAATTTAGGTGGAAAGCACGAAAAATGCATATAACAATAGCTTATCCACAGCTTACCATAAATTGTAACTTGGCCTCTTTTTGATGGTTTAATACTTTTGAGTTCACCTCCTTGATTCCGATTGCCAGTAAATGTCCAACCAGTTGGCTTTAGTGCTAACAGTTCAGTGTATTTAGCACTGTTCGATTTGAGATGATTTATCAGTTTCTGGAAAGAAATACAAAAGTAATATGATTGAGTAATATAAAGTTCCATTTGTCCTGAACCAGATGAGAGTCTAAAATATCTTTCTTACCTCATGGGTCAGGTGAGCCATTGGTAGAACATGAATTTCCGCATTTTTGTAATCCTGGACAATAATCTTCTTCAGTTGATCAGATTCCAAACATTTCAGTACATTATATTTTTCTCTTTGAACAGCCACATTGCATTGAAGAATGTTTGCCACGGCTATTTTTAGTAAGGAAAATATGAGAAAATGTTTGATCAGCATTCTCCAAATGCAATATTCAATACAAACAGGGAATATATATACCTGTAAAAATCTTTTCCTTGCCAATAGTGTATGTTCCAACAACAATCAATGTCTTGGCATTCCGTTTTATTGCCTTCGCAGCAACAGACGCACAGAATTCAATTGTTTCTGATTGTGGCGGGAAAGAATAATGTGGATCACAGTAGCTGTAATGATGAATTAAGACACAGCACTATGAGGACTGGTCAAACATATCCTAATAAAGACCTGATCGAGATGAAATTTCTGTTGATCTTACGTTGTATCCAAGTATAAGGTATGTATTGAGGCTTGTTTGAGAGTAGATATTTCCTGCATTGCTGTAGAGGCTCGGAAGTCGCCTGCAAGAAATAATTTATAGCTAGCAATCTACGATTATGATTTATGGCCAAAACATTGTCAATTAAGTTCACTCACCAGTATGAAGGTGCGTCACACCATTGGGAAGTCTAAAGATAAACATCACGGCACCTGGACAACTAAAGATAATTCAGAAGAGAAGAAGGCTTTATATGGAATAGCTAAAGATCGAACAAAAACTTTCCCACTACAAATTTTTACCAATCTCCACTTATAAAAACCTCATGTTCTGCAGAACTTCATGCAAATATCAAAATGATAATTCTGAAATACTCACTGGTTTGCCTCCAGTAATGTGACTTCTATATTTTCAATCATAGTTGGTGCATTCATAGAAAGTGGATGAATATACTTTGCTGCTACCTTAATCTTTAGTGAAATCAAATTGGCTGTCACCTAAACAAAATTAAAAATAATCTTTTTCACAACCCATTTAATAAACAATATTTTGTGATGACTGAAATCTTGAGTGGTGGTACCTGGCTACAATAGATTGGTTTGGAAAATGATCTTTTTAATCCACCATAATGATCATAATGAAAATGACTCAGGAAATAAGCAGATATTCCAGGTACATGCCCATAAGAAAATGCGTCCACTGCAAATGACGTACCTTTCAAGGACACAAAGGTCTTTTAAGAATCTGAATGTGACTTCATCTTTTTGACAAATGAAATTTAAACTTAGTGAGATACAATATATACATAATTACCTTCAACTATCTTATAAAATGGGCACTTCTTGTTTTGCAAGGTTGATTTTCCACCACCAATGAATTGTTTATTAGTCGGCTGTAATACATCACACACATTGTTTGAAGCACCCTCAGTTTTATTTTCGGTAACTTTTTGTTTTGGTTTCAACCCAAAATAAATGCCAATATCCATTTGTTTCTTGCATCTTGTATCTAGTTTTGTGGTTCTTGGTGACTTGCTCTGTGTGGATATTCTATTGGAAACGACCTTTTCTGCACTTGGTCCTAATCCTGTAACAGTTGTTCCTGTGTTTGACATATTACTATTTGTGAAAACAGTATTTGAGCTTGCAGCAGGACTGGTTTCTGTACTTGTAAAATGCTTTGTAGCATTTGACATATTTGCAGATTCCTGTTTTGTTGGTACAGAATTGTTACCACTTGATTCATAATCAATTGAATCATCATTCAGCCATTGGTTTATGACCTCATCTAAATTCTCTTTCTCTGACGACTGGGTGTGACTTTTGATACTACTTTCTGTATCCATTTCACATCTATCAATTGGAAAAGTATCTTCACCAGTATTTATAGCATTCTGAGAACATTCTTTTACACAGGAATGTATATCATGCTTGGTACTAGTTGCTTCTGCACTGGGAGAGCTTGCAACTTGGGGACATTTAGGAATGGTAGAACTACGCAAACTGGCAAGCTGCTGGTGAGAAAATTGTTTGAAATGTTCAGGTACCATAGACTTGCAATCTATACCATTTGGACAAGGAACTAGGAGAAAAAGGCATAGTTAACTATGGAATGGAATAAGAAAGATCATGTTCTGGATGAAATTGATTTATTCCCCTCTTAATCACCGGCTATTAAACCACCATATAGGCTGATTGCTGAGATAACTACAATGTTCTATTTAAATACCTAGAGACTCTGAAAAACTGGCTACACACGCTTGAACGTGGCCGTCAAGAGAAAGACCAATTAGGAGATGAACCGGCAGCTGACACACCGGGCAGAACATCAACTGATTCTTGTCATCTAACGTAACATCTTGCGGTCTCCTTTCAAAAATTGTCGTATTTCTGGACGCATTCTTTTTAGTTCGAGTCGATTTCAACGACAAAGAACGCCCTCTTTTCACCTTAGTGTTTCTAATGCGTTGTGAATGTGAGTAATTTTCAAATATTGAACCCATTTTTATCTTTTTTACTGCTTGAAAGTCGTCTTCTTCACCTGAAGCTATATCCTCCATATTGGCGGCCATATTGGATCGCGCAGACCACTGAGCTATATACTATAGGCAATAAACTGAATCTAAGAAATTATATCTTTTCTATTGTTCTTTCAAATTAATAACAAAAAAACCTCAATACTGAAGATAATTCTGTAACAGGCTGTGTACTCCTTGTATTCCCTCCTGATCCAAAGAGCCTATGTGTTTGCCACTGACCAAAAGAGAAGCCAGTTAGGCAAGATAACCAGAGTGACCACAGGATATGACCAAGTCCCAAGCAGTGCCAAATCACGAAGAGATGAAAGAATACTGTCTCTAAATAATGTCTTTGAATTACGCATCAGCTCACTAATGTGTTTTGTTTCAGTCGTAAAGAAACTGTAAACGACTATCAATAGGAATAAAATACAGGGGGGAGAGGCCAAAAACACTAGTAGTATTTGCAACTGACGACGAAACCTACAAAAAGATGAATAAACAGTTATTCTCAACTGAAACTCTCTGAAATACTAGATTCGTAGCTACAGTACCTGTTTTTTGTGGACTGGACAAGAAGGAAAGCTGGTACAGTGAAAATTGCGAGGAAAAATCCAAATGAAAAATTAACTGTTGCCAAACATCCAACTTGACAAACATATATCACCAAAGCGATAGATTTTAACAGGATCACATCTCTTTTTTCCATATTGTTTGTAATTCTGAAAAAATAACACTAAGATTGTAATGTCTAAAACTGACCCAATCATAACACTTTCAGAGTAAAAGGGAGAGTGTATCTGCCCTGCAAAACTATCCTCTTTAATACCTCATAATAAATCCTCGATTTGAGCCAAGCAGAAATGCCCCAAATAAAACAAAAATAGTGAAATTTGAAGGGTCCCATTTGACCTTAAACACATGCTTGAACCGTAACATGTATGGACTGAGGTAGACCAACAACCCCACCAAATGTCCCGCAAGGATAACACGGAGAACTTTGCCAAAATGACGAGGTATTTGAGTGAAGGCAAACTAAATAAAGAAATAGATGGTTAGATCAGTTTAGCTGTAGTAAATGTTTGAAGTGTTAGCTGAGCAGTTTAGATCAAGGCAAAGGTTGAAATAGTTGATTAAAGTGCACTCACTTCCTCATCATTATCAATGGGGTCTTTTTTAGGTAATTCATCTGTTTTTCCAGAGCTCTCATCTTCTTGTGTTTTACCATCCTCATTTTTGTCACCATTTTTCTCCTGTTTATTTTCTAATTCTTCTTCCACATTATCCATGATTTCATCTAAAGTACAACCCAACATTGAGTCAACCATTAAAGGTAGTATTTTAAATATCCATTTATCCAACTAAATGCTTAGGAGCTGCTCTTAACAAATCTTGTGCAACCATTTCATCAACATTAAAATTGAAATTTCATCACAGTATTTCTGAACCAGACCTTTCTCCAGAGCAGATGCAATCCAGCAAGCCATTGCAGCTAAAATTGGTCCAATCATGAGACAGCCGAGAGGGGGCATATAGAGACCAATGGATACATAATGGGACGTTGAGGGTAGGAGGTAGAAGAAAAAGGATTGGTGGAATCTCTCAAGAAGATTGTTCAGACTACGAAACATTCCTTCCAATGCCCTAGGGAAAAGAAAGAGATGTTTCTTAAAACATCAATTATATGATATACCACCACATCCTTCTTTTCTAACCTTCCAACTCTGGCAAAACCAACAGGAGCCTCTCCAACCGCTTTTTTCCCCAACAGGGTAACAGCTTCAATACCATATTTGGGAAACAAGCCATGATTGGCTGATGGTCGACCTGAAGCCTGACCAAACATCATTGATACCATAGTGCTTAGCGAACTTCTGTACTCGTCGAATCCATCGTTGAAAAACCGAACAGGCTTAAACAGAAATAGACATTGAATGGTTAAAAAAATCAGGGTGGTTATTTTAAATAATTTTGATATATTCGAATACAGCTAAAGTTTCATTTAGAAGATGCTTTTAGGGAATACGATGGCCCCAAAGTCACTCCCATACCCTTCTTGGCATTTCGCAAAAAATAATCCTACCAATTTCTTTAAAGCCACTGAAATGCCTTCACTTCTGCATAATCTGATGACCATGTTCACAAGATCGAGGTTTGGAAGTTGTCCATTCAAACTTTCTATCATAACTTGCATGTGACTTATATCTCTGTCCTCTAATTCTAAACTGATGGCTGCTTGTATTTCACCAGCTCTGCCTAGCATTCGAGAGGACTTCACATCTACAGAACATTGAAGAATTTCCAATCATCTTAAAACTATAGATACTAGAGAGTACTAGATATTAGAGAGTGGCATATAGAGACCCAATCTAACTTACATTTCGACTGTATTCCATGGTACTCATCTAACCATGATTGTACACCAATTTCATTTTGATCAACCACCAAGAATACAATATCTTTTGACCAATATATGTTATCTAAACAGACACAGTTTATTAGATTGTATTATAAAAATTCCTAAACAATTCACTTCACTTACGCCTGAAATGTTCTGCTAACGACAGCAAGAACACGAGTTCATAAAATGGTCCAGTCTTTCGTGTTTTGAACGGTACCAAAAACACTAATGCTTCTGTCCTTGCAGTACGAGGTGCTCTCAAAATACCGTAAACATTCGTCCCATTGATTGGATCATTTAGAATGGATAATTCTTTGGGAAAATGAACTGTGAAGTTCTGTTGGTATGCTTCTAAACCAATTGCAGTCATTTTATTCATTAACCACAGTGGAAAATTGTCCCTAAAACACATTCATATGTAAATGTTGTCAGAGCTTTTATTGGGATGTATCATCAAACAGATCACATACTATGTTCCCAATCTGGGTCCAATCCCTGATCTTGGCTTATATTCACCTGTACATTTCACTAGGATTCTCAACTTCAGCTTTTAAAGATTTTGCCTCACGACCATAACGGTATTGGGTGTCGACCATAGCTGGCAGGAGGGCGTTTTCTGAGAAATATGTTCGGCTAATAAATGATGGATGAAGTAGCGCAACAAACCAAATCACACCACTAATGTAACCCAGAAATCTGAAGTAAAAAAGGGGGGGAATGAGTTACGATTGTGCAAGACAGGGGGGGTGTAGTAAGAGTCGAAATTAAGGTGGTATATTGCCTTGCACAAGTGTACCTGAGGAAAACCTTTTGACCAGTGTACACAGCCTTCAACTCTATAAAATATTTATATTAATCATATTTACCCAATTTTAACATGATGTCTGAGGACCAAATTGAGTAATCTTCGTAATTTTGTTGCCATTTATACTGCTCCTTGAGATACTCGAGCCTTTTCCCTTTCTAATATAACACACAAATCGTTTGAATCTGCTTTAATTTCTGAACAATTTACCACCACAAGAAACACAGCAAATTGAAACTGTACTTTAGAACTTTAGAGTTTGGACACGTTTTTTGTGGCGAGCATTAAATGAAGTGTTGCAGGTTCGCAACCACTGACCATATTTAATGCACACATTTCAGTCATGTTAAGAAAATTACAGAGGGGAAAAAAGAAAGTGAAAATGACAATTCACATTTAACCAAATAGATTTATTCCCTTCACGTGAAGAAACTCTTAAACCTTTTTGTGATAGTTTTAAAGGAATCTTACAGACTTTCTTACTAATGTTGTTTATAAATTCATTTTCCTCATTCCTATTCTCCATTTACATGAAGTACTTACAAAATCTATAAACCATATTTTAAAACAAAGATGGCCGCCATCCGAGGAGCGGTTTAAAAATAGGACACGTTTACAATTAGTTTTGAGTCAAGACAAATGATTTAATGTTGTCTATAGTACTGAATAAGCTTCTATTTGTGATTGCTATTAGTGCCATGATGAGCTGTGGGGAAAAATCATCGTCAAAAAATAATATGGAATTGGTAGTTTACGAACCTCCCAAGTTATTTACAATTTTTCAAACAGATTCAAGAGAGTTCACGTTTGCAGGTCATACAGTGAATATTAGCCAAGATTGGGAGACGAATGGTGTAGCAGCTGTTGTATGGGACGCCGCCCTTGTTTTAGTAAAGTACTTAGAGACAATGGTGGATTTAACTGGGAAGAGAGTCATTGAGCTTGGAGCAGGTACTGGATCACATGAATCTATAAATCCTAATCTTTTAATCCTAATCCTGATATCCTTTTGTTGTACAGGTACTGGTTTGGTTGGGATTGTTGCAGGTTACCTTGGAGCACAAGTCACCATAACAGACAGACGGATGGCTCTGGACTTAGCTCATGATAATGTCAAGAGAAATATTAAAAATCTGAACTCATCTTCTGTTGATGTCCGTGAGTTGGAATGGGGACAAGATGTCTCGCCGTTTAAACCCCCATTTGATTACATCCTTGGTGCTGATATTGTATACATTGAAGACACATTTCCACAGCTACTTCAAACGATCACTGAGTTAAGTGATATCAGGACTATAGTGTTACTATCCTGTAAAATCAGATATAAGAGAGACAGAAACTTTCTTGGACTTCTGAATGAGAAATTCGAGATTTCAAAAGTACACTACGACGAAAATGTCGATATTTACATATACAAAGCTGTAAAAAGAGTCGATAAAAAATAAAAATTAATGTTTGCGATAAACTGTTTGTTACCTGATATTTTAATTACTTTTACATAAAAATGATGAACGCATTTCGTAATCAAAATCTCGTGGGCTTTTTAATCTGCTTTAATTAAAGCGATTGCGCAGTTGAGTACTTGTCAAAAGATATCATTCGAGAACAATGCAAGCGCGCATGGGCGGCCAGTCAATTGTCTGCAGTCAGAGTAATTATTAAAATTATATCATCGTCGGGAGTGCCGTAATGAGCCCACTCACAAACGGAAAATATAGGATTTAATCGAGTATGCGAGCCCTTGTATTCAGTGTCTCTAATGATGGCGTTGATTTGAGACTTTGGTTACAAGATCACTCAGTCGGTATCGTGTAACTTTGAAGCTTATCAAAACAGCATTAGCTCGACTTTAATTTCTCCTCTTCGCCTTCTGTTGCTAACTTCCTCCCACACGCTGATCAACATCGATCTCCTGGCCTCTTCTTGCGAATTCGCTATTACGAAATCGACATTCTTCTTTTGAACGATCTAAAAGACTTGTTCCGCGATAAATTTTCCTTCACTTTCAATAATGAAGTTCTACTTGATCTACACTCTGACGCTTTTGTGAATCCTTTCACCGCATCATTCATCATGTACTCAACATCGAAGAAGTTTTTTGCCACAGATATTTCATAGAATTTGCATTCTAATTCCTCCGAAAGTGAAGTTCCTTCGCTTTCCATGATTTCTCTGGCATGTTCTAAATCAGTTTTGTTTCCGACAAGTGCCATCTCGAAATTCCCAGAATTATTCTCTCGCAGAAAGCTTCCAAGACGTCTGGATTCTAGGAATGATGTTCGATCCGTGACTGAGTACATGATTATGTACAAGTCTCCAATTCTAAGATATTCTTCAAGTTCTTTCTCAGATTTCTGAAGACAGAAGTTTAATGTTTGTGAAGAGCTGAGTAACGTAATATGTTCATCAAAAGTTGTGTAAATCATTTCATTTAAAACAAGCCAATAAGTTTCAAAGTGAAGCTTTAAAGTCAGACATTTTTTTGGCATCAACCAATGTCATCATGTGAACAAAGACGAAGCTTTAAAGAATTGATCATTAAAATCGTTAAAAGAATTGCGAGTAATCTTACCAGTCCGGATGTATCTGTGATTGTCAATGAAACATTTTCTCCTTCATATTCTAAGCAGTGATTATAACTGTCCTCTAAATACACAAAATATTTTAGTTGTACAACGCTTACCCTCAAAATGTTTCATCACTCGCCTAAACAATAAGACTTACCAATATTACTGTATTCCCAAATAAAGCGCTTTGTTTTCAAACGAACTGTAAAAGCTAAAATAAAAGTACAATTTTTAGAGCAATTGGCAAGACATGAAGAAAACGAAAGAGAGTCAACGAATTTAAAAACAAAGTCAACAGACAAGGCTAATTTTAATGATGAGTCAGTCGATAGAGCCTATGCAATTTACACAGGTCCATCAAATAACTAATCCGGTGAAATCTGTATTGCTTGCTCAACCACGCCGTCTGCTCTCTTTTTAAAAAACTAGCAATTCATTCCTTTCCGCTGCATGAAAATCCTCTGGACTGGCAGATGCAAATCAGATTTTAATTGGGCCAAGATCGATGAGAGTCATATCTAACTTTAACTTAACCCATTGAACCCTGTACATATTAAATCTCTTTCTGCTTAAACAAAAAAATACAGTCGTGGCACGCTAAATGGTTGCAATGCGATTATATATTTACATACTTGAAATGAAAATAAACAGTGCAACGATGAATCAACGTAAACAATCCAGAATTTTCTTATAAGGACCAACTTATAGGCAAAATCTTTTTGGTTTTAGGATCTGTTTAGTTTTATATTAAGTTAAAATATTAAAAATCCAAACATGAAATTACGAGAAGACAGCCTCGCAATGCAGGTGGGCTGGAAGTGGAATTTTTTAATCTGCTGCCTGTGCCGGGAATCGTATTTCCTTCCTTGTTTTCATTTTCTGCCACTGTTTTTAGGCTTGGTATTTTATAATCTGATTTGGTAGGTCTCAAATACCCAATTAAACTGACAAGGTGGATTAAACACGGAGGCATAAAATAAAACGATATTTCTTACAATTTGCTCTGCATGCACTGAATATCTGTGGCTCATATGGCAATCCTATCTGCTATTATTTTAGGTTATCAGGTCAGGAGACACTCAAATAAACAAATGATACGTAGAAACTGGAAGAAGAAAAATCGAAAACTATATTCACTTATAAAGAGTCCTTTGATGCAGTGCAGATAATTGTATTAATTCATTCCTCTCAGCGAAGTAAAAATGACTGTGATCTAATGGAGTGTTTTTCACTGCAACTATATGATTGAACGCGATGTAGCTATATATGTACTTATCTTGTTGCAATGTGTCTAGGTACTGACAGGTGTATAAGTTAAATGCTTATTTGATATTCAGTAAATAATAATAATCTAAGAGAGTAATTGTATTTTGCATGTTCTCCGGCTAACTACAGGCTAACATCAGCTTATTTCAATCGTCAAAAATCAATTCATGCAGTGAAATCCTCGCCGATTCGGATATCATAAAATGCAAGCAATTTAACCTAATCTAGTTTCGTTTAACATCTATCAGATGTTGTTGACAGCAACGACAGATTGACGATATTTATGTAAGATCTCTCAGCCATATTTTCCAGCAAACGGTGCAAACCTCGAATTCTTCTTAACCATTTTTGGCGAAAAATGAGTGGAATTAAGAAACAAAACAAATAGTATTTGTAGTTTAGTCATAACTTGTATCAAATCATAAATGCATGAAGTCTGTGTTATAACCAGTTTGCAAAAAAATTTAAATCGGATCTTCGTTGAAAACTGAAATAGAAAGATGGTCAGAATAATGCTCTGGCCATCAAACTTGAAATGAAATCACGGCTTGTGTCAACGCAATTTGGAAAAAAAACAATGTCCTTAACCTTTCTTGACCGCAGTAGACTTTAGAAATGTGATGAAGAGTCATTGAAGATTTCGCTACAATTGTGTAAAACACTAGACCATTCTACCTGTCAAGATGAGAAGAAAAATGTAATGACGCAATGTGACGTTTTAGAAGCGGTATTGCGTAAAATGTCTGGTTACAAGAACGAGTGAACGACACAGAATGTGTAATCACGATGCAAGCTGCATGTTATCTTGAACTAGCGGGATGGTGTTTAATAATTCATCTCCGTTATCATTCTGTTAATTACCGCAACGCGTATACTGAATGACTTCTTTTGTGCGGAAATCCCGCACAAAAACAAAGGAAATTCACCAAAGCAAGACTGAACAGAACATACCCTTTAGTTTTAGGTAATCGAGGTTTATGAGAGATGAACAAATATGCAGTATTTGCATGCATAATGACAATCATGTGCTATCACTCCATCGTTTACTTGTCATCTTACACAGTTCAAACTGTACAAATATAGTCAATAACAGCCTTCCATGAATTTTGCAACACATAACCCAGTATATTATTATTTATAGTCTATCTCGTTCACTATGATAGACTAAAATAAGAGAGAGCTTCTTGCCCCAAACTTCCAACGAGGCTTAATAATCTTTATTGCGTAATGGTTTTTGATAAAAAAATATTTGATGGTGCAAGAACGTCTTTGGCTCTTTGCTCCAATAAACCACATGCTATCTGCTTATAAGTTATAAACCTACATTAGACTGATCGATATTTCATTAATTCTGAATTTCTGACCTGACTTTCCAACACCATCCTGACCAAGTACGATGACATTGACATGTTTTGTAGTTGATGATGAACGCTTTTTCGTTTTCATCATGATCCCTGAGGGATGATTTCCTTCCTCCTTCCTTCTGGAACACTTCTTCGCCTTTCTTTAACCCTCTCGCTTCAACTACAGGAAACTTTAAACACAACAAAACGCTCTGGTAATTTAATTATCTCCAGGCTGTTCGTCAACACTTGAGATGATAAATAATAGTATTATTAATCTCGTCTTTATTGCAACGCTTTGTAACCCATGGTGCCGAAATATTTGTGGCATCAGCCAATGATGTTTACATTATAAAACCTTTTGGGTTAATATATCTTCAATGATATATCATTGAAAACTCAAATGGCCATTTCTGCTTCAGGACTAATGATATTCCGTTATTTTATCAGATTAGCGAAGTCGTAGGCGATGCGGTCAAGTAGGATAACGCAAAAAAGCAATGCGGATCATTCTAATTCTAATTTTCGGGCAAAATACTTGTCGTAAACACTGTGTTTTATAAGGTTGGTGCACATATAAAAAGGGTCGCTGGGTTATCAGGTATCTTTGTACAAAGTGCCTTGTGTTTACCAGTGGTTCCGCCACAATATACTTTACGATTCTTATCAAAACGACAATATTACCTCATCTAAACTAATCAATTCGCATGCTCGTACGTATTGGGATGTTTATATATCCTCGTGGCAAACGATAACTGGGTAAACACGTCACTGGAAACGTGATTTGCGCACTTAATGTTAATCAATCTGCGCAAGGGTGTTAAGTGTCCAGGATTGATGGACATCCTCCCTGTCTTGTAAGTAAATTATTGGATATTATTCACCAGCGTGGCTGCTTTATTTTACGTGCTACAATTCCAAGTGGACCATGGCAACAGATCATTAATCAAAGCTAAACTCATTAAAATTTCCAGCATTTTTGAGTCCACCAAGTGCATGTTGGAGAAAAATCTCGTGAATGGACAATTTCAAACCAACATTTTAGGAATAGTTGGGGCATTTAACTTTATCCATTTTTCGTAATTTTCTCAACAAAACTGTGCAAATCTTAGAAAGAAATGAAATGTATGCCAGCATGGATGTTTAAAGGAGCCACACTCCAAAATAGCTCTGGCAGCCTCTAACCAATGATCGACTCTAACTGCATTTAACGCTCAAAGTTTTATCTGAAATTTAATTAAAGAGCTCGGCTACCGTCAATAATATCTCATTACGTAAAACCCCAACATGAGGATCTATTTTTGTCATATCCTCCCAAGTTGTTGTTGTCATTCCTGTTTGCGGAAAACAAAACAAACTTGTTGCCGACATACTAGAAAGAAACACGTACGCTAGCTTGTCCGAGTGACCTATAAACTCAATTACTCAACGATATTATTTTTGCTTTTTGTTGCTAGGTGCGGTCAAAAGCGACACAAATCTCGCCTTAAATAAAGTATCTAGATAGCCACAAGTGGCAGGTGTGCAGGTCATGCGGGTGGACACCATGCAGTAGTTTTTGGGAACAGATAAGCTATGGCACGATAGTTTTCTGAAAACAGCTTGCTCACACGAGAACCTATCAAAATGTCTAAAAAGCTTCTATTCTGGTTTTAGCTACAGGAAGGGAAAAACAAAGTATTGTTTAGATAAGAATACACGAGTGCCTCTCGGGAATAACAAGTTCTAACTGTTCTTTAAAGATCAAGCTGCTCCCAGACTCTCTTCTGCGCTTACTGAATTATTCTTCTCTCCTCGAGTAAAAACAGTATTACAGGAAAATTTCCTTTTATTTCAGTGTCCTAAACAGGTCATTAAATATGAAAACTACTTTATCAATAAACAATAACTATACTTAGTATAGACTAATACATAGGAATATTTATATTTACAAATTTGCATGTACTGTACAAACGACGCTATAATTTATTCTACAATGGGTACAGAATTATGCATACTTTTCTTGCGACTCAACGATGATTTGCCTAAGTTATCTTTGCTTTTTTGTTTCTTTTTCAAGATCGATTTGACGGGAGCTTTTTGCGCGCTGATTTTCTTAGAATATCTCCGCAATAATTCCTGGAATAGTCTATCAACTTGTTCGTAACCATCACTGATGGAGATTTCTTGGAAAAGGCACTGGAGTTCGTTTGCGGTTTCCTGCGCAGAGCTGAAGTCGACACGACGTAAATGTTCAAGGTCCGCTTTGGTTCCGACTAGAACAATGTTCTCCGACGCGTCTGGTTTTTTACGCTGAACCGATTCGCCCAAATGCTTAGCATGTTCTAGTGATTCCTTGTCGGTAATTGAATACATTATAATAAAAACATCCCCACAACCAACATACAAGTCCAGCTTCTCTTCGGAACACTGAAAAGGCAAACAAGCAATTGTTGAAATCGTAGGTATATTGAATTATCACCAGATGATGACCAGTTCACTGAGAATCGATGTTATCATTTGTGGGACCAAAAATCAAGTAGTTTGTGTCGGTAGTGCGTCGTTTTCATGCATGTTTTATGGGAAAGTGCGTAAGATAAAATATCTTATATAGTCTGTATTGTGGATATAATACTTCATTTTAATAGATAATTCCAGTTTTAAGATGCTATCATGCACCGTTAAAAAACTGTTTTATACAGAGTGGAATCTAATAACTCTCTTTTCTTCTCCAGTGGTGCCTGCATGTGTGGATATATTTTGGTAAATCTATGACAGGAAAGAGCTAAACAAGCACGTTTTATTGTATTCCATCTCGGTGTACAGCAGCTATTTTAAACGATATTCTTTAGTCGGAATTGCCGAATGAATGTTAAGAATTCTAAGCATTGCACACATTCAAGATCAACTTCCTAAAATTGGAGAAATGTCAAAAAATGTTTGCAGCCTTACTTCACCGGTCGTGTCGTTTATTTCAAGTGGAACGTGTTCTTCGTCAATTAAAGCCATATGTTTCCAAGTTTCATCTAAACAGCAAGAGCATATACTGTTTACTTAGACTGCTTGATCAGTTAGTGGTTAGGGAGAAAGAGAGTTATGAATATGATCTTAAATCTATCTATCTTTTATAGGGTTAATAGTTGGGTAAGAATTAAGGTCAGATTTAAGATTGAAGTTAGGATTATATTCGTGGATTTTAACATGGAATACCAGATATTCCATCGCAGACGTGCGGTAGATTTTGAGACAAAGAGTTGGGTTGTCTAAAATGGTCATTGTCAGCCCTCAAACACACACAATGGAATCTTGCATAGCTACCTCGCGTGTGTTTTATTGACACACACAGCAAACTCTTTTCCCAGCACGATCATTCACATACCGGCTTTGTTGGGAGCCGTTATTTTAATAGTTTCTCTGTTTTGATTAATTCTAAATTGGTAATGGGGTTTCTTTCAATTGTGCGGTGGACTTTGAGAGCGACAATGCAATTCAGAGAAGACAAATTTGGTTTTGTTGCGAAATAGTTCTCAGACAAAGTCGATGGTAAGTCTGTGCGTTGGTGAGAAATATTGATCGATCGAGTTGAAATTTAGAACGAAGAGTTTTTTTTTCTTGAGAAAGCCTTAGGAACATGGTTAAGGTAGGTGATCAGGGAAACGATTACGTCTTGGGCAAAGGTTATTCGATGAAAGATTTGTCTGAAAAACTAAAACGCTATAAAATGTGACAGGTGCGACAGGAAATTGGGGCGCTGAGAATCGCACCAAGGTTTTCATTTATTTATTTATTGAATTGCAAAACCTTCCGTAGAACAGTGACGGAAAATGACGAGTATTTGCGGGTAATTACCCGCCGTTTGAGACTGAGAACCATGAAAGACCCTGGGTTGGCTGAGAATGTTCAATGTATCCACACAAGGGAATATTTTTAAAGCTGTTATCACCGTGCACAATGACACTCTAGAGTTTTGCCAAATAAAGTTTGCAATGCTTTATTCAGAGATTATTGTTAAGTCGAATAGAAGGATGTTACCTAAGTACCTAAGAGTGCCAACCTTAACGTCTCTATGCCTAAAACAAGCCTTGATCATTTGTAAAATTTGGAAAAAAAATGTGAAAAATCTTCAAGTCTTAAAACCACTTGTACGCTAGAAAATTTCCCACGATAAAATCCGACAAAACTATAATAGACCAAAACATCTCTAATCCTTGAATAGTTGTGGCTTGACTGATAAAAAAAAATAATTCCAGCGAAAAAAAACTTCTAAATCTCATAAACTGAACCTACACATAATCATTGTTTTTAGAGAACGAAATTTTTTCCATAATTTTAATTAATTGGACATCGACGAGTCGATGAAAGTCGCCATGTTAACAGTTAAATATTGCACGTGCAAAGGCGGTTTATATCCAGCACGGAGCAATTAATGTTGTTGAATGAATTTATACTTGTTACCTATACGATAGCCTGAGCAGACAGACGTTCTTTCACTACCCAGGAAACCTATACGACAAAATTAATTTTTTCATTGACCCAGCTTACGTATTTGTCATCAAGAACGTCATACAATAATGAAAAACATGCGAACTGAAAATCTGTTGAATTGCTTGAACCATTTAATGGTTTTATTTCTTTCCTTTTTTTATAATTAAAAAGACTCAGTGCCCAGTCAGTGGTCATGCATTGCGTTGCATTTGATTTACCACGCGATTCAGGAAAACCCACTGGGAAAACTTTGATGTGGAATTATGATTATTGGTCGAAGGAAATCAATGATTCTTGAAATTGAAATATATTTTTGGATTTCATATATATTTTAACCCCAGTGTTTGTACTTCTGCCTTCAGGAAGACTCATACCTGGTTAAATCACCGTGGTTAAGTCGAATATGGTGCGAATTTCGCAGCCTAAAGAGCCGTTATCGATCAAGTATCTTATAGATCCTCTTAGTGAATACCCATTTTTTAGAGAAAAGAATGAACTCTACGCCCCACTAATTTGAAGGTATGCTGCTATTTTTGCACTGAGGTCTTTGAGAGAAACGATTAAAAAGATATGTTTGCCAAAAATAGAAGAGTTCCTACCGACTACCGTCACCTTGGTTCTATAGAAAGTTCAGGTGCGATCGAGAGGAACAAGCAATTAAGAAAGAGTGTCCAACTGTTCTGAACTGTTGATCTAAATAACATGTGTTTTTAACACTTTGCCTAAATCCCGAAGTTTTACAATACAAGGATTTTTTCTATTTTCTGCAACGGAAGCTCAACCGTTGGCCTGACAGATGAACTCATTATATCAACCTTTAATTGTTAAACACGGACAAATTTAGCCGCGGTTTTCACTATTTTTAAAACACGAATCAAATGTATCGAATTCCACAAAGGAAACACGCTTCATCATGTTACATGCTGGTGTCTGAAACGCTCAAAAATTTATACATCATAAACGTGGGGCAAAAAATCTCTGCGAGTGAGCGTAGATTTTGAGTGAATCCATGAAAACCTCTGTCTGAGTTCAGATTTTTGTACATCATGTTATTTTGAAGTGACCTGTCGGGCATATGCAACATGACGCTATTTTAACGTGTATATGTCTCCGTTTATCAATATCTGCAATGATTACTTCATATATATTACAACGAAAGCTCACCTCCACTGCTGTCGTATTCGCCAATGAAACGCTTCGTCATGAACCGGACGGTCAGAGCTGAAAGAAGATATTACAACAAATACAGTCTTCAGCTTTTCCACGCATGAATATGGCACATGCAATCCAAAAAACATTAAAATTTTTGTCGGGTGTCATAAATTAGAGACGAAGTGATTAAATTGACAAGTCCTACTCCCAAAACCAGTTGAGGTCATGCACATGCAGTTGTATGCCTTTGATGGAAACCCTCGTAGCGAAATATGGGCAATTTGGGTTTAAAAAACCACAAAAATCTCACAATATGATGTTGAGATAAGTTACGAATATTTCTGATCCAGCATTTCAAAGCCAAGTGCAGTTTTCATTACATTAAGGTAATGTAGGTAACGAATAGGTCACAGGTTATCAAAATGATAATAGCCGATATTTAATGAGCTGTGCTTTTTAATTTTAATATGTTAAAGTGCCTTCGAGACATTGTGGCAGACAGACAAGAAACTAGAACAATGCCGTGTGTATTTTTCTACTTATATTCTTTGAAGCTTTCCACAATTTATGAATCTACACGCATGAAATGTCGGAAGATGGGATAAAGACAAACGATCGGCAACGCTGCGTCATAGACTCATAGACACAGGTCATTAACATACTTTTACAGGATATAATCTTTTAAGCAAATTGGCGAGACATCTTAAGTATTTGATAACTACAAGACCAAATTTGAAGAAAATTGTCTCAAACAAACTCACACAAACTATTATTTTAAACTCAGCGCAATCGACTTAGGTCTTTTACCAAGATGTTTACGTTGTTCGTTTGGTTATCCGTAATGCAGCACGTTTAAATTAGACCAAAATGATTCTGGTCGGAAAAGTTGTAGCTGTTTGCACGAAAACATTCTGGAATGAAATAGCACTTAAAAAATGCATGGTTCAAGGCCTGAAGAGATTGTTTGTCGAGTGTCGCAGTAAATCATTTTGAAGGTCTACCCACGAGTGTGTGATTCATGCGTTTTCTCGTTGCGTCGCGATTGGACGCGATCCAAAATCCACGAAAATCAAACAGCTACGGTATAATGAACAATCATAATTAGTCGCATTCCTCGATCCACAATTTGAAGTAATATCACAGCACCATACTGGGATTTCGAGGCTTTTTAAATCGATACAGGATGTTAATTTACAGAACTACCGCAGTCGTTAGACACACTCGACATTTTTAGGAAAGAAGAAGAATGCTCCTCTGAAGAGTGAAAGTAGCAATTCAAATCTAGCATCCAAAATGACAATGCTGCTTGACCAATTTAATGTACTAATGTACTAACTTCAAAACTTTTTGAATATTTGGTTGAAATGTTTAAATGGTTGGTTGCACACTGCCGCTCGAAAACGCGACTGCATATGCAATGAAGACAGAGATACACACAGATACTGACAGTAGTTACCATTCTGTCCAACTCTAACGCACGATAATGCAGCCACATTCAGGACTGTACACAAATAGCCGAAGTTTGTACGATTTTTTAGTTTGGAGAAACAATTCGATAAAGATATCTTGAACCCCGATAATTAGGGTTAGAAAATTGCATTAGCCTGTTACAGTTCAACGTTAAAATCCTTGTGAATGCGTGCGTAATCCTTGTAAAAACGAGAAGTCACAATGTGAACATGCATATTTATACAATTGTAATGTAATGTAAGAATTACCTGATTTCCCGACGCCTTTCTTCCCCAGTATTACAACACGAATAGCATTAGCATGCTGTAAGATCATTCCGCTTCGTCTCCGTCTCATATCCAAATATTTGTGCTCGCAAAACTCTATCAGATGTCCGAGATCTGAGTATATTTCGAAAATGTCAACCGTAACGGTAATGTCAAACTCTGCTAAAAATGTTCGTGCAATCTTGCTCTCTGGCATGTACACGAATATGATATGTAAGCTGAAAATAAACCAACGATTGTCATGTACGAGAGTTATTAAGTGTATTACGGGTTAGTTCTCCGCCCACAAGCACCGCGGGACTCCACGCTAATAATGTTCTTATAAAGAAGTTACTGACTAAAATTGCGACAGCAACAACAATGCGTGTTGTCTGTTCACAATGCAGCGTGAATAATAACCAAAATCTTACATCCCATTGTGAATAAACCTCGCTTTATATGGCTAGACAAAGCAACATAACGCCTGCATGCATGTATATGTATACATTGGGTGACATTTGATAGCGTAGATGATTATGTCCCAAATCCCAATATAGTACACACTACATTAGGTTATATATTTAACTGTACGCTTTTAATCTGAAACGGTTTATTTCTGCAAAGGTAAACAGTGGTTAAGCTAACGCAAATAATGTTAAATGATTATTGCATCAATGTTTATATACACAGGTGATATAATGAAAAAACAATCTGTCGAAAAGATTCATTCCCTGTCAACAGTTTCTAATTGTAAAATATGTTTACCTTTGTCATTTATTTTTGAATGTTAGTCAGATTGCTTGGTGTGCTCACATTCAACAGCTATGTTTCGCAATGATTTCTTTCAAGAAGACGAAACAAGTATAGTTTGCTGAGCTAATTTTGGATTAGCTTTTGAATTCCACTCGGCGACATGCAGGAATTCACAATGGCCTGTCCATTGTATGCACAAACGATAACACACGCGGTCCTGACAAATGCAAGCTGTCGGCACATGGACAAAACGACAATCATTTATTTGTTTCAGCTTAATAATATAAAGAGAGGAATCTCTTTTTCAAGCAAGCAGTTCCTCTCCTTTTAAATCATTGTTCATAATGGATTCACCTCAGTCTTGATAAGAGTCCTAGAGATTATATATGACGTTGAATGCAGACTGCATGTATGAGAGCCAGTTCTAATTATTTTCATAATGAAAAGCGTACCTACTACAGTTTCAAAGCAGTCTGAAGCATTTGAAGCAAATCTACCCTAACCGTGACCCTCTCTATCATTTATATTCGTTCCTATATCATTTACAATCCCCGTCACTTGAAGTATGACCGTTTTGTGAGGTCTAGTTCATTTTCTAAATATAGTCCCTTTAAAATCTACAATACTGTTATAACACCCACTCACATTCATAGCAATTCCTTGCATAGTTTCATCAGACGTACAGAGTCTATAGTTAAGCATCGCGATATGCATTCCGTCGCCCTTTTTTTAATTACAGACTACAGTAAATAAGGAAATTTGGTTATGTGATTAAAACTGCATGCATTTGGAACAGAATGAATTTGAACAACATGTTACTGGGGAAATCTAATTTCCTTATCTCAACATTGAATATAGAACAACGCGTTATGACAGCATGTCACACCTCTATTCACCCTATTAACACAGTAGTTGGCATCCTTTGAACCTGGTGACATTTTTAGCAACAATGATTTAGAATGTCTCGCTTACGTACAAACAATTTGGTCAGCTGTTTTATCTCTTTAACAAAGTCGTTTAAAACAACGAATATTTCTGCAGAAAATCCGCGCGGTTGCTACCACACGCTTTCGCGAAAAACTGATGCATATAATATGGCGATAATTAGATACATTCAATTAATTATAATATTACTTGCATGTGAACAATAGTGTAATGAACAGGTTACTATACGCTGATATTCTGATAATATCACAGCTAAATTTGGTTGTGCAATTATTACAAAGGCACTAAATTTGACTAGAGAGTACATTACTTGCAATCTTTTCAACACCCTGTTCTTATCCCCCCTAACCACACCTGCACCATACCCTAAAGCTATTGTATCTCTCAATTTCTCGGCCTAGTACTCCAAGTTATTAGAGTGAACTATATATACTATAGAGAGAGAGAGCTAAAACCATTTTCGTATTGTCCCAAACGTCAAATTCCTGTCGTTAGCCACAAAACTCTCTATTCCTTCTTACTAGTTGAAAATAAAAGAAAAGTGAGATTTTTTATCTATGGATTGCTGGATAACGAAATCAAGGTATATGCATCATTGATATTTCTGGTATAGATTGTCTGCATTCTTTCCTGTGTTACCTTGAACCGGGTTGAATGACCGGTGGCTATGGTGTTATTTTTGTGTGACACGTTCTTTATCAGCGTGGGCTGGTGTTATCGCCGTGGGCAGGTTATACAGAACATCGTGGGAATTTCAAAACCAACAGCACTCTACATGCATTATCTATCATCGAAAATATATTTTCAGAATTCAAGCATATTCTCTCTGACAAGCGTCGAAACGTCGAGAAGTTTTCTCATCTATTTTAGGCAGTGCAAGACCGCATTATCCGGTAGCATATTTTTGTCTTGTTCAAAGCAAAATCAGTGTGTCATATTGAGGTTTGTGGTTGGAGATAGCAGGGGCGCAGAGATTGCGTACGGAGCGCTCTCCAGGACCATTGACACTTGGGGAGATAAAAACGACAAGTGTGAAAAATGGTCTGCGCCTTGGAAGCACCGATACAGGAACTCGTCAAGCCAGAGTTTGCATGGAGAAGCAATACCATGAAATATGGATTAGTATATTTCCGCTAATCCGTCCTTGAAAGGACATCCACAAGTACAAATAGGGTAATAAATTACATTCAGGCAAACACGGTGTTTATACAGTGTCATTCACAAAACAAACAACTCTTTTTCAAAGAAGAACTCATTCATTTATCAACTAATTTTCTATATCAAAAATTACTTTTTTTACAGTGCAATTACTGTTTCGTACTTTTGTTTTATTTAGCATTCAACTATTAATCACGTTTTAAACATAGTACAGTGCGACATTAGCTTTAAGATAAGTGCAGTCAGTTGCACTTTCTGTTCCATTACAAATACAAAGCGCGCATATAAATTAATCAAAGAGTAGACATCTCTTCTCTTTAATTCAATGCTGTGATCCGCTGGCCATGCTTGTTCGCATGGCGGTAATAAATTCCGTAATGTGATTGGCTAATGAGAAAGAAATTGCAACGGATTTTTTTTCTTCAACCAATCACATTACCGAAATTTGTTTTCGAAGTCGCTTGGCGCGAACAAGTGGCCCGGTGGCAAACCTGCTTAAAAAGGAGTTTTAGTACGAATAAATGAATTGAACTGATTGATTGGAAACGAATGGAAGGTGGTGTATATTTTCAATCAACTCAAACTTTCGGTTTTAGGAAGTTGATAACAAGCCTACCCCGGGCCCTGTTTCAACTTTCAAGACCTAGACCATTATCTGTTTATATTATTGTTTTGGTATTAATTTGAATAACGTAAAAAAATAACCTACAAATATAAAGTTTTGATGCTACAACCATGGAGCAGGCAAAATGCGGCGGTCTCTTGTTTATAATGCCATATTTCAATCAATGATTTCTACATAGTTTGCAGGAAACAAGCCATATGAACCATCAGGCGCCCTACCTTGCCACCAACCTGGATCTATCTGATTGATTTCCGTTATTATATCACCTGGATCAAACGTGATCTCGCTGTCGTCAGCTAGGTAATTTATACAAAATTATTAATGGTGACGCGCAGGAAAATGCAATTTTGTGGGGGAAGGGGAGGGGAAGACTTGTAGCATACCTGCTTGATAGTCATACAATGCTTTCGCACGAACATCATCGCCACTTGACTCTTCCTAAAAGTACATTAAACGAGAGTACATTACACATTAGCGTGCTATTTAACTTTGTTTGCAATACAAATTGTATTCGAAAATCCTCACCTGACCAGTACCCTCCACTATGGCGTCAGCGTTGTCATAGAGATTCTCGTCATCTTGTTGGTCTTGATATCCAGCTGACGGATCCCCAGTAACTGGACCGCTCTCCGGGATATCATACTCATTGTCTTGTTCCTAACGAGGTACAAAATAAAGAAGTGATTAGATCTGAGTCAGAGAAGATACAGTTGTACTGTAACATAAAGCCATGACTTAGAGAGTTGGGGATACGCATTAACGTTGGAATTAGAAAAAGATGAAAACACTGACAACACAGCGAGATTTCGCGGTCGACACCTACCAGCTCTGGTTCTGGCTCGGGTTCAGGCTCCGGTTCATAACGGTGATCGGGTTCTGGTTCTGGCTCGGGTTCAGGCTCCGGTGAATAACGAGGCTCGGGTTCAGGCTCTGGTGAATAACGAGGCTCGGGTTCAGGCTCTGGTGAATAACGAGGCTCCGGTTCAGGCTCTGGTGAATAACGAGGCTCAGGTTCAGGTTCATGTTCAGGTTCTGGTTCATTGTCCGGTTCCGGCTCGGGCACAGCTGGACGTGGCCGCGCCTGTGGAGCAGGGGGCTGGGGTCTGGCTGCCTTCCCGGCTCTGATCATGTCCGCAGCTTCCTGAAATCCAACGAAAAGATTTTGTTTACCGTTTCAAACGCTTCTGCTGAACAAAAACTCGTAATGCGAACCTCTCTCCTTCCTGCGGCAGCCGCGGCTCTTGCTTTATCTTCTTCGTATTCCTTGGTATAAGCCTGAGCTCTTGCAGCGTCTTTCTCCTTTCTTTCTTCTTCCTTCTTCTTTGCTATTTCACGTTCTTGTTTCCTGCATGAATTAAACTTAGTTGTAAGAAAAAGGCCATGATATATATTCGCAGAACATATGTAAAATACTGCATGCAAACACAAAATTTTAGTCGATGGTTTTACGGCCTTACTGGGTTATCCTAAACAAGCAAATAAACGTCTATTTGTCACCTCTTCTCGTCAATGCTTCTTGATCTTTCTCTGAACTGTTCTTCTCTCGTCTTCGCCTCTCGTAGCTATGAAATAGAACATGGAAATTCGGTTACAATTCAAGTGATTTTAGCACAAGAGACAAAGAGAAAAGCAACACTAGACCATCTAAAACTCGATGGAAACAGTTCACCATTCTGGCAGACACCAACTTATTCGTAAAACGTCAATGGCAAACTCACGAGCTTGTTGCATCTTCTTTTACAAAAGTCGAGAAACGGAAACTAACCTCTCTCTCTTTGCGCTTTCTCTCGGCTTCGTCTTTCGTCTGAGTCTTGCTTTTGGCTTCCTCGTCTTGACGTTTTGCTTCATCTATCTGTCGACGGTAAACAAAATCATCAATTTTCACTCCCAAAATGTATGAAAACACTTGTCAAGTGTCCTTCCTTACTTCCTGTTGCGACCAAAATTGATTTCGTTTAGCCATATCCGTGTCTTTGCGTACATTTTGTTTCTGGTAAACAGAACCCTGGCATGTCGAAAGAAACGAAATTTGATAAAAACGAAATAAAATTGTAGAAAATTGCATATAAATTATACTAGAGTACACAGTATGCACATCAGAAAGAGCATCAAGTAAGTCAAACTTACCACAGCAGTGGGTGCTTCAACTGGTCTGGCCTTTTCTTTATGGTAACTGTAGTTGGCTCCTAAAGAAAGGAGAAGTTTTCTGATAAACAACTAACTTTGACTTTACCATTTATAAAATAAAGCATCTGGCATTAGGCAGAGAAACAACTGTGTACAAGTCATGGTAGGAGTATATCAAATCCTTTTACCTGAAGATGATTTAACCTTTTCAATGATAACACTTTCTTCAACATCATCATCATTACGAGCGTTTATTGCCACATGATGTCCCTGAAAGAATTGTGTAACGAGTACGACCATCAAGTACTACCAAATTATCCACTGGTTACCATTCAAGTAATATTACCTTGAAAAATCTCTCCACATCTCTGACATGATTCGCACATGTTCCTTTTCTTGATGATGGAACACCTTCACCCACCTTTGATGTGAAAATGATAAGATAGTTATGGTTGGTACTGGTGAATAGCGCAAACTGTAGATTTTATGACATTATATGTATCAAGACCATGAATAAATACAGGTAAGGTTTGTGGGATAGGATTAATCAAAGGCTGAAAATAATGTGAATGATTATTAATGGCGACAATTATCATCACATTTCCATGTGGTGATAATGTTTATATATTACCAACACAATATCATTTTAAGAATACCAACCCAGTTTATCAGAACATATTTTGGTAGATTTGTATTAGGATCAATAACTTTCAAGCCAGCATACAACATTTTACCACTGTTCCACTCATCACTAAGTTCTTCAAAACCTCCATCTAAATATCATAAAGTGATTTAATCCAGTGATATACAAAACATTATAGTGAAGTATTTACTATTATAAATATTTCAACTAGTTGTCCGCTATATCACAAAGTATGAAGTAATAACTTCAAGGATTGTTACAGCTTGCTCTAGGAAGTAGTGGTTATCATGATGCAACATGCTGACTTTGCTAGCTTGTTATCACCATCGCCACATTGTTGGAGGTTATGAGATGTCTACATTTTAAACAGTTGTTTATCAACTATTTATTAAAATTCAAGTATTGGGTAATAGACACAGCAGTCAAATTTTTTTTAAAAATACTATTAAAACCGGAAGTAAATCGCAAATCCAGCAGACACAATTTCACTGATTTCATCCTTGAAGACCAATGGACAGATACATTCTAATATTATTTTTGGAGTTCTTTTGAACTATAAATTAGCTTTTAAAGCTTCTATTTAATGATATCATAACGATTGTGAAGCGAAATCCTGGGACAAAACGAAATATTCCAAATCATGTTGCAACATTAAAAATGTAAACAAATTATCTTGTATCAAAATAAAACAGGTTAAAGTTTGGGAAAAGCTTTTTGGATTGAGTTTTACATCATCGAGAAAGAAAAATACCTCCAGTGTCGGCAACTTTAAGAGTGTTGGTATTCTTTTCGTAACCAAAGAGTGCCCTATTAAAAGTATGAAAATATATACAGATCGAATTTATTGAGACATCTAAATCAGCCATTTAAACTCATAAACTTGTTAATAAACGTTCAAACTTTAACGAGTGATTACTTACCAATCTGTTTCGCATTTATCATCAAAAATATCTTGCCAAGCCTTTGAAAGGCTGGCACTGTTCGTCTTTAAATCGATAGACATGTTTATTTTGTAAAGATGGAGTGCGGAACTAGGTGGTTACGAAGGGTGTGGCCCAGTTCCGGTATCTTGTTTTACCATCCTGAGGCATGGGAAAGAGAGAATGGATGTTGAATTATATTACTTGTGTTTATTGGCAAAAGAAAAAGTGATTGAAAAGTAAATGAAAGCGATTATAAAGAAGCTAAGAGAGAACATGTCGATTTTTATTTTTACAGACGTAAATGTTTGGATATAATATAAGGATAGTATTGATATGATTACATTCGCCAAAAATTCACTCGATCGCATCTATCAAAAGGAGAAAATGTTGGAACGAAGTGTATATAGGCCTCATCTTTACTCCTTCGGTGGCAGATAAAGGTAGTGAGCATATGTAGCTACAGCGCTGAGCAGGAACTGAATTTGCAGAAAACACAAGATATTGAGCGATATGAAATCAACGTCCATTTTTAGTATAAAGACATTAATATCCAAATGACGTCACGATATATATTTCGTGTAACTTTGGGAAACCTTGACAAGCAAGGGGCAGAATCTATAGTTAATTTATATCGCTGGGACAATCGGAAGCCAAAAGAGGACAGATTTTCATGAAAGGGCACGACGCATAGAGAGTGTTTGCACTTTGCAAAACGTCGGCAGTTGAGCCTCCGTCTCATCATGTTGTTTCCATGCCAAATGATTGACCTCGTTGTCTGAAGGTGTTCCTCTAAACAATCGCGCAATATTTTTAAGCTTATTGCCTGCATTTCTATCTAGCCTTGCCTAAAGCTAATTAAAGAATTGAGAACTGCAATCTTTTAGATAGATATGGCATCTTTTGACCCCATGCCTCTCCTCGAAAAGGCAAGTGGGGCACCTGCCCTCCCCCAGTGCTTTCTACGAAGTGTCGCTAAAATCTCAATGAAGACATCTTATTTATTTCTCCTTAAACGTTTCTCCCGCCATTGCTCAATGAATGATCGCTGAATCAAAAAATAGACATTCAAAAATCATAATGATATACACAGGACTTTGTTGATCTCAGATTACAACTAAAACAAGATCTTTGACCATCACTACCAGTCTGCCTGACTCTGCCATTACCAACAACCTTGCGTGACAAGCTTTCTGCTAGAACAATCTGCCTTCCATTAAAACATTGAGTGGGGACCATTTGGTTAATATGTATATAGGTTTATGTGTACATAAATATTATGCAAATAGCGTTGTTACCCGATGCTGACAAATACAATCTGCCTTTGAGTGGACGATTTCCGTGTGAACTTTGTTAGTGAATTGACCGAATGACTTGGGAGTCTGTCGAGAACTTTTGGTAAGGTGAATAACTGAAAGGGGAGAATTATTGCTAGACAAATTAAACAGACCGGTCCATAGCGATATATTCTGTATTGTAAAGCTGTGGTAAAAGTAAGTGTTCATTCAACTTTATCGAATATTATACTTTCATATTTAGCATTTAACCTTATATTGACTTTACCGTGAATAAGACATGAGAGTGCTACTTCAAGCGGTTAGTTTACTAAGTTATCGACTTTAAAGTATCTCTTCTGTCATTGGAGTTTTTATAACAATCTATTTTTCATCACAGAGAACGGAGAACGCTGCTGTATATGACACTAGACGCAGGTGCTCTTGTCAGTGTAGTTGGATGCTGTTAAACCCAAACGATATGCCTACTGCGTTGGTTTTTCTCGATCAAGAATATTGACGTAAATGTCTGAAAAGGTGGAGCGAGTATATCTTTCCCTTAATTATATTTTGAAATACGTTGTGGTTTTTTCATAATTGGATGCGAGACATGTCTTAGACTAGTTTATCAGGAGCAACATCAAAATTTTATATTCAGCCTTTGATCCTATAAATAAACACGCTTTTAAATTTATTTATGATCTAAACAATCCAACATTTCACCTGAGTTTTGACAATGATGCATCTTTGTACGCATGCTCTAGAAGCAACTCGGTCGCTTCACGAACTTTCGTCTTTTAATTAGCTGGACTAAAATATAGAGGCACCTTTTGTGTTTTGACTCACTTAAGTATAAAGAATTGTATTTTAAACTGTTTAGCAATCTTGCAGTCCCAGCTTAATGCTGTCACCGCATACCTCGGATGTTCGTCTTTACGAGCGAGTTCGACTTCAGAGTTTCCAAAGCTTGCTCAGTGCATCCCCTGCAGGGCGCTTTCGTTCACCAACAAGACATCCGCGGGTCATACTTGAAGATCTACTAAAAGCAGAGGTAGTGATTGATGATAGTACAGACGCTGGGGTCTGGTGGGAAGAGGAAAGAAATCTTGTTGCATTTTATCTTCTGTTTCTTAGGTGTTGTCGACGCAGCTTGTATTGGCTATTGAAGACCTTGTCAAAAGTTTGTTGTCAATGATGGATTCTTGCAAGGAGAATGGAGAGGATTATGGGATGTCCAGTACCACAGAAGATGAATCAATCAGGAGTTTTCGTAGTGCGTTAGTTCAGAGTGCAAACACTTTAGACGAACTCACGAAATTACAGATTTCAGAGAACGGCAGGGATGTGAATGATCCACAAACCACAGAGAATGGTGGCTTGTTTGTAAACACTGCTTCAGTGGTTGAACATCACGAAACAAATGATGGTAACCATACGATCAACCAACCCAGGTCAGTCTCTTCATGGGCATAGCTGAGCATAGCATTTCACAACTGAAGCTAATAGTAATACAATATACGATTGTGGCAGAAGCGTGACAATTGTCTTTGCTTGATAGATTTGGCAAGATCTTGTCTTCGGGTAGTGACAGTACAACGCCAAAATCATCGTCTCTCTCAGCAAGAGAGAGTGAATTCAGTAGTACGTCCCCGTCAGACGTCACGATAGCCTGCGATGAACACGATGTGAGCGGACGAGATGAGAATGGAAATCATGTTGCTTTCTTGCATGAAGCCGTCAAAACGCTTCGAAATGAAGTCCAGGAATTGCAGGCGAAACACGAGATGCAGTTCATAACTTTTGCCAGTAAATTTATAGAGCTTGATGAAGGTTTGTTTTTAACGTTCGGCAACCAATATGCCATGATAGAGCATTAAACTAGAAAGCTAGAGTCCTACTCTGCTAAGTACCTGACTGGTTGACATCAGTGTAACATCATATTTTAAAAACACTCACTCTAAAACTATCGCTTTTTCTAAACTTGCTTTTTCTGTCTTGGCCACAGACGAGCGTCCCTCTACGAGAAACATTCTTGAAAAGATAATGCAAAAGTTATCTCCACAAGGTGATGGACGAACTGAATTGTGAAAGTAAAAGTGTAGTCATAGCTACTAGCTAAGTGTTTTCATGGGCCATGACCTTTTTGGCTTTTATTCCAGATCAGAATTGGACGTTTCATGGAAGGCTTGACGAAGCAGAAATGGAACATCTTTTCTACTTTGTCTTGCTGCAAAAAACGCTTAAATCTTGTCTTGCAGTCATGAACACCCCAGAAGCCAGAGAATTTAATAGAAAACCAGAGGTAAACGAGAAGACAAACTGTTAAGTGTTGTTTCGGCAAAACTGATACGTTACATTTCTGTGCGCAAGATCTATGGTAATGGCCAAAAATATACATTGTTTTAATGAATCGTCTCTTGCTTTTGTAGAACATACGAGTTCGTGAAAATAGACCCAATCGAAGAGATCTCATTCCATCTTCAAGCAATGCTAATGGACCGGTTTGTGTAAATTGTCGCCGATCTTTGAGAGATCGTGACAGCGCTGATGAAACTGATCCTGAAAATGTCAAAGAAAAGTATCAAACTTATGGTGAAAGTAAGACGCTGCTGAATGTCCCCAAAAGCGAAATACAATACAACAGTTCAGACAGTAATGAAGAGCCTGTCCTCAATGGCTTAACTAAATCATCTTTGAAAAGACCGCACGATTTTGAATTTGAACAGCAAAGCAAAAAAAGAAAGAAAGGAAAGAATTTGTTCTCTTGTTTCAGTACGAAGTGGTTAAGAAATAACAGACGATCCAAAAAGCTTTAGAGATCATTGGGAAAAAAGAAAAATAATGAAAAATATGTTAAATTATATATGAATATAAAATTGTACATTGAATTATATGTTGCGAGGTATATGTGTGCAGTGAGTTTGCGCTATCAGTCTGTTTTATATTAGTGGCCAAGCTGCGCATAACAGTGATGTATTATGTATGCATTACTAAGGCGTCGAATCAACTCATATTAGCTGAATTCAGAGAGTCGTTTATAACACCATTCAAAGACATCTTTAAAAAAATCACTATCTTTGAATATTTTTGATTTTCCGTACGTGGTCACCATTTTGTCTTTTCTGTTACCTGGCAACAAAATGCGTCACTTGGTCATTTAAATCTTGTTGCTATGGTGACAGAAAGCCAAATCTCTTTCCGAAATGATTGACAGCTAGCTAGCTAGCGCATATTGTGAAAAACAATTCGGTTATGGAAACTATCCATGTCTGTTAAACAATTTCTAAGTTCAAATGGAAAACGTACGAACGAGAGGAGATATTCAAAAGTGAAAATGTCTAAAACGTCCTTGGCTAAGCAGTGTTTGAAAGAGCAAAACGCGCACACTACGAACGTTGTATCAAGCCATGCCGACTACAAGTACAGGTATGTTAAAATTTTCATTCCGTTCTGAGCTTTTCAAATGCTATAAAAGCCAGCAATAGTTTAAACTACTTCGATAAAGACAGGCCCACCTTCAGTGAAAGGGAGAAGTCGTATAGAAGTATAAGATCTTTTCGAAAATAAAGAAAAATAATTTGCTTTGATGTACTTTCCTAAATAGAATGAGTCCTGGAACAGCATCTAAAGACTTGAATCAAAGAATTACACGGCAAACGATGGAAGAAAAAGGTCGAGAAGACCAAAGGGTTAGCGAGAAACTTGATAAAAATTCAATGAGGGAGAAAAATAGTTCCGAAAACACCTCTTGCGATTATTCGGTGCAAATCGAACATTTTACATTCAAGTCATTGCAAGAATCAGAAAAATCGTTGAAAGAGGAATGTGAAAAACATATCTGCTTGTGTGATGAAAAGGACACGATTTCCTCAACCTCATCACAAAATATTAAAATTACTGAACGTCGACCTCAGAAGCAAACAAACCTAAAAGTGATGAAATTGGAAAAAGGGAACAAACAAACTGCGAAGTTAATAGGCGAAAGAAATGCCTCACGGAATGCAAAATCAAAAGACAGTGTTTGTTCAGAGGAAGGTAATGGTTCGGCAAATCAAGTTTGCTTCTCTGAACGATTAGAGGCCGTACAAATGCCAGACGTTTGTTCCTCGAAACCGGAGGTAACCTCTCCATCCATAACAACCACCCCTATCCGTTCTGGCTTTAAATTGTTATCAATCGTATCAACAAGGTCAACACCTAATGCACCAGATTCACCTCCAGTAACAACAGAAACACCAATCTTACCTGATACACGCCTAAAACAGCCAAAACTATAATCACAGCTCATACAGTTCAAGATGGTAAGAGGTCGCCAATAACCTCATCGAGAACAACAAGAACGGTAGACATGACCAGTCCATCTCTTGTTAAAGCACCACAGTCACCAACAGTACCAAACGTAACCGCCACACCAAGGTCGCCTATCACCACTCAAGAAAATAAACCATCTTCAACACCCGCCAGTGTAGCAACCAGTATACTACCACCATCACGAACACCAGCCAGTGTAGCTGCCAGTACACTACCACCATCACGAACACCAACAATGCAAAACCAGACTGACACACCTAGTCCACCAACACCTCATCCATATTGCCCACCACCAACGACACTGCCGCTGAAAGCCAGTGACCTGACGAGAAAATCACAAAGCGAGCCAAGGTTCAAAGCCTGGATAACGCCGCCTGATACCGACCCAATGAGTCAGACATTCCTCAGAATGCCTTTCACTTATCAGAGTTTGCAGGTGGAATGTCACCATGGCAATCGACCTCACGTGAAGAGACCCATGAACGCTTTCATGGTTTGGGCGAAGAAGAACAGAGCTTCGATTGCAAAAAGGTAAACAAGGACTCTTCATTTCTTAAGAAAGAGGTAGTAGCAATGATGATGTATTGCTTGTAAAGTTTGCTAGAAACTCGAGATTCGTTTCAAGATTTTTTTTGTTTTAAGATTTCCAAATGCCAGTAATGCTGAGATCAGCGTGAGACTGGGTCATATTTGGAACGAGCTGCCGAGCATTGAACAAAAACCTTATTTTGACGAAGCAAACGAGTTGAAGGAAAGACACAAACATGATAATCCTAATTGGGTTTACCAGCCACGACCTGGAAAGAAATGCCGCAAGGCGCTCTTCACTACAGTCACATCTAAAAGTCAACCTACCTCGCCTGTTGCTCGGAAGATTATCGCGAAAGGCCACGAACGACCGGCGTTACCTCCACGAACCGCTCCGAGCTCGCCGAACGTCAAACGACCGCTGTGGCTCGCGAGAAAATCGGAGTTGTCAGAAGACGAATTACAGTCGCGTATTGTGGAGGATTTACTGGACAACGAGATACCAGAAGACGTTGGAACAGGGAATCCGACAATGGATAAATACATCGATGAGTGGTTAAGCCCAAAGAGAAGTCGACGAGACAGAAATGACGTGTGTTTGATGAATGACGCAATGTTACCTGCAGTGAACGACTATGAACAAGATATTTTGGAAGAAGAAACTCGTTGTGATGGAAAAGATTTTGAAAAATACATCAAACAGTTGAAAAAGGAGCGCAATAATTTCACAAAGCTTGAGAATAATATTAGCAATTTAGAAGATGATGAAAATGAATGTCATGGATAGTCTTAAACGGTTTTTAAATATTTTTATGTAGAAGAGTATCTTCAGTGTCCTGATGTAAGAAGATGTAGCATATGAAAACCTTTCATTTTTTTGTAAAAGAAATACGTGCTACTTTGTAAATGCGTTTTAATTATCATCAGTAACTTTCAATGAGAGATAATATTTGGTCTTGAATCTAAGTTTCAATAGGATAAAATCCTAATCTATGTATACACTAGTCTACAATCACGTCAATCAGGTGAATTGTTTCCGCGTAATATTTTCATCACATGGACTAGACAACTAACAATGGAACAGACATGACAGATTTGGAGCCTGAATTTCGTCCTTTAACCGACACAACAATCGTAACCGTCAAACCTCGTGTTGCCTTCGTTTTTCCTCGGAATGAGACGGAAAACGACGTTCTACGATCTTTACGAGCTAGGGCCGTGCTTCGCGATTGTCTCTCGACTGTTCCCATGCTACCAAACGAGCTTATATCCACAACCTCGCTCTCTCCAAAGTTTTCGATCATGAAGATTACATAACCTGCTCCACCTTGTGTCATAGTGTAATCGTTTCGTGCGAACACAACTTTAACAATCAGAGTTTCAGGTTTGATGGGAGAGTGAGAAATACGTTCGAATGCATGTCCTTTCTTCGTACGCCCCTTCAACTTAATTTTGAAATCTTGATTTGGTGGGAAGAATTTGAAAGAATGGCGGATCCCTTTTTTGTCTTTCGATGTGAAAGAGACGGATCTGGTTGGCGTTATGACATCGCCGCACAAGTCCACGAGTTCTGCTCTCAGAGTACTTTGGTCGACATGGCCCACGCCACCCAGAGTCAGGATAGCTTCAGCTTCGATGCCTGAAATGAAAATGAACACAATTATTGAAGAGTTGTTCATAGGAGTTATACAATAAACTACTACAACAAAAAACTACTACACAAGACCAAGATAAATTTTGAAGTAATCGCCATATTTTCTTCCACATATAAAAATTTTATTATCCTATTTATTGCCAACTATAAACATACAATATCTCACAGAAATACCACACTCAGTGTAATCTATTAACTGTGGTGTGTAATCTATCTCAGATCATCTTTGATTTATTACTTATCTTGTCATATAACGAAGAATCACGCAAGCTATACACAAAGGTCATAGTCTTACCTAGTAAAGGTGCAGTGATGGGAACTGTAGTAGACACTCCTCTTCTAACTGTGGTCCTGACAAAGTAAACTTCAAAATCGATGTTATCCGCACTGGATCCCTTCACAAAGAAATCATACTTCACATTTGGATCAGCATTGATTCCTAAATTCCAAATCCCTACATTCGGTTTGGATATCTGGTACACGGTTCCTTGGTCTAAGTTACTTGTGGTAGTGACGCCTGCAATCGTTCCCGTGGGCGAGGTCAGCGACACGCTCCACATATTCGCTTTGGGTTTGTCACCAGTCACGGATACAACCAGGGTGTCTATAGAGTCATCAACCGTGATTGAATACGAATTGGCAGTTTGGGAAGAGCTCCGTTTCTTACGCGAAGATTGATTATCACTGACTGCATTTGCTACGACAGCAGTCCCTCCAAGCGAGGTTGCTGTCAACCCTTGAAGATCATCAAGTTCCTGAGAATTTTTCAATTCATAAACCTGACCCATAGTGGCTTGCGCTATTTCGTGAAACGACGAGATGTCTACCCCTTGTGTACACGCAGTATTCTGAACAACAAAGAAATTAACGACAAGTCCTTGGGCCTGTGCAGTCTCTTTAACGTATCGTACTTTGTCTTCGGTTGCGTCTTTTGGTCCGGCATCCGTGAATACGTACAAAGGTGAGTCTAGCTGAGGTCCAGCGTCGATTGCGTCACTCATTCCTTGGAATGCCAGTTCAGGACAATCGCCCCCAGAATTGGGTGAAAGAGAAGCAATGGCTCTCACAAATCGATCTTTTTCGGTCTCTGAACAATAGGTTACTGGACCAGTACCTAACAAAAAAACACCAAAAAAACTGTTACCTTAGATGCGCCGCAAGAGATTCGACAAGTAATTTAGAAGCATCGTGTCTGACTAAGCAATGTTGTGCACTTCAAGGTTAATATTTGACTATTTGTGTACCATAAACACAGCACATGCGTAGAACTGACTTGACCGCAACTAATGCTAATTACCTGGGTCATTAAACGGTGACAGAATGTAATCAACCGGCTCCACTCGTTGCTGATTCACGATAGACGTTGCGATTCTTTTTGCGGCTTCAATTTCCTCACGCATGCTGCCCGTATCGTCGATGGCAAACATGAGTGTGACTTGACCTTGCATCGCAAGAAGATCATTGAAAGCCGATACACCAATTGTCCGCCTAACGCTGCCAAGAAAATCCTTTGATGACAGGACAATGTTTCTCTTTCTACGTCCAGTTGCTTTCCTTGATAAAATATACAGTCATTAAAATAATCAATTGCCTGCCCGCCAGCCTAGGCCTTTTTTGTCAGGTGTAATTGAGCAAATACATAACAGTATGATAAGCCTCGTTTTAGTTATATCGCCTTCCGATTATCATCTTATATTGTCTTAGTTGCATTTGTCTCGACAGAAATGCGTCGAAACCAGACTTTAGATATAAGACGATTTTGAGGCACAGGCCAACACAATTGGTAAGAACTAGGCTAGCCTGTTATGACTCAAAGGACAACCTTAAAATACAAACGCAACTTCGACTTTTGAACAAACGCCAAGGCTTAAAGCTAGGGCATGTTCGAGGGCATGTTCAGCCCATCTAACACCGTTTTCATGTAATATGCATTTATATTTCACATTTGCAATTCCAATTCTTACCTTTGCTCGTTCATTTTTCTAATCGTGAACATCGCTTCACCGATTGCCTTACGCGCAAAACGATAACTTCTTTTCTCAACAGCTGTTTTGATAAGATCTTTTAGTTTCCTCAACCTAGTTGCGTCGTGCCTGACGCGACTCACAATTTGCGCATCGGCCAAGGCTTTCTCAATATCTTCGATAGCTTCAGCGAACTTGTTCAACGAGACTCGTTTGGAGCGAACAACTGGGGAAGACGTTCTCAAAGCGACGGTTGGAATTGGTTTGAGAAGTGGTTTGAACTTAGGAGCAGGTCTTCTCCACGCAGAAATGACAGAATGATGTTTATATTTTCGCCGTGGAAATGGTCTAAACCTAGGACCCGTTCCACCCATTGATGTTACCATAGTGTGTTTCCGTTTCGAAAATTTTTTAACAGAAACAGGGCGAATAACGTCTGGTACTTCTGCCAGACTTGTGACGAAACTACCTGGTATTGGGGTGTTCACTGTTGGCTTCTCCGTTGCCAGAACACGGGGTGCGACGTGCGTTGAGTCGTAAAAAGACATGATTGCGCTTCGAGCGTCGTCCATAGAACCATAGAGATCAAACGCCGATGAGACGAGTGCATGGTAGAGAACAAAGATACTGATCGCTGCCTTCATTCTGCGAGATAGGAACTGTAGCAATTTCGCTGCGCTGTCTCTTTTTAAATAAGACTAGTTCCTTAGCGGATGTGACATACAATCAAGCAAATGACATCACTGTAGATGTCGTGCTGTGAGCAATGAAAGATGAGGAAGAGAGATGTCAAACTTCATCCGGACGATTATTAGCACACACATTATCATCTTGTAACAACATTTACAACAAATTACTAATAAAATGTCAGAATTGATAAGAAATCCTCAGGCAGCCATTAGGCAAGTGTTATGGCGTGTGCTTGACGTGTACATTTTGGGAAAATTAAGTGTCCCCTTTCCCGTTTTATTGCGCTATATTTGGGCTAGTATATATCCGTCGTTGACAGGACGGAAGTTAGAACATACGCTGAAACTCTTAAAAGAATGTTGAATGGAAACGATGCGGTCTCCGCATTATTGAAATACCACTACATTACTGTATAATAAAGTCGTAGTTCTAGTGTGTCGACTGTCGAATCAGGAGCGAGGAGAACACATTTGAGAATTATTGTAAGACTATGAAGGACTAGATTTTGATCTGTTTCCCCCGTTTATTTCCCCGCGTTCCATAATCATCCCCACTATTCCCTGTTCATGCTCTAATCACCTCTGACTGTTCTCTTTTCATTCCATAATCATCCCGCGTTATCCCCCCCTGTTTATTCCCCCTTGTCCGCTCTCAGTTTAAAAGATAGCCTAACATTCAGGCTCTATTGTTGATAGGACGGAAGTTAAATGAGAAGGATTAGGGCGGAAGGGCTAACTAAGGAAGAGCTAGGTTTGCTCTATAATGATGATCAAATTCTTGCCCTCAACTGTTAACAGCCATGGCGTCAACAGCTCCTTTGGGATACATTCCATCGTCACTTCGCATGGACTTGTGATAAAAATCGTTTTCATAGTAATACAGGCTTGAACAGGCTTGAAAGCCTTTATTTTGGTGCTCAATGCATTTTTTTATAAGCCATACTGTACAATCGTCTTTACTATTAAAAAAGTCCGCCATCTCATACCCTGCGCATCCCGAAGCCACTTTCGGCAAGAAAGTTCGAGATTTCATTTACTAGGTTTTTCAATTTGTTAGTGAAATCAATGCTTTCACAACATCCCCGCCATGACTCCTTAGACTCCATTCTGCAGCAGACTTCGAGATTTCCATCTCTCTCATCTGTTTACGAATGAAATCGGGGATTAAGTAAACACGAATGTGATCGGGATTAAGTAAACACAAATTAAATCGCGGATTAAGTAAAAATGAATTAAATCGGGGATTAAGTAAACATGAATGAAATCGGGGGTAAAGTAAAGCTGTATCATTCACTCACATGATATCATAAAATGGCTCACATTGTTGCAATACTTACGATTAAATCAACATGTTCTTTCTTTATGGCAACTTTCGACAGTTCTTTTTCGCTGAAACCAAAAATATTGAAGTATATCTGATATCTCCGCCATATATGAGTTGATTCAGTTGAATCAATTCATTCAATTTAAAACTAATATAAAGGCTTCGTTTGTATTTACCGTTCTGCTTTGGCGGCCTTTTCTTTCGAATATGTGTCATCAACAAATGAAATTGCCTATTTTAAATCATTAGTAGAATATTCAGTGAATGGGCCACAAACGTCTGTAATAGACTCTTTATAGCCTTCGGCTTCAGTCAGTCTCAGATATGTTGAAAATAATGAAATATATATTTATTTCTGCTGCACATCACTTACATTTCCAATATTCACTGGACTTATCTCTTTATCTTCTTCATAGTCAGTCACTCTCTCAAGATCTGCAGTCGTTTTACTGTCAAATGTCTTTGTCAAATTGGCAGCATTTTCGTCCACGGCGGTCGCCATATTGGATACGGAGGAGAAGAGGAGACTGGAACTAGTGAATTGTGACAATTTTAATTTCACGAAGATTTTCGTTGCTCATATTTCTCCAAACAAACGATGAAATATATTTGAGAAAATTATAGATATCTAATATTATAATAAATATCTAATACAGATTATATTTTCGATTTAAGATGAATAATTCCGGTTCCGGCAAATTCAATTTCTTTTTTAAAAAACAATCGCATATCAAGTATTGGAAACAATTAGAACTTCAATTAGAACTTCAATTGGAAAATATTCACCAAACATTATGTGTAAAATTGAAAGGAAACAGCAAAATTCGTGTAAGATTATTATCAAAGATATAGTCGGGTGATCCTTCAACAGATATGACAACAAAGTAAATGACATATGAATTATTTATTTCATGCTTGCATGCAAATAAGTCAAATAACGTCTACGCTTCATTTACCTAAGGCCAATTGGCAAAATAAATGGCAACTGAAGTGAAGAATGACTTTTACCGGATTTAGGTAATATGATATACCTCAGATAAATCATAGTTAATATTTGTTTAGCAGATTCACTTGATATTTGGTTTTTAATTTGGCATCGATGAAAGAGATAATGAAAAACAACAGACTGACGAATACACTGACTCAGTCTCGTGCATGTTAACAATCGAAATTAAATATTCACGCGCTTTCAAGAGACAACATAATTCTTAGGGCAATTTACACAAGACTATAAAACAAATATTTCAATGATGCCATCGACGGAAGAGGTTGAAGCGCAAAATTCAAAAGAAAGCAATGAAAAGGAATTTGATAATAATTACGAGCCGGCGAGTACGGACGTTCCATCTCACTCGCGGGAATCAACAGCTAACAGATCTTCGAGGGTTTCCGGGTTGAGTAATAAAATAAAGAGAGAGACGATAAAGTTATTTGGCTATCCAGGGAAGGCGATGAAACGCACCGCAGCAAGTAACGAATTTAACACAGCTGACAATGAAATTCAAAACCTAGAAGACAAGACAGACAACGCAAGAATTCATGAGGATTTCTCAAGCTATTTCAAAGAACATGATATATTAATGGAATTGTGAGTCAATCGTGTTTGAATGAAGTAAATACTCGACATTGTTGACTTGGGAAAAATTTCCCATACGCGTTTTTAATTGCCCTTGTTAACGCGTGATTATTAGGGAGAATGGAGTACATTTCAGATATTAGTTTAATTAACTCCCATATTGAGCAGCCATATTGCTAAATGTTCCCTACAATCCATGGTTTCCTGTAGGTACCAATCCCCGCAAGGGCAACGAACTTGGTAAATTTTCCTAGCTTCTTCTTTCTCATGTCTCAGTTTGTGCTATGCAATGCTTCCGAAGACTATGTGATTTCACCAATACAGCAATATTTGCACTTTGCCACAGCCTGAACCATTCATGACATTATGCTTATAAACTTGATGTGTTTGTGTGATGCTGTTTTTCAGCAAATATCTGTGTAAAAATCCTCCTGGTGGAGTATACGTGATACCATCAATAAAGTCACTTCAAGGTAGAATATTATAAATCATTAAGAATACCACCAATGTTTATCGATAAAATAACTGATAGGGCAAAATCCAATCAAAATTCTAATTTGAGTTCATACTTTTTTTAGTATGGCATGGCATAATATTTCTAAGGGCTGGGCCTTTCCGGGAAGGGGTATTTCGATTCGACATTTTATTTCAAGACAAGTACGTATGGATATTTGTTAAACTCAGCCTATACAGAGGAACTCTAAGAAATACTGAATCACGTAAATTTGTAGTTTTCCAAATGCTGCTCCACTGATCCGCTTCACAAGTCATGTTTTCCACCCACAAATCCACAAGAACGGGTAAGAAAAACCTTCTGTTTCTATTAATATATAAATCATAAATCATTAAGCGTGGTCTTTCTGTTTCAAGGATATTGAACATTGAGCAGGCGTTCCCTCGATGGAATAAACATGAAAATCATATTGGGTAGGAATGCTTATTGCGAACTTTAATGTCCAATTTCACTAAAGCAGCTTGGCCTTTCCCGAGTTTATGAAAGGAGATAACAACCGAGTGTCTCTTAATTTCGTTTTGGCGACTTTTTAGGGATTTGTTAAAATATTTGAAAAGCTCTTTCTATACAATGAACACCGGGAGACCCTTGAATGAAGAAGCTGCGAATTGGTAAGAAATTACTTCCTCGAGGTGTTAACACATACACCAGACGAACTTGACAGAATCTGTAGTCCACCATTGCAACAGTTCATCTCTTAAACCCGGCTCATCTTCATGCATTTGACATGTTTACCACCCCCCGGTAAAGTGAATTACTCTTACTTTTAGCTTGAACGAAAATTTAGAAGATTTCAAAAGCAGAGCGAGGTCTTGTGTCAAGCAATCTCTTGAGGAATTTGAAAAAGAAAGTCTAGTTACATCAGGTAAACTTGTCAGCATTTTATAATACCGTATTACGAATACCTCTGAAGATATTTTTATTGCATTAGACGATGATGGAAACTTGCTGAAAGTGAGAAATTTTTCTGCTCTCGCCATTGAAGAGTGGAAACAAAAACTTCTATGCAAGGCACGTTCAATCTTTCAGACTTGATTTCGTAATGCAGCGAGTTCTTATGGACTCATAAATATATCTTTCGTTTTCAGGACCACCTTGATACGGACGTGCTTTGAGAGTTCCACTTCTCTTCAGAACGCCACGAGTGCTCAAGTTTGCCAAATATTTTGGTGCTTTTCGGGGTAACTTTGAAAAACTCCCTGTTGTGTTGGTTGGTATCCCAATTCATCTTCATTCCTTTGCAAGACGAAACCGTAATCAAAACCACTGGATCCTTTATTAACTGTTGTTTCTATGAACAACTCGTAAACATACATAGAAAACAGAGTTATTCCCATGTCAAAATGACGTGGTATTCGGGAAATGTCGCCTGCATAAGACAACTTAAATATCTTTGTGGATAGCAAGTATACGAATATGAGTGACTTCATACACATTCCAGTCCTTGGTTCGCTTTCAACAAAAAGAAGAGTGACTTCGCTGATAGCGATACTAATACACTAACGATTATGATTCTTTCAATAATAAAACGCTCACCAGATATATTCTAAAATGCTTCAAAATTGTTCTTTATACCTGTACAATAATCAAATACCAACTATGGACCAGCCAGAAAATAATATTCACTTTGAAATGTTGCTCAACCGACATGAAACTATGGTGAGAAATAAGCGTTGGTCAGGTGTCGACTAAGTGGTGTTGACTAGGTTGTAAGTGCATTTTCAAACTAGACATTCATTTTCACCTTGCGTTTCATGAGGATTGAGCATTTTCAAAAAGTGTCTGTAGATTTTTTAATACGTCTCATATGCCAAAACCCCTTTCAGATCATATAATGCATGTCTAGAATCATCTTTAGCCTTGAAAGAACCCCGTATTTCCGTAATCATGCAACTAAAATTTTATATCTGATTATGAATGAGAAACCTGCATTGAAAATTGGTATAAATTCAAATTAGCTGTACATAAAGTGGAAGCAAAGAAAACGAAACTTCAACTATCGCAAAATCTTGCATGTGATCTTGATTAATTTTTAAATCATGCAAAATAATCATTTGTTAATTTAGGACGTATCGGAATCCAATTTATGGGAGAAATTAACATCTGAAGATCTGAAAGGAGCCAATGCAAGACAAATATCTTTTGAGGCCTGTTCGAAGACCAACCCACACTGATGTGAATTAAAACGAAGTTAGCGGATTAATTCACAGCAAACCAAAAAGGGCAATTTGCAGTACCAAGATGACGGGGAATCTAGTTTCCAGGTCCTTTCCCCCGACCTAATTATTACTCTCACTATATTATGAAGTCCTGGTAACTAGATTCCCAGCCACAAAACGCGACATTTTCTGCGGTCTCAACTAGTCTCTCGCCGTCGCACTGCACATATTTGTCGCCCATGCAGCGTGCCAAAACGAGATTGAAGAACGATAAAATTTGCCTTTCAATATACAAAAGAGTGCCTACTGTATGCAAGTGCAACCATCGTCAACACAATCTCTTCCTGAATTGCGTCGATTGCATTATCAATAATTGGTAGCTAATGGCCCATTCAAAACGTATATTGTCCCGGCCACGCTACTTTTCTTTTAAAAGAGATTTTAGTTAGTCTACACATGACATACGCTCAGTAATAATGGAAGACGTAGGTTACCATGCATCGACTAAAAAATCTCATCCAACAGCCGTCGAGGGGCGATAAAAACGGTTAGCAGTCGCCTGTATTACCGTTGCAACGAGGCATACAGACGGTTTTTCTATAACTAAAATGATTTAAGTAGAACGGGAGGCGTAAAAATGAGATGTTTTCACTAGAATATGTTCTTTTTCTATTATTTACGAGACGTCTACCGGACCAGCCTTGAATAATTTGCAAATATTTGTTACCAGTTTTCGTGGCCTTCGTGTGTGGTCAACTCTGCTGTGGCTAATCAACATATTCTCCGCTCGGAGTTGAAAATATTTCCACCGCACGAAGTTACGCGCTGTTTGTACATAGAAATTTCACGGTGGCGAAGGGGTGGGTTGAATTTCAGCTGACGCTTGTGGTGGTGGTTGTCTCGTTCGGCTCTGTCTAGAACAAAATCAACCAGCTTACACAAGGTCTGGAACTGGCTGCATAAAATTCTTATCTGCATTTCGGGTGCTTGAATCGAAACGTAAAACACACCATCGTTACAGGCCAATTCTCTATCACTAACTATACCTCTTACCAACCAGCTTTATGGGTTTCATTCCAGCCGAAGGACCTAAAGTAGTTGATTTTTCCTCAAAACGTCCCTAGTTCGAAGTGTGTTGACCGGCCTGGGGTCTTTCACACAAAACACCAAATAGCGTTTGCTACTTACCGTTTTACTGCTAGATTCCCTACCACATAGGCTGCTTAGACATCCGGGGTTTTTCTCAGGTTCCGGGGGGTGATCTCCAATTAGATCTGGAGACCTCGTTCCATTGAAACCAAATTTGTTTAGCTCTTTATAACACTCCATCTCGATCATCTTGAGAAAGAAAACAAGGTGTTTACCTCGTGGAATTCACTTCAAAATTCACTCCAGTCTTTATATTTCTGACGTGATTTAACGACGCGTATAGAGTGGCTGCCCCTCCTTTTAGCGTGGAGGTGAGGTGGGGGAGGGGTGGGTGAAGGACATGTACCTACCTCTGTTTGCCATGGAATAGCGACAGAACCCGTGGCGAATTTATGATAAAAACCCTCGTCATTGTCATCGAGTCTGACACCTTTGACTGACGAGAACTGTTCGATATCCAGAACATCTTTACAGTAGACTGCACGAGGCTGGAATAGAAAACATTCTGGGTTACATTTGACGCTATGTCAGTCATGATGCTGTAGTTTGCGTCCGTCGTCGTTTAAACTTACGTCAGGACAAAATGGCGGCTTAATAAGACCAGCTTCTAATTGCGCCCAATTGATGCTCCTAAAAAATTGATGTCTTCTTAACTCGTCCCAGCCCCCATCGCGACAACCCAGTCTCGTCTTAGGGTCTTTAGAAAGTAACTAGAGAGAAATATGGAAGAATGTTTAAAATTAATTCACAAAAAATTTCAGCTCCAAAGAGCCTTCACAGAGAGCAGTACCTGTGAACAAATATGTCGTGCATGACTGCTAAATTTATCTGAATATTCTTCAGTGTCCTCCTTTACTCTTCTTTCCACTTCGTCACGTTTCACTTTCTCTCGTCGCGCTCGAAACGGGGACTGGAAATAGTTTGGAAGCATGTCAGCGGATATGCAAAGCGCAGGCGCAGAGTGTCCTCCAGCCGAATGACTCGACAATCCAGCGATTTAGAGACAAGTGTATATAAGGGAAGCAGAGGGAAACAGACTTACTTTCCCCTGAATCATCTCGTATATTAGACAGCCGAGACCCCACCAGTCCGGGGAGAATGTGTAACGTTCGTTTTGAATAACCTCAGGTGCTAAAAAACAAATATCCGTTCTGAATATAAAATAAAAACCGTCTTCTCCTCTTGAGAAAGGAACAATCTCGTGTCGTGCAAATTCGTTGGTCGAAACTGGCCGACGAAATTAATCGCGTCATAACAGGATGGCTTATCTCCCTAATCCGTCTCCACAAGTTCCAAAGCCATTTTTGTTTGTTAATTCAAGTGTTTTTATCAGAAACCAGGAGACTAGTTTATAACAAAGCGTCTAATCTTACCCATGTATCCTACTGTCCCTACTCGTCCACGTACGTTTTCCCCCTCGGGTATCTCAATTGCCAAACCTAAATCTGAAATCCTCACATGTCCATCATCATCTAGCAATATATTCTCTGGTTTCATGTCCCTGCAATACCATGAAACAACATCAGCATATCAGCCATGCCTTGAAGGCTTAAATTAGTTATTTAAACTATTTATTTAAGCAGTTAAAAATGCAAACATTTCGCCAGCAAACGTTTTCTTCTGCAAGTGGGAATCCAGCCTCAATCTTGAGAAAAAACAGCGTGCAAATAATCGTCGAGAATTTCTCTCACCTATAAACTATTCTTTTTGAATGCAACGCAATGATCCCACTGGCTACTTCAGCGGCGTAGAAATACGCCCTGTCTTCCTCAAAGCCAGGATTGCCCATGTTATGAACGTGAAATTTCAAATCACCGCCATTCATTAGTGTTAAAACCATACAAAGAGCATCTTTTGTTTCGTATGCATATGCTAAACTAACCTGAAAGAAACGGACGATGTTTAAGACTTAAGTGTACTGTCAACAGTATACTTCAACCTTTAAACCCATGTTTATAGCCAACAACAGCACACAGGACCTTAGCCACTTACCACAAATTTACAATCTACTTTCTCGAGTAATTGTTTTTCATTCAACGCCATTGCTTCACCCTTCCGTCGTTTAATCCTCTTTTTCTCCAGCTTCTTCATTGCATACATTTTCCCGCTAATTTTGCTTTGACATGCACACACCTGTAGGTTATCAAAACATTAAAGAAGTTTATATGCTTTCCCTGAAGGAAGTGTCAAAATGATATAAGGAAGACTTAGGAAGTGACTGTTTTCCTCATAGGATTCTATCATGGTTGCCAAATAATTAATCTTCTGTGGAGGCATACGATGAGTGTTCCAGATGCACTAAGAACAGTGCTATAGATCAGAGCAGATCACTGAGCAGTGCAACAGTTCAGCAATGATCATTGTTCTGCTCTGCTAAGTTACCTACCTCACCGAAACCACCTTTTCCAAGCACTCGATAATGTCTAAATAACTTCTTTGTAACAGGTTGTCTAAAGCAAAAAAGTGCTTAACTCACAACCTGACAATATGCAAATTCTAACATACTATCCATTTGCAGTTCAGTATTTCATTGCAGACAATTTACACTAAGCAAAATTGCTCTGTTGTTACCACTGACAAATTACTTCGACCCAGTTACCAAATACATGCTAACATATTTACCTTTCTAAATATTTCCACTGGAGAAATCGTTCAAAATACATGCTCTTTTTAAATTCATCAAATGGTTCACCACCAAAGTAAGTTTCAATTGAACTAAACAAAACAGAACTCACATCAACCAATACAACAATGAAATCAGTTATTGATTTCTTTTTTTAAACATCCTACTTTACCTTTTAAATGAGCTAATGAAATGTTCAGATGGAAGTACATCACTGGTGACATTAAAGAGTTGATTAAATTCTACTATAGTATTGTCTTCAATAATGCCATCCAAGTAGCTGATGTCCTTTAAACAAAATATGTCAATAAATAAACATTAAAAGCTTTTAAAATGAAGATAAACATCTTTAATTTGTATTGCCATTAAATTGTAGGATTACGAGTTAAGTTGTTTGGGAATTGGCACAGAAGAAAACCAGTTTTAACATTTCTTCCAACTTCTGTTTAATTTGGCAGTAAAGTGCATTAGGAATTGGGCTAGACAGTCTAGTTACTTTTAATAATCAGTTTTGACATATCAACAAATAATATCCACTTGACCCCAGTGCATTACATCCTGCCTGAAATAATAACACTCCCTTGGAGAAGAATTCATGCTGTCTAACTGTCTCAAAAAGGGTGGATGGATCTTTTTTTTGGAGTCCATCCAAAACTTGAACATATTAAACTTTTATTTCCCTGGAAACCAAGAGATTTATGCAGAGGGTGTGCCAAAATTTTCTGGAATGGTACATCAGCAAATTGAACTGGATTACTTCTTAAGGTCAAGCAATTTGCACTTATACAATTTAAATATAGTATAAAATAATCCTATCTGGCAATATCATTGTTTCAAGACAATGCTTTCTCTGATCTATGAAAATTTTTTTTACCAACTTCTCAATACTGATCTCCATTAACAGAAGCTGGAATATTTATATAGAATTCCCCAAAATTCTGCAAATGTTTTTTAAGGATCTTTTGGATATTTATCTCATTTTAAATTTTCAGTGAAGATTACTCATTGACAGAAAAAGCTCATAACTGTTTTAAAAAATTCGAGTCCTCATTAAAAGATCAACTTAATAAAAACAGCTTTGAATAAATTATTCAAACATTCTTGTTATTTTTTAATCAGAAAAGCTGAAGTGAAAAAATAGACTTGAAGAGGCAAACCAAATTAATTAATCATTTTTCAAACTGTACATATGTTTTATGAAACAAGATATATTTAGGGTAGTGCAAAGTTCACTTTTTTAAAAGCTGAGATATTATAGAGAGGCATTTATTTTTGTGAAGGAAGACATTATGTTATAAATGATAATGCAAAACTGTAAGACCACAGGTGGGCCTTTTGAAATCAGATGCCAATTGGTATATATAAGATCTGCAGAGATGTGGAACATCTGGAAACTCTAATATTGATAAAATGAAGAGTTAATGTCATTCTCTTCCAATCCTCTCATAGACATTAGGAATTTCACTTGAAGCTATTACTTCACAGCTACAAACTGTGTCAGATTGTAACAAATAGCCCGAATATGATTTCTACAGAATAAATTATAGTTTTGTATTATGCCACAAAGAAGTAGGTGGCTCGACTATTGAGCATAAACTATGGACGCCGGAAGTTTTATCTTTAGAAGAAGACTGGAAGTTAAACGAGGCGAACGTTTCGTTTCAAAACCTTTGCGGAAATAGTTAAAGTTTTGTATTAAAAAAATGAGAAGAAACTCAATCAACAGCTAAAAGAAAAATTAATTTACGACAAAATTCATAACGCTGCACGAGAATCCATTAAAGACGTGCCACAACGTTTGTTTATAAAACTCGAGGACGGTTCTATCCCTTAGCACCCAATATTTGACTAAGATTTTTACCCTCGAAATGTTCGTATTTCCTTCGTTTTCGTCAGGAAGAAGAAGGGATATAAATACAAAGCGCAGACTAATTTCACCACATCACAATAAGACACAAATGCAATGAACAAGGCGACACGACTGTGTAATATAATTTAATGTGGTAAAGCGACGATTGTCAAATGTCAAAATGAAATACTTACAAAGGATTAGCGAATACATTAGAGATCCCGCGATAAATGGAGAAATCAAAGGAATATTTTTGGCCGAAAATGTGTTCGAAAGAACTCGAAGTTTAATTTAGGATTCTAATTTGATATTATGTCGGGTTTGTCGGCTGAGGTCGAGCGATTTAACTTATTAAGGGCGAATATTTCGAGATGTTTGAATCCTCGATTCTTTATGTTTTGACCGGCCGGCCACATGGCTTTACCCTATTTCGAGTTGCGATTTAGGAATGCTTTTAGTGTTGTCTGGATTAAAATGTAACCAAAAACAAACAATATGCACTACAGAGTGCAGATCTACAAAGGTGATAGGCATTGGAAGCCAAATTGCTCTTGAATGTTCGAGTAATTTGCAAGCAAAATGGCCATGCAAGGCAACAAGTCAAAATGGTCTACTCACTCCGTTCTCCGGATTCAAAAAGTCTCGAGTGAGTTTGATAGCGAGATCTTTAAGCTGGCTTTCTTCCGCCGTTTCATAGTCGATCTGCGTGTATAAAAAAAACACAGGATTATGTGTCAATGGAAAAGTTGAGATTCCGAAAATTTCAAAGACACGTCGATAAGAAATAGATCGGTTTGTTCAACAATCATACACGGCATAAACATAAGGAGACGTCAACGTAGGTTGAGGGGTTAAACTACGATTGAGAGACTTACTATAGCGCGTAGAAAATTATCCAAACGCGATAATTTGGAGTCTGCAAAGCATTTCGAAGCGCAGAATTCACAAAACAGATCCCTTCCTATCGGTTCCCGGTATATTTGGTGGTAGCTGAGGTCGACTAAAATGAGATTTTTCAAAAGTAATTTAATCACCCGTCCAACAGATTGCCATTAACATACAGTACGATGTGACTTGAGCATATAAACGACGTACGTTCGTGTTTCAGATCTAGACACAGCGAAATGTGAGGAAATTGCAAGAAGGAACGCCACTTTTTGCTTCTGCCTTTGGCTTTGCCTGCAAGTAAAACCACAAGATTATAGCACGTCTGTGTTAAGATAAGCAGAAATCTTAATGTACGTTGTACGTCCAGCATGCTATGTGTGTGTGTACATATTTCTCTACAATATATAAACCGGTCTTGCACTGCCGCTTTCGCAGTCGGTAATAAAACGCAAGGCCACTGCGATCCAGCGATCAAATGTCAACATTATTTACGATCAAAATGATATATAGAGCTATCATATGATGGCTTACTTTCCCTCGCTTTGATGTAGACTGTATTCGCGACAATGTTTTCCAATTCCATGAAGGAAAGTCGATTTGGAGCAAGAGGCTCCTCACGACAGCAAAACCCACCTTCCTAAAGATGGCCGCCTACTCCAATAACATAGCAAATTTCTCGATTCTGATTGGCTCGCAGCCAAACATCATCATTGTATTACAATTACAAATAGTCACTGCCTGTTGCTTGTATAAAATCGGAAGGCCGATATAAAATTTTATAGCTCGTCTTTCGGTGGCCTTAGGAAGATTGCGAGCATTTTCTACTCATCAATTGGACAAAATATGTCACTCAGTTGACTGACGCAACCCACATTTTTTTATTAGAACTTTGTAAAGTTCCTACGTGATCAAAAAGATGTAATATTTCTTTGAACGGAACACAACTCTAGACTGATGAAAATTTGATGAAAAATCGCAGACTGTAAAAACGCATTATTTTTTTATACAATATATACATATATATCTAGATAGATATATGTTGTTAATAATTATTTCGTAAATACTACCTGCACTCAGACAGGGTAACGCTTGAATTAGCGTCAATCAAATTCATTTCAGCATTCAAAAAGCAAATTTCATGAATATATGCGCCAAAGATATAAATATATTGAAACTTTTAAAACGATGTTAAAGTGGTTTCTCAATGGTGTTCTGCAAATCCCGTCGCTGATCTTCACTCCTAAATTCCGGTGCATATCTGGATCGAGAAAATGAGTTGGGGTGAGGTATAAAACCCCGCCTGACATTCTAATGCCGACAGAGCCTTTGTTGATGTACCTTTCAGTAAGTAGATACTGATTTGCATGCCAAGCACAAACAAGAAAGATATTTCGTATAATCAAAACCAGGTTATAAAAATTATAACACTGAACGTCTAGTCCACTTTCGAAGCCATAGAGGGAAGCGTCTTTTCGTTTGAACTATTAAAATATAAGTTTTCATGCGAGGATTTGCGGCGAAGCTAAGAAAACAGGCTACCTCGATTTCTTCCATCTTAACCGGAGGAATGCAAGGAAGGTGAAAATAAAACGTTCAGTTTTAGTAGATCTAAATTTCCGCATGACAAAATTTGTCGAGACAAGGAAAAACATTGTCAATATGCATTTAATATAGATAGTTAGACATTCAAAATGTGGCTTAGCAACTGTTAAGTAAACTTTAGCTACGAATTGACAAATATAACATCTATATATGATATATTCAAATATACATTCTCAAAACAATTATATTCTCAGATCAATTTTTCGAGTACTCTTCAGAATTTATTAGAAGCGGGTTGATTTGACAGAGTTTCCCCAAGGCTACGTGCGGCAGACAAAATTAATATAAATAATTGAATGTGTTTGCTATAGTGGCGTTACAATTGCACGGTTATCAGATTAAAATTACCTATGTCTGTAAGGGACAAATGAACAAGATCTAGAATAAAAGATCGTGCAAAAGTGCCGCTGTAGCCAATTTGGACGGCTTCTTTCGAAATTCAATTTGACAGCTGCATTATGCCATTTACACATGAAACAAATTGACACGCTTTTCTCTGATTGAAAGACATTATGTATACATCGTATGTAATTAATGCAATTTGCAATTCCATAGCTTGTGGAAAAGGGATGCAGATCATTTGAAGCGAAAAACCGAGACGTCTTGAATCTTCGCAGATATTGGCGTATAGACCGCCAATGAATAGGCGTTACTGGAAATCCATCTGGAAATTCTGGAAATCTTGTTCCCAGTGTATTTCGTACACGCGGTCTGGTGTAACGGGCAATTTCTTGGAAAGACCTGAATACATCCTCGTTCCCAAAGCATTGCGTATTAAATTAACAAGTATCTGGGGACGTGAATAGGCGTTATAACAGGTTCAAAAATCTATTTTTCCTCGAAATGAGACCGTCAAAGAAAAATTAAAGGGCATCTACAAGACCTATTAGGATAAATGAGATCGTCAAAGGAAACTAAGCGGATTGACAGGACATATTGGGATAAACGTGACCTAAAGTCTGGTATAACTGGGTATAACCGAAGTATGTACTTTAAACCAAAAAACGTCGTCAATTCCAAAGAATGATATAATAAACAAGAATATTTAAAAGCTATACATTATAATATATTATTTTAAAACAGCTGAAAGCAAATATTTCTTACACGGCGATTGAAGCAGCTGGTTAACGGCTGAGCAAAAACAAACAGCGTGATAGTTGATGGTCAGAGAATACTGGCCAGTCGTATATGGTTGCCAGTGCTACCCATGGCCAGTAAATGACCATTATCTGTAGAATCCAAAGCTTGGATGGTTCGGCCATCGTTGTCCAAACAACCGGCGACCTATAAATTTAAAAACTGATCGTAAAAAGTTTTCTTTCAAAAGTTTCTGTAAAAGAAAGGGAAACGATCCTTGACACTCATTTCTTAATTCAATCCTATCAACTTAAAGTTTTATATTACAACAAACCTCATGTGTATGGCGATATAAAAGCTTCAAATCTTTCGTTCCACTTCCTCCAGCGGCGAGCAAGTCACTACTTAAAAACCGAGCACAATAGAGAAATGCGCCTTTCTCTGAGGGAAACGGTACGGTTTCAACCAGATTACCACTTTTAAAATCCCAGATCTATATGTAATAAGAAATTGAACAGTGATTAAGAAAACCTTCGATCCGGTCCTTCCCCATTTCCCCCTCCTCCCTGCACCTTTATCCTACCATCTCCTTCCCTATCTTCCTAAACCGCTAAACGTCCACCTCACCTCCCCGCACCTCCATCAATATTCATCTCCCTAAATCCCCACCTTCCTGCACCCCATCTCCCTCCTCCCCCTCCCAAAATCGTGGTAGTTAGTCCACGCCAGTTAACTCAAACCACCACTCTCATCACACACACACATACCTGCAAGGCATCATCAGCGACCCATGATCCAGTGAGAATATTATCCACGCACATATCCAACGCATCCCCACAGATATAGGGGCCCCAAATCGTTCTCACAGAATGTGCTGTTCGAATATCCCACACCTAGGAAAGAAACACTTTCCTCATGATCACAATTGCAAGACACAAACTGCAAGACGCTATCTGTGCTTGCTTGATCACAATTGCAAGACGCTATCTGTGCTTGCTCTCTAAACGCCTACAAGACCACCGTTCAAATCTTCACGCAAATACATCGGGAAACTCGCGTTTTTAATTACCATACCTTGATGCATTTATCCCAGCCACCTGTGATGAACACATTATCATCAAAAGGATGGAACTTCAGAGCAAAGACTTTTCGTCCATGGCCAAATTCTGTGAGCTCAGAACTGATCGTGATATAGAAAACAACTCTGGATCAATATTTTTTTCATTTTTTAGGATTGCTGAACTCCAAGTCATACTCACGTATCTTCGTCTAAAATTCCAGTCCCAGGAAAATCCTTTATAACATCCAACTGATCACTGTCATAAATTCGCACAGTTCTGTCCTGTTTTTAAACAATCAAAAATCTCATCTACTCAATGTACTTACTATATAGACTTAGATAGAAAGAACTCTACCTTCCCAGCTGTTGCAAAAATCTTCCCATCATGAGAGAAGTCCAAGGTCTCAATTTCATTTCCTTTTTCAAATATTTTTCGTTTTTGTGTCCAGTCAGTTAAATCCCAGACTGTTATATCACCTTGTGAATCTAGTGATTAGATTTAGGTACATTGTAAAATTTAGATCAAAACCCTATGTTTATTCCAGACCTGCCGCAAATGGAGGATCCCTTTTAAGCATTAACAAAGAATGAAAAATGATAGTTTCCATTTCATTGGGAAGATTAGAACTACAACAGGTCAGCTTATGTGGGCTTGTACCTGTTGTTATGAGAAGATTGGAGTTGAATGGGTAAAACTTAGCACCAGTAACTGGAAGACCAAAATTCGATCCATGACGCAATGGTCGTCGTTTTTTCCCTTGTTTCACAGAATACACCTGAATGCAAAAATGGTTGTTAACCATTGGCAAAGGTAGATCTATGCACGACTTGGAATATGCATTGTTTAATGTTTGCAGTCTGATGGTGGTGTTTCAGCTGATGGTACCTGTTAATGATATAGTGGATGTTTATTCTGGGTTAATATGTGGTAAACCTTGGAGTTAATGCAGTTAGATTTGCATGTGAAGGTCAGTGAATGTACACTTATGGTTCTTGCTAGGTCAACCTGGTTTATAGGAAGTGTCAAATCTAGATAACTAAGATAAGCATATACTCTGTGTAAATTAATAGATGATCAAATAGATGCTACTTTAGACAGAAAATTTCCACCGATATGATTAAAACTCATACTGAGTACTTTGTTTACTATATTTTTTCACAGTACCTGTATAGCACTATTTCCACAGCCCACAGCAAAAAACTCGCCATCTGAGGAGAAATTGATGCAAAATACGCCACCGATATCACCAAAATCAATGTCCTGAACGCTTGAAATTTTACTTAATCCTGACGAACTATCGCTAAATATTTAAAATTACCAAAAATGTTTGTTTACAAGGATATTTTGAATATTGATATTTTCAATTACTCAAGTTTATAAATTCTGCAAACCTTTCCTCCAGGCGAGAGTCAATATCTCTGCCAATTTGAATAGCATTTTCTAAACGACGTCTTCCGGCAGACATTCCAACAACCGATTTAAAGATTTTCCATTAAAATTTTGCATAAAAATGGCATAACTTTTAAAAAACAAGCAAAAGTCGCGCCATATTTTTAATTTTTTATAGTCATTAGTCAATACGAGATAGGGCTATACGGGATTTTACATATCGGCACAGCTTCTCCATCGGGTCCTTTTCCCGGGTCTTAAAAAACTACCCTTTTTTAAGCAAATTCTGAAGTTAAATTATAAATACTTTTACTTTTCTCTTCTCAAAGGTAAACTATTCATAAAATTTACAAAGACGGACCATGAAGACTCAGTTTTTCAGGCAGTGCAGCCGCGCCAATGGCAGGCAGCCGGGCCAGTGACGTCACGTTCCCAGTACGAAGCATTCTTGTACCTAGAGCCCTACCAGTCTGCAGCCCCTGGTGCCAAGTAATCCTTTCGACCGATATTCCCAGTCTCTTTGATCTGTTTTGCTTCAAGTTTAGGACAATCCGTGATACGATGACCCAGTCCACCACAATACGCGCAACCGCGCTCGTCTAAACGACCAGAATATTAGAAGTTAGGGCAAATACACATTGGATTTCGATCAGGAATTTTTAAAGCTCACCTCCGACGTTTAACAACTCTTCATTTTCTGGTTCCAACGCGGCCAAAAATGGTGGGATCTTTTGCTTAGCCTCGGCCAATAAGTGTTTCATGTCCAATAACACAGATTCATCTAACCAAAACGAGGTGAAGAATATGTTACCATCCAAACTGTCAGTCAAACACCCAACAACAACCTTCTGGCACAAATGACAATACATTTACTTACCACAAGACTTATTAATAAAAGTTGTTGCAGTTCCTGTTTTCCCGCTACGACCAGTTCGACCAATTCTATGGACTATACAAACACACGATTAAGTTGTAATCTACCCTCTCGTTTGTCGCAAAATATTCAATGCATTGCATGGGAACTCTTGTATTGAGCAGAACTCGTCCTGTTTTGATGCATCCAGTTTATTTGAACTGCAAGAAAAGACAGATTCTTCTCTTACCGTAGTTCTCAATGTCATCTGGCATATCATAGTTGATCACATGAGCAATGTTAGGAAAGTCAAGTCCCTTGGAAGCGACGTCTGTTGCAACGAGGACATCCTTCCGTCCTTCCCGAAACGCTGACACAGCTCTCTCTCGTTCTTCTTGATCTGAAGGTAAAATATTAAAATCTTTACCCCAGTTCAAAACTGCGTCGCACGGACGGACCACTTTAAGCATTTGCGAACGATTGTCACCAAATCATCTTTTGTCAGCAGGAGACATAATGACTGAGGTTGGAAACTAACCCGAAATCTATCCTACCTTTATCACCATGAATTGCAACTGCTTCTACGCCTTTTAACAACAAGTACTCGTGTATATCATCAACGTCAGACTTCTTAGAGGCAAAAACCAGCACCTGAGTATACGATATGAGTAACGTCAGTTGCAAATCCCAAACCTTGGCTACATGATGACAATCACAATAATTCGAGTTTCTTTCTAACGAAAGGTTTACTCACTGGAGGAGAAGTCTTGTTTAGACATTCCAATAAATAAACCACCTTTGCTTCCTGCTTTACGTATTCAACTTCCTACGAAAACAAAACAAAAAAGATCTTTTTAGTGATATTATTGTATCATATATTATAGATAGATCTAGAGTAGTACCTGTATGACATCGAGACTGGCCGCTCCCGCGCGACCGACGTTGATGGTGACTAAAAATACATGAGAAAAAAATGATATATCTATATCTCACGTGGAGAGATATGTTGCTCACATAAAATACTAACTTGGTTTGACAAGGGCACTTTTTGCAAAGTTCTGGATCTTTTTAGGCATAGTTGCACTGAATAACAGAGTTTGTCTTTGACACTGAAAGAAGAAGTGTTGAATGAGAAGTCTGTGGATGTATTTCAAAAATTAAAAGTAAATCAACGAGAGTGACCGCATTGCCATACCTTGAAATACGAAAATATTGTTCTTACATCCTCTTCAAAACCCATGTCAATCATTCGATCAGCCTCGTCAAGACACAAATACCTGTAAAAAAGTTAAAATATATGAATATGATATTCATAACACCATAAAACATGTTTTATTTCGACCAATATAGTGAAATACCTGCAAATATCTAAATCAACAATCTTTTTATCAAGAAGATCCATAAGACGACCAGGTGTAGCGACGATAATATGAACGCCTCTAGAAACGCCAAAATATTTTAAAATAAAGGTACATGTTGAACTAAATAATTTCAAAAGATCTAATCTCTCAAAGACTCAACTCTCGGCGGAAATGGGAATGATTATACGACAGCCTGGATTACGTTATTTGTCTACCTTCTAATTTTTTCACTCTGATCTTTCATCGATGATCCGCCAATACAAAGCACAGTTCGGACCGAGGGGAAACCTGGAATATTTTTAAACCACATTTTTGTTTCATAAAGCACAATACACAATTTTAACAAAATACAAAGAGGTTATTACCATCAGCTTCGAGAGCTCGCGTGAAATTCTGGATAACATCACAAGTTTGCTTTGCTAACTCTCGCTGTCAAAAAGGAGGAAAAAACTAGAATTAAGATTAAAACCCCACCAGGTCTACCCTAGATTTCCACACTCACTGAAGGCACCACAATAAGGCCATATGGTCCTTCATCTCGTCGGAATGGAAGAGCTTTCTCCTACAAGATGAAACAGATGTTTGAAGTTTTGTGGCTAAATCTCAAGTAGATTTCTTGAGATTGATTTTTAATGTGATTGATTCAAACCTGTTCCAAACTGAACATGACAATTGGCAATGTAAAAACCAGCGTCTTTCCGGATCCTGTGAAGGCTATCCCAATGATATCACGACCTGTTAAACTAAAATATCATTGCTGATTAGTTCATAACTTGTAAAAGATACCCCAAGAATTGAACAGGACATCACCGGGAATAAACAATGCAACACTGCTCAGGCAATACTGAGTTCAACGCATGGACTAGCTACTGTGTTTACTGTGGAAAACATATTAGACAATGAGAAAGTTTATTTATTTTTCAACCATGATAATGGCTATATCACATATCCTTACACAGCAGGTATGCCTTGTACTTGTATTGGTGTGGGATGATGGATCTTCATTCTTTTCAAGGCGTTGATGATTGCCCGAGGAAACTTCATTTCCTGCCAAAGATAAGTTTGGCCAATCAATTTACATTCTTACCACATGCACAACATGTTAGACGTACATCCAGCATTCTCTTTTACCTTGAAGTGCTTAATAGGTGGAGGAATATCTTCTCCTTCAACTAAAATGCACCATTTTTTGCGAATTCTATCAAATTTTGACTCGGGAATATTTTGAAAATATCTTGGAGGTCGCCACCTTAATAATACGGAATAATAACATTAAACATCTTATGAACTTCCCCCCCCCCATACCAGGTCAGGTTGGAGTACATCCCCACCAGGGTGGTAATGACAAATGATTGTGAATATCATTATCTACCCATTATTATCCACACATACCCAGTTTTTATGGGATCAGTGTACACAACTCCTTTTGCGATTTCACTGACCGCCATCAATGCTGAAATTCAAACAAACACAAATGTTGATGACCATATTTTCCATACATAGTATAAATGTTATTTTAAAAGACACTAGAAGCCATTCAAGAACACCTTAAACAACTAAACATAAAATACCTTTTTTCTCGGCAATGCTTTCCAAAATTTTCTGCTCTTCTTTCAACTGCTTTTCAATTTCTGTTTCCTTGACAGCTGATAGGAAAGATTAAATACTTTTCAAGATCTAATCCCATTGGATTTAATTCACATTTGAAGCATTACAAAGGCAAACTTACTTTCTGCTTTCTTTAGAAGTTCACTATGCTGGTCAAGAAGGCTGACGTTAGGAAGTGCTGCTGTCGCACTCTCCACCTGTGTCGTAATGACAAAAAAGTTTCAATTTTATTGATCGAAGCTTAATCAAGCATTGTGATCAAACATAATGAGAAATGTAACCTTTTCCTTGTTGGTGTTGTTTTCATCAGGATTCTCTTTGGTGTTGTTTCCACCCTTAGTCCTTTTACTCAGGAGTTTTGCATGTCGTTCTTGCTGTAAATCGATGGCTTAAGTTCAGAATGCAACATTTTTAACCTGAAAACACCAATCTCTCATATGTACCTCTTGCTTCCTCCTGTCTCTCAAAGGCACATACGGAGTGTAATCCTCTTCATCAGATGAATCTGCGTCATGTTGTCGTTGAGCTCGCTGTGGAGAGGGATATTTAATACATGAACAAAGCCAACATTCAAAAGAATTAAGAATGTTCTGTGGATTTAAATGGAGTCACTTACCTTGGCATAACTGGGTTCACTGGAGTCACCCTCTAGCCTCCTCTTTCTCTCGGTTGGCTCCATCCTAATACTTAAAAATCCCAGGAATTCACTGCATATTTACAAGAAAATCCAGGTTAAAATCTAGAAGTTTCCAAAATTCTTTACTCCTCTCTTCACGTCCATTTTGTTTTTCGCAGGTTTGCGGGAAAGCTCAATTTAATTTTGCACAGAATGAACCCTAAAATCGGGAAAATTTTCAATATGGCGGACGACGAAGGCGTAGTTTTTGACAATTCACCGTTGTATAGACATTTATCCGAAGTTGGTTTTACAGATTTTCACGTAGAAACGTTGAATAACAGCGATGAACTATATGAATCCATCGTCAATAGGAGCGTGAGACCAGAGGATTGCGGAAATTTTAGTATCAGAAATTTAAAGGAGCGAGTTAACTACATTATAGATTGGGCTAAAAGATTTGTTTTAGGCATTTTATTGCCCTCTTTTGTATCAAAAAAGATCTCATGCTACAGCTACAGCTCTTGCGTAGCCATAATAAAATCATCGGGCTTGTTAACAGACGATCATTTGGAACTTTTGTACAGATTTGAGCAATGTACAGAGAACGCAATTGATTCCAAGACCAAGGACGATGAAGTCAGTGTTGTGTTTTCTGACCGTAAAACTGATGTGAACAAATTGCCAGAAGCGAAAAACTCTTTTTTGCTAGACATTGTCGAAAGCAAGTTTATTGCGGGAGCTATAATGCTGGCTGCTTTAATTTTGGGTAGCTTTTCCAACGCCAATTCGTCGAATTTTTTTTCATTCTTTTTCGTCTCGGTTCTTTTAATTTGGGGAGTTCTAAAATTGTATTCTCTACAAGTGAAGAAAAAGATTAACATCCTTAAGAAGAATATGGTATTAATTCTGCAGTACACCAAGTTTACAGCAGGATTTCTAATGCTAATACGAAAATCAATCTTGTTTATTCAGGAGAAGGAACTTATAAGTCGCGGGCATATTATTGCTAATCCTACAGCACCGGTGACCAGATTAGAATCCCAAATTAAGCAATGTATGGTATTAAGAAAATGCTTGTTTATTAAAATGAGCGACTACATTGATCTGCTTCGTAAGAAAATTACACTCCCTGATACGAAATTCAGTGCTGACTGTGGTAATTTAGGTTGGCTTTCCAAAGAGCTTAACAAGATTGTAAACGAGGGCATTATGCAGAGCGAGGAACATTTGCAGGATCACGACTACACGTTGATCAGATTGAAGAAAGTGTTTGCCACATTTGGCAGCAACCAATCCTCATTGTTGTTCTGTGCAGCAATAAATTTGATGCTCGCGATAATCTGTTTACAACAGTCGGAACGAAATGACGAGTTGTTGGAGTTTAAATATTTTGATGATTTATTGAAACAAGGAGGGAAAAGTTGTTTGATAGTCTTGATCAATGTTATAAATTTCACAAATTGGATATCCCTGCTCGCATATTTGATGAAAACCATGGACATGTACCACCGTGTGATAAAACTGTCTACACGTCTTTCATTTTGTCTCTACGTAGCTTGACCTTACACCTCCAGCAGGCTTGCAAAACGTCTGTTGAAATGGAAGAAAGACTTGATAAGCTCGTTTCTGAATCGACTCAAGACCCTGCAAGCTCCGATCTGACTAAGGTAAACGAGCAGATATTAAACATTGGTCAAGAGATAGAGAAAATCAGCATGTGTTGGCACGAAAGTCAAAATAGACTTGAGGAAATTACTTTTAGCCCATCTGAGGAGAAGACAAATATCGTGGAAAAAAAAACAAGTGGGAGCTTGGTTGAACAAGAAGATGTGCATGCTCGGATATTCAACTTGATGGAAGAAGCAGAACCTGTTCCAGACCAGATGTTTGAAGGAGAAACAACGTCTGGTCGTGAAGATGAAAAACAGAATGAATCATTATTAGGAAGAGAAGAATTATTTAGAGAGGAAAAAATGAGAGAGGAAGGCAGACATCTTCTTAAGGAACTGAAGTCTGTTTTAGCAACGAAGGATGGGGAAAAAATGGTCGGAATTCCAAGGGTTTTATTGTTAAAGAAATTCGGCGCTGTTGAGGGTGAAGACAATGGAAGAGACACAGCTGATTTTGAAGAGATTGAAGAGAACGACGCTCGATATGGAGTCGATATGAAAAGTGGTAAGAATGAAAAAGAATCATGTGTTGACGGTTCAAGTGATGAAGAACAGGCTGGTACAGTTCCAGGAGAGGCAAATATTTCTCAGAACAATGAGCAATCATTTCCATGTAATGAAAATGGAGAGAATGAAATGACCGGAATCCAAGACGTCGTTTGTAAACCATCAAATGACCGTGGTGCAGAAGAACGGGCATTTATGGGGCCAATGAGTTATGGCGCTAATCCGTTTGCATCGATTGTAGCAACAGCAGCTGCAGCGAGGAACAGACAATTTGGTGTGACAGAACAGTGCTATGAAATCGAGGCTGAAACATTTAGTGACGACAGTGATACAGGTTGATACAAAAATTAAATTTATGTAAACAGTGAAGAAACCTTATCAAAGTTTAATACAAGTAACAATATTAAAATCAATATTCAAACATCCAACGTTTATTTTTTTCTTCCAAACAACGGCCTTTGTTTGCCTTTGCCCTGCGTTTCATTTTCAAAATACACGCTACTCTGATTAGCCTTGCTTAGATCCTTGGGCCTCGGGGTTGTCCTTGGCTTTGATCTTTGTTGCGTTTGTATCTGTGACTCTATTCTTGTCTGCTGATTCTGTTGCTCAAAGTGTCTCTGTTTGTCTCTCTGTTCTCTCTGTTTTCGTAGCTGCTTTTGATAATATTTCTGGCGTAATTCATTGAGTTCCTGATCCATAGCATCATTTATTCCTTCCAAATTCAAGCTCTCCTCCTTGCAATTCTTCAACTCGGCCGTTAACCTTAAAAAAGCAACCTCAAATCTTTCACATAATTCTGGTTATTTCCGGTAAAGTTCTGTTGATCAATTCTAACCTTTTTAATTCTGGGTCATTCCTAAGTTTCGCTGAGAGCCTTTGTTTTTCCTGCCTCAGTCTTTCCGTCCTATCCTTTTCCGCTTCAATATCTTTATCATTTTCTAAATACAATATAAAATACAAAATTAGCCTGATGACTCACTCCTAGGCGGTGGTTGTGGGAGGAATAACATCATTCGTTTTAAAATAGTGGTGGTCATGATTTGGCTATAAGCTAAAGCCTAAAGGCTCAATATCGGAAGTAGACTTGAGCTATTTTCCTATAGCATCACGTCTTGATTTATCTATAGGAAGAAAAAAATATCTTGCCTTCACGTTTCGACTCCAATCTCTTGATTTCATTAAGCAACTTCTCTTTCTTATTTTCCAACACGTCAACTTCAGTTTTTGCTTTTTTGATCGAGGCGATTTCTAGTTAAATTATATTAGTTATAAATATAAACTTGGAATTATATCAATTATATTGTACTCTAAGATGGTGGCCAACAGCAAGCAGAGTCCACAAATAGCTTCTTATAAGTCTTGTATAATATTTACTAAGAGACCTGATTTTAGTTCGTCTGTGTCTTTCATTAATTCTTCAAGTTTTGTTTTTTTCGCTTCATCCCGCTTTCTCTTCCCATCTCCAGTCAAGTCATACATGCAAGAGAACTCCTCACATTCGGCAATAAATCTTTGCCTAAAAGAAGACGTTTTCTTGTAAAAAAACAGAACCGGGCGCCAAGGGGTAATTTCATAATTTTTTTTTACTTTTCGTGTATACAAAGTTTTCGTATTTTTTTTATGCCTGAAAAGGGCCACGAACTTCCTAACTTCCTCCTTTAACCTCATTCAGGAAGTCGAAAATTCCGAAAGCAAGAGCGGTATATGTTAAACAATAAAATTGATAGACACTTGAGTGTATGAGGTCCTCAATAACCAAATTGGCTTCAGCCACACTTTCTCGCGATGACGTCAAGCGCGTCCAATGTTACGCGAAGTTTGATTGGCCAACACTTCGTGTAACATCAGACTATCCGTGTTTGACGTCATTATGAGGAAAGTCTGTTAACTCTGTTTGCTTTCTCTCGATGAGAGGAAACATCCGCATATCTTGGCTTCCTAAACGGGTTTAAACAGTAAAAAAACAAGTAATTTTTCAAAATCAACTGATCAATAGCAGAAATGAATAATCCTAAAAATTATAAATCGCCTCTGCTACTTTGTATTATCACGAATGTGAAAACAAACGAGTTTCCTCAAAATTGGCGGAATATTTGTCATCTTGACATGAGAGAGGCTAATTGCATCCACTTCTATATTATTAGGGGAACTTGAGTCCGTGTTCCGTTGTATTTTAATACAATAGATAACAGGACGTGTACAATTCAAGGAATTCGCCTATATTTCTTTACATCAGTGGAGTCGTCTTCACAAAAGCTCTGTACCTTTCACAATGAATCACAGCCCGATGATTATCCTAAAATGCAAGAATATTTATTGTTGAATTACAAGGGTACTATTATCTAAATAGTCATACGGCTGCAAGTATAAATAAAAGCTATAAAGCACCAGTGTGTTTTGTAAATCCAGTTTCGTCTGTTCAAGATTATGTTTTTGTAATTTCATTATTTTTTCCTTTTCTTTTAACCATTTTGATTGCAATTCTTGTTCAGCTACTTTGTTATTTTGAATAGCAAGACTTCCTTGAAGCGATTTTAATTCGTCTCTTATTTCTGCAGTCTTTTTCTGAGTCTGGGCGATTTCCTCGTTCACTGCCAAAGAAAGGAATGACTGAAATAAGCCATTAAAGTCGGTCAAAAATTGGCCCAAATTCTGAGGGAATATATTTTTCCAACCAAGCCATTTTCGCCTACCTGCTTTGAACTTAGTATTCCTCTTCTTGACTTGCTCCTCAGATTGTAAAATTTGCGCATACAAGTCTTGTAGAATACTATTTGTTGCCATCAATTTTCATTGAAAAACAGGAGTTTTATATAATTTTCAATAATTCAATTTTACAAGATTACAAGAACATATATCAATTTCCAAGATGGCGGCAGGAATAAATGGCGGGAAAATATCATGTAAGTATAAAGTTCGTTTACTGTGGCGTTGATGTACTACTTCCCGTATTTTCGGATACTTATAGATGAAAACACTTGAATTTTCGACATTTAGGAGATAGCAATTTAATTTAAAGTTTTATACTATTATTCAAATCTTAAAAATTAAGTTTTAAACGGTTCCTAACTGCAAAATGTTGGACTCGCAGCTGGCCAAAACCGAGACCTAAATTATACTTTGGTATCAGTCAGTAGTTTATTTAGACTCTATTTGTGAAAACACTTATTCGGCTTTTTATTACTTCGGGCAAAAGACACTGTTTTGACTCGAGTTGCTATATTTGCTGTCGGGGTGTGTAGCCAAGGGGGCACAGCGTATTTGCCAAATAACAGGCTGACAAATTTGACAAACATACTGCATTCGTTGCCATTTTTGGAAAAATATGTCTGTTTAATGTTAAAACAACCTGCTCAGTCATGCTTCAATGCCAGGACCTATGTTGTGTCAATATTAGCTTGCTTGATAAACAACAGGGGCATATGAGTGGGGATATAACACCTCACTCACTTCTTTCAAAATGGTCAATTGATTTTCTCAACCTTTTAAACAATGAAAATCATAAGCAAAGATTTTGTTTGAATATATTGAAGCCTTAGCCCATAGAGGGAGGATTATGGAGCATTTGATATGGAGCATTTGATATGTCCACAAACAGACACAGAAGACATAATCACGAATAGAAGTTAATCATGTTATTTATTTAGTCAACATTAATTCATCATCCTTACAATATCAACCAAGACCAATACAAATACATATACATAATTATTTCATCTGATTCACTACCATTAATCAGTCTATGGTTGTTTATAGTTAATTTATAGTTCAGATTGTTTATCGTTGTTAAATGTAGTAAGGCTACTACTTGTCAGCATTATGACTTTCTATAAGTCATTCTCATCCTCTTAATCAAAATTCCGAAGGGTATTATACTATTATTATCTCGTATAACCCAGTATATGTCCGTGCTTTTGAAATAGGGATCAATTTCCTCCGTTGAGATCCCAGCTCTACCCATGGTCTGAAATGACCCAGGTTTAACATATACTTGTAAAGCAATCTTTGCTACCTTGAGTTCATTTGAGTCAGAGTCCTGATATTCTACAACAGGAGAGTCAAGGTCTGCACAAATGATTGATGGTGTGAGCTTCACAAAGATCTTTCCATCAGAGCCCAAAAAATCTGCTTTATTGCCCAAACCTTTCTCGAGAATACTCGGCAGCATTTCTTTAGACAATGAATAATATGCAACATTCCACGACGCCGGCTCAGCCATCCCCTTTGGTGTGTTCAAACAAAATCGACACCAACCCAGAGGTAACGAGTATGCCTGGGGTGGCGACCCAGTTTTACATAGAGGAGTGTCCAAATCCTTCAAGTGGCAACAGTTATCACAGTAACATGGGTTCATTAAGGTAGCTAAGTCAAAGTTTGCCACTGGTTGCTTAAGACTTGACAAATATTTTAGACATTCCAGTTGATAGCCACATGTAATGTGTTTTGCAAGTAGAGCATACAGTTCGTCAGATTTGCCTTGATCAACAGATAGTCTGCCTCGACGTTTGGTCTTTGACTCTGATCTATTTCTGGTTTCAACTGTACAGGTTCCGCAGTTGGTTTCAACATCTTTGACGCAATGTTTGTGAACATTTAAGCCACAGTCCTGACATTTCATTCCCTGATGCATTAGACCCCACATGAATGCGTGACAGATATCACACCATTTGGGATGCATATACTGATGAATACGAAAACTATGTGGCTTTGTGAACGATGGACGCTTTGTTTTTGTTGTTTTTTCCACTCCATTTCCGCTGATTCCACATCCGTTTATCTGACTTCCATACTGATGGATGACACGTAGCATGTTCAAGATATCGACCATCAGTTCGGTCAGTGAATTGTAGGTCTTCTCGTCAGACTCAGTGTGATATTTAGCTGTTTCTGCATCATAGAACAGCTTATAATGAAGTATATTGCCACCAGTACTGAAGGACAGTATGTGATCTCCTGGTGAACTATTGCTCTCTCGAACAAGATATCGCCCATTTCCCCCAGATAGCAACTCTGTGACTTCATCTCTTGTTAGAGTACCATGAAACAGCTCCCCAAAATGAGCAGGTCCATTAACATTGCTTTTCATGCACGCAATTCGAATTGGTTCCGGATTAGCGCTGTTCTGCAATGCTTTCAACATGTCACTTCTCCATGACTCATCTTTGCTCGGCGAAGATAGCTTTCGTCGTGGGCTGGTCGGACCAGAGACTGATTCTGCTCTAGGCTTGGATTCCATGAATGTATACTTCGACTTATGATACTCAGCAGGTTTTCTCATGAATTGCATCATTGCGACGAATTAATTCATCGGTGTTAAGATAACACAACCTGTTTGAACACAACAAGCAACATTATTAATCTTTAATAGCAGGAATATTACCCGATGATAATCGCAGTGAATCTACATACAAACTCATTCACCTTGTTTTGGAATGAACGAGCAACAAATTAGATTCATACTTATCGAAACTCGACATGGTATTAAACTGTCCCTAATCTAGCTAACATCTACCCGCTTTGAAATTAATATATATTTATTGCTTTCTTCGCATCAGAAATATTGAGAAAAGCAAAATTCCTAGACCTAGATCTCTTATGAAACCTAAATCATAATATTAGCTTCTTTTACAGACTACAGATATAAAATGTCAAATAAGATTACAAGACTTGTTAGAAGGCGCACGTCCATATTTTCTTAAAGCGACATCACATGTCCACTTAAGGCATTTTAATCTACTCACTTATTCTTGAATATTTATTGTCAAAGGTTTTCTGCCGCTAACAACGTTCTTCTATTAGTTACGTTCGCTTCGATGTGTTGTGAAATAAGACTTACCACATTGCTTCGACGAATGGCTTTATAACTTCTGCGAAGAGCCTATTTGAAGATATGACGATATTGACTTCCTGCCAAATTAATCTTCCTGTTTTTCGAATAAATTTTACTGTGGTTTGACTTCGTGCCGCGCGTGGAATTCCAAGTAATATTACGCGCCTCTTTATCCAATCAACGCCCAGTTTCAAAAGGCGGAGCATACGATAGTATTGTCACAAATATTGTCTGGCAAATTGATAATAAATATCAGTCAGAGAGACAGTCAGAGAAGCTTCAGCAGTCGCATGGTTTATCCCCGCTTTTGCGTAAATTATTGCAAAGACTCACGCGATAAATCGATTTCCCCCTAATCACCGGTAGGTATGCCCCAACGTTCTACCCTTGAAATTACGTGTACAAACGATAATGCTGATTTTATCTTCGATATTGACCGGCATATATTTGGCAGTCATATATGCTAAAACAGTGCTACCATGCTTAAGTCGATATTAATAATTAAAGTCGGATCATTTTCTGTTTTCTTTACTATAAACACGCGGTCAATTATTGTAATAAAATTGTTCTAATTTTCTTTTCGAATGGAATTGTAACCGACATAGTTCTAATTTCGTGGGAAAAAGAACAAAACTGCGACAATAACAAGTAACAAAAGCGTGGCAAAGAACAGCAAAACGCAGCTCACTGTTCGCTTCTACACCCACACAAAATTTATTCGCTTAATTTAGAATTCAGTGTAAAAACGGATGGGCGAGGTTCTATTAAAATAAGACAAGTCTAAACAAATTATCAATTTAACAAACAACTCTTCCAGCCGAAGGTGTCTTGCTGTGGATAAAAAATTGTCCAAAAATTGGTCTCAAATTCAAGATTCTCATTTAGAATATCTTGATTTCAAGATAACGCGTCATCAAAAGTGCAAAACTAAAATACAAGCACGTTTTTTCTCTCAAACAGCCAGATTGTAATCGACATGAGCTTCGATAGGCCTCCTGTCATTCCATACAAACGGACCGGATCCTGTTAATGAACCACGATTAATTAACTACGTCATAAATGATAGCTATATTTGCATGTTGTCTGCGCACTCAGTGGCTTATTATATTTACACGCTTAATTTCTGTTTACCGAGACTCGCTTTCGTTTACTCAGATTTGGAATGTTTCATATTTCGATGTTTTCAAACAAATGTCAAAGTCATTCATTGATACCCCAGTGCCTCGAAATACGAAGAAATTCACACAAAAGACACGTTTCTAGAGCTGAAGATCATCGTTACTGATAATTATTAAGCGCCGATCATGTCTAGGCTTGTTTGACAACCCTGACCTTTAATTTCACAGGAAGCAATCCACACACTTTACTAAACTAACATGCCCTTATATGCAAGTTAAAATGGCGTATTGTACTATGATCGACTCATGTCGGAATGTCTGTTCATTAATTCGCATGCAATACGCTATCATGATATAGAACAACATGAATTAGTTTATGTTTTGCCACATCATCGTCCAGTGCAGTCCAACGAAGTTTCAAAACGTGTCGGTAAGGTGACAAGAAATTATGCTTAGAGCATCAATACTATACATTCATGCAAATCACAATATCGATCCAGCATGAGCCCAGCCCACTCAACTGAGGACAACGGTTAACGACAATGCTCACGCGTGGGCCATTAGAGCCGTTTAATAAATTATCAATCAATTTCTCGATTTTCTGACCGTCTCTGAAAGCTATTTTCTTGGTAATTCGACAAATTACACTCAACCCAACTCAGTAAAAGGTACTCCCAGGAATTGCTTAGGGATACTATGGAATAGGAATACTATGGAGGTAAATGCAGCATCCAGTTTGTAGATTAACCCCCTACTGACTGTGTTAGCACCACAGATAAAGCAATTTCTAAAAGTTAGGGATCTTCGACGGTTTTTCTTTTTTTTATTTGATCGAAATTCTAAAGTTCACAATTTCTGGAAGCGAAGATTTTGAGAACCACGAGAAGTTACTAGAAGTGGATGGGATTACTTTCTAAAATTTTTTTAAAACAATCATCGAATTTTTTTGCTTATATTTCTTATGATGATTGTAAACTATCGATAGTTCATGAGCGTCTTTCCTTACTTAGAGCGTCTTCGTGAGGGGGGGAGTTAACATTTGGTGGAAGTGTATTAATATTCTATATAGCAGAGTATTGTTCTGCTCTATTTTTACCGCCTGGGAAAATCTTGACGCAGGGCGAACTGAGAAGTGCTGAAAAATCGGCAAAAGGACAAATACGGGTCCGTCTGCCTTGATCCAGGATGTCGTATCACAGCTTCAAGCGTCTGTCCGCTGTGAGATTCCGGATGCTTTGTCGGCACAGATTCTTTATTAGAATGTAAACTATTCCAATAATTTTTGCGCCGCTCAAAACTGCGTAAACACGTCACGAAGAAGTAACGAACGAATTGCAAACGTGAAATGTGAATTACAGAATATAGAGTTAAGAAAAATATGCAATCATCTCCGAGCAACCCTCGTGACGAAGGCCGTCAGGTCGAAACGTCGAGAAGTGATTTTGTCTACTTTAGCAGGTGTTATACCACATTTGATGCTAAGTTGTTTGAAGACGCTGCCACGCTGCTCCCGGGTTATATTGGAACATCTCCGAGCATATTATTATTCACATTTCACATCATTCAATTTTGGGGGTCCAATTCAATTCTGAGGACATATGGAATGTAGTATGTTATTGATAAACCAGCGCTGTATTGGCTTTAGTTGGAGTTTTTTATTTTAAACCTTTTCTCACAAGAAAAGCGAACAGGAATAATTTTATGGGATAAATGAGCCAATATAATTATTGTTTTATTTTTGTCACATGGCTTGCACCCAACTGTTCACACGTATGCCGCACTACTATGCGTTGGCGATCACGCGAAAAATATTATGATTAAAAAACTTAAACCGAATTATTTATTTCTGTCATGTCAAATATCGAGTAATGATGAACTTTAGTATTAAACTTTACTTTGCCTTAATTTATTTACTTTATTAAACTCGTATGTTTCCAAAGTCCAATACCACAAAGTTTTACCCCTTGCATTAGGGGTGCATCCAAGTTCCCTGGCATTTAGGCTATCAATAGACAGAAAGAAGAAAGTTAGGTTGATAAATAAGAGTAAAGAATATAGTATATTGTGGTGACTTGCGAAAAGGTCTTGGTATATATGGTTTAGGGGCAGCTTTTACTCTTCCTCTCGACCATGGTCGAATATACCGTTTTCTGATATACTCCACAGTCCACCATGGTCGAATAAACCGTTTTGATAAAAATGATCCAAAGTGGAAATTGGTAATTTAAAGATGGGGTAATTGTAGGGAGTCTGTAAAACCTATTGCAAAAAAAATTCTGTATTTTTGAGTCCCTATGACTTGATTTCCAGCATTTTGGTGAACGAACCATCTTGGCAGAGTGAGGTCTGTTGAGAAAATACCATTTATCACTGTAAATTTCTCATTTTATCACAGCACAGTCTACTTTTTTAGTGCAACCAGTGCAACGAATGAGCCGGTTCAGACTTTACAAGAAAAGTCATCCAGTTTTTCATATAGTTCAAGGGGATGGGCTCGCCGCGTGCAGAAAAATTTTTTGGGATCACTTGAAGACTTGGTTACTAAGCACTGATCTACAGTTTCCACTGGACGGATATTAATAACAACCTTTGACCTCCGGACACTGAGCTATATTTTCACTGGACTAACATTAGAATACAGTATCACTTCCGGTGTATCTGGATTTCCTGTTTTTAAACCAAAATTAAAACGCGCCAAATTTACATTTCCCGCGAAATATTTAAATTTCACTTCGGCTGTTCGAGATTCTCTTGTAAACGTTCGCTTTTTCTCAATATTAATAAAAATGATTACTTTACTTCCAAAAGGAATACAAAACTTGGGTAACACTTGCTTTGCTAATAGTACTCTTCAAGCATTAGTATCTGTTAAACGATACGGAAATGGACTCTTGCAAATGGAACACAACCGGACTCGTTGTCTGCAGGAAAGATCCGGTAATTTACATATTTTATTGTCCGTTCTTTTCGTCTATATTTTTCGTAATTCTGGGTTGTCATAAGAACTATATGTAAGCATTTTTAATAAACGTTGAATAATAAAAATTTTATAGCAAACAGTCATATTCTGTGCGAATGAATTTGTTATTTACATCGTAAAATATATAAGGTAAAATATGATACAGGTTAGGTGATACTCAAGGAATAGATTAATATTTACAAACATGATTGACAACATAACAGGAAACGCACGACAGTACCGAAGATGGCCTCAGCAACGATCTGAAAGAACTTACTGACACACTTCAACGCAACTCGTTCACGCAACATCTGGTTGAACGCATCATTAGTTCTTTAAAACGCACAAACAACAAACACTCTCAACATCAATTTGCCTAGTCAACAACCCAACGTTCATTCTTTATCAAAATTCAAGCTCCCATACATGCTGTTTGCTATAAAAAATTTTGTGGTTTTTGTCAAATGTTGGCCAAGAATGTTGTTCAAGTGTTCTGTAACAATGAACATTGCTTGTATATATTTAATAAATGTGCCCAATGCAGTCAGTAATAGGTGTTAGTCAGAGGGTGTGAGTGATCAGATATTAATGGGTACTAAACACAAACTCCACTTTATCATAGTAGAGGGAAAATAATGAAAATTATTTACCTAAATACATTCATTTAACCAAAAGAATAATGCTTTATTTGCCCATAAATAAATTATTTAACAAGTTAATATATTTCTCATTTACACAGCTGATCTAAGTCTAATTGACTTTATTTTTAATTTATGGACAGGTCAACCCTGTATATTGTGCAGCACAAAACTGTTTATTGATGGTTATAAGGCACAAAACTGTCATGGAATTTTAAGGCCAGCTTCACTGATATCACAGTTGCCAAACATTAATGAAAGCTTTCAACCTGGAATGCAGCAATGTGCCGCAGAGTTTTTCCAGGATTACACGCAAGCACTGAATCTAATTGCTCAGGAGTATTATGAGAATGGAATTGTTCCACCGCACTGCGATACTTCTTTTTTAAAATCCTTCCAATTTAGCCTGAGGA